AGCACGTTACACACGATTTGCATAATTTGCTTACATGCTCAAGAGCGGTATAGCAATTAGAGACTGAAGATCAATGAGTCACTCTAACATTGGTGCACAGTAAGCGCCTAACGCACTTTACGTACCCCACAACATACACCGGTATAACTTTACCACAGCAGCTACTGTAGAGTACAAAGATACACTGGGAATTCTTACCTGAATGGGAATGATGCTTGGGATTCTGCTGTTTCCGTCGGCTGCTCTTCAGATCCAACCCGGCATCGAAACTGTCCATTTCTAAGGCCATTGTGCAGCTGCCGGAGAAAACGGCGGCTCCGTGCTGCGGTCTCGGGGCAAGTTGAGAATTTTGGCGGTTAGAGCCGGTGAGAAGATCTAGAGCAACATTCACGATCATCAAGCTTGTGTCTGTGTAATTGTCAGCGGCGCTCGTGTGTGCACCAGCCGCTGGTGCGTTCACACAGATCCTGCCCATCAGGTGAAAGGAAAACGAAAAATGTCCGAAGAAAGCGAAAGTGAAAACATATGCACCGATACTAGTATGCCAGCTAATCACGACACTTACCGCGAAGGAATGCCGTAAAAGACGTTCTTAGCCGGAAATGTCTTCACACATCTTTCCACATCACAGTGCTGCAGTGGGTGATGGTGATTGTAAAAGGGGGAATGAGCGGAAAGGAATGAGACTGTGAAACATACACACACATGTGTACAAAGAACTACTGATATGCTCGGTTGAACGTGTTCGTGTGGAAGAAAACTCTGCCGTCCATACACGGCAGCAAACGAAGGGAGATGGAAAAGATGCAACGCGCGTGTGTGGCGTTATCAGTTGCGGAACAGCATGAGAATGAGATTGCGATTAGCTCTGTATATGCAGTGCTTGCACTATACGCAATGGAAAGTGGAGCTTCGCTTTTCCACTTTATCAGGCTCAGACATACCTACTGTCCTAGAGATAGTTTTCAGTGATACGAGAAACTGTACAAACAGCCGGTCTTCTACTACAAAACGTACTCTTGGTTAATTGAATGTATGTGGTTCGCGTAATCTTCGGAATTGCGATCGATCACATTTTGCTTCCAAAACGTCGTCGCTGCTGTGCACCGGCAAATTGGAAGTTGCTGCTGCTGCTGTGGCGGAGTTAATCAGATGTTGTACGTCGCGTTGGTCGGCGGCGGCAGCTACGGCAAAAAGCGAGCAGTTTGTCAATTAGACTATGGACAAAGCGTATATGTATGTGTTAATGTGTATACAACAGGCAACAGTAATAATAGTGTAAGTATTCAGCGCATTATAGCAGAGCAGTTTTGCCGCCCTAAAGCGACAACGCGGAGCAAAACTTACCGTAGAAAAAGTGGACTAGTTTACTAAGGCGCAACAAGTGTAAACTGGATGGTTGGATACTGTTTGCCAAATGCGCTGCCAGAGAGTGAAAGTGAGAGAGACAAGTGCAATTTTGGGTTGGTGTGAGAGCAAACGTTACAAATGTTGCCTGGCGAGGAAGGCGCGTGAAAGAGAGAGAAGTACACACATACAGGGCCGACAAATATTGTCGGCAAAAAGAGAACTCGTACACGAAGGATTTACAGCTGGATGGATGCAGCCGAATCAGAAAAGCTGAGAGCAACAAGTGGTTTATGCATGGCGTTTTTGATGATTAAGCTCTGGCTGGATCGCATCCGCTGAATGGGCTTTTGCGTTTTGAGTGCTTCGCAGGGCTGTGTACGAGCCGGGGCAGAGTTGTTTTGTACGTGATATCTCCGGCTTCGTATACTCCGCTGTATGCCGGGTCAGAAAAGATGATGCGCACTTTTTTTGCGATCAAATGGATATCGTGGAATAAAGGAGAGGCTTGTCCGCTTCGAGTTACGTCACAAGATTGAAAGCTTGACAATGCACACAGATCACGATCGCAGATTCGCAAGCGCATTACTCCGCATCCTCTCTTACTTAGCGATATCTACAATTCTACATCTATGGTGACGAATCTTGAAAGATTTTCAATTTAAAATCTGCAAATAACTGGCATCTTTTTCGACATAATTCTGGTAATGTGTTTACCGCAAACAATATCCCCCACTAAAACCTTTGAGTTTATCAGGTTGTATTCCATCATTTGAATATCGCTGCGTTGCCCTTTCTCGTCACTGCCGGTGTTTATCGGTTTTAAATATACAGTATACACTACAGTAGTTTTTCGCTTAACTGGGGTTTTGTCTACTGAATAATATATAGAGTTGAAACGGGAAAGCAAAGCGAATTTCGATGATTGTTTGTTATTAGCGCCATAATGAACCAACAAGTGAGCGCAAACTTGTGAATGAAATTATGAAAATAATAACGAATGCGGTAAATGACTCGTTCGATATTCTCATTCAGTCCTGATACAACGGACAATGAGCGCCGACGCTGGTACTACAGTGGCTGTTAAAAGATGGCGTCCGAATGGTCAGTGGCGAAGTTCACCTTTCTGCTTTTGAGTGAGAATACTGCTGGTGTTCAAATGCGGCTCGATCACAGTTCTATAGCTACGTTGTTGTTCTCTTTAATTTTGCACGAGAGTTTTGCGCGTCTGCAAACATTACAGGTTTTTAATCCCTCCTGCACTTTAACACATTATTATGAATAATTGTGGGATACATACTGTAAGTATATTGTGATGCACTTACGGTACGTATTGTAGCCTACGTCTGTACGGGTGGTGTGTGGTGATTTACCGGTATCCAGACAATAAAAGCTCGCGCAAAAACACACGAACCAGTACGCACCACACAATGCACATCTGCCATAAAGCAGTCAATAAATCAAAGGCGAAGCTTCCATGCAGGAAACGCATTCTCAGATCTACACTTAAGGCGAAATTACTCTCAGTACTTGGTAAGTATTATGCAATCGAATGCCAAGCTGCATCTTAATGTTAAAATTTTATTTCAATGTGCAGCGTTTTTTGTTCTTCACAACAGCCGCTCGCAAGAAGCTGATCTGCCAAACAGGTTTTCCCAATTATATTCTTCACAGTCTACTAGCGCAATGCTGCAAGTGCACCCGTCCTAATGCCAAGTCAAGAGCACGAGCTTTTGTGGTGTCTATAGAAAAAAGTTAATCTGGAGAAATACTGGTAATAAATTGCAACACATGACAAGGCGTACATTAGCAGGAATCTCGTGGATAGAGTTGGTATTATACTGGAATACTGCTACAAAAAAGTTATTCAGGTGTCGGCCCCAATTAGCAGCTGATGCGCGCCGGTATCCTGGTGTCACAACAGATCGGTAATAGGTACTACTGTAGGTGGACGATGCAGATTGTACAGATGACTATGATTTTTATGCCGATTATGCATACTTCTATAAGAGAAACAAGAAACATTACTACAGTCTTATGTTCGGCATGAAGATTTTACAAAGGGTTCCGGAAGTAACCAATTTTCAAAACAGTGTATATCGGACGTAATCGGTTATCTACTGAAATTTGGTGAATTTTAATTACGAATACTCCAACAGAAGGAAGAGCCGGCATACACTTTTGCTCGTGAGAAGTCAACAATAACGTTTCAACTGTTGACTGGTCACATCATACTTGGAAATTCCTTCCTGCAACAAATTTCCTGTGATTGTGTATGATGCGTTTTTGCTGTGGAAAAATATTTCGAAAATAGAAAATTTGCCGGAAGTGCTTTGAGATCAGTTAGGCACTGCCGCTTACACCGGCATTTATGTGTCGGCAGTCTACTTGAAAATGGAATTATACCTGACAGAGCGTCACAATCAGCTGATCTTTAGCAGATGTAAGCAAACAGTTTCTAACAAAGATATCAAGTGCGAAGTGTGTGCTCTAGCCGGCTACATTTTGGATGGAGACCGTGAATGTTATGTAATGCCCGACAGCTGTATTACGAAGCCACATCATAGGATGGCACGGCGGAAGATTCTTGAGGAAATTTAAGTTGCAGTTATAAACAGGTTTTTCAATGCCAAAAAAACGTTAAGCGCTTCGCCGGTTGGCTGCTCAAGACTAGGTACCTAATCATTTTGAAAGAATCCATAGAGTACGTAGTGAAAAGATTCTTTATGCAATGCTGTGTCGTTTATGATCAAAGTAAATTTCTCGCGGATAGATTCGTTGTGAATGAGTATGTACTGTACACTATAAAGGAAATCCTAAATCGCATAATAAATTCGAAAAATATTCCCTTGTTTTTAAATTCTTGAAACTGTTTTAATAATTAAGGTACAGCAATGGTACAATACAACCTGCATAATAGTGTGCAAACCTGAATAAGATTTGTGCAGCTTAAAACGCTACCACTGGTACATAATAACGCGTGCATTTAATACCGATGCACAGTTTCCTCGACAGCGCTGCTATCCTCGCATCGACGTATACTGTACGTCATTCCAAACAAAAATTATTTCTGGTTATGAACCTGATCTATGTAAATTGTTAGGACCTGCATATGTTCGCACTTTAGTACTTCGCACAGTCGTATTTTGGCGCATTTTCTTTGTGTTCTTTATAACTGAAAATGTTTCTGCTTCTGGGTGCATGCAGTCTTTCAAATGACACATACGTTTGCCTATTGTCTATTAATGGTAAGTACAGTAGAACATGAAAAAACACTTAATGTATTGTTACTTGCAGCAGAACTGTTTGTTTCATAATCCTGGCGCCATTTATTTTGAGTTGTTGGCTTTCGAGTAAATAAATAATCTACTCGTATTTTGATAATAATTAAGAAATACTGTACATGTACGGTTGTGCCGTATGTGTACTGTGCACATATGGAAGAATTCGCAACTGTGTGTACGGGGATATGGTAAATTTTTTCCGAGCTTCTATGTGCGTACCAGTTCAAATGATTTGTATGCGAAAAAATCTATTCAATGCGTGACATTGCGCTGTTCAAAGTTTCAAACTTTTGCCAGCTCACTATTCAGTTTGAATTAGTTTGTACTGCTTCATGAACGTTTGAGTAGCGAGACAACTGGCCGAGGAAATTTCGTCAGATCTTGGAGTTTTAAAAGAACTGCGTTGTGCTTTCCTAAATAATACAGAGATGCTGAACAACAACCGCGAAATTCTCGTTTAGTCGATTAGCAGTAAACTTTCTACAAATATTTTATCCCTTGCTTCCGGCGCAAGTTCAGGCTTATTTAAACGCGGCGGCTGTTCATGGCATTAATGACAACGCTTCCGAGTTCCTGACCGAGGACTTCTAAGATGATGTTGTGGATGGCACTGGTCAAACCAAAAGGTTTAAGGAAGTTTTGGACCCAGTCGATGATCTGCGATCCAGCGATGACATTCTCGAGACCACCAGCCTGATCAAGGCAGTGAGCGATTACGGGGTCGTTCAAAAGGTCAGCGTTCAGCTGGTTGTTCTGGCTCAGGTGTTGCACCCATTCAAAGGTGACAGTCAAACCATTCTCCTTCAGGCACTTGTAAGAAGAGCTGGCATGCACCAAAGCGACAAACTGTGGGTTGGTAGCAATTTGCTGGACGATGGGCTTGAGGTAGGCAGGGATGGCCCGGGCGCTGCGTCCTGCATGTCGGCTATTCATGGCGTTGATGACAACGCTTCCGAGTTCCTGACCAAGGACTTCTAAGATGATGTTGTGGATGGCACCGGTCAAACCAAAAGGTTTAAGGAAGTTTTGGACCCAGTCGATGATCTGCGATCCAGCGATGACATTCTCGAGACCACCAGCCTGATCAAGGCAGTGAGCGATGACGGGATCGTTCAAAAGGTCAGCGTTCAGCTGGTTGTTCTGGCTTAGGTGTTGCACCCATTCAAAGGTGACAGTCAAACCGTTCTCTTTCAGGCACTTATAAGAAGAGCTGGCATGGACCAACGCAACGAACTGCGGGTTGGTGGCGACTTGCTGGACGATGGGTTTAAGATAAGCGGGAATAGCACGGGCACTGCGGGCAGCCTGACGGGAAGTCCAGGTAGGAATGTACAGACCGTCCCAGATGGCCGTCAGCTGGTTGACCACATTGTCGTAAAGGTGACCCAGATCGGAAGCGAACTCCGACAGGTAGTTGATGAATTCCTGGGCCGCCTGTTGGGTGGCAAAGTGGGCCGTGGTGATGGCACCCTGGAGGAAGGCAACTGCCAGCTGCTTGATGATTTCGAATTTCTCCGCAGCGGAGTTGAAGGTCTCGGTTGCCAAGGTAGCAATGTACTGGCCGACATTAATGACGCCCTGGCTCAGGTTGTTCCAGGCGTTGACAGCGGCTCCACTGACACCGTCCCAAATATTCACGGCAGCATTGGAAACACCATTCCAGATGTCACCGAAAAGTCCACGACTCTAAAGTAAATAGTTGCCCCATGAATGTACTGACTGATTGAACCAACAACAAAGCGGTTGTATTACATTAATAGCGGCAATGATCGCGCTTCCTAATTCTTCACCAAGGACACTGATGATAGTCTGGTCGATCAGGGCGCTAAGTCCCAGTGGCTCCACAATGGCCTCAACGAAGTCAATGATCTGCGATCCAGCGACGATGCTTTCGAGACCGCCACCCTGTTCGATGCAGTGAGCGATGACGGGATCGTCCAGAAGGTCAGCGTTCAGCTGGTTGTTCTGGCTCAGCTGTTGCACCCATTCAAAGGTCACAGTCAGACCGTTCTCTTTGAGGCACTTGTAGGAGTCGCTGTTGTGCACCATCGAGACGAACTGCGGGTTGGTGGCGATCTGCTGAATGATGGGCTTCAAGAATGCTGGAATTGCACGTCCACTGCGGTCCTTACCGACTGCAAGGGAATTGAACTGTCAAGAGCGAACGAACTATGTGACTGAGAGGAAAACTGCTTACAAAGACTGCCAAACAAGCCGCTGACGAGGTTGCCAATGATGGCTTGGCCACTTTCCACGGCGCTCTGGCCCAGAGCTTGGAGCTGGGACACAGCTGCGTGGAACTGGCTGACAACGCCCTGTGCCAGGGCGTTGACGGCATCGACGGTATTGTCGATCTGGTTCAAGATTTCATTGGCGTGGTTGTTCAGAGCGTTCACGAATTCAGTTTGAAAGGACACTTCGGCACTGTAAGAATAATATTCAAAGTTTTCATGCTATTTATTCTTCTATTTTGGTCAGTGTATTTTATCTCATTATGTAAATCGTGTTTGTTATTGCTATTAATATGATTTTAAAATAGCAAATCGAAAATACTTTCAAAATGCTTTTTGAAAAATGCTCTTTAAAGTGATGCATGCTGCCGTACGCGTTTAAAGCTTTAGAGTATTTAAACTTACGAGCTGCGAGCTGGAGCTTTGGCGGCCAAGTCAGCACGGACCTTGTTGATGGCCTGCTGGACAACTGGCTGGGCCTGCTGCCGAAAGCCAGAAAATCCGGCATTCGCAGCGGTCAGAGCCAAAGCGAGAACAATCAGGACCTTCATGGTGACCTTTGCAGGAAATCTTAAAAACTGTTTTAGAAAACTTGTTGACTCGCTGAAAGCTTGTTGTCTAACTTTCTTTCCGGTTGCTTATATATTTCGATGGCCAACTTCTTGACCTTATCAATGTAGAACAATGGTCACGCGAAAACAATTGGTATCGTAGTATAATTTTACCTGTTTCCGATAAATGTTTTATCGACAGATTCCGATATGTAAGCATATTTATGGCTGATTTTTAAGCGCAATCTTTTTAAGAAAGTAAGAACTTTGGACTACGGTTCATTGTAATACATATACACTTGCATGCTATGTGCCATTTAATGTAAGCATACGAAAAACGGAAGGCGGTATACACCTTTAAATCTTTTTATGGTCTGATTGTTTTATCAATGTATTTCTACCGTATCTGTTGAATTAAACGATACTGATATCTGCATATTTATCAGTTTATTCTGGGGAATGCACAAGCGAATTTGGATTTTGGAATAACAGCGGGCAATATTGTCAGCCGCGTATGGTGTGATAATGGGAGGACATGAACCGTGAATTCTACTGCCGATTAGAAAATACTGTACCTGCACACTTCGTGAAACGAGTAAAATACGCAGCGGCAAATTATAGTAAAATTTGATGATTCACATGTTTTGTGTAAAACTAACATCCTTGTAAATTGCGTTTACGGACGTTTTGGTGTGTGATGAGGAGGAGAATCATAGTGCAAAGGTGGAAGTGAACTTTGCACAGTTACAACAAATCCTGAGAGGATAGGACACTATGATCATTAAGCTCATGATTGATTCTACTACAAAGTTGCCATACGGCAGCTACAACGATCGGTGTTTGTAAATAAATTTTTAAAATTTTCGGCTTGTCAGTGTCACAGGCATTGCATAGACTACCGATAAATATTTTTCGGCATGTACAGTACTAAATCCATATCATGATTGCCTTACCAAGTGCATAAAAAAGAATGGGCTGCGGCACACCCTATTGTCCGCTCCGAAAAAGACGTTCTTGAGAGATATACTCGTATCATAATTATAGAGATTGCAGATATTCATGAAAACTTTCTAGATTTCCAAATCGTTTGAGAAAGATTTGTGCTATTTTTTTCTTTCGTGAACCGACAACAATTTCAGACCGACAAGATTTGGTTGATGTCGATTAAGGGCAGAATGACATGCAATGCATATCTGTAAGCGGAAAACGATGTCTGTTTTTAAAAACGTACGGAAAGCGAAATTGTTTACATCGAAAGGGATCCGACCCACTGTCGAGTAAATTTCTCTATGATTACAGATCAAGATTTACAGTCAACAACAGATGTGGACAGAATTGCAACTCATTAGAAATTTACAACTCATTGCTGTTTCTGTCGTCTTTGAACATCTTCGATCCAAGATGGAACGGTTGTTTGTTGTACCCATTGGTACGGTACTTAATACTGCATACAGTACTTCATATTTCCGGTGGGGCTTCGCTGAAATGGCGTTTATTTGCTCCAATAAATTTACAGTTTGGTATTTGTTTAATTACCAGTGTTTCAGTTTGGTTTTTCATACGTATAGGTCTCTAACAAGTAACACAACTCCATTTATCGCAGTTGTGCTTATATACAAATAATAAACCACTTGCCGGTCTTAATCGGGGCGCTGGTTCTGTTTGGATGCAATTAGGAAGAATTTTGTTTCAAAGCATTATTGGTGTAGAAACATTTAGATTCTTGTTATTTTTAGAGGGGATTGCTTTATGAAAACTGGTAAAATGCGCTGTTTTTCCAAATTAACCAAACCATCCTCAATGTGGTCGATTGATTACGGTAATACCTACGTATCAGATATGAATATCGTAAAAGTAGGATAATTTAACAGATTGCCATAACTGACGCTATACGTAAAACTACAATTATAAGAAATTTGTTCATTTAAGCAGCGCCACTAATGTTGAGTAACAAGCTAACGGCAACACTATTGACGCTTTAAAACTGATTAACTGATAATATTTTATGCGCAATCCGTAATGCAAAGATGCACTGCGCTTTCTTAACAAAAGGTTGTGATAAGGTTATCTCCATTTGGATAACAAACAGGATCGGAAGTTTTCTCGAACGTAATTAGTTTTACTGGAGCGAAGGCTGTTGTTGATATGAGAGTAGCTAGTTTGATATGACTAGAGTAGGCAGTGTACAGTAACACTGAAAAAAGAAAAGTTGAAATTACAAACAGTAAAAAATGAAAACCCTAAGCCTGCTTTGTGTGTTTGCGCTGGTGTACATTGCGGCTGGTGGAGAACTTCCTAACCTTTCCCAGCGTGAGTTACTTGCTTACGTAACACCTTTAATTTATTGCATTTACAGTTTGTATACTTGTACAATAATTGCCACTATGCAATCGAAAGCACTTCAACTGCTTTGGGATACAGGTGCATCATCTCCTCTGCATGCTGCCATAAGCAAGTCAAGAAAACTGTTTCCGGTGCAAGCGTCCGGCTTAGATACCAGGTGCGTGGACTGCTTACTAATACACGAAGGACAATCTTCATCTGCGTAACGGTTCAGATTCCAGAAGATTAACTCAAATCGTTTACTTTCTGGAATGAAAATAACTAAGATTTGCCAGTGAATAATTTTTGGTTGTGCACTGTGCACCAGTCAGTTACTGATGCATTAATTAATTGAAATTGCACAGTAGTCCAATAATTATTTCGTTTCGGTTTTAAGAGAACATTTTTTACAACAGGAATGCATTAATTGTAATAACTTGTATTCAGTATCTAAATGTTTAGATCGGGAGCCGTAACCGACATCGCACAGATTCTGCAAAATAACGCTGAAAGCATCTTGCAGTTTCTCCAGCAGACTGCCGCATTATCACAACAATATGCTGAATATATTTACACAGTCGTCCAACATGCGCTGATCGCCTTGCAAGGTACGGTAAAAATGGTGAATACTGAATTGCAGTATAACTCGAATTTAACGGCAAGTAGAAAAACATATTAGAGCGACACTCTTACTAGTGGCTTTTTTTGCACGTGATAATTTTAATCAATAATGAGAACATTACTGCCAGCATGTCCTGTTATTCTCTAGGTCTGGGCGACAATATTTTCCAATATGGAGAAGCAATCCTCCAGCAGTTACTAACCACTTTGTCCAATTCGAAAGGTCAGTCTACAGTTGCCTAAACAGAGCTCCGTGCTTAATTTTATCTTTCTGCATGGTGTGCGGTGGAATAATAAATATTAACTTTGCAGTGAGCCGAGATGGCAGCGCACGAATTCCATGGTTGATTCAGCTAGTCATCAATGCGCTGACGTCATCCGCGCAGTTCCAGGGACTTGTAGCACAAGATCCCGTCGTGCAGTGCATCGAGGTGCACGGCATTGAGTGCAACACCGCCCTGGTCATCGGTCTGATGGAGAACAATCAAGCACTGGACTTCCTGTATCTGCCCATGGTGCAGGACTGCTTGACGGCCAACGGTGGCATGCAGAATTACGTCCAGACGTCGCCGGTTGTTGGATGGGCGTGGACCATTGCCGGCCAACTCAGCGCCACGGAAGCGGTGACACAGGCGGTTCTGGAGCATTTGGGTCATGACCTTGGCAGCCAGGTTAACCAGTGGTTACTCAGTCGCCCGGTAGGTTTGTCAGCTGCATATTTGCTTAATGTTGTACAACACCAATAAAATTAAAGGCGGCAGTGCTTTTTGTGGCTAACACTTAACTAACTGTCTTTATAATAACCGTTTTTGCTTAGAAAACCCGCTTTGTTGATCTTCTGGATATCCCGATCCATCTGATCGACACCAAGACCGCTCTGTTACCGGCTATTGCCAGTCAGTTTGCACAGGTGGAAACCGTCATTCAAAACTTTATTCACGAAACGATTGGCCAGCTCAACGACGTCCTACATTTGGTGGTGGATGAATTTGTGGAGTTTTTAAAACCACTGCAGCAGGTACGCTTGGTTATATAATATACCTAGTACCTACGGCTTACGGGTACTTCATGAAATCTCTGGTTTATTGTCTCAGATGCACAACTGTATGTGGTCGGTAACTGTATCTGAAAATGCTGATAGCATCAACAGTGTGAAAAAAATTCCATTGAAGTTATTGTGCGCTGAATTGCCTAAACTTTAACTTTACGTTGTCTTTGCAGTATTTCCCCACACTCATCCAGCAGATCACTACCCAACTGAATACCTTATTTTCTGGACAACTTGACTCGAAGTTGAAAAACAAGAAGCACTAGCTAGGATTCGAAATTCTTCTAACACTCTGATTATTGCAATACATTTGATGAATCGAATACGTACTGGGTTTTGTGATCGAAGGTCACTTGACTAGTTGGACTGAAATATACACCATATGTCACAAAACTGGAAAATCTGATGCCCTTTGTTATGTGACTATTGTGAATTTGTTTTATTGTGCGAGTATGGCCTTGGTTAACGGCTAAAACCACGCCTGACAAGAAATCTGGGGCCAGATAAATCTATGTTTGTAGTAACTCTCCCTTGAAATGCCTATAGCATGTATATTACAGTATGCGGTTCACAGTCGCAGTTCGTTTCGGTGCAAAATTATGAACATATATCCCGCACAAAAGCATTGCGTCCGCCCTGTGGCGACAGCAGTATACCAACATTGAATCCGCAAGTAAAATTTTGAGTTCTGCAAAATGCCATTTTAAAACCGATAATTTACAGGAGGTTTTCTGCATTTTTATGGCCTTGTAGAATTCGATTAATATTGTTGGATTTCCCAGTATTTGTTATACAAAAACCGTTTGCGGGTTATATTTATAATATTAGGGCTTTTTTGAAAGACCACGATGTAGAACTCGTGAAAAACAAAGCCTTGTTATGGTATCCAAGAGCAAGTAGTAGTTCTCATAGCCAGACGCATGTACGCGCGCTCAGGTTTGCGCGCGAGCTAGCACCATGACGAGCCTTTTCCAACATCGTCATTCTTCCTTTCACTTCCTCTGACTTTGTGCTTCATGATGATCCACTTACCATATAACTCTGCCAATCATTCATTTGGGAAAAAACTTGGATTTCCAGGAACTACGTTAAACTGCTGACTCAATTTTCTTTAACCCGGACGATTGCCATCAGGTAAAACTGACTATACTAATTGTTATCGGTTAAACCTCATACTGGAAAATTTATTTTAATTTTTCTAAGTGTTTAGAATAAATGTTTTGTTTATTTTTGCAAAACAATTGCACATTCAGTGAAATTATGAATAACTACGTATGTGAAATTAGGCAGTTTCATGCGGAGACCACCCTCTTTTTTTGATTGGTCAAGCATATTTCAGCTCGTTCATTTCTGTTCACTGGCAATGTCAGTGAACAAGCAGCTGCCGTTGCAAGGTTTAAGTCAGTTGATCAGTTTTGAACTTTTTAGCTACGTCCGCCATTTTGCAGGTCTCCAAAATATTTCACACTTATTCAGGATTTTCTTTTCAAAACGTTGGGTTTTTTAAAACAGTTATTTTAATAAGGCAGTAGAACAACACTTTAAACATGAATCGTACTTTGCAGGTGCTTTCGACAACACGGATTTCCAAGTCTTTCAGCCTACGCACAGTGAAAAAGAAACGTCCCTTACGGGTAAGTTATTACGGGAATGAAAACAGTGTTACTCCGTGTTTTTAAAAGTTATACGAAGTCTGCAACAATATTTCGAAATATTGTTCATTCTTTCATAGGTGGCGCCAGTTTTGCTAATGCCAGCAAACGTCAAGCGCCTGCGCTCCAGTGCCTCCACACTGTTGTGGTTTGAAGTGGCAGCAGTAACCTGTCTACTCCTCAAACGGTAAGCTTCTTTGCGTTCCAGTTTATGTGTTTTTTTAAAACGTAAATTTTGGAATTCCGGAATCTTAGTGATTAATGAACGGTAGACGCGCGAGAGATGCTTAGTGTTATTCGTTTGCATTTGCTCATGTTGCAGAAAAATATCTGAGTGACTCTTGGATATCCATAATACTTAAGAGATGATTTAACAGTGGAGCAACTTGAGGTACGCAAAATAATTTTTTCTAAAAAATCTGGTTGTGAATAGAAAATAAAATTATAAGTTTTCTGTGGTTGGATAATTTAACCACAGAGAACTTGCAGATTTTGAATTTTAGTTACAGACATTTTAAAATTTTTTTATTTATGCACGTATTCTTTTTGCAGGTTTTATACGCAAACAGCAAACGCCGTCACAAGTCACATAGCGATTAAATTCATGTTAAGTTTGGATTTCCAGATTTTTATAGTGATTGATCTTATTACAGTGCTTTTTATAGTGTTTTTATTAGCTGACGCTGAAAAGGGTGCAATCAGTGTAGGGATGCTTATTTCTTCAGTTGCTACGTTAGCAAATTGCTTCAAAGCTCTTAGAAATCCACAAATGATAAATAAAAAAAATAAGTCGTGTGTATTTATGTGCTTTTGCCGTTTGCAGGACGAAGTTTGCCTGAAAATACTCGGACTTCCAAGAAGATTTCTAAAACGATCGTACGGCAGCACAATGTAAGAACAAATTTTAGAAAATTGTTTCCCTTGCGATGATTTTAAGGTTTATCAAATAAATAATTTATGGTTATTATGGTTATTTTTAATTTAATTTAAAATAAGATCATGATTTTAAAAGCAGTGTGCTATACAGCGCGCAACATTCTTCTGGGTCCGATGCAAGCTCGCAAAATAGGAGCGCTATCATCGCTACGATTCAAAAATTGTTCTTGGATTTCCCAAATTTCCTGATTGAAAATGTTAGAGGAAGAATAAAAATCCGTTTGTGATAAGTACTTACGTTGAGTTAGCATTTCTCATGATTTATTTAATTTTAGATTTTATGGAAAATTCTGGGAAAGAGGCTGCGCCGGATTTCGGGGACTGAAAAAATCGCTGGAAGAGGATTGTTTTCGATGGTTTAATTTGGATATCCGTGTCTGTTTGCAACCTCCAGAATCTATAAAAATTTTCAGTAGATCTTGGCCGTGCTCTGTTTTTATTTCGGTAAATAATTTAAAGGATTTCCAAACTTGCTCTTCGTTTCAGAATTTTTTGTTCGGTATTTTTAGTTCTTAGGTAAACCTATTTTTTTTGTGTAGGGAGAATAAAAGTGTGCTTTGCGTACGGTGATGGTGGTACAGACTATCCATAAATTATAGTACTTCCCTGAACTGCAGTACCAATGCATTAAAAAAGGTTTCTGTTGCGCAAATGCGCCGTATATAAGTCGCAATTAGTCCGCATATCATCCCGTAAAAACATACCGGAAGTCCCTAAAACGCGCCTTTGCGACACTTCCGCTGCAGTTTTGAGATGACCAACTCACTACAAAAATTCCACACTGGGATTTGCGTAAATTTTATTGTAAATAAGCCTAAAATTGATGGATTTTCAGCAATTACTTTCATACGGGTATAGCATTGTATTTTTTATTTACGGGCCAGGTTAGCGAATAAATCAGTAAAGCAAACTATTTAGTGCCGCAGCGATCTCATCAAAAGCATTTATGATCGAATTGTTATCCTTGCTTTAATGTTGGCGGTAAGCTTTTCTACTATCTGCGGCAAATTTAGTGCGATTATTACAATCCAAGGTTATCATTTCACGTGCTATTATTAATTTTATTGGTTTGATATGATTAGCTCACTGGAAATCAGACGATTATTGTACCAACCGGCAGTTCTAAGGCAAAAATTGGTTTACAAATCAGCTGCCACTATCTCATTAGCACACTTCCAAGGGCAAACTGAGCTCAGGTCACGGCGTTCCCGAAATTTAAAAAAATGAAGTCTATTCTTGCCATCGCCCTTTTTGTCATCGCCTGCGCCGGCCTGGGGGAAGCGTACTTCTCCGGAGGTATACAAATTGTATTATTATTCTTAATCCTGTACGAGTACTGTAAATTACTTTTGTCAGAACCTGCGTTTTTTGGCATGCTGGTGATGACACGATTGTGAGTTGTAGCGCTGAAGCCTGTGCTGAAAGATGCCCTTTTGGAAATGCGCCAGGAAGTCTATCAGGCATTTAACACCGATGCCCGGTCGGACAACAACAAAGTCGCCGAATTCGTAGCGGCTCTGGTGGACGAAGAAGGCAATAAACGGGTGCAACTTTTTGAGAACTATGTGCAGGAATATGAAAAGATGACCCAAGAAGCTAACGCCATGCTCCACAAAGCCACTGAGCCTCTGCGCAGTACGTACAGACAAAATTGTCGAAAAACGCTCAAAAGTTTGAGTATATGTACGGTAAGCCTGAACATCCGTCATGAGATTCCGTATTTAGACCCGCCAATGGAAAAAATCAACTATGCTGCCCTGGTTGCGGAAGAAGTCATCGGCCTGATGCCAAAAATTAAGGGTTTGCCACTAAGATTTTGGCGTGTTCTACAGGTATATTGCTGCAAATACACCTTCGTTTGATTCTTTTAGAACTTAACGCTCACGCCCAAGTTGCACTGGACAAAGCAAAAAACATTGCCATTGATTTCACCCGGATGAGCATGTTTAATGCTGTTTCTGCACGAATGGTCGATCTTCAGGTAAACGACTAGGGTATAGTTATTGTATTTACCCGTTTATTTGTTTGCATTTTGTTAGATATAAGTACGGTAACATGCAGGCAAATGTTAGTAATAAGTTGTACCTCTTGCATATCACATATCAGCTTTCAATAACGTACAAAAGCAAACAAAAGCCGAACTGAAGAAAGTTATTAAAATCAGATTTTCACGAAACCGTATAAAATTACTGCTAACTTTTATATTAATTGATTTTGCTTTGGGTTTTGATAGAGCCGCGGTCTTCTGGGCTGGATTGCCGATGTGATTACCGGTGGACCAACCTGGATTATTAACAATCTAGCTACACTTGCTGCCACGATTATGGTAAGACGTCGGATCGCATGACGCAATGCACTCACATATTCGGCGAAAATAAAATATTTATATAAAGTATTGTCGCTATCCCGTGATTCGAACAAGCTATCCTCGAAGTTTTTATCATGCTAAATTGCTAAATGTCTTTCTGTATGTTCAGCCCGACAGCGCTTTAAGCATCTACTTCGTTCAAACGATCGCTCAAACCATCGTCGATAATTTGGCCTCGCTGGGCAGCACCATCACGGAGGCGGCTGCTGTTAACCTGCTGGCGTTTTTGGGACCTTTCAAAGAGGTAGATGCTATGCACATTTTCGTAATGTTTGATTACAGAAAACTACGACTTGCCGCAAGCATCCTATTATACGACTTAATTTTGTAGCCACTCGGTGACCTTTACGACCAAATCGTCTTCTCCCTCCAACAGACCTTTCCATGGATTTTTAAATAAACATACGAACACTTGACAACCAGAAAGGTCGCGGCATAGAAATAAATACATGCCGTTCAAGAGCAAATCGGTGTAGTTGTAATTCTTCCAACCAAATTAAAAGTACTGTCAACAAAATTAATGCTATAACACGGCAGTAAATCGGAAAAAAATTGGTGCAAATGAAGAAGAAAAAAAGCGAGTCACAAACTGGGTTATCAAAAATTTGTCAAAATCAGAGAGTAATATTAACAAAAACGTCTGAAACACAAGGTTTGCGGTGCTGGATATCGTTGCTTATAGGCCAATTCCGCTTGGCGCTGGAATTCCCAGCTCCTAAAAACAGCTCCATAAATAATATTGTGCTCATTGCGCGGGTGATTCTCAGGAAGAAAAAAAACTTGCGCGGGTGATTCTCAGGAACCGCAAAAAAACTTGCGCTTAGTTTAAAATAAAGAATATATTACCAGCTTTTCATTCTTGAGCGCACGGGAGTACCATTCCAGCTGATTGAATAAAATCGTGGACATTTTCTGCATTCTGGTGCGTCTGGACAACACTTCGCCGTTTTCGTTCAAAACTTGCTCCACCATAGGAATCACTGCAACATTCACCCGAGCAGCATTGGTAAAGATCAATTAAAAGATTAAAAAAACAGCAGCCCTGATTAATGTATTACTGAATATATGGGGCAAGGATATGGTGGTCAGATCGGACAAGAACTGGCGCAGGTGAGACCCGGCGCGCATCCCACCAAAATTCCCTGTAAAAATAATACTGTAAAACCACTTAATTAAATTACACAATGCACAACGGTTAAGTCTGGCAAAATATATGTATCAAAAGAAATAAACATTTAGAAGACAATGCAACAAGGTACGTCAGGTTAGATATTATCTGATATTACAGAAAAATATAAATAGTAGTAAAAGGTACAAATTTACTTCTACAGATAGATCACGTAATCCAAATTTAGTTGTCAAGAAAATTTATGGATATTAAGCATACAAAAAATGCTGTATTCAGAAATTTTTTAATTCAAATACGCGGTGTGCCAATGCTTCCTTTCCACATTCCACCTACCGAGAGAGTACGTGACAATAGCTGACGGGCGGTATGCGAAGGATACCGGTGGAATATTATCCATCATACTGCACAAGGCAGGCGGCAAAGTGGCATTGTACTCGGGTGAAATAATGATAAATCCATCCGCTTCTTGTATTTGCTTATTGATTTCTAACACATTGGCTGGAGCTTCGCTGGGATCGGGCATGAACGCTAAGGGCGAGATCACCTGGCCCAAACCGACATCCAGAGGATCTACAGTACATAAGCACTGAGAAATGTAATGAATATGTTGAACATATACTTAGCATATTTTCACAACACTTATGCCACAGCGTAAACAATTACATCTATCGATTGGTTAATGATTCGGTATAGCCCCACTTCCAGTGCATATTTATTCAGCTTTCCTGTTGCAGTCTCCTGGTCAATGCGGTGACCGCAACCAGTAAGAAACAGAAACTTAATTCTCAGAAAACGAAGTTTTTTGCCTTAATACTATTGATATGCATCGTTCATACGCTTTTAGCTGGGGTGCACATTGCACAATATGCATTGGGTAATCTGAAGTACATAAATAAAGGTCGGAAGCTGTATTGCAGTACGGCAGATTGCTAATGTCTTACCGATAATAGTGATGTTGTGATTTCGTTCTTCCAGCAGTCGTCGAATATATTTACCGACACGTGTGGCCATGCGTCCTTCGCGCGAACTGCCCAAAAATACCACAAAATTCAGCGAATCCATTTCTGTCACCTGGCGCGGCATGATCGTGTTGTCGTGGATGCCGGTGATAGCGGCGAAGGTTGAGATTTAGAAAACCTTCGAAGAGTTCTGGAAAGCAAACAGACTGAGGCGCTAATAGGTTACATCAGTGCAGTTAAGAGGCAATAGAATACACCACACCGCTGAGAAGAAATACCTACGCCCGCCTCTTATATTACCTGCATCATGCATGCAACCAAGCCGAACTACCGTCCGAGCGCACAAATCCACCTAACGAGATTAATAAAGGTGTCAGAAATACAATGTGCGGTTCATCTATCACGTACTGACGCGGAGAACATCGCGTGCCGGTGGAATCTGAAGAGCGGGATTAACTGTTCCTCCACACATGCACAAGGGAGAGAATGCCGGTATCCCTGCCTTTATCAGGTGCATGTGTATCGTAGGCTTTTCTGAGATCCAGCTGATCGATCGATGAAGGGATCGCTCGTTATTTCCTGCAAATCGTACTTAAATTACGTGGTCATACCAGAATTCGAAATGAGCAGTAAGCATGTGTCGATACTACAAATTTGTAAGAGGCGAAAAAGATGATTACGTAATGCTTTTCAACCTTATCTCACGAAAACAAACAGCTGGCAGAAGAAAAAAGAAACATATTAATACACAATATACAACAGTAATTTTTGTTGCTGCAGAATAGGTCACCGCGAAAAAAATAAATTTTGTCGGTTTTGTAACTGCGCCCTGGAAGTAAACCGGAGTCGCTGGTCGGTTTTAAACAGGTTCACACTTGATCGCTGGTCCGAATATGGTACAGCAACAAACCCGTATTAAATTTCAGTTTTCGAAAAACCACACTGTACAGTATAATTGAACGAAACCAAACCGGGACAACTATTCACCTTGAAGTAAATACTGTACACGGCCAGTATGCATTATAAAGGAAACTTGGTTTCCAATTCTTCTTTCAGTTTTATGATCGACGACTCAATATTTCGGTGAAAACAGTCATTTCACCAATGAGAAAAAAAGGGGGATTTAAACTCCACAAATGTATCTCGAGATACTCATAATATTTCCGAAACCCATGTTTCACTAAAAAAGCAAACTTGATTTTAGAACCGTATTAAGTACAAATATGTTACTCGCGCATAACGCACAAGTTTCGTAGGAATTAAGAAAGATTACAAAACGGCTCATGTGATAGTCTCATAACTTTCCGTGTTATTACTGTATTTATGGGAACAAATCAAGATTTAAGATTATGTTTATTTCACTGTTTTTGGAAGCACAATTCTTTTATAATGCTCCGAAAGTACATAACAGCCATTTCATTTACAATTAGCTATATATAAACCTTGTGACCACGCATAAAGTCAACCTGATTTATCTCTAGCCAAGATCTTACCATAGTTCCCAATACGTGCAAACGCTCTGCCAACAAATTTTTATCACGGTCAAGTCCTTCAGATTGTTCGACGATAGCACACATCGGGCGATTGTTCGTCGATCCATCATTAACGGCAGCAACGGCAGCATCGCCTCCATAAGTACTTTCACGCTCAGTTCCGTCTGAAAAATCATTTAACTGCAAATCGTTTTACCACTTTACATCGTATAAGTTGACGTCTGCAACTTGCTTAATATTTTGCATTGAAATGGGCAAAATAATCCTCGATGACCCATCCGAATTCCGCCCGGAACCCATCCACAGTGACCTTCAGCTGAAGTTCACCCCGGAAGCCAAGCCAACCGAGCAATTCCGCGATTACACTGCCGCCAACCAGTATTTCGATCGGGTAAAGAAAACCTACCTGGACATTCACACCCATCAGACCGTGCAGTTTGTGGAGCGAAAGATAGCGGAATGGGGTCGCTTCGACCGTTGCAAGATGACCATTATGGAGGCACTGGATTTGTTGAATGCCATGGTGGATGAGAGTGATCCGGATATCAATCTGCCCAATATCGCTCATGCTTTCCAAACAGCCGAACAGATTCGCACAGTATGGCCGGAACACGACTGGTTTCATCTCACCGGCTTGATCCATGACCTGGGCAAGGTCATGGCGGTCTGGGGTGAACCGCAGTGGGCCGTTACCGGCGACACTTTCGTGGTTAGTAGTAACAAACGTCTCAACATTTACGAAACTGAATTATTAAATAACAATCCTCATTTCAAAAACCTTATTCTGAAATAGATGATTTGACGAAAAGGTAGTAGTATCGCTAATTGCAAGTCTAAAAAGTGCAGCTAATACTAGGTGTATTGTAGCTAGTTAGCTTGCTTTAATTCCCTACGGGTTGAATGTGCGTATTAATTTTGGCACCCTCATAAAACTAGATTTGGTCGTGGTGATTTGTTTACATAAGGATTCAAGTTATTCGGCTGCTATGAAAAGTAGAATCAGTGAAAAGCAGTATACATATCTTTTCACTTTGATTGCTCGTATTGCTTACTGCTACTACTCTGTTCTAGTACTTGCCTGGCCATTTGGCGCGCAATGCATTTTCCTAAAGAGAGCAATAAAATTACTTCTCTAAGCAATATCTGTTAGCTAGCAGATAATCAAAGATTTTTATCAAAAGCGACATTTGTGTAACCAAATGATCGCACTGACTTTTTATCCGCACTGTTACTTAATTTTTTATCATTTTGCGCTCATTGTTCATTTTTTATCAAGAGCATCTTTACTTGTACGTGCTTAGTTATTCATTGCCCTGCGGGTGTGTTCATCACGTAATTATTGTTTCGCACTTTTTCAGGTTGGTTGTGAATTCGTCAATTCAATCGTATTCCGCTCGGACACGTTCAACCATAATCCGGATGGGTGCAATCCAAAGTACAACACAAAATACGGAATGTACCGGCCGAACTGTGGTCTGGAGCAGATTAAACTCTCATGGGGCCATGACGAGTACTTGTACCGAGTTCTCGTGCACAACAAGTCTACGCTGCCCAAGGAAGGCCTCAGTATGATCCGTTTTCACTCTTTTTATCCTTGGCATACCGGCGAGGACTACATGCACCTGTGCAACGCCGAAGACATGGAGATGCTCAAATGGGTGAGAGAATTCAACAAGTTTGACCTTTACACCAAATGCGAACGCTTTCCGGACATTGAGGCACTTAAGCCTTATTATCAGGCGCTTATCGACAAATACATGCCCGGGAAACTGGAATTTTGATAATGAGTGTCGGAATCCAATGTAAGCAGAAAAGATCGATAAAACAAACAAAAAAGCAGCGTTTTTGAAACACAAGTAATCGTACTGTGCGAAGAAATCCAGATATAAAATCTTTTGACTTTCGTAAACCCGCTTCGCCAGCTATTTAACTGTGGAATTATGCCTGTACTGTTTAATAATTTGTTGTGATTAATTTTTACAACACAACCGAACTGAACAATATTCGATGCACTGTGCCTGAAAATCAGGAAATCAATAAATTCGGTGCGGCGTAGTTACGAAGCCAAAATACTACTCTGTAAACTAATTTTTTACAGTTATCAACGGTAGATTATGGGCTACCCTCGCAACAATGTCCAACATTATCATTTTAATCGAAAATGGTCATAAGCCAAAATCACAAACGATTCCAGTGAACATAAGGATCGCAGATTATCCGCTTAAGATCAAGAACAATGACTCGATAACGCAATTAAACTATCAAAGGCACCAGCGCTCGCGTATGCCTCTGTGCGTAAATGCACAAAACCATGAAATGTCTAATGACGAGATGACAACCACACAACTAACCAAAAAATACAGTTAATAATATTCAATTTCATTTGGAAAAAAACTGCATTCGGGCAGTTTGAGGCGGTTTGAATCGAACATTAAGTAAATTATTACACGACCGATCCGTCCATTACCCAATAATGCCACACAGAAAACAGATAAAACCACTCCCCAATCGTTCTGTATGCAACCCGAAAGCGTAAGGATGCGCCAAGAATTATAAAAATGAAAGGAAATGTCAGTAATCCCAAATCGATGCATTAGTTTCCATAAAAACTGCAACAAAAACGTACAAACATATATATAGGTTACAGATTCAAAAAATGGGTATTCGTAAAAAACCAGACTCAAAACTGTCGAAAAATTTGTACACAAATGACTCGATTTCTCAAAAAGAAATTAAGCATAAGCTTAGAAGCAGTTATTGAAACCGTCATAACAGCAAGCTGCAAAAAACAACCGACGACCATAAATCACAAGCAAAAATGTTGACGAGGTTCTACTCGAAGTGATTGTGAATACTAAAAGCACTTGTCTGATATTCATTCGTATATTGACCTTAAGATGAATTAAGCCTTGAATTCGAAGATAGGAGATGTTTCCCAAAACGATTTGGAAGAACACTTACCTTGTGTCAGCCCTTTAAATTCCATGCAAACATTAAGGATATCACTAAAACGTAGTATTTTCGGGAGGTTGTGGTAATTTCTGATTTTCCTTAGCGGCCATCATTCGTCGCAGCTCTTGTAAAACGGTCTTGATAGTATAGGAACGCTGCCAACGTGATAATATGGGCACGACACGCCGATCCACCTAACCACAAGAAAATCCCACATCAATGTAATTCCAGCCACTGTTCAGAAGCGGAAATCTTCCCTACCATGCCCGTATTACTGTGCACACCCGTCATATTGATTCTGGTGACAAATCGAATGGAAGGCGGTTCATCTGGATATTTATCACCACATTCCACGCGTAAACTGTAAATCCGGTTCTCGAACACGGTCTGCAAATTAATGCAAAAGTGAACCAGTGAACGCCGTCTACCGACACAAAACGAAATTAACAATCAAACAACTTAATTCACAATTACACATGTGGGTGCACACTTACTCTAGGAGGTCCCAAAATCATGCCATTCCATCGTGACAAACTCATATCATCATCCGATTCCAAACCCCAGCTGATCGTTCCATCACCTACACCTTTCTGGCCCTGCTCCAGTTCGTCCAGTAAGCGGAAATTCCGAGGAACAACCGCACCACCTGCAGCTGCGCCTGAAACAATCGCAGGCCGTCAACCTAGTTCAAAGCTATAAAGAACTTATTTAATTCTTCAAAGTTTATCTGCTTGCCAGAAATGATTAGAATACTAAAAATCCACTAGTTATTTCTTGAGCAGCTGATGACAAGATAGTCAGAACCGTATGGAATCCGGCAGAAATTTCTTAAAATTTTTTTTAAATCACACGCAAAGAACATAACATTTTAAATTTTTAATCATCTAATGTCATTAGATTAGATTCTAATCACCACAAATAAACGCTGCTCTTTTCAGAGTAAGACAACATTTAACAAGGGATTAAGCTGAATTATTGACCGAACCAAAACCCATGGTACTAAACTATACAACCTCTACAGAAAATTTCCCAGAAACCCGAAAATATCGTACGTCTTTTACCTGCTCCAGGAGGACTTGCCATATTCGCGGTCAATGGAATGAACGCGCACCCCCCTATAAATTAGAAATTCAGTTACTGATAATGAAAGTATTATTATGAAACGTACCCTACAATAAATTTAGAATCGAAATAAAACAAGAAATCGGAAAGAACATATAATATTTGGAGATAACCCGTGAAGGTTCATGGAAATCAGCTAATTTGCACAAAATCGCAAACTATTACTTACTACCGTATTAGAGTGTCTGCAGCCGTTATGGAAATCACTGCGCCTTTTCACAGGCCCTGTACATTTCGTGCTGTAAAGGCTGGTAATGTACATGGACACAGTCGACTATTTAAAGCTTTCACGAACCACAACACTGCCGTCAACAAGATTTACCACCAAAACTGTCCCAACTTTTCAATAAAACGATTACAGATACCAGTTGCGGAAACGAGTTCATTATTAAAAATTTGCATTGCTTCGACTATCAAATTCTTCTGAGTTAGAAAACCAACAATGTACCGTTATCTTGAGGATGAGTGTCCCACGAAAAGAGCCAGCAGGCAGGCTGAGGCAGCAGAAATTCAAGCTCACTGACAAGGTTTCGGTAATTTGGTGTCGCTTTCGAATCAGCCAAGTGCTTTGCAGCAACTAACAGTAAACAAAACTTCCTACAATGGCTGCTCCAAATTGTATAAAACGATTTTCGATAAAAATTATTAATTATACCGTATACCGAAGTGTCCGGAGTAGCCACCTTGAACCTATCAATATTCAAAGCGAATAAATGTTGAGTTCCACTTTCGGGAACGAGTTGCCGTAGATAGATAGCTCGGAATAAAATAGAACAGCACCATAAGTCGCCCGCTGGCGGTTAGCATAACTGAAGACAAGCCAACTCAAGCATTCAGGTAACAACCTACGCAAGTGGCGGTTGTCGTATTTCATTTTGCCAGCACATTTTTTGAAATTTGAGTTTCTGTTCGTGTTCTTAAATGTATGAGTAAATCTTATTCGAAGTTATCTTTTTTTCTAGAAATTAAAAGTAAGGTTATTTTCTTCCGAAGCACCTGCTGCTCGAAAATTAAGAATGTCAGTTACTCTGAACGCTGAACAACTTACCCAGGTTCTTCCAACGCTTAGATCATTCCACCCGAAGTCATTACAGGTAAGAGATATCCCAGATACGATAATATTGCTGGGCCGCTAGTACTGACGCACAGTCTTACTACTTTCGTACGCCTCTTTTGTTGATATTTGGTTTTCCTAAGTTAATTTTTGAACGTTATTTATAAACTTAATACAGGAGTACGGTAAACACCAGTAATACTGAGCTGAGTTCACTGTCATCTTCATTGTTCGTTTTTCGCTCTGCAGATTGAAGCCATGGTCAGGAATCATTTATCGGGAATCTGTGCATGGCCTGGTGTTGAGTTCGTGGCCGATCAGTTTCCAGATTACAGAGTTATTATCTGTCGTGTGATCAAGAACTCGAAGGTACGGCTCTCTGTTATGCCAGGGCGCTGACGGCGCACTTATTTTTTGTTGTTCTGTTGCAGTCATTGTTGTGCAGCTAACTTGTTCTGTTTGCAGGAATTCGTGGGACGCGCGAGCGTGCCAGGCATTACCCTGCTTTCGAAAGATGACGCAGTATTAGCAGAGATGTTGGCTGATTGTGTTGACTGGAGCACTGAGCTTATTTTTGTAGGTGGGAAGTAGTGAATTTTAATATTTTAGCTCCGTAGTAGGAAATCAAATAAAAACTGTTGTATAGGAGTTATTAAACTGTTGTATAGGCATCCCGAAGACGATATGTCCAATTGTGGAGCGCATAGGCGCAGTCAAAGGAACAATTTCCGAAAATCACGATGACGCATACTGTGTGGCGTTCACATTAGATCCTGCGGAAATGATTTTACGGTACGTTAACAGTGCACACGGTGGCGGTTGTTTGTATTGTAACGGGCGGCGTGTTGCACGCCATATCTTGTGCGTAACGTAACGAAACCTTTGTCATATTGTTCGAATTCAGTCGGATTTCTTTGACTTTTAGTTTCCAGTAAAATAATTTTTTGCGTGTTGTGCAGACCGCTGCCTGCCGGATTCGTGTTAGGGGAACTGTCGGAACACCATGCCGAACAGTTGTGTTCAGAGTGGAAGTATGGCTCGGCTGCGATGCTTCCCTACTTCCAGTTTCTGCTCTGTTCCAACTTTCCTAGCGCTGCAGTATTCGAAGAGGGTAGCGATGTTCCTGTGGCATATGTTATATACAGTCTTGGTGACGGCAGTCTCGGAACCGGTTACGTACATGAGAAGTACCGCGGCAACGGATTGTTCCACATTGTCTGCTACCACGCGGCGCTGAAAATTCGAAACATTGGCCAGGAAATCGTATGGGTATATGTGGAAAAAGCTAACCAGTCATCCCTAAATGCATTCCGAAAAATGGGAGCAAAGATGGTTGACCCTCGAGAATGGTCGATCGATTGGATGATGTATGCACCGAAATTTTGCGACGAAGATTCTAAGGACATTGTGACGTCTTAAACTTTAAATCCGAGTTTCGAAATTCTGGTGAATTGTAATACCGTTGAAATTCAAGGATATTTCCTTACCTGGTGATGGTTTGTGCTGAAAACGTTTAGGTGAAAAACTGAAATACCTTGTTGTGAATTTCTGGTAATTTTTTAAAGAAATAAGTATTTTTCATGAAGGTTTGGAAAATTTTTTCGATTTGTGTTAGATATAGTCTTCCTTTCAGTGATAGTTTCCTAGAATAGATGTGCTCAAAACAGTCCCTGATAGTTTATTATATTGTTGTCATTGCTATAAATGAACGATATTTTGCGAATTGTACTCGTATAATAAATCGCTCCCGTAGCCACTCGTTGTTGTTAATTTACTAATAAACCCTTTGAACGATGTGTACCAAAAGCGACCCGTCACTGTTTGCATTCACCTTTTCATCCCTTTCGGCAACGGTCAGTTACTACACTGCCATGAATGGAATGAATGACCCGTTAAAAAGAAGAAACGAACATTTTACGAGGGTTAACAGTAAATCGGTTGCCCATTTATTAGACCGCTCTGCGTCCTCATAAAAAAGATACTCAGTTAATGGAAAAGTATGTCTGAATGGACTGCAATGTATTAGCGCTACTGATTGGCATGGTGGTGCGTTGTTGCGGCGGGGTTATTAAATGTTTAAAGTGAACTTGCGACAGACATGATGCCGACTGGATACCAGATCCGAAACATGTTCATGACCCTGTTCGGGGTGGTATAATCGTATAAATTCTTCATGTTTTGCACATCTGTCCTCATAAATTTGCACTGCGGGATGCATTATGACCCTATAACAGAGCATTCTCCAGACCCTTGTATTATATTAATTGTACTTCTACGATGCTTCTACGGTTAACGTTGAACAGAACTATCTATAGTTAATAGTTCTATACAATATCTTGCTTGAGTTATAAGGAGTGGAACATAAATTTAGTTAAAACTTTAATGAATCAGTTTTGTTGTAATGTTTACAATTGTTATCTTTGTTTCGGGTGTCTCAGACTCCATTGTTTAAAATTGTTAGCTTTGTTTCATCTCGACTCCATCGTTTCATTCTGATAAAAGCCGTCGCAAGTTGAAATTGCTGTATTTTATACAGTTGAAATTTTTCACAAATTCCGCATTGCTGGAGTTTTCCCTCTGTGTTTAACATAATTTGGAAATATTCAAGCACGAAAGCAGCTTCTGCCACAGTTATATTAAAGGCCAAAAACTACTTACATGCCGGTCATATACTGCATAGTGACACAAACCCAGGAACACTAATTCGTAGGGCGGTAATGTAAATCAGTCCTTAACACAAATTGAATACTTAAATGTAAATGCAGGAACTGATAGTTTTCTGACACTGGAACTTGATTAAGAATTTAAGATACAATTGTTAAGATAAATTTTTCCCCGAGCTGGTAAACATCACACTGGAAACAAAACTGGAATAACTTTTAACTACACATATACTGTAACGGCTAACGAATAAATTATATTGCAGTTTCCAAATATTCTCACTCGTGCTATTCCACGTGCTTGCTTGTCCCGCAGTGCATTAATCATTTTGTAACGTAATAACTGGTTTAGTTCAACTGAAACATAACATTATCGCTCATTACGATACGTTTGTGAATGGTTGGAATTTATAATTTGTACATGTAAATCACTGTCAATGAGAAAAGCGCCCATGGTCAGAGACATGATGACCACCCAACAGCAGCCATCAAAGTGTGCGCTGCATGCATGTATCGAATATTTCTACTTGGCGCATACGCGATTAATTTGTAGTTCCAAGATATCATCAAATTTTTCGGATTTTTACTTTATGTTCAGCATCTTCCGCATGCCATTAGATTACTTGATTTCACGACTAGCACTCCATTAAGGAATAATTAACTGTTCTGTTTTGTATAGGGTACAGCTGAGGACGATTAACTATCGCACCGGTGGCGCACATCACTAAGCTATTGTTTAGTAAAGTGTAGCATAACCAAAGTAAACATGTCAGTGAAAGATTTCTCATGCATGAGCGGGACCGCACACAGCTTCCTTTTGCTTAGTCGATTTGATTAAAGCGTAAACGAATTAATTAAAGAGACCGAATGCCAGGGAAAACCTGTTAATCATCAATGAGCTTGTTGACTTTCCTGCCTGACACCTCGGGATACTGATACCCGAGCCTCGGTTGATAATCACTACTATCAATTAACAGACTGTCGCACTGTCACATCGCCGAAAGATACCGAAACAGGACACGCACAACAGCCTGGTGACCTTAATTGTCCTAATTAATGCAGCCTGTAAAAAAACTGCTTCCCTGGTGTTTCACGCTGGTATTCCCATATGAGATGTCGACTGATGAATGTTGTTCAGTTCTTAATCTGCTATAATCTGAACGTGTAATATTACTGTAATCGTTTTATATGTACCGTACAGTGCACGCCTTACAATTAATTACGCTTGGCCGAATGAAACTCGAAAATTTCTATAAGGGATATTCAAAATTTTAAACTGAAGTACTTTACACGCAGCCTTCTAAACGCAGGTTAGGCAGCTAACGTAAGAGAGTTTTACACGGCATTGCAGCCTTGCAGCCATGGTAGAAGAAAATGCATTAACTTTCCGGTAAACCTCAAATCATCGCAGTCACCACAACCTACTTGTACAATGTAACGTCATTAGATCGGATTCTGGTCTTATTATTTTTGCCCGGAGCATGACATAAATGTGAAATGTACGTACCGACAAGGATGTACCGAGGGGTCTGCCACTACCTGAATCTGCAGAATGAATTTTCAGATGGCCAAATAGTTATATAATTATACTTTAGGACTTCATAAAGAAATAAATTATGTTTCTCACGTTTGTCTGGTTGGAATTCTCAATTTCAAAATCTTTCGTCTCCGAAAACGACGGGCGTGGATGCCGGCACACTTTTCATTTTATCTTCTGACAACATGGTCCGACTCGGATACCACAAATAATATTCTGGCCCACAATATACCAACACGAGTACGGAATCGCGCACACAGCACAGAGATTCACATAAAATTTTTATTTTTTAAACAACAATGTCAATTTGTTCATAAGCATATGCATGTATTAACAATAATTTCCCAGAATTGCAATTCACAACACTGATCATGAACAACAGAGATCGCTCGCAATTATATCAACTTACAGTACATGGCCGCAAAACCGGGCTGGAAAACTCAGATGTGATATTTACAATAAGCACCGATGTGATATTTACAACTTACAACTCAGATGTGATATTTACAATAACTTATTGATATTTACAATTTACAATATTTACAACTGCAATAAGCACCTATTGTACTAATATTGATTTACACACTAAACTTATAAAAAGGTAAATGTACCCGTTGAAACAGTTGGTGATTTGCGAGCAAGCTATCAGGAAATTAAAAATTTTGAGGGTAAAGTTATTAGAGAGACAATAGCTATTTATGCAATTTTCGTGTCCTAGCAGTATCCGTAACAGCAATATGAAGTTAACCCGGAGGCGGTCGTGTAGCAATTAGCGATAATGCCACACAGCGACACAGGTGATGAGGCAGTGTCGTATGTGTGCTAACGTATTTATGTCAAAAGGACATTAACAACGCAACGTTGATTGCCGCTAACGATCTTGTAAATTCTTATACTACTTGCACAATTATCGTCTAATGTCGCTGGAGATTAATATTTCTGTAGCTGCTCTGTTTATTTGCCGGTCTAGCCAATGCAATCGTAAATCGTGCACGTCGACTTTAGTAACTTTACCATAGCTCTCTCTATTTATGCGGTAGGCGTAATTTAATTCGCCAGAGTGTACTTAGAATTGTAAACTTTTCCCTGCGAATTTCGTAAACTAATCCAGTGCACTCGACCGATAGTTCATTCATTTGGTGCAAAATTTCTTGTTACAGAGTTTATGCTGGACTGGATCAAATTATAGGAATATGATGCCGTAAACCGCGCGGCAACAGATCCGACGTAACACATTATCGAGCAACAATTTACCAGACTTTGCACTCGATCCCAACGACACACCTCACTGTCGACAAACAAGAGATCTTTCTTGCACATCCTCGCAGTTATGGGATATTCAATATCGATTCATAACCCCACTTGTCAGTCGCCCATTATTTTTGCATGCTTTCGAGTGCGACGTGTCAAGTACTGGCAAACTAGCAGATACACAGCGAAACGTGAACACATATCAACGTAGTCATATGCATGAGGAGGAGGGAATAAAATCTAACTGACCAATGGCCATCGGTCGGTCCACCTGATTTGCAGGTATTTTTATGGTTCCCGGACCACTGTAGCACATTGGCCATGGAGGCGGTAATTTTGACACATTTACCAATCAGCGGCCGAAACATGATTTCTGCAAGTAATTAACACCTTCACTGAGGACCGGATTTTACAGCACAGTTGGCGGTCGCACTGCCATATTTCTGAATTGTTCCAAGAGGCGAGCGCGCATAACAGCTGACAGTTGCGTTTATTGTATTTCTACGACTTGTCAAGAAACTTGTCGTGCTACTTTACAAGTTGAACTCGATAAACTGCCATCCATAGCGAATTTTTCCTTCACCGATTTTTGAGATTGTGTTATGTGCTGTGTTACACTGGAGCTGGGCAGGAAAAGACAGTTTAACATGATCATCGTTTGACAAGATCGAATCAACTGTGGAGTACGCAAAGAGATCGAGTGCAAAACCCATTTATCTTGATGGTTCCCTTTCCTAACGTTCGTCCTCCACAATATGTGCCCTTTTCTAGCTTAGCACAGCGTTAGCGCTGTTGGCGCTGCTGTTGCCAGTTGTACGCTGTGCATGCCGTGCTGTTTTCAACAAGGTCGTTGAGTGTGGCAAATTTAGCCTGCGGTAGCTATCGACAGCTACTATTTTTTTGCGCCCTTGTCCGCCACAACTCAGCGTAGTTATCTGGTACACGCGCCGACAACAGCCGTACCAATAAAGTATCTTTCGTAATTATTCGACATATCCAATAGCGCAATGGAACCTAATTTTTCGTCAGCACAATTGACCGGTGCCAATCCGAAGCCGAAGAAAAAGGTCACCGACTTCTCCATTAAGGCCATCATGGCTGAACGGGATGAAATTGTCAAAGAAGGTAAATAATATAGCAGAACACAGCCTCTTAAATTTCCATTTTTTGTGGCGTAAAATTGTTATGATTTGCAGTGAAAAGTGAGAAAATCACCGCATTCCGTAAAGTCAAGTCGCCTGTCAGTCCTAAATCGCGAGATTCCATAACACCGCTATCGGTTTCCGAAACCCCAGATACAACAACGTCAGACGATGTTTTGCCATTAGCCACCGTTTTTAAAGAAAAACCTTGCAGTCCGGAACTGGTAAATGTCCAGTGCCATCTGGAAGTTAAAGAATTATGGGAAAGGTTCAATGAGCTCGGCACGGAAATGATTATCACCCGTAGTGGCAGGTATGATTCTTTATAGTCATTGGCACTTATATAATTATGTTACAACCTTATCGCACAATTAATTTCTGTAAAGTTAATTGAGCTGCTAGCCATTGAAGTAATTTTGTTTTTGAAATATACGATTGTTTAATAATATCAGTTACATTATGCCGTGCTATTGCCATGCATATGTGGTATACATGCCTACTATTCGAATTTGAATGTTTAGCTAAGAACTGTTTACATCTTTTGCGCATAAAAGCGTTGTACGTGTTTATTATTCAGGTTGACGATAGCTGCAGGTGCAGATCGTTAAGGTGTAATTTGTGAATTGCTGACTGATTTTTTTCTCGTTTGCCGTTTATGGATCAATACGTCCTCAACATATTTTCGGTTGCAATAATTGAGCTTTGACAAACAAACATGCAACACGCGGGCAACAAAGTGTCGAAGTTTGATGAAAAAACACATTGTTAACGCCCGCCTGCACACAGGACAGCATAAACTAGTAGAAATGTCATTTCTATTGAGTCGGACGCAATTCGGATGGGTCCGACAAGGAAATTATTTATTCAAGCGTGAAATGATAGTTCAATCGACAAAGCGCCGAGCGCAACACATACTCGTATAAACGCGTTAAGCGGGCGCGCGCTGCTTTGTCCCAAATGGTACTGCATGTATAATACAGTAGCCTTGTGCACATTGTGCCGTGCTGCCGCTGACAGTGAGCTTGATTTGACATTATCAAAAATTAATCGTTTAAATATGGATAATGTGATGGTAGTAATATGCATTGAATGCCCATTGGCAAGCCACTCCATTCCCGGGAGATGATCCAGTGAAAAGCGGGTGTAATCTGGGAAAGTGCATCCTCCTTCATCGTCCGGATGTATTATTCAACCACACAGACCAGAGTTACGTATACAGGCGGTGTGTGTGCGCGGGCAGTGATAAGTGTGACAGTCAGTGGAATTGTTTGGGTAGCAGTTAGCAATGCAATAGGCCAACCTTATCAAATTATCCCCATCCACTGGATTAAGTCTAGCAATTCAGCCCCGGCCACAATTATTTCCATAACAGCGCATTAGCGGGGTGGTTGTGTGTTGTGGTTGTGGCATAAAGGGGACATTCATGCTACACAACACCGTTATGCCATGACGGTTATTTCGTTATTGTCCACAAGGCAGCATAATGTGAATAAAGCCCCTATTGACTAACTGACACCGCATTGACTTCCGCCCTTTTGTTCACATGGACTCACTAGTGATGGCACAAGAGCAAAGGGATCACACTCGGTTGCGCTCCAGGAGACACTTGTTCGTCTGACATTGCATACAAATTAGTTGCGATGAAAAATTATCACTAACGATCGCCACTTACTCCCAAGGGGCTTAAATGGGAATACAGCGGGAAGCCCAAGTTCTGCATCTAATAAACACGGCTTTTTAACGACTAGACAAAAGCAGTACCAGTACATCCTGTAAATATGTAGACGAGTTAGAATGTTTTCTTCCCGCTTGGTTTGACCTTTAGTAAGGGGCCTTTAGTAAGGTGCTTGAAGGTTTATTCATGAGCACTGGCATATATAAAACGTTTCGTAATACAAGATCACGGTGATATGTAGATGCGTCTAATTCTGTGGAGTATTTGGAGACTAAAAAATGCACCAGAATATCTAATGAAGATTGATTAAGAGGGACGCTGGTTTGCGTGGCCAACTTGCTTTGGAACAATCCCGAACAGTTTGTGTAATCAGATCATTGCGTAAATCGCCAAAGAGGTTTGTGATGAAATCGAACGTCTAATTGATCATCGACAAACTCATCGCGATATCGCCACAAATGCACTGACGACTTTGCGTCCCAAATGCATTTGCCGATTTTCATCCATCCACACTGCAGGGTTTCCGTCAGCATGAGTTGGCTGAAAATGAGTGACTGCATTCCAACGAGAAAATAATGACATAGCGCTTCAGGACTTATACAGTCAGCCTAGGAAAAAAATACGTGTAAAAGAAACACTACGCATTATGCTATACGAAATACGAATACGTGGGCAAGATTTGTCAGCCAGTATAGCTAATGAGAGTCAGAAGATAAGTATGCATGCTATTTCGCTTGTCGACGGTGAATGGCAAATGTACAAAAAACTTTGTTTTGAAAAATACGGATTATGTAAAATTCTGGATTGATTTGCGCATTGTGGCGACGCACAACAGCTACGATAACTTACTTGTGTAAACATTTAAAACGACTTCCTATAATAATATGTATAAAGTATGTTCACTGCTACTATGTTGTGTCATAACTCGTAAGTCAGAATGTTCGAGTATTTTCTCTTAAACATATCGCCTATGCATGTAACCTTTTGAAATGCGCAGCGTGGGGCGATAGGACGTCAATAGCACGACAGAAGCCGGTATTTAAGTGGCAGGATAGTGGTGCATATAGTTTGACTTGCTGCTTTGACAGTGGCATTTCCACTTTGTTAACACAATACCAGTGTCCACCCTTTGTGGTGTGAGTGGTAAATACGGAATTTTACTCGTAAGACATAAGTAATTCAAATAATCATTTACACGTTGACCAGTAATATTTCATGCATACCTTGTCAGCCTCTTTTCCACAAGCTGTAATTACCGGTGCTTGTGTCTGACCTTTAAGTTTGCAACGGAATAAATGCACGCAATATAATATATTGATTGCGCGTTAAAACTGGTTGTTCTGCAGCAGCCTAACATTATGAACCGTATGCTTTGGAAAACTTCACAGAATGATGCTATGAGCGCCATGGAAGTTAGTGTGAACTGTGAACAACTTTTGCGAAAACGAAAGTTTACTCGACAACAAACCGCAACTTCAAACTGTCTGTGGTGGCACGAGACTAATAACAATTAACAAGTTTCCTATTTTGTTATTTGCAGGCGTATGTTTCCTACAATTCGCGTCTCCTTTTCCGGTTTGGACTGCAAAGCAACATACATGGTACTCATGGATATCGTTACCGTAGACAATAAACGCTACCGCTATGCATATCACCGTTCCTCCTGGCTGGTGGCCGGAAAAGGTGATCCAGCACATCACAGCAAATTATACCCGCACCCGGATGCTCCTTTTCTTGGTGAACAGCTTCGTAAACAAATTATCACGTTCGAGAAAGTCAAGCTGACCAACACGGAAGTTAACAAACCCGGCTACGTAAGTGCAAGTACAGCGCAATTTTGGGAAATGATCAGCTTTATTGTCTATGTTTTCAGATTGTACTAAATTCCATGCACAGATACCAACCTCGAATCCATTTAGTCATGATGAAGGGCGAAGACGATTTAGTCAAATCCTTAAAAACTTACGATGATCTCCAATTATGCGCTCATAAGACATTTGTTTTTCCCGAGGTGAGCTATATCATGTAATTTATTCATACTCGTGCATTTACTCTTTACGAGCAAAACACCGATTCTAATCGAAATATTTTTTTGCAGTGTGCATTTTATTCCGTTACCGCCTATCAAAACCAACTGGTAAGTTAGCATTTTTTCATTTCTAATAATATCTTGTAATACCGTATTTTCCGTGGCATACCGAATATATCACACTGTTATCTTAAGGGCATACTGTAAGCGCATGAAGCATTTGCACGTTAACAATTGTGGAAATATAATTTTACGAAACCCCCCATTGCACGACATCACTCTAATACAGTTGAAATGATTTTTACCGCTCTTCGTGCATATGGCCTGGGTTGGCGACACGGCGCCTTTGCGTCATTAGCGGCCGGCACATTTGCGTCGCTATCCCCCCGTGTCGTTTTATTATGTATCCACCACTGTAAATTTTATGGTTGTTCATTTTAAAATCATTGCAGATCACCAAACTGAAAATAGACTGCAACCCATTCGCTAAAGGATTCCGCGATTCGACTCGCGTGATCACCGATTTGGAACGGTAAGAAGGCTGACTTTTGTGTGTCTTTAACGCCCGTGCTGCTCATGATGTGGCATATCATAATCAAAGTATACGATCACATAAATAATGCGGTATAGAGAAAAGCCGTTTGTACCAGTTTGTAATCAGACGCCGCATCGTCAAGTGCAGCGCCTCATTAGGAAGAACGCTGATCATATTTTAAGCTGTGACACAGAACAGTTATGCGTGGCTAATTGTCCGACGGATAAATGTTATCATTTCTTCATGATCACATTGCCGGCTTTCACACTGGCTGTGCGTACACAAACGGATTATTCAAATTGTGACAGTTTAGAATAATATTTGGGGTTGGTCAGATTTTGAGTGATGATCCACGGTTAGCGAGCAGCTCTGGGCCGCAAATTACAACGGTTTGCGGCAAATGTGGACGAATCAGCAAATCAAACGAAAACTATTTTTGAAAGCCTTGCATCGGAATAGACACTTCATCTGACATCTTATTACCGCTGCATCTTTGACGCACCTTTTGAAAGTGTCGCTTTTAACAAGAAAACGTCGAGATACTCTAATTGTACGATAACACTACACTAGTAGCAAGAATAAATGGAAATTTGTAAAAAGCGATTGATTCTGCTGTACACATCGTATGCATTGTATTACTTCAGTAGGCGCCAGAATACTTACAAGTTACAAGTATTGTACATGACAACAAATTGCTAGAATCTGATATACAGAACATAAGATGCATTGTATAGACGGCGTAAAAGTGATGCAATTAACGACGTGGAACATCAAGCGATGCGAAGCGTTCAAACTCCGAACCTAAATCACGATAAAACGATCGCACAAGAAGAATCGCATCTTCACCCGCAAATCGGCATGCGCCATATATGGCAAACCGTACAAACCATAGCAATCTCTTCAGTTTGAGAATGCACCAGCAAACAGCCGCTTGTGCGGACGATCATTCGTGTCATACTCCAATACTGGAGCGAGTAATTGGGGGCGTGCTGGACAGGGATGAGAGGGAAAGAGGAATAGCAGGACCACCGAGTCAGTTTGTGACAGACGGATTTGTGAGCCGCACGATAGCTGATTTGATTTTCCTGATTATCGATAGATTTCTCCACCAGACCGCATGCAGGATGATACAGTACATTACAGCGCTTACGATTTAGGCATTTCTACGCTTGACTCTAAAACAGCGATATTAAGTGGATCAGATTCTATGTGTCCGGCGGCAGATATGACCTGATTACGGAGTAATTAGGGTCGATCCTCAAAATATGAGTAATTATTGTCGATTATGTGATGGTACCGTACAAACGATTGGCTCTGCAACGCGCAGCATTCAGTCACCGTAATTTTTCGTGAGCATTTATTACCAAAATTCCAAATTAGCTGCATTTACTTCGTTTCAGTTTAAGATTGCTAATTTCTTCCCTTCTAAGTTTTTTCCCATGACACAGATAACCTTTCTTTTATCGGCGACAAACCGTAGACGAAGTTCCTTTTACAAACTCGTTTGGCGAAACAAAGTTTTACAAACATTTGCGTTTTCACAGTGTGGACGTTTTCGTACGTAACAGAAAAATAGATTTGTAAATCCAAACTTTCTAAATTTTTGGATGAAGCGTATATAAATTGGGGTGTTTTTGAAGGGATTCCTTAAACAACGGCGGTATGCTGCCCGACAGTACCGTATTCCCCTATGGAAACTGCAGCATGTCCCCGAATGAGCCAATGAATGACCTCGACGCCGCGATTTTCTCTCAGAAATTGGCGCAGTTTTCCCGTATGATCCCCGGTGCGGCGTCCGACAGCCAGACCATGCCAATGTATGGCGGCATCAAGCCCTTTCCCATTTCTCCTACCTCGATTCCTCTCGGCATTCTGCAGAAATGGAGTCTAGCGGGGCTGAATGCTGGTTTGACGATGGGTGCTAATTTAGACCAGCGTCACCTCTTTAACAACGGGAATATGTCACCGTCGGATTTCGCCCGGCAGCTGCTCTTTGGCAAGCCAATTCCGGCCGGTCCGTTTTATCCGTTTATTGGCATGGATCATCAGGAACTGGCGCAGAAACTAAAAGAAAATGGGAACTTTTGACCCGATGAATTTCTTACCAAAAATCTTGAATATGCCGTTGTCGATGGCTTTGTGTGCACGTGACTTTTTTCGTAATGTAAATGAGTAAATATGCGTAATAAGCACGAAAACACACCATGTCACCCATATTTTTCGTTACAAACGGTACAATCATGAGCGACCGAAATGGAAGTGCCGGAAAAGTTTTTGCGCTGACTATAGTGACTAGACGCTTTGATAAGACGCATGTGTACGCTCTTTGTTTTTTGAATTCATTAGCTGTTATTTTAAAAGATATAAACTGTACGCTGTACGTATAAGCGGAAGTACCGTACGTGGATTATTACGGTGGATACAACAGACGGACACATAAGTAGAAGTAAAAATATTTGAAATTAATTAAACCACAGATAGAAGGAGTACAAAACTTTTAACCATGAAAAATATACTTAACCTTATTATAACATTGTTTATTTTTGAGCAGTCAAACCCAAGGGCAACACGGTAGAATCGACAAAACAGAAAAAGAACAAAATCGTTATACGGAAAAGAACAGCCGCATCAACGCACTTACTGCAGGAGATTTTAGTATTAGATCGTTAAAAAGAAGATCCAGGTTAATAAAATGAGGGCTATTTAAAGCATTTTCTCCGATCACCGTACAGTTTATTAATTAATTGAATATTATTGTGCGAATTATACCTTTTTATTTTGATTACATATTTCGGTGTTGGCCAAATAAATAATTATTAATTGACCATTATCGAACTGTTATAGCATTGAAGTACTGTTAACGTTATAGCGTTCGAACTTCCAAGTGCTCTTTTTACCTTCAGATTAGTATACGATCTGCCCACTTCCGGACGCACCTCTATGGCATTGTCTCGCTCCTGCATAACTAACTAAGCTGATGCAATAATACGAGTATTATATAATTCATAGCTCGATAATCATGCTTTTTTGCAATTTTGGTGAGTGAAATTTTTTTATCTAGTTTTATATACAGTACAAGAAGGTTTGTAGTATATTTGCGCGCGGTTGTTTTCTTTCGGGTCGGAAATGTTTTTTTAAATCACAGGTCACTGGTAGAGCCAAGTGCTAACTGTTAAGGCGAAAACAATTCTGAAGAGTAAAGCATGTGTGCCGTCGCCCATGACCTTATCGGCAACGTATGCTAGCGACGAAAGAGGTGAGGTACCTTCGATGAGCTTTGACAAGTTGCGACAGTTAAGTTTGGATATCCACCTCCTGCCGCCAAAAAAGATACCAAACGTAGCGGAAATTGATAAATGTAAATAATTTTCTAGAACACTGTCAGCGTCGGTTCACGCTGTACATAAGAGTGGCGTCTGGCGCAGGAGGAACTGGTGGTAACAGCAAGCTAGGCAGCGAACATGCATTCGGCTGAAACGGAAACGGCCCTGTAATCGCCTAAGCGAATATATAATTAGCAGTTCGGATCCCGATAGTACTAGTGGGAGCAACACCGGTTCGGGTTCGGACAACGAGTTTTTTTATATTCATTTTTGCCACGGTAATGATTTGAGCCCGGGTTGTTTTTTATGCCAGTCGACTTTTTTGTCAATAAAATATATGCTACCGGTATTTTTTTGTTTGAAATTTTCGAAAGTTGGCCAGCAGTGCCATACACGTACAAGCTGTTTTAAAGTGCGTTTTGCAGTTTGCAAAAATTTGATTTTTTTAAGTTTTCTCTTTGCTGGCAGCACTTTCGGATAGGAACAATGGCGGTCCGGTTTATCAAGGTGCGCAACGTTTCCAACCTACAAAGGTTATGTTTAACCAATGTAATGCAATGGTTTCAGTTTCTTGTGAATTATTTTGGGAAAATGGGGGACGTTAGAGGATGTGTTGGGACTAATTAGCCGAATTTCCCAATTTTCAAGTTAAAAATTGCAGTAATTCAACTGGGCGAATATGGTTAGGGGCTTTGATTCTCGTTTTTCTTTAGTATAAAAGTGCGATATTCTGTTGAACGCGTTCGGCTACGTAATCGAAAGATCTGCTACTTCGCAAACGTCGCTTTTCGTGAAACGCAGTTACAAGATTTTCGAATATAGACTTCAGTCAGCCCAGCGCTTCCCGAATTGATCTAATCCACACTTGCATCTGAAAGAGCAATCAGTTTGCTACATTGACAAAACTACTTTGTTTTATTGCAATGTGTTGGGGAGCAACAATTTCAAGCCAAATTCTTAGAAAACGAAAATAAAAAAGCAATAAAAAGCCGCATTATTTTTGAAAAATCACAAAATGCAATCAGTGACAGCATATATAGTTCATCCAGCGCATAAACCGAGCCAATCACTTCTTTTTTTAATAAAACAAAATATGATATCTTTATTACTTTTACGTCGCGACATTACAGTCATGAGGTGTTTTTCTCTAAAAACAAAAGGTGTTTTTCTCTAAAAACGGTCGAAAATATTCAAATATTATATCGTATATACGGGAAAGAAGTGGCGGGAGTTTCTGTGTTTTGCGAGCTGGGACAAGATAAATTTTTAGGAGACTTTAATAAGCGCTGTAATCAAGATGGACTTGGTTTTTTCTTGTAGCTACTGAAATTGTCTATCGAGATCAGTGTGGGTACTGTTATGTCACGTCAGTACAACAAAATGAACAAATCGTTGTGAAAAAACAGATCAAAAGAGGACATCGCCACTGTTTTCAGCCACCCGGTACAGAGGCAGATATAGGTTGGAAAATGGAAACTGTATGAAAGCATACACTAATGGAATAAGAGTTGTGCATATTAAAGATATAAGTGCGAGATACAAGTATATCTAATAATAATCATCTTTAGGCTTTATATAGTACTCTTATAGTTCTATGAATCGGCTAACAAGTACTCCTCAGAACGTTGGATTTTACAGTATATTTGCTCAAACTCGTGACATCGAATGAAATTAGTTTTTTGTATTGCTTTGTAGATTCGTCATTTATGGAAATCAGCTATCGTGTGGCCTACATGATACATGTGGTACAATGGTTGAATTTTATGGACGTCGGTTTTTTCGTCGTTGCTGACCTCATCATATATTGTACTTTTTTACCCTTAACTAGATGACTTCCACTGCGTTCTCAGTTTTTTGTGAGTTTATAATCGATAATTCTATGCAAATAAACGAAATAGGAAATTGATGTTAAAAATGCAGCAAGTCGATGGCGTCTCTCTGAAGTGTGCATGAAGCACTTATATGCGCCGCAGCCGTTATTTACGCATAAACATTGACAAAAACTTACGTTAGACCAAACAGTTCAAAACATACTGCCTGTATCTGCAACAACAGGCATATTGGTAGTCGTTATGCCCAATGTAAACACTATACACATCGTTCATATTAGAGGAAAATCATATCTAAATCTCATCAACAATCCACCCATAATCCTTGTTGTACGAGCAACTCATAACACCGCAATCCACGCGTGAAGGATCCCGTCGACATCTTTTTGAGACCAATCAACCGCATTATAAGAAACACACCGACATACTATAATGCAGCACCTGCGTGCCAGGTTGCCAACCGGTATTTACCAGCAGTGCAATCAACGAATGCACAGTACACATTACGGTCGTCAGCGACTGGCGGTAATTATACGCATATTATTAGCGTATATTTTATTTTGTGCAAATGCAAAAATGAAAAATGTGCTATCCCGAGAAGTGTTTCGGATCTCTACCGGATTAAGTATAACCGTAAAAAAAAAGAAATTCGTTCTTCTTGTGCTTTTTGTATTTTACTGAATAATATTATTTTGTTTTTATTCTCACCATTAGGCAGTATAGCAGTATTTGCTACTACAGCGAAGCATGGTTAATTTGTGAATCCACTCCCCTCTCTGCAGTTAGCTCACAATACAAATATTTTTCACTTTTTAAATTGCCGGCGTGGAGATTGTAACTTTTTGCGATGAAAGCGATATACGTATACGTACAATATAAGTGTTGCTGCATAATGAAGGTACAGCCCCAAAATCGAGAGTACCATGGTGTAATAGTTCTCACGAAGCATCTCAACACAAACGCGTCGCTCTTCCCGCCCCACTTATAATCTCAAGACTGACCAGTCCGGCCGCTACGCTGCGCGCTGATCGACAATTCCTCTGTATTCCCACTCAAATCATTGGCTGTGCTGGTAAAATTACTGAAGTGAAACTTGATAGTCAACCAAAATTGCTCGATTAGCGGTTCGATCAACTAGTAACTTTCTGTTTAGTCCTTTCATTATTGTTTTGTCTTACAAAAGATCAATGTTTTTCTGGACAATGCCGGATAGATGGATCGGGCTGGCCCATCTGGTGGTTTTTATATTCGGTGTCCTTTTCAATGGACTGCCGCATGCGGATGGCAGTGTTATAGTGCCTTTCTGGCCCTTGCAGATGCGCCCATTCAATACGCCTTCGATCAAACTGCCTCCGCAATTAGCCCAACAACAATTCCCGGAGCCTCTCGTTCGTGCACTCCTTCGCACATGGCGTCCGTATAATATCCCCAAAAGCTATCAGATCCAGCGTAGAATGACCGGAAGTAATCCGTGCGCTTCCGGGAGTCATTCCCTGCCGCTAATCAATGTCCGCGGAACGAACTATCAAGTTGGGTTCGAAACGGTACGTCCTGCTGTTGTCTTGACGGATCATGTATCGTTGATATCGTTGTTTAAATTTGGTATTTCGTTCTGAGAATTTTTCATTTCTCTATTCGATCTTCAAAGCGTTATGGTACATGGGCGTATCATTCACAAGGAAAATCAGTGCTGCGCTTTGTGTGCGTTTTGCTGACAATGAGGAATTAGGGGAATATTTTGTGTTACTGAGCACGTATTTTAGGGGCGATTGATGCGCGAACACATTCAGGCATTTTACGCCAGTTTTGCCCCGATGCACCACAAATTCCTGCCTTTCATTCGCACCGACAAAGGACGGAGGATATTCGATGGGTATTTAAATGCTGTGCGGGATGTTGTGCCGCAGTATTTGGAAGAAATCCGTGGCATTTCTGACGGAAGCGGAGTTCCGTTTGAGCAGGCGAGTGGCAATTTAACCAATTTAGCTTCGGATTCTAATTTACTGTTACGGTCTAAAATTGGCCGAACATTTGCTTAGTATCTGCTAAACATTCCAACATAATCTTTATTCGGTGACAATACGTACGAGTACTGTTTATTAAATTGAAGACTTAATGTACTTACTTTTATGTTCTGTTATGTATACTGTTATATTTTAATATCGTAGAATAAAAATCGAATAGAAATTAAAATTAGGTTTGTGTAGCTTTCAGCAGTGCCTTGATACATATTTGATATTTCGTGCCTTGTGGTAGCCAGTGTTGATTTATTACTAAATTACATAGTATTCCTGAACGCGCGAGGACCACCTGCATGGAATAACTTGATAAACATGCGACAGAGTTATATTAATTAATCGTGGTGCGGTTTTTATGGTATTAGTTTGTTGATTTTTCTGGATTAGTATATCCAGCTTATTCCAGCAGGCGTAAGCCAGTGTCGTCTTTTTCTGCTCTTATTACAATACACTGTGTACTCTGTAGTGAGTCTGTACTTGATTTTAATAAGTGGTTACTGAACAGCGAAATGCAGTTGCTGGTGATGCAATTTTTATGCTACAATTATTTTCTGGATAAGTTTACGTGTTGCACCTGATCCTTTGCTTACCTCACCTGACAGTAAGCTTGATTAAGGATAACAGTATGCTTTCTTAAGCTTTATTTTTAGAGTTTATTTTCTGTAGAATAAGTTTTATCTTGACATGTGCGGTGGCAGTTGCAGCGTTTTGGCATACTGCGTGCGATATTTTGTGAATACTAACCTGGAAATTCAAATTGATGTTATTTTTAGGTTTTCTGTATGCATATTCGTTCGGAAATCAGTTTGATTTTGCGTCAAGGTCATTACGAGACGCCGGCTTGCAGCACCGTATTTGTTAACCGACCAGAAGCGGTGAGTAGTCGGCACTCTCGGTACAAACTGACAGCTCCATTTGCAATTTTGCGACAGGTGTAAATTTAGGCGGCTATGACAATTAGCCACCGCTATGTATACAGCTTTACTTTGTAACGTAATTGGCAAATATTCAAATATTTTCGGCGGCCTTGCTCGTGGCGATTAATCGTTCGTGTCTGACAGGAGATTGTTGGACATAATGAGGATAACGACCCAGAGATGAAAGCCAGAAGCTATATGGTGTCAGCGGAAATTCTGGCCGAAAATGGGACTTTGCTGGAAAAATTTACAGCTTTCTCATACCCTGGTTGTCTTCCGGGGAATGCTTTCAGTTTTAATCGGGCTGGGATTATTTTTACTGTTAACTCCGAATCGCCCATTGAGATTCCCACAAATAAAATCCGTGAGTGCTACTGAAATGGCATACCAGAATCAGGATTGAAAACGTGCGATAGTAACACTCACATTTTATTCAATTATTAAGCAGCAAGCTAGTTTTGCTTATTGGTGTAAATGCGCACTTCTTTCCGCGGAATCGTGACTGTCTTGTGCTAGTAGGACAGTAATGTAAGATCCGATGCCGCGCACATCTGTTTTTTAATTGTTCAGTGGTTTAAATTTATCATTGTAACATGTTACCAATATGTTATGGTACGATTGCAGCTCGGTATATTATGAACCGTGCTCTGTTGTCCGCGGAAAGCCCCGAAGATTTTGAGAGAATAATAAGTACGCCACCGGGCTTGGCGCAGGGATGCAGGTCTGTTGGTTTCTGTGATTCCGCCGTTAGCGGCGGAAGTTTTTCGTTTAGGGAGTGTGAGAACTTCCGCTGAACTATTCTTGTTGTAGTATAAATGTGGTCTTCACAAGAAATCCTAATGATTCCATAAAAATGCGGAATTACGAACTGCTTGGAAGTTTCGACGCCACAATTCCTACTGTGATTGATCGTGCAGCAACATTTCCCTACGATTTATCTAAGCCGAATATGGAGGGCAACGGATACATGTACCACTGGAACAAGTAAGACTCCTTTGCCCTTTGTGCAGCCAGAATTTTGATTCGAATTTCATTCCCTTTGTGTTTCTCTGATTTTGGGTTGACGTAATGAGTCACAGATACGAGTTATATTATGCGGTCTTCTCGGTAGCGCATTCTAACAGTAAACAGAAAACGGATAGAAGTAAACTTTTATTCCATCTTTATTATTGTTGTTTGTTATTACGCGGTGTACCAAGAAAAAATCGCATCGAGAAATCTAATTGTAATTGTAGTGGTTTTTAAATTTCCTGATTCGTGCAATCGTGCTGTTTGCTAATTGTGAATTCGTGCCCTGTTATAGATACGAACGGATACGGGTTAAACAAAATCCCGACAACATTGTCAGCTCCGTTCATCGCCAGAATCGAGCCAAGCAATTTCCGGTGCCACAGAATGTTGAAAATGTGTTGAATATTCTGGGTGATACCGCTGACGCTGATTACCCTATTTATCGCACACCGAACGAGAAAGATGGTGGATGCACCATCGCTGTAGCCCTTTTTGATCTCAGAAACATGACACTTTCGGTGTATCGGGATAATCCAAAAACCAGTTCACCGCTGCTGACTTTGCCAATCCCTAAATTATTTTGACATTGAAGTGATAGTTTTTTACCGGTGCCTTTTTGTTATCAATCGTTTATTTTGATTTATGGACCAGCCTGATACTTAGCAAAAAGTCGTTGCAAAATAGTTACAAAAATGTGTTCATTAAATTAAATTCGTAACTGACGACAGTCCAGTTAGAGCGCAGTCTTAAACGCAGGAAACTAAAGCACATACGTAAAAAACAAAACTGTTTAGTTCTGTGCAACGTGAGAAACAGGAATACTTACAGTCGAATAACTCGAAAAGAAACATTTCTCAGCGAATTACTCTTGCATCGAGCTGGAATCAGCGCTTTTCTCCTCAACCGCCCCAGATGCGCTGCTTTTATTCAATAAACCCCGCACTGAGAGATCATAAATAACCTCCTCCACTTTCTTCTCGTCGTATTTCAGGCTATCAAAACGTCGACGCAACTCGTTGTTTTTGAGATTAAGCAAGCGGAATCCGGAACCCAGTTCGCTGATAAAGGTGAAAATTTTCTCGGGGCTTTTATAGTCGCCAGCAGTCACGCGGTTCACACAGTATCGCGACTGCAAAGTGTACAAGAGTTACTGTATTTCAAGTTCAGACATTTGACTCCGCTAATTCTCCACTAATAATACATTCCCTTCACAGCAACAGACGTTTACATACCAGTTCACTGGCCAAGTTCAGCAGACCGAACAAGTAATCTTCCAGATCCAAATGAAATCCATTCTTTCTGTCACTCTTCACTAAACATATTGCAAATGTAGTAAATACAATACAGACGTGACACCAAGAATGAGCCTAAAGCCAGGTGTCTATTACGGTCTATACTCTGTACGTATGTGCTGTAAAATACTTCTGTGATTAATTCACATTAAAAATTTAGGTATTATAATATTTTCACCACTATATACGTAATAATCTGTACCTCCAATCGCTTGCGCAACTTCCTCCAATGTAGCCACTCGGCATTCTTTCAGATAAACAACCAAGGCGATTCCCAGGACCAGCTTCTGGAATACATATTTCCAGCTTTCATGGAACCTAAAGCGTGAAATAAATCACCAAACTGAATTATCGACAAACGTGTGGAAACCGAAAATATCTCTTAGCCAAAACGGCATAAACCGCTGACTGTCATTATGTCATATAGATAAAAATAAATCAAGAAGTCGGTCCTTGAATTCGAAGCATCCCACAGCGCATACGCGTACAGCGGGAAATAAAAACGCTGAGCGGCATTAAATACGACAGTACACCGTATTTTGGAAACTCACACATAGTACTGATCCAAGGGAACTTTGACAATCAGCTCTTGAATGACTTTTCGAATATTCGCCAGACGATCTTCGGCTTGACTGTAGATTTCAGGCACTACTGATACAAAGCATTTCGCAGGTTAACAATACTGTAAAACACAAAGAAACATGGTAATAATGTCTTCAAACATACGACGTCATTAGTGCATTAACTGCATTTGCGTAAGTATTCGAATTTCGATCGTACTTCGAGACGCCGACTGGCTCAAATGGATTTCCGAAAGACCAACGATTAGCTCACGGCTCAACTTTTCCACATCCTTCACGCTAATTCTCAGGTTCTGAACAGACAAAAGACTGATCAACAGATGCAGCAATTTTGTATTTCTCTAACTGTTTCTCACATCTCGAATATCGGCTTCCTTCTCCAGGTGGCAAACAAATCCCGAGAAAACCGCGGAAACCTGACGAGAGCAATCAGCGTCAGTCATGTTTTACAGTTTTACAGAAGGTACCATCAATTCAGTCGTTGTTGCAGTGCAGTTAAAACAGTTTCAGAAGTGATGCGTATTAAAAGCAAACTCATGCACCAGAATGTTAACCTTTCAAGATCACCAAATACTGAAAACAGCCATTTACAAAAATGAAAAATTTATCAGAATGTTGCAAAACCGCATGTCCATTGACCATTGATCCTATGCATTTTATTCTGGTCTGAAGATCTGAACCAAAACACTGCATTGTCGCATGCATCCTACAGCAGGCGGCGCACACGTATATTTTCCGTGCAGTCCGTTGTGACGTCGCTGTTACTTCTTTAAAAATAAAACTTTTTAATCATAATTGATAATTTTATTGGGGAAACTAGTTAGAAGTCTTCCGGCTTTCTTATTTTTAGTTCAAATTTGGCGACAGTACCCAAGTCAATAAACTGTAAACGCTCGCTCTTTTGGTTACGCCGTTCCGGCGCAGAAACGTCTTGCTCATTGAGATCAATTGATCAATTGACTGCATTCCCTGATTCCCACAACTCTGTGACAACTGTTCACGGAATCGCCAGGAATGTCGTACTGTTTCTGATCCATCGTGAGGCATCTGCTCTTGGACTGCCAAAGATAAGAATGAAGTTGCTCTTTATTGCATTAGCATTTATCGGAGTGGCCGTGCGTTTCGCGGTCTTCGTCTCGCCCATCCATGAATTCGCCTCCCAACGAGTCGAGTTCTCAGTTCCCACCAATTCATGGCGAAGAGGTTTGTTGATGCTTTGAGAGATGCGAGTAACTCTTTGAGCAGCCAGTCGGTCACTGTACGGCAGTAAACAATGCAGTTATTGCAAATTTATCAATGAACATTTGTTTTGACGTGGTATGTATTGTTGGGCGCAGTGTCGGAGGGCTTGTTTTTGTACGGAATCGGCGTGGATCCATATTTAGGGGATACATTTCATGAGGTACGTTTACAGGTTTACTGTTTAACAGTTTACTCATTTTACTGTTTAACGTTTACTGGTTAATACAGCAGTGTGTACAGTTGTTTTGTTGACCTGAATGTATGAGCTTCAAATTTATTAGAATAACTATCCAGTTTAACAGTTCGATCTGACAATCAGTTAGGTAAACTCTGGAGAACGGAGAAAAAGATTTTGCGGTCTAAATAATGAATGCTTCTTTTATTACTGACAGACACCGTTTTGTTTGGGTTTGCTGAGCAAGCTTCATCGTGTGAATCCGTTGATCATTGATATTTTGTTTCCGGTGAGTATTCGTGTCGCTTCGCCATTACTCATGCGATTTATGCTGTACTTGCGAGAAATGCAGAACGTCTATTCGTAATTGCTGTTTTTCAGGTTGCCGATATTCTTGCTGCAATTCTGCTGTATCTGTTTGCCCAGAATTTTTTGGAGCAGAAGGCATGTGTAATGTGTCCCGTTTTAATTTCTGGAGAATTTTAGAATTTCTTCTACTTTGTCGAACTATTACTGTAATATGGTTGTAATTATCATTACTTGATAAGATTCTTGAACGAATGGTGATCAGTAGTGTACATGTGGTAGGTGGTGGAAGAGCACAAAGTCAAAACAAGCTTCAAGAAAGAAAGCCAAATTTTGATGCTCAGCTTCGATTGTATACGAACTGTTCCCAAGCTCGTTGTTTTGTGGTAAGATGGAATTTGCGTGAGGTAAATTAAGTTATGTATTACTAACATAACGCTGTTTGATTTCGCAGTTATCTGTGTAACCCGTTGACTGTTGGATCCTGCTGGGCCAAAACAACCACTGTCTTTACGAATCTGTTAATGGCAGCCATGCTGCTGAGTGCTTCGCAAGGTGCGAGGCTGATGTGCAGACTGCCGTAATTTCTTGTTGCCTTAATTTAATTACTATGTCATTGTTGCCTTGTTTTCCGTTAGGAGCCTGTCGGTTCTATCGATATATTTCGTTGGTATTTTTGGCGCTGTGTACGTATCAGACATTCTACTACGGATTGCTTTTTCCGGCTCTGCATCTTTATTTCGAGGTAAAGAACAAACAGCAAATGGTTTGTAAAATACTGAAAAATCGAAGTTGTAACTGTTTCCGTGATGCCACTATGAGGAATGTGTGGGCGATGTAAAAAGCCTTGAAGCAGTATTTTATTGTTATAATGTCGTTTTTCCAAGTACAGTAATTTGAATTGGGATGGAATATACTTACTTACTTTCATCTCTCATCGATTTCGGCAGAATTTTGCGGGATCGAAAACGCATTGCCGGTCGAGAGGGGATTCCGTTTTTGGACTACTGATGGACGGTCTTGTTTTTATCGGATCATTTGCGATAATGTTGGTTGTTTCCAGTCATATCATGGGATCATGGACTTTCCTGCGTGGCGTTTATGGATTTCTGTAAGTAGAAACTCATATTGCAGTCACAGTGTGTTTTTACCCCGAAGTCCGTTTTTAAGGATCTCTGCTCCTGATCTGACACCGAATATCGGATTGTATTGGTACTTTTTCACTGAGATGTTCGAACAGTTCCGGTCGTTTTTTATTTGGGTTTTCCTGATTAATATTTGCATTTACTCCATTCCGGTATCTGTGAAGCTGCGGTAAGACATTTCCTTTGTCTTTACAAAGGGGTGTGGTGAACAATTTTGGCTTGTTGTTTATAGGCATCACCCGATGTTTGCGCTGTTCACATTGTTACCGTTAATCACGGCTTTTAAGCCGTACCCCTCGTATGGTGACATCGGATTGTATTTGAGCTTATTTGCCGTGTGGAGGCATTTGATACCACGTTAGTGTTTTTGGGATATCGTTTTTGAGATGTAGTGATTACTGGGACTTCTTTGTAGAAATGCGCCAAACGCTCATAGTTAGCGTCATGCTCGTCCTAGCGGCTACAGTATTCCCTGTTCTGTGGAAGCTTTGGCTGGAAGTCGGCAGTGCGAATGCGAACTTTATTTATGCCATCACGTTGGTACTGGCCACTTCTCAGGTGAATGAATTAATCTTTTTATGATTGCTGTGCCCGTGCAATTAACGTTTACTGGGTCTGACACGTAGTGTCAAGAATAAAATTTTAAATAGTAACTTATGTATATCCGCAGGTGTTTTTTGTAACGGACGTTATGTTGGCTCATGAAAAACGGGAATGGCACCTGAAACACGGCGTGGAAACGGTTGACAAAACCGGCAAGCGTTTGGAACTTCATTTGCAATAACATTTGCAGTGATAATGCAGATTTTTGTTCCTTTTATGTTGGATGATTTCGTGCCTTCTGTAGTTCGCTTTTTTTATTATTTATTGCGAAAACAGCGGTGCTCCTGGCCTATACTTATTATAGGTACTGTGTGCAGTTTGAAAGCTGGTGCAAGCAAATCAGTGCTTAACTCTGTCTTTGGGGATAGCAACCCTCAAATGAATAGTAATTGATTGATCGGGGTCGGGTTTGATTTGGTCGGGGTTTTCCAACTTGAATTTTTCGGTATCATTAATTCTTATTTTGGTATAGGGTGTATAAATAATAAATGGAATCGCATGTACAATTCCACTCACTTTCTAGCATGAGCGGGGCAGAGAGATTTAGGTGCGAGTACAATAAAGGAAAACGAGGGCATGGTGGATTTTGCTTATTATTTTTCATTTCATTCCACATCATACGATGCAAGTTACAAAAAAACGGAAACACAAACTAATACAAGCGGTATTCATAAACCAAAATCGGCACACATGAGTAGAGGTCGAATTAACAGGACAGTGCCAAACACCGTAGTAATAATTATGCACCTGAAGCATCAATAGAAGTATGCACCACAGCAGCAAAAAACAAGAAACTATGTGCCACAGATATTAGTATTGTCAAAATTAATTAACATCGAGATTCGCTAAAAAAAGTGGCAATGTGATGTGCAAGCCAAACAAAACATAAGTAATATCGTAACAATATTTAACACGGTATTACGTGTTTACAGTAACAAAGTGCATTAAACAGTTCCAACGAACAACAATCAGTAATTAGTCAACACCGACTTGACACCGAAATGTTAGGATTTCAAAACTAAGCAAAGTGAGTAACAGACGACTAATTAATACGTTTAAAGTAAGGTAACAAGGACGTCAAGCGGTTACACAAAAATTTTACCGGACCAATTTTTTTCCCAATTTATCTTTTTTAAAAACCTTTTATCTTTCCCGTTTTCAGAACATCTTTATTGGACTGCAAGCAATTTTTGGTTTTCCTTTTTTTTATTTTATAATGTTTGTATTTTTTTAATTTAATTTGTTTACGCAAATCGAAGATGAAATTTTTTTCTTCTCGCTCGGAATCTGCTGTACTGAAGCTGAACGCCTCTGGGCCGGCAATCTACCGTATTTAGAACAGCGATCCATCATCTACGAATCCAAAAGGTCAGAAATCCGTCCATTCAATCTTGAATTCCGGTTCTGTTTTCCACTCGAACTGAAGTTGTTGAATAGTCTCCATTGGTTCCGTTTTAATTTCCGGGGAAAACAACTGGGTGAAGCCGGGGTATCCCGCAAGGTCCTTGGTGACCGTTAAGATGGCTTGTGACGAGACTAAGGTCATCTTGGCAAGTTGGCCCAATCCGCCTTCCAGGTTGAGTTCCATCTGTTCCTTCGCGACCCAAACGGTGCCGGCAGCCAGAGAGTCCGATTGACGTCCCCCAAGGAAAGTTCCGATGTCATTCTCAATGCTACCCAGAAAACTGACAACCTTGTCGCGAAGGTTTTTCGGCAAATTCAAAGTGACACAAAGCCTATTGGCAACGTCCTTCGCACGCGGGCGGTGGTGCTCGACGTTTGGTTGAACGTTTTCCTTGGCTGTTTTACGATCGAACGTACAAATCTTAGAAAAAGCTTTGTGCACGTCCTGAAACTCCACAGCAGGATCGTGAAAGGAAGAAACTACTTCTTTAAGCGACCGAGAGTCAGCAGCATTGCTGCGCTGACTGCTCCAAGCCACAGCTGCATAAGCGTAATGCATGCTAACCCTGGCTTTGTGTTGAACTGTTCTTGAGCCAAGTAATTTAAAGAACTTTGCTAAGGATTTTCCATGACACAATGAAGACACGCCAGTTGCCCTGACAATTTGGGCAATGCGCTCCACTGCATCAGAAAACTCCAAATGCATGTTCCGGCTCGAATGTTTTCCGTTGGGCATTGTCGACTCAGTGCAATGTACCTGCCGGTACGATGTACTGCAGTGCGCAAAAAGATCAATGACTTGGTTAGTAAACTGCAACGTGTCACAAAGGCGAGCCGCTGGTCATTATCCGTGGGGCGATGATGAAACTAGTGGAATAAAAACACGCAATCTGTAAATACTTATTGAAAATACAGTTTAAAAATCATAAGTATTCAACAAACTCAATTTGTATTACTATTACAATTAGTAATAACAGTGATAAATATCCGTACTCCGTACATCAATCCGTAGCGTAGCAACAAAATTTGTTGACAAATTAGTTCCGACTGGACAGTTTAGATAACAGAATTCATTAAAAAAGGGCAGGCTACATCACTCGAAAATATTCTTCAGAGCCTTTGTTGACCACAGGCTAGTCCGAGATATCAAAATTATCAAGCATCACTCCTTTTTTGATCTCGTCATAGGTAAAAAAACTTATTTTGAGCAACATTGTCAAATAGTCGTTTCTTCTTTGCAATTGATATCATGGACGAAAAAGGAGCGGTCAAGAATGTTATCCCTGTATTTTGGTCCGTATTTCTAGCGAGATGACCAGATGTACTTGCGGACACTAATGGTAAGCACAAAAAGCAGCCTCAGGCTACGAACAATTAGACCGCGCGCTTTAGTGCTGTACATCACGATACGTAGCTGTCTGGTTTATTATTTTATTCGGCAATGGTCACTTCATAGAATAAAAAGCCAGCGCTGATACACACTAATTAAAAATAATGATAGAAATTTTTCTGGTTGTACAGTACACGACACAGTCAAATTAACGATAAAAAGTCACGTTCTAACTTCTCACGGGACAGTGTACAATACAGAGTACGTGCCTAATTGTCAGTACGATATGTGCCATTAGTATTAATAAGACTATATATAGATATAGCTATTAGTTATATGCCTGTATCTATATACTATATTCAATTTTATATTAGATAATTAGGAACAGACTTTTGCATTAGAAACAGAAAACTGAAAACTGCGGTTTTCATAAATTCAGAGTCAAAACGTTGAGAATTTTTGCGCTACACACATACAATACGGTACTGTACAAAATGTACTGCAAGTAGTGCGCCTTTTTGTCACCCACCGCTGTGTGGAGTAGATTCTGTTTGAAAAGGATCGTGTGTCCACTCAGAACTCGAAAATGACTAAAAATTGTAAATGCATTACGACCGCGTTACAACTTTGTTTAGTTACTTATTAGCCAGATAAAGTATTGCCGCTCCTACTGAACGAAGAGATTTATTAAAGCCGATACACGTCACACGATTTTTAAGCTTCCATTTTTTGCTTCCGTACTTGGTGCTTCTTATAACAATGGCAACTGTATTGACGGCATTACATTTGACCACGATCAACAACCCTCAAATTAGCAAATCAAACAAACTTCATCAGTCTTCTTTTTTCATTTTTAACAGAACAGAGAGGCTTGCGTAAGTCGGTATCTTTTAAAAGTCCCAGACTACGCGTCGGCTGAGCGGTCCCAGGGGTTGTACTGTAACCTTTGTGTCACTGTCCTTATATTTATTGAGCAAATCTTTATAAAAAATATTTTTGTAGGTAGAAAGTAACAGTGGGGCCGCTCAAAACACAGCAATGCGAAGCGCAACGGTTTTGTTAAAAATTTAATTTTTGCGTCTGATGACGCAAATTTGCGCAAATTTTGTTGTTGTTAATTATCCAAAATTTGACAGTTAGAAAAATGGCGTAATGCATCTCGCTTTTGATTTACTGATGTCTGCGAAGTATACTTAATTAGGAAAGGTCACCAAATTTAGATAAAATTTCACCAAGTCTGCAATATACAGTAAAACAGCTCACCTGTATTAATGGTGAGGCTGTGAAACTCTGGACTATCGATCCATCCACCCAGTGGTGTGCCGTGTGCGTTTTAGATAGGACGATGAAAAATTAACAATGCAGCACGTACGTATTTGTACTATTCAGTTGTAAAATTAAAAAGGTTAATTTCCGAGGCAAGACTGGTGTAGATCTACTCAAAACGATTTAAGCGAAATGTTAGTTACAGCCATAAATTCCAAGGGCGGGAACAATGGACGGGCCGGCGTTTGAAATACGATCGAGAGGACTACCGGAAGGAAGTGTTTAAGCATCAGAACATCATCTGACGAGAAACTGATTGGCCATTGACCTCAAAGAAAAACAAACTTCTGGATATCGGCTGTGATCGCATAAGGATGGTGCAGCAAAATACAGTAAACAGAGGCGAGTACTGTGTACAGTTCCACTTGTAAAGTAAAATAATTCAGAAAATCAGAATACAGAGAAGACTTTAAACTTAAAAGCACAAAAAATTAATTTGGGTGGTACTCACCCTTTTACTATTTCTATACCGTGCAAACGCAGAATACTGAGCTGTAGTAGAAAGGATTAAGGAACTGAAACGACATGCACTATGCACTATGCAGAGAAAGATCCTCCAACTGATCTTCGACAACGGAGTTTAGTTCTCTACATTTTTACGCGAGTTTAAAGTGTGCACCACGTCTGTAGCGTACGTGACCGTTATCGTAGTTACCAACATAAATATAACCTGGGATTACAAAACAATCTGGGAGCGTGTGAAAGAAACAAAAATACGTGCGCAAAGCACCACACCAACCTAGTTAGAGTACTGTACTGTTATAGAATAAAGCAAAAGTACTGCACATTATTATTGTTCCTACGAGTAGTAGGATCGCAGAAGACTTTGCACATACCAGTTTTATTATGCTATATACGTAATATCTAGAGTAGTAGTAATCTTATGCTCTGGAATGCAAATTATTAGAACTTACGTAAATACTATAGTAAACTGCGTTCGCGAAGTGTCCATTTTGCGTTATTAAGATTTGCGGCTACCCATACGGTTCAGCCATGCAGTTCATCTTGATTTCTTATTAATTAATCTGTTTCAGTTCAGCTACAGTTCATTTTCAATAAACTCATACTATCATAATTTTTTCGTACGGACACGGTACGAGTACGGTGAGTACTTACTGTATTAAAGAGGTAGTATTGTACTTATCAATATTGTGCTGCGAAACTTATTTTATTAGTCGCTTATGGTTAGCATATTGGCCATCGTCATGCGGTCAGAAATATCGCCATAAGAAATATAAATATAAAGAATGAATATTGCAGTACAGCACATTACGCAAATTATTTTTGTGTACTCTTACTAGTCATTGGATCAAGTTTAGGAAAATAGCTCAATGTCCGCTGAAAAAGAATTTCAGACTGAAATGAACCAGGTTCAGCATGACAAAATCGCACCGATATAAAGCCGCGGTGCGCTTTAATAAACCTGAAGAAAATCATGCCGACAGACTCTAAGTTGAAATTACCATATTTATACAATTTATACATACAACCTTATGCTTATTTAGAAATAACGTTGTCGGGGATTCGGGGAGCTTGGTGCTGTATCTATTTTCTGACAAAAATTGCTTTTTTTCAAGAATGTAGGGCGACAAGATTTCGCAGGCGAGAGCCATTTCATCCAGAGAGTGGTCACTCCATCCAGGGCGTTTACGCGAAAGGTCACCTTTATGGTGTAGATTTATTGCAGTTACACAAGTGGTGGTACCAGTGTTTTTGTAACTGACTGCATGTGTACTTTCTCATGCCGACGATGCAACGGCTATCCAGGTAAGTAATCTATTAATTATTAATATATATTAGGGGATCAATATTCTATACAAAAAGTTTTGTTATTTATATTACCACATGGTTCGTGTGTTTGCTGATAGAAAATGTTTGTTGCATACGGCTTGCGGTTAGGAAGACGCTGATTAGGCAAACTGCAGAAACTTGCCTCCAGAAAATTATTTTGATATCTGTCTCCTGCTGCACTTGCGCTGATTAAGTACACTGTACATTTACTACGAGTACTTAACCACTTGAGTAATGCAACAGGTTTCGACAACTGTGTCCCGGGTGCCGCCACCGATTTGATAGGATCTAATTACTGCCGTGTAATTTCACAGTATTTAGTAGGGAATAATTTAAAAATCACCATATTCGCGTCAGTTACGATAAATAACGCTCACGGATGCCTTTGTCTGTCGACTTGTGATGAGGCCGCAATGGGCAAATTAATAATGTGCGCATATTCTTCGTCGATTCAGATAGAGTACTGGTTGTTCTTGACTACAACTTTTTTGTTCTTCCTACAACTTTTACGATTGTGAATGATGCCTCGAAGAAATGTTGTAAGGAGCTGTCCTTTTTGTGGCAGCTGTTCTTGAACGGTTGTCTACAACCTCCTGCAGGAACTATTCCTGATCGTTGTACACGTTAAGCTGATAAAACAAACAAACAAACAAACAAACTGGTAAGTTTCAAATTTCTATGTGTGAATTATCCACATTCCTAAGTTTTTCAATGCAACAGTTGCTATTTTTTCAGCAAGTAATTTTATTCCATTGCAAAAAAACCAATATTCTAAAAATCTCTTCTAAAACCAACCAAAAAATACATCACCGAGACTTCAAAATTCATAATTAAAAAACTACCCGGCAAGCGGACAAACGAAAATCAGCTGCAAAACAAATAGAGATCATTTCTAAAAAAGACAAACTATCTGTCTGCTTTCATCCACCCATTATCACGTGAATGCACTCCAATAGCTGCCGACCAAAGGAGATTGCGGTACAAAATGGTTTTGGTCAAGTCAGGAAGCCAAATTATCGTTGTTTCGTGTTGACCGCCAGTTGTCCACGTTTTGGTCAAAACCTATGGCTTAGCGCTGAGTGCCCAGCCGACAAAGCCAGTGTTATCTCTTGTCGTCAATTAGATACTTTGTGGCTTTCATGCCGTATATTTTGGCCAAATCACGGACAAAATCCTGTTTGAGTTTGTTCAGGCACCGGCGATACTTAGATTTGGAGCGGAATTTCGCAATGTCGATGCTAGGCGCATGTGGCATGTGCACAATAAACACATCTGGCAGAACGATCAGTTCATATCTGAAAAAAACATTGAAACCATTACTGTACGATTCTAGTTTTCGAAAACAATTATCTGGCGATACAGATTTACCATTACGTACAAGAATTCTAGAAACTGCCGGAACTCTTTACAACAATTACCCTTTCACGGCCAGATCCATAAGGTGCGATACTTTATTCCACCCGAAACCGCCAAAGCGTTGATCATACCGCGGAACGTCCCGGCTGACAACAATGTACGGTTCGTAATCGGGTTCCCATTCGACGGTATAAGGAACACTACTCTCCAACCAACGGGAATAGTTGGTTGTAGCGTGACCCTTCGGCCACACATCCCAGCGGAATGACACAATATCACCGGTTTTTACCATCTGAGCAAGCTCGCTTTTGTTGGACGGAACCGATACGCGGTAGCGCTGAGTTTCGAAAGCTGGAACAATTAATGCCTGGAACATAGAAACACCAATTAATCACTTTATCCATTGAGAACGAAATGTCACGGTTTTTACTAAACGCTGCCGAATAAAAACTTAAAATTTTCAAATATCCACTAAATCCCCACCATTCAAAAATTCAAAAGGCGCTGACTGTGAAACTCATATCAAAATCAGGTTGCCCGGTCTTTGTGAGTAGCATACGAAAATTGCTTTTCCAAAAACTTTTTTTCGCCGGTATCAGAAGCCTTCATGTGTAAAATTTTTATAACATCGAAAAGTAAGAAAGAAAACAATAAAAATAATTTCTATAAACTCAAACCTTATCTTAACAAAGAATAAGATTACCCTAGTGAATAAACCGGCACAACAACGATAATACCCAATCAACGCCCAATTTAGTATAGAGGGAATGGGCCTGAAATAGGCAATTCATCTATTATGGATGCAAAATGAAAAGCAGACCATCACTGCAGAAGAATATTATCCCCCTGTTGACCAGCGGCTGGGGCTAATCTCTCACCTTGGCGTGCTGCACACTAAGGTCATGGCCCTCCTGCGTGGCAGGGTGGAGGAGATGCGCGGGAATGATGCTTCCCTTTAGTCGTTCGTACAGATCCAACATGGGCAAGAAATCAATATCACTGAGAAAGACAAACCCCGTCCGGGCCTGACTGAGCGCCACGTTGCGCAAATAGTTGACCGGATAGACTGTCTGCAAAAGAAGGCATACATACACAGCACGCCGGGGTTAAACCAAATCACCCACTGCTCCTGGGGAATATTCAATACAGGGCTTTGTCCACTGTGTATAAATCGACCACTTGTCACATGAATAATGCACAACAGGTAAAAGTGAAACAGTGAACTTCCAACAGGGAATGAACATTTAATTGAAAAATCGATGCTGTTTGCCGACACATTTTGGGGACAAGTGCACGGTAAATGGCTCGATATTGGGACCACAATCTTTTCCTCCCTTACAACGAAGACAAAACACTTACCCCGTCTTTGTAAACCACGTGAAAGCCCACATTACGCCGAGCAGATAAAACGTCGGAATCGTACACAAAATCGGCAAACTGCTGTGCTTCTGGATCGGACACATATAAAGCCAAACTCATTGGTCCTACGGAACAAAAATACGAGTATTAATTTTAACGTAAACCATCGCACATTTTTGGATCAATCATCAGTTAACCAATCTACCCCTTGCAATTGTTCACAAAAATATAGCCTAAACACATAAAACGAGAAGCAGGCAGAACGAAGCACTTTACTGCAATTTCATGCTTTCAACGCAGGTCCGCATTAATTTTCCAATACTAACTCTTAAATTCCCAAACTGTCGAAACTGAGTTTGCAGGAAAATTCTATTTCAAAACCAAAACAAGCAGTGTCAAACAGCTGCAACAAAATCGATCATTTATAATCTAATCAACGAGCGTTACCGACGCAGAAAAAAAACTTCTATGTCAATTCCCTAGCGATAAATTTTCCCCTCGGAAACGTGGCATAAAACCGTTTCCGCTGCCACTCATCCCATCCGCGATCAGCCAGCCTCGTTAAGGGACATTCTAATGCCCCAATGCAATCCAGCGATCTTTGTTCGATTAGCCAACCCGCGACATTATTCTAATTACAGCCGCGCTTCTTTTGTAAGTAAAACAAAATTTTCTTCCATTTTTACGCCAACGTCTTACCGCTCCAGTGCTGGCATAATGACTCCAACATTTGCAGACGATCGAAGGACAATTGGGCCACCAATGTAACATCCGTATCACCCGTTGGCTCGTAATCATATTCCGTAAAGTACAAATGTGTACGGAATTTCATTTCCGCCAATCGTTCAAAATCGTAGCAGTATTCATCGTATGTATCCGATGACATTTCCGATTCCTATAACAGCGGTGAAAACATTTTTAACTACAAATCAATTCCTCCAATCAGAAAGCTGCTTTAAAAAACACTAATTTCATTATCTAATTTTATAAAAAATTAAAAGTTTCACAAGAAAATAGCGAGAAACTGTTCAAAATCCACATCGGTTACTCTACCAAATTAATTCCGCATTCTGTAAATTATTCTCCAATTAATTTCAATTTTCAAACAAGCCGTGTCACTTATTCGAAACTATCCAAAACCGAAAACGTATCATTGTTAACTGGTTTTGAATTTTTCTCCGCTCAACGCCAGCCAGATTAACATTTCCAAAGCGATCAAATTAGCAGCAAGCCGGCACGGGAACAGCGACAACTGCTTTCCTACCTGAACGAGCGAATTAGCTGGAGTGCAGCCCAACACGCCACGCCGTAGCAAATTCCCATCGTGTGCCACAAATGTCAAGTAATCATTCTTATAGTAGCGTCCCAGTCGATGTTTGACCTGCATTTTCTTTGGTGAATTCCAGTGAATAATCTACAGAAAATAATAACAATTAGGCCTAATCTCTACCATCTTGGATCATACAGAGAAAACTAGTGGATCAAGTTTATCGATATTGAAAGGAGCAAGCACCCATGCTTTCCCTTTTTTTCGACGTGCTGTGGATTTTCTCACCTTAAAACCTGTCAGACTGTCACTGTTCACACACAGTTCACGGCTTTTTGAATGATCGGACAGTTGTGCGTTCCATTCACACGGCAACACGTAAACCAGTTCGGTGTTCTCTTTCAGGACAGCGTTAAAAATATCCTGATCGGCCTAAAAATAATACTGTATATTGTTTTGATGTTTCGGGCTTCGTCGATGTAACAGTTTATCAAAATAAAGCGTTACATAATACGGGCGAAGCTTAAACTAACTAATAACACAAAAATATCTGCAATACAACAATGCTACAAATGTACGCACAAGAATACGATACCATTACGGCCCTTTTCATATCTCATATGTTTAAACTGCTAACCCAGCAATATGTGGAAGTTCAAAATTAATCTGTGATTTTCCGAAATAAAAACTTGTAAGTCTTCCTCGCACGCAACTGACGTGGGCATAATAACACCCTACCAATGCTGTGGCTTGCATAATCGGCAGTTCGCGTTCCGTCACAGTCTTCCATTTCTCCATCCAGTGGATCTGACGCAGTTTAGGCAGATCCATCAAAATTACCCCCGTATTGTAGCCACGACCCTGCTCATCAAAAGAAACCATTCATTTGACATCATGTCAACAGCTAATTAGGACCAACCACAGATGCTCTCCTTTCCGACTCAAAGACAAGGCATAGTACAAAACCACAAAAAGTTACACAATGTTTTGTTTTATCACAGATTCTGCTTCTCTATTTATTTCAAGCTGTTACTGTTTACTTAATTTTTAACAAATGCACTTTCTTATTTCTCTTGTAATATGAAATGTTCTTTTTCTGGTTTTAAAATTATTAACTACGAGTATTAATCAGAAACCATTTACTTTTGGTGTAATTCATCAATCTTTTTAATGGTACGAGTAGTTTGGCTGATTTTCCAAGTAATCAATTCCATTCTAATTAGTACGTTTGCTATTTCCGTTTAACCATGATACTGATATTTTGAGTAAAACGTACAGTTGCCGGCCATGCTTTGTAATTCTTCCATATTCCACCCAGATACCAATCGCTCTGATTCTCCACCAGGCCGATCGCCTGCTGCTTATTAAAGCGTCGAAACAGTTCCCATAACTCGGTCACATCCGATGCGAATATGATATCGGTGTCCAATACGATCACCTTCAAACATATTTCACACATGCAACTCATTGAATAGCGCTGCGCTAATCGTTCTTAAACGGCCACTTCCGTTACACAACGACTGAAAACCGGGCCAAGACGATGGTGGTATAAGGGAGAAAAAAGAGAACTTGTGTCATTTAACAAGAGAAGGAGATACAGAGAGAAAAGAGGATTTTTGATCGATTAATGGGCTTTTTTCCAGCCCATTTCATTTAGGCACATTTTGCCGGGTTACATTAGACACGAAACATACAGGCTCCGCATAGCACATACTTTATGGAGATGATCGGGGAGGATTTGTGGGAGGACAAGCTTCATAAGACCGTAAATACCCGAATAATGCTTGTTGGGAATCCATGAAACATAAGGTTTTAATCCATCGGTCAAGTAATAGCTGGCCGTCCCTGCAAATAAATAACGTAATAAACAAACATCCCTAATTTTAAGTCATATTTCAAATTCCTTGCCGCCGGTTCAAAACGTACAGCTTGCGGCCTATTCATTGATTATTAGTGAATGATATTGATATATTATTATAATTATTACTGTCATTAAAATTCTGAATCGCTTAAAATACGCTCATGCTCACTCAAAACATTCCGATGTTCAAAGGGCATCACCAACCGTTTTCAGTATCATTTTCAGCAAAGCCAAACTAGTAAACTTCAATCACGTTTTACAGATTTGTGATTTTCACAGAATTTACTGCAGTAAAGAATATTAATTTCACACTAAGATTCCGCAGAAACACCCCTGGAATATCGTTTTCCCAACAGGAAATTGACAGTTCCGGCAGAAAAAGCCAGACCACTAAATGGAAATGACATTATAGCCGTAAAAACATGTTTGCCCGCGAATAAAATTTCCCCCCAGACACTCCGGGGGGATCAGATGACGAAAGCAAATTACCCGATCGCGCCCATCTCTCATCGTTATGCACCCTGAACTCATATAACACCCTATAATAACCCAAACAAAATTTACAAGTGCCAGGAAAACTGATACCCAAAATTCGCCCGACTATTATAGTCCAGCCGGAGCAATATATTCCAGCCGGAAATGTCCCCGTATTATCGTTCACAAGAAACACCATTCAAAAACTGTAGAAAAATGGGTAAAGATGTGTTTCACCCTCTGTTCTCACTTTCTCTGGTTTCCGGATCATTTGCCCGGCGGCCTACATTCTGGCGCGATTCTTTACCGGGACACGGTGGGAATGTTAATGCGGAACATTGGTTGGTCATTTTCTCTACTAGTCATCGGGGTCAGGTTGGTTAATAGCACTTACAATTTGCTATTTCCCACGTTTCGAATAATTTTGCCCAAATCTGCTGAGCTGGCGCATCGACAATCAAGTGCAGATGAATGGCACTACTCCGGTAGAAGAGCAAGCTTTTTATGAGGGTCGTTGCCGTGCGGGTGCTGTTGTATCCGGCTGATACAATGGCGATCTCTACCAACTGCAAACAGGAAAAAAATACTGCTATTCATATGCAACAAGAGCTATCAATAAGATTAATGCGTACTGCGCCAAGAAAGATTATTCACCAATAGGGTAAACTGATCTTACAATTCCTATAATAACATAAAACTGCAAAACCAGCAATGAAATAAAAAAATTAACTGTAAGTGACTATACTTGCACCTATTTTTTCAATTTTCTCAGCAGCACAAGCCAAATCACGAAAAAACCAAATTAATTAAGGACATTATTGGAGAATTTTTTTTAATCAAGAACATTTCGAAAAATAAAATATTTTAATTAATTAGATTAAAGGAGTAAGAAAAATTACACAAGCAATGCAGTGGAACAACGCCCTTCCTTCCTTGCCAGGCAAAACGAGGAAAAAATGGCGACCATAATGACTTTTTCGCGCTTCAACTAATCTTTTGAGACCGCAGTCCCCATTTTTCCGGTCCAAATTAACTTTTTAACGACATCCTTACTGCTGCCGGTGTAACATCCGGCAGCCCCAACTTAATCGAGCGCACCGAATTAAATTCCGCCAAGCGGATATACCGTCTCTCTTTGCAATACTTAACGAATCCCTATCACTTCTTCCCGCAAACTTACTTGGCACTTCCCCCGCTGGCTTTCATCTTTTCCAGGTCGGTGAGCTGCACCAACTAATGCGTCCTTATCAACAGGATGCTGGCTGTCCTCGCCAATGGCTGAACTGTGCCGCTGCTCGCTGTTAAAACATTTTCTTCAATGTAACCTTATAAGGCTCACAGCTGGGGATGATTGCTGGGATATTGGCCAAATGAGCCGTTCGAATCGCGGCGGGATGTAATAAAATAGACAAAACTCATAACCGGCTCAATATAACGCACGGTTGTCAATCAGTATTACGTACAACACGCGTTGTTTCTAAATGTACATAAAGACGAGTAAAAAGTCACATAAATTCAGATTTGGATATTCGAATCGCATAAAGTAAATCCATCCAACAAATTTAAGTTTTGCTTGTCGAAACTACCCTAACATAATGTAAATTAATTTCCCAACAATGTTTTCACCTGAAGCAATAAATTCAAGAAAAACCGACAATCAACGAATGAATAACATTTTATAAAGTTTACTCAGGCAAGAACATTCATAATTAATTCCAAAGGTTTCTTAAAGAATATACTGCACTCATGGTCAGAGAATGAATTCGTGATGTAACATAACTCTAAAGTTTCACAGTTCTGTTTCGGATGCTTATTTTCTCATCTTAATTTGTGTTTTCTTTCTGCTTGATTTAGCTTCATAAACTCTCCAGAATATATCGTATTCGTAATTACCTTTTGGTAATACCAGTCATCCGTGATTCACTGAAGAGCTCGGCTTTATTTACTTTTGTACTGAGCCCATACACCCGTGAGCCTATATTTAATTTCTTATTAGGCTAATCAGGGTGGACAAATTCCTCCACACCGCATTAAGAATTTCCGCGCAAGCCCAGACCAAAGGACGAAACAGAAGAGACTAACCCTGATTTTTGATCCACTTCCGGCGTAGATTGCGTACGCTGTCCGTTTTGTGGTGCGACTGGCACGGCTTCCGCCGGATACGGATACGCTTCACCATGGACATCTGCAGCACACCGAGCCCCAAATAAGCACGCTTCACTGGTTGTCATTCTATCTCTTAGCCGCACACATACATACTCGTACACAAGTTTCTTGTGCCATGAAATTATCAGCGTCCTGAATTGAATAAATTGATTTCCCTTTAGCCCGAAAAAGTGTATCTGCACTGACTATACATTCAGATCGTTAACAGAGTAAGTCGCACTTTTCCCTTGGCCCTTCCGTTGGGAACAAGGAGAAAAGCTGGCAAGCATCTTAACTGGATTTAGGTAATTTTAAAACTGTTTACCCTCATCCGGCGACTTGGAGTAAAAAAATTAAGTGCCAACAGAGTGCCGGTCAATACTCGTTGTTGAACAATGCAAAAAACGACCCCCGGCCTCCCTGCGCGGCCTAAGACACGATAAATCCATTTTCAAGTGGACTTTTAACGCTTTGCAGTTTCGCACAGCCATTTCTGTCTGGGGCCCCGTAATGCAAATATTTGACTTTAATCAGAAAAATTCCGAAAAACCGGTATTTTGCGCACTTTCCTGTCGCAGAAGAAAATATTAGTCAAGCTTATCACTTGAGTCAACTAGGGAACATTTTCTGTTCTCAGTTAACGTTGAGCGAAGTTAGTTCCGTTGTCCCTCCTGTGGATGCGATAAAATTTGTAGTAACAGTTAAACACCGTTAATGCATTTGTAACTTTCACTTAAACTTAAGCAAACTTATGTTACCAAACTTATATTCTGCGTGACGACCGCCACAATTCAAAAAATGGAAAATAAACTGAAAAACTCGAAGTCGTAGTGGCTGTATTTATTCTCAAATTATCCTACAAAAAGCTGTAGCTAAACTGCATTTCAGTATTTTATAAATTTACTGCACCTGATTTAAGTAAAAGATCAGACGTTCCGTTAATTTGCAATTTTATCATAACAATTGCAGACTTTGACAACTATATTATTAAGCTAAACCACAAAAATATTATAATACGTCTTCCTATATGTACTGTGTAAATGCGAACCTATCCAACATCACTGGAAAACACCATACGTAATTTTATGTATCTAGGAACAGGTAACAAAATCTGCCTCCAAGCACTACATCTGCTTCTTTTTCATAAAATGATTATTTTATCGAACTTCGAAAATGCCCTCGGCAGTGGCATTCGGCACTTTGTAAATTTTACCCCGAAGAATTTGCAAAAAAATGTAGCTGCCTAAACGTTGCCAATGTTAGATACTTATCACTGTATTTCATCTTCCTGGATTATAAAAATTGTTTTTCTCTTCCGCTCAACAGTTAGAGTCTAAGCAATTCGGCAATTAACCATAACCCCTCTTATCAAACGCAATAAGCCGAAGGATAAAAACACTTCATTATTTTCTTCAGTTTTATTTTCCTCTTTTTTCATACGCAACACTACTCACCGCTTATTCCGCCGCGATTCAGGTAAATCGAGATCACAAATACTCCAACAATCAAAAACAACGCCAGCCATCCGACCCGCCGCAATTTCATGATATTCCAACAATCCGCAATGTTCATTTAGCATCCACATCCAAGAGAAATGCGCAGTAAAAACTAAATAACAAAATAAATGGAGACGGAAATATACGGCGCCGCTGCCAGCAGAACAGCCGGCGATTCATAAACTACTGTAGCAACAGTGTCGCCGATTCCTCAGACTACAAACAGCTGAGAGAGCGACGAGAAAAAACACTCAAGCGACGGCTTCGTTCGTCATACAACAGAAATCAGCAACAGCAACCGAACTTAACTGTAAATAAATAATAGGAGAAATTCTCTCGCAAAATCATAAAACACGCCAGTTGAACCGGTTCACTCTTATCTGGCAAAAATGTGAATTTTCTACCTCGCCTAGCTTATGTAGAGCAACTATGCAACAGCGGTGTCAAAAGTCAAGATGATCATTACCGCTGCAGCTATTTACGCGGTGCTGCCAGCTGAAAGTGAAACCCCAACAGTTATTTATAATTCATCATCATTAGCATTTGTCAATTGCCTAGCTCAATTTAGTCTAAATTGTCCAATGCAGTTTGCATCAATTGTCCAATTCACATACTGTACTTCACCGAGGGCCGGCGCAACCGGTATCAGCGCAGTTAAGTGACATTAACAACAATAATCCATTTACAGGGAAATTATTCATTAAACTATCACCCTCATACAACAGCAGAAATCATAATTTGTTTGGAATTCAAAAGCACTGGTTACTCAGTTTACTGTAACTGTCTAGCCACTGACACAATTGGTTGACAGTGGACACACGGAAATCAGGCCGTATTACTTGTTAGACTCACTTGGTGAAAAGAACCAATTCTCCGTCCACACAACATCCGGTTGGTGTTCCCTCTGCGTTGGTGACTGGGGAAACGACTAATCAACTCAGTACATAAACACATTGGGGCCATTTCCTGCTTTAGTTTGTAATCTTTTAATTGTTCGGTCCACTCCTGATTCAATTCCCGCAACACAGAGTACGACTTCACAAACAGTCAGCCCGCGCTTCGTCGCCGCGCTACATCATGACGTGCAGCATCCTGACACAGCCGATCGAGCGAATACGTGTACGATCGATAAGATTTATCGGGATTACCAACACTTGCATCACTGCTTGGGAAAAGGCACCGGTCACGGAAAGTCAGAGGCTACGCCGCCGTACGTCGCAACACGCCTCGAAACTCAGTCGAAAGTCGAATCCGCGCAGGAGCAATCGAGCATACCCATACAAATGAATTAGTCAGGTTGCGATTATTAATTTAGTTTAAGCGTCTCCGAGTGTAAAAATAGGGTGGTTTATTGCCCGGGCAATATAGCCATAAAATTCCAATATTTATGATTAATTCACGATGAGGAATATCCGATAAATAAAGTCGTAATCAAGTATGAGTATGACAGATCAATGTTCGCGGTGGAACTTATTTCAAGGACCAAACTTGTTACACTGCGTTATGCATAAAATATTACGCATTTGGCACGCGGCACGCCGTTCTGCTGCCACCGTTCAGACGGATTAGTAACAACTTTGCAAGTTGTTATCAGAGATGGCCAATTATTTACATTAGGAAGGATTGGAAAATTCGGATTATTTCGAGATAAACTGAACTTTCAAGAAATCCAAACAGAGTTGTTATAAATTGTGCATCACCGTTTGTACTCGTATCTTCGCTGGGATCTCATGAAGACATGAACATTACAGTCCACTTGGGAGCTGTTGAATCGTTTTGAGCTCGGTTTGACTAAAAACCCAAACAGAGAGCTAATCTGGCCGCAGCCAACCACAATTAAGGCACGCCTCTTGGGTCAGATTTTCATCAGCCGCCGACCGCGGTGGTAATTTCTGCTCCGCCCATACTGTTCATCTGCCACATCTTTGATCGTTGACCCATGCTGTGGCTTGCTTGCAGATGCACAGAAATTATTACGGAATACACTCACAGATCAAATTTATGCTCTGCACTAAATCAACCGGAAATCTATGATGTAGTGCAACTTGAAATGTACCACAATACTTAATTTCAGATTATTCTGAGCTTGTCAATTAATAATTTCCTTTGGCGGTGTCGCTGTAGAGGACGATAACATACTGGTTCCACTCATTTTTATTTGTAGGGCTCGGCTCCTACGGATTACAACTTCAAAATAGTTTTTTCAAAGTTTCAGATAGCTACATTTGACAGTAATTGTATATGTAACTAATGTAAGTCTGTAGCAAGTAACAACTGTTCGTAAATATGAGACAGCAACCGTACTATAGAACAACCTACATATATCACCGTCCGCAGATATTGTATGTTTCATGCAGATATATTTCGATTTCTTTATTAGGTTCAATACCCACTTGGCCATTCTGGTCCACAAAAACGGGAGTTTCATGGTAATAACGTTCAGATATGACAGATGCAACAAATAAAAGTAACGAAACCCAAGGAAAGATTTACAAAAACATAAACATTCAACAGTACCGGAAATCTACGATATGCGTAATAGGCATGCCACCGGTCATAAAATTTATAGACAGTGAGTCCAGATAAGAAGGTGCTCAAATAATTACCAGGTAACATCCTTATCAGAGCCCGTCTTGCAACAACTTCTATGAAAATATATGTTTTGAAAAACTCCAGACATAAAATCTAAAAAATACAAAAGGGGCTCCTGCGAAAATGCTCCAGATCACAGGAATCATATGACGCCTCTACAATTCGTCCCTATCGACTTGATTGCAAATTCGATTAATGGCTTCGTTAAATTCATGCGGTCGGTCAGCGTACACATGGTGTCCCGCTCCATGTATCAGCTGCAAAAACAATAATCCGTTTGGATTTCTTCCCAAGAGAAGCAACACTCATATTCTCGTTACAACTTACGAGAACTTCCGTTCGGGAATTCGTACGATTCTCTTTGACGAGATAAGCAACTGTGTGATCTATCCATGACCGCGATCCATATACAAACGATATAGGAACTTTGTCTTCGATTTTATACATGCGCTTCAGCATGGCATTCTTGGCCCATCCATAAGGCACTGTCATGTGTTTGAATGCAACTTCGCCGCTGCAACCAAAAAATGCACATTACACTGTAATAAACACTATCTGTAAAATCGAGAAATCTTTACAAAAATCAGTAAGTATTCGTTTGCAACAATCTAACTATGGAATATTGGGAGTGGAGAGTCCAAAAACAGCGCACAAGCCAACAGCACGCAGAAAAGAAATCAATAAGTCAAAACTTTTCCACCTGTCAAAATACCTTGGTGTTTGCGCATTGCAGTGATAGATGTAGTCAAAAATGGCATTCTCTTCCTGAATGAGGTTGGCAAACTTCCGCTGCAAATCTGGACGGAACCTTCCGACCAAACGAGGTCCTAAAAGCGAAGAATTTTTTTAAAAAACTGATAAAATACCTTAACAAAAAGACAAAAAATGCAGCCATATAAATTATTTTGATCATCAAATAACTTCCTTATCCCAACGAAATTCGTTGATTCAACAACAATAGCCAGATCAAATAAAAATCGATTTAACTTTAAAAGAGCTGTGAGAGTGTCGATGGGAACCACAGCCCGGAAGTGTTATCACGATAAGCAGCTACAGTACAGTACAAATAAGCGCACTCGCTGAAGGCCTAAAGCGTAAGACAATCAGTACTTCATAGTCACAGCTGATTACACTTACTGGTAAGATAAGCACCATTACATTTTGTTCTTACTTATTAGTACGTAACTTCCTATATTCTTATATGGACATACACATACGCTACACATATGCCGCTGCATGCCGAAAATTTGAAAATTTTCATACCCCATGGTCCAGCCACGCGTAAACCAGCTAAAGGGTTAAACGGCTGTAGCATCGCCGCCGCTGTTCGAATCCACAAAGGAGCTGAAAACTGATGGGCATCTTTTTCCGATGGTCTTTCCGCCAATCCCCACGGATCAACCATGATCAGATGCCGGACATACTGTGGAAACCGTAGACAATAACTAGCAGCAATAAACGCACCCAGACTGTGGCCCAGCAAAATAAAATCCTTCAATCCTTGCTCTTTTCTCCAGGCCTCAATGGAATCAACAAATTGTTGCTCAGCTATCTCGGCGTTGGTGCTGAAGGATGGCCGTGAGGAACGTCCAAAACCCAGGAGATCGAAGGCGTACAATGGACGCCGACTGGCTAATTCGTCCAGATTGAGCGCCCACATGCCCACGCCACCACCGAAGCCATGGACCATCACCAGCGGGATGGGAGAGATTGGATCCTTGGTGTTAAGGGTAACCGTCCAAATGCGATGCGATGCCTTGTGGGATTCGGGGCGCGAAACGCCGGCTTCCGGTTGTAACGTCACGAAATATCCCTCGTATGGGCTTTTCAGATCTAAACAATTTGCAAATTTCTTTTTATCAGCTAAACTGCTACGTCGCAATTTTCCAATGAAGTACAGTACTCGTATCAATCACTTTTCAGTTTTTAAATACCTGGTTAATTTTGGTAAGGGGGGAGCAAAAATACTAAGAATTCGTAAAACGTCTATTCAAGAAACCAACAACAAAAACTAATGGCGCGAAACATACATAAGACGACTGCTAACCGCTTCCATAGAACACATAATAATAATATCAAAATAACTTGCTCACAAATCACAGTCAGCCCATTGCTCGTACCGTGTGGTAAAAATCTGCAGATGTTGGTTCACTTGGTTGTACGTATTCTTTATGGCGGCTTATGTTTTCTATGAACTTTTTTTTGTGCGTACTATACAATTCTTTGGAAACCGAAAGTTATAATTCAACAGTGTTTAACAGCTAGTAAAAAAGGTTGTTAATCAGGTCAAGTATCGTACAATAACTGTTGGTTTAATTATTTAAAATCAGTGCCACTGCCGATACGGCCGCGCCATCGCGACTACGCTGACACACAAGTAAAATTCACACTGTAAACAACAAATCAAAACGCACCAAAAGCCAACACACCTTCTCGACAGTCTACATATTACTATTGGTCACATGCCAGAAACACTGGCTGCTGCCATGTTATGTAATTAACGACGACACACTGTAGGAAACGCAACTATAACTAGAATGCATTCGCTTTGAGCTTTATAATTTTAAAGATAAGTACTTCCGACTGCAAAGGCGCAAACTGCATGAAAAGTAGACAACTTTACGGCTTACACGACAGAATTTTCCGTTCAGCAGCAGCCAGAAGATCGTCAGACGTGGGAATCCAGCGCATCCACGAAGTAGGCATCCAGCTCGTGGCTGCCCTGAAAACATTGTAGCAGAAGGTAATAACGGCGTTCGACACCACCGACAACTTGGACATGGTTGCGAGTGTCACATGGGATGACTGCTGAAAAAAACCAAAACACCAGCGCCTAGTTCGTATTAAACACTCAAGCGGGCTGTACGTTTGATTCCATGAAAAATGCTAAGCGATTGATAGCTGATTCAATGTCAACAGAAACTGATCGATAAGGCTGGTAAACTGCTGGTCCAGCTGTGCGCAGCTGACAGCGGGTTCGGTGATATAGCACTTTCTACGCATGCACCGTTTGGACGGTATATGAGTACCTTATGAATGAAGAAACTCACAGAACTTTCTCACGCTGATTGGGTATCAAAACCAGATTGATTACGTCACCGTATGCTGCCAAAATTTGAAGCAAGAAAATTACAACAAACTACAAAGCAATACTAGTATTACGGACGCACGAATACAAAAAAAGTAATTGTTTAATCAATTTTCACAATCAAAGGATTTTACAAAATGAAATTTTGCAATTTAAAGGGTTTACGATTCAGCACAGTGGAAATAAAACACAAAGTGGCAAACCAGCACAAGCACACGGAGTGGCGATGTTTTACTAAAACACCGGAAAATCTGTTGAATCTGTCAAAAAAGCGATTCAACAGAAATCTCTAGCAGTCAAGCTGTGGGTACAATAACAATTTTTCAAAAATCTGAAACTACAATGTACACTACAATAATAAAGAGAACTCATAATCGTCAACTATGCTAATTTTATTGCAAAATCTGAAAATGCAACACCAGATTTTATAAATCACCGTGATAATAATTATCTATATTATAATTCCATAGAAATGGCACTATAACCCAGCTGACTCGAAAGCGAGATAATTTCTGCCAGAAACTATGAAACCTCATTACTACAACATTTTCATATTAATTTTATACAGTTTTAAAGGGATCAGTTTTTACCTGGATTCCAGATTGGAGTCTGACTGCGATGTTCGCAAGTGGCATTTCGAAGACTTTGAATCCGCAGCCATGGATGGCAGCCAAATCAGATCGTAACTGGTGAAGAACGAATAACCAACAAAATAAACAATCTGAATCCGATACTGCGCTTTAGATACAGTCTTAAAGACCAGAATTATGCAAAATAATTAGTTTAAAGAAAGTTTAAGACACAGAACTGGAACGAGTCGAGTTTGAATAAGTGCGTTACAACAGCCGTCACACCGAGAACGTAAAAACGTAAACGGTAAACCAAAAAGTTTAATTAATCAGTTACTAACTTATTGTTAACAGTACGGTAGGAAAAGCTTTTCGGAATAGTAAATCTGTAAATGAAACAATTTGCAAAAAATTCTGACTGAGAGAATATACGTACTTACGTACAGTAACGTACGGTTAACATTTAAAAACAACTCAGGCTGTATTAAAATGGTGACTAAAGTCTAAAGTCACTAAACACAACCCTGGCGACTGCAAAGCTGGAGCGAAGGAATCTGCTGGCACCCACAACGCGAGCGGCACCTACTTTAATATGCACAGTGCTGTATTTTCAGATTATTTCTGCAACGCAATTCAAATTTCAGTACTTCTATTTATTTTGTTTTCTTGCGTGATGGCAGCCTCAACTTTTCAATTTCACTGCAGACGAAGATTGAAAACATGTTGTCTTCTTCAAATACTGTAGCCGTGCGTTCAGCAGTGCTCTCGGTTGCGTCAACAAAAAACGGAGAAGTTCGTCTGTACTGATAGCTTACCATTAGGCCACCTTCGTTGATTCAGGCGACCAAAGCAGTGCCGGACTGAATGAACTGATAAGTCAGAGCAAATTGCGAAAACGACATCTCAGGTAAAAAAATTGTTCAAATGTCTGTTCGAACATTGAGCGACCAGATTTCAAGACCCTTCGGAGTTGTCTGCTGCTGTGCAGCCTGTGCCGTAATGATGATAATATGCTAAAAATAGCAGTAATAAATGTGAGTAAACCTCATTGTCAGCACATTTGCATAAAAAACTATCCTAAAACTTTATTCAGATTCGCAAGGTGCTGCGTGAGAACATCTTCGTCACCCGGACAAAAAGGACTATACAAAATAACCTACTAACGGGAGGGCCCTCGATGCTGATGGAAATCGTGGAACAACATTGACTTGGCATGCAGAGATTACTTCCAACTAGAGCAAAAGCCGAACGGAACACGATACGTTAACCGTGGTAGCAGGGATTAGCAAATACGCGCAACTGGAGTTTCCTAGAGATCTGAGATTACGAAATATAAAAGGAGGCTAGTGCGACAAGGCCACATTTAGGTCCACGTAGGCCGTCCACTTTAGGCCACCAGATTGCGCAACCCATTGAGCGCAGAACGGTATTTGCATTCGGCGACTTGATAGTCGACAGTGCTGCATTCTTCCGAGTGTTCCAGCGCTTCCAAATGATGAAGACACTGTGTAGCCCATTTCACAAGCTGACGGAATGTAGTCGTCTTATCCTGCAACGCACCAACAGCAACAATAAGAAATTACAACATCAACAACCATCCGGAGAAAATCGTTTGAAGTATCTGCAATAAATATTCTGCTGGATACCCTTTCAACTGTCAAGTACCTCGAAGCTTTCATCCTGTAAGTCGCTGGAGCTCGCTGAAAGCTTTTCCCGGCAGAAGCGCCTGTTAAAAAAAAGTATATCGTGAAATCATAGGATCACGAGAAATCTGGGAACACTTACAAAATCCCTTCGTGCGAGTCCTTCAGGCTTTGCCCACTATGTAACTCATCCAGAACTTTCGTGGTTGAATTCGCAGCATCGACTTCTAGAAAACATTCTGCTGAATACTCTTGCCGTTATCAGGTGCACTTGGAAAACTATGTGTTCGACATTTGCACTAGCAGTGACATGAACTTATTGAAAATGCAACAGCAATAGTCAATACTGCACTCTATCGATACCTGACGTTTTAGCAGCAATCTTCTCCACCAGTGCTCGGTTAGCGTTCCGGTTGGTGACGTCATTTAAACCAACTTTTTTCGTTCTGCAACCACAAACTATTCCCTTTAGACTATACATCTAGAGACTGATGCTGTCTTCAACGGGCCCAAATTTTATAAAGGGATTATATTTTGTCCTAGTTGTTAAAATTTTGATGCCGCAGTTTGTCCCTGCCGCTCTCGTGAAAACTTACCCGGTCAGAATAGTATAATCGGTTGTACAACTATCCGAGTAAATCGCTACTGACACTTCGGAATTATCAGAAAGTTTTCGATTCCACATTTTTAGACAGAGAGGAAGAAGCTGCGGGAACAAGTCAGTGTAAAATATCGTGGAACCCTATCGGACCACAACCACTCAACAATTAGCGATCTGAATCAGGAATGCTGCATTGGAATGAGCTGCTGGATTCAGCCCAGCGCTGGCATCCCAGTGAGATTTTTCAGAATTCAATGCCGTCGGGACAAAAGAAGCAGGACAACCGTAAAATTAATTGTTTATATTCTTGAGTGGAAACAAGAACTTCATCACTTGTGGAAAGGATAACTCTAGAACTGACAAAAACGAAGTATGCACAATGCGGTTCCTTTGATTTTATTTGCTATCGGAACCGTTAACAACGACAGCTGACAAGAGCAAATTTATTGGTCTACAGTGACTCTACACGATGTTGGACTTGCCCGACTTGGAACGATGCGCTACAGAGACGTAAAAACAGCGGCAAAATTTAAACTGAAAAACAAAAGCCGACTACTTGCCAAGTAGTATGTACTTGGTATGATTCGACTCACGACGATTTCGTACTGATTCGATTCCATTCAGTGGCCACTATTCTAGCTCGTAGCCACGGCCCACGCATGATCGGCGGATGGAATCGATTCTATTCTCGATTTTAAACTGAATTCGCTTGTTGTGCTCTTCCATATACATAAGTAATGAAATAGATTTAGATTTTCAGTTCCTTCAAAAAAGGTGAACCGACGCTGTCACCACGCAGTTAAATCAGTTTTGTAAAGAGAACAAATTTATAAAATTATTTATATATATATAATTATTTATAATTGAAATTATTCATAATTATGATTATTTACTCGTTTCGGTGTTTGCGGTGTACAGTAATTAGGTTAGGCTTGATCGTCGAGAATATCGTTAGTCACAATGGGCACTGCGCGTTTCATTTTAAAATAAATGAAACGCGTTTTTTAATAAATTATTAGCCAATAAATATTGTTACGCACGGTACCTTATACCACAGTCGGCACTTGTCATGAAATGTGTTTCTCTTTTATGGAATATGCCTTGTGACACTTCTGTCCGAACACGGGAGAATCAGTTTGTTTCAACTTTGTTCCTGTTGTCATTGACCGCTAAAGTCGGGTTCTATGGGTATTTATGAATGTACAATAAGTACTTATTGTCCTTGCAGAAAACAGAACAATGAAATAATTATTATGTCTGTGGCAATAATCGCATACAGATCTCTGTGGATCTATTATTGCAATTTGTAAAAATACAAGTTGATTTTTTGAACTGTTTACTTGGTTTACTGTTGCCGAACCAATGCACATAACCGGCGTTTGTACGTGGGTCCGGCAACAGTAAACCTATGGCGTATATAGATAATTAGATATGTAATTGTTAGATGTGCTGCTGTGCAGCTGCTTGTTATTAACTTCTTTTCCTGGTGCACCTTTGATGGTCTTGCGCAAAGTAGATAACCAACCGTATGATAAGCCAGAATTCCAGTCGACAGGTACAGCAGAATGTTGAGACAGTGCGATTAGCATGCACTGCATTGCTGGTTCTCGCAAAGGAACTGGTACCTGACTTTTCGATCGATTAGTATTAAATTTTGCCATTTATAGATTTGCTTTTCCACTGATTCTTTAACTGCCTGCAGAATTTTTGAGTTTATTTATGTGGTTCTAAAATGAATACTACACCTGATAACGAAACACTGGTTTTTGTTTACGGTACCCTCAAAAGAGGCGAGCCTAATTATTACATGATGGAAAAGTGCGACGGTGGACAGAGAGCAAGATTTGTGGGTGAAGGTGAAACTGTGCGAACATTCCCGCTGGTCATTGGTTCACGGTTCAATGTTCCGCTCTTGATCGATCTCCCGGGAGATGGCCAGGTTTGTAATCTGCCATGCGTTTCTTCGGCGCGACGGTCCTAATTTGAATAACTTTGGAATGATTCGTTAATTGACTGGAAAAGCGCGTTCTACTGCTTTTCTTAAGCAACGCTTTAGTTTGGCTGTTATTAAGAGAAACGCTACGGCTGTTAAGTAAGTAAGTATCTTTTAACCCACGGGAGAATAAAGATTTTGGTTGTTTTTTAATGTTTAAGTTTTAATTGCCAAGTAGTTCACCCGCATCTGCAACTTTTGTTATTTTGATAGCTATTGCCTATTAAAAAGTTTACTTTGGAATAACCAGTTACCAATCACATTATTTTGGACATAAAAGCTGTGTTTTTTGTTATTCTGAACTTGTTATCTGCTCTGCACTAGAAAATTTCCGGGGAAATTTACGCTGTGAACAAAGAGAAGCTATCGGTACTGGATGAATTCGAGGGCGTGCCCAGCTATTACGTACGCCGCCAGGAGGAAATCCTGATGCGACCCAAAGAACGGATTGCTACTGACAGCGAGGAGCAGCCTTGTACTTACTTCTGCGACATGTATTTTATTCAAAACCATAATCCCAAATTATTGCGTTTGCCGATGATTGGTCGGTATTCCTCCTTCGATTCCCATGGACTCAGATACATTCCGTAAGCACAAAGCTGATACCACAGAAACTTCACTACTCCGTAGTCCGTAGTTACCGACTTTTATACCGCGGCTTACGTAGTACGTTACGTATGTTTCTAATAGAACTAGAAAAATGCACGTTTGGCGTGCATTGGCAGACCGGAGCGAGGTTAATGTGACGAAAAAAGTCCACTACGAAAAAATTGTCCAATAAAACATTTCTGTCGCTTATTTTTTATAAAGGGGTTGGTAAGTGTTGACAGTTACGGCTGAGGCAGTTCTAATACTCGTACGGATAAAAGTATCCCTCATAACACAGGTTGAGCAACTGGTAAAATTTCGTTGGCTTTAAATGAAAAAGATGAAGTTCAAATTTTACATTCAAAAATTGAGCATTAACGTGTGACAAATTAACAAACAAAATCATTTTTACAACGTTTTTTAAGGCTTTTTAAAAGTTGTTTGTCCGAAAACCCTATTTGCGCTAGAACGGTTAAGAGATATCGTTTTGAAACAAGTGGTCAAGAAGGGAGTTTTGACATGTTACATACAGTAACTTACCAGGGCACATAGGCATCCTCCAAATTCAAAAAATTCTAGTATTTTGTAAAATGGTAGTGCACTATTATAGATTGCTTAAAAAAAATACTTCTATCTGCTATCGTCAAGGGGGCGTGGCTATACAACAATTAAAAGTTTGCATACAATCACTGTGTAATGCAGTGCAGTACAGGTTATTCGTAATTACTATTTTAACTTTTTACTGCAGGCAGCACCGTGGACTTTTGTAGCCGTCGAGTAGAGATGTAAAAGTAGCCCACTTGGGGCGGCTCGTGCCATTGCTGCCTGTGTGCACATTTTCGAAAATTTGTTTCTAAATACAGCACGTATTCAGATCTATTCATTAGTGGTAAAAAGTATTTTGCACAAATGATTGTTTACAACACAAATCGATGAAAATTTTTCGAAAATGTGTACTCATGCAGCATTGGTCCGAGCCGCCGCAAGTTGGCTTCTTTACATCATTTAATACTCGACGGCTGCAAAAGTTCACGGTGATGCAGTAAAAGTAACATAATATAATTACGAATAACCTGTACTGCACTTCATTAATTACACAGTGATTGTATGCAAACTTTTAATTGTTGAAGAGCTGACGATGGCAGATAAAAATATTATTTTAAGCATACTATGATAGCACACTAACATTTTACAAAACATGAGAATTTTTTGAATTTGAAGGATGCCTGTGTGCCCTGGTTAAACGAAACCCCAGGGTTACTTCGGTTTCACAAGTGGACTGCAAAGATCGGGCAGTGGAGGTGGTGTTAGGGCTGATAAACTACTTGGTAGGAGAAGCCGCAAATTTCCCGAATATTGCATAAAAATTATGAACGCGCGACCTTTAGAGATAAAACGGTATTGTGAAAATTATTTTATGAAGTGAATAATAACCACGGGTATAGAGGTGCAGTTATAAGTTTTGACCTTCCAACTGACAGAAGAAGAATCAAATCACCAAGGTTTTATCATGAAGCTCCTTGATATCGCAGATTATCACCAAAAGATTGGTATTTCAACCATGGTATCTTAGGAGACACCGAAAATCGCCAGTGGAGATCTTTTTGCCGTGGTCAGTGTTGCCGGTCACTCTTTTGTGCAAATACATGAGATGTATTTGCACATCAACAGTTCTTCGTTTCTTGCGTAACGAACAAAAATTATTATTGCAAGAACTTCCGCCTAGGTCCGCACCAGAACAACACTTAACAATGACATCACGGCGGTTACCTGCGGTAACTATTTCCGTAACGAATTGACAGAATAAAGTGCTGCAGTACCGCTGTATGAATCGACTGTGACCGTGCAGTCAGATGAGTTGCCCATAACGTCATATACAACGCCTGCAGTGACGTCATAGCGGTCAGCTGCGTGGCATACTGAGTCACGCCGTGACGTCACGTGTTACTTTTGTAACACAGGCCGTAACGGACAGAAATCAATGGCTGCAGTGTTCCTCTATAGGGCCATTACAGCATGGTGCCAGCGATGACATCATTGCTGTCGGCTGCGATGACGTCATACTATTACTTCCGTAACGGAATTCCGTAACGAATTTCCGTAACGGACAGAAATCAACGAATGCATTGGTCTTGAATTAAGAGGACCTTCGCTTCGCTCCGGTCGAATATTCTATATGAAATACATAAGTTAAAGCACGCAAGTTATAAAAACACGTTTTACAATTTACGTAGATTGTATCTGTACTTCTATAGGTAGATAGAATTAGACTATATCCTGTTTATAGAAGTGCTTACTGAAGTGCGTTGCTTTGGGTGTAATAATTATTTAAATTCTCGAATAGTCGAACTGTAAACGGCGGACGAGAAAAGACGGAAGATATGATCCGATGGGATTCTTTCCCGTTTGTTGCAGTTACTTTGGTCAGTTGCGTTTACGGCGACATTGTTTATGGCCAGCATTCCTTACACTGATGCTAATACTGGTTCTACTTTATATGTTGATACACTAACCACAGCATTACTACCACGAATACTGTCTTAACAATTACGTTTAATTCCCTATACATAGTGCAGTAGTAAGCTTTCCTTTCAGAGCAGACAAAATATATATTTGGAGGGATTCTAACGTAAATTACTTACTGCATGTATGTACATTGTAGTGGAGACAGCGTGGAAGATGTTTGGGATGAAATACATTCACCGGAAGTGCACCTTCCAACCTCCACTGTACCTCCTCCTCCGTGGACGGCTTACAATCCGCCGAACCAAAGATAACTACGATTACTGTAGTCTGGTGCATCTTCTTCGTTTTCCAAATCCCTGAAGTCATTCTGGATGAATGTTACCAGCTTTTTGCTGAATTTTCCGAAGGTGCATTGGAGGTTTGCATGTGAGGAAATGCTGCTTGCAGGAAATCATGTTGTTTGTACTTAAACTTTCTGGCCGTGGTTGTTGCTTATATCGGAACGGCACTCTGTGCTCCTTGTGGACTGGATGTAAATAAATCGTGAAAATTCTAAAAACAACATTATTCCGTCTGTTGCGTGCAAACGCTCTGTATCTGTAAAAGCATCTTGTTGTCTTGCTGCTGTATCCGTTGTACTTGTAAGTTGTATGTACACGAATCTGAATTCGCTGACGCGTGCCACTTGTTGAAGTAATTTTTTATTTTTTTGCTTATATCTATATAGATATAGACACAGATATAAATATATGTAAATACGCATGATACAAGGACTTACTTAACGATACAAGTATGGCTACTGAAAGCTTATCAAAACATCGTTTGCATGGGAAAGTGTTGGTACCTGTTGTAATGCTTGCGATTAATAATTACTAATCCTATACGCACAATAGCGCGAATAAGTATATATAGTATACAGTACTCGTATTAGAAATGCATACATAATAATTTACATAATATCTTGGTATTGTACGAGTACATAACCGCTGTCGTGCAGAAACTGCGGCAGAAGCTGGGTAAAAGACAGATCGGAAAACTAATAAAGCAAATCAATTTTTTCCGTATCATATGCGTAGAATGGATTGCACCTTCCTGCAGTAATCCTTCCTGCATCTGAAAAGTGGTCATACTGTATCTAATCGCTGCTTTTGAGATACATATGCTGCTTTAAAATTGTGACAAGTCAAAAAATACAAAGCCGACAAAACCGCAAACGTATCAGCGATTGGACTAGCGAAAACATTTTAAAAACCGGCACGCGGTATAGTATAAATAATGCGGTGCATATTCTCAGAAATTTGTAAACAGTTATCTAGTTCTGTTACCATACAGGTGCAACGCTTAAACTGATATTTTGGAATCTACCGTATGTACTGTAACACTGAACCGTGCACAAAAAGCGCTGATACTTAATTCTTGCGTGCGATTTTTTATTCGCCGCAAAAGTTGTTCGGCGTTAAGTAGCTAATAACCACATTCATGACCTGTATGAGACATGTCTGCCGCAGAACTGTGCCATAAAATGATGTGTAATGTTTTAACTAGAACACGAAGTCGATGAATTGTTGGGTACGTTGTCGTTGAGCCATAAAAATTTACCATTCTACCCATACCGGTTAGTGCATTTGGGGTTTTTTCGGCATTGTATGAGCGGCATATACACACAACAAGGTGGTTTCTTGGTCGCAAATTTCTTTTCCGCCAAGGTGACGTTTGCTACCGACTGGCACAGTAAAGAATATTGTGCAAGCGTAGAGTTTTACGCACATGCCGTATATGGAGATGCAAGCTTCGACATTGGAGATTTTTAATCCATCTGCTTCTTCTGGATAGTCGGTTCGTATTCCTGTTTCCTGTTTTCTAAAGTATTCTGTAAAAGATATCGGGTAACGTTCCGTTTAACAGCGCAAATTTTGTTGTGAGACCTGTTCCCGACTGCCCGAGCTACAAATGCAAGGCAACTGTGCCTTTTGCTATCTTTTACAGCTTGTTCCAGTTGGAGTTGAAGTCGAGCGTGCATATAAAGTTTCATGTTATGCGACGCACCTGGAGTTCTGGGAAACCTGGTAGACTGATTTTCATATGACCGCTTACTTGCGCCCTCTTTAACGAAAAGATGTATTCGTACACTTTCGATTGAATGCGGAATCCGCATCATATTGATATAATGAAAAGTGAAAGCGACCTATATTTTTGGTAAGCAAAGCCAAAAGCAACAAGTACATATATAACTCATCTTTACGAATAAATGGCGCATACTGAACGCCTATATTTTATCTTTTGAAATGTGAAGTTGGATATTATGAAAGCGTTCGTGTGTTCAGCTGTTTCTTAAGAACATACTCTGTAGCTTCTAATTGCGAGCTAAGACACTTAAGTACGTGCTATTCACGTCAAAGATGACTACAATTCTAGCAGCGCGGTAATAAGCACCTTATTATTATTATTAAATGACGATTAATAGCAAATTGTCCACCGAAAAGTGCTACAAAGGATTTCCAAACTAACGTCACATCATTCTTCTCTTATAAATTGTATGTACATAAAATTTGAATTGATCGTGAATAAAATATACATGTGCACTATCGTGCAGAAGCGTGATCGAAAATGTATAAACAACGAAATTTGTTGTTGACTGCTTATTGTTTCAGGATAATACGTACACGTCTGCGTTATTTTGGATGATAATTACCAAAATCATAAGCATCCAATCATGCCAACACAAGTGACCTCGGAATACAATGAATATCCACTTCCCAGTTCGCGCCAGCCTTATCATCTTTCGCAGATGCCGCCGCCCACGGGCGCGACCCGGCTAGACCACTGGAACGGCGGTCCTATATCCAATCCTAGCATCGCTCCCACCTCCCAGACGGTCCAAACTATCCGTTCAACCAACCAGAAAATTCACTCGTACACTAACGCCCACCGGCACCATCTCCAGGAGAAAATCCCGCCCAATAAACCCTACATCGGGCTGCGACCGGCTTACCGCCCGGGGTACGCTATTTGTGTCCTGATCGCCGGCGGTATCAATCTGATCAGCGGCATCCTGATGACTGCGCTGGCATACTCGCGGGCAGTGGACGAGGATAATCTGACCGCCCGAGTACTGCGAGTTCTTGGGCCGGTAGCCATAGTAATCGGGGAATTTTTCTCATCTGTGGTTTAGTATTATTATTCCATTTTCGCCACCGGAAACGGAAAGAGCGGTTGGCCCGCGAGCGCGGACACGGGCCGATTGATCGGCCGACGCGTCGGCATCGACGACCGGAAGTGCCGCGGGAATACCAGAATCGGCATGGCACTCAAATGCCGGCCGAATCAGCTGCGGACGACTACAGCTATTATGATAGTATGCCGAAAACGCACATACGCACCGGCGGAAGGGAGTCCGGAAGACTGCAGCGGCCACCCGGAGGCGATTGGAAATATGTCAGTGATATCAAAGACGCTACACTGTCGCCCAAGTATCCACGAGAGGAGCGGAAACCTCTGGATGCCGCTGCAGGATACAGGTTTAAAATGTATCCGTACGATCAAAGTTTTCGAAGTCCGTATTCACAGACGGCAGCCGTGCCCGAAAGGTCAGTGCCAGCTGCAGCGTTACCGCCTCTTCCGACGCCACGGCAACCGCCTCGAAGGGAAACGCGGCGGGATTACGATGACCGACGTTACTGAACCATGGTTACATTTTTTTCTTACACCAAATGCGGCATTCTACCGATGAATAGGTCAAGTTTTTACAAATTATGCTGTTAATAAAACACACTGGGTGTTAATCATAATTTATAAAGTCAACTCTGAATTTTGTGCGAACGAAACGTATTTGAACTTGGATATTCAAACACCACAAACGTTATTGCATGCGCGAACGCGCCAGTAAAGTTATTTTGTAAATGCTGCGGTCGCTAAGCAAACCACCCTAAGGTTTTAAGTTATTATCTCACTGTCTAAGATTTTTCATAATCAGAACAAGCTTTTTATCATCGACTCTGGTATTGCCATCAACAAATCAGTTTTGATCTGTGGTTGTACCACTGCGGTACGTTTTCATTTCATTGCGTAACGTACATGGTACATTCATATATGCAGCAATAAAATCTCTGTCACAGTTTTGCGCAACATATAAGCTATAGAAAAATACTTTGTGAAAATATCTCTCAAGTAAACCCTTTCTCTTTTAAAATCTCTTCATCACCATCTGCAGAAAGCTCGTTCAGCTGAAACGTTGGATTGGAATAGCAGGCCGTCAGTCCGTTCATACCGTTTTTACCAACACCAAACGTTTGCTTATGGTTGATCTGATTGTCACGCACACTCCGGCGAATGCCGGACTCTACGTCTTCCGACCAGCCGGAGCGCAGGAAGCGCATTCGGGCAGCCAACACTTGCGATATGAGAATGTCCAGAATTACTTTCTGGAGGCGAAAAAAAACCAGAGTTCTATTTATCTGGCAGCATAGGGGAGTACATGTCAGATGTACAGACTTCAAACTCCTATCAGAGCAGCATAATTCTCTGACTTCTCTTATTAAGATATGTTTTGGTTACAAATTTAACTTACAGCATACGTAACAACAATCAATAATTTTAGCACATATGATAGACATAGCGTACGTGCCAATGCTATTATGGATGCACCTTGTTTAGTGTTGATACGTACCTCAAAAAGCAACGCGAGGACGAAGTATGCGATGGTAATTCCCAGGAGGACAAAGCGAAATTTCAGATCCGGCGGCACCAACAACTGTATCCAATAGAAGGATTGCTTGAGCCATCGAGTACAACTCGGTCCGCAAGCAGATTATTTAAGTAGTTCCAATATTATTTCATTCATCGTACCTGCAGCCAGTTTGCTACGGGTTCTGGTGGCCCAAGCATGCACAGAAGGTCAAAGGTCAGCGTTATTACAACTAAAGCCACGTGGAACGCTACGAAAAAGGCAGTCTTGATACTAGAAAAAATTTGTAAGATGTGCAAGATTTTCAGTTCCCGCTTCTTACGATTTGTTATCATTATTCGACGAAAAGGCGCCCCTCTCGCGAAAACCAATGACAGTAGCACAATCTGGATGGCTCCAATGGTCCACACGCAGAAATTCTCATAGCACCGGAACCGATCATTGTCGGCAATCGTCGTCTGGTTGGCGTGGAGCTGATCGAACGACTGATACCACGGTTGGTAGGCGACAATCTTGAAGGCCAGCGTCTGCGCCGCTAACACCAAGATTACATGGCCCACAAGAGAAAAGATGGAGCGGAAGGATTTAAGACTGCAGGGCGGATGGGTATTTGACAGACACCGGTACGGTGCGGTATACCCAAAGGCAATGGAGAGAATGGTTAACTGGAAGAGATCTTGCCACAGATACTGGAAATCCGACAGATTGCTCCGAATCTAAACAAGGTTTTTTGGTAATGAACAGTGACCTTTTGCGTAATGCTAAAACTGAATTTTCTGCCTAATGCTTGCTTGAATGTGTGGAAATCAAGATAGTACTTACCCAGGCTAACAGGACGGCATTGCTGAATTGGCATAGACTGTATGTGGCCATGAGAAAAAAAATCTATAAGCCCAAAAATGCAAGGTCTTTTAATATGAGCAACATCCAAATCCAGCTACTCTTGCAATCATTGTGAAAATCAAATTATCGCAAATATTTTATTAATAAATTATTGTGCACGGTTCCATGATGTACTGATCCACTTACGCCAAAAAAGGTTACCAGTGCGCAGCGCCCTTCGCGAAGTAAAAGCGGAACGCAGATGATACTGGGATTGGTGCTGGTGAATGGAGCAGCAGCGGCAGCTTCCGTCTCCGATAGCGAGATGCCGGCATTAGCAGCTTTTAATGCCTGTACCGAAATACAATCCTGGGTAAGTCGCAACATGCTTTGCCATTGAAAATCTACAAATGTAATAAACCGGCAAATGCAGTTTACTAACCCCGCAATCATTGGCCCCGTCGCCACACCTGCATTGATATGCATTAGAAATATAACGAAGTGAGATAATCTGCAGTGGTTACTTATGTACATCGCCACTTGGTAACCGACGAACTGCAACTGCTCCACAACGTATTGCTTTTCAATCGGCGATACCCGAGCAAAAATTGTTCCCTCTAACAAGAGCTGTAATGACAGGCAAAAAATTTATTTAAAAATAGAAAATTCTCCCAGACGAGTGCATTTTTAATAAATTTTCGCTGCTTGACGTATGAAAGTACGAAATAAGGTTCGTACAAGCGGAATGAGATGGTTGTGATATGTTTTGACGGCCTCCAGTGACGGTCCTGTTATGGCTATGTGGTGTTTCAAGGTCACCGGAGTTTTACAGTTGTAAGCCAGATTGCCGTTGACAGTTTTCTAAATTATGTTTTAACATACACTGTTAGATTTGATGTTATCGCGCTTTTAAAAAAACAGTGTTACTAACCTTTGAGTAAGGGTCATCGCTTTCCACTGGTGTCCATGTAACGCCCTCCTCTGTCGCATTTAATATGGTTAGCGTGTCGGTGGTTTCCAGAAATCCGCATGTCCGTCCCACGCTGATGGCGGTCTGTAAGTTGTCGCCTGTCAGCATCACTGGGCGGATGTTGGCTTTCTGCAGCTCCCGGATGACACCGGGTGTATCTGGTTTAATCTGATTTTCGAATATCACCAACCCCAATAACTGAAGATTATGCTCGATTTCTTCCCTGTAAAAAAATTTAGTTGCTTAATTTAAAAACTGCACTGCGCGCGCATTACTATTTGAATACAAACCAAACCTGCGTCATGAAAAATTACGCATATTGCAAACAATACGATGATTTCTCTATGTGTTTTGCGATGAATGACCTTTTGACTTTGGCTATCACATGTGGTTCCAGATGACCAGCCGGTTTATAAGCTACCGCAATGACCCGATTGCCCACGCTTGAAAAATGTGCTAACTGATCCAAGAAATCGACCGGAACTGTAAACAGATTAATGCCTACTCAAACAGTGTTTAATGAAAAATAGCATACATTTTTAAGAATGTTCAGGTAGAAGAATAGATTCAACTTGGTGTATCTTTTCAGCTGCAGTTTTGTTGCATACCAGAGTGAGGATCGCACATCGCCATGACCTTTTCCGGTGCGCCTTTTACGTAGAATTCTACTTCGGCGTTAGGCTGAACTTGTGCAATGACGGCCATGCGTTGCAATGACGATGTAAAGGGAAATTCTCGCAGCATTTCCACGTGCGTACCGCCATGACCCTGCATCAGTTAGCGTTTTGCGAATAGTCCAAAATCCAACAGCAATCTGTCAGAACGATTTCTGGTTTTAACTTACATACTTTTTCAACTTGGTCCTCTTTCGGTCTGGCCATTGTAATTTTTACTGTTTTTGTCCCTTCGCTCACATTTCTTATGACACTTTTCTCTTCCAGAACCTAATGAATACCTGCATTATATTTGTCGACAGAACGTATGTTATGCAATTTTTAAATTTGCTACATCTGTAAACTGATAGAATTATTTAACATCGGAATTTTTTTCGTTTAGTTTACTGCATCTGCAGTATGCATACGGGTATGTACACTTAGTCACTACACTTGTTATTTTATTACAATGCGTCGTTGAAATGCTGTCAAAAGTTTGTCAGACTTTACCCAGCCTGTACTTTCGAACATAATGACATCCAAAGGATCGCCCAGAAGCTTTCCTTGTACTTCCACCAGAGAATGGCAGGCAGCTAAAGCGCGAATCAAGGGCGAATCGGCCGATCGCGGTGTTCCATCGGTGCTGTTCTGGAAGTCTTCTATGGGTTCCCGAAATCTGTTCATTAACGAAACATCGTTACATAAAATATTCTGTTTGTTCGTAAATATGCCTTAAGTGGAGCATCCGCCCACATGCTGTGCAACTGTGCATAAAATCGTGGTACTGTTCGTACGCACTTGGCGTCCTTTGCCGGGAGCACACATTTCAGGCCTAATCCGTCCTCAGTGAGAGTTCCGGTTTTGTCAAAACACACTAGATTAATCAAGCCACACATGTTGATGGTGCGCGGGCTGAGACAGTGTATGTGCTGCTTCTTCAGACGATGCTGCGCGAAGATGATGCCGATGGTTAATGCGGCCGGAAGTGCTACAGCAAAGGTGAAGTACAATACAGTATCAGCAAGTATACTAACACGGAAATACAAAACAGTGCATCGTTTACGAAACCCTATAACGTTGTACTTCGGTAACGTTAACTTCGGTACGTTTTAATCTGTATCATTTGGGCGGAATTTATCGCCTACGGGCACCATATTAGGTACAGTATTATTTTGCTAATTAAAACCTTTATTTCAGTGTAGCACTTAAAAGGGAAATAACGCACCTGGCGGAACTGCAACCGTGACGATATCTAACGATCGGAGAACGATGTAGCGCGCTTCTTCTCCAGCCAGAATCTGGATACAATAACTTTTAAGAAATAGCAAAGTGTTCGTATTTCTGGGGTATTAGCTGTGCTGTTTTATATACCTTGACCACAATGGAGTAAATCATGCCGATTAGAGCTATGAAAGCCAATGCTCCAATGTAATAGTATGTCTGATTTTGGAAATGAAAGTCAACCGGTTTCGGATACATTATACTGCGTATGATTTCACCCTTATTCGTCATAAATCCTGCAACGGATTAATTTAATTAGCGATACGCTTGCTACTTATACAATAAAGTACTTAGTTATTTTAAATTCATTTTCTGCCAATAACGATTTATTTACAGCCTACCGGTTCGTACAACAATCGCCGTTGTGGGAGTGTCGCCATCTCCTCGAGTCTGCAAAACTTTGGTTCCCGAAAAGAGAATATGCCGACCGTGATGGCGTATGCTGAATCTCTCGTTGGTCTCGGTTGTGGATATGGCGATTTTCGGTACCGGAATACTTTCTCCTAGATACCGAAACACATTGGATGAGGATGATAACAGAAAAAGATGTAAATAATTATTTTTTATTGTAGTATTGCACAAGGGTTGGAAGATACAAATAAACTACGGGGATATCTCAACACGAATATTTTTTGAAGTGCTATTGTTTCAAACAATGCACACAAATGACATAATATTTGTAATAATTTTGTATTATTCGATCATAGCGGCCAGAGTGGTACCGCCGGTACCGGTGCTAGTACCATATGTATCGTGATTGTACTACATATGCCGGCAAAATACATTTGAAAGTCCTCTCAAAATAAGCCGTACGCCGCTTCGCAGCTCATGAATAAATCAGAGTACACTATAATAAAATTGCAGTTGTTAATAATACCACAAATGAGTTCAATTTGTCTTGAAAAGAATTAAACAACCGAAAACTCTTGGCCAAAAGTTCCAAAACAATTTTCGCTCCCACAATAGCCTAACTAATTTATTTGGCGATTCCGATTTCGACGGGAAACAGATTTAACGTACCGGTAAGAGAACTTTCATTAACGATGCACTGGCCGGAAATAAGTACCGCGTCACAGGTGACCGGTCCGCCCTCTTTGGGCAAGACGAAAATGTCGCCTGGCACCAGGCCGTGACTAGCCATAGGCTGCACGGTGCCTTCGCGTGTCATCACATGCACCACATCCTGATCCTGCACCCGGTCGTGTAGGGCGCGCTGTTGCCGGCGAATCTGGAAGACTTGCACCGATAAGGACACCAGGGAGATGCCCAGGATAATGCCGGCATAGTAATAGTATCTGTCATTCACGACACGGTCAGTTTGTTAATTTTTTTTCCGGTAACGCCGGCTTCAAGCAGTAAATGCGTGCTTACTCGATGTTAAACCACAGGATGATACTGAACAGTTGAAAGAGGTAGAAGGGATTAAGAGTCTGAAAACAATATCAGGTTAAAGAGACAGTTGATTTTTTGAGGCCGCTACACAATATACACGTATTGCCTATAAAAAAAGGAAACAGCACGATGTCGGTATAATAAAGCGGTGAGTGCCTTTCGCGATTATCATCATCCAAATACTTGTACAACACATTTATTCCAGAAGTCTCTAAACTGGCACTTCATGTCGTAAGTCACTGTTTTCGTACCTACTCGTATACTGTGTGACGACAAACGGCAACATCATTTTAATTAAGCACATCTGTTTGTTTAAAAGGTTTTCTCTAAAGAGTTTCTAATTTTGAAGGCGTTGTCACGTTGTTTTGGTAAGGCACGGTTACGTACCTATTGTACGAGCACAGGGTCGTATCTAATATAGACTATATTCATTACAGTGCAAGGCAGTTAATATTAATGGTTTAATGGTGAATAAAGCCAAAAACACAGTCAAGTGTCGAGTGCGATCGTAGCAAAATCATAAGTGTTTAAAAATGCACACTTGTTTACCTCTTTCATCAATATGTGCGGAATGGTGCTGAGCTTTACCACGATTGCGTTGACGCCAAAAAGCTTCAACCTGTTGAACAATGCACGTGCGAACAAAAACGGGCAAATCAAGTGGCAGGGTCCACTGCCAATACAAGCAATATTCTACCATCACAATCAAAAAACTATTTCATCGGTGTACCTTGGCCAAATCAAGAGAAGCTTTCGAGTAAATTATATTCCAAAACCTTTTATCAGTTGTACTGTGTACATAATTCCTTAGAAGCATGAGCTTAACGCTACTGATAACTAATATCATAGCTAAATGTATCATAATTTCTAACACGGCTTAAAAAAGTCGTTAGTTCTGTACATGTACGTCGTACCGGTGGGAGCGTTCGACTTTGCTGAGGCCTTTTTGTGATAACAGGAAATCTGTCGATACATCATAGTTTCCCGACAGTTTTTCGAATTTCTCAGTTTCTTCATCCCAGATGTAACGTACGCGACGACAGTCAAAATACCGAAGAGATTTAACAAGTAAAAAGGAACCCTGAAACGTTTAATGCGGTAAAAATCAGGTGACTCTAAATATTTGCTTTCGGTGCATATAGTGTACAACTACGTAAAATAAAATTGCATTTCAGTACATAATATCTTTATATCCATATTAATTTTTTATTTAATATAGATACTGCATTGCATAAAAGCACCCCGCATTTGTTACTTCTGAAGACGGCCTCAAAACACGCCCGGACTCCAGAATGGTGTCTTCTGGTGGCTCCCTGCAAGTTTTGAAAAAAGTATTTAGTCTCCAGGTTCAGATTTAATGGAAGATGGATGGTGTTATGCTATTAGCACATTTTATCACAAAATTTTTTCATTTCAGCTGTTTATATTTTATAAATTTTATTACTGCACAAAGTAGTATTGCACTGGAAAGTACCTGTAGAATGTCAGCTTGTCAGCGAGATCATAAATATGACCAACAAAGAGCTGGTCATAACTATCCTGAAAATAAAGAAATGCATAGCAAATTTTCGTACTTTGGAAATGATTTTGTACCTTTATATTACTTTAATTTTGTAATAGTTCATAACTTTTGTGTCTTCTCGTCAGATTGGATTACTTAGGTTAACTGCCGCTGTGCTAGTGCTTGGTAGGTTTGGCTTTAAAAATACGTACCAAATCAATCTCGAAAAAACACATTTGCATAATTAGCTCGAATCGGTTTCTAGGCCCTTAACGATGATTGTTGCACAGAACGTTTTTAATCGAAATGTTTCCGTCTCGTCTATACGGACATGCACTGAGAATTCCGGTGGACATGCACGATCGTAGAACTGACCTCTTTCCACTGGCTGAGATAGTATTCTTAATTAAATTTTTGTGCTCTTTCAAGGCTAAAATTGTTTTCGAAATCCACATACAAAATATGCAAAATTAACAGGGTATACAGAAGTGTGTAAATACCTTTAATATTAGCGTGTCGGCATCTTTCAGCGTGGACTTTCTGCACGTCAATCGGACATACCAGTCCTTCCGCCAAAATAGTAAAATGGCAAAAATTCCTCCGGTACATATTATACATAATGCCAGCACAAACTGTAAAGCTGAACTCTTCCGAAAAGGCAGCACTTCCTGTTGGAGAAATAAAGCGCATCAGTGTCATATTCACATATTAACAGCCAAACGGTGACAAAATTCATTTGGTGGCAACACGATTTTGGCAATCTGGCAGTAATAAATGAAATCAGTACGCATAAAATGCTAGTGCGCAAAAACATTGCAAAATGAAAAGATAACCAGAATTTATGTGCATGCTAATATAGAAAACCTAAAGTTCAAAAAATTACGAGATCAGTAAATGTGCGGTACAACCACACAGTGCGGTATGTTGCGGTTGTCATATACAAAAAAAGATAGAAAACAAGAAGTGTTGCTAATAAAACATTTAACTATCAAAAACAACAGCGAATTTTGGCTTATTGCTATTAATTTACCATGCGGTCATCTTCGCCATTGTTGAGAACTGTGACCTCTTGCTTCATGCTGCACACAGCAGACTATCCCTACTAAACCCTGCTAGCACGGGAACTGCTGCCGGTTAAAATGTACAGAATGCAATAAAAAGACAGCCGCACAGTCGCAACCAGTTTCCAGACAATCACCGCATTTTCGAAATCCGCACATTTACATCCATTCATCCACAATCCCCGACAATGCGATAATACCGGTGAACAATAATATTATCTAGTTAGAACCGAGTTACAGCTGAACAAAAAAATATCCTTAAAGGAATCATTGCACATGTGCACAAGGGAAAATACTGTGCCTGGACAAACACAGCGACATCAGCGTTCTGCCGGCTTAACCGAACAACATTGACAAAATGCATGGTTTGTGATAAAATTTCAAAGAGAGAAGTCCATCGCGGAAAAAAAAACACCGTAATGCAAATATGCGATTTTTATTCGCCGTTGTTGGTTAACAAACGCCGCCATGAACGATGTACATTGTTGAAATGTATATTCCGGGCGCACGTTAGTATGCGATGCTGCTGCTTCAAACGGAAATCAGCTGAATGCGCGAAAATGTAAGCCACTCTTATCGCCGCGTCGGCGGGAAGTCGCTACGGTAAAATGATCGTAAAAAACCTCAAAGTAAACGTCACTGCGGCACCTGTCAGTCAGGAACTAACATAAAAATATAGCATTCCAGATAACACCGGCGATGCGTGCACATCCGTCTTCCGCGAAACCGTTGCCTGCCGGGAAAAACTGCAACATCACAGATTGGAAATTTCTTCAATGCCCGACTTATGCCACAATGTTTCGTCATAAAATTTAGTATTTTTACTGGACAACTTGTACTGCAAACGCAAAATCAAACAGTCAACTGTTCTGAAAGAGTTCGACTGGTTTATGGAGTAAAGCTATATTGAACGTTTAAATGAAAATCTTAAAATATATAATCAGATACGAGTGTTGACCAAAGCGTTGAAGTAAGCGAAAATCGGCGAAGAGTTAAAGAGTACGATTATATTCGGGAATAAGAACATCTCTTGTCAACGACACTTGCAACTGTTTTACAAGCTTGACGCTTGGGCTTGTTTGATTAGCAGTTTAGCAATTACTAGATTTTCGAATGCCGGAGACGTTTATGTTGTTCCTCTCAACATTAACGAAAAATTTCACTAATGCAGGAATCACATACTATTGCTACGTAACAAATATATGATAGATAACGGCCTGTCGCAGTATTATAGGATACAATGCACCTGACCTGCCTAAATAGTGCTTTTCATGACAAAAACAGAAGCAACCAAAATCCCCGTAAGTGCGGTAAATGTGCAAACTTTTGTGCAATACAAAACTAAAAACATACGTTTATCCGGTTCGTGTTCGACAGTTACAACAAGCATCAAACAATCTGTAATAAACTAAAACGACCCTATAAAACGTTCGCTGTATTTGCTTAGGTTTATGTGGTCTCGTTTAACACTCCATGCAGGTTTACAAAGGTCACTGAATGCACAACGGTAAAATTTTATTACCATATTTTATTGGCAGTACATGAGAGCGTTTAACACCAAGTTCGTAACCCTTGATTCAGAGTTCCGTATCGGTTATTATTCGAATTAATGAATCTCAGACGAAACTGGATGAATTTCTACCATTGTCTAGGGATTTATTTTGCGGAATGATCTAAAAGTGCTTGATGGGCGTTTTCAATAAATGCAGTGGCAAATAGGCCAAGATATTCTGTTCACCCGCGAATTTCGAACTGCAAGACCTTCATTGCAAACTGTTGTACGGTACTCGCATCTAGCACCGGGAATAATGTTACTGGATACATGAATGTTTTATGTGACAGCTGTAAGCATCTGTAGTGAGTAATTTTTGGCACTACAGAAAGCTGTAATTCAAACTTATAAGTAAAAAAAACTTTAAGAAAAACTAAACTTATTGCTTTACAAAAATTATAGCTTAAATAAACTTAGCTTAAACTTATTGCAAACTTAAAATTTAATGTAAGTACTCGTATAATACAGCCCGTTGCTGATTGTGCGGATTGAGTGGTTGCAGCTCTGACACAACACCAGTGCTTTACGACATGCAGGGTTCATTTCATTCTGTTAATGCCGAAAGGCTTTTTAATTTAAACAAAATGAAGCTAATTAGTGTTAGTTGTCACTGATTACGAGTTCACAGCTTTTTTCGATGAATTTGAAAACAGAAAACGGTAACACCAATTAAAAAAATTGCTGTTTTTATCTTAATACTGCAGTGTGGAAATACTGTACAATGCTCATCGTTAATTGTTTTACCCTGAAAAATTCAAGATTTTATCCTTGCGATACCACCTTCAATCTGAAATTTGGTAAGAAAGCTGTGCAGTAGTACCTGCACACTGCACAGTATCTGATCAATATTCTACAGTTTTTGTTATTTTCACTGGTTTCCTGTAACGATAAAGTGGCCGTTAACGGATCCGGAACAAACAAAACTGAGGAGGTTGACAACTGAGGAGTAAGTGAGGTTGGGAGTGGCGTAAGTTTCGTAAAGTACTATAGTAGTAGAAGCCGTATCCAATCGCAATCGTTTATTATACCGGTTTCACACGCGTTACATATTATTTTCGCATCTAGCATGACGTTCCACATCACAAACATGTAAATAAATTTTTTTTGGATTGTTCCTTGTGAGAGGGTTTTCAAGTGCGAAGAAGTTGAGACCTTGGTTTGCGATGGCACGATACAGCTCTGGAGAAGTCATGATCTGAAATTGCATTGTTGTCAGAATTATCCTTGATTATTTACGAGCAACTAATGTGCCATAATGTCGGCATACGAACAATTAAGACTCTAAAGCCTCTTGGTTATTGGCAAACTCTGCTGAGGTCACCACAAAAAACATGGATAGCCAGAAGCGTTTTACTCTTTCTAAACGTGAATCATTTTGTTTACGTACAATTTTCTTAGCTCTGCAAGTCTGCCGTTACTTAGAATAGTAGAATACAATACTTACGATATAATTATACTAAGTATACTTCTTTTGAACAACCTGTTACTCATTGTTTGTTGTATGTGCTCCGTGCTCGTATGTATGTTACATACAACAGTATAGAAAATTCGTTTAGTCTACAGACTATACGAATGTATTGTACAGTACGGTAGAAACCTAATCTAAACTTTGTATCTACCATTTAAATACTTACACGGTACCAGAGAAACTAAAATTCGCCCGCCGGTCACCTACATTTCTTTGCCGCTGACGCTCAATCTTTTCAACTATGTCCGTGTGTTTGGTGGAAATTGTCATCACGCCTGGTAATAATCGCTGTTTCCAGCTGTTTCATGTTTTTTTTCGTCAGTTTTCACGGAGAAGCACTCAAATTAGTCGATACGATTTAATGATTTTGGGCAGTAAACATATTTATTTCATAGGTGCCTGATTTTTGATCTCGCATATAAAGTGTTGGTGATTACAGAAAATCAATAGTTTCCTTTATTTTGTCAAACTAAAGTAAATAATCTACTTTTGCTCACAATGGCTGAGCCAAAACGCAAAGGATGGAAAACCCGAGAATTCATCGAAAGCAGATGGAATATTACTCGTGACAATATACAGCCGGTTACTGCAACGGGATTTCTGAAGATCTGGACGAAATATGATCAAGACGGTAATTCAACAATATCAGGGTACATAAGTTATTGACAGTAAGTATGTACGAGTGTCTTTATTTTGCGCGATTCCTTATAACACCATACGGCATAAGGGTTCTCGCGTTAGTGTGAGGTCATGAACATGTCCACAATTTACTGCAGTTAAATGCATACGTCTTTAAATTTTTGTGATTACTTATGCTGGTTAGTTATTCATGTAAATTTGACTGTTAAAGTTGTGATTTATTTTTTTATTAAAATTTTATTTTTTCTATGAATTTTTGTTTATTTTCATATAATATTTTTTAGCTCGATTGTCTGCATGGGTTTGGCAGCCTTTTGTATTGTATGTACTCTGCACATCTGGCGCTTCGATACATTCACAATGAGGCTTCATTAACTCCCCGTTCACATAAAATGTTTGTATTTCAAAACATATGATTGTATTGTTCGAATTCGTTATGACTGGAAAAAATAATGAAAATCTTCAAGCAATAGTTAAAAGCATACGTCTGCAATTATATAGTCGTGTGATAATGTAGCAAATCGTTATCTGGAGCGGGAGGAAATTTCACGCTTCTTGCGGGACTTCATCAATTCCGAAGCCAGTAGCCTCGCACAGGCTGCTGAGCACGGTCGTTCTGTCACATCCGCCAATAAGGTTAGTCAAATAATTACAATAAAAACCAATTTTTAGTTTTAAAATTTTTTACAAACAATCTTATTTATCATTTTCGTGGCATGTGGCATACGTTTTGATTGGATTAATGGCTCCGCGCAATAATCCCGTCCGGCCGTCTGGAACTTGGGAAATCACTGGATGTGGCCAATATTTTACAAACCGAAACTAGATACCCCGTACTTCTTCAACGATCGCAAATTATCTTTATGTTATAGGCTAGAACGATATCTGAAAGCGACTTAAGGGAACTTACTCAAATTTTCATGGAAGAATTTGATCAAGACCGTGATGGGAAAATTTCCATAAGAGAGGTAAAAGTTCTAACCGTGTTAAATTTTTTACGACAGCCTTGGATGGTAAAATTTTCTACGTTCATTTTAAAAACAAAAATGCTTATATAAGCATCGTGATGTCGCTTTCTGCTTTCTTATACTTTCAGCACATAACTGCGTCAGTTTTTTAATAATGTATTCTGATAATTTGATTTTATGAGCGCTGTGTGTCTCTTACATTAGAAAAGCATAAAACTAACTTTAAGAATTATACTTTGCAGCAAAACGGAGAACAATTCAATTTGTATATATACTAGTGATGTATATAATATTTTAGTGTACTGATAGATGAAATTGTCGAGAACGATGCACAGATATTCAATATCTGTGCATCGTTCTCGACAATTGTACAGATATTTTATGTGCATCGTTCTCGACAATTGTACAGATATTTTATGTCTGGAGAACAATTTTAACGGTTTTAACTTTGCAGCTAACACAGATTTTACCGGTGGAAGAATGTTTCCGCGTAGTTTTAGACCATGAAATGGATGCTGCTTCCGGTCTTGACTATGTCAAAGTAAGTACGTAGGTGCAAATATTATCGTACATTGTTTATTGTACACTGTGACAATATCCTCTTATAGTCAAAATTATCAAATATATTGAAAAAAGTCTAAACTTGTTCACAAAAATTAAAAGTTTCTTGTTTTCAAAATTATACTATGCCAGAAATAACAAATCTATGTAGTGTTTATTAGAATTCAATAAAAAGACCGTAGTGCACAGAGTATTTACAGAGTATTTGCAGATATGGCAAAAGTACGACGTTGACGGTAGTGGACATTTGGAAATGGAAGAACTAAAGGTATTTATGAAATTTTCGTTGTTGATGCGAAAAAATTTCCATTTTGCTTTGGTGCTAATACTAATACTAAATTTTAAAAAATATTATCGATATTTGAAGGTAAAATTTTATTCGGTGTAGCTTTCTAACAAATACTTAGGTCAGCTTCGCATCTCCACTTGCAGCTGTTCTTACACGATCTGATCACTAAAAACCACCCCGAACGCCAAATGGATCCCAAGAAACTAACGGAACTTGCAAAAATTGTTGTAAGTACTGACTTATCCATCTTTCTGTTCGTATAATGACAAATTTGACAAACAGATATTTAACTAGTACTGGCGCTAGACTGCAGCCGAAGGCCATCTTTGAAATGTAGAACGAAAAATACACTGATAATCCTGAATGCGCATGTGAGGCAGTGTCGTGCGCTCATGAACTGGTTTGACCTTTTTTACAATTTATGAGATAAAAATTGGTTGACCTTTCATGGACGAATTGTTTTATATTGAATTTTCACTGCAAAATGCAAATTAGCATATTAAAATTTTACCAGATGACCTTATATGACACAAATGGAGATGGGCGACTGGGGCTTTCTGAGGTGGTTCGGTAAGTTTCCATGCGGCGTGCGGCAACTTGGGTAGTAGGGTCAAACTTATATAGAATTTATATAGTTGTCAGCATGCAAAACTGTGTTCTTCAAGGTTACTTCCGTCTCGGGAGAATTCGGTGCAGCTAGTGCTGGACAAGGTAAAAATCATCGCCAGCATAATACAGCGTGCGCGCACATAGCTTTTTCCAAGATCAATCAATGAGCTTGAGCTGTTATCAACTGAAAGATCTGTACAGGCGCGACAGTTGCAGCGGTTAACACAATCAGACATCAACAAAATATTGGAGCGATATGACCAGGTAAAGAATATCGAAAATTTTCGCGCATAATGCACAACAAGAAACGTACACATACCGCCTGGCTAGTGGTTAAGTAAAGTACAATCGGTTTCTCGCACCAAACTGGGTGGATGATAATTTTAATAAAATGTAGTTTTATTGCATGCATTATAAATTTTCTACAATTGTCAGTCACTATAAGCCTCAGATTATTGCAGTTTAGTCAGCTGTATTTTAATGGGTGTACGAATGTAACAACACCTTCAAAGAGCGGTTGTTGAAGACGTACATTTTATCAGGATCACAACGGGACGTTAGACGGGGAAGAACTCGAGAATCTGCTGGTTGACCTTTTGGATGCCATGCAAGGCGATAAGAGCTATTCCACCCACGATCTTAAAGAGCTGAAGCGAGCCGTGCTTAAAGGTTGTGATATGGATGGAGACGGGAAAATCTGCAAGAAGGAACTTGCGGTTATCCTCTTGGCTGTTGTCCAGTCAGGGCTTAGCGGTAAGTGTGCAATATTACTTGAGTATCGTATCTATACCAAATGATTGCGCGAAATCATAGGCATGCCTTTCGCAAGCAACTTAAGTATATCATAACACAACAAGTAACATTGCAGCATTACCTGTAACCAATATTTTTTAGCGTTATACGGCGGTATTGGCGATCCAGTCCGCAGTGCTGTGATGAACAAGAAACCAGCCCAGAAAAAATAGCAATAAATGTGAATTCGTACAAAGATTACCCCAGAATCCCGGTTTTTATGTTGCATGTGATCAATACCTAATCATGAAAATAAATTTAGTATGCTTATCAATGTAATTCGTGTGTTTGGATTCTTTGTTGAAGAAATTTCAAGTTTTGCAGTTCATCTGCGGCGGGCGTTAGTTGCAGAACTTGCGATGTTCTACGCTGGAACTACTGTTCTTTTACGCTTTCTATTTGTACAGCATCCCGCAGCTGCCAGTGTAATGTAGTACTTGTATGGAAATGGTAGGTAACAAACTGCCTTCAAAAGAAAAGGTTGAAAATGCTCATTGTATTTTTGAGCCAGACGACTTCCAAGTTCAACTTTATTTTCTCTTTAATAAAAAACGAATATTCGGCAAGCTGTCACAGAGTGGGACAATTTATACTTTCGGCAAAACGCCTGGAATACGAGCATCATGACTATTAAAAGTTCCAACTACAGTATTCCTGAATAAGACAAACTCTTTGCAAATTACTGCCCTTTTAACGGTAAAATTAAAACCTGTAAAACCGGAACGCATATCAAACTTGTAAATACAAAGTAAAACTCTTTACATAAATAAACTCTGGTACTCGCAATCAAATATAAGTCTCATCGATCCAGTCGCGTTAAATTAGCTGTGGAACTCTCGTCCGGCACGAAAGCTTTGTTTTGAAAGGTCACGCCATTAGCCGGTCCGTCCTTAGGACGATATTCGGCTCGGTCGGCCTTCAGCCGTAATTCCTCTTCCACATCGGCACGCCGCCGTGAGCGCCATTTTTTGAATCTGGTACTTCTATCCAGCCAACGAACCACTAGCCGTTCCACAATCAGCATCTACACAATAATCTGGTGTCGGTTAAATAGGTCTATGATTCTGTATCTACCAGTCATAACTAAATCAATACTATTTGCGGCACAAGCAAGAAAAAGAAGTTTTTCTAGCACATTAAGTAGATTAAGTCATTTATAAGTTACCTCAAAAGCAGCTGCTAGTATGGCCCATATAATCACGATGGCCAGAAAGATGAAACGATATCCAATATATTCGGGTGGTGGCGCATCCATCTGGAATATACGAGTAATATAACATGAGCTTTTGTCTGCAGTGAAAGTTGTCAAGATAAGTAAGTAATACATAGGTTATTATAACTGCAAAGTTGTGGTACATAAGAATTCTGAACTACTAGCTGTTTCACAATTAACTTCAATACATATGAAAATTGAACACCGGCTGTTCAAGAACGGATTTAGCAAAGCAATTACGCAGTAAAACAAGGCGGCAATGTTAATGCTATCACGATGGCACCTGTATTCCGTAAGCCAAATTGCGATCAGGACCCAGCATGCACACCAGATCGAAAACAACCATACCAACGGCCAAGATGACATGGAGATCTGTGGAAAATATGTATTAATAAAACAAATTCCCCGTTGAATAGGATGTTATACACCACATCTGATTCATCTATTACGTCTTACATTCTGGAATCCTTCATACATCTTGCATTCCAGTTTTTCAAAAAGAAGAAACGTAATGGGAATTCTAAATCAACAGCGGACGGGAAGCACTGTACTCTACTAACTCAAGCGTATTTGCACAAAAACTAGGCCATCGTCCGCTCTATCAGAACTTACAATTTCTCCAGAATGGTCGGCGAAATGGCGGTCCTCGGGCGAAGATAAATGACAGCACCACAATCTGTAGAATGCCCACCGTCCATACCGCGTAACCTTCGTACGAGCACCCCACCTCGGCAGGTGCTGTGGCGTTATCCGTTGAATTCCCGCTAGTTAAGTTCACCGCCAACGCTGTTAAGTTAAGAACCGGAGCCGGCGTGGTGGTTGCGTCGCTGGCTGCATCTGCTTTTACTTGCGGACAGACAATCGTTGTCCCGTTAGGATTACACGGTACCAGTGGAGCAACTTTGAAAGCTACAATCTGCGCGGCTAACAAAAGGAGGACGTGTCCAATTAAGGAGAACAACGAGGGGAAAGACTTTAGACTGGACGGGACGGAATCGGCCGTCAGGCGGTTATAAGGTAAGGCACAACCAATCACAATGGCCAGAACGGTCAGTTCAAATAGGTCTTCGTAGAGAAACTCCATATCCGTGAGGGTTTGTTCGATCTGTTGGAAGATTGCGATCAAGAGAGCGTAATAATTTGAAAACACTTTTCTCTCGAAATTTACCCAGTATAAAAGGACAACGGAGATAAACTGACACATGCTGTAGGTCGCCATCAGGAAGAAAATCTGCAAAACATGTCGATGTTAGTAATACAACTGACCTAGATGAAAGGTGTCATACCCCGAAAAAGGTCACCAAGGCACAGCGGCCTTCTCGCAATACTCGCACAACGCAGTGAATACTCGGGTTGGTGCTAGTGAAAGGTGCAGCGGCTGCGGCCTCGGAATCCGACAGAGAAATACCGGCATGAGCAGCTCGGAGTGCCTGCAAAAGTGCCATCATCAACATAAGTTAAATGTTCCACAATATTGCCAAGTGTGTTTCTTACACCGCAGTCGTTGGCTCCATCACCACACATGCCCACTTGATAGCCGGCACCCTGGAACTGCTCCACTACATACTGTTTCTCCAACGGTGAAACACGGGCAAAAACAGCCGTCCGCAACATAATCTGCAAAATCATTAATCATTTATATGCCTCAGTATAAACGCACAAAATGAAATTTACAAATCAGATAACAGGAGAGCTCTGCACAAAATATTGAAATACCTGCGGTAACAAGTGGCTATGGTAGGTTTTCACGATTTCCAGCATTTCACCGGACACCGCCAGCACCTGGTGTTCACCGCTGCCCCCGAAGGGATCCATATCAGAATGCTTTGCTTCCTATGTAGGAAAGACCGATTAAACCTAGCCCAATGCATGCTCTTGTGATTTGTCTTCTCGCCTTATGGCTGCCATTTTTGTCAGATGTGACTTGCTCCACAGGAATATAGTTGATAAATTTTTCATCTCCTTGAACAATTGACAGAGTTTCACTGGCGCGGACGATACCGCATTTTCCGGCCACCGCAATAGCTGTATGCATATTGTCTCCCGTTAACATAACTGTTCGGATATTGGCTTTCTCCAGTTCGCTTATGGTAGATGGGGTGTCCGACTTAATGCGGTTCTCAAACACGATAAATCCAACAAAACGCAGGTCATGTTCGGCCACTCCCCTAACAGCAAGTACGATACGTATTCGCACCCGTAGTCGATTTGCCATAATAATAATTATTGTAAAAAGCTGATGTTGGCCTATATCTATGGCGCTCCCGTAATTCTAGATCTTACGCCCCCCGTTATAAAATTACAGAGATACAACTTACCGAGTAAGTTTTCCCACATTATTAATGTCCATCCCGTCCAAAACTCGCCATGCCAGAGCAATAACACGAAACCCCTGGGAAGAAAACCCTTCCAATCGAGAGAGAGCATCAGCGGGAACTACAGAAAAGGTCTTTGCAATGGCTTTCAACAGGTCATCAACTGCTCAAGTTAACTTTCTTCGGCACCTTCATATCGCATAATTCTTGTATAAGCATCGATAAGCCAAAACTCTGTATAGGATGTTAAAATTACCAGTGTCTGGATTACAAAGAGGAATAATTTTTTCTGCTGCCCCTTTGGCGTAAAACTCAAATCGTCTTTCCGCGGTGTTGTAACCAATCATTCCCATTCGCCGCATAGTGGATTCGAAGGGATACTCTTTGTATAAAACGATCATGGCTTGCTCCTATACCGCGTTTCGTAACCAGTTAAGTACAACGTCAGTCATAATTCATTATAAAATTACTCACCTGAAATTTCCGTCCGATGGTGGCTATGGTGGGCGATACCACACGGTACAAAATCTTCCCAAACCCAGCGACTTCCGATTCACTGAGTTTCTAAATGCAAGCAAACACTCTTAGTAATAACTTGCAAAACAATGCCTATTTATGCTCACTGCATTCGGTACAATGTTTTTACCCAATGGGTGTGGTTAAACATGATCAGATCCAGCGGATCACCAACTATGGGATCTCCATGATAGTCCAAAGAATCGTCTTTATCAATGATGGACAAAGAATGGCAAGCTGTCATGGATCGTACGAGCGGCTTATCAATATCCGTAAACTGGGTTGCCTGTTTTTCAATAAAACTGCAAACAAATTATTGTACGTTTACTACGTTATGTAACTTCTTGAGAAGATAAACAGCCGCGCTAGCAGCTGGTTCTGTACCGAGAGCGACCGGTTTCAGTGGCTTCGGCTGGAAGAATGGAATGCAAGTCCAAACCATCTTCCGTGAGAGTACCTGTCTAAAATGTCACAAATCAGTTGAAGAATAAAAGATAGCATTAAAATCTTCACAAGACCTTATCAAAACAAACAAGGTTGACCAATCCGCACATGTTAATGATGCGAGGACTGATACAGAAGATCTGTTTTTTCTTCAGCCGCCACTGGGAAAATATAATTCCAACCGTTAGTGCGGCAGGTAGAGCTGAAAACAAAATGTCTCTATAAGGCAGGATGCTGCAGATAATGAATCTGGGTGTTGGGTACCAGGAGGGACCACGATGGTGATGACATCCAGTGTACGAATGGCTATTTCGCGGCGTGCCGCTGTGATTTCTTCCGGTGTAACAGCGGTATACAGGCGTGGCAACTGAAAGCACAATTTGGTTAGTGTTGTTGTTCCTGTGTTGTTGTAGCGAAATGAACTGGAGGATACTCACTTCGACTATAATAGAGTAAATCATTCCAATAAGAGCAATAAACCCCAGCACAGCAATGTACCAGAACGTTTGATTTTGGAACTGGAAATCAACTTGCCGGAAGTACATTATGCTGCGTATCAGTTCACCTTTGGATGTCATGAATCCTGAAAAAATCCATAACATCTGCCACAAACTCATAACGGATTTTTTCATTTAAACTTAAAACGACTTCCAAAAAGTAATAGTGGTTCTGGGCATACCGGTTCGTATTACACAGGCCTTTGTATAGCCATCTGTCCCAGCACGCGATTGCAGAACTTTCGTTCCACAGAACAGAATATGCCTCGTCGAGCTGCGCGCTTTAAAATACTGTTCTTTATCCGATGAGGCCAAGGCAACTTTGGATACGGGAATACTTTCACCTAAATCAAAATCGTGTTACAATTTACAGTATTAATTACTGCAACCTGGAAAAAACAGGTGTTAGGTACAATGCCGGCGTCATACGTAGAGTTACACTCTTCCAATCAGCACACCTGTTAAGGAAGCTTCATTGACAATACAATGACCACTGAGGAGAACCGCGTCGCAGACAACTTTGCATCCAGTTTTCGGAATGATAACAATATCCCCCGGTACCAAAGTTTCGCTTTTAACCGAAGCAGTTTCTCCATTCTTCTTCATGATAGTTACTAAATCGAAGTCCTGTACACGCTTGTGGAGAGCAACTTGTTGGCGTCTTGTCTCGAAAACCTAAAGAAAATCAATCGAAATTTATTTTAACCTTTTCAGACATTCAGTATCCCAAAAACGTAAAGGTCATTCAGTACTACAAGTTTACCTGTGATGCCAACGATAACAAAGAAATGCCCAGAATCACCGATGCATAAACGGTGTACCTGGCAAAGGTTAAAAAGAATATTTTGTTGATAGTTGTGGTTTACGAGTAAGTACTCACTGCTTTCACTTACGGTTCGCAGTACCACAAGATAATGCTGAAGACTTGAAACGCGTAAAACGGAGTCAATCCCTGCAAAGCTGCACGTTCACCATGCATTTCCCCGTAATTCCACAACGAAATCGCGTAGGAGGTTTGCTTACCTCTTTGATCAAAATTTTCACCAATGGATCTATTTTGATGACAATAGCGTTCAGTCCAAACAATCGCAGACTACAAAAAGAGCAAACATTCGGCGTCCAACTAACAATATGTCATCAACACATTTGCCAAGTCAGCTTAGTTATTTGTTGCCCGAAATGTTTTCCTTTATGAATCCGTCAGTTAGAATGTTTACAATTACCGGTGTACCGTTCAGAGCGCTGTATGTCATCCAGACCCTTCTGCTCATCAAAATAGTCCATCGGCACATCGGGAATGCCCAACAGTTTCTCGTACGCATTCGTATCCGTATTCCAGATGTATCGCACCCGTTTGCAATCGAAATACGTCAGCACTTTCACTTCCTCGAATTCACCCTGCCAAAGTGCCAAGGAATACGGTGAACCACGGAAAACCGGTAATTTAATTCACTCGTTCTGGTCTTTACCACTCCGAGCTTATTCATTTAAACAAAAAAATTACTAATTTATTTTTTCAAGCAACTGCGGTTTGTACATCGATGGTCTGCCATAAATACACGTATGGATAGTATCTAAATAATTTTTAGATTTTTCTAACAGCAATGGATATCTATAGAAGTAGTATAGATACATACCTTTCGGCCGTTGATGGGAGCTATAAGCGGTGCATTAGAAAGAATGCTTCCTTGTGGCGGCTTTCTATAAGAGCAACAACATCTGTTCTTCAGGTTATCACAATTCGTATAAAGCTGTACTAAAAACTTCATTATTACGCAGAACAAATTCCATTTGGGTAATCAAAATACAGCATTGCAACGCAAAAACTTGTTTCCCCCCACGCGCTCACTTTAATTAAAAACAATTCACTAATGGCTCTGCAAAATGTTCCTTACCGGTAATACTTTTCTCGGTTGGCCATATTGTACACATAGCTCACAGTTAGTTCTTCGCAAGCATCCTAAAAAATTCCGTTATTGCTGATGCCAGAAATTAAAATTCGCAAAAGTTGTATGTAAGCGCTCACCTGGAGTATAAAAACATTGGCATGTTCGACAGTAGTCCGGCGGCATGTTAGCTTCACGTACCAGTCCCGTCTCCATATAAGGAGCACAACTGCCAAAATTCCCACGGATGCCACGATCAGAATCCAGCATAATATCTTCTTAAAGAGGACGGTGGCGTACGGATCGGCGTACTAAAACCATCACATTTACCTTTACCGTAATAATTTACGGCAATGATCAACCAAACATATTTCCACCACAGCTGCGGGCACAGCATATGAATTTTAAGTCAATAACAGATTGCCGCTAACGTGATCCAAAATACACATGCCATCGGCAGCCAAGCGGCAAAATGTGCGGATGTTACTAATTGTGGAAAACATGTAACGATTCGCGTTAGCCACAAGTTTCTACCTGCAAACGCGGATCGTATCACTGATGCGGGACTGAATTCCGAACGTAGCATACGAAGGACCTATTTTACACATCGTTTTCCCAGCAGATAAATATGATTTCTCAGAAATACGCAAGTAGTTGGCAAGCGTTTACTACACACCGAGAACAGGCGAACCGAATGACACATTTAAATGGATTCGGCAATTATGTCTGGCTGAAGGGCACGGCTCCCTGACGGGAAATCGGGAGCAGCTACCAGGATTACACTGGACAGTGGACACTAACTGCAGGCAATTCCAACAGCTTGATCTTATCGTTCCAAAAGGTTTAGACGGCTAGGCTTGCCGTTTTCAAGATTACAGTCAATAAGTAAAGACAAACCGCAACATCAAGCACTTACCATCCAATCATCTTCGTTTTTGTTGAGCACTTCGCGTGGACGATGGGTCTCGTATACACTGGATTTGCGCCGTCTCCACATTGTTCTATACACCGTGTTGATGGTATGGACTCCACTACTGCGATCCGCACGAAAATGTGTATTAGCAAGTTATTCAAAGCAACTGATCGCTGATCGTCCGTAAAAATCCGCAAAGTAATAATCAATGGCCGCAAGCTGTGCGAGACATTACAGCCAATTTGTTGCCGCTGCGGGCTGCATTAGTAACATGCATATCCGTATGATATGGGTTTTGCGTTGTTCATGAATCTCGATTATACCTTGACGGTAACCACTAGCGTAGTTTCGGGAAGATCAACAGCTCATAAAGGGGATAAATAAGTGCTTACAAGCTATGCCTATGCTCAAGTGTAAGCTGATAAATAAAGCGTTAAAAAGATCAGGAGAAAACTCGGCCGCTTATTTGCTCCGCCACGCCATTGCCGAGCTAATGTCAGTACGATAAGTACTGCAGTAACTGGATATCCACGAAATTAAAGCTTACAGTTTACAAAGAAAAACGCAGGCATACGGTAAGTACTTCTATCGCTTTTAATTAAACATCGGATACGGATGCACGTAAGTTGTTGTACCTCCAAACTTGCGGTGAAAATTAATGTCCTCACATGCCTGTAAGCTAGGCTACTTCATCCTTTCGGAACACTTTTACCCTTTTAACGAACCATAAGCCCTCAACAAAATTATATGACGTAGTTTGGTACAGGCAGTGACTGTAAATTTGTACAACTTATTACTTGTAGTTATGGCTTATAAGTACTATAAACGTTGGAAAGCCGCGGGCGAAATGGCAGCAAGAACGGTTTGGCGGCACTAGTGGCATTGTTGATTCTTTTGTACGAGTACATAAATACGAGAACGCGAAGTACGAGTACAATCGTATAACTCGATAAAATTAATCGTAAATAACCATAAACTGTGGTGCTGCTGAATATTAATTAATATGGTATGCCCAAAATTACTGCACGAATTAAATGCATTGTGTTAACCGCGACATGACTAGTAACAGCATAACGCCTGCTAACCGTAAGTGCGCATTTAGGTACTGTACATGAATAGCAATTACAGCATGGTATCTATATTTATATCTGTACTGTATTAAACTGGTTTTTGAGACCGGCCAGGAGTCCATGACTATTTTGTGCATGCATAAAAACTAACATAATCTACGTATACGTCGACCCATGTACTGTACAGCAACTGTTCAATACCTGCTATACCCTATAATATTACGTAATCTACGGTGTGTACTGGACAGTGTGGACTATAACAATTAATTATTGACCCTCCTCCCAAAAACGTGCTTCCAAGAGCGCCTCGCTTTAGAGAAAAAAAGACGGACTCTATCCTGGAACGCTTGCAAATATTAGTACACTGCTGATACCGGTAAGGCCGCTGTCCATGCCGCACGCAGTTTTATCGAAGACGCTGCAATTCTGAACAAGCCACAGGTTTTCCTTAAACTAGATGTCAAGAACGCCTTCAATTCGCTTGACCGAAACTACATACTTAAATCTGCCGAAGAGTTCATGCCGGAGTACTATAAGTTTGTGTGGCAGTGCTACGCTGAACCATCAATACTGTTACACGGCATGTACAGTGTATCTTCACAGGCGGGCATCCAGCAAGGAGACCCTCTAGGCCCGCTACTGTACTGCCTTGCAACTATTGGACCCCACAAACGCCTGAAGTCGAAGCTGAAAGAGTGTTTTCTTGACGATGATGCGCTCGGCGGAGACCCTGAAGATGTCTTTGACGATCTCTGCTCACTGCAGGAGGCGCTACGAGTGCGCGGGCTAGCGCTTAATATAGCAAAATGCGAGCTGATGGTTATCGGAGGCTCCGAGGAAGAACGCCAAACCGTGTACGACGCGTTTCTTCATGCGTACCCAGACCTGCTTTGTCCCCAGCTGAAGGATCTGCATTACCTCGGTGCGCCACTCCACGATGATGCGGTTGCAGGCGCACTCGTCAGTGCTACGGAGGTAATCGCCCGAATGACGGAGCGGCTAAATCTTATACCGGCCCACCAGGCTCTGTACTTGTTAAGATGCAGCATGGGCACAGTAAAGCTGATCTATAAACTGCGCGCCAGCCGATGCTACCAGCAGAAAGCCCTGTTAAAAGCATTTGACGATATCATTCGGCAAAGCTTGACTAGCATTACCAATGTCAACATTACTGAAGACATATGGATGCAGGCATCTCTCCCGATAATAGAAGGTGGTCTCGGAATTCGAAGCGTCGAAAAGCTTGCCCTTCCGGCCTTTCTGGCCTCTGCTTATTCGGTGGCTCCATTAACATCGGAAATTATCGAGTTCCAACCACAGATCTACTGTCGTGATGCTGCTGCAGAATGGCAAGAAGTAACCCAACAAGACCTCCCACACCATGACGCGCGACCGGTCCAGAAGGTATGGGACAATCCTATTGTCCAAAACACCGTTGAACGATTACGAACGGCAGCTGGGAACGACATCTCCGAACAGGCAAGATTGAACGGTGTTAGCACGAAAGAAAACGGCGCATGGTTGGGTGCGCTTCCGGCTGCCTCCCTTGGCAACCTCCTTACAGACTCAGCAGTACGAATCGCCGCTGGTTTACGGCTTGGAGCACCGATCATCACCCCACACCGCTGTGTATGCGGTGAGTGGGCGGATGCCCGCGGTTACCACGGCTTAAGCTGCAAGAAAAGCCGCGGACGAATCCCTACGCATAAATGCCTGAACGCCATTGTGAAGCGCAGCCTCGCATCGGCCGGCTTTGAAAGCGAACTAGAGCCACAAGGTATCTTCCCTACAGACAGCAAGCGCCCAGACGGCGTTACCTTGACACCATGGGAGAGAGGACGGATGTTGGCATGGGACGCAACGTGCGTCAATACAATGGCCATATCGCACATCGTCGCGACATCCGCACGAGCGGGAGCAGCAGCAGCACAGGCCGAGCAGGGCAAGATCGAGAAATATCGCGATATCGGCCAGGACTACCTATTCCGTGCTCTGGGCTTTGAGACGCTCGGACCACCCGGACCGGAAGCTGTCCGAACAATAACGGAATTCGGACAGAAAATACGTCAGGAAACCGGCGAAAAACGAGCCACGGAATATCTTCGCCAACGGATCAGTATCGAAATACAGCGAGGAAATGCTGCATCGATCATGGGGACGGCGCCGATGGGAGCGAATTTAGACCAAATTTTCTCTGTGATTAGGCCGCCGCTGTCGATTGATGCTTGATGAGTGATAGTTTCCGAAGCTTTTGTTAAAAGTGCTCGTGTTGTAATTTGTAATAGAAATTATGTTTGATCCCGTATTCATCGTCAGGTACCCTGGTCCCTGCCCGTGGTACCGTACTTCAGTATTTAATTGTTTGATTGCGCGCATTGTCTATTTTCTTATTTTTTTTAGACTTGTGTTTTTTTAGACTCCAGTCTCCGGACTCCAGAGTATACCGGTATCACAGAGTTAACGTTGCTGGGCCGAGCTAGGACCGTTGCCTAAAATAAATTAAAAAATATTCCCATACATAATCTGGTTCCTATTTTTGTACTTTTTTAGTATAACTTTTTATTACCAATCCAACAGTGATATAGCTAAAATCGTTTGATGTGGTAGTAAGGAGCCAGGTGTGGATTAAGAGGACGTGGTGGTGGTCAGTTTTCGGCCACTCGTATAAATGCAACTCTAAAAATTGCGCAACTGATAGTTCTCCGTGTACGGTTTTTAAAACTATTGCGTGACCCAAAAAGTTTGCACTATTGGGCAGCAGAAAAATCTTATCAGTGCTCGAGTTAACCTCGAAACACGGTGCATCTACGTACCAAAGACTTAGACGTATTACTATTACCTACTCGTACTAGAGTAGTAGAGCACCGATTGCAATGCAATCGGTGGCAAGGTGGTAGCAGTAAGACTGTGAGTGCGTGTTACGACTGTTATCGCCTAAAACAAAATTATTGTATTGATTTTCCCGGGATTGTTTCGTTGCTTTGGCAGTTTATGACAGCCGGGAGAATAACACTTAAGTTAGAATAAACACTGGTAGATAATTAGTTAGGTATATGTCAATAACTTAATTAGACAATCAGGAAAATATTTATCCTGTTGACGATTTCCTTAATGCAGTACTCAGATTTATGTTTTATTTTATTAGTAAACGCGCTTAATGTGCTGTCCGCAGGTAGGAAAGCACGCAAATGATTGTATTAAAATAATAACTGTTAAAGACCAACTGTAACAAAAAAATGGAAAGCCCGGTCACTTTATTGCCTCGCAAAGCTACATCAATCAACCAATTAACCACGGAATCAATCGTACCGCCTGTTGCTGTAGCTGCCGTCCCTTGTCCGCCCTTCAGAAGAAAATGGAGAATGTTGAGCTGCAGCTGGGAATGGTAAAGGATGCGGTTAGCACCGGTTGGCAGGTGACGCGGCTGCACGGCCACTCCGTGGTCGCCACATATCCACTCGCTGAGCATGATGGCAGTGAATGCGAAATGTTGTGACAACTCCACGTCGGAAGACTGCAGCGCTTCGGCCACATATAGACACACATCCGGGCGTTCCGGACGCATGCGAAGCATTTGACTAGCGACAATGATTCCACTAGGAACCGGCAAGATCTTCTACAGTTGAATGTGCCCTTTCGCCGATCAGTTACCGATAGCAATCACGCTGTCGTATGGCAGACGGAGTGGCTTCATTCAGTCGAAGAAAAAACCAATGCAGGATCATGCCGAATCAAATTCAGCCAAAACTTACTCGGGCATAGTATCTATACTGCCAGCATCCACACCGCCGCTTTGCATCAACCAGTACAGCTTCACGACTCAGCGCAACAGCTGCACGCATCCACTGAATTGTGCATCGCCAGCATCCATCTCAGCCAGCACAACCATTAATCCGTCGGCGTCCTTCTAGTTACCCAGTTGGAAGTGCACCAGCAGCAAGAACAAATAGTATGCTGCCCCGTGATGGTTCCCCTGCATACTTCTTAACATATCCAGAGCTTCACTGTGCCGGTTGACTTCGCTATAAAGTATAAACACATCGTTCTCGCGACTTCACCACTTTTATATCCTTGACAACCAAAAAGAAAATCTGCCTTCTCACCTCAAGAACCGTGCCATATAAAACTTGTGGATGCATCCACAAGTTTCTGCTGCAGCTCGCGGAACGCGACGCCAGTTTCGTCGGCGCACAGTTGCAGTGTATTCTGGGCCTAATCCAATCCGGTCCGCAACAAACCCGCCCATTCTGCGAGAATGCAGGTCAACATACAGGATTTGCTGCTCTCGCCCATAATATCTGTAAAAAGCAGAAGCTGCGCTTTTGTTAACCGGGTACAACCACGTTTTCCTTACGCTTGTACTGACCAAAATAGCTATAGTCTAACGCGATAGTCTAACCCTCCAGGGCGTTGCATGCATCGCTTGGAGCGTCCACACCATCACAGACACATTTCCGGATAGGACAATTCTGCAACACAACCACATTATATGCCAAAAAAGTTGATAAACATTCCTTTGGCAAACGAAAATTTTTACTCGGTTAAGAGATCTACTGCAGTTTGAATGGCTTGCAAGGTTTTTCGCGGGCGATACTCCTCAAAGGCCAACTGCGCTTTCCCAATGGATAGTAAGATCAGGTTCTGCAGGCCCATATAGCGGAACCACGGCAACTGCTCCCTCAACTGCACGAGCTCCAACTCGGCCTCTTCGTCCATCGTTTGCTTAATGATAACGCCGGACGCCGGTAAAAGCTATATGCGGTCAGCTCAGGAGCGCTTCCGAATTCCTCTACAACATTCCCGAAAGTCCATTACGCATAACCGTAATTTCCACGGAAAGCCAGCGCATTACCCATTAGCTCTAGAACCAGGCTATCAGAAACCATTAAACGTTACCGTCAAAGCATTTCCGCTTGTAGCATTTAAAGTTGCAGACTGACCGTTCTTGGGGAAAATCTAAAATACTCTGTCGCAGGATAACTGATACATTCCATCCACAGTTCATTCAACTTTATTGCCAGAGCAGAGCAGCGCGAGCAGCAAGTGCATCCCATCGAGCAGCTTCATTCCAAAACACCCGACTGCTCAACGTTTGTTGCACAATCTGCAGCGTTTCGGCATCCTTGTAGGCCACCGTCAGATAGTCAGTGAGGGTTCGCACGATAACAGGATCGACGGGCAAAAGAGCATGGGATTTCACCAAATGACTGCGCGCCACCTTATGTATTTCAAGAAGATAGCACAGTATTTACAACAACATGAGCATGAAAAGTATCGTCACCACGCCGTACTCGATGTCGCGATCCTGCAGTCAAGTCCACAAACCGGGATACATGTCCGCAACAGCGAATCAGCGTAGTGCTGCAAGGCGCGTTTGAGATATTTCGGAGAATGTCGTGGATCCCGCTGGAGCATCGCACAGGCAGCGGAATAAGTAATAAGGAAGAGATGATTGTCTTTGCGCACTAACAATGCACTTTCCAATCTTCAAAGGAACAGCAGACACTCAACCAACTATATGCAAAATTTCCAAGCCAAAGGTTGGTGAAGCACACGTACAAATCGGCGGCAGCCTGAAAGTCCCCGCGGGCAAAACAAAAGATTCCCTTAAGGGTGTCCACCAGCATCTGCTCGCTTCTGTACTGTTGCCAGTAGACGTCAGATCCATTCTGTTGCTTCCGCATCCGCTTATCCGACCGAGAAGAAACTCTGCGGAACCCGAATAAAGATACACCTCCCAGTCCGGCTATCCTTGACGCATAAACTGATAAACAGCCATCATCGTCACGGCGTCTCCCAACGGTTCACGGTCGACGCAAATCCAGGCTATGGGCAGATATTTGCGACATAACAGATCCATGTGCGGTAGAAAAACGGAACGAAACAGAAATTAACTATGGTTACCACTTACCAGGTTACGTTTTCTTTTAACATGTAAGTAATTAAGTTGTAAAAAACTATTCTGGCTTTCAAAAAGTTCATCCACTGCCGTCGGAAAGCTAAATGTACTGAGCGGGCAGTTACGTAAGTAGAAATGCTGTGCACATGGCAGCCGTCACAACATGGCAACGACGCGACTTGTTTTATCTGGGTATTGCTTACTGTAACTTCCATATCTTGCTCGGAAGTCAACTGTTCGGCTGCGTTGTGGTAGAATTTCGTGTAATTTTCCTTTTTTTTGTTGTTATTTAAGCAATTCCTAGAAGCTGCTAAAGCAGGTTAGAGAAGTATAATCTTCGTATGCATAAGCTTTTTTGTCTGTGATTGGTGATTTATCGGTCGGGTAGTTTGCAGTTGGTTGGACTGTTAAGCAGAATGCCACCATCCCGTGCTTCAGCTATCCAGGAGCAATCGATCTCTTCCACAGGATCCCCGCCTGGATCTTCGTCGAGCTCTGGACGACAGACAGCCAGTTGTTCTCACACACAGAACGGGGCATCTTCTCATGTTGCAGGTAAGTAAATTATTAAATCTCGATTAATGCTCAGCAGAGTATTCAGTAATAATTTAATATACTACTTACAGTAACTACTATAGTAACTATACTCGCTATGGTACGATTCTTCCATTCATGATTACGAAGGGCTTTCTATCTTAACTATCTGAGACACTCCTTCGAACTTTCGTGGTAAAAGATTTCTAGGATATTTAGCGTTCATAGGTGGCATTATTTACATACGAGGACGTTGCAGGGGTATTATTATTTTGTTGTTACCAGTAAGGTTGACATCATCACCCGTCATTTGTTTTCTTTTACTATCAGACAAAATGAAAGCTCCATCCTCACCAGGCCGTCCTGTAGTGCGGAAGACCGCTGCCATCCCATCGGAACCAGTCAAGCGTCCGCATGCAGAGGGTGATGATAATGCAGCGGCCTTGAGTAGGAAGTCGATGAAAGGGGCGATTCCAAAAGACGGTCCGTCAACATCGAATGTTAACGGAACATCTGCCCCCATCGCATCTCCTTCGAAGAGCCTTTTTCGTCTACCGGCCGACCAGCCTGCTGCGCAGGTGATCAGTGCCAGCGACGTATCCGCTACACAGGAATGCGGCCGAATTATCCATGCTGATCTCACGAAGTAAGTACTTTGCAAAAGTTTACGAAACCAAGTTTCGTGTTTTTTATTTTATATGATGCATCCTCCGATTTGGTGCAGGTATTTATGAGGCGCAGCTTGTAATAATACGACTGTATATGGACGGGTGCGAAAAGGGGACTATAAAAAATGGCGGTGGAAAGCTGTGGCTACAGAGGTTTCCTTATTTTTTGGGTAACACTATACTCTATAGCCACCCCGAATACACTCGCTTTCTGTAGCCACCCCCTTTCCGCACCCTGTTTATTATAGACATTTTGAATTATTTTATTCGTTTAGCACACCCTGGTTTTTTGTAGGCGCCTTTTTTGCAGTTAATACTATGATAAATTATGATAATTAGTGCTTTTGTCTTTTGAATTGTGATGCACGCGTTGCACGGTTACAATCGCAGAAAGTACTCTCTCGCACGTTCAGAAAAGTAAACAAACTTTTATTTAAGATCGGCAAAACCTATTATATATTTTGTTGTAGTGATCTTCTGATTCTGGAATAATTACTATTGTCATCAAATTCAGATCCTGTAGGGAACCAGAAATGCCCTTCTGTTCTAATTTATCTTGTAGCAGAACCTGATGGTGATCTCACCGACGAATACTAAACGTTTACCAGCTTCGAAAATGATTTCGAGCAATACCAGGCAAAGACTTTGCAGAATTTTTAGGCATGAAAAGGTTAACAGGCAACATCGGTGAAATGCCATAATGTTGTGTTTTGGAAATAAGGTTTGAAATAATCTGTTCTTTTGATCATATCAGAAATAAAACAAACTAAAATGGGGCCTATAAGGACCAACAACAGGGTGCATTTATTTAAATAAACGGGTGTCTATAAAAAAAACGGTGCGAAAGGGGTGGCTGCAATGATCTCCTAATTTTTTGCAGTTTTTGAAGATGCTTATAAAAGATACCAAGCAAGTTTCGTCGAGCATTATTTAAAGCATTATTTATCCGACGGTCCTGGAAATTTCCTTATCTGATGAACCGAATAGACTTAATGCTGGTTGGAAAGTTTAGGAAACGACTTTGTGTTGCGCAGGGAACGATTTTGTGTTGCGCAAGAAGTGGTTTTGCTCAAATGTGATCGGCATGTGTAAAATAAAATGGGTGTCTACTAAAATCAATAACCGGGTGTTTTTTAATTGACAGTAAAAAAGGTGACTAAAAATATAGGAAATGAGGGTGCATAAGCTTATGAGTATATAACTGTGATTTTCTAAAATAACTGGTGATATACCGAGTCGACAGTGGCGTAGCACAGGTGGCGATAGGAACCAGATCTGGTATAAAGTTGCAATGCGGTGCCTTCGCTTTTATCTTTTTTGGTATATAGTATATTTTTAATTTGTCTTACGTAAAATAGCAGTTAATCGGTTGTATTGCTAACTGCTATGCATTGTGTTCGGGCTAGACACCATTTTGGTTGAAAAACAGGAGCAAAGAATCCAGGTTTAAGTTCAGGAATCTGTAGGACACAACTTGCTTCGATGTGAAGTTGCAGTTTCAAAACGCACCGATTAAGTGTAGCCATGTTACAGTACGTAATATCGTGTCTCGATGGTATTCTGCTATGTGAAAGCAGTTCAGTCACTGAATGCGTTCTGATAGATACTTGTATTATGGTTTCAAATTAGTTTTCGATACGAAAATGCATTTGCGACTTTTGTTTGGAATGCATAGTGCATTGTTATTGAGGTAACCATTTTCCTTAGTTTTTAAAAATTTGGGGATCAGTTCGTCTGTGTCCTGCGTAACAGATGGCGGCGACACTAATTTCATATGAAATCATGAAGACGACTCATCTTTTCCCCATAAAGAACCACGAAGGATCAAGTTAATAGCTCTTGTGGCAGGCAGCACTACGTACGCGTAAAACTTCTGCGGAAGGCTAACAAATTGCAAACGGCGTTCACGATTTCAGTAAACGAAAGTAAAACCGCAGAATGCGCTTGTCAATAAACTATGCAAGTATTTTATCCTCAAATTATCAAAAGGAGAAGTTTTGCATTAGCGAAGGATGTCGCGAGATACTGTACACTTTAATAAGAAATTCAGGCTAATCAGTGATTGCTTAGCACATTTCGCATCAAATGAATACAGGTTACCGGTACGTACTGGACAACTTGGCCAGTCTCACCTTTGTGATCGCACTGCATAAATGTCGATAAGGACATAATAATTTTTGTTTTACACTAATATTACGGTTATGGTTTGTTTCTTTTTCAGTGTTTGTCGTTTGTTAACCGATTATTACTAGATAAAAGATTTTATTTGTAATGTGAGATGGTGGTTTTATTTTAGGCATACTCGATCGTTAGAATAATGGATGGGTAAACAGTTTTCCGGCCTGGGCAGCTTATTGGTCTCAAGTGTGGATATCCATTTTTGCGCTTACTTTCTTCTGTACAGTTTCTGCTGTAGCATTAAGCATGAATCAGTCGGAAATCAGTATTTCTAAATAGAAGTATACTTATCTTTTTACAGGTATCCAACCTACGAGCGAGCTGCCCATCATGCTCATGAATGCTCTTCCGCGTGTTTATTCAAAGAGTCACACCGCGGCCTGATGGAATATGCCAAAGTTGTCCATTCACCGCTGGTTATCCCGTTGCTGTTTGGCTGGACCAGAACCACGATTAAAGCCCGCCGATCTAAAAATGATATCCGTGAAGATCGGATTAATTACAAGATGGTGTATTACAGTCCCTGTGGTGTGCTGATTCGTAGTGAAGCCAAGCTGAGCGATTATCTGGTCACTGTCAAGTCCATTCTATCCATGACGCTTTTTTCCTTTCGTTCCGATGTGGATATCACGCGGAAGTTTGTGGTTACTAAAAGCATGGTAAGTTCGGTCGGATGTCATAATGCGCCGGGCCGCCGGCCGAATTTACAATTAAGACTTCAACAATGATTTGAACAGCTGCTAATTACTTTATCACGTTGATTCGTGGAAAGCTGTTTGTGATTTTAATTATTCTTTCGGTGCAAAATTCTCAAGATATATCTTCGCATTCTGATTTACTTTTTCCGGTCGGAAATGAGATTTACAAGAGATATCGTAACGTCTATTCTTTCTCGCAGGTTAAAAAGTACCGAGAAGACATCGCGGATAAACAGCTTCTGCCAGCCAAAATCCCGTTGATTAACTGTTTTTCTGATAAACTCCCGGACACATTTAATTATAGTAAAAAGTGTGTCAAATCCGAAGCGGTGGTTAAGCTGATGGAGCGATTGAGCATCACCGAGCGTTCGCAGGGATGTGATTGTCAGGGCGTGTGCGGTCCGGGATGCTTTTGCATATCTTTGGTGGAAGACGACTACGGTTATAAGTCTTCGCGGCTGCCTGAACGATCTCTTTAGTAAGTTTCTACCTGCAGAAAGATAAGCAGCTTGAAAAGAGTTTAGCTTTCATGAATTTTATTTGAATTACCTCGGTTTACTTACATCAAGACCTTTATGGTCGGTAAATCCTGTTTTAAAGTTGTGAATTCATTGTTAATCATTTAAGTCCTTGTTCTGTTTTCTTTGTAAAATTGCAGATGTCACGAATTATCGTGCATATTGTAGCGGCACGAGTACCACTAGCAGTACTGACAAGTGTCAGCACTACCACCAGCAATGCGGAAATGATCTGTTAATTTGGCTTCTCTTACAGTATTGTGGAGTGCAATGATCACTGCAAATGCGGACCTAATTGCGGCAACCGTGTGACGACAAGCACTGTACAGTTTCCCGTGCTGCTGTATTATTATCCGACTAAAGGCTGGGGCGTCCGAGCGCTGTGTGACATTCCTATCGGAACATTCATGGGATTTTACCTTGGAAAGATCATCACTGACCAAGAAATCTCGGAGAACAACGACAAATACCTGGTGGCTCTGGACTATGAGAAGACCGTCGACCGCTCTCATGTCACTAATCCAGATGGATCCATCAGTACCACCGCGGCCGCACCCATTGCTGACGAAGAGAATATGTGCAACATTGATGGGCGGCAGTTTGGAAATGTGTCGCGTTTCTTTAATCATAGTTGCGACCCAAATCTCTTTGCGCAAAATATCCATCGGGAGATGTTCAGCTCGCGCGTCTATCACATTGGGTTTTTTACCAAGAAAGATGTGAAGGCTGGGGATGAGTTGTGCTGGGATTATGCCTACACGCCGCACAGTATTGATGGTCGGCAGATTAAGTGCATGTGTGGAGCAGCCAACTGCCGCAAATTTATGCTTTGAGACTGGACGGCGGTTGCGGATTAGGGCTTATGATCGGTTATGCCCGTGTATAACTGGCTTTTTTATTACCACGTATAATTGTTCTGCATGCTGTAGGAATCACTTTTGCCTCTTTTATGCTGGTTTTCTTCGTTTTTCCCCCATTTGGGGATTTTGTCGTACTGTTAATTCCGTCGTTATGGAAAGTGCTGCCACTATAAAATATTTTGTTGATTTTTTTGCGAATGTTATTTTGGAACTGATACTTCAAATAACAACCAGTTGACGGTTATGAATCTACCGGTATTACTTCTTTTGTGTGGATTTATCGCAGTTAGTATTTACTGATAAATAATATTGTCGTTGTCCGAATTTCTTTTCTCGTAATTTTATTAAAGCAGTATGTCTAAAGAAGCAGAAGCGGAAAGATTCTTACCGGTCAGGCGATCACCATCAAGCACCAAACATGATGCTCGAGTCACAAATCTGATTACTCGTACACTAGTAAATTCGCTGCCTAGTGCCTACGAATTTCTTTTCGAATTCCACGGTGCTCCTCTGAGGGCATCAATATATTCCTTCTCTTCCTGCCAGTGACGTTGTGCTTCCTGGTCGTCTTTTGCGGGATTTGGCAGCAGCTGCACTCTTACTCCGCTTGAACTCATTCCAGCACCAGCAATACCCAACCGATACGGAAGCAAATTCAGCGCTGTATTCGCCCGCCGCTGCCCTACGACGCTGGTCTCTACGGCCTGCCGCATCAGATTCATCTCCCGATCGCGCAGTTGCTCCAGAAATCCATTAAGTTTCGTCACCCGCATTTTGTGTTCTTCATCCATGAATTTTGCTTCGTTAAACGCACGCTCGCCTTCTTGTTTTGCTCTATTGGCTCGCATTAGGGTGTCTTCTGCTGCTGACTCCCTTTTGGAAAGGTCATCGATGGCGCGTTCTAGACGATGTTTCCGCTCTTGCAGTTCAGTCTTGTCGCGGTCCAGCCTTTCTCGTTCTAGACGGACAGCCGCAATTTCCTTATCTAAATTCTGGTGTTTCTCCTCCCAGAGCTTCTTCTCAGCTGACACCGCTTCCATGGTGGATTCGAGGTTCAACTGCTTTTTCTTCAGCTCTAGGGCATATTTGTCCTCAATTGAACGAATGGTGTCGGCAAGTCTTCTCTTGTCAGAATCAAGGATGTGCCGTTCTTCGGCCAAATTTTCCAACGCGGCTTGTTTGTCCTGCAGTACTTCTTCCATGCGCTTTTCTAGACGCTGTATTTCTTTTGTATGCTGGTTGCGAATTTTGTTACGCTCGCTATCAAATTCAGAGCGATCGCGTTGCAGAGCATAAGCTTGCTCTTCCAGTTCGGCTTCTCGTTTGAGCAATCGTTTGGAATCTTCGTCGATACGTTTCTGCATTGACTCGCGTTCCAGTTTGAAAGATTGGTTTTGCCGCTCAATTAAATTGGCCAAATCTATCAAAACATAGACTAAACAGTATAAGTATTTTTGAATTTTTTCAGATAGCAGTACTGAAGCATACTTTTTTAGCGTAATCAACGGATGCACGAAATGTCTCATCATCTGATCACAGTTTGCATAATTCTGAAAACTGATTACCTTTTAACTGATTGTCACGAACTTGTAACTGGTGGTCCTTCTCGCGCATAGCCACTTCATGTTTGTGTTCAAGTTCAGTACGCCACAATGCGAAATCGTGCGCCGATTGCTCCACGGTTGACCTTACTGCATCGATTCCGCTTTTTGCCGACAGTGCGTCTCGTAAGGAATGAATGGCTTCGGTATATTGTGATCGAACATTTTCGTGGTTGTTCTGCATATTGGTAACGTATTCAAACTGTGTTTGCAACATCCGTTGCATCGCTTCTTCGTGTTTTTCACGAATTTGTCGCATTTCCTCCCAATGTTGCTGCTCTAAAGTCATTGTCTGATCAGCATAACGGCGCAGATGCTCTTCGCGATCCTGAAGTCGCTTCTCCAGTATATCTACTTTTTTCTCTGCAACAATAATTCGCCCAAACTGTTTTTTTAAGCCAATCTATGCAAAATGAATTCAGTTAACGTTGTAGCGCAATGAAAGTGCATTCATTCATTGCGAATAAGTAAGTACTCACATGCGCAGAGCGTAGGTAAATAAAGTAATTATTGGCAATCTGCATGTACAGTCTGTAAATACTTGTACGTATTTTATCAAACAAAACTGATACAGCAGCATTCAGTACTGTATCCTTTTTGTCAAACAAATCATAAATTGCTAAAAATGAAACAGCAGAAGCAAAACCGTACCGAGGTTATCCAAATTTACTCTGTTTGATTCCAAATCGACTCCACTCTCGCCGGCAACTGCTGCATTCAGAGGAAGTCCCGTTCGGAGGCGTTGCAAATGGATATCTAGCTGCCGGCGGTTTTCGGATAAATACTGCTTCAAAAATTCTTCCGCTTGTTGCTGCTGCAGTTGTGCGGCGTGCTGCGTCTGCTGGCGAATAAACTCGTGATGACTGGCAACACGTTTGTGATCTTCGCTTTCAGCTGTGTTGATGTCCCGGATCAATTTGCCGACCATCTGGTTGGTGGACGTGTCCACTTGGGACGTCAACGGATGTCCGGGAGCCGGAAACGCAGTGTGTGCATTAGGCTCTACGGAGGCCACTGGTTGTGCTGAAGGCGTTGACATCATGCCGGAACCGCCGAATATCATACTTCTTCGTAACCTTTCCGCTTCCTGGAGAAAGCGATATTAATTTCACAATGCATTATGCAGGTTACTGCATAATCCATTTTGCAGCAGGTTCATATTGTCTAGTACTGCCATACATGGCCCTACTATCATAATTATTGTAAAATGTTTTGCTGTTACAAACTAAATAAACATTACTTTTCTCACATTTCGAGAATCCTGGTCCCGTAGAGTTTTACATGTAGGCACAATTAAAGAGAAAGTAACTGCCTAAAGCCGGTGCGGCCATACGACTAATATTTATATGTCAAATAATTTACTTTGATACGATGACTTTACAGTTAATTATACTCGTACTACTCGTAGTATTCTTGGTGTTAGACCGATAACTTAATAAACTACTTCTAATAACTGTAACACTGTCTGTTAGAATTTATAAGCTGTGCTTCAAGACAGGACTTCTATCTCTTCACCGTAATACTACAGTATATGTACAAAGTATCAATGTTTTTTCTTACAGCTCTATCATTCAGAGCAGCATCCATCGACGAATGTACGGCTGGTGGGACGGGAACAGTGACAGCGGCGTTCGTAGCGACGGATGGGGCCGGCGCAGGGGCACTCGTGGCTATCGGTGCGATTGCCGTATTTGATGCAGTGCTTCTTTCCCACGGTGGCGTCGCCAAATTCCGGAACAACGTACTCCTCGCCGGCCCGCGATTATTCGTCGTACTGTCCGTGCTATCAGGCACTGTAGCCCTGGGTAATGGAACCGCCGCCTGAGCGGTGTCGCTGTTCGTCCGTATGCCCAGACCACCGACACTAGACGCAGCGGTAACCGGACGATTACTGGCCGGAGTGGCCGCAGGCGAAGGTGGCCGCGGGACCGAGCTGGCCGCCGTGACCGGGCGTGTGGGCGCATTATCCTCGTCGTCTCCCAAGCCGAGGCGGCTACTGATAGACATTTCTCGTGGTAGCGCGGCCGTGTCCTCCATCGAAGACACTGGTTTGTTGGGCGTGGATGGTCGCCGGGTGGTTGTGTTTGTGAAGGAAGGAAAGAGGTTATCTTCGTCTTCGTCGGAAAACAATCCATCCAAAGGGATCTTGGTCGAACTGACCGGCGCGGGAGCGGGACGGACTCCCGGAAAGCGCAGTGGCGGAGGTTCGCGGCTGTTTAAGAGACTGATAGGATCCTCCACGGATGACTGCCGACCGGCAGAAGAAGTGTTGGTCTGGGATCCCAGGCCGAAAGCCATCTCATCAAATTCATCAAGCTCCTAAAACGCAAATCGCATGTATAGCATTATGCATTATATTAATACATAATACATTATATGCATTATATTAATGATAAAAACTGAAGGGGCGGCGTACTTCCTACTGTATTTGCAAAAGTCTGAATTTCATGTTAAGTCAGGTTAATGCACCAGCCCGAGCACGGTATCAAGAAAAATTAGGATTTACATAAATCAACGTACAACGTTTTCTTGCGTAAGGTCACCCTACAGGAATTCGAAGTAGCGGTCCACCAGTACTTCTACGGTTTTTATTCAGTCATTAGTTGCATCACTTACAATTCTGCTGGAGAAGCTCATCTTGCTCGGGTTATGGGACCGCTCCTACACCATGAAGTAGAGTAATAAAAGTACAGTTCTGCTTAACGCTGGCTAAGCCACCAAACGTATTCAAAAAGAAGTTTTGCCGTCACGTTTTAGAATCAGCAGTGACGAAACAGCCGAAGCTCCCAAATGATAATCTATTATTTAAGTAAAACTGAATCTCACACAGGAAAGTACGAAATTACAAGCCCTGATAGATTTGCTGGTAATTCGGGCGTAATAATTATGCTGTGCGGAAAATATTGGGAAACTAATCGATGCCCTGACTGCATGCGTATATTGTACAGGTGTGCTAGAATTGTACAATGTATGTACAGAGTGCAACATATTAAAGGCTTAGCGTTGGGAAGCACTATATATAGATTCAGGACAGCTAGGTGTACTTCCAACAGTTTTTTTTTTAATTTACTAAGCCAGAACAAACAAATTTCAAAAGCCAGTGAAGTAACTGAAGCAATGTGTACAGCAAAGTGCAACGAATTCTTAGTAAATCAATTAAGCAAAGTTAACAAAATGCTTGCTTTATGCATTGAACAGACAATCGACATGCTACAGTTCGGCGATTACTGGTTCATAATCGTATGTACCTGACCGGTAAGGAATGCTGTTTTAATAACCATATAACGTAGATAATTGCCGGGAATTTGGGACACGGTCAGTTACTCGCGCATATATTGTTAGATAGTGGATTAGTTTGAAAACACTTCGAAAACATTGCGAATAACAAAATGCACGTAAATAAATTGCACGCATGCATTGAACAGCCAAAAGAAATCTGGCAAATGAAATTTCTCGTAATTCAAAAGTTGGATTACTGTGTAACTGCGTTAAGAAATAACAATGATAACAATGACAGTAACTCTAACGCTGAAAAGGTGAAAGACTACAGTACTTACTTTCTGTCTTTCTGCTAACTGTATAGACTGTATAGTACTCGTACGCTAATTTCTGGCGTCTGTTACTATAATTCTGATTACAGTTCTCGCTTAAACCTATTTTTGTACTAATATACATTTTTGAAAAAATTTATATTAATTTATTTTCTTTGAGAAAATTTCTTTCTGAATGTCATCATTTCTTAACATTGTAACCTGTAAGTTGAATGAAAACGATTTCATCATTTGCTAGCAATCAGAAAGCTTCAAAGCCATCGTTTACCATCCATCCGCCTTGGATGGAGACCTCGATTGTAAAGGTGCAGCGATATGCACTATGGCGACTATGCAGTACTGTACTTTATAATACTGTACATTCGTACATTATTAGCTCTATGGCTAAAGTATAAACAGTAAACTGCTTTCGTTCCTGACGACTGTAAATTAAAGTGCTCACTTAATCCAGCCATTCTATTAGAAACCCAGTTCTCCCATGGGAAACTGTTCCACGGATGAGGGACACAAATTCATCCAGTTATCTCCTAGTGCGCGAACGCCTTCGGTTACGCCTTCAGTGCATAATATCTTGTTATTGATCATAAGTTGGGCAAAACCCTACACCCTACGAGTGGCTTTGCAATTTTATCCCTACGGCCTACAGTAGCTTGTGTCGACTGTCGAGTACGTAGCGATTTTGCATTTTCGCAGAGGTGTCAGTTCGGAATATACTCACTTACATTAACTGTCGCACGCTACTTTTGTGTCTCTTCCAGAATTATGTCACGTCGCCATTACATTTTCGTCTATGGGACGCTGAAGTCCAATGAACCCAATCACCATGTTCTGCTGGATAAAGGATATGTGGATTCAAATACAGCGTTCGTAGGGAATGCCTTGACAATCGAATATTATCCCATGGTTATCGCCACACGGTATAATATCCCATTTGTTCTGGATAAACCTCATAATGGCCATGTAAGTGCTGAAGGTTTTTGATAATTTTTTCCAATTGTTGACTGGATTACGCCATTACGGGCAAATAATTATGCGGATAATGTATAACCAACTCAGCTCAGTGAAATTCTGAAGTCATTCTGCAACTTCGTCGCAAAAATTTCATGTGTTTTGCTGCGACAACAACTCTTGCTTGGTCATAACATGGGTATCGGGACTCTCTCGTGGTTTGAACTTGTTTAATTCATTGCCAAATTTATCAGTTTCTTTTTGTCCTCAACGTTTTAGAGAATTCACGGCGAAGTGTACCTGGTAACGGAGAGCACACTCAGTCGCCTGGATGAGCTGGAATGCCATCCGCATTATTATGAACGCCGCCCGGTGCAGGTTGAACTGCTGCCCAGAGATCCCGACACCAGCAGCGAGAGCGATTCCGATGGACAGTCGCACGTCGTCACCTGTGATATGTACTTGTTCCATGGATTTGATCCGAAGCTGTTGGAGTTGCCCTTCATCTCCAACTATTCATCAACCGGATCTCACGGGTTGGAGTATGTCGTGTCTAGTAAACGGGTGGCGGAGGAAGTGATGGCCCACAAAATGGAGGTCAAACTGCCCATCCCCAACCCGAAATAAGGCATCCGCGGAAACAAGTCTGCAAATTGCGAAGAATTTTTGGGCTTCAGTGTCTGGTTATTTGATTTGTTGTTTGAGTCTTTTGTTAAAAAACGCTTGTGATTTGTATTTTGTAGAGTGGTTAACGTGGCACTGCTAGCATTCCTTGCCGCTGGAATTGGGATGACTGTATGTGCAGTCTGTATTGATAGAGCTGCTTGTATGTGCACTGTGCAGGAAAGTAGTTTGTAGAACAGTCATTTACGCACTTAACTGTGTTAAAAGTATTTTGTGACTTGTGCAAAAGGTATTTTATCTGGGAATTGTCTGGTGTAAGTTTGTAACATACAAGATCCGTACAATTTAGGGATTCCGTTTGTTTTCTTTCGCTTGGGAAACACATAATCCCACACCCGACTGACCATCCGCCGTACAGTTCTTCCTTTCCCTCTCACTTATGCTCACTGGTTTTTATTTGATCACCAGTGTCGAATGCAGCTCTTTAATTCCAAAGCAAAAGTTTTGCATATGTTGAGTGTAGTCAACAAAATAAAAAAGTAATCTTGTAATGATTGTATGAGTGCAATTCCTGTTGTAGAGCGCTACAGCAAGATGTACAGTACTGTAATTATTGTAAAATTCCACTGGTAATTACGATAGGACATGGATACGAGATTTATGGACAGTACATGCATACGATCGTATAGAAGTAAATGTAATGCAACTAACTAATGCAAAATGCCAGTCTTTCTGTGCATTATTACACATAATTAACAGATATAACCAGATACAACTTAATCGATATACTATATAACCAGTATATAATATATACACTATATATATATATATAAATATATATATATATATATATATATATATATATATATATATATATATATATATATATATATATATATATATATATATATATATATATATATATATATATATATATATATATATATATCAAGGTAAAGATCTATATTACAACGGAAAACCCCGTACGATCTGGTCAGAACAAATCAAAAAATTAATCGAAAAACTGCTAACGCCATTCGATTCAGCATGTCTGGAAACTGTGTCACATGCATTTTGTTTTGGTAATTATCCGCTCCGGCTCCCGTTCACAAACGCCGGTGCCGGTAGAGCTGAAAGCTCAAGGTGACCTTGAAAACAAATTCAAAGTCCGGTTGCATAGTGCACAAAATCAGTTAATTTAAACTGGCCGTACTTTTTTAGATCAACAAATTAAAAAGGTTTCACTGTAACTCCTACAAAATTTAAAAAGCCAATTAGCAGTAACACAGACGATGCTGCTAGTGGATGGCTTCGAAAACATGACTTAAGGATAAGACCGCTCGTTAAAAGCCGTTTAGCTGTGACTGCGACCAAAAGAAATCGTTCAAACGGGCTGACCTTTCGTTACAGTCCGAGCAAAACTAAGGACAGTGAGTAATAATTAATCAGCTTATACCAGTCCTTAAATTATTCCGTATAATACGGAATAATAATACGGTATCTGTATTCTAGGTTTTTTATTACCACAAAAAATGAAAAGGGATACGAGTACACGAACCCAACATTCCCGTACAGAATCCGCAGAAAACATTTCCATAATCTGAATGCCCATATTCAAAAGACCGGCGCGGTATTACATTCACTGAGCCCGTTAGGTAAACGAGTGACCGAAGTACCACTGCAAGCATTCTCTAGGTAAAATTTAGTATCTGGTAGTCTCAGAGTCGGGAAGGAAAGTTAACAAAAACTTCCTGCTGAGTCAAAGGGACTGCATCTGAGTGCACAAAAGCCATAAATTCACGTTTTATCTTATCTGCGTTTTAGCGCTATTTTCGGACCATTTCGTTTCGCTGAAGGAATAAGGTGTTAACTAAATAGCTGATCGAAATCATTTAAATAAACCGGCCGTAGACTTTAGACCACAAGAAACGCGGAGGCGAAGCCGAGGCTGTTTCTTGTATATATATATACATATATTACTTCTTCATCGAATTTCGAAAACAGCTGCTTCCACCGTGCGGGTTTAGCATGGGGTTTCAAGACGTTTGCGCAGAGTTGTTCGCGGGATGGCGTGGATTTTCGCGGCTTCGCTGACAGAAACACCGTTCTCTTTTACATCAGCGCAAGCTTGTAGAATGCGTTTTTCCATTGTGCTGCTTTGTTTTCGCTTGTTACTCTCACAATTCTCAACACACTGACGCACTGTGAAGTGTGAACGCATAAAATAACTCTGTAGGAAAACAAGTTTGAGTGCTCGCTGCAGCCGCACATACGTGATTAATGAGTGAAATAAGCTGGCGTAGTGTAGTGGCTCTCGGGGCGCGGCTTAAGCGTTTTGTCTCGGGTTTTTTGCAACATAAATAACGAAAGAACGGTACAACCGATTTAACAATTTTAAGTACTCTGTAAAGAACAAGTTGAGCTGAACATGCTGTACCAAAAAACCGGAAGAAAATCGGTTCTGGGGCCACACCCTGGCCACTTTAAGGTATGTCGCCCATTGACTTAACATAGGTGGCCACTTGAAGGTATTTACGTGGGTTTTTTCAACAGTTGTTTTGGGGAGATTGTATACTTACTTCCACCATCAACTACTTGTCGGAATTTATCGTTCGGAAACCAAGCGTCCTCCGGTGTCCTTGACGTTATGCTTCCAAAATAACCTGGCAGCCTGTGTATGTTCTACTTTATGACAGGAATATCACAGTCGCAATGTCGTAACTCGTAACTACAGCCCTGGGCAGCCAAGTTGGGGCACTTTTGTAAAACAACCGGCAAATATTTGTAGGCCTTGTTCTGTTCTTATATTTAGACTTATCCCGTGTAACTTTTTATCGCAAATCCAGAAATACTAAAATTGGACTTTTTTGATCGCTCAGTAACGAGCCGAGCGTTGATTTAGGGGGAGAGGTAGCAGTCCTTTTTGGGATGCTTACATCTGCCGCTCTAATAAATTCCCCAGTTCATATTTTCGTGTGAGGTTTTCTGCTAACTCTTGGGTAACCCCAAAGGTATTTGCCACGGGAGAGAACAAAAATTTTGCGTGATCAGTGGTGGGCTTAGCGTTGCAACAAGGGGCATCGCCCATTGACTTGTATGTTAAAAACGGCCTACCGAAGATTGTGGTTGCCTGGCGCACAGATTGAAATAACCTAAAACTATTACTTTCAGTGCATAAGTTGTAGGCCCTGTTAGTTGATTTTCATGTGCAAAGGAATACCCGCCTCATAGACGGGGAGGTGGGAGTTCCAGAAGAGTGGAAGAAAAAAACAGCAAAGCTGTTGCGACAAAAAGTTATGGTGGCTGTTGACGGTTGGTTGAGCCGACTGTCTTCGGCTTGTTACGTGGATTAAAAACCTGAAACTGACGCTTAATGCTCTGGGAGTGAGATTTTAAGAAAAACGGTCTTCTCTGGCATTCTGCGGGTGCGCGACGAGCTTGGAAATAAGGTCATGCTTCATTTTAGCAGTGCTCGCCGACGCACTGCAAAGGTCATTGAGGCTTGACTGAAATCGACTGTTGTCATGCACCTCCCTTAGTAGAATTGGATGGTGAACAACTATGGTTTATCATCTTAACACTATGGCCTTAGTGGAATTTAAAAAAAAATTTTAAGTGCGAGGAGAACCGTCACTGCATACGAGTTTAGCGGTATTTTGCTGCTGGTCTGCCTCAGTTTTCAGCTCACTGCGATTTCATGCACGTTCTAAACATGGATACCTACAGTTCAAAAGATGCCGGACACCTTCGGCAATAATGTAAAAAATAAATATTTAATTATTTATTAACAGCAGACACGTAGTGATTTTTGGAAGAAACTGCCCCAACTTGGCTGCCCAGGGCTGTAATTTTGGAATTCGCCCATACACTGGCTGAATTCGTTGCGAGCTGTTGCTCGGATTTTTCCAACGTGAACATTAATAAAATCTGTACGTGTAACCCGCGCATACAAATGGTCTATTTATGCACAGACGTCTCGATTGACAATCACACTTTAATTACTCGTACATAAGTACTACACTTTTATTTAGAATGGTATTTTATGACTGTGTTGTAAGCATTTATCTTACTTGTCCGGTCTGTTTTTGAAATGGACAACTGCAGTACTTTACTCAAGTTAACCTCTCATAACGCACTCACTGGTTCCGCATAAATTTTTTACAATTGCATGTAATGCGTTAGCTGCAGATGCACCAAATAAAATGCCGGTAAAGCGGCCGGACTATTCACCGATGCCAAGCGAAAACGCCTAATTATTTTCCGCCTGGGGCGCTGATGCAGGAATATGAAAAACTACCAGTACAAGCACAACATTCTAAGTTTTGATTGGGATAATTCGTTTTGCAAGATGGATCACCCTGGAAGCCGCAGGAATAAGCACTGCATGTTGGTTTATTTCCGGATGGATTACTTTGCTGTTGTTGTTGTTGTTGTTGCTGCTGCTGTTGCTGGCCGTTTTGCTGCGAACCGGCACTATTCTGCTGTTGGGGAGGTCCACCTGGTCCTCCTGGTCCCCCTGGACCTCCTGGGCCACCTGGCCCGCCTGGTCCGCCTGGGCCGCCTGGACCACCTGGACCACCTGGACCAGTCGGAATCGACGAGTCTTTTCCCGCACCCCCCGTTCGGGATCCACTGGATGGTGTTCGCTGCTGATTCGTTCGAGTTCTTGTATCGGATTGTTGTCCATAGCAGGCACATTTGGAGGAAAAGTCATTTTAAGGGCAGTAAAGGATAGCAAAGTATATAGTAAAGGAGAACAAATACTAGTAAAGCAAAGTACAGGACATAAAAAGAACTTAACCTGTAATGACAAAAAATACAAATTTCACGCTACCGAATTTTTGAAGCAGTATTTAAGTGTTATTATTCACCGCTACTGGACTCTGTCCACCGCTATTGGCCTTTATATTCACCGCTACTGGACTTTGTCCACCGCTATTAGCCTTTATCGGCCTTTATCCACCGCTACTGGACTCTGTCCACCGCTATTGGCCTTTATCGGTCTCAATCCACCGCTACTGGCCTTTATCGGTTTTATCCACCGCTACTGGTCTCTACCCACCGCTACTGGCCTTTATCGGCCTTTATCCACCGCTACTCGACTCTGTCTACCGCTATTGGCCTTTATCGGCCTTAATCCACCGCTATTGGTCTCTACCCACCGCTACTGTGCAACTCGTGCAACTACAACTTTTCCTCCGCGTGTGCCTGCCCTCTTGTTGTCCGTTGGAGCGGCCACGTTGACGATTCCAGTCCGGCTGACTCTTAGCAAAGGTCAGCTGCAGTGCGCAGCAGCCGACCAGCGCTAAGAGAACAATGCTGGCGGAATGCATAATTCACTACTGCAAAGGTGACGTTTGCAGTAGGGTGACACTTAGTGGCAAGCGACTGAACAACGCTTCGAACCGACTGGAAAGCTGAGCGAAAATGCAGCGTTTTGACGTGCGATTTATATAGTCCCCGGTAGTATTGATGTGTCATCGGTGACCTTTCTTTCTTAAAAAGTCTCTCCAGCCCCAGGCTGTCGCCTGGCCATGGTATGCCAAGTTACATTGTTTGTGTGCCAGAACGGGGAGTGATTTAGGAGAAAAAACCGAATAGTATGCTGATAGCGCTGGTCTGGACGCCATTTCTCCAAGAAATGTTGTTGCTGTTCTTACTTGACTGACACCTGTCGAAAAAACCCGACCAGATTGTACTCTGTAGGCATATGGAAACACCGTTGGCCTGGAGCTCAGTTTTAACTTTTAACTTGCTGCATAACGAGAAGCACTTCATTATGACCGGCATGTGATTCAATTAATAGTCACCTTTTCAGTTTTGTTCCCTTGCGCCGATAGTTATAATTGTTAATGCTGCTGTTACTGCAGCGAATTGCCTGTAGCTGAACAGAAGTCTGATGTAGCACGTAGCGAAGTCAGTGTTGAACCGTTGCGACCTATATCACTTTTAAAGGATTTTAAATTTTAAATCAAGCTTTGTGTTGCCTTTTTTTGATTTGTATTATTTATCGTCTATCATAATTATTGTATATCCACTTGCTAAATGTGATCAGAGAAACATAATTCAAATTAAATTTGTTGGTTTGATTAATCAGCCTGCCATAAAGACATCTATGCATTACCGACATGTACAAGTACAGTTACTACAGTCTATAAAGTTAATAAAGTACTGTTTTCTGAAATGGTTGAATTTGAAAGAGTAATACAGATTTCGTTGTTGTAGTGTCACGGTTCACCGCTTTCTGAAACGGACTTCTTGACTACTAGAGCCCAGCGCAATCGAACAAGACTTACGATTAGTAGTTTAGTACGTACTTTATAGAAATACGGTACCTGGCACTACCTGCAATACGTCGTAAAAAGTGAATGCAAGAGTAACTTATTGTTACAGTACAATCACTAAATCTTTGTAATTTCATTCTGATCTACAAATTTAATAGTATACCAAGCCAAAGGTAGTACAAATAAAATGGCAGAATGTACATACAGTCTCTAAGCCCCAATACAACGAGAATTTATCACAAAAACATGGAGTGAATACTACTGAGGACTTTGATTAAAAAAATCAAAAGTGTCAATAATTATTAACAATCATCATATCTCAGGCTTGGATTGAGCAGCAACAAAAACGATCCAATTAACCACACTTCAACTGGCAAAGGCAAAGCGAAATCTAGCAGCTAATTTCCCAAACCATAATATAAAACTTCAAACTAAAAAAATCAAGATAAGGAAACATTAGCGAGCCTATTAATATATGGCAAACAAAACTCATGCTGAGGAGGCAATAGGATTCGCTACTTCGACAGGTTCGATACTGACATCCTGGCGGGGCAAACAAAGGCCTTTCACTCTCAAGAGATCGACTACGACGAATGCGATCACCGTCACGCCATACAGGGCGCCTAGCGTGACCACGATTACGCTGGTGTACTGCTCGGTTAAGGAAGGCATGGCGGCCGAGGCGTACTCCGCAGTTCGCAATGACTGGATTACCATTACGAAAATCCAAGACAACACTTGAAGCAAATGGTCAAGAGGATGGAAATCCTCCCATTTGTTCGTTTTCGCCAAGAACAAGGTACCTACGAAATGAACACGGCATGAGCAACTAGCGAACCATTTCTGCTTCTGCAATAATCTATCCTGATAGATGACATTTTATTTCATCTTGTCATCAGCTTTTGGTTAAGTTTCTATTTGTAAATAAAATTTGATTGACAGTTTCGATGTCAAGAAAAGACGAGCGTATCCATAATGCAAAGTAATTTACGCTATGCCGAATTAAAAACCTACAGAATCGAAAAAAGTAGTGCAAGACGTTGGAATTCCTATGCTTTGCAAAGGATTAATGAAAACTTAATGCGGTACCCGTTTCTGAGTAGCCATACAGAATTCTATTTTAACGAAAACTTGAATAGTACTTAGTAATTGCAATACGGAGCGATAAACCAATAATAAAAGAAAACACAGACGTTAGTAGCTAACTGCTAATACTTTGTCATGTCCTGAAGCAAACATGCGTCACTAACAATTCAGTGCTAATTTCAAAACGACGGGACACGTTTTGTTGCACGCCTAGGGCGCACCTCGGACTGCACCGAATGCACTCTCGATCCTCCATCATGCCTAGCACGTACGTTATGCTTAAAAAGCAAAACAAATGTCAACAAACGAAAAAATACAAAGAAATATTTTTGTTTAACAGCCCTCCATTTCAAGAAAATCACGGGAAACTCCGAAACGGGTCAGCATTACGTTGGTTCAAGACTTTCTAGTAATCTTTCATAAAAGAGAGCTACTACAACCGCACACTAATCACCCCCCAGTCGTTATCAGAAAGTAGAAAAATTTTTGGCTTTGACGTACTGATAAGATTGGCTGTCCATGCCAGAATGGTGAGGACCTTCTCCGTGTAGAACAATGTCTGGTAGATATCGGGCCACATATGCCAACGGAACTGATAGAATAACTCAATCAGTGGCACGAGGGCCAGCCAAAGAGCAAAGGCCAGACGGAAGGAGAGCACGATGTGCTTGTGCTTGTCGTAGCGGAAGGGGAGCACGGCGGGGAAGCTGCCGTGTGCGAAGCCAAAATGGAACGTGGATACCACCAGCAGGAGAGCGTGCACGAAGCTGGACGCCACGAAGAGGCCGTCTTCTGACACGGGTGGACTACCCATTTCCACACGATTGGGATGCTAGAACAAGCAGATAGGGAATCATTAGCCAATTATCTCCGCAGTGTGATGGTAACAACTCAACGGTGGAAACGCTGATGCGAGTCGAAAACCCATTAAGAAAACACGATAATTGCCGCTTTAACAGCCTTTACCTTCGTAATTCTGTAAATCAGCTGCAACGACAGGAACGTCAAATATTTCCACAAACAGTATTAAAACTCCTGATTTTTTAAAAATTCCTCTCGTTGAACGTGCCTGTTCTGATTTTTCACAAACGCATCTTCAGTAAAGAAATCAATTTAAATCAAGCCCAAGCAAATCAATTTAATTTTTGCAAAGCAAATCAATTTTAAATCAAGTCAATCAATCAATTTTTTCAACACCAAAATGCCAGGTATTGGTAGGATTTTGAGACAATTGTGAATTGCGCAACACTCGTTACGGAAGCAAGAGAACACTGATATACAACAAAGCAATAAGGATAAAACACAACACTCATAATCATAACAATCGTCATAAGCATGCACCACTACTTACCACACCAGGCAAAAACTGATTCCTTCTCGATTCCTACTAGCTCGAATCGTCCTGCTTTAACGAAAAACGAAGAGATCACATCTAAATTATGAACTGCGATATGGTCTACAACTACAAGGCAAAGACGCGTTATCGTGCGGGAGTGGAATTCCTAGAGGAGAGATAAGCACACGTAGGTCCCTCACTGGCTCATATATCACTATCGCGGACACGGGCAGTTGCCGAAGTTCCCAGGCTGTCCCTTACAAACTAGACCTTTATTAGCACAAATCAGCATTAAATGCTGTACAATCAGATAGAAATCTCTATAGCAGCTACTGTATCTTTTCAACAAGGGAAATCAAGAAAATCGAATTATTTGAATTTTCTGAATGCACCGTAAATGTTTACGCAGAAGTGCAGTGAGTGTGCCGTATGCGAAAACAGAAACGTGACGAAAGCATCGGAAGGAACGATAACGTTAAAACAAACACACGGAAGCGCACCCCATGGTGTTAGGGAGACTTACCGGTGAAATGTATTACCGGAAATGGGTCCCTTGCCGCTGGTATCTTTATGTTAATCTTACATATCAAACTGTTTCTTGAACTTTCTTTCAGTATTTTTGGTTGGTCAAGTTCATTTGATCCTTAATTTTTACGTTTTATTAATTTTATTTATTTTACAATGATGTTCACTAATTACTTATGGCTTATGGCCAGACACGCCAGCACCATAAACCTTCCGCAACGTATCGGGATTCACAAATCACAAATGTGCGTTGCGCCAAACTAGCCAAATGCATTTGAAAGAGTTATCAAAACTGCTGGCAAGCAATTCCAAAGTTGTTCATCATGATCAGCCTGCAGTTTGTTGGGGAGTTATCACAGGGGCAAAAATGTAGGGTGAATCAAGAAGAATGCTAAGGCATCCGGCGATATTTCCGGCTAACATTATCCATAGTAAAAGCCGGTCTGCCACCATAGCTGCATATTTCCAATCATCGATAACCTAAAAATATTAGAACATAGTTTTTCGTAATTACACTATGCCGGATGAGGTGCTTGCGATACCAGGTATATATATGAGAAAGGTATATAATGTAGATAATCGTATATATATAATGTATCCATATATATGTACAGTATGTTATCGTTAAATGGGTACGTACTGTACTCGGTACTATGTAGCACTATATTGTTGTTAGATAGCTACTAATCTAGCTACTTACGAATGATACTTAATAATGAAAATTAATATGTTTTAGTACTTCAAGCCACGAAATTGTATACCTCGGTTTCATGTTCGCCACGCTCGCAGTTCTTGGCAATGAACGCAACACTCTCTAGCGCATCCTTAAATCCATGGAAATAAGAGAAATACTCAGCCAAGTAAACGGCCATCTGCTCACCCGGAAGGCGTGTTCGCTTGCGCACGCTTCGAGTCGGATAGAAACTGGACACTGTCTGTGACCTTTTCCTTAATCGCTCCAGTGAGCCGTGGTATCCGGCGAACTGAACTCGCCGCGGTCGCGGCGGAACATCGAAAGAAGCCGATACGGGTAGCGATACTGTATTCGGTTTACCTGCCGGCTGGCAGGCATTACTGGACCGGAAGAGCGTTCTTTTGCTCTTCCGCTCCGGACGTTCCAAACAGAGAATTTTCGGTAGAAACTCCAGACAAATCTTTCTGGTCCATGTGCCCATCCGATCGGTCTTTTGACTGCGATAACTCCACTGCACAATCACTGTTGTCAGAAATGCCGATACCAGATTACACAGAAATACAAAGACGAGAAATCGCGTCATAAGTGGCAGTGATTCCGATGGAGGCAGGATCTCAGTGAGGATCAGCAAGAAAACCACAACCGAAAACAGGATGGATACGGAGATGCAGAGCTTCTCCCCGGAGGCAATCGGTACAAAAAAGATGAGTACGGTCAGCAAGGCGATGCAGAGGCAGGGCAAGAGGAAAGTGACTACGTAGAAGTCCCATTTGCGGGCGACAGTCATGTGCAGCTGGACGGTTACGATTGGAACAGTGCCATACTTGCGGCGTTCAGCGCGATAGGATTTCTTCAGCGGGACATCGGTGACATCCCAACTTCCGCTGGGCTGCTCAAAGTAGTCCTTGAGGATCATTTCTTTGTCAATCTCAAAGTCCACTTCGTTGGCGGTGTAGGTTAAGGAGCGGAATACCATGTGGCACAGCTGCCTCTGTCACAATAAAAATTACAAAATTTTAATATTCCATTAGTTGGCAATTACGCTGTGTCATTCGGCAGTGCTGCCTGTCACCACAAGACATCGCACATAACACTTTATACCGGCACAGTCGTTCACTATTTTCATCTTTGGGTTGCACCGTCCCAAATCAATTTAGCTCGTGTGCGCGGTGTAGAGATGCAAGGTCACTATTATTAAGGGCTTACTTCATACGAATTTACATCTCCATCCATCGTATAAAGAACTATACTTTTATAAAAAAAACATGAGTTAAACAATGAAATGATCATTTTGTTGAAGGCAAATTGCGCAGTCCAAGAAATATCGAAGGGTTATTATTTTGATTGTTTCATCGAAGGCGTATGGCAGCCTGACGACATGATGATGTACTGTACACTGTACAGAGTTATTATCAATCGCTGTCCGCTGAGAATTACATACTTATGAATTTATGAATTCAATACCGGAACATGTTACAGTTAAGGGAACACATTTATTCCACGTAATCATCCATGTCCACCGCTATAAACCGAACGGGAAAAAAGATACACCGCAACGCTGGGTTAATACGTATCTGTATATTGTCAGCTATTCAGATTTCGGACAAATTTTGGGTACATTTGATGGCATTTCAACTGTAAAAACTGGACGGGTACGCGGTCAATCGTTTAATACACCAAGCTCTCATACAGCAAACGGTTCGGAATTCTGGATTCTGGACGAAACGCAGTCAAATTTGGACTTCTTAGCACATGCAACTTGCAAGGATTATAGCCAAAAAGATTAATTTCTTAACAAGAATATTAACACAGACACTGCAATAAAATGTATTCATAATTTTACCATTTTTGTAAGGTATCGCAGTTTTGCAAGGTATCGCAGAAATTACCTTAAAATATTTTATAGGTTTGCCAACACCAGCACAATGTGCTGTAAACATGTACACGCTGCACACGGTATTGTAGTTGCATACTATGTAGAAAGCATTTCTGCGATACCTTGCAAAACTGCGATACCTTACAAAAATGGTAAAATTATGAATACATTTCATTGCAGTATCTGTGTTAATATTCTTGTTAAGAAATTAATCTTTTTGGCTATAATCCTTGCAAGTTGCATGTGCTAGGAAGTCCAAATTTGACTGCGCGCGATTCTACCATGCCGGTCTGTAAAGCATATCAGTGCTGGGCACGCAGCCGCACGCTGGAATATCTCTTAGGAATTGCGAATAACAATCAATCGTGCGCCTGATTTGTTTATTGATACAAAAAGGCATCGGAATGTCTATTAAGATTTAAACGTAAACCGTTCATAGGCTTCTGCCACATTTGCTAAATGGGCTAGGTCAATACTTTAAATAATTGATTTTAAAAGACGATTTGAAATTGTAATATGATACTAGCCAATGTAAATGATATTAAAACTTAAGTACTAAAAATAGATCACGGTCGAACCAGAAAAACAGTTAAAGGAACTCGGGCTAAGTCAATTATGACTTACATCGAATGGAAAATAATATGGGTCGGTTTCACAGGTGCTCTTGTAAATAAAAGGCGGCGCCCTGAAACATTTTCGATAATTGGCGATAGCTTCATGAAATCGCGTCACTGGGAGCCCAACTAGAAATATCTCGTGGAGTAATTATCACTTGCCAAATTAGCATTACCATTGCACTGTGCCGTCATGAGAAATTTGAACATTGGAAAAATAATTGGGATAGAATTGTCCATCCACACTGTAAAAAGGCAGCCAACAATGAACAAGAAATCGGCAATGTTTCTAATTAAAGATGCAAAGTACAGAAACCAGAAAGACGCTCATATCAAGTAAACAGAAAGGGTATTGCCGAAACAGCAGGGAATTATGCCGATATGGATAAAAAAAGCAGTAATATGTACGCTATCTGAAAGTGCTATAAAAAGTTTACGAAATCGAATCCAGCTTTCGAGAAGCACAACGCTTTTCATACCTTGCTCATATTATAGTACCTTGAATACAAACTTGGATTATAGTACCTTGAATAAAGCTAATTTACAATAACAAGCAGGGTAGCATAATAATAGGTTTAATATTTAATATTAATTTCGTAAATAAATAAATCTTTTTATTGGCATAGTCTAACAGAGTTTTGGCGTCCCTGTTGTTAGCTTTCGAATTTCTGGCATACATATTGGTCAACGCAATGTCTGGCTGCCACACTCGCTGGACAGGGAACCGGAATGTTTCGATGTTCCCATAATCAGCCGGTTTCCATTTCAGCCGCATGTCGGTCCATGTCTAATGAATGTTCAAAGCGGTTGTAGCAGTTTTTATTACAATGCAATAACATGCAATAACTAGAAAATCGGAAACAAAAAAATCGATCTAATCGATTGACCTACAAGTGAAAATGCGTAATCTCTTACAACAACAATCACTGCAATTGGGTACTGTTGCAGACGACTTGCAAGTACTGCGGACATATATACTAACCGTAAGATAAAAATAAATAATTTGGAGATATGGCGTATATGCGGTATTTGATTTTATAATATGCTAATCTATAAGATGCAAATATTGTTAGTACAAAAATGTTCCTAAGTCTACATGAAAAGGGTCTTTAAATCGAGATGGTATATCCAGGACACAACACTTACCAAGTGAAAATAGCCATTGGTTTTCATCACCTGGCCTTGATCACTCTAACGTAACCCAGTTTAAAAATTAAAAATTCTCGATGAAAGAGGGAAAAGGATGAATTTTGTCCTTACCACAAACACAAGTATGTTTAAAGTTACGCTGAAGTGTACAATCAATTTCCGGCTGGGATGGTCGACGGGTCGGCTTAAGTGGTCGTATCGGCGAACGAGGAACAGTTCTCGGATCAGATTATGTTGTGCTTCCGATGCGTTTACTGCAGATTTACATGCAGTTATCAGAAGACATCATTCGCAAAGTAGAGTAGTGGTTACTTGTCAAAGCCCTGCTTTAGTTTATTAATTCTATACAAATTAGAGCGGGGTTTTGTTATTATTGTATTGTACGTATGCGTATGTTACAGATATAATGTACTTATACGCATATTGTGTTTTTCTTTCGAGTTCGGTTAAATATCCTCGTAGAAACATACTGTACATTAAGAATGATTACATAATTATAAAAGATAATACGCGTTAAACATCAACAATAATCTGCGAGCAATTCCACTAGCTAATTTTCCACCGCAGTCGAGACTGTCGAGTACGTTATGTGCCAATTTCTGAACAACAACACTGACGATTACAATTAAACCGGACAGAAAACTCATGCACCTACTGAAAAACACATTCTCAAAACTCGGTTACATGTACGTAATTGTTAGAGCACAAAAGAAATATTAAGTAGGCGAATAGGCGAGGCGTTTTTATGTTATTTGTCCTTAAAGACTTAAAAGGTGTAAATATTGCCATATAACGAGAAATTCATCAAATGACAAGTACGTCAGAAAGTAACCTGGCGATATTATTCTGTACGCCGTAGTGGCGCGTTAGCATCATTATCAACAGCTGCAGCAGTTTGATTTTGTAATATTGGTGTCTAGACGCTAAATATCATCTTCGGTATCAAAGAAGCAACTCAAACGGTCATCGATTGCTCTTGACGATCTCTGCGCTCGAGATATACTGTTGCAGTTCAAATATATGCTGTCATGCACTAACAACAAAATTACGATAATCCTGCAGGCATAAAACAATACTTTAAAGTTCTGTTTTGAGAGGTAGTTCCCCAGCTTACCTCTCGTCAGCAGCGCCAACAGCGTTGTAAAGCGAATCAAGGCACTAGGTAAAAATTCCGTTGTTCTTCCCATTTGAGGCAGTCTGCCATCCGCAGATCCCGTTTATCAGCACTGCAGCAGGATGCGTTCATTCAACAATTTAATTGCTCGGAAAGAATCCCCGGCATTGTCTACTTAGGATTCGAGCGATAAGTACGCGCTAGCAGTGTGACATAGTAAGATTCGCATCGCTGCTTCTTTGACAGAAGCTTGTCAAATTGGGCGTAACCGCTTCGGATTAATTTAATTAAATATGCCATATCCGTATAAGAGTATTCGATATGTACGTACAGCATAATTCATTATGGTGTACATACACATAACATACAGCTTTGTAATAGTTCCAAACCAGATTTCTAAGTTTGCATTCCAACAAATTACCGCTATATATTAGCTGTGTTTACGCAGCGCATAGCATAAAATAATAGACTGGGAATATGAACAAATCGATGAAATCCAATGGTAAACGTACGGAATAAATGTGCCCTTTCCATATAATTGTTATTATATTGCACATTTCCACGCGCAACTATAACTGGTAGCTTCCTTTCTGGATTGACAAGTGTAATCCCAATTCCCAGGGTTTTCGTAATACACAATTCGTGCCAACTAACTATAGCCCAGAAATATTTTTTGGAAACTCTATACAGTACAATCCTACGTCGATAGTGGGCGGTTTCTTACTCTGTTGGTATGCATCAGCATGCATCAGAGCGGTCTTGTGGAGCTGAAGAACCGTAGTGATTGTCGTAGCGGATGACTGACAAGGGAAGGCTGGAAGTACTACTTTCATGACCACAAATTTTACCAACCGCCACTCTGTGTGAGACTGCGCTCCTTAAGAAATATATATGCAAAAGCTCTTAATCTTGTCCCGTTTCTCTATGATGATAAATGATAGGGGGTCGGCACTATATCCAGGGAAAGTTATCCGGCCAGAAAGAATATTGCCGTATATGTGGTGCACAGCACTTTAATACTGCAACATGCACTTACCTTTACAGTCTTTGTATACAGACAGCAGCATCCTATTAAACTCAAACCCACAGATGTAAGATGACCTTTATCATACGGCCTTGAATTTGGAATTAAATACTGCAGATATTGGTCCATGTACAACATTTTAAACAGGTATATGGCAGATAAATGTTTGCGCTGAATACATGGATAATATTCAAATGCATCAGGTAAGATCAAACATGCCTAATTTTGCGAACTCTCCATTGTCAACAGTTATATTAACAGGTATATTAACCGTTGTCAGTTCCCTGCTAAAACTGCCACAAATTTGTGCTTGGGTGTGAGTATTTCATAAGAAGTATGCAGGAACTTCGCCTATTACTAATGGCATTGAATCACTATTAATTAAATATCAGTGATTCAGTAATTTATACAGTACTATATGTAAAATTACCAAAATATTTAAGTCAACACGTTATCAGTACATTCAACGAACCATGGTCATAACTAATCTACTACTGTTATATTGTACGAGTAACAACGTTTTACAATTATGGCAAGTACAGTAACCTTAGTACCGTAGATCCATTGTCATGGTCATGCTGACAGCATAACTAGCAAACCCGGTAAAACAGAGTTGATTAAAGCGATATAAGACAAGTTGTTATAAAAAATGGATACACGAAAAAAGTCAGGTTTGGATGGACAAATATAATAAAAATGGATACTACACTCTATATATAGTATAACATTACTTGTGATCGCCTCTCGCAGCAACTGGGATCAATTAAACTTATAATAAAATCATTGTGCCAGAAATCGCATGCGACGATGAAAACAACCTTGCAGTGACAGCAAGGCCGCAGAACGTTATTCAACGCGAACGAAAACTGTAACAGCTACTTCTGTACAGCATAATTAAATTGTACTGCATAATAACTCAGTGGTCCGTGCCCAGTTGCTAAAATACAGATAAGTGAATACATCAATCCCCGAGTAAACAACTAAGTAAAGAAGCCAATTTAATGAAAAGGTGATAAACGAGTATAAAAAGCAGGTGATAAACGAGTATAATCGACAACATTTATACAGAAGCGAGTGCGTACAAAAAATAGCTATCTGCAGCGATTTTTTATTGTAAATCTGGTAAAGGTTCGAACAAATAAGGTGAATCCAGCAATATGCTCAAGGAACCGAGAATGTTTCCCATCAGGAATATCCACAGCAGTAGCCGGTCAACGACCATTGCCGCAAATTTCCAGTCATCTGTGACCTGTAATTGTAAGTGTCACCTTAACATTATTTTTTACCACAAGCAAATTAAAGAAACAGGTTTTTATATATAGCTAGACGAAGAGTTTAATTTTAATTTTGCTTCGGATTTATAAACTTATTGGCATTCAAAACATTTGTTCGGCTATCGTATCATACATCGTTATCAGCGTCTTGGTTTTCCAGATTTTTCGCAATATATGCAACGTTTTCAAGGGCACTCGGATATCCGGGAAACTGGGTAAAGAAGTGTCCCAGCTCGTGTAGTTCGTGCAGTATTGCCGTCCGTTCACTATTCACCGCTGCATAATATGCTGTATTTTCAAAACAACTTCGATAGTTCGGCAACTCCGCACTTAGAGGAAATTTATCTGCATTTGTCGTTCCCGGATCCACTGATGGTTTTCCTGAAGAAAAATGCACACTGCGACCCTTCTTCCCCAGCTGAGCAATTTGTGTGGTAGGTTCGAATGCTGCTTCCGGTTGGTTTTCAAAAAGTTTCTTCTTCACCGGCTTTTGCGGTCGCTGCATCCGCAAATATCTCGGTAAACGGTCCAAAAATATTTTTCTTATCCACAATGCCATGACGTGGGTCTTCTTACTTCGAAATGTCCAGTTAACAGAGATTGTAGTAAAGAATGAGGAAATCAAATTGCATACAAATGTGAAGACAAGAAACTTGGTCATCAGGGGCAGCGAGTCGGAAGGCGGCAGAATTTCGATCAGAATTAACAAAAACACGACGATGGAAAACAGGATCGATATGGCAATGCAGAGCTTTTCGCCGGAAGCTATTGGTAGGTAGAAAATAAATATTGTAAGCAGAGCAATACAGACACAGGGCAACAGAAAGGTCATAACATAAAATTTGGTTCTGCGGGCGGCCTTTAGGTCCAGTTGGACGGTGACAATGGGGATTCGGCCATATTTGCGGTTTTCAATACGGTACTGCTTTTTCAATGGAACCGCCACAACATGCCAACTTCCGCTGGGTTGCTCGGCGTAGTCCTTCAGCATCATATTCTTTTCCGTCTCAAAATCTACTTCGTTGGCATGATAGGTCACCGATCGGAAGACCATGTTACACACTTGTCGCTGTAAGATCAGAATATTTCTTAACACTTTTTAACCTTAATTACACAACACCCCATACTTCATAAAATTTCAACCACGTATCACTAATATTCACCATGCACTTTATAAAAATTTTATACAGTATATACTGTATAATGGCGAAGTTATCGTGGTTGTATTCCTTAAATTTTTCAAACATTTGGTTATTCTCGCATCAGCTTACCCTTGTAAAATTTAGGAAATACGAATAACAAAATACGCTTTAGATCTACCATTTTAACGGAATATGGTCAGGACACACCGAGGCGCTTTTGCAGTATGACGACGCTCATTGTATATGTACGGCATCCATGATATCACTACGAGAACTTACATCAAATGGAAAATAATATGGATTTGTGTCGCATCCACTTTTAAATATAAATGGGGGGACCCTAAAAAGGGAAAACAGAAAAAAAGGTTGTGAAAGGTATTTGATGACTTTTACCTGTTGTGGTGTGAAGTGTAATACCGCCTATACAACAATAGTGAAAGACGATTTTAAAAGAGCCAGACGCGTAACTTAAGTGATGACCATGTCAAAAAAGTGCTTCTGAAGTTTTCCAAGGTATTTCTACGCACAGATATAGTTTTCCATATCGTATTTGCATACCATTCACCTACCATTGTACATTGCCATCGCTATAAATAAGAGCGTTTGATTTATAGCTGGGCCAAAATTGACCGTCCACACTGAAAAAATTAACATCGTTGGGCGAAAAAGTCAATGCAGGACGTCACCTCGACTTACGATGACGTAACCAGAAAGAAAAAGTTAAAGGTCAGCGATGTATATGCAATACGTCCACATACACCGTTAAAGAGTTGCAAAACATCTATACATGTAATAGTTTGTGGCTTTCTACAGTACTTGGCTGTTCTGTACGAATTGTTCTGCAAATTTAGAACTAAAGACTTCCAGCACACTACGGGAGTACAGGTACAGCGTAGAAATATCCTACGTATTGGTTAGGGCGATATCCGGTTGCCAGACTTTCTCTACAGGAAGTCGCAGGACTTGGATGCCGCCGTGTTCCGCTGGATTCCAAATTAAGCGTTTATCACTCCAGGCCTAATTAATTGTAAGTTACTTAGTCTATAAGACTACGCTGAATGAGTAAATCTGAAATTATGCTCACTAAATTAATGAACAAAGTTTTTCGAAAGTAGCAACAAGATCGAGATAACCATTGGTTTTCATCACTTGATCCATATCATTCTGTTAACAACCAACCAAATTTCATTGTTTTTACGGTCAAGATGTACCGTTTATAATAAAATAGCTTAGCCCGGTTAACTACGGTTAATTGCAGTAGTTCCGATTAAATTTTACCGTGCTTGTTCTTGTTGATAACTTAAAAGCTCGATGCTACTTTGTACATCTACCAATGATGTGGTTTCTCAAAGTTGGAGTTTCACATATAATGTTCTGCTTACGGACTGTATCTCTGCTAATGGTAGTTGAATTTGCTGCTTTATTAATTTTTTTATTCTTCACTAACTTTGCATCACTTACCACGAAAACGAGAATATTCAAGGTTAGGTTAAAATGTACGATGACTTTTTCGCTCGGATCGTCGACGGGACGAGTAAGGTGATCGTAGTTGCGGTTGAGGAACAGTTCCCTGATGAGATCGTGCTGGGCGTCGGAAGCCTCCACTGCTCACGGTCAGAAAAATGCTTATGCATGTATATTAACGCTCACGTCGGCTACTCTCGCCGTACTTTGTAGTTTGTAATGATCAAAAACATTAGCTGATTATTATTAATTTTGTTACAAGAAAAAGCGTGCAATATTAACGTTTAACAAGCGTCATATATCGATATTTTCAGAGTTGTGCACGTGTTATGAGAAGGAGTTTGTTTCCTATCGATCCTACTGTTATAAGCACACCCAGAAAAGCTCTAAATTTGCAATTTTTAATGTTGTCTTGGACTCACGTACCTATATGGTTTCCGCAGAATAAACATTCCAGTAAGCAAATTATATGCATATATTTCTCAAGTGCGATGTTCATATTTTATAATTATTATATCAAACGTTTTTGCGGCACGGTCCTAAATTCCAAATATGTCCCAAAAGGCCAACAGTTCATAATGGGTATCGATAACACCGTACCGAACTTTTTCACCTGCAGTGCAGTACAGTACTTTCTGCGTGCTTAACCATAAGTATAACTGCAAAAGTTTTGCGGCTATGCAATATGAATTTGTTTATTAACAGTACTGCAAAATAGAAATTCCTACAATTATCTCGGAAACGGATGTGGAGCGCAAATTTATCCGAATTATGTGGACGGAAACGTGAGCGGCACTTCAAAATGATGATGGCAGGTATTGCATAGCTTAAGTTAACCAGACATAAATGTATTGGGAGAAGGTTATCAGTGCTATGTTTATTTGGCAAGCGGAGCGGATAAAAACACTCTTAAATCCCCGCTCATATTTGTTGATACAAAATCCCGAAGCGGCAGATACGTTAACACTTGTGGGGTGTGTTTAAGAGTTATTTGTTAGCGCCTGTTGTGGGAAGAGTCTATTAATAAACTAAATATGCTGAAAGAATTCCTCATAAGTGTCATCACTCATAGATCTACGACATGTACATTTGCACTGTCGGTGAAATTAATATTGCCAATATACATGCCAGCTGATTGCATGTACCGCACATTAAGACATCCTCAATATATGCAACCGGCGATTTTTCCGACATGACCCGCGGTCAGAGGCCATTTGCGCCCTTATGTAAACAGCTTAATATATCATGGCTGTGAAAAATGGCGGTAATATTTTTAACCTGACTAAGTGAATGCAATTAGTGGCGTATGTCTGACGTGTATCTGTATGAGAGTCAAAATCGGCAGCAGAATGCATACTACAGCGCATTCGAATGAAACATTAAGAAACGGAAAACGCCCATAATAATATTTTGGATGGTGTATTAATTCAGAAGTCCTATTCGTTCTATTGCACAAAAGAGATATTGCGAGAATATTGAAGACTAGGTAGCTGCATTAATCTGACTTATAATTCTAAATTCAACAGTTAATGGCGTCATTCCGAAACTGCTAAAAACCTATGCACAACTTAAAACGCTTGAAATGTCGGGAAATGTTTGAAGGTTAAACGTGCTGTTTCGCCCGTACAAAATAATTTGGTTTCGTATAACATTAATTATATATATAAACGGGTAACAGTACATATTTTTCGGGTAACATTTCGTAGAGTACATTTCGTAGTACGCATCATTCCCTTTTTCATAGAGCGAATAGTGCACTAGCATCTAATAGCAAATCGTAATTCATTTACCGTAGGTATTTCAGCATAATGGCGAAAACTACTCACAAACAAAACCGTTGCAGCGTACGGAGCCACGGACACAAATCCCAGGTCCAAATTAGACACGGCTTTTTTTCATAGCTCATCGATCAAATTTCTTTATGATTAATATACTCGCTTGGTGCGCATCATTCTTGTCAAATTTTATAGAGAAACTGTTATGACGTTATGAAAGTAGATCTGGCAAATCTGAAGCAGCTGTCCACTGCTTCTCAACATTCATTACATCCTAGAGTATCTCTACTGGTAGCGTTTGGATTTTACACATCCACTTTGCACCGGCATAGGCACTTATTAAACGCTGATACTTAATCTTAAATTTTTTTTTATAAATACCAACTACAGGTTTGCTGCTAGTTGCTACTTCCGTAATACTGAATTAAATTAAAAATAATATTGAAAGGCAATGAATTCAGTACACGTGCAGATGCAGAAACCGTTCACAACCGAATGTACTGTAATGTTATGTTATCTTGTTCACTCTGTTAGTGCTGTAAGAACACCATAATTGTATGATTACATGAAATGAGAAAATATGTTATTTACTGGTGGTTTCATTTCAGACAACAAGTCAACAGGAATTAACAGCAATTTCATTTCGAACGGATTATTTTGTATGAAATCTGTTGCTGTGCTGCTGGTGTACCGTACAACACAAAATACACGGCCCTGCAGCATCAGATTCTAAGCCAGTAGCGTCAATATTAATAAGGTTCCGGCACAAACGGTTATATAAAACTGTGGTCTCACAATAACAATAAGGGCAGCCAACAATCTGTGGCGGCGTCAAGGAAGATTGTGCGTCAGCTTTGTCTTTAGACGTGCGTGGTAGTTGTTTCCTTCCCTTGTGGTGACACTGGATCTTTCCATGGCCCTGTGTCTGCCTAGTACACGCTTCTTCCGCCCGGGAGCTATTCAGCAAAAATTGCAGTTACTAGTCAGCGCTTCCAAATTTTTATAATAATTAATTATTATAGACCGGTTTGATTCTAAATATTTAGAATCGCCTATTTTGCGAAACTATCAATACAGCGTAAATACAGCGCAATGATACCTAATTTTACTCACCATACTGTGAGTTGTACGTATTGTGCTTTGGGTGATAAATTAATGTAATCGGTGATACGTAAGTGTCAATATTGTTCAATACAGGTAGAAATAAGAAAATGTGCAGGACGATTGAAACGGGTCTCTAATGAAATTGTTTTCTTTTAAAATTTTGCAACGAATGTCAGGTTCATTTAGTGGTACATATGTGATATGTATGTATATTCTATGTTAATTAATGGATGAAATTGCCATATATTTTACCAAAATAAAAACTTGTAATAAAGTAGGAAAATCCTGTCGCATACGTTATAAATGCGTACACAAATGCGATTGGCTGTCCTCCAGTGCAACCATGCCGGTTCCCACGCGCGATCCTGACTGTGACCTTCCTAGACCCCAGTCAAGGGAGGCTGACGGCCTAGCGCAGTTCGTTTGTTAGCTGTTGAATTCAGTTATTAAAGAACAAAATGTTCTCACTCATAGTTCACATTTTCTGCTCTGTGAGGGTTACGGATGTCTTTCAGTACGGATCGAAGTAACAAATAACTTTCTCTGATACTGTCTTTTTTGGAGGATGGCAGTTTTGTAGAGCAATACCGGCTAAAAATGTAAACGAACAGTTAGTTAACCTCCAAGATAAGAACAGGATTTTCAGATCGATTGAATAGTGTTATTACACAGTTTACATGAAGAAACATACGGTGTTTATACGAGTACGTAGAGTAAATACTTACGGAGTGATCAGATTAAAATACGTTCCAGCGTTTCCAAAGCAATGTAAGACCATACACAGCGACAAAAGACACACAATCACGGGACTTTTACAATCCATCATGTGCACTGGAAATATAACACTTTAAAAGAAAACAGTAATGCACACGACTGCGCGCAGAGATTAGCGAATGTCCTGCTGTGAAAGGATAGTCGCGATTGTTATAGTGCTTTGCCTCAAATGCCGGAATCGACAAATTAGTTAGCCGTGGAATAAACCGGGAAAATGGGATTATATTCCACTAATGTCTAAAGGCACTTAACAGCGTCATTTAAAGGTGGCGTAATCAACACTAGCAGACATACACCGCACAAACGCGTGCATATGCATACAAGAGGAAGTATATGACAAAGGTCATTGATTAGAAATTACGCCGGTTAAACGTGAGCATGATGGGACGCATTAACTATTGCGATTGTTTTCGTGCAGATACGTGGATCCGGATTTGGACGGTCTAGGCACCGATAAGTAAGATCCGGGTTTTCAGTTTTAAAACGAAATAATAGTATTTCGAACATTTTGCACTATATGTACACAGATGAGCGTGATGGTGCAAATTATGGCCTGCAGCATTAAGCTACCCGCGGAAACAGAACAGAGGTCACCAACGTTAGTGACGTCAGCCTGGATTTCCGCCAATTTTAGGCGAGTCACTCTGCTTCAGGTACCCGTACTGCAACATTTGTATTACAAGCCCGACTTCCGCCCGCTGATGCTATGCCTGACGTGTTAGACTACGCGAGCGGAACATACGAAACACGCATAGGCAATCCCCGACATTGGTAACTGATACTCTAGGTATAAGTGATATGCAAAAAATTGTGAGATTGTAAATGTAATGGAGAAGGCATTGTTTGGTCTATATATACGCACAAAGCGTAGCTGTAAGTTTTTATATATGTGCACATAAAACAGGGATGGTTTGCGATGCCTGTAGGCGGTTGAGAGAGTTCCGGTACTGTAACAATTCAATTAACTTCCAATATCAACGGTCCTGAATAATTACTGCAGCAGTCTTAAAAAAACTTACGAGTGATGAAATTCTGCAGTAGAGTCTTACCTTAGAGTGTGCAACGTACGAATGCTTATGTATAAGCTACGGTAGTTTAATGTTTCATTGCAAGGATAAAAGTCGTATTCCCGTCATATTTGTTTCAATTACTGCCTGCAGAATGTTAAAAACTATTTTTAGCATGGAATTTGTGATTTTACTCGGACTGTCATCAATGCTCTGCGCCGGTAAAATAAATTCTATGAAGTGCCTCGACGTGTAATTTACAAGTGACTAAGAGGTATTTTTGCTGCAATATTAAAAGTTATTATTGCGAATTTCCCAGTTGGGCAAGATCCTGCTGCGCTACCAGGCAGTAAGCCAATCGGATATCCTGTGAACCCCTGTGCACTAGTCCTGTGCGCTCCATGCCCGCCACCGATAGCGACTGCTGGATCGCCGCTAAGTATGCCACCTTTTGCAGATAATACTGTGTCATATTAGCTGATATTTTTATCTTTTTAACGACGCTTTTGAAGCAGACAAGCGTAGGAATTATTTATTTAATGTAAGGTAATTTAACTTTCATTGTAACATACATATGTACGGGTAATCGAGCAAATATAGCGTAAGTTAACGAGATGGCAGCCGGCAGGTATGACAAGACACTGTAAAGGCCATAATTTAATTCTGATAATGATTTTTGACGCATGTAACAGTTAGCGATTTCAGTTGTCTGTTAGAACGTAACGCTCAAAAATTTTATTCCCACTTTGTAGTTAAAAAATGCACTAGAAAAGGGTCGGCTGTTGATCAAAATAAAACCAGAAATGATGTAAAACATTTAGATGCGGCAGTGGCTCGTCCTTATCCTCCAACAGACATCTCCAAGTGCTGCCAGTGTCCTATTGGATGATTAGTGGAAAAACAAAAACAAAAGATTAGTTGCCAAAATGCAACAAGTTATTACCGATATCGGTGCAGTTACAGATGAGGCTTCTCGTCGATACAGCATCAACGGAGTGCGTTTTCTGCTTTCGGCTTTTAAAATAATTACACAAATGCCTATAATTTCTAATGACTTTTTATATGTAATATAATACAACAACAATTTATTATTTTTTCATTTTTAAGCATGTATAAATTCTGTTATTCCCTTCTCGTACGATTTTATCTAAGGTATAGGAGCCATCGAAGCAAAAATCTAAAGAAAGCAAGTTACGCAGGGACAGTACTGAACAGTTCTTATCGTATTATTATGTGATATTTTATTGTTGTGGTAACCGTTTGCTTGTAATTATTATAAATGCAAATTTTTTTACTGGTTGCAACATGCAGTCAATTGCTACACAAAGGTCATCCTCTCATTTCACCTGCATGTATGACTCATCAGCATTTGCCTATATGACATCATTCGTATAAGGGCATCATCTGAGCTTCGGTATTTGTAAAAAATCTTTTGTCGAAAATACAAAGCCTCCTCCTGACCTTACAGAATTCAATATTTCAAAGCTGTCTCCGTCTGAGGTTTTGGATTGTATCGCGAGAATTGATTGTGACTTCCTCTTTTTGATTATATTCGGCACCATGCAAACGAGACATGAATCATCGATGCAGTCATAGACCGTGGGCAATAAAGCTACCGTACTTTATTCCGTAGCTGGTATCATGGTACATTGTACCGCGAACATTTTTGCAAGCGCCTAAAACAAAAAATAATAAACCACAACTGTGTATACGCTTTAAGCTGCCATTTTTTGAAATAAGTTTTTCCTCAAGCTTTTTTGAAATTGGGTGTCCCATAAATTTTTTGTTTAATGATCGACTTTTGTAGGACATAGTAAAAACCTTTAATGCCATTTATGCTTGATGACAATTTAAGGGATTTGGCCCGGTACATAGCATCAAATTCGTGTACAACCAGGGGAACTTTCGCTGTTGCGCGCTCCCAAACACTTTTCAGTATTGCTTTATGGTATTTTGTAGCCAGAAGAATTGTATACCTAGGTGAGAAAACCGTTTGCGCGCGCAACATCCGGTTGCGAAAGAGGTGGGTAACAAAATTCAAAGTTTAAATGCATTCATTATGGACCGATCCTTTCAAATTTTGCGCGTAAATGCACATGACCATGAAGATCGTTTTGACACGGATCCAGACTTCCACGATTTTTTTGAAATTTTAAAATGAATTTTAAAATTTTTGAAATTCATTTTAAAATTTGAAAAAAATGCTAGAACAGTGGATCCGTGTCAAAACGATCTTCATGGTTATGTGCATTTACGCGCAAAATTTGAAAGGGATCGGTCCATAATGAGACTTTTGGTACACTTGAATGCGTTTAAACTTTTTGGAATTTTGTTACCCTCATAACTCAGCAACCGGATGTTGCGCGCGAAAACGGATTTCACGCCTATGTACACCAATCATTTGGCTACAAAATGTCAAAAAGCAACCCAAAAAGGTGTTTGAAAGTGCGCGAAAGCGAATATGCCCGTCAATGTACACGATTTTAGCGCTATGTACCGGGCCAAAACTCTTAAACAACTCAGAAAAACTTAAGAGTACATATTATTTGTAGTTCACCGCAAGCATACAGATTACGGAGTACTGCACAAATCAGCTGTTAAGAGATGAAAGTTGATAGATAACAAGTGAATTTTAAAGCCAAAAAGCGAAACAGCTGATGGAATTATTCTGCTGTCAGCCCTGCTGTGGATGTTTCTGCGCTCCGTTGTACGGTAATGTCCACTCCTGCCCCACGGCTGGCGGCATGCCGGTCTTTTATCTACATATCAAGAAATTAATTTCGCATTTATCATCCGTCAGCGATCAAACTAGTAAAAATTCCTATCAGCTGATTACCGTCTAGGCAGTGAGCGTGATTAGATATTACAGATGGGCAAGCGCCAAGCGTGTAGTGGTGTATTTAAGTGCGGTACTTATTAACAATGTATATCTATACTTAAACTGTAAGTACTTCTGTTCGTATGCAGTCGCAGTGAGATCTGGCACATCTAAACGGTATCCCACATTTCTCAAATTAAACGGTGTCCGCTGTCCACTGTGATCGGCAGTCTTCCAAACGTTTTCGATACTTTCCGGTACAAGTTGACGACCTTTACACTTTTACAAGTCATGCTTGACGTCAGCTGCAGCATTAATTTCGTTTTTAATATGCACGTATCCAGTTTAAAGCAATGCTGCCTACCGTATTAATTTAATTATAATATTATGACTGTAATGTGCTTGATTTTAATCAATTAAATTAATATGTCAAAGCAATATTACCGCATATTTTGTTCAAAAAGTCCAAACGGATAAATAACCGTAATCCCAACAGCCTGAATTTTATAGATAAATTTATGATTTTTATCATCGATTTTTCAGATTTTATAGGTTATTCAGCTGACCATAAGTGTTTGGAACTCGTAAGTATGGTACATGTAAGTACTAAGTACCTAATTCTACAAAGTAACAGCCAACGGGAAGTGTTGCTTTGAGAAAAGTGTAGTGTACAGATACAGCAATATCCTGTAAGCGCCACTGTTGTTTTGCTGAAAATAATTGTTCACATGAAGAAAATGCAGTTTGCCATCAGTGCATCTTAATGCGTCGTAATAATAAAACGTTTTTATCGCTGGGAAGCTGTGTTTACCAAGCAGCTACGGTTGTTGTCCTTTGGAGTAACTTTACGCAGATGTCCATCCATTTGCTACGTCTTGTATATTAAACAAATTACTGTATTTGTACAACAATCGTATAATCATCCCCATTTCTACTGTATTGACGTCTTATTCAAGTTAAATATGTTCGAAAATTTATTTCTTGGACTTGTGACTGCACTAGGACATTATCGTGACGACTACGTCATTTCTCCGATTCAGGATTGGACATCCTGCAAACCGCGATAACGAATTAAAATCGATCCCGGAAATTCCACCGGCCAGCATTATAAAGTGCCTAGAGCAGACTCCGTGCATGTTTTCTGTGCGCTTCCGTTTGTCCTTGTGTTACATCCAGGAGACTCAGACCCTGAGCATGCGTGGACATTAATCAACGATGCGAATGTACAATGTTCATGGCCTTGGAACATTAAGCAAACAGTTTTGCCTATCACACTTTTCCGACTACTCCGATTTCTTTAGCAGCACCACTTGCTGTCTTGCACGTTTAGAACAACCGTCTTTATCGTTGCAAGCCTATCGTTCCATCATAAACTTGTAATGCTCTGTTACGTGAACCAACCTTAAATCGTGCAGTTGTCCGTAGAAAAAAGCCCTCGAAGATTGTGCCAACCAAAAACGGCACAACTCGCGCTGTTTTTGCCGGGGCAGGGAAAATGCGCGGCAAAATGTATCCGTTCATTTATTTCTTTGCGTCTTGCATGGTAAATGGCCAATAACGGTACACCGGCGGAGTGTGACGATTTTGCCGGCGGATCAAACGGTCAAGGTTCAGCCGGTTGGGCCAGCGTCCCAAAGTCCCTCCCTCCTGCAGCCAATCAGCAGCCAGGTGCGATGTATAATACCGACCGGCGCCGATACGTGTGTGTGATGTGTGCCCGTCCTTAACCACAGCTGATTTATACCTTCGTCGGCCAGCATAATCGCCTTACTACTTCCAATCTTTCTCTTTCCGCTGCAATTACATTTCTGCACTTTTTCCTTCGTGTGCGTGAGTGTGTTTGTGCGATCTCTTAGAACGTCTTTCCTTCGAACGTTGAGCGTACCCCCCGACAGCAGCAAGTGTCCACTGCATAAATTAATTAATCTCTAAAGTCGTTTATATTCCCAGCGCAGCAGACCATCTTTCCTCTCATCAGTTTGACTCCCATATTTATGACCGTTTTGATGAACATATTTGTTAGCGTCTCTTCGCTTCCCCGGTATTTTGTCCAGCGCCACCGCCGTTTGCCGATGATGACCTTATACCGTTTGCCGTAAATAAAAGAAAAAACCGCATCCCATTGCAAAAATGAACTGCCGTGTGGTAACTCAGCAATCTTTCGTTATCTATATTTTTTTTCTGGCTTGCCTGCGCAGTGTCCTGCCCTGCCGGACATGCAGTAATGCTCATTTTGATGATAAAGAACTGGAACGCAAACGCATCGAAGTGGTCAAACAGCGTATTCTCAACAAACTCAGACTAGACAGACCGCCCAATGTTGTCAATTCGCGACGTCAACTGCCAAGAAAACTGCCTAATGACGTGATGATGTCCATGTATGCCGATGAAGCCAGTCCTGTGGAGGAGGATTATGGAATGGAAGAGTTTTACGCAAAAGAAGGTCCAACGATGATTTTTGCCGATCCAGGTAAGAAAGCATATGTTTGGTACAATCGGCATTAGTGTCTTTTCCTGCAACTTCCTGCATCTGTTGCAAGGTGCTTCCGGTCATTGCTGCATGTTATAAAATTCTTGCACAGAAATTCTTGCACGATTCAGAAATTCTTGCACGATTTGCAAAAACCAGTTTTTCAAATGCATTTTGTAAAGTTTTATACAAATTACAAGTGTAACACTGCAAGTGCGTAAATCACCTTGTGTAATCAGCATTTGGTTTAATTTGCTTTAGCAAAAATTTGTAAAACACTACGTTACGAAATTTCGTATGTCTTCGTTTGGACAGTAAACACTTTCTGTGTGCAAAGTTGCTTCGCAGAAAATCGAGGGTAGAAAACAAGTACCAAGAACGTTGAAGACGGCCAGAACGTGTATTTTGTACCTGGTCGCATGCAAAACTCTACAGTCCAGCTTGAACTCGTTTCCTCAAAGTTGTATTCATATATGCGGGGTGTGGCTTCTCACCATTGCGTGCGATATCCGTGTGTCACACGCCGCACGAACAATGACGTTTTCTAGTAGCGTCTAGAAATTTGATATGTTTGGGTTTGTTGTGAATCATAAATTTTTTGATAGATCGCCATCCTTCTCCACAAATTCTTATCTGGGTCAAACGTGAAAAGAAAGAGATCGCGACAAAAAAATCTCTTTCGCGACAGAATTATAAACGAACGGTTTGTACCCGATTATAAACGGGTACATTACGTGATCCATTTTTGTCTACCAGCCGCCGTTTAAACCCCGTAGCGGTAACGTTAATAGCTCCTGGTAATAAAACGGAAAACCAACCACAGTATAGAGCGCATATAGAGTGGACAAGCTTATCGGATCTGTTCAATCAGCAGTTGCTGTGACCTTATCTGATGCTAGCTAGGAACGTTCAAACGCGCTTTTTACAGATGACCTTTGGCATTCATAATAAGAGCAGCGCGCTACCGCTGCGCTGCTATCGATGGCGGCATGTATGTGTATTTTCTTTTCGCGATTATTCACTATAGACGAATATGGCACCTTCACTTTATACGTATTGCGCAGCGCTACATCGAAGCTGCGCAGTCCTGGGCTGGAATTTGATACCCTTCTTCCGTAATCGCGAGATATAATCCAGCTCATTTCTGCCTTTTAAAGTCCGTAAGTCGGAACAGTACTGATGAGAAAAATCCCTGGTCGAAGCCGCCACTCTCCAGTAAAACTGGTCATTTCCAAGTTGCGTTTTACAGGGAAATCATGGTACGATGCTGGTATGCTTTCGCCGGAGATCACGTGAACTTTGCACTGACTGGACACAGATTTCCAGTTTTTATCGTGAAACCACGATCTTGCAAGTTTCTGCGCAGAAAATGAAAAACTATTGTTTCTTCTGTACATGTTCTGTAACCGAAAACGTTATGTCAATAAATTAATAACCCATAATGATAACAAATAATACTTACGACAACGTTTCCTAATGCAGTGTAAACGGTTAACCCATAATAATAACAAATTGTTCAAGAAAATATGTGAACCTTGTAGGAGTTGAATAAAAATCCAAGGAAGCTGCGGGCTTCAATAACGTTTAACATCTCTATTTGTACCTACTCTAGGTTTAGAGTTAACCATTTATCTAGGCTCAAGATAAGTATTTTCTCTCACCGGCGCATATTTGGACAAGATGAATGTTTTACGCCGGCGAGCACGAGATATAAAGTAAAAAACTTTTGAGTAGTATAATAGTGTTTACTGTAGAAAGCCAAAACAATTTATCATTTACAAATTATTCCATTTCAGGAGTTACAAAATGCCTGGGAAAAGGAGGATCATCGGTCTCATGTCTAACATTCACAATGCCGCAAATATTATATAAAAAGTCCGTACATTCGGCGGAACTTTACGTGCACGTGAAGTATCCCGGAAGCAAGCACGTTTTTGGGATAAAAGACCGAACAAACGACCAGGACTACGGTCTGGGCGTTTACAATCTGGACGCTTCAAAAGAAGGTTTGGGAATCAATAACTACAATTATATTGACAATTTCGACAGTTCTGTATAATTTTAAAGAATTGTAAATGGCATTTGCTAAATGGCATTTGCTAATGGAATTGTAAATGGCATTTGTAAATGGCATAATTTTAATTGTAAATGGCATTTGCTTGTACAAGGTTGAAATTAAACAAATATTTTAAAGAAATCGAATTCCATCAGTAATGTTTAGACGGGAATACAAAAGTTACACATTAGTTGCAAATAAAAGCAAAGCGCCGGCAAAAATTAAAATGTACCTATATGCGATTGTTTTTATGTATAATTTTGTCCACCCAAGCTGTACCAAAATTAATGCGAACAGTAGCGATGTTATTATTGTTGGCAACCTTCTGCCTGTGTTTGTGTAGATCTTACGCATGTAATTATATGTTGTCAGAAAACGCATTTCCGCATAAAATGGATCACGCTTTGCAGGATGGCAGTCGGTACACGTAAAGGACATGGTGGCACGCTGGATCATCCGGCCATCACGTGTTGCCCCCAACCCCAACACAAATGTGGTGCAGGTTTCCTGCGACAACTGCCACAGCGACATTCATACACTCATATCCGCCGATGGCGACTATGTGCCCTTTCTCGTCATCAATACCGGTATGCAGGACCTTTTACAATTACTTACATCTGGCTCCCGCAATTTTTTTCTGTAATCTGGTAATTAAAAGATATCCCAGTTCAGTTTAGTTTGCATAATTTCTAAAAGAATTGCTTCTGGTTTTTTCCTCTCTACAATGTGTAAGGAGCATTGAATATCCCAAACCCCATTGTCAGTTCATTTGCATACTTAACATAATTTGCTCCGTTGGATATACATAGCTGCCGTGAATTTTTTGTCGAATCGCAGTAACGATGAGTTACATAAAAGATTTTATAACGCGTCCTGAAAAATGTAATCGGTCAAAGTGTTGCTAAATGTTATTTGTCTTGTCTATGTCAGTGCACGGCATGTACCGTAAAATTCTTCCACCCATCGGTGACCGATCATAGAACTTTGTATTCCTTCCAGATGATTTCTAGATTTTTCCGTAATACTGTGAGAAATTACACTAACGGTTATCTTTTGGCTGCATCACGAGATAGGGCAATTTGCAAAAAAAAACCCTGCATCGACCACTCAGGTCATTGCCGTTACAAGCAGTATAAAGACCTACATATATAATGTCCTGGATTGCATATATACATAAACATGTGTACTCTTTTATTTATAGCTGTTACTGTACATTGCATATAATTAATTAACGCAGCCAGTCTGAAAGTAATTAGCACACTATTGCCGAATAAAAATATCTCGTTTACTGAGAAACTGCTCGTGTTTTTATTGATGGCGCTTGTATTTTTGCGCAGAAAATAAGAAGTCTCATCGGAATCGACGGGGTATCCAGTGCCAACAAGGATCCCTTCACTGCTGCCGCGAAAGGTATGCGCTTGTGTGTAATTAAGATGGCAGTGTCTCCAGCGTAATGTAATTAATTGTTTGATCAGCCGCGTTACTCCTGACGAGTCGGCGCGTGGCGATTGCGTTGGGGGGTTGTCTGTTGACTGAGAGGAGCCGGTAGATTAATCAGCGGGTTCTATTTGCAGTTTATACATCAATTTTACCGATATCGGATGGGATAGCTGGATCTTGGAGCCACGGTAAGTCTCACAATCAGCTAATCAGCTGGACAGTTCGTTTATCCGAGCAAACAGACGCCGGTTAATTATAACTAAATACTCCAAAGAATTCCTCGCTATATTAAAAACAATCCGGGGACGGCGTCGGCCGGATATTAAGCCAAAATCTGTACTTAATTAGGCTAGCATTTTGAGAGCCTTCGCTTAAGGATTCGACTGGTCATATTAAATAAGCTTACTAAACAAAATTTGCAATGCTGATTAGTAGTTGATGAATGATTAGTGTTACACCATGAATGATTTATAACTATCTTTAACGCACAAAGCAAGGTTGCAAATCAAATAAGTAATTGCCAATTTGGCGAAATTTTGCATGTGGCAAGCAATGCAGGACAAAATTAATGTATATATCTATTTCTAACAACGCATAGCTACTTTATCTGCTATGAAAATCAAAGCAGCGGCACGCGTCCCATTTTGATGATGGTCAACCGGGCGGCGGGGGGAGTCGGATAATTTTCGACTCGGGTGTTGAAAATGCGCGTGCGATATCGTTTATCGATAACAATCAGCTCAGCTACCTTAACGGAAACATTTGTGACCTACCATAAGCATCTAGCGCTACCGCTAGAGACAGGAAAATCGGACGGTGGAATGTCTAGTATATATTGGCGGAGTCTATTATAAGATCGGATAAGCTACTCGTCTGGTATTTACATTTCGTCCGATAAAACATACGCAACTGGCCGTCTGGCGGGTAGACTGACCACTTAATGTTGTCTGCTGTGCGGCCGGTGTCCTTTTTAGACGGAGATTTTCTTTACCACTGATCGCCGATCGCGCCACAATGTATTAACAAGCTATTTTTGGCGCTCTTTACAGGGGCTATATGGCTAACTACTGCAAAGGCCAGTGCGGTGGCTCCGGGGTCATCAATTTGCCGACATTTGCACACACGGCTGTCGTCCAGGTAAGATACAGATAAGCTTTATAGACGTTTCAATAATAACGCTAATAGCCTTCTGTATAGTTATCGCGCATAGCGGAAATGTAGATGTTCTAATTTTCATGTTTAGTTTACGATAGTTATCAGTCTAGTCGGGTAATATTTTTTACTGTGGTTGGGTTACTTTTGGTGATGTTTCTGCAATATCCCTACAACTTCGTGTAGTACATAGTACATACAATGTTTAATGAATATCTAAGTCAGCTAAATAAAACGCCCAAGGCTAAAGGAAGTTTTAAGGAATGTAGCTGAAAGCTGGCGCATTTAAGAATTTGGATACAGATTTGCAGCTGTCACAATGCTACGTTGAGAACTAAGTTTTCGTTGACAGACGCAGTAATTATTTTATCGTTTTACGGTATGGAATTCTAGTTTGGCGTATTCACAGTTTGCATTTTATTGCAGAGCCATTCAGACAATTTAGCCACGAAAGCCCGCGTAGATCCACCAACCAGTTGCTGTGCGCCTACTCGAATGTCCGGTCTTTCGCTATTGTTTTACGATGGTGGTGAGCGTCACGATATATTTTATTTTATCTTGTAATTACTTAAATTCATAACGAAAAGGTGTACTTGTAGATGGAGCAGTACACAAAAGCATCTTACCGAACATGTCCGTTGAATCGTGCGGGTGTGCATAAATGATACCAAATTGATCTCTCCAAATTACGTTTAAACGCTACTTGTAATCCCTTCTCTGAATACGGATCCCATGGATTCTTTATACCAACAAACACATCTGGGATTCATCGTACTTCTTCCCTGTTGGACTTCCTGTTTAACTCCAGCCATCCATCCCCACTGACCTTTCAAAGTGTATCGTGACCACATCGTGTACCTATGCTACCGTGGCTGGATGTGTGTAATGATATAAATGGACAATTCCTACGGTGCAATCAGCTCTTACAACCAGCTGAAGCAGATTAATGGGGCTCATATAGAAATCACCAGTTGAGCTTCTTCCAGTATCAGAATGACGTGTTTTTAAATAACTGTATGGTCGGTTTCCGGTGATTTATCATCCAGTCTGAATTTGCTGTCATCGATTATTGCCGCTCACCGCGCCAGTCCCAGTAAATTCTCATCTGGAATTTGCTGCTCTCGCCTGCTCAGACACAGTCATGGTCGACTCTTCCGACCGACTGTAAGTGTGTGATGTTAATGACCTTTCCTTCCTTTTTTTGCGGATAACCGGCGTGCTCCCGCTGCAGCGGTTTGTTGATTACCAAAGCATTCCGTTGCAGTACACGCAAAGCCGATCTCATTTTCTTCTTCTACTGTGCTCTTATACATGGAACGACAAGGCTGCGCTTCTCCTAATCCGACGTTGCGGTCTGCTATATAAATATATACATAATTGTTTATGTATGGATTGTGGTTTTTGGGTTATTATAATTTTTCGTATCCTGATCGGTGTTCTCGGCTTTTTTCTTCTTCTCAGTTGTGATTCGACTGCTGACCGTGTTTTTTGTTTGACCAAGGATGCATTTATGATGTTGTTTGACTCGAAACATATAGTTTTATTATATGTTGGGTTTTGTGTGTGGCTTTGGGGGGCGAATGCTGAAACTTTTGATCATTTTGGGCGTTATTTTTTTGGACGTATTGTGCAGTGTTTATACAAGTGTTCCGTAGCGAGCCGGGAATTTTATATTCGCGCCAGGGTTTTCGTCAGTATTTCCCTTGTTTGCATTCCGCAAATAAAATATTTTTGACCATTTTAATCTGCTTCTATTCAGTACACAAACTGGTATTTTTGTGAAACAATTTGTCTGGATTCTCATCATGCTTATAGCATTCGTCTTACATTTGTACAAGAAATATAGAACTTCAAACATTAGTGTATCTTATAACGAGATAAAAGGCAGATGATTTTATAGTGCAGAAAAAATTTTCCGAAGACGACGTGAAATACGAGTGTATGCACGCTGCCATTACAACTGCTTATAAAACAATAATTCAATACTTCATCTGCGGCATATAAAAAGAAATATTCATAATTATCTAAGCAATCTTTGCCAATCTGGATAACGACCGGTTTTTGGCAAGTTGTACTACTTTCAGATTAGACTATGAATTTTGACTCTGATCTTTGACGCGTCTGTGCCGAAAAATTTTATATAGGATTCATCCGGTTGTACTGTTTCGGCGAACTGTACGAAAATGATTTAGTGATGCCAACAAGTAGATTACATACGATAGGCCTTTTGGCTGTAGTCTGTAGACATATCTGTATACTATATAGAATTTATTTACAGAGTACAATCATCTACACAACTAACAAACTAGGTATCTGGAATTCCTCTTGTGTATTTTTGTGATGTTAATAATTCACACATGACCAAAACGAGCGCTTGTTAATTGAGCAATAATAGCAACAGCAGATGCTCTGCATCTAATGGAACGAAAGCCGCACCAATATTCGGTAGCTACTTTGTACACACCAAATCGTGCAATGAATTAGCTTTGCCTATGTACCGTACAAATACTTATCGACAGACGAGATGATAGGAATGTTTTATGAATGCAACATGGATATGCAAAGCTATCAATAAACTTAAATTCGGAAACGCTGTAAGGTAAAAATTCTTTGTTTGCACTTAAAGTCATTCCTTCGAATGTAACCCACAGTGAAGGAAGCAAATGCAGCAAAAACCGCTCTTGTTGCCGTGGTCCAAGATTACACAAATCTTGTAAAAATAATTTTAAAGCGCCAGCTTTAAAACCAAATCTAAGTAGCGTCTTCAGTTCAGCGCTGGGCCGAACTATGTACATCTATATGTGAAGAGTATACTAACAATGTAAGACATTACAAATTTTCAAATTTAACCTTCGAATTTACAAATTACAATAATGTTCATGCTTATGCTAACCGGTCGCTTTGAATGAGCTGACCTTTTCGTGTATTTTTTAAAACTGTTAGGTCTGTTTTGGATCTCTTTTGTCAAATCATGTTGTAGTTCTGTTATGCAGTACGAGGCGAGGTGCACAACATTTATCAAACTTGTGCGCCTAATTGAGACCCCTTGTAAGCCTGTTTCCGCTGAACCATGGATTTAGACGAGTTGGACGTTTCTATCTTTGGAAAACTGATTTATCCCGAAATACAGCGCCTCCTGCTGCAAAAAACAGAAACTTTTACCAAAAAATTAGTGAAATAGGGGATGTAAAGCTGATAATGGCGTATTTAGCATCGACGCCACATGCATATAAAGCGAACTTGCTCGTGATTTCAGAATCCTGAAACGTTGTACAGGTAGAGTCCAGTTCTACTTTGATTCCCCAGTTATCAAAGGGAATGTAAATGATTGCCGAATATTGCTTAGACGCCAGCTGCATAGCTGATATTATATAATTCGAGTGCGCCAAAGGTCACCTTTTACCTGCAGCTTGCGTTACATACGTAGAAAATGTAAACAACCCTGGACACGCGTACGTCCAGCTACCTGTAAGTTTTTTTCGTATTTGACTTTATTTTTGGCAGACTGTTATCGGTGTCGATTGATGGCAATAAGGATATGTTCAATAGTTATATACGTTATATGGTGCATTGAATAAGTTGTAAACAAACCATCGTGGCACTGGGTTTCTGTTCCTCATTCCTATATGTCACCTGCTCGATCTGAACAGAAAACCGTTTAACACGCCGTGTCGCTAGTAGTGTGTAGGTTAATCACTGAAAAGCTCGTTGCAAGAGTTGTAAGTATGCATGTTCGATCTGTGCGTTCAAATACTCTGTACGTGCGTTGAGAAATCGCGAATTGCTCCAAATTTGCACAGGTCATCGTGCGCCATCTAAACCTGTGCCCACAATTCCTTTTCTTTTGCCAATCAAAGATTTCTTGCTGTTCCGAATCCCGACTGGCTATAAAGGTTTAAAATTTCAACCTTCAAGTACAGTACTGTACAAGATTTTTCCATTTTATTACCTAGCCGCTTCCCGTCATGCTGCCGTGCAAGTCAGTACTCTGTATTGTACGATTAATGTGCAATATTGAACGAATATTAATACTTACTGCACGAATATTAAAATAATTTATTGCACATACATACATGCTAGCCAGCAGACAGGCAAACGGTACAATTAATACAGTAGTACTAGTACAGATACAGTACTTAATAGATCGCGTACTGTACAACATGTTCGTCATCAGCCAGCTTCGAAAAACAAGCAAATGCCGGAATTATTAACGATTAAGTTATTCTGGTTGTATTGTACAGTTCTCGCACGTGGGTACTTTAAGAATTCCGACAATGCTAAGGCGAATAACAAATGGCTTTATTAGTTATTTTCCATTTCTCTGGAAGTTTTATCGTTCTTAAATTCGGTTACTCAACAAAATTCTCGGACGCTCATCATCGGCTCATGGCGGCGCATCTGCAGTACGCGGTACAAGTGTGCTGAACAAGCTAACATCGTAAATATTCGATCGGAATTCAGCAAATTAAGGCCTTCTGTAATTCATCCAAAACGCAAACACGGATGTCCATCTGTTACGGAATGCACCTGTACATCATCCCGGTTATCCCGTGTGACCTCACTTGGTCTATACAGACGACAACCTTGAAGTAGGAATGTCAACGTCCCTTACGAAAATTTACATTACAAATACATGTTCGTTATAGGAAGTAATACATACGCCTTTTTAGGAGAAATTTATATTGATGCTTGGGCTAATTTATAGAATTCAAAACTGGCAGCACAAAATAAAAAAGATTGTTTTCAATGAATTAAATCAATTTACACGATAAGTCGGTCTAACGCACGCTAGTATGCTTCTCCCAGTTTAGACAAAAGAATGAAAAGTAATTACAGTGGGCTTCATAAAGTGCTTACACGTACACCCACAGTCGTATAGCGCTCTGCATATGCGTGGGTACGCAGTAACACCATTTTTAAGTCCAATATATATGTTCGCGTGGGTTTATGGTTTCCGTATACGTGACGAAAAACGTAGTCGGAACATCGCCTGATCGGTTTCCGGTGCGGTTTCCGGAACCAATTCGCCTGACCAATTCATTCTGGTGTTACACACCGTAGTCGTATACCTAAACCATATCGTACCTATCTTAGGCCTCGTCCCGAATTCGAAGCGAATCTCGTTGCGATACAGCAACTCCACCTCGCGAGGTGGCTTCGCGTACCGTATCTGTAGGCGTGGCCACTGCATACAGCCACCTCGTGCGGTGGAGCAACCGTACCATAGCGAGATTCGCTTCGAATTCGGGACAAGGCCTTACAGACTTACCGTACCTACCTATACTATATACTGTAAATTACTTATGATTACCTGCCGCTATGGTTATGAGTTTATACTCTGTTGGTCACAGTATACATATTTCTTGAGCAATCCTAAAAAAATTTCTCAAAGCGCAAATATCGATCCTGGCAGAATCTCGAAACTTATCAGCAAAATTTAAATTTCAAACAGAGACAGACTACTGTAAAAATAAATACTACCTAAATACGACGCTCGCGCTGTCGCGCAGTCGGAAAAGCCAAAACTAGCTTAAAACTCCAAAGAACCACGTAACGATCGCATAGGGGGGTTTATCGTGCGGATTCGAGGTGCTGCAGTGTGGACCACCGGACACGGAAATGCAATACAGTGCGAGTAGTAAGCACACTAGCACAGATATGAGATACCCGATAACTGCGTTGAGATCTCACCCATTATTTAGGCAATTTTTTTCCAGATTTTATAATTTTCAGGTTTCGACATTTATAGATAAATTCGTTTTCCGTTTGGTACAGCATGTTACACTTTTTTATGAATTTTAAATAATACTGAATAGTGGTTCTTATCTGTAGACTGTAGTTATTTTGGGGCGATGAAACTATCGTCGGGATAGATTTCTGTTTTGATTTCCACTTTCCACCGTTTCACACTCACGAAAATGAGTTCATACGAATTTGGTGTTGGAGATGATCAGATGACAGTGAACAATCAAGGCGGAAGATTCCTGTAATTATTAATATTTACTTCGATGTTTGTATCAGTCATTGAAAATTTATGGTTAAATGACTTAAATCGCTCGTCTTTTGGGTTTTAGTCAGCCTGGATACGTCGCCGTGCACTTGTTGTTCCGCATCGCTGCTGTGATCACATACCTTATCTGCAGTTTCGTCGCTGGTTTCGTCACCAGCTTCATTGTGATTGTCTTTCTCCTTTCCATAGACTTCTGGATTTGTAAGGTATAATTGATGAGGGACTTAATTCAGAATGTTGTAGGTAAGGGGAATGTCTGTCTTTTAGAATGTGACGGGGCGAAAGTTAGTTGGATTGCGATGGTGGAATTATGTAGATGACGAAGGCAAAAGCAAGTGGATCTACGAATCTAGAAAGGTTGGTCAAGTGCTCATCAAATGAGGGTTCCAAAAGTGTTTCATTTTGTGAATTTGTTTACTGATGATCTAGATGAATTTATTGACATTCTAACAAGAGTTTTACGGGGAAAATCGCATAAATAAATGTTGATTTGTTGAAGGAATTTTGGCACGAGTATTAATGTATTATTACTTACTCTGGCGACGATTATTTGCACACACTGTTACAGTGTTACGCATTTCGTTTTACTTTTTCGGGCATTTATTTCAGTTGTGAATTTTTAAAAATTTATAGTATTTTAGCTGGTATATCACTAATAATTGATTTGCAGCCGGAAGAAGGAAAACCGGTTAATCCAGCAGAATTGAAGATATTCTGGTCAGCATTAATTATCGCTCAAGTACGTATCCACGGCATGATTTCCGATTCTGCCGTCAGCAGTTTGTGCTGCAGACGTTTGGATTTTTCTGTTTTCCATTAGGTTGTATGGGGGATATTTTTCTTCTGGAAGTTAATATCATTTGACATGCGATGGCTGGTAAGTGCTGTTGTCTTTTATTTATATAAAATGCGATTGTTTGATTTTCGAATTGTCATTAATTTCTAGGTGCTCGATTGTATAGCCAATTTTCTGAACGGTGCCAATTTATTTGGATATTTGCGCTGTAAATTCGGCAAAAAAGACGCCGAGAATGCCGCCATGAAATATATTGCTCCACAGATATTTCGCAATGTGAGTTGTCGGTATATGCGGAAGATTTCGAAGTATCTTGTTAGATTGCTTATTATGCCAGTAAAACAGACTTGAATCCTCCAAAGTAGTCTAGATTTTAATTTAGGGCTCATTAATCGGTGTAATTAAATATAATAAGTAATGTGTTAAATCACCGTGAAAATTCTACAATTGTGTTTTGTTTACTGCTTTGTTTTTGAAGGTGTGGTACATATTGATGTTAACTGTCAGGCGCTCGAATTATTGTCATCGGGATTTTCGAATTGTTTTCCAGGCATGGAGTGGCATGACATCTCGTTTCTCACGGCAAGGCAACGCAAATAACAGAAGAGGAGACGATTACAATAACTTAACGGATACACGATGATTTTCCCGATTGTTACGCAGTTGGATCGCTGGATGTGCCGAAATTCCACGTTTTTAAATTTAACTCAGTTGTTTTACGCACCGAAATTGTGCAGCGGTGATCGTCGGTTTAGCCTTCATTCTGCTGATTATCATGTGGGATCGACAAAACTTGTTTGGCTTCTATTTTTAGGAATCCATGTGTTATTGTCGCTTTTGTTGACCTTTTTATAATGTTTGAACCGATGGCTTACTTACTCTTATTGTGTACTGCAACTATGGCATCAGGTTCTGGACTTCTGGTTTCCGTGCATCTCTGCGTAGGCATCTTTAATTTTCTATCACTACACCACAAACTCGAAATGGTTCGGGAAAGAAAACGGTTCGGGTTTTCGTAAGCATCACAGAATTGTCAAGGAACCAATGAAAAACTTAAACATTCTAAGAAAACTTGTATGTTCATGGCTAAAGAAGTCAAGGCAAACGAATCTTAGTAATAAATACTAAAACACACCGGGCGGCATGTGCAGCGCAAGTACAAAGTATAAAGCAAAAAGATCGTAAAATTACGCGTCATCGATTCGGAAGGTCTGACTGGCACTGTGTAAAGCGGATGAAAATGCATCCTGGCTGAAAAAGTGTTCCAACATATTGGACACTTGGGCAGCGGTGTAGGGCAGGTACTTCTCATGATGAGTCGTGAAAGGAATGTGGCTGTATCTTAAATTGAATGAAAGAACACGTCAGCCTTCAGGAAACCAAAATGTCTATCCAAATATTTTTGTTTTATTAAGGTACAAGTTTAAAAATGTCTGAATACCTTTCACGATACGTGGTATATAACGATAAAATTGTATCCCGGTTTTGTTGCTGTAAGCTTAGACGAAGATTGGTATCCGGCACGCTGTATTTCTCCTGTTTTGCGGCTTGTTGCTGAAGCTCTTTAATAATAGCCTACAAAAGCATCAAAGTAATCATTTTAGAAATACGTACTTACATACGAAGACAACTGACATACCGTGCATCGCTCCTTAATGGCATCTCGATCTTTGGGTTTCAACTGGAAGAGCAGGCATGTTTAATGCGCACATCAAGCGGAGTACCACACTCATAATGTAAGTACAAACCTTAATGTTGTAATCACTGGTGGTAGAATGCTGGAAAACATTAGAGACAACAATGAAGACTCATTAGACATACAAAATAAGAGGAACAAAATTAAATACCTTCAGCGACAAGTCGTTAGCAGCGGGCGTGCGCAGCAGGCCAGCATCTCCAATGGCCTCGGTAAGTAAACGAGAAAGCACATTCCAGCTATTGAAAAGCTTTTTTGTAATAAACACGTTGAAACATCCGGTAGTAAACTGTATTTTCTTACCATTCCATATATGCTTTGCGCTGCTCAACAGTGCGTCCGCCAATAAGTTTATCAATATTGGGGTTATCCTCCTTCATAACCTCAATTATTCCAGCTCTGTAAAAGAAAAACTGACGAATTACAATGCCGACCAGAGGCGATTACCATTTATTGCGCAACTCGTTACTCCCTTTTAAAAACGGTTTCGTTTCGTGTCTGAGATTTAAACCAACTCATGAACTGGAGCACAAAAGATTCCAAAGCGTTGTAAGCTTACTGTTTCAAGTAGTTGTACATGTATGTTGTATTGTTTAACAGGAAAATGGCTTTTAATGTGTAATCGCTGTAATTCTCCGAGCGCACGGTTAAATTAGCCAGCAAGTGCGTCACAACGAAATCTGCAAATCATAATAATCATTCACAGACCAAACAAAATACAATTACAAATAAACTTACTAAGATACTGCGGAAAATTGTGACTGATATGGAAGGCGCCTTGTTTAGCATATGGAGCATTAGCGACGGCACTGGCAGCGGCTTTCCCATCCTTTTTTGCACCTTCTAAAACGCCCATATACAAAAGTATCAAAAAATTGTACTTCAGAAAAAGACTTCCAGAAATTGCTCATCCTTTCATTACCGTCGGCGGTCAAGGCGTCGAATAATGGGCGATAATCCACCAGATTAGACAAAAACGCAATCGTCTAGAAAAGGACAAATTAGCGCACTGATTTTTCAGCGCGGCGAAGAGACAGGAAAATTCGATTACACTACTTACATTTGTAGTCAACTCATGAATGCTGCCATCTGGCGGAAGTCCCCGATCGTTGCTTTGCTTAATAGATGCTAAAAACCCATCCATAGTTCGAATAACCTGCAGCATAAACTGGTGAGTTACTTCTTCGCCAGATCCGATCCGTGGTATGCATTCCTCACCGCTGAGCGGAAAACCAGATGAACATTGATCCAGTTGTGCTGCGTCTGCTGTGTGCATCCCTCCAAAGCTCCATTAAATAACGGCTGCAAATCTTGGAAATGTTCCAAAATTTGCAGCAAAAGAAGAACGGCAGAAAAGTCTCCGTTTTGAACATGGTGCATAATTTTTCCAGCTAAATCCTATACAAAGCCAGAATCAAGCACTGAATTTTTTCAGAATAATTTAACTTGTTACCTTGCCCATCTTCTCGAACCTTTCCATAGGCTGTTTAATAATCCGATCGAAAACTTCCCGCATATGCTCAATGGGTATAATGCCGTACATTAAACTTACTTCGCTCTGCCAATCATTGAAAAGAACTTGCTCATAGGAAAAAAAACTCGCGTAACTGTGAAAACTACGCAAAATATTTGTACCTCAACAAGTTTGAGAAATGCCGACACCAGTGCCATATACACTTCCACTTGTTGATACGTTTCTTCATCAATCCCAACATGCACCCCTATGCCAAGAATTACAGTGTTAGATAAGTAAAAGAAAAAAATATCTTGCACTAACCAGTAGCTTTCTTGGCGGAATTTGGTTTGAGCTTTCTGAAAAGATAATTTCAAGCTTTGACAATATGAAATGCATAATTTTGACATCTTAGATACGAGTACCACTTATAATAATCGGCTTTAACTCAATAGAACGAGTATAAAATGTACAGTCAAGCTCCGACTCAAGCGCACACGTTAGCAATGGATGTAAAACTCAGAGCCGAATAAATAAGGACGATTATGGAAATCCTCATTCCTCACCCACCTGAACTTGCGGAAAAGCGACGCCGTGCCAGTCCCAGCCTGCGCCGCCTTCTTTCGGGGTGTGCTTTTCATAGCCCGCTTCAGTGTCCCCGTGCGCGGATTATGTGAATCGTCTCCAACAGTGGCCAAACTGCGCGAATCATCGTCATAACCGATCCGCGACTGAGCGTCACCCGAGTGGCCGGACGTCTTTCCCATGGAAATATTTAGACTTTTTCGATCCACGTCCAGATCACCACCCAACTCATTGGACGACAGGTTATCCTTGTAGAATGTACGAAATCTACAAAACACGATGACCACACTTCTGCGAATATTCTGAGCGTAAAATCAGTCTCATTACTGTTCGAGCGCATCGATCATCGTTCCGGAACGGAAATTGGCATACACCTCCATGAAGTCATACTGATCGTTGGTTTTCAGGAACCACTGCGTCACTAACTTCAAATCATTATGAGCAGACTCGGCGAAGTGGGCCAATTCATGGCTAACACTGGGATCACGAAGATTAAGAACGATGGCGTCTTTGATCATTACGGCCGGAACGGGCTTGCTGTGCATGCGCAGCAGTTCACGGAATTCTTTGATTAAATTCTCACGGCCAGTTCTGTATAAACCCGACTACGAATAATAGCAAATGATCGGTTAAGTTAAACTCTTGATGGTAAAAATATTTTTTAATCCACTCACCACTTGCTCGTATTCAGGCGTTGACGTGTTGAAATCGGCAAAAAAATCGGCTGATGCTTTGACTTTCTCCAGTGCAGCACAATAGGCTGGCAAATTTTTTACGGGACTGACAATAAAAAGGTACTGTATAGTAGCTCAGCACATTTATCACCACAAAACAGAATCGTCAATTTAAAGTTCATCTACTCGTACTAAGCATAACCATACATGTTTTCATTCTAATTCAAAATCGAAAACGAACATACCACAGCTTCACAAATCCTATAACATATGGCGTAGTGCCTACCCAGCTTGAATCACGGCCGATAACTGCTCCGGAACTTTATAATGATACAAAGCAGCGTCAATGGCTTCGATAGCCCGCTCCGCATCTACCGAATATACACCACCTTGCTAACAATCAGTCTCCCCTATCCTGATAAATTATTTATGTTTCAATAACGTTACTATGAAAAAAACTGTACGCAATTTCGCATGTGTTAATTTACTCGATGCTTACTGTTTTTGCATATTTGATGACGGGCAGATTCATTGTATAACGGAACAAGACACTGTTCTAGAAACTGCACCCGCAACTTGGAAGATTCTGCTAGCGTATCCATTCGAACAGCCAACGAGTCCAGTGCTTCGAAACCTTTCTCAAAACGCTTCACACGGGCATTCATCTAAGAAGCGAGAACCACTGACGCATCATTTAAACGCATCATTTAAAAACGCATAAACGCATCATTTAAAAATTAATTTTTTCGATACAACATTACAAGTGAATAAAATGGACGACATCACGTGATCGTAAAAGAAACAAGGTAAAAAGAAAGAATTAATTGTCCAAGGCTTACGCTAAGTTCCTAATTAATTCAAGCGAAAACTGTCTAAGCGATATAAAAACGTACGCAATTGAATCGCACGATTACCGGAAAAAACCGGCCCAGGTCAAACTAAATGCAGGATCAAACTAGAAGCTACCGACCGGTTCGAAACGAAAATGGCACATTAGAAAGCGCCCAACACACCTGCTCCATTCGTGTCCGCAAATGCTGATTCCGCTCAGCAATCTCCTGCTCCAGTGCACTGGTGAACCGCTTGGACCGTCTCTCCTTTCCCCGTCGAAAATTACGATTAAATCCCACCACCTTCAAATCATCCAACAACTCCTGCAGATCCTCGTCATCCTCTTCCCACTCGAAGGCGCCCCCCATCTTCCCCCCGGCGTCCACCGCATCCTCCATCACCGACGCGTTCTTGGACTGGAACTGCAAATCATACAGCTTCTCCTCCGTCTTGGCCGCATGATGCCATGCACTGGGCAGCGCGCGTTTCCGATCCACCGTGCCCTCGCTCTCCCCGCTGCCCCCCACACGCTGGTGGGGATGCAAGCCCATCCGGGGCACATTGGCGGCGCGCATGCCCAGTTGCGCCACAGCGATGGGCAGCCAGTACACTTCGGCGGTGTCGGAGGTCTCCGGGGCGAGGGCGCGCAGGGTCTCTTGAAGAGCGTAAGGGTCCGAGGGGTTGGGGCCGCCGTATTCCTTCTCCCCCGACGCATTGGGTGATGCGAAGGGCAGTTTGTCATGGTCTTTGGTGGAGGAGCGCCGACGCGACAGAGAAATCTGTGGAGTCGCGGAGAGGGGCAGGCTGGGACGACTGAAGGGGGCTTTCACGCTCTGTTCCGAATTCATGGTTGGATAAACACTCAACAGACCAAGAAAACCATCACGGAGGGCAGATGTTTACCGTTCGACACGATACTCGGAAGTCAACTCATTTCGTTGAATCCAACACCAGTTCGGCTTACTACAAAGATTTGATTGATTTCATCAATTACTACACAACGAATTTCCAGCCAAAGCTAACAGTCTGAAGTCTGTAACCAGAAAAAAAGTATGCATGCCATGCAGTTTAGTATAATCAGCTGTAACTTAAATTATTTTTGTTGTGGTAAATTTCAGAAGTTGTGAAAAAAAAAAGAAAACAAACGTACTCGTTCGGGTAACGAAGTGGGGCAGAGGAATCGCAAATCAAACTCCATGTAGCCTGCTCCCGAGGGCGATGGGCGAGTATAGCATCCTATTTTCTTCCAGCATTATTTACATTCCCAGAACGCGCGAGGTGGGAAATGACCGGCAACATATCGCATGCGATTTGCATATCGCTATTACCCTATGGCGAATCTGTTGTAAAAGTAAACAGGAAATCGCATCGTAATTATGAGATACCGGCGAAGTTTGCCGGTCCAACGGGAAGGGTAATTACGGAATACGACCGAATGCAACATGGACGCGCGCCTTATGGCAGTTTCTTTTTTTGTATCGTTTGCGCTCAATGATTTCAGTCCTGATTTCCCGTTTACACACCCGCAAATAATTTTAGCCATTTGTAGGCAGATTTTTTAAAGTTTTATGGGTTTGTTTGTTTTTTACCAATCTTATTAAATTATGTATATATACCTGTGGTCTGCATGCAACACTCTGTTTCCTCGTCAACGTAAAAGCTGTCACGAACTAGGAGCGAAGATTACTTATTTAAATACTGATGGACTGAACACGGGGATCCCTAATTACAAGATAAAGTACGTAATTATAAGAACACATCCGTGATTACGATGATCAAGGTTCCGACACGTACGAATTCACAATTTCGTTCGGTCCAAACGTAATCCAATCCAAACCCTTCTGTTTATGGATAACGCAGTCTGTTTATCTATTTATGGATGACACAGTCACACAAATTGCAAATTACTTGCTCTGATTACACTTAACATAATTCATTATGCAATCTTAAAAATCACTTTGTCAGTACTAATTTATTAACAACGTATTTTAATTTTAATATCAATTTCTATAATAATATATGCACAAACTTGTACTCGTTTGCAACAGACCGATGTTTCTGTTTTCTTTAAAGGTATGTAACTTCAACAGCTTTGCCTTTGCCAGCATTTCTTGAGCATATGTATGGTTGACCTTTATCCTCCAGTTTTCAGAAAACTGAGTTTGATGCTCTCTGAGTGTAACAGCCATGCTATTTGCAGATTTTTTTTACGTTCAAAGTATTTATTTGGCAAACAGGTAGCATGAACAGAATTTCATATTCTGCCAATTAGAGCAATAAATACTTGCGGTTATTTAAACTGAGTTTTGCAACTATAACTGTGCAGTTTACAGCAGTGCTTTCGATCCGGTTGAAACATGTATAAGTACGAGTACTGTACTTGCAATATGCTAGTTTAGCAATACTGTCGATAAACAGTTAGATATAAACACCATTCTCCTAATAAAGCACATCTGACTTTGATTTGTATCTTTCTGTATATATTGTTTCTATAAGCTATGGAGAAAAATGCCTTTTCCTAGAGTGGAAAAGTATTAGTGCTCGTGTACATTTGTCGCTGAAAGCGTAATCCACATGGATGTGGAGATAACTTAATTTTTTAACTTGCGAGTACCGTGCAGAAGACTGCGAATTGATTAGTACTTCCGCTCGAACTTTTTGTTTAAATTTAAATAAAGTCCAGCCTTTCAAATACGACACCATAACATGCCCACATTGATCAAATGTATAGCTTGCAGCTTTCAAAGCGCAAGGATAAGTTATAGGGCGATGATATATAAGGAATTGTCACATCTGTCGTGCTTCCCACGAGAGCAAACTCGCCAATACAAACTCAACAAGCAATACGATCGCCTCTGAGCAACAAAACTGCTTTTCAACATGGCCAACTGAACATGATCATAATCGAATAATTAACCAACGCCACACACATATAACAGCATATAGAGCGCCACTGCGTACGGCATCTTATGCCGACATGACCGGATACGATCGGATCGAGGATAGCTCACTTTCTTCTTCCTGACTTTTATTAAACCAGGACAATGCGCTGAACATGCTATCGGTACACAGACACACAAGGCATAGCAGGATGTCATGAGCGTACTTGCACTGAATGCTGTCGATAGTCCTCTTTTTCATCCTTTCCGTTCCTTTATTTACGTATCCGCCGCTGCCACCGCGCGACCGAATGGCAAACGATCGGCCTGGCGCTGGTGCGCTTGACGATATCTTTGGATCTTTCCTTTGACTTTTCTGTCAAGTAGATTGAGCTTTAAGGCCCAAACAACTAGCTCAAGCTAAAGAAAACACGATTACTTCGGCCTACACAGCGGATCGCCTGGAAAGGTCACCATCATCCATCCGGCAATGTCCTCGCTCTCTCCCGTGTCCGATACCGGTCAGTCAGGTAAAGAATCCTTTTTAATCTCTTGTCAACACTTATAATTAAAATTCGATTATCGATGCATGTAACGGCACCGAAGTTTTTCTCCGTGGCTAAAGGACTTTTGATTTTTCCCCTGGAGTGGTTATGCCGTTAAGACCAGTGTGTCAATCATTACAGTAGAAGTTGGCGTTTAAGCGGGCGTGAAAATTGGTCACGTAATGTCATATTGCCGTCATTTCAAGTCAACTAGAAATCACTCAGGCAGTATTGAAATTTAATGTGGTCATGTCACTCCAGAGTCGTCAATAGCGAAAAGCGATGTTGCCGGTGATTGTAGCCAGATATATGTTCCTTTTGCCCGCTCCTGTGATCACTGGCTGCCCCGATAGAAGTCGCAGAACACAAGTAGCATTCACGAGCAAAATCTTTAATCTTCTAGCTACTTGTAGAAGTTTGTCCGTAAGTTGAGGATTGTCTAGGGATGGAACCCATCAACTTTTTTAAGTAACTATGCATTATGCCTTTAAGCAGTTCACCATGCCCGATTCCATAGTCATAAGGCAAACGTTCGTGAGCAGACAACAGCAGTCAAGCACCGCGTACTGGTTTTTGCTACCGCACTGGAAAATCATTTTTTTAATTTACAGTAATATCTTGCTTTCCGGACGAGAGTCAGGACTCAGGTTAGTGTGTGCGTGACTAGTTAGGTTAGTAAGGTCAGCACTAATATACCGTTATTTGCGCTTTAATATGCTATATTTTACTCAGTTATTTACGCTTATCATGCACAATTAGCCGGCCTAATTATTTCCTAAGCAAGGCATTTGCGGTAAAAGCAGCCCAATAAAATGCACATTAGCAACTTAGCAGTTAGCAGTATATTGGGTCACTATGAGAAAAATCCTCCATAATAATACTGTTTGTTGCCGGAAAATGACTTAGCTTTAAAATTAAATCCACTGGATGTTTTCATGGCATTTTTTTCTATTTTTCATCCATAACGATATCCATTCCTTGACACAACTCAATCAGAATTTGGATATTTGTTGCTTGATTGTAAACCAATGCACTAAACATATTGAGTGATGAATGGTTAATCGATAGCCTATAACGTAATCAAGTATATAAGAAAATATCCGCATATTTATTATTTGTTGTGATCAGGTCAAAGTGGCTTCTGTTTTGGTCGAACATATTGCATACTACATACCTCCATCTATCAACGCTAAATCGTATTAGCACTTCTAATTAATGGTGATGCAGTTCTCTAATTAATGGTGATGTGATGCACTTCTCTTGATGTAGATAGATGAAAAACCTACTAAAATAAAAGCGGCATTCAAAGTTTCGTGGGCAGTTTAATTATTGACTGTAATTAAAAAGAGATGAGATATGTTAACATTAGAACTACGGATATATGCCAGTTTGGTTGCACACAAATGCTGGTATAATTGTACTCGTGTATGGGAATCCGTTATCATGTGATTGTTTGTTTACCTTTTGCACAGAAATCAAAAAGCCAAAACTTTCACCGCGACTTAACGATTTTGCGGATGATCATGAGAGTTGTGATGAGCAGAAACCGAACGTTGGGAGATTTGTCGATTCGCCACGGCTGACATCGCGCTCGTCTAGTCACGGTACACTGACGGGATCTGCGTCCAGTAACAATACCACGCACAGTCAGCTGTGCCGCGTGTGCGGCGACAAAGCATCCGGGAAGCATTACGGTGTGCCCAGTTGTGATGGATGCCGAGGATTCTTTAAGCGCAGCATCCGTCGTAATCTGGACTATGTGTGCAAGGAAAACGGCAAATGTGTCGTTGATCTGAACCGGCGTAATCAGTGTCAAGCCTGCCGATTCAAAAAGTGTCTTGAGGTCAAAATGAACCGAGACGGTAAGCCAAAGCAGATGTGACCTTTGCTTAAAAATATCGTAGAATGTGCTAGTGGCGCACTCACCATTAATATGGGTGCATGCTTAACAGTAATTTTGGAGATCGCCACTCTTTAGTTTTAGCATATATAAAAGTTGGTTCTTGCTCTAATTGAATTGCCGTACATGTTTATAGTTTCCGGGCTGATTGAAAATTCATGATGGTAATACACATTATCAAGTGGAAATAAGAATTTGACGAGTGCCTTTCAAATAATCACAATTCACTGTAGCAGTTATTATGTATGCTTGATGAAAATGCCCATCGATCTGACGGTGGCGCACACAAACTGTGGAGATGAATAGCTAGCATGTCCAACTGGACAGGAGGAAACAGTTTGGAGAGGTTGTTTGGTTTTGATCAGACGGTTAGCCGTGGTTATACATCAACGGTAATTGAGGCCGGGCCTAGTCTACTAAATTATTAGCAAACTCTCCCGATCGACACCCGCGTCAGCCGGTGGCATTCCCACACGTAAACCGCGCCAGAAATGGTTTATCAGCATGTGCCGCGGCCGAATGCATATCCATGATTCCTATGGAGTGATTCCAAAGAACACTCGATCAATGTTTGTGGCAAACAAGCCGAGTTGCGGCCGGCCACAGTCACGACGCGCGCGTCTCTCTGGCACTGACTTCTGCTCATCCCTTTCCACTTGAAGCAATGTACTGGATGCGCGCGCGGCCGCCTCTCTTGCCTGCATTATTTAAGCCGGCTGTGTATGGACGGTGTATTAGTAGCTAGTTGGTTCCGGTTGACGCGGACGAATGCCGGGAAGGAGCGATGTGATGTGCAGGCACTTACGGTGGGAATGGCCAAGCTGTTTGACGGGATAGCTCAACAGAGCAAAGGATTAGGTTACTTGACATGCTAACATTTCCTTAAGCCACATCCATTGTGCAATACAATCATCCTATGCGTGCGCACGGACGCACGACCCATCCCGCTGACTTTGCACTGTGTGTTCGTCGTCTTGAAAGGAAGAAAATGAATAAGTGTGCCCTTACGGTTATGACTGGAAATTTTTTCCATCAAAGCCGCTGCAATGCTAACCTTTAAGGTTTTTCAAGTGGTTGCATTTTTTCCGCGCGTACGTCGTTTATGACCACTAAAGTAAACCAGCTCCAGGAATCGCTACTTATTATCATTGAATGACATGGCAGTCGTAGGTTGCAGAACAATCTCGTTGCTTTATAATAATCTGCTTACTTCTGCTTCCGATCTATAAGTCTGTTCCTGCTTCTACTTACGTTCTTTCTATAATTACTTACTTTTGCTTCAACAGAATGACATGCAAGTTCCTAAAGTCCCGGGCCCTTGTTTGATTAAGCACAGAAATGAAGCTATTTGATTAGTCCCCGGCTAATATTAATTATTATCAAGCACAGAATTGCAGTTCTTTATCTTTTGAGAGAAAAGTATATTAACCACTGATGACGGCAAAATAATAATCTTCATCTCACCGAGCAAAAATGCCGTTAAAGCTCAATGGCGCGTAAAGCTAATACCGTGTCGTACTTATAGGTAATTACATAGGTAATTACACAGCGCGAGTCATGCGAATTTTAATATTAAACCAAATTCTACATTCATACGTATTTTTACTCGTACTCGCGTATAACACTCGTTTTTTATTTGCGTGCAAAATATTAATAAGTATGCCGTTGTGCAGTATGCGCAATATCTACATTAATTAAGTATATAGTGTACTGTAACTTATAAGATGCGGACATAGCTTATACGAGCTCGAGCGCAGTGCAATGGTAGTGTTCAACGATTTCAATCACATTACCACAAAAATACCACAAAAATCATAAAATTATTTACGAAACGAACGAGCGGCAAACAGATATAGTAATCTTTAGGTTATTTTCGGTACTTGAATAAAATGTGCATAATATTTTTTCTGCTTAGCCGTTCAACACGAGCGAGCACCACGATCCTTCCCGTATCGGCGCTCCTCATCGACAGCATCTCCGATATCTGAATCCACTTTCTTCCCCGGTCAAACATGTTCTTCATCCGTACGCTCCGGTGCTTCTCTGTCCGGTGACCCTTTTCTGGACTCCCTCTCCTCTTTTATGCTATACAGTTCTTCTAATGGAATTCCGCTGCCCTTTCGTCTTCCACCTTCCATTGCGCAGCCGGTGCCGCTAATTAAACCGAAACTCCACACTACCTCGGCTGCAATATCCTCCAAACCCGCCATTGGATCATCCAATACGGCGTTTTCTCCGTACAAAAGCGGGGAGGTCCCGGAGATGAACAGTACGGGTCTGTTGCCGGGTTTCTCCGTGGACAGTTTGATCCGCACGACCGGTAATACACAAGCGCTGCAGCACAGTTCGGTGTGGATAATTTACTCGGCCGTGCGATGGGCCCGCTCGGTGCCATCATTTCTGCAGTTGCCCTTTCACGACCAGACGTTGCTGCTAAAAATGTCATGGTTGGAGATGTATGTCTTTACGTACACTCAAACGAAACCCGGTAAGCATGAGATAGAACCTTTTGTGCAAAGAACAGCTGGCGATAATTTATCTGCAGGAGAATTCTGCGCACAGAATTCGAAAACTATAAAATCTCGAAACTACGTAAACGTAAGTAGTTCTCAAGCAATAAGTAGGAGACAACACTAGAAAACGTAGTACGAGTGCCCACAGTTTCTTACTAGTACTATAACATGTCCACGATTAGTGATTACTAATATATAATAAGGCATGTACGAGTATTATATAGGAAGCTATTAATAACGTTTTGTACAGTCCTTCTGCTTTTCAAAATTGAGTAATATTTCATATAGACTGCGCGTCTATTTACACTTATTAGTTGCAGTTAAGTATGGTCGAGTTGTATGCGATTTTTCTTTCCAGGTTATCTTGATGTGATTGCGGACAAGACCTGCAAAGAAATGCAGCAGCTCTGCGCAGCTTTGTCCAAAATTTCAGAACATCGTCTTGATGCGACGGAAGTATCCCTGATAAAAGCAATTGCGCTGTTTCGAACCGGTGAGCTGATAACTTCATAGAAACTATACAAACTTCATTTCACATCGGTATTAGTCCTCGTATTAGTACATTCACGCCTTATTAAATAAAAAAATCACGTTTTTTTATGTATTCTTCTTTTCCGGCAAGTAGATTAGGGTGAATAGAAGCAAATCTGTTTAGCGCGCTTTGTATAAATTCGAGTACAGTAATTTCATTCACGCTGACCCGCAGGTTGCAACATAAATATCAAAATGAATTCATAGCTTACAATGCAGTTACTGTAGAAATAGTGCAGTAAAAGTATAACGTTGTAGTAGTCTAGTAGGATACGCCATTTTGTTTTATGTGTCAATGCTCTGCTACGCTTTGTATAATTATAAGGCCATGTTACAGTAGTGACTAGCAATTTAAATATTTTTCACTCGGCAGGTATAACATATTTTTAAATTGTTTTGCAGATGTACAGGGCGTGAAAGAAATGGCTCTAGTGGAGACGTTCCAGGACCAGGCCCAGCTGGTTTTGTCCGAATACACAAACAGCAATAAACTTCGCTTCGGCAAGCTGCTTTTGTTGCTTCCAATGCTGAGAAGCATCAGTTCCGGTGCAGTATCCCATTTTTTATTCAAAGTTTTTGGAAAGTCTGTAGAGCAGCTAATTGATGAAATGCAGTTGGCCTGCACGCCGCCACCTTTGTGACGCATCGCAGGCATTGTATGTGTTTCAGTTTGTGTTAAAAGTTCAGGAAACTTTAGTCTAGTAAACTTAATATCGTTTTTAAAGTGCAGTACGCATTGGAATAATTACATTGTGTACTTTGCAAAGTAATAACAGTGAAAACTGAAATCTCTGCTATGCAGCCAGCATTGGCTATTGTAATTTGTACATGCATCATTCGCCTATATGTACACAGATTCCGTATAACTGATATGAATAGATAAATTACGGTCCAGGAAAAATGAAAAGGTCAGAGGCTCCGCGTAAATACAAACAGTGTGGCGCGCAGCGGAAAGCTTACAAAATGATTAACAAAGACACCGAAAACATGCATTTAAACAAACAACATGATTGAGCAATGGTAGACTTCGATGTCGGGAGACTTTCATGCTCGGAGGTTAATTCTGCGAGGCTACCCAACCAGGACAACATAGAAGAGATATTTCATTTATAGAATTCCATTGTTGTTACAAAGTATGCCCTTTTTTTACCTGCAACATAACAGCAGTGCCACTATGCCCAACACATACCCAACAAGTAGTTACTGCAAGATAGAAATTATTATTGCGAAAGGGCAACAATATTCTGATCGCAGATCGTTCTAACAAAAAAGACTAGATGGATCATGAAAGCGATTTGATACTGATTACTTGCACATTCTAACCCTTAACCGGCATACAATATTAACTGACCATCAAGCTAAAACTGTGTGTAAAGGTAAACGTCTGTAAAAGAGCTAAATGTGTGCTAAGATACTGTAATTTAAAAGTGCGAAGTATGTATTGATAGAAACCCGGCTTACAGTATTAATCCGCCACCTGTTTTTCTGTGGCCACCTGTTTTTCTGTTTTTCTAAAATATCTGTGGCCAGGGCGAAGGACATATTATTTTCCTAGCTTCATGCATTACAGACCACAAAAACGGCTCGCTCGGCTCGATGTCCAGTTCTGCATGTATCCAGATAATTTTGCATCAGAAAAATGGTTGAACGAAGCTGGCTGGTGTGCAATACAGTATTAACGTTGCAATAAAAGACTCGTTCGGGTTTCTTGTACGTGGAATATGGTGCTTATTCAAATCTCAGAAGCATCCACAACTATCAAAAATATAAGAAAAATTTTTTATTAAAGCCCCCATCTACCAGTCTCTGGGCGTACACGCACAGAAACAAGCATCACAAGTTGAAGCACTACGGAATGCAACACTTATAAACGACCATTTAGCTATAGTAAGTTCTTGACTGAACACACACCCGGTATTAAAGTCTTAGTCTTCCAGCACTAAAGTCTCCCCACATTACAGTCTCCCCGCATTAAAATGTTCCTGCATTACAGAAAACATTCACAAAATTAAAGTTACCCGGGTTTAAAGTTTCCCAGAAACTTTAAAGTTTTCGACCGTCTCCCAACAATAAACATCCCAAAATTAAAGCGTTCCCATTACGCAGATGGCATGCATACCATCTTTGAATCTGAATGAATAATCGCTGCCGGAAGAACACCTTTGATCGCTGTTGTATGGTTGCTGCGGCTAGGTTTTTCCCGATTTTGTCAACTAGCGCCTTGGTGCCATCTCCCCAACGGCCGTAAATCTCAAACGCAGCGAGGACAAAGTCATAACGCGGCAAGTTGGCAGCTTGTGCTTGGCCAGGTTTCCCCTTTCAGCCATTTGCCCGGCGTTCACTGAAGTGAAGTCGACGTATGAACAATGTGGCTACAGTGTCCACGCAGGCCACGTCAATGGCCAGTGGATTACCGCGCGTCCAAGGAACGAGGGTCATGACATCCAGTCACCTAGGGTCTTTGACAAGCGCGCAGACAAGCGCTTTGATTCCATACTGCAGGGGAAACCGGCGGTCTTCAAACCACGAGCAAACTCTTCACTTATGCCGTTGTGTCTTGGGAGTTTTCCGGCCGGACGTCTACAACGCAAGACCATGCCTGTAGAGTTCATCGACGGGTTCACCACAGACACCAGTATGCGGAGTGACGATCGGCGCTGCCAAACGCAATGCGACGCCGTTTTGAAGTGCGGTTTCATCCAGCAGATTGCGCAGACAAGCGGCCAGTCAGGCATGAATCCAGAGTTTAGATTCCGGTACCGAAATCGCTCTTCGGTGCGCGACTTCTACTGCGGAGTTGTGGAGATTGGTCAGCTTATGGTTAGAGAAGGCACGAAGCGTTGCCAGTGTGTCCCAGGCTTTCTGGATGTAGCAGACGTTCTTCCGGGAGGTCGTCCGAGCCGACGAGAGTCTTCCATGCGCTTGTTGTGGCAATTCAATCGGTGGGCGCTAGGGCAACATGTACGGTACATACGTAACGGTAGTGTGGGCAAACCCCCTGCGGGTTTGATGCTTCTGAGCTTCTCTGATTTTTTCTCCTGTCACAGTTTCACAGTTAAATACACAGCAAGTTTCGGATTGCAAACTGCAATTTAACAGCAAATCTTAACGATAAGATTTATTTTACCATTTAAATTAAATGATAAAACCTTTACTGTTTACGTTTAAGAAATGCAAAGTTCGATCCTTTAAAAGGTTGTTTTTCAAGTTTCAGAATTTATCGTTGAAGTATATATGCGGCGTATATGCATATCCTAGAAATGTCGAAGTTTTTTAAAGCTTGACATGTTGTTCTGCCTTGGTGGAACTCGGAAGTGATGTTTAATTGGGTTGCGGTCTGCTTGAACTGCTTTAAACTGTTGGTTTATGCAGTTTGCTTATCTGTCAGATTGTAAGAAATCGCTGAAATGTCTTGCTTTCGCGTTGTATTGCGGAATTCATTGAGACTCATTCCAAAACGCGGAATTCAAACCTCATCCGTGACGTTCTGCGGTTTGCCAGGATCCGTTTGTGTCCATGTGAGTTATTTGCCAGCTGCATCGCGTTTATCATCTGGCATATTCTGAGTAGCTGCATTCTTTATTGTGCTTTTGGTAGGGAAAGTCGCAGCATTACATCCACAAACCAAGCGAACACATCTTACCCGGGTTCTCCAGTTTTCAATCCTATCGCGCCTCGAATTCTCAAGGTTTTGCATCAAATGCCGCAGTCTCTGAAGAAGCTGAACCCGCCGAAGATGAGCAGCTTGCTCCCGAAGACGCGCCTGCTGCAGCAGGCAAAAAAGTTGCGGACAGCGAACGCGATCCGCGTGATCGTACCCGTTTGATACCGTGGCAAACCAGTGCGGAGTATCTAAAAAGTCAGGCCTATTTCAACACGTACGGCCAGCAACCGGTATGGAAGCCCTACAGAAGACCGCACAAGGGTGGCATTCCGCCATCGAAGACTAGGCGAATGTGTGTTGTAAGTACTGTATCGCTGTTGGAAAGTTTTTATGTTTTCTTGACATTTTATTTTCTTTATTTTTATTTTCTTCCGTAATGTAATTACGTTAAACTTGCCTTTTCCACGGTTGGCTGAAGTATTATTATTTTCTGATTGCTAAGCTTTTGCTGTTTCCGTCCTTTTTAAAACAGCTGGATATTCTGTTCTCCATACAGCACTGCGATGCTATGGCCCGTTCTGTTTTTGTTTATAGAAAGAAGGCAAAATTGCGATTGGCAGTCCGTGCCCGATATGCCGTGATGAGTATCTTGTCCTGGATTATCGCAACACCGAACTCCTAAAGCAGTTCATTTCACCATATTCCGGGGAAGTTCTTAGTTATCAAGTGACGAATATCTGCCAAGCCATGCATAATCGGCTTTTGGTGGAGTTGGCCAAAGCCAGCCATTTCGGAACGATGTCCTTCAAGACACCTTTTAGAACATATGACTATGCTGATTATTACAAATCGGGTAGCAGTAAATTCACATCCTCGGCAACACGAAATCATATCGAAGACAGTCCTTCCTCTGCGGCGGTGCAAAACAGCAGTATGAATAGAGGACCGGAAGTACAAGCAACTGTGCAGAGCTCGTAACCCTGTCTGATCTTCTTCGTGAACCGGCTGTTTGTTTAATGTCCGAAAATTGAAATAAAGGCGGCTTCTGAAGTCTGATTATCCGTTGGATAACGATAATGTCGTGAACTGGTATACAGTATTCCCTTGAAATCATTACAATAATAATTGTCACGCTTATGGCATTTTTACTGCATTCATAGTCGTGTCCAATCAGTCCACGTTAAACAAAATAAACATCACAGAACAGTACTCGTCCATTCAATGTTTTGGACGAAAACGGTCAAAATTTTATATTGGCATGCCACCATAATTTAAGAGGTAAAAGGCCATCTCGTTGCCGCAGACTGGGTTGGAAAACATCAAAATTATTCAGTTTTAATCTATTAATAAATTTTCTACATGATACTGTCGGCAAAAATATCGTTTTAGCGTTAGGAGAGCCAACCGAACCGGTTTTTATCAGTGCTGCAGCCTTTTCCATATGGTTATCACATCTTTCAACTAAGCCAGCCGTTAAGTCTCGAAATCCTTTTCGTTTTTCCTCTGTTACGGGCATTCCCTGGGATACATCGACATTGCGCCCAATACGGGAAATAACGTCAGCGGATAAACGATGCTTTATTAATAAATCCACAGGGATCAGCACAACTCCGCGTTGCAAGTTATAGGGTACAGAGCGCAGTACCGTTTTGATACCTGTAAAATTCACAAAGAATTACACATAAAGCAATGTAAACCAAAGATGAACAGTAAAGTGAAAAAAATAAATATTTAAGGTGTAACAGAACAGTTGAAACGTTGGATGTGGTACACCACAATTACACACTATAAACAGAATTATAGAAGTATTAAATCGCAAATACTGCTCGGGCGTACAATAAGTAACAAAAATGTGTAAAATTGCTTAAAATACGAATTAAAATTCAGACCACGTTTTCACGGTAAAAAAAGTTTGCTTTTAAAAAAAGGCAGAACATCGCCGCGAAAAGTGTTGTAGCAGAGCTGTCAACTGCCAAGCTTACTTAGCAGGCAAATGACAAATCCAAACAGCACCGCACTTCCGGTGACGTTTAGTGTTGCTTACCTATGGCTTTAGCTAGATATTGCGCTGCCAGTTGTAAATCTTCATTCTGCACCTTCATGGCCTCTAACAGCAAATTAAATGCCGGAGAAATTGCTTTTAGAGAGTACGCCTCCACGGCATCCACACTCCGAAAGGGTTTATTGTGCAAGCTCTCTTCGCGTGCATCAATTAAATCTCGCAAACTAGCTTTCGACATCGGTGTTTTCTGCACTGCACGGTAAAGCTCCTGGGCAACGGGTGTTTGAGGTGGATTCCCGGAATAAATTCTTTCCAGAGCATCCTTCCAAAACTGCAATCGCATCTTGCCGATACGGTGATCCGAGATGACATCGCGGATCTGAGCTAACTCCACATTGAAGGCACGAATGGCGAAGGCGGTAGAGCGAACTGGGGCTGGTAACAGCAACGTGCACAAGTAATTCTCATAATCGGATTTCCTGCATAACGAAGGAATATCTCTCATTAGTTAGGAATCCATGTAACACGCACTGTCGCACTGGTAAAATTCAATAATGATTAACTGATTACTTATTACCATGTACAAATGTCACTCATGTCAGTACTCACTTCACCGAGGCGATACAATATTCCGAAGTCGACTGCTTTTTATTCCATGTTTCGGTTCCGGAAGTGTTTGCATACCGTTTGACGAAAAAATACTGCGCCTCAGCTTTTCTGCAGCGTTAAAATATTCAATAAGTTACCTAGTGGGCTAGCCTATGCACCATTGCAAACCTCGGAAAACCGCCGCGAAGCTGCGCAGTTAGAAATATACATTCCAATTTCAAAGCGCAAACGCCGCTTCTCCGCAACGAATCCATTTGTGGCACCGATTTACACTTTAAAAGTACATAACTACATAAGTTCAAGTTTCCTCCGATAATAGGGTACAAATCATGTATGCTGGAGACATTTAGATTTTAATTATCAAACTATATCTATTAGAACTTACAAACAAATTTAAAAGTTTGCACAAATCAAAAATTTAATGACAAAAATCAAAGCGGACTGGAAGTTCGGCCCGCGCTACTTCTAGGTTTTCTTGTTTTGGTAATTTGGAGTATCGAGCGGAGCATGTGGACAGTGGGATTTTTACGCCTGCGAAAGGACGAGCCCAAGGGCGGCTGCTCCATTCGCTCGCCTTCGTGTCGTCGATCATCTGTCAGATTCCTGTTCATGCAAGACCGTTCGTGTTTCTTTTGTAGGCGTCAGCAAATTTTCATTTCGGCTGGAGACCGCTTCGTATAAAAGCGAGCGGGGAATCCCAACTATAAATGATAAATCATAACGATTTCTCAGTTTATGAGAGTATTTCGGTTTTCGCACAGCTAATCGCGAATTCGAATCGGTATCAGGACAATTTTGTGTCTATTTGGCCGATTATTGCGAGCGGACTAGGTGATCGTCTGGAATTTCGTGATTTCACTTTGCTCTCATCTTCTCCTCTGCATCTGGGATTCTTGCGTCTTTCCGTACGTTTGAGATTCTGTGGTCGCTGTGGTGACACCATCCTTTTCTGTTTCTGTGATAAGTAGTTCAGATCTCAAAGAACTGTCGTAAAATGCCACCAAAGAAAGCTTCGCCCAAGAAATCTGCAGTTGTGCACAGTCCTAAGCGCAAAAGCAGCGACGATCACTCTACCGACGAACCTAAGAGCAAAACGATGAAGACATCTCAGTGGAAGGATCTGGGAGAGGGATTGTTCGTTTGGTCTAGTGAGAACAGCATCCAGCCTCGTAAAAAGGTAGGATAAGAAATTCATTTTGCATGCGTTAACACCTATCCGGGATAACTTAATCTATCGTTGATTTGATTACGCTTGCAGCTGGCTGGTTTCGATTTGGATGGAACACTGATTACAACTAAATCCGGGAAAGTGTTTGCCACTGGTGCCAGTGATTGGCAGTTCCTGTATCCCGAAGTTCCTAACAAGTTGAAGGATCTCTACAACAAAGAGGATTTCAGAGTTGTCATATTCACGAATCAGGGCGGTGTGTCAAAAGGGAAGGTGAATTTTGGGGAATGGCAGAAGAAAGTGGAGGACATCGTTAAGAAGATTGGCATCCCGATGCACGTCTTCGTGGCCACCGACAAGGGCATGAATCGGAAACCTTGTCCGGGAATGTTCCACACGTACGCCAAAGATTTCAATGGAGGGATTGAAGTTGATATGAAGAACAGCGTCTTTGTAGGAGGTATGTGGAGAAGAGTAGGGTATCTTAGCGCTTGGCCACATTATTAAAAGTATTCAGACTGCGCTTGCAGTAATATAAACGGTTATAATCACTTAATTTTTGGTTGAGGATAGCATCATGATTTACGACACTTTGTTTTATTTTTTGCTTAAAATTTGTCACTATGTATTTTGATAGGGTACCTTATTACGATATTTCTATTTACTGCACTTTTGTCCGATCCCCTTTCGCATATTCTTGCGAATATACCGTAGGATAAAATTAAGATGTTGTAAATTTAATTGTAATAATATTCAGTAAGTGATTCAATAATCAATAGGTTATATGACGGCTAAATCAGTGGCTTGTTATTTTGTAATTTTGTTCTCATTATTCATTATTTATGTGTAATGCATTACTTTACAGATGCTGCTGGAAGACCGGCAAGTGCTACCCAGAAAAAGAAAGATTTCTCTCTGGCTGACCGCTTGGTATGGCTTGGGATGTCAGCCTTCATAGCCTGCTGTTTTCAACGCTTGATTTTGTCTTAATTTTTCCAGTTCGCATTGAATTGTGGATTGCCATTTAAAACACCTGAAGAATTTTTCTTGAACCGCAAACCGGAAAAGTACGAGATTACGTCTTTCGATCCGGTACGTCACTGTTGTTAATGACCATTTTCACAACTTCCGTCAACTTCACACGTTTTACACAGAAAGCCTACTTGGCCGATGTTGCTGCTGGGAAGATCGTCTTGTTATCTCCCGCTGTGCCCCTTTCGCCGGCCTCGCAGGAAGTTATCGTTTTGGTCGGCCTGCAGGGCAGTGGAAAGAGTCATTTTGCTCGGGAATATTTGAAAGCCGGCAGCTACGTGCATATTAATCGGGACACCTTGAAGACGTGGCAGAAGTGTGTGGCGGCAACTGATAAAGCTCTGCAGGAGGGCAAGAGTGTCGTGGTGGATAATACCAATCCTGATAAGGAGTCACGCGACCGATATATCAGTTTGGCTAAAAAATATCACGTGCCATGTCGTTGTTTTGTGTTCACCACTTCCATTGAACATGCCCAGCATAACAATACGGTACGTTTTAACTGGTGACGTTTAATGACAAACTAAGAACCATTGTTTATTTTAGTTCAGATTATGGTCGGAATATGTATCCGAATACGTTCGTTATTAATTTTGTGTTAGTGCCTTTTTTGTTTTGTATGGAGTACAGCAAAACACCTGCATGGTTGATCAGCTTTTTGTTTCAACCGTATATAAGAAGAACTTCTGTCGATTTTCTATTTGATTATAAATTTTACCGTTTTCCTTTTCAGTTTCGTGAAATCATCGACCCAACCCATGACGTAGTCCCAGAGATGGTCTATAGAATGTGGAAAGGCAAATACACCTCGCCGACGGTCTCCGAAGGGTTTTCTGAGGTGGTTCAAGTACAATTTATTCCCAAATTCACCAGTAAAGAGCATGAAGAGTTGTACAGCATGTTTCTTATGGAAAAGTGATACTGAGAGGTGTGAAACTGGATAAATTGGTGCATTAATGGTGATAATATTACGTACTTCTGATATGGAAACGTCATTTTTTTCTTGGGATTTCTTTCATGAATGGTTATAGTTACTTTACTGTAGTTTTTCTAAATACTGTCGTAATGCCGGCAAATGGGGTTAGGGGGCATCCATAAATTACGTACGCAGAAAACCACGATTTTTTCACCCCTCCCTCCCCCTTCGTAGCGGTCCGTCACATTTGCTTGACCCCTCCCCCCTGGTTCGTTCAATCGTAATATATGGAGCTGACCACCCCCTCCCCCCTGGGTTCGTCGAGGCCGTCACAGCTTGTCACGCTTTTTGGACCCCTCCCTCCCTGGTTCGCTGCGTACGTAATTTATGGATCCCCCCTTATATGTTAGTTTGTTGCTATATGGCGTTCTGCACTTGGGAAACAACTTGGAGTGGCTGTATAAATATTTATGGTTCATGTTTAAAGCTACTTCCACTGATCTGTATATGTTCTAAAGCTTTGTAACTTCTGTACCGGTAGCCAGTGTTAGTGTTAGGAGGTATCCGTGGCATTAGTATTTTACGTCGTATTTGCATAGATTCTGGGGCTTCAGTTTTTAACAAAGTAGTAATTAACTTACGTACTTGCCCACCTCAATCTAAATGTTTTTTCCACACTTAAAAGGTTAATACTTAACTAACGAAATCCATGTGTTCCTCAAGCGAACGGACACGTGTGCTTAATAGTATATGATTTTTGTGCCCTACGGTCGGTAAAAGCAAATTTATTAGAAAATAATGTCAAGAAAGCAACTTGGATATGATTAAACATTTTAAACGAGGTCATCCTGTATGAGTAACCGTTCTGGCGTACAGCGGAGTTCTGCGTTTTAGAAAAACAACAGTTGCACCCAAAAATAAAAACACATCACCTACTTATTCTGTAAAGATCAAACACGACAGGACATTTTACTACTGCAAAAATCAAAGAAGCGTGACAGGTTCTTTTGATCATGTCGGCATGATTCGATCCACTTTAATAATCAGCACAAACAAGCTCCACTCCTGCAGTTTTGTGGTTGGTAATGCATATCGTTTTAATATCGTTTGTACACATGTACAGGTACAGGTGTACCACTGGTCCAACAAAGTGCCATGTAACGTTCAGCGCATACTACTGCGATTCTTGAACAACAATTCAACAGGTCTATTTGGCTAAAAACTATGATTCAACAATTTTATGTGTCTGTAAATTTCAACATCAAAAGGGAAAAAAGCGTCCAGTGTGAATCACTAACGCTAATGTAAACAAATTCATCCGCACTTGAATGCTGCACACATATCGTAAAAGTAGTAAAATTGTATGTTGACAGGTGTGAAAGTTTCTATACCGGTAGCCAGTATGATCCACAAATGCATGACGCCGACACTTTGTGAGTGATTAAAAGGATCATCATAATGAAAATCTGGCATCAGATGCCGGTATAAAATGAATGGTGGTTTGATTTTCAAGGAGCGCAGATCAGCACATTTCATGCACAAGTTTCACTGCGTATGCAGATTGTCGTCTTCGTATGCTTGTTGACCAACTGGATTAGCAATATAATTATTATCTTTTCTACTGGTCAGTCGATTACTTGCTGCTTGTAAAACGCTCGGAAATCGCCATGGAGAAAACGGTTATCTTGTTTCACTTTTGTGTTGTAATTATCACTGTGATCGGCCCCAAATATGTCGGTAAGCGTATTTTGTTAATTTTTTTGTCGCTGTTATTATTTAATTATTGTACATGCGAATATACGAGCGTATGTGACTAAAAAACGTTTTATGGTGGAAAAATGTTTAACTACAATCGGAAATACATTAATCAAAGCATCAATAGATCTTAAAAGATTTCAATGTTCCGTAAAATATACTGGAGGCCCGTATGCACGGAGAATACTATTTATTACTAAAAATTGTTTGAAATTATAACTTGCACGCTTTCATTTTGCTTTTTTTGTAGAAGCGGAAAATTGTTACGTCTGTAGCCAAATACTGCCACAGGGAGATTACACAGCGCCAGTGGACTGCCGTGATATGCGCAATGCGGAAAGGCGGCAATGTGGAAGCGGAAGTAGTGGATGTTATACGTTCAGAGGATTTCAAAAGATAGGCGACCGAGTCCTCTCTGACGGTACGTACCCTCCCTGATTGTGTTGCCATAGGTTTTACTGGATCTAAGCAGATCGTATAATTTAATCCAATTTAGACATACACCTATTTAAGTAATCATGGCCGTCTTGTCAAGAGGTGCGCGTAACGCGGTCACGCGTGGGTAGTAAGTTATTAACCGAATGGTTTCAAATTACATAATAGTACGCAACAAAACAAATGCCGGATCGTGACAGCGTTATTTAGCTATCCAGCAATCATTATTTGAGTTAACGTTAAGTGGCACAAGACCTGTGAAATAGGTGAAATATATAGAAGACACGGAATATAATGAATGGCCTTCTAATTTCTAAATCTCTAATCCTGTAGTAAATTTTAATGGTTTTTCAAACCGGAATGCAGCTTGAAACGTATTAGCGTCGATTTTCGGATACCTAGCAAATATTCTTAAGGATGATACACAGAAGCCAGGGCGAGTAACTAAATGTGGCAAAAGGCCATGTATACATACGCAACCTCATAAGTACTTAAAATTAGGTATAAGCTTAAGGTTCGTAGCCCCACGTAGAGTAACAGAAGCGGCAACGCCACAGCCTTTTTCCTCTGCTTACTGAAAATTTGTAAACTCTTTTCTAAGAATAACAATCTGTTTACGGACTTCACCGATTTCTTCCGTACAACTATGGTGTTTGGATAGGATGATTAGCGTTGTCAGCCACGGCGTTGCCCAGCTTGTTGCAGCGCTGCAACTTGTAAGGCAGTGTTTTTGCTTTCGAATTCCTTCGCGCATTCTTAGATCGAGCTCAGTTTTTGCTGATAACAGAACAGATACATTCTGACATTCACGAAAATTTTATTCAACCATTGTCTGGTGACAATATGTAGTAGAATCTATCATAACCACAACTGTTAACGCAATTGTCGGCCTATTTACTGAAAATAATCGAAATGAAGAGAACAGGGTTCATCATGACGTACAGGAACCGGCACAACTTCAAGTGGCACGGGCGGGGAAATCAATTATAAATATTTTATACATATGAATGATATGGTTAAGGATATGTAATTATGGCATCTCCCTGATATTTTTAGTCTACCGTAAAATCCTTTATGCTGGTTATTACATGTGGTTATTACATGTGCCGTAGTATTACAAATAAGAACATAATAACAAATATTACATTTTCCTTTCATGTTTATTGTTTGTGCTACTGCAGGTGTTCTCCGTCTCTGCAACGATCAGAACACCCGTCAGATGTTCAACCAACAAAGCAGCTGGTTTTGGCCGGTGCAATCGCAACAACAACAGTCTACTAGCTGCAGCTCCATCAGTATCAGCAAAGCCAGTACGATGGGCGCCAGTGTCCAGTTGAATGGTCAGTTGTGCTCGTGCAGCGGGGATTTCTGCAATACCGATACGCCGGTAACCGGTGCCACTGGGTTGACGGGAACGTCGGGCAATTACGTATACTATTCCGGATCAGCAACGGTCAGTCCGTGGAAGGGTTTATGGCTTTCCGCAGGACTGCTCATTCCTATCGTGCTTTTCCGGCATTGATCTTGCGTGCGACTCGACTCGTAGTTTTGTTGGCTTCTTTTCACCAGTCGTGTCGTATATTACGATACGGTTGAATGTATTGTGTTGTAAAAATTATTCATCATGTTGTATGGTACGGTGTCAGCGTTCCTCGATTTTTCTGATTACATGGCTTTTGTCGCCGTGAGTTCATCAACGCAAAAATTCGCTCTGATTCTCGTTTCTTATTTTCATTGAACGGAGTTTCAGTTTCTTTGTTGAAAGTCTGCGCAATTTGATTTTGCTTGCGGTTGCAAGGCCCCAGCTTTCAAAATGCTTTCATTGCTTTCGTGACCTTTAGCTGCTTCAGAACAGTTATTCCAGTACAAACTGATTCTGAGCACCGTACTTTCTATTGAATTTCGCATAAGAGTACTGGTCACGATACTTGAGCCTATATTTGTGATTTATTTTTTTTTCTTTAATCGGGCATCTGCCAGTACACATAATAATACGCCTGCGCGGGTTTACACTAATAAAAGTTACGAATTTTAAACATTGAAAAAACATCCAAAACAGGCCCGCCACAAGGATTTTGGAAAGGGGGGGGGGCGGGCTGCCGGACTCAAAGTGTGGCGAAAAGTAACACGTGACACGCCGGCCAGCCTCGCCCCGCCCCCTTCCAGTACTTTAAATGCGCCCCCCGGGCGGTCAAAAATCCGAAAAAGGGGGCACCCGCCGGTGCGCCCCCCCCCCCTATCTGGCGGGCCTGATCCAAAAGCATTAGCGTGAGTGAGTTTAGGACGTGCGTTTAGGACGTGCCTGACTGATCATGACACGAAATGACACGAAGCTTGCGGCCGACGAAACGGATTAGCTCTGTCATTTGATTTAATTTTCAACTAACTATCAAAGATGCTTACCGCCAAAAAGCACATCTTCCACAAAGACGTAGATGTTAATTATAGTTCCCAGTAAAATGTGTCCGTTCAACATGTGGCGCCTGCGACTGCAAAGGGTTCATCAATAACAGTTACAAATACGTATATATTATTATATAGAAGCGCACCATTATTATTAGTTTTTTATGTTGTTATGCATAACAAATTTAAGCGGGTACGGGAAAACAGGCATGGAGATCGACATTGAAACCACCGAAAGAGTCAATATATCGATAAACTACTTTACTAAAAAATATGCGGTCTCAGATCGACAGTCCAGATCGAATAAATGGATAAATGTGTCGTGGTAGCACGTAGGGTAATAAACCTGAAAATACCAATTTTTCGAACATTCCATGTAGAGATATCCAGATTTTAATGCTTGCATAAGTATGATATTAGTTCGGATTTCTATTTGTTTGCGCGCACGAAGTTACCCTCATCTCACAGAAAGCTAACTATACGGTATGGTGCTCATGCGAAGAAATAATCAATGATCCGATCAAGAAGCCCTTTTGACTTTTGTTTCAAATGTTCTCCTTTGGAGTGCTTTGGCTGTGGCGGCAATCCATCGCTGTTGCAAAGGTCGCCGGAACACGGACACAACGTGCCTTTGTATTCGTTATGAATGCTGACAAAGATCGACTGGCATGTGTCACCACCGAAGAAGTTGGAATCGAGGAGAGCATCACCTCGATCATTGCCACATAATCGTAGCACACCTGAGAAAAAGTTCACGATCATGTCATGGATTGCTTATATACGCGCGCGGGAGAACCTTCTCAAAATTTTATGCACCCTCGGCATATACGAGTATTAATAAGGCTAACAAGCAAAACGTATCTGCTGAATCGTTTTACTAGAAGTACTAATGTCCATAGGCTCCATACCGTTTTCAATGACCTTTCCACCTATCTGTTGTTTGCCTCTGAAAATGTAGCACGTGCTTCCCTTCCCACAGTATCGGCTCTCCGTAGCGTTAATATCAGGACAATGAAGAGGCTGCGTCATAACATCAGGATCCGTTGGATTAGTAGTGGAATTATCCTTGCAAACGTAGCACCAGCCAGCCTCTGTAAAATAATTAAAGACAAGCGCTACAGTTATTCACATTTATTTCTATAACATTTATGAGCATTCTTAATTTCACCCAAAAGCAAGCCTGCTAATTTCACACACCCGCGCCAAAAGAGTTGAAGCCGAGAACAGTTATGACAGCGAAGTAATACATAAGTGGCTTGTGTTTCATGAGCGGCCACATTCTGATTGTCGCACGTGTGCAGATAAGACTTGAGAGTACTTAAACAAAAAATAACTAGAGAAATTGGGACGAAGAGCGGATCAATATACTGGAAGGTTTCGATTGATCGGATTGTTAGTTGTAGCAAACGGTTTTTATAGGTAAAGATACAACATGGAGGTTAATGTTTTTCTTGAAAACGTTTGATTTGATGAGAATTCTCCTGATAGAGGATATTCTAAAGAAATCGCCGAGACTGAAGACATCCGCAATCTGTTATTAACACAAGTAAAGAATGTACTGGGACCCGGGACCGGGCAACTAGGCCGGTAATTAATTACAGCCACAAGGTACTGGAACCGGCAATTTCGGGAAAAAGCCGGAACCAACATTGCACCGCACGTCACACATCCGATCCACCGATGTTATACCTGCAGGCTGAATGTAACAGTCAACCACCTTCGAAAAATTCGCCTTAGGTTTATGGTAACCTTAGAACGTAGGGAGCTACGATGGCTGCACCGGCGCTAGCATCCTCAGAGCATGAAAAGGTTACTTGTACTACCAAGTAACCTTTTCATGCTCTAGCTAAAGCTGCAGTTAACATGGTTTTTTCCGCTGTTGTCTGCGGCACGGCCGTAGTAATGGTACTCATTGTCAGTCAGCTTTGATATCATTTGACAAGTGCAACCTCTCCAAATTCTTCATTTCCACACGAATTCGCGATCAGTGTGATTCAAAGAGCGTATGCTACTGTGCTGCATGCATTAGTTAATATAGGTTCCGCTTTGAACAGTAACAAGCTCTTTATACGATTCAAACGTTTGAAACTGGGAGTCAAACCTCACGCAATACCCATACAGCGCAGTTTGTAATAGTAAACATCTGCCTGAGAGTGAATAGAGTAATTCAGGCTCAAATATCGCACTGAAAAGAATACTCATAATGTAAAAACAACAAGAAAAAACCACTTTTGCCATAAAGTCTATTTGTTGAAACCATAAATTAGTCAATTTAGCTCCATCTATCAGTGCTGATGCTGACTTTCTTCGATATAAGCAATAACAACCATCATCCCGATGCCAATAAACAGAGCCATCACTTCTTTAAAACTCTGCCACAGCGTGGATTCTTGGAGCAATTCGGGGATGACGCTCACAGTGGCGATGTAGATAAATCCACCAGCGGTAAACGGCAACACCCACGAGATTTTCCCCTCTACGTCGGCCGCGCCAAAGGCCAGGCTGACTAAACAACCAGCGAAAGCTCCCAGCGCCGTTACCAGCTGGAGCGCCATGGCTTTGGGTTTGGAGCAGCCGGACTGGATCAGCAACGCAAAATCACCAATTTCGTGCCTGCAAAACATAACTCACATCAAAACAAAACTTATTAACCATATCTGGATCCGACGATCCCGAAAATTAAATATTAAAAAAGGACTGCATTGCACCGTCGAAACTCCAAAGCTCAAAACCCAAAAACAAAACAATCAAATAAACGGCACATTTTTCGAAATGCTTTTTCTTTCAAAAATGATTTGAATTTTTCTGTTGGTAGAATTAAAATGATGAATCGATCTACACTGAAGAATACAATTCCAAAGAAAGACGGGTAAGAAATCTTACGGGATTTCGTGGAAAAATATCGTTAATGTCGTAACAATCCCAATGCTCTCTCCAGCCATATAAGACGCTCCAATGGCCAATCCATCGGTGAAATTATGTGCGAAATCAGCCGCTAGGTTAAGATATCCACCCACTTTAATATCCGCTGAGACCTCTTCGCTATGAACAGCGGGCGCCACTTCCGGGTTAATCGCTTCTTTCTTCTTCTCAGACGTTTTGATCTCCTTCATGTGCTCAGCTCGTTCCTCCTGCTGCTTCCGCTGACGGAGTTTTTTGCTGACTACTTCTACAAAACACTAATGTTTCTGCAGAGATACACAAAACGAAAAAGCGAAACAACGCACCGAAGTCGGCGTCATCTTCGTTTTTCGAGACAACTTCCGCTTCGTCCGACGAACTTTTTCGCTCCGGAACGGCTTCGGTGTTCGTGGATGTGTCCTTGTGATCGTGCGAGTGATGATGGTCGTCTTTTTTGTGATCATGAGCGTGGCTGTGCCCGTGGTGGTGATGATGGTGGCCGCCTTTCATATGCCGAATAACCTGCAACCAGCAAACAATAATCTGAATATTGTATGATCACAACTATGTTTTGACGTAGATTAAATTCACATCCATATTGAACTTAAAATGGATGGTGTTCATAAATTATAGTACCAGAATTGTCATTGCTTTAATAATTTACGACATAGTAATCTCATCGCGCCTTGCGTACACCTATCGTATTGCCGCTTAATACACACAGTTCCGGTCTTAAATAATTAAGCAAAATAAATACCTTCTCGACAATTAGGAACGTGATAACTCCCGCCAACACCCACATTCCAACAATTGTGTACGTCCAGTGATCATGCCCCTCTTCGTGCTCGTGATCATGGTGATCGTGCGAATGTCCGTGGGAATGTGGTACAGAGTGAGGAATCAAATGCAGGAACGCATCACCCAACAGTCCACCGGACGCAAATGCCAAAAAGACGCGTAAACGCGGCTCATACTGGGGACTGTTGGCATCGATGGGGATAACGAACAAAATTAAGAACGGGGCCAAACTGATGGCCAACGTCGAGCCTAAAGCATACAACCAGATTCCAGAGGTTGTTGTGGATTTGACTGGAGCCTTCGGAGTGGGCTTGGGATGAGTATGATGGTGGTGGGCATGGCCTTGATTATGGGAGCGAGCGTGTCCTATCATCGCAATGGAATTTTTAGTGATCAAATCAATTTCATAATTAATCACAAAATAAATTACCAAATACACGGTAGATCAACAATTCTTACAACTATTAATTTTACAAACCCTGGACACTCACAAAATTTGATAAAGTTTTGAAGTAAAAAGAATTAAGAGTAACCAAACATGATTTTAACGCAAAAAAGTTATTTGTATGTCGTTACCATGACCATGCTGGTGTGCATGTCCGTGCGCGTGTCCGTGATCATGTGAATGCGCATGCCCGTGCTGATGTTGCTGGGCCTTCCCCGTTGGAGGACTGGGCACTTTCGCCTGTGCTTTGGGTGTATTGGCCTGCTTAGAGTACTTGAAAGCGGCAGGTTCCGCGTGGTCGTGATCATGATGGTGGTGATCGTGGCCGTGGTGGTGATGATGATGATGCCCGTGGTGGTCGTGCTCATGCGGGTCGCGAGGCTGAAAATGGATGTTCTTCTCGCCATCATGCAGATGCTGGGGTGCGGGGGGTTCCGGTGGGGCTTTGTAGACATTGTGGTCGTGATTATACTGCGGCGGATGAGCATGATCATGATGATCATGTCCCGCATGGCCGTCTGAGAAACTTCGCAGTAGGAAGAAGAATGTGAAGGAACCGAGGAAGATCCATCGTGGCGATACGTGCAATATCCGACGGAGGGCTGGAATCATGGTTAAACACCGCAAGTGCTGAGATCGTAACAAAAGGATGAGGATTGCATGCAGAGAACGAACGCGCGAAGAAGCGTTTAGTCGAAGAAGGCTATCTCCGCCAATCCGGTGAGATCACGTCAACAGATAACGTAAGATAACGTGGATGAATCAATAAGCGCTGAAATACAAAACAGCCACTGTTTATCGGTCGATCGGCGGTGGGCTACGTTGTCAACCACAGTCTGCGTATATCGAGAAGTAGAGGAACTCTGACGAGGGTGTGAACTGGCCAACGACCAAGAACAAGCCGAAATATGAGATTAATCTTCAAGGGTGACTTTTCACTTTTGCAGACACCAATTTAATAAAAAATCTATGCTCCATTCTGTCACCGGCATTTTGGCAGGAATTTGTATAAATGCATATGATTAAGTACTTACTTATAGAAACGAGAAAAACAATTTAAACATTAAATGACCAATTTTAAGCCGGTTCGGCAACCGCTATTACCAAACGCAAAAGTCAAAACCGGCACGTGTCTGAAACGGTTTACAAAGATTGGAGAAAACAAATCACGGTTTGTCGTCCTCTGGGCTGCCCTGAAAACAGCAAAAAATTTTCTGGATGGAAGAACGAATTTTTACGGAGAATTTTCGAAAAGATAGGATTGATAAGTTGGCAGATTTATTTGGCTTTGTAGTTTGTAGCAAGCAGTATATGCAGCGCCATCTGCTGCCCTTGTGCATCCGTTTTGCTGTTGTAGCACACAACACAGCGCACACGCCACACAGCCGTCAGGCCCCCTTTGGCATTTTCCGGTCAAAATGCAGCGTTTTTTCTCGAGTTGATTAACAATTTTCAGAGGGTCGCAGTGTGTTGTGTATATGTTTGAAGCTGTTGATTATTACTCGCTGACGATGGCTGTGCAGCCAGCCAGCGAGACCCCGATGTAGAGCTTGAAAATAGCTGAACTCTGCAGCATGTTTAAATTTCGTCTTAATGCCCAAGCGACTTGATCGATTTCGTTGAAAGCATCAGCAGCACCGTGTTCTTCACCGTTGCCACAGTATCTACCCGCACAGTCCATTATGCTACCTGGCTGAATGGGTGATTGTGTGTGATGATGTGATCAGTGATTGTGAAATGTGTGGGTACTACACGAATACGTCAAAGACCTCGCCACGTTGAACACTGCCACTATTGGGGCCTTTCATTGGGAAGTTCGCATTGTTGTTGCTGGCTGTCCCTGGTAGTCCTCCTGCCGTACCATGATCTATTAAGGAACATTCCATAAAATCCCTGTATACGGGTTTTATCTGATTCTAGTCATTCTCTGCTGTGCTGATTTGTTGGATTTTTATCATTTTGAAACAGATCTATTTATTGATCCACCTTCCTGAATAATCCGTTTTTTAGGTGGGTAGTGTCTGGCGTCTGATACTATTCAGTAGTGTCGCTTATTATGATTATCGGCTTTATTAGCCTTTATAGAAGACGTAAAAATTTGTGCATGCTTCTTAGGTTATTTGCATGCGAGGACGCTAACCACCGTCCACCGATAATCAATCGGGTAATGAGACTTGATCGCTCTTAATCAGTTATGTCTAAAAAATCTTAAAATGTCTAGTTATGTCTAAAAAATCTAAAATGACGAAGAGGTAAATCATGTTTTTCTGAATTTTTGATCCTTCATGTTTGCTTACTGTTTTGAGTTTACCTATTTACTTTGGTTTGAAGCCAAATCATGTTGGCTAGCCAGTAAGACTGAATGTGTGTTGCGACTGTTATCCGCTAGTTATCGCTTAAAATAATTATTCTTATTATTGTATTGAGTTTCCTGTGACATTATTTCATTGCTTTGGCAGTTTATAACAGCGGGGAGAATAACACTTGAGCTAGAATAAACATTGGTTGATAGTTAGTTAGGTATTTTTAACTTAATTAGACAGTCAGGAAAACGATTTGTGAAACAGTCAATAAAATGATCTGTAAAAATCTTCTCAGATAGCCTACCAGTAAGTTTAATGTATCAGTACTAATTACAGTATTATCTATTTTCTTAACCTGAGTAATGATGATAAACGTTAGCAAGCTGCTCCTATTAATCTGAATCATTCACTTAAAGATTTATTGATTTTAATAGATTTTTAAGGTATTTGAATCAGTCTAGTGGCCTGTCTAAAATTATGCTTTCGACGGGGTGCTTGAGCGAACAACTGAAAGCCGACTTTCCCTCTGTCTTTCTTTTTATGATTTTCTATCTGTCAGAATGTCGGAAACCGGTTTGAAACGACGCGGTAACGCCAGTGCTGCCCGCAGCCAGTTAGACGGATGGGACTCGGACCCCACCGACAGTGACCGCGAGATCGGCAGCCGTCGCCTGCAGAAGGATTCATCCCGTGGGCGTGATCTGGACAGCGCCATCCGCGACGATGACCAGCTAGACGACGACATGGAGGACGCCGACTCTAAGGAGCAGCGCCTGACGCTCATGGAAGAAGTACTGTTGTTGGGATTGAAGGACAAGGAGGGGTACACCTCCTTCTGGAATGATTGTATATCCTCGGGATTGCGGGGATGTATTCTGATCGAACTGGGATTCCGAGGGAAGATTGAGCTGGAGAAATCGGGCATGCTAACCCGGCGGAAAGGCCTGTTGAGTCGGAAAGTGATGTTGAAGGACGAGGGAATGACGGGTGATGTCATACTGGACGAGGCGCTGCGGCATATCAAGGATACGAAACCGGAAGAGACGGTGGCCACCTGGATTGAATACCTCTCGGGGGAAACATGGAATCCTTTGAAATTACATTATCAGATAAGACAGGTAATGGCATATGACTGCACGAATTTGTTAACTGAATCTTTTTGGAAGGAATCCTTGTTTGTTACATATCGAGTATTTTGCTAAATTTAGCAACTATAAAGGTTTTCGATGGTGTTTCATCTGATTAATCCGAGTTTCGAGGCAGTTCAACGGAACTGACATCCATTACCTTCGGTTTACCGTTGTTACGTGGTTTCATATTGCTGAGTTTTCTGACTTTCTTGAATCTACTGTAATAGTGCTTTTTGATATGTAATATTCGTTTTTGCCGAAGTCATTTTAGCTTGCAGGCATGTTGTAGTTCCTCTTGTCTATTACACGTGCGTCAGTGGGTTTTAAAATTTTTTTACGTGGATGTCTTCGGGTGGTTTTGTGAAGGCGCAGTTACCACATCGGGTTGTATGGTGTAATCGCTTAGAATGTGCCAAAATTTGCGGAATTTTTAGTAATTTTTCTGTTTATTCTTGGTTAAATATAGAGTAGCTTAATCAGTTTCACATGATTGAGATCTACTGTTTTTTGTTTGCTTACAGCTAACGTAGTGCCGAAATTTGCATTCTAGGTTTGCGAGCCTCGTTTTGTTTAAAAAAGGTTAAACCTATTACGTATCTGTTTTCAAGTAAAATCATCATTTGCATTCAGATTAAATCACCACCATGGAAAATCTCGCATGGGTTTCGTCGTTTCTCTTCGTGAATCGTGATTGTAGGCTAAATCAACCGATGTGTACAATAGTACACTGGCCCTTCCTCTGTCTAAATTGCGTCTTTGTCGCAGAAATCAGGATGAGATTTATTTTTATTAGGTTCGTGAGCGACTCGCAAAAAATCTTGTGGAAAAAGGCGTTCTAACCACAGAGAAGCAGAATTTCGTGGTATTCGACATGACCACCCATCCCGTTGTGGATTCCGGTTCCAAGCAGAAGCTTATCAAGAAAGCCCAAGATGCTCTGCTAACCAAGTGGACCAACAATGTTCAGAAGATGAACCGGCGTGTCTTGTCGCTCCTGATGCTGTCCAATGCGGCCGATGTGCTGGAAAACGCCCTCGCCCCCCTCGGAGACGACGACTATGATCTTGCGATGCGCCGGTTGCGGGAACTGCTGGATCTGGACTGCGAACAGCAGGCCCAGAAGCTCATCCAGATGAACATGAGTAATGGGGGCGCCGGTGGGACGACCGACGAGCAGCAGGGCACTGAAGGACGGGGTACGGCCAGTTCGCGGGTGGCGGCCATGGTGGCTGGCGGGGAAGTGATGTGGGCTGTTATTGCTGCCTTTATTAAATAATAATTCCCGGGTTGATGTTGATGAGTTCTAGATGTTATGTTATGTTCATTTGGTTGCTTCAGATTGGTTTTATCTTGGTGGTCTTGTGCTTTTTGGCGGACATCATTTCTTGGCTTTTTTGTATAGCCTGTAATACTGGTGGTTTAGTTGATTTCTTTGTCGTCTGCTCATGATTTCTTGCAGCGTTTCGGATATAACGAACGCAATTTCTCTCCATCTGTTTTACAAAAATGCCAGTTCCACATAATTATCGATTTGGATTCAAGAAACAAAAAATTTAATTGGTTGATAATTAATCGTTGATTTGTTTTTCTGAGCGTTTGTATTGGCACTATTGGATAATCGGGAGCGAACTATTTATGAGTCTTATTGCTAGCTGAAAGTACAGTATTGGTTTAAAAAAGAGCACAGCAGATTCAACATAAGACTTTCGGAACAACGTCGACACAATACAAAAAGCGAATAAGTACAGCAATCTGATCAATGTTAAGTTAAAATGTCAACCGATGTTTGAAAACAGAAGTAGCCCGAAGTTACCAAGGTGGATATACCTCAGTGTTGTCCCTCCTGGGTAATGGGCCCGTCCCGTACAGTCCCGAACGACACCCGCTTGACCCGACCCGTCCCCGATACTCAGAAAAACTTTCGACCCCGTCCCGACAACTTTGAAAAAAAATTTCTAATTTTTTATGAGCAGTTTTTTGCACCAAAAAATTATAAACTTTTTACTGCCCGTTAGTAGTAGTACACTTCTTCTAATCAAGAAACAAATTTAACTTTACGCTCCGCGCGAAAATTACATCGAATTTTTTTAAACTTTAAAGTTTTTTTTGGGTTTTAAGCTGTTTTCTATTGAAATTCGGTGTCATCTCGCCCAAAGACGAGAACGGGAATCGGGATTTTCTCGACACCCGCAAAGGTCCCGTTCCCGACATTTCCCGCCCGACGGCGAGCTTTCCCGACCCGTTCACGACGACTTGGCGTGATCGGGATTTTGTCGGAACCTGTTCCGCCCGTCACTTCGTCGGGACAACACTGGTATACATACCCACCACTGAAGAGCTACAGCCGGTCTGTTCGTATAACATTCGTACGCTTCAAAATGAGGGGATTGCCAAACTCTTTTTCAAGTGAACTCTCGCTCGAACGACACATGCTCAGATTTCGCTTTTCATTTAATTCTATACGGTATACGAATACTGCAAATCGGTTTCTAAATACATACAACAAGTGCTTAGTCATACCAAGTGGCAAATGCTGCTGATCGACATGATAAATTAATATTTCACATTTAACAGAAACAAAAAAGCGAAACTGATGGCAGAGTCGCAGATAAACAGATGCGCGCCACTCAGGCCCATATCGTACGTTCCTTTTAAAAACTCCGCCCATCCTCCGCGAGTGAAACAAAACAATGATGAATGTTTCCTCAGTAACGCCGATGAGATATTCACATGAAATGAAGCAGGGACAACGCGACTAGCGTCTGTATGGGTGGTACTGCGCGGCGCCTCCTCGTCCACGCGTTGCTCCTATAAACACAAAATTTGTAAACTGGTTTCAGGTCTCACAACCCATAAAACCCTAATAATTTCAGGATTGCTTAAGATTTTCTAACGCATTGGCTCATTAAAGCAAAACAACAGAAAAAGGTATGCATTATTGTTGCAAAACATAAAAGTTAGCTGCCGTGTGCATCTACTCGGACGGGACAACAACGCATGCTTACTGTCGTAACCACCAGCGGCAGCGTTCTGTCCGTCCGATGACAGCGATGTTTTTCCGTACCCACCGGCCCCTGCTGCTGAGGATGGCGCGCCATAGGGTGATTGGGAATTCTGTGCGGGCATTCCGTAGGGCGGAGCCGCTGCGCCTTGCGCCCCGGGATTCGCAGCGGGAGCAGGTGCAGATGGATAACCAGAAACACTGCTGGCACCAGGACGGCCATTCGCTGTGGCGGTCATTTGTCCCGCCGCGGCGGTCCCGTACGGGCCTAGAACGGACAACACTACTGCACGCAAGCAGCGCAAACGCTACTAAAGCTCACAACATGCAGCTTCCAGGAAAAATTGAAGTTTTGCTAATTACTATTACAACGCCTGGCCATTTCTTGAATTGGCATTAAATACATGGAATGTTTTATCTATGGGGATCCTGTTAAATTACCACCTTAAACTCATTATGTCTGTTTCCGTAAACTTTACGCCGTTTACGGTATTGAGTAAAAAAGGGATAAGTCACTACAGCGCGTCATTTACCGCAGATGAAGTGTAAGAAAGAAGTGCAGTCAATCTTGCACAGTTAAAGTGTAACGGGTAGAAATACGAACCACTGCGCACGAGATTATTTGGTGATACAAGGTTCCATGTTCAAAAGGTACGAATTTTGAGATTGTTGTAATACTAAGCGCAAGTCCAAACATGCTTCCTTAATTTATTACGGTAAAAGTCTGTCCAATCGTACCTGTTGCTGCCGGAGCCGCTGCTGCGGCCGGATATCCCGACGTTGCATAGGCTTGCGCCGCTTGTGCGCCAGCAGCCGCGCCGGCCGCCGCGGGATCGCCGTATCCAGCTGTCTGTGCGTAGCCGCTAGTTTGTCCAGGCTGCGGATATCCAGGATAGCTGTACTGCTGAGCGGCAGCTTCGTAGCTTCCATATCCTAAATAATGCAACCCAAAACTGTAGGGAATTTGATAACAAACACTAACAGGGTATACGTTAATGTTCAACGCCAAAAATCCATATTTTGTACGCCCAGTCTGACGCTCATGTCGCTACTGTTGAACGGCACAAGTAACACATAGGCGGAAATTTCTCCAACAACTACTCTCCTTATTAATGTATAATTTGATTTCTAAAAAAGTTTAATTACCGAGTGAACTTTTCGAAACTGCCCAGAACATGGCCTTAGTGGCACGTAAAGCACAAGTCAGAGAAAATACTGCATACCGGTTCCCGCGGTTGCTGCAGGATTATATCCAGGGTAGCTGGGATATCCAGGATAACTAGTTTGCGGCTGGGCCTGCCCATATCCTGGCCACTGTTGCTGTCCCCATTGGTTCTGTGGCTGCTGGTACTGTGGAGCTGCAACGGAAAAACGTCAGACTAACCACACAAAATACACGAAGTATATTCGTAAACTATCCGCTCTAAGCTGAACACACTTACGCTGACTATACGCCTGCTGGCCCCATTGTTGTTGCTGGTCATAACCAGGCTGCCCGCCGTATCCGTTCGTGTATCCTCCTCTGGCCCCGCCACGTCCGCCACCACGGCCCCTCGAAAACCACCACGTGGACTCGCGTCACCAGCTCCTCCACCAGCTGTGGCTCGCTTACATTCAACCTACATTCAGTAATTCGTTAATAACAGTCAAATATGACAGCCCAAGTGAAAGATGCACTAATTACAGGAGAAAAACTGATCCTGCCACACAGCAGTGCATGCAAATGACCTAAATACCTGTCTTACGAATTTATGTTTACAACCATACTGGACCACAGAATTTAAATACCACTGCAAACAAAGCTAGCAAGATACGAAAAACCGACTAACAGTCTTACGCTACAATACATTACGAGTTATAATATTTTTTAAAAAAATAATACAGCCAAAATTGTAAGTCTTACATGCAGCTGCAAATAGTTCTATAACTGCAAATCAGCAACATAAGAAACAAACTTACAAACCTTCTTATTTAAGATGGTAACATAATGTTCTCGACAGGAGCGTTCAACGCCATCATCAGAATCAAATGTTACAAATCCAAATCCTATCCCAAATACCAATACACATGGACATTGAAGCTATGATGCACTGCATACACTTGCGCTTGGCGGATGCCGCAGAACTTCGTACTGGATCGTTGAGAAATCATACATCATACTGCTCATTACGCTTTGTATTGAGCGGGTAACGGACAAATATAAATACAAGTGTGACAATCAAAAAAACAACAACTATCGCTGCGGGAAAAATTGAACTTCACGAAATCGAATATAGGTGAAAATGTACAGCAAAGGCGAAATGGCACCAACACGAAGTAAAATAAGTAACTGGCAAGATGATCAAGTACAACCTAGCATACGCGCACGTGTCCGTACCCGCTCAACGATTATACTTCCTGAGCAGAGCAATTACGATGTGTCTTAAGTTACAGGCTGGTAACTTAATCGTACTACTGTAAACCATACCTAGAAAATGGTAATAACATACACTGATTACTCGTAAATAATTATCATTGGGAGACAACCCGGTCGATGGGATGGATCCTGTACAAATGCGCCGTTTAATACGGTGCTCTAATTTACGGAAACTCATGAATTTTAAATAAACACTACTTGGGATATAACGGTGAGTTTTACGTTTGTTTGAAAATTAAATGTATCGAATATTTCATTATTATCCCATCGGACAATCACCACTTTTAGCGCAACTTGCTTCTTTGTGATAAAAATAAAGTACGATTCTGAAATAAACTACTAATTACGTAACTACGATTCAAGTTTGAACTATGATTAGATTTCACCAAAACGACCAAATCTGGATAGTCACTGTAGAAACTGTTTAATTAGCAAGTCCACCCATCGACCAGTGCTGTCTATATCATATCTGACTTTTCTGAACTGCTCGGTTATAATAAATTCGTTTTTACCTTTTGATCGTCCGGTGCTCTGATCCATCATGACAATCGTATCCTTTACCTATTCACCGAAAAGCAACCGTATTCGGTATTATCCACCATTTAATGTTTGAAGAAGCGCGCAATATACATACATTGCCATACATCTGGAAGGCAGCAGCGAGATCCGCTTCGGTGCATTCAGCCGGCAGACCGCCAACGAAGATCTTGTTCAGTGTGCTCTTATCGCGGCCGCCACCAGCGCCGTTTGTGGCTCCAACGAACCCTCCTCGCATCGCACCACGACCGCCACGGTCCGCTCCAAAGCCACCGCGACCGCCACGGCCTCCGCGACCCCCGAATCCATCACCGAACCCTTGCTGCAAATGAAGATACCATTACAGCACTACTAGGCATGGAGTAAAAAATGAAAACAGGCATGGAGTATGCTAATCCTATCAATAATCATACTGCACAAAATTTACGGCAGTACATGAAAACCGAACGGTACGTATGAAATATTCGATTCAACATATAAATTATATAAAAACTCATTCGAGTTCGACTATATCCCGAAAGTAGGGCAATAACACTGCGTATCGAAATGACTCGGTATACGATGTAACCACAGCAGATATGGCTTCCTACAGAGATATCGGTCACTTACGCTGTATTTTCCCGATGGCGGAGGAGCTTCTTCGCGACTCACGCAGCGCTTTACGTCAACCTATACCAAAATCGAATTCACTATAAGTCTAACTATCACACTGAATAAAAAAGCATTTATGACGCACCGCTTTGCCGTCTATGACATGGGATCCCGTGGGTGAGGAGAGAACAACTTCGGCGGAATTCGGATCGGCGTAAGTAATAAATCCGAATCCACGGGGCTTGCCGTCTCTTTCTTTCATCACCACACTGTCCTTGATTTCACCAAATCGAATGAAATAGTTCGTGAGGGATTCTGCAGTGAACACCACAAAAAATATTAACAATATTCAACAGGAAAAAAAAATTGTGGTCCACAGTTCCAAGAGCTTCAACGGGATCATACCGTCTGTGGTGTTGTACGACAGACCGCCGATGAAAATCTTTCCAGCTTCTGAGTCTCGCACGGCGGCCATGATTGTGAACTCCTCAAAACGTCAAAACTATAACTTTTTCTGAAAAAAATCACAGCAGAACGTTTATGTAATTTAATATATATCTTCCGAAACGACGGAAACGTCGACTAAAACATAACTGGCGGATAATTTTTAAAAAATTATCAAAAAGCGAAACTGCGAATGCACAAAATGGCGATGACTCGTTGCTGAATGCTGTCAAGTGTCAAGACGCCGCTCGGCACCGGATGCGATCGCACAGCGCCATCTATATAATAATAACTGCCGCTCTGATGGCGGTTGTTATTGGCGAATTACTGGCAATAAAACCAACCTTTTAACGGGTGGTTGGCAAACAAATAATTAATAAACGATCACTTTAAAATCAAAAGTACGGTATTTATTTTGTGTTTTTGTTAAACAATCAAAAATTGGAAAATACCGGTTACCGGTAACTCAGTGATTTTGAAAAGCAGTTGCGAGTGTCATTTTCCAGACTCTACAGACTGTCAGTTGTAAAACGCTAGAGCACTGAAGAAAGTAGAAAAAGAAACTGTTGAAATTCGAAACTTGATAACTGTTCCTTGTTTAACTTTAACTTGTTCGTGTCACATCATACAGGCGCACTGTCTGCACTCTGCAGTGTTACTGCTGTTTCTACATATGTACTTCCTGATTAATATCTGATAGTTTGAATTTAAGAATTTTCAGCTGTTTCGTGGCTTCAGCTGCTTTGTCAATTGTCATCATGGGTCCGTGACCACTCGCCCGCACTCCACTGGATGGATTAACGCTTGATTGTAATTTGCGATTATTAATACATCGTTCTGTACGGCACCACTTTGCGCCCAGGCACGTTGTTTATTTCGTTGTGCGATTTTGATTTATCTTGTCACTTTGACTTGTGTTTACAGAATTCGTGTCTTGGCCTTCGAGCGATGGCTGCCAACGAGTAACGGATTCTTATTATACAAATCTGTCAGCTGTGGATTGTGACTTCTACTTTGACTGTTGCAAGCTGCAAGCCTAAAAACTTGGTGCATTCTTTGGCAGATTTTTGTGGAAACAGTCAACTATGCCCTTTTCGGTGAGTTATTCCATAATTTCGCTACTTTGTATGATGAATATTAGAATATATAATTAATTACAGTAATTTATTGGTCACTTACGAGATCACGCTGGCCGGATGTGCGGTGAATGAGAATTTAGTCTGTAATTCAGAAATAGCTGGTGTTAATAAAATTACCATTTTAATGCGGATCTGAAATGTAAGAAAATCCTTACTAAAATGTAAGAAATCAATTATATGTATTACTGATTCGTAAATTCGTGTTACCGGTTTGAAAGAAATGAACTTTGTTGCTGCTGCATATAACATGTGCTTTTCAACTTCAATTCAATCTGTCTTAGCGTAATAAATTGCGGAAGTTAATTACACTGATAAGTAACATAGTTATTAACATAGTTATTATAGTTATTAACATCTCATTCGCTCATCTTATTATAGTTATTAACATCTCATTCGCTGCTTATAGTTCTTATTGTTAATCCTACACGTAGAAAAAGGCACGTTCCTTATTGATCGCCGTAGCTGGCGGACACGGTGCGCTGTTCGGATATCTGCTCTGCACCGGAAACGACAAGTTCTATCAGGATGTGGTCATGCCTGTTGCGCGATTGGCGATTTCCGATGGCGAAAAAGCCCACAGTGCCATGATCACGTTGTGCAAATGGGGATTGGTGCCGAAATATCAGTGCGCAAACGATCGCTTGGTAAGAACACGAAACGATATTCTAGAGGACCGCATTCGAAAAATTTATTGTTTATCTATGTAGAGTTGTTTCTCTCAAATTTCCGTACTTTACGAAATTGTGATTTAAATTTTGTTTTTAATTGCGGGAATAAAATTAAGGGAGTTACTGATTGTTTAAACCAATATTGTTGCCGGTTACGTAAGTAATATACGAGTACTAAATTTAACTTTAAAAAAATAATGCTAAAATTGCATAAATATTGTAAGTAATATCATCAGTGTCATGTGTTACTTTATAAAAGTTTACGCAGCAGTTAGTTGGAGGTTAATGGGAGCTTTCAAATTTACGTGACTGTACCCGGACTTCCAGGTGTGTTTTGAAACGATATTATATAAAACGCGGTTCAGGAAAAATTGGTTCGCCTCGATGTTTATCAGAAAAGTCGGGCAGCTAACCGAAAAACTTCCGGACTTGCTATAATCGTTCCAGAAAATGTAGTGTTTGTTTGCTGGCGCCGCCGACTGCTCGTAATCTTGATGACAATCTTTTGACAAGCTGCTTTATATTTTTGAGACGACAAGAATTAAGTTAATTAAATGTGCGCATTGTTATCCTGGTTTCTTTGTTGTTTGAGTTGTTAAAAGCGGTATTTCTTAGCGTAAGTCACCATAAGGCTGCCATTCTCTTTTTTCGACGATAAATTTCAGCGGAAACGTTGATAAACGTTGTCAGATGAAAGTGGACTTGGTCTTGTTAGAAAGTTGCAAGTACTGTAATTATAAGGTATAGGTGTTAACGCAATGGTTCATTATGCCGTTTTAGATTTATTCAGATTTTTGTTTTTATAGCAAACACGTGTCTTTGGACTCGATTTTTGCTCTCCCCTTGGATTGGCTGCGGGATTTGATAAACATGGAGATGCTATCAAGGGAGTGTATCGGATGGGATTTAGTCACAGCGAAATCGGCTCGGTGACGCCCCAACCGCAGCCCGGAAATCCCAAACCTCGAGTATTTCGCCTTGTTGAAGATCAGGCTATAATTAACCGGTAAATTCTCACGCAGATCAGTTACTTGTTGAGTTAAGAGTTTCTGTCTTTCGGATTTCGTCGATGGTTGAGATTTGTGCTGTTTGAAACCGTGGTGATGGACTTCTGTGGTAATAACTGACTTATTGAAGATATTCATTTTGTCTTTGGGTTTGTTTAGTAAAAAATACTTAGCAGATTTTATTTTGAGTAGGTATGGATTCCCAAGCGTTGGGCATGCACGAGCCCATGAGAACATTCAGAAAGGCATCAGATATAAAACCGGTCCATTAGGAATTAATTTGGGTGCCAATAAGACCAGCGCGAACGTTGTGCAGGATTTTGTGGATGGTGTGAATGCATTTGCTGATTTGGCGGACTACTTCGTTGTTAATGTCAGTAGTCCCAATACGCCAGGGCTTCGAGTGCACCAGAAGCGGGAGAAACTACTGGAACTCTTGACTGCGGTATGCAGCAGTATCGGCAACGAGTGGCGTTGATTAGGGATAATTTATGACTTTATATGTTAGACGTTTGTGTTGCTGTTTAGACAGGTTTTAAAGGCTAGAGACGCTCTACAACGAAAAATACCTCTGTTGCTCAAAATTGCTCCTGATTTGACCAAAGAGGATAAGGAGAGCATCGCGCAAACGGCTCTTGAACTCGTAAGAAATTTGTAGTATGCATACAGTATGCAAGAAAACTTAATACAAGACATCTTAATAAGTTCTGTTCTTGAAAAACGATTTCCGCTGCGTCGTTTTTCCTTGCGTTGTTATTGCAGGTTGTTAATTATCTCGCACTTGCAGAACGTCGACGGCTTGATTGTGTGTAATACCACCATTTCCCGACCGGAAACGCTGAAAAGCATTCACAAAAACGAAGCCGGCGGGTTGAGCGGCGACCCGGAAAAGGACGTTGCAATGGAAACACTGCGGGACATGTTCGAATTAACCAAAGGTGAACACGTTATTGCGACGAGTTTTATAGTTAATAACTTAATACCACTGACGCTTTTGAGTTGCAGGACGCATTCCTATAATTGCGCTGGGCGGCATCAGCTCCGGCGAAGAGGCCTACCGCCGTATCCGAGCCGGCGCCAGTCTTATTCAAGTGTACACGGCTTTCACCTACCAGGGTCCTCCGCTGGTCAAGAGAATAAATGACGAACTGGAGGCGTTTCTGAAACGGGATGGCTTGCGAAACATAGCGGATGCCGTCGGTATTGACCGTTTGGGACCGTCGCCCAGCGGGTACGGGGATCGTTTGATCACCTTGGAGGAACAGATTGCCGCTTCGAATGTGTGACCAGCTTGCAGACAAAGTTCGGTGATGCTTTTTTTACTGTCTTTTTTGCTTTCGCATTTAGTGCTTCGCTTTGTGCCTTAAAACGCTTCTGTTTGCAGTAACTGTTTTAAAATCTTTGTTACGTCAGTTATACGGGCATTTTCATTGTTTCTGCTCTGACTTTTAAACCAGAAGTGAAAAATTTATAAAGAAACTTTATGTGGGATGTTGCTGACTTTGGCGATTTTGCTGTGAATAGTGATGATTTACCTAAATTTAATCCACACGTTTTACGCATGCGCTTTTTCCCTCTAGTTACTCTGCCAGAGTAGTTGTCGGGGTCTCAGTGTCAGGTAATATCATTTTTTCATAGAAACCTGTGATTAACACTTTCTACAACGCAATCTTTAACATCTAAAAACTCACAGACAGTTGGAGCTTAATCTCTCGCTTTCTTAAGATCGTACCGTTCTGCAGTTGACTGGTACCACAGCATTCGTAAAAACTTTCAAAATATTAATTTTGTCATTCGGAAATTAGATTCACAGTTCATAAGTCCCAACATACAGAGCTCTCAAAATAAATCAAAATTTCAGTCATTTCTCAAATATGGTTAGTAAAGAACACTGCCGGTTTGGAAGACGATCCGCACTCCGAATTGGAGGCGGATGTTGTGGAATCGGAGCGCGACACGGACATGGGCGACGTGGAGACCGCCACGCGGTCACCCACCGGCAACTCGTCCAGGAAATCTTCCATTTCTTCGTTGTTGAGATCATCGTCCAAGGAATCGCTATGCGAATCGCTCACCACACTGGAAGACGACGTGTAGAAGGCCGGCGCCACTGTGGCGTTGCTGGGCACGCGCGGCAGGCAGCCGGCACTGGAGAGCGAATAATGGGAGTTACTCCGAGAAGGATTACGGAGATCATCATACAATGATGATGAACTGGCACGGAAGGCCGTCACCAACGCTTTACCACTAAAGAGCCAAAACAACAATTTAGAACAGTGCCTTTACTACAGAAACAAAATAAACAACATACGGGTTTCGAGCCGATCGACTGCCGATACCGATCTGAACCAGGCCTTGTTCTCGTCGCGGATAAATGGCCGCCAACTGGCTCTGGCTTTCCACGATGGCATGATAGAGAACGCTGTGGCATTCCACGCACACCTGGACGATGATGCGTTCACTATCGGCGTCGTTTGGTAGACTTCCGCGTTTATTCGTACTATCAGGAAAAGATGAGGCCGTCACATCCAGTGACCTCTCTGGCACGGTACCGTTGACGGTCATGCCGCGCTGCAGAGGGGGACGTTGGCGGACGGTAGATTTGGGAAGAGTCAAGGACGCCAAATCCTGCGTCTGGCTACGCAGTAAACCGGGACGGCCAAAGCTGCGCGGTCGAGGCAACGTCGCTGAATAAGACGCGTAACCGTGGTTGGATAAGGGCCTAAAGAAAAAAATAATAATAATGGTTCAAGCATGTTATGAGCCTCTTACCGCCTGACATAAAGCACAAATACAATTGAAGAGCATGGAAAGTTGGAAACTAACCAAATTGAAAGTTTTAGTTGATATAATGTGACACTGGAAGAAATCAGGCATTTATGGAAAAAATAATCGGGAAGCAGAAACACAGCAAATTAAAGACTGAGAAAGCAAGATTTCAGTGACTGGTGCGTATTTTCGAACCTTTTGTTCAAGAGATCTTGACTGACTGGCTGGGCGTGTTGCTGTAGATGCGGAAATGGTTCATCTTCCGGTGCAATCGTAGGACTTAGCGTGTAAACCGGAATACGATCCAAGCGCTCTGTCGGCAGCATCATCTAAGCAGATCGCAGTATTTCACACATTGGGACATTATGCAAATGTTAGTACATGTTGCTGAAATTGTGAATACTATATCTGTTGATTTTACACGTGCACGCACCTCGCGAGCACAAGCCAAACAAATGGTGTTCTGACACAGGTGACACTTGATGCCGGTGTCCCGAAAGAGCCATGAGAAGGTAAACTTTGCGCGTTTGCAGCTGTAACACACCTACAAGCACCATAACATCAGCTCTTCCGTGTCTACGGTGAAATGACAAGAAACCCACTTTCGATCGTCGGATGGCGTTGTACAGCGCAATATCCTGCTCTTCCAGATTCTCCAGTTCCGCTTTGGCCAGCGCGCCTCGAATTAAAGCGATTTCATCCAGTGTCAGCGAAACGACTTCGGAATATCTCTGTTTTGATCTAGGCAGATTCTACGAGAAACAATCCACAGATAATCAAAACCGAAATCTCGATTGTGGAAATGACGCGTATCTCCACAAAACTAACGCTGTTTTGTTTCTGTCCACACATCTTTTCAAATAATTCACAGACACTCCAGTAAATATTTTTCATTACATTTCCATTGATTTCTTCAGCGTTTTGACTGCCCATTGGCCTTCTTCTTCTTCATCACAATCAACGAATCGACCGTTATCAATCTGAGCGGTCTTACATGTTCGCCCGGCAGATAATCCCCATCCTCGTCGTCACTATCATTCTCCACCGTCTTCACCACTAGTAGATCATCCTCTTCGCCCACGGAGGTCAGGAAGTCTACCGGCGGAGCGGAATCCACATCCGGCAACACGAGACGCCTTTTAGGTGCGTTAGTCGCATTGTTTATGTCGGGAACAATTATCTCGCTTGACTTATCCATCTCAAATGATGCACCAGGTTGTATAATGGATTTCTCGCGTCGTACTTCTGATTGTTCTAAATAAAACGTTACAGAATAAATATCCATGGTTTTCCTTACGCGTGAAAACTTTACGAGTATATCTCTGATGCAAGGATATTTTGCAAGTAGGTCAATTAAGCCGTAACATGTTTCACGGTGACGGTACTGTGCAACTGAGTGGCAATCGTTAAAGAAAACATCAACCAGAGGAAACGCCTTCACACAGATAATACCGGTCATTCACCAATAATACGGTGTCTTTTTTCGCTCAATACTGTCCAAATTTGATTAGGATTTGACGCGACTTTTGATCCGTAAAGCTGGCTTAGTACAGTCAAGCACCGATAGAGGACGAATGTTGGCTTAATCCAGATTACCACTCAATAAACAACGACACGGAACCTATCGCTTTTCAGCCCACAAACAAATACCATTAAGTATTCTTAACGAAAATTTACGATGTACAATGGTCAGGGAGAATGCGATCATTCTGAACTGACAAATCGATTATTATCGTAAATGTTATGCTAACAATAAATAAAAAACGAAATCAGTTACCACATCTACCAGCGATCGAACTACAAATTAGAAATCCGAGTGGTTGGCGAAGATGTTGATGTACTGTTCGATACAAAGCACAAAAAGATTAATAGTTACTAGCATAAAGATTTTTTCGCAGGTCTTTCTTTCCCTTATTGTTAGTTTGAACTTTACTATTTTCATTATTTCGCATAACTTTTAACAAAAACTATCCGTACAGGAACGATGCGCTCTAACCACCCAAGCTGATCGCCTCCCACTGATGCACGTGCTTGTCAGCGACGCGTTATAATGCGGCTAGAGGCAGTGAAGGTCACCGGCTGATATTTCGCCACCATTAAGAAAAGATGGTGCTGCTTTTTGTCGCCGACCAAGCTGTCTTTTCATTGTAAGTACAAGCAAAAACACTGCTTATCCATACATCGTGTCGCACCGGCCTACTTTTCACCGCCGTGAGAGCAGTTGTCAAATGTTCAAGACAACCTTGATTGCCAGCTACAGAAAACAATCTCCCTAAACGACCGGTTCTTCAAGCTCCACTAATTAATCAAGGCGGACTACAAAAAACTGGCCACCCGACGTCTTGAAACAGCCAGCGCCTAACCTAACAGTAAGCTTCCCTCAGCACCGCACGCTAACGGTAAATAAACACACAACAGTAGCATGTGCAATACACTATCAAGAAAAATGAAAACCATGCGTGGCTGATAACAGCATTTAAAACGCAACTTAGAGGAGGGGGTAGGTTAGAAATCCGAAAATGTACTACCATGTACCAAGGCTCAGACAAATTTTATTGTACACAATTTGCAAAATGTTCTTAGAGAAACATACATACCAGAAATGTTAAGGAGACTGGCCAGTGAGATGCGAAACAACCCCAGTTAGTTTGTCCGAAAACTGTTCACTTATAACTCAACAGATGATTGCATAAACTTTAAAGCTACAACGGCGCGAGAAAATCGAAGTTAAAATTGCTGTTCACACAAGAGCAGCTCAATAACAGCAATAATTTCTAGGCGATTAATCCATCAGTTACAGAATCCGTCATTGACGGCGAAAAAAGTGCCGATAATGAAAAGAACTTTGTGCAGATATAATCAGCAAAACCCTCCGCGATGGCGATGCTGAACCTTTTTGATAATCCGACACGTCACGCCTGAGGTACGATACATAATCGGAAAAACTGTACTCGACATACAAAAACGAGATGCCGGCGGAACAAGATACATTAATAATCATGCCGATGTTCACCTGATGGTCCTGATCGTATAAGCATACTGCGCAAAGAGACGGAAAATCTGTCAGCAGTTAAAAATAATCATTCAAGGATTGAGAAGACGAAAGAACAAGTAGGCGCTGCTGACCTCTTTAACACAGTCCAACAAAACATATACGAGTACCGTATGTTTCACCAGCAGAGAGATGATGATGAAAGGTTTGTACACATAAATAACATTCGCAGCCGGTTTGAAGCTAGAAACACACAACAGAAACCAGCCGCCAAATTTCTACCTGTTGATTTGACAAAAAGTGTCCCCGCTGGCCAGTATATATATATGATACCTCGAGTAGTGTGTTCAATATCAGCACCGGTTCCGACACGACTTAGCGTTTTCTATGCAAACTAACATACTTTGTAGTCTGTACGCAGTATTACACAAAAAATACAGTACGTCCTGCATAAACAATTAGCAAATTTCCAAACATTAGCAATTAAATGCACTTCACTTAACATAAGCGATTAAATGCATAAAAATTAATCTCGAAAATAAAAAGACGTACTTCGTTTTCTACAGTCAAATCCTTAAAACGACAAATACTCGTATTGTAACCATGCAATTTTTTCGTCGTCCCAATGCGTAACCACTAACCAGTAAATAAATTCCCAAACGTAAGCGATAAAATCCAATTTTTCAACAAAACCATTTCCTGAACCTGAAGGGAAATTGTCAGAATTCTCATTCTAGGCTCATTGTCAGAATTCATAAATCAGTAAACACACACGATTCCTTATGTCTACACAGTACACGTTCATTTATTTACGAACAACGCGATCCGCAGCCCCCCATTGATCCTCACAAAGCCCAATTAGTCAGTCTGCATAACATCACCATGAACCACGGGTAACAAAGTAAAGATATGGGACAAATATTTATTCGTTAACGCCTTCCATTATAGCAAGTTCATTGCTGTCGGTATTATACCCTTTCATTTTGTCTAATAATTGCCCACCACTTGACAGCACTTGCACGCATACAGCTGTTTTGTATAACGGCCCATAATTATTCCGGAAGTGGTTGATTATGGAAACATAACCACACCACTTGAAGGCCATCGCACCACGACAAGCATTAAAACATTCTACCTAATCACAGATAAATCCCGTCATAAGGGTTTCGTTCTAAATTCTATAATGCAACACGAGAACTAAATTCTTGCATCGTACTGCATTGGATTGCTTTACTTGTCGTTTCAAACGAATCAATTATTCTAATGCAAGGATACCCCGCACTAAATACAGCATACTTACTTTACTATCAAGGAACTAGATCTATAATGTAACTACAAAAAAACTGAGGCATCGAGATCGGAAAAACCAGAACCTAATAAAAAAAACTGTTAATGCCATTAGATTCAGCATGTTCGGAAACTGTGTCACATGCATTTAATTTCTTAAAAAAATCATTTATACCCGTCCCACCGATGCCGGTTTCGGCAAAACTGGCTTCGGTTAAGCTTTCAAGGTGACCCTGAGAATAATAGCAGTGCCAGTTGCTTAGAACATTTATTAAAGTGTTAAGTATGTACTACAATAAATTTGTAGTTACTTTATTTGCAAACATGCTGAATTTTAATCGCCTGATTGCTGTTCAAATGCTCAATGTTCAAATGCATAAAAAATCCGATTCCCGAACCATGATTGAATTAGCCCAAGTTTCGAAGGAAACAAAAGCTAGTGAACAAAACTGCTAAGGCAGTGAGTGACCCAGCTACCGCCACTGTCCAGTGAACAAAACGAAATCACTTCTCTGTAGCTGAGTGATGATCGAGCAATAAATCGCTACCCTAGGTGAACAAAATTGCTAGACGAGTAAGTGACTGAACTACCACCTCTGTCTAGTGAATAAAATCGTTAGGTGGGTGACCGAGCTACTATCGCTGTCCCCGGAACAAAATCGCTAGATGAGTAAGTGACTGAGCTACCACCCCTGTCCGGTCACAGCCCAATAATACTACTACGTACTAGTACGTAGTAGCCCGTGTACTTAACGTGCAGGCTGAAAATGATGGCCGATAATCTTAATGAGTGAGCAAACAAAGTGCCCCGATTTTGCAACAGCCGTTTGTGCACGTATGGACAAACTGTGCGCAGCGTCAGACAGCTGCCCACTGGCGGCAGAGCACCGCTCGCTTAAAAACACTTTCAGCCGCAGCCGGGATTTGTCCACTGCCATTGGATAGCCGCTCAACGCTGCGCACAGTTTCTTCATATGTGCACAAATCGCTGTTGCAAAATCGGTGCACTTTGTTTGCTCACTCATTAATATTGCCGGCGCTCATCAAATCAAGCATATAATGGCACATATGGAGAGTCGGGGGGCTATGTTACTAGGCTGTGGTCCGGTAAACAAAATCGCTAGGTGATTGAGTGACCGAGCTACCACCACTGTCCACTGAACAAAATCGCTAGGTTACACCGTGAGTGGGTGACCGAGTTACCACCACTGTCCAGTGAACATAACTAGATGAGTAAGTGACCGAGCTACCACCACTGTCCGGTGAACAAAATCGCTAGGTGAGTGAGCGACCGAGTGCCACCATTGTCCACTGAACAAAATCGCTAGGTGACACCGCTAGTGAGTGACCGAGCTACCACTGTCCAGCGAACAAAGTTGCTAACTCAGTGAGGGACCGAGCTAGACTCCTTGCCTAAGAAGTTCTACAATAACTGCTAAGGCAGTTAGTGACTTTACTAACGAATTAGTGCAAATGGAATGATTTGTTCCAAGCGGCCGTGGATCACAAGAAACGCGGAGGCGAAGCCGCAGCGGTTTCTTGTAACTGCTATAACATTTTTACGCATCACAATACTGTACATATTTCAGTACTCACCGAAAATGTCATGGAGGTAATGAAACGATAAAGACAGATTTCAGGCAATGCAACTCTGCATTAAACGGTCCGCAAAACCGTTTCACGTTCTTAAAGTGGGAGGAAATACCTATGCTAAGAATAACATCCAGTCTAATACACATACTTGTGGAAAATAAAGTTCGATGGCAGTCAACTATCAAACCTAATCACAAAATACTTGATATTATGAAATGTATCAGTAGCTTCAAAATTCCACTCCACCGGAACCACGTATGTTTTCCTTAAAAGCCGCCCTAACATGCAGCCGCAAAATGTATTTAATCCTGCAATACTAGTACAAAAATCTTAAATTTCAAGCGGGACTCCCTCTAAATTAAGCAAATTAGTATTACCTTTCACTGCTCAATCACCACCAGCAATTACGCTAACGTAATATGCGCTAATAAACAGTCGCAAATTAATCCATTTCGAACATATAATTAATCCAAAAAGCAAAGAGAGAAACCTCGTCCGTCCAGTCAGTGAACGAGAAAGTGACCGAATAGGTGAAATGAACGCCAATCAAGTGTAAAGTGTATCAGTTAGTTAGTAGGCATCGGGGCCAACCATATAAATTTTACCAGCTTTTATAAGGTCTAATTATACTGAAAGTAAATCAAACACTGTTCACATTACTTTCATTAACGCAGAAAGTGAACCGGAAACTATGTGCGTTCCGATCAACTTACGCTACATTCACTTTTCAAGGTGTTACATTTTTTATAACAAAAATAAAAGGTTAATTGAGTCGCTATTACAGCAGCAGTGAGTATAATCGGGAAAGCAGTTAGTATCAGAGAACAAATGATGTTAAAAATCTTTCTCAAACCGCCATTCAATCTACCAGCAGTGCAGCACTATGATAAGGTTAGGTAATGGCAGTAGAACGCATATCCGAAAAGTTTTAATGATAATTAATTGTGGGTGTCTACCATGAAAATGAGCATAATGTTGCCGGAACCGGAAGACTTCTGGGCGCAGGCCCGTCAGCCCCCCTTTAATAAAACAACCATCAATATGAACAATGCAAGTGAAATGAATGTAACAAACACAACCAAACAAGAACAATGCAATGGGAATGGGCGTTATTTTATAGGATGCACATAACTAAGTCCGTTAGACGACGCTGATAAACGTTGCTGGTCCTCAGTTCTTACTACAGTTTGATAATTTCGTACATTTTCTGTAGTATTACTACTACTGACTAAGTTTTCTTTGCTCTCCTTTGGGAAGAATATAATAATGATCGGATTCACGAGTATTTCAATACAAACGCAGTACAAAGGTGCGATGCATATAACAGTACAATGCCCTCGATTTTCGCTACATTTTTGGGCGCCTGAATCCTGTATGTTCGATACTACCCTTCCCGGCTCCGATTAACAGATTTACCACAGTGAAAGCACTGTAACTAGCATTAGGCAAAATAGCAATTTTAAATAAAAACTAACCTCCAGTACGATTAGCCGGTCGTGGCGGAGGATGGCGAAGGGTTCCTAGTTTGAAATGACGAATACTGTCCATTAGCAGTTCTATTGCTGTGAAGTTCTCTTTCTTAGGACGCAAAATACGATTGTCGACCTGTAGAAAAAAAACATTTCCCTTATTTTAAAGCGGATAAATATCAAAACTATTTTTATTATTTTTATGTTGTTTACAAATTACAAAAGCGGTAACTGTATTACAAGGAAGCCAAAGCAATGAAGGATTTAGCATTTATTTTAGCCAGCACACAGCATGGCTATACAGACAATTCACTAGTACAGAACAGTACAGCAGGCAGCATCTAGAGATGTTCTATTCCAACAAAAAGACACAGAAATTTACCGAACTGAGTGGTGGTCGGGAACGTATGTACTCCAGAATAATATCGTGGGCATCCATTTTCCTTGGTGATGATTCTGGAGTCTGTAGAATAAAACAGCAGAAATATTAGTTAAACAACATTAACATCTACGGTGCCCTTTGCAGTTTGTAATACTGTAAGATGTGTTACACAGGTCTCACATTCTACGAACAACGGTTCCATTTTGAAAAAAAAAGACCACTGCCAAAATTAAATTATAAAAGTATACTTTACTTACTGCAGCAACAGATAACACAAAACGTAAAATGCACAAATGCGCACAAAACAAAGTAAGTAATTATTTTATCAAAGCGCTTACATATCTATACAGCGTATACAAAACAACTGTCAAAAGAAGCAAAAGTGAAAAATTATGCAAGCGTCAAACTACAGTAGCAGTCGGATCTGGTTTCCGGTGCTAGACAATTTACAACATTGTAATCTAATTCACCACATGAAGACGCACCGGTGTATTTTTGAGAGAGTAGCGCCGCAACCTGATGTCTTCCATGAGCATCTCATAAGGCGTCAGTTCGTACACAATGGGCGCCCGGGCCAAAGAGGCCACTTTGCGCAGTTGGACTCCCTCTCGTAATTTCCCCACAACCTGCATCCATAATTTGGCCTAACAAGCAGAAAAAACACATTCAAATATTAGATTATGCATGCCCAGCATGAGTTGCTACATTCAAACAAACAGCTTCAATAATTGATAACCCAGTTTTCTCTGCTCACCCAGTCACGAAATTCGTCGGCCAACGACATACTGGTCCTGTCAATTTCCGCCTCATGGGCTCCACCCATTTTTTTCACCCTCTGGAGAATGTTCAAACATCTCATTAACAATTTAGCGTTCAGTGATACTCTGTTCACTGTCTGTAATATCTTAATCAGAAGTGCTATCTAAAATTAAATGCAGTATGCATTTATTTGCAGCTGACAATGAATCAAGAACTAAGATCTATTACAAGTTATCGAAGTACAAGAATCTGAAAAAAGCATTAAATTACACAGTGAATCACTTACACAATCACTTAAAATAAACTCATTCCTTACCGGTTTCTTAGACTGCACCCGCTTTAAAAACTCTATCAAGTCCAGACATTCCACGACAAGCGCGTGACAAACTGCTTGATAATGCGTATCCGCTTGCGTTGTTTCTTGGATCCGATCCGCACATACCTAAGGAAACGCTGCAGTATTTTCACCAGTCTGTCCCATAGATTCGATAAAACTGGTCACAAAAAACTATAGAGCCCGAATCAAAATCAATTCAAAGAGAAATTGTTGGAAAGACTCTATAATCTAAGCCGTTATTGACAGTCAAGGAATGTTTTTAACAAACGCTCACTTGCACGACACGATCAATAACTCGAAGGTTGACATCGTCCGAAAAATAATCCTCTTCTTCCGAACCATTTCCGGGCTCGATCCAGTCCACCGGTTCAACATTCCCAGACCTTTCCGGTTTAACTACAGTCCTTTCCGCTTCTACAGTCTGCGTAACTTCTCCCTGGGCTAAACTTTCCAGGAAATTCGTTAACTCTTCCGAAAGACTAGCTTCTTGTCCTTCTGTTAATCCGAACTGGCATGCCTATGGATTGCAATAAAAGTTATACAAAATCGCGAGAATTCTATCGTGCACTGGTCAGACACAAACACTAATGACGGCATCACATTTCCAGCAGACACCATGCACAAATGAATAAACGATACAAGCGCCAGTTACTCGTACTGCAGTACCAAAAAGGCAAAAAATGTAATAAAGGTCATATATGTACCTCAAACACAGTAAAGGCCAATTTTTCCAGAAAGACCTCCGGCTTCACACGTTTCTCTCCTGCAAAATATAACTTGTGTCAGTAAGAGAAAAACTGTTGCCTATTTCAGTTAACGCAGATATTAACATACACGTAAACAACGGTTTTGGCTCAAATACTGCAGCTGAATCGAATATTACCACATGGTATACAACCAATATTATTTTGAAATCCTGGCGCAAGCTAACAATAAGTGCTAAATCACTCGGTAACCACAAAATTACACTATTTTTCGTTAAATTTAGTTACCACACTCGTGTATGTACTTATTATTCACAGTTCCCTACGTCAGAAAAACCGAGCCATAAAACGTGCAAGTACAGTACATATAGATATTGCAACAGCAGCCGGTTAAGCTGCTGTTCTAGTGGGATGGTTTATCCACCGTACCACACGATGTGGCGGCTGTTAAGGCTAACTAATAATCAAAAGGCTGGCACGGTCGGCAAGATGCTGACCGGAAGGAAGATGACAATTACACAACTACTGTGTGGGAGATGAGACGATTCATCTCAACGTGATTACAAACAACAACGCAAGACATGGCACTGATGGCAGTCACGGCAAGATTCTTATTAGCAAGTAAACTGGGCAAGAAGGCAAAAAGCAAGGTTAGCTAGCTGGCAAGAAGCAAATCCAAGAATGATTCTAGTGCGCAAAAGTAAAAGTCAAGAGCATCGAGATTGTAGCAGTAAAGCGGTAAGACAACGAGAAGCTGATTCACATGATCTTAATGAGGAAGACCAGCAATGAATGAACCAATAACTGATGTAGAAAAGCAATTAACAATCCCAACTGGCGGATACAATTTTCTATCGTTACAATATATGATATACCTATGCAACAAACAGTTGCCTTTCTTTTGATCAAGTACACGATTCTGTTTCTTTCCGTTTATTTAACCATGTTCACGCTTTCGTTTACCCCCGTCCTGTGAAGTTGGCGCTTTTTGCTAGCAACTAAACGCACTTACGCTAAAACTAAGGAGGTTCGACATTTCAGAAAATTATAAATCGTGTTGGAAGGTAAACTGTATCGCTTTGCTACAGTATCACGCAAACCCAAATTTTTTTAATGGTGTATTAAGTCAATAACAACGACCCACAATCATGCATTCGAACTTCGCTAAGCATGAACAAACTTTTTACGGCTTTACGGCACCGTCGTTTAATATGGGCACTTTACGGTATTTGCCATTATACCATATTCCGACATAACAATCCATAATTTGTATTACAAACGGGCAACAAAGCCGCCGCATCCAGAAATAGGTCAGTCGTAATTATTTGTCACCCGTTGAAGATAATGTGGTAACTGGACCATGCGGCTGTTTATGCAGATTATTTAATCCAAAAGGTCCATTTTAAATGCAATTGATCGTGTTGCATTACAGCACTTCCACGTCTGTTCAAAGCAACATCGTTAACAAGCAAAGCACGGCGGCTGCCTCTACAAAACGAGAACTCTGACCAGTGAGTCCATAGCGAAAGTTACAAAAACCAACTTTCAACTGATTTCAAGCTGAACAAATAGAGTGTCTGTAGTCTGCACTTGCCTACTTTCGAGAAATCGGCTTAAACCTTCCAAAAAAATAAAAGAAGAGCATCGCAAATTTTTGTGTCTAACCAGCGTTTGTAAGAAGGGTTTTGTAAGAGGATTACGAGTTTACGTTTCGCCATTTTCAGTAATTTATGTACGTTATATTAGTAAAATCTTCAAAATACAACAAAATGCAGTACACACCACCCGCATGTCAAGAGTGTTTAGAAAACACCGATAAACTTCGCATCTGCATCAACTTTACAAAATTTATCCAGTATTAGACGATTATTTGGTGGGGTTATTAAAAAATCATTTGATTATTTAAAAAATCAATCCTATCCAAACTGGTTTGAACTTGAGGAACACTAAAGAAACGCTCATGATGATGATATTATGCGCTCTTGTTCCGGGAAGAACTACTGCAACGAGGCGGAAGGGCGGGAAACTATTTGTGCAAATAGCCAAGGCGACTCTTTATGCTGTCGCAAATGAGACTTCCATGCAAATACGTAAGCCTTTAATGCTAGCAAGCACCCTGATAAACGCAATCAATATCCAAAAAATGCAACGCATCAAGGGGGTAGAGAACTTCAGTATGCATAACCACATCATCGATTTTTGTACTGTGAAAAATCATGGCACCAAAATCCGAGTCGGAATAGATGCGTTCTTTATCGACACAAGCAAATAATTATATGAAAACTGAATTGCAAATATGCAATGCAAGAGGATAATTGGAGGTCTTTGTACGAGATATAAACATGAGCCGTATTAATTTGGTTATTTTACCGCTGCAAAAAAAAACAAGGTTTTCCACAATCTCCAACCCAACCTCAGCAAAACGCGATAATCGTGCGTTCACGTTCATCATTCATTACTTTTGCTTATCATTTGCTTTGCGGTTTCCTTCTTTCACTAACCATAAGATACCAATTACGAGTGTTAACAGTTTATGCAAGAAGAAAGTCGAAACGTTGCTCTTGTCTTATATTTCCGATTGCCTTTAAACTATGCCGCCTTATTATTAGCCTTCTCCAAATAAAAAAAAGAAATGCGATAACCTCGTCAGGAATTCTGTAACAAACCAAAAAAATTGTCTGCAGCGGAACTTATGTGATCTGTTAATTCTGTTTGCCCGACTTCAGTAATAAAACTTTTAAAGGGCACTGACCGCTGCTAATTTATTGGATTAATCTCTCACAATCATGAAACCGACTTTACGATTCTGGCAATCACATCCGCACAACCAAGTTACGTACATTCTGTTAAAATCCCAGTGAAGAAGAATAGCAACAACTGCGCTTTCTACAACGCTCCCCAAATCAAAACGATGTTACGCGCTCTCCAGCGTAATCTCACTCAATTATTCAGTCAGCCAGCCCGCCTGTCATCCAGTGTTGCCCCGCAGGAAATACAAACGGACAGGGTTGACAAAATACGAATTAGCAGGATTGTCAAGCACCGTATTAGAACTGACGGGATATGCAGAACAACTCAGACGCCACATACTTCCACTTCCGTAAATGAAAGTACACACCGATGTTCTCAAAACAAAACAGAAATTTTGTCTGTAAACAGTAAACGGCATATCTACATTCGTGTCCAGTTGGTGGAATGCGAGTGCACCGCAGTAATTTCGAAGCACACGTGATTTTAATCGCACAAACGCAGAAACGTTCGTTATATCAGCTGTTACTGCTTAATTGCAAACAAATTTTCTGAGTAAACCTTCCCCTATCACCCGTTGAAGATAATGTGGGACGAGCAAGAACAACGAGCAAATGCTTGTCAGTTAGTCTCAAAGCAAAACATGTACAACGTATGTAGTATGTACAGTACGGATACACAATATTATATGAACAGGCTTGTTGTGCTCACTACTCATACAATGAAAAACGCCAGAGTATTATGTAATTATAAAACGCAACAAATTCAACTCCATTACTGCTCCAGAGCATCGACATTCCCAGCCATGCCGGATTCCTGATTTCCGGTCACATTATTTTACATAATCCGCCTTGTGAAGTGGTGGGAAATCTTGATTTCCCCAAAGAAAGATTAAGGATAACTGCCGCCAACGCCATTAACGAGCGTATTCGCGGCGTTCCAGCCACTTAAACATCCCTAGTTGATAAATAAATGACACAATCATGTCCCCGCATCACGAATCTCGATCACAGGGGGTAACTATTTTTACAATCCGCAAAAAATGTTTTTGATCAAGTGATGATTGGCGAGACCGCAAAAACCGGTTTGTTCGATGCGATCGATACACAAGACGAATCTGCGTCCGACCCACGGACTATATTGTTATGACCCTTGTCCTTGGACTCAATCTGCACCATAATCATATCAACGGCCAACTTTACAAACGTAAAACATTTTTCGGCACGGAATACATTAAATCGTTTTTTAAATGAGATAATGCAAGCAACAGAATCGGAAATGCATACCTGGCTGGCCACGTGAAACTGTTTGAAAGCATAAAAAATTATTATAAACATTCTAGAACAGTTTCTATCAGAAGTCTTTAATTAATAATACGCACCCACCTATCCGCATTGCTCGAAGTTTTGCGTAAAGATTTACGATAACTGAAAGGATCACTCCACTGCTGGTATAAATTTTAAAAGAACAATTTAAATACAAAACTCAAGAGTTCGAAATCGATAAGTTTCCCTAATTATTGGTCAGCGATTCAAACGATACAAATTAATGAAACAAATGCTTTCATTCTGCATCCCTATCTACTGAATCATTCGAATATTTCTCATTTCTGGATTACGCATTTACAAACTATGCTGCTCAGCTGCAGGAAAAACGTAAGAAAAATATGGAAAAAGACCATCGGATTGAATATTATAATGAGACTTTAACGCATACAAACTCATTTGAGGAGTAGTTAACGTTTTAACCACGTTTTTTGAAGTTTATCTCTGATGACGTTATTTGATCTCGAAGTGAAACCTACCAATAGTGTGTAAACCTACCAACAGGCATTAGTCACCTACAAGGTAACTTAATCCATTTAAAACGATTATAACGGTATACAAAACAGCACCTCATTCACAACCAATCTATATCCATTCACTTCGCCGGTTTTAGCAAATAACAACCAGAAATTTTAGTGAATCATCGCCAAAAAACAGCGCTTCAAATTACCCATGATTGTGCCAGGAGGTAATTCGCAACCGAGTCATCTAACGGTCAGTGTGCAACACTACTTCCGCTCAAAGACCTCTGACCCGCTGATCAACAACATGCTGGCCAACAAGCATATTCTGTGTATTTTCCATGGAAAGGTGCCATTAAAGTTGCAAAATTTGTGTTTGTAAAATCACATATTTATGGTTGGGTGCGCAAAAACAAATGACGATACAGAGTGCCGAACAATGTAAAACATTGTTGAATTAGCGATAAGCGCCATGTGGTTATCTTACGCTTTATGATCATCGTCAACAAATCAAACAAAACACAGACAACGCCGTGTGTTTAACCAGCGAGCACGATACGTGAACTACTCAATGAGTGCAGGATAAAATCAAATTTGATGAAATCTGTGGCTTGTGCTAAATTGCCTAATATGTGATCGTGAATACTTCTGTTATGGCCAACACATTTCTACAGCTAACAATAAGCACATTTTTACAGGATAATTTAAAACATATACTTGCCTGTCTTGACATGAAAATTAACTGCCTGCAGCTGGTAAAATATCACATAACAAAATCTTTAATTTTTCGCAAAATCCGATAAACTGCAAAGAAAGAAAGTCTAGAAATTAAATTAAAACGACGCTATACGGTTGTTTAGTACAAACACTTTGAAGAGTTGAATAAGAAATTATGAGAACATAAATGCGATATTGACAACCACACCAAGAGAATAGAGATAGATATACATCAATCATACCAAAAGGATTTGACATTATCGGCCACTGGCCGTGATGCTGAATCGCTGACAACGCAATATGATACCCTTCTGGACTTACAATAGCTCGTATAAATACGAAAAGAATGCGAAAGAATTATAAACAATAAATTTGTTTATAAATTACGGTAGACAATTTCTGAAGCTAAAACATCTCACACTAACTGAATTTTAACGAAAATCAGCACATAAAATCAATTTTAACGCAGGCAAGGCAGAAGATTATCCCTTTTGCTATGCTTTAGTTTACCGTCTTACCATTATTATCTCCGGACATTTGTAGAAAAACACCGCCATCACGCTCAAGAAAGAGGTTGTCCATCTCGGGCGCCGCCAGACAACCGCATCCGGAAGTGCTGTCGGCGGCGGCATTAGTGGCTAATCTCTTGTCTGACCGGTTGCTCTGGCTGATGATGGATCGCCTGAGGTAGCCGGTTGTCTGGTGGAGTATGGCCCAGGCCTGCTCTTCATTGATCCCAATCCCGAAGGCCTCCACGATCCTCTTCAGAGTCACTGTCTCCGTCATGTTCTGACAATCCCCGCTCACGGAGCCGACCGGGACGGTGTTTTCCTTATCGAGATCCGCTCCGGCTTCCGCCTGGTTAATATCATTACGATCCATCATAGGCGCCACTCGCCAGTATCACAGTGGCAGATGTTGGGGATCAAATTCCGGGATGAATTTAAATACAGGGAAGGCGGTATTGATTTTGAGAGCTCTGCTCTAAAATTTCACAAACAGTGTATCCGAAATCGCATGTCAATTCGGATTATGCACAAATCGGTTAAACTCAATGAAACTGGCACAAAAATTTTATGTAATAGCCCAGAACACCAAGAACTACCCAGATAATAACAAAAAAACCACATAGTTCTTTCACGATTGCACATTAATATGGTCCATACTCGGTACGCCACATAATAATCACAATACCACAATAAAAGACCTAACTTTAAAAAATAACGATAACATTAAAGTCATTAGTCAATACGTAAATGCGAGATTTAAAAAGTTTTTTACCGTTCAATGGAGTGAGCAGTTGAAGCAATGATTACAAGCACAGCTCCACAAATGCATTCATAATCTCACAAAAATCCAAAATTAAAACAATTATTTACCTTCAAAATTTGTTTGAGGGCATCACCCACAAATCACAATAGTGATCATGGCGCATGGGTTCTCTGTTAAATTACCACAAGCAAAACGATAACTGCGAAAGCAGAGAAAGTTAGAGAAACGATAACTTTTCCCATCCGTACAGTATAACTCGCGGCACAGTATTCTGCAAGCTCATAGCGGAACATTGTTACACGCTGTTAAACATGTGTAACAAGATAATCATCGTCTTTATGACCAAACATCTTACTCCATCGATGAATGCTTAATCATTAACACACGGCAAAAAAACGAGTGATCTCTAAAGTCCGATGAGATTCAAGGATTTGTTGCGACTGTAACGCGGCACAATCGAGAGAGAAACTCAGAGAAATACCTCGAGGAGCGACCAGCAACAAAGACAGCTGGTGCGCGTGCTGGCACGATTGGTCGGAGCGGCTCGGGGGCGGGCTTACCACCGGAAATGAAACGTAGAGCGCAACATTTGGGAGATAGATTGTGTAAATAGGGATCGCTTTTATCGCTGAACATATCCGAGTTGTTGCGTCATACGACAGTTACAATAAATATCAATGAAAACGACGCTTTTCCCATGGCAACGTTCATTTGCCTGCATAATACGCTCCTAAAAATTAATGGTCGTATAAGGAAAAATTTTTTTGGTATAAGGAAACCATTTTAAACCATTTAAAAGGGCCATTTTAGGACCACACTGTGTATGGTACTTATGCAACAACAACAACAACGCTCCTAAAACAGATAGGCCTGTACTGCTGTAGTCTATAGGTGCCAGGTAGCAGCCAGAGGGCACTGTAAAACACCCGTAAAAGTACAGTATAAGCCCCAACTTGTAAGCAGTATACCGTGACTGTATACGGGATGACTACCGAGTAGATGTCCCGTAATTTTTAACTGGAATATCGTGCACCGAAATTTTTACTGATTTACTAAAGCAGTTTCATTTGAAATAACTTTAAATTTTACGCCAAACATTTTTTTTGCAAGCATTGGGTAGATGCTATTTTAACCTTACCGTCCTTACGTATCAATAATCAAATCACTATTACATGGATTGAAACTTTTAATTTTCATATGAATGCCATTCGAGTGGAAAACGACTGTAGAAGTACTCGTACTTATTATCATGCCGCCACACGGAATAAAAAACAGCATGACGCATGAGTTTTCGCAAATTACCAACGTTCGCAGATGGTCTGATTCCTGATCACAATTCAGTGTTACAAGGTAATTCCGTATTTAATACAAGATTAATAGATTACGCAGTTTGAACTTAGAAATTTTGCAGGGCCTCCACTTCAAGCATTTTTTCGGTATGTAATGCTAATCTGCACCTACAAGCACTACCATGATACTGCCAAAAGTTAACTGCGTGGCACCAGCAGTTTCTGAACCGACGGATCAGAAGACTTATTAGAACAATGAAAACGAGAACATCACTGCATCGTAACCGCATGAAACTCCGACATTTTACATCAGCAATTCAGTTTTCTTAAGCAAAACATTTTTCGCCTCAGTTATGCACACAGAAAGTCAGAAACGGTTTGAAAGTAAAAAATTGCATTTATTAACAAAGCCGCTGCTACAAATAATTCTCAAAATTAGAATATTAAGACAACATTTACTGACTCTTACACGACACTACTCGCTGCTTCCTTCGATTGTCCGATCATTAAAACATGGAACGCACCAGCAGCCACTTGCAACATCTTAAAATCCTCGAACGGCTTCCTTTTTTGCTGTTCTCCACCGTCATCTTGTATCCTTTTAGCCTGCTGCACAGCTACAGCATCATCATCATCCTTCGGCAGTCCAAGTACCGAGCTGGCAGGAGATCCCCATACAAACACGTCTCCAGTGTCTGTGATGCAGATTACTGCATTGTTACTTGAGCAACTAACGTCCCGCACCTTGTTAGCGAATGGATGAGCAACTGGAGTGTCGGTGGGGCCCGTCTGAGCAGTATCGGCCAAACCCAAATACTCTTTGTCACCACAGACATACAGTTTGCCATCGGAAGACAGCGCTATGGTCTGAATGGCGGTGCCTACAATTTTGACGATGCTTTTATCGCGAAATCCCTCAATTTCTTCCCATCCAGTTTCAATATCAAGCTTTTTCCCATCTTCTGATTCCTTCTATAAATTGAAACGATTTGTTTATGGGTTAAGGCATATAATACATAAGAACACCGGGCAAAAAAGTAACCTTCAAATGCTTCGATCGTAACTACTAATTAGAATAAACTCGTACGGTAGAAAGTCACTATGACCAACACTTCAGATCTTCTGATGCATATTTCTTTTCGCGCAGTACCAATTCAAAATATATAACTTTATGAGAACAGTGTGCAGAATCTGCCTTTCCTAACAATAAGAGCCAAAAATATCATACGCTATCCTACAATTCCTGTATGGAATTCCATACTTAGAAATCTTAAAAGAAAGTTTCAGATATAAATACCTGTGGAAATCCAAGCTGATTTCTGCCATTATTTCCCGATGCAAACCAGCGATCTTCAGTCGCACTCTTCACAAATGTCGCATATGGTGTACACCAAACATCAGCGAACTTGAGCATTCTTCGTCCCGAAAACTTGCAAACTCTGCGTTTGTTTAGAAAATAACTCTTCCCCATTCGACCGCCGTCATCTCGATACGACGGCACATATCCTAATTGCCCGTTATGGTGATCACCAATGGCGTATACATCACCTCCACCACTTAAATACGCCAGATGGTTCTGTCCGGATGAGATCTTCACAGCGCGATCGTTGCGGAGATCGGTTCGACGAGGATCGTGATACAAGAACGGCACATACTCACAGGTTTCTTTGCTGTCGCTCCGCGAACCAAAAGCACCGCTGCTATCCCGCATTGTGCCTGAAAACCATTTATTAAATCATTATAAATGTAAGCAGGTAATTTGTAAAATAATAACAAGTCACAGCAAAGCTGCCAAGAAAAAAAAAACATCGGGCACGAATCATATAAGTCGTAATTACTGTAACTGTAACTTGTACATGTACATAATGTTTTCTGCGCCGATGATCGTACTTATAACTTACTCGTTAATACTTATATCGCACAGCGGATATACAAGAGTATCAGTTAAAAAAGCTCATAACAACATTCCAGTTTGTAATACAAAATACGTATATTTCACGATTAAATTATTAATCAACTTTTATGTTTTACAAAATTTTGTAACTTATGTCATTCTATGAAACCGTGAAGCGCGACGATAAAATTAAAAAAACAATCTTTCTAGGATTACTGACTTATGTCTTACCAGTTAAATATATTTTCCCATCTTCAGTCAGGAAAGCCGTATGCGAATCACCAGCGGAAACACTAACAATTTTGCCGTCAATTCCCTTCACCTCTTTTGGTTCATAATTTTCTTCGTCATCTTTTCCAGTTCCTAAGGCCCCTTCGTCGTTGCATCCCCATGAGAACACTTTCCCAGTTTCGCTTACAGCCAAACTATGCAGTTCCCCGCAAACTACCTTGGCAATTTTTTCATCACCAAATTTATCAGCGGGAATTCGGAATGGATATCGTCGCGCTGCCATAGGATCCTCCAGGGACAGCTGTCCTGCATCGTTAGTTCCATGGACGAACAGATGACCGCTGCTGCTCGTGTCTAACGTGAGTTTTCCAGTTGGTAGAGCTTTGCGAATAGCTTTCTCGATTGTGGCCTTTTTCGGAGGGGATTGTTTCAGTCGCGCCACGGCAGTGGTAGGCTGTATCGCTTCGGTAGCCCGTGGTTTGCGCGAGAGAGCTTTTAACGGGGAACTTTTCGGTACAGAAGCGGATGCAACTGTGGAGCGCGTCCGTTTGGCTCGCTCCAAGGGTTCTTGAGTTACCGGGGTGATTTTTCGTTTAGGCATGTTTGTAATATCAAAGAATATTCCAGTCTGGCGTGAAATCAACAGAATCCAATAATCTGCTCGTCGAATCTGTGAATCACAATAAAAAGTTGAATCACAATATTTTTTTCGTAATTCGTCGGCACCTCTTGATTAGTAGCTGTGCGCTGACTCGTACACGCTACACACTGCACTGCTACTACACACATTATACATACACAGTCGCAATAATTTCAGCACTGATCCAAAATCCACAGTCCAAAAAGCTTCCCCGGTATGATTCAAATTTCAAAGTTTCAAATCATTCTAATGTGTATGCAGGCTCGTACACCTACCTAGTACGCGGTACCTTACCGTACTGCGTATGATTCACTGCACTACTGCTTCTTTAGGGGCGGGGCAGAGATAGCGAGCGCATTGACGTAAAAACAGGGTTGTTTCCTGCCGTTTCACAAGGCACCAGTGCACCACCCAGCTGAGAAGTTTTCGCGCACAAAGTTAGAATTATAGAGCTGTTCGTTGAAAGTGGTGAGTTATAATTATAATTTAGAAATACAGACCTTCCTCTTTGAACATCCACTCTACACGCCTGCACTTGTTTGGATTCTTTTATAAGCTCTAAATAATTTAAAGGTATGTCGCCAAATGCATTGCGTTTTACTGTTGAGACATAAATTTTTAGATAGAAGCCGTGGGCGCTTCTGTGTATCCTTTCGACCTTGACTCACTCCAGCTGAAGCTGGCGACGCTTGTTAGCTCTTGTTACGGCTGACTAGTGAGCGAATCCCACAGTAGTTTTTTTTGTTATTTCGTTTTGTTCTCCTAGATTAGCGGTGCAATCATGTCATATCCTTCTAATCCACCTCCTTATGGAGCCATATATGGAGGGAACAGCACTCCCCAGCGTCCCGTAAGTGAAGGAACTCTTTATCTTGCTCCTCGTAAATCGTGTACGAAGTACAGATACTCTGTATGCTTCATTTTCATGCTGGTTTTATGAATTTATTGAACTAGGCCGTTATAGACTTATTGTTGTTTGCTTTATCGGTTACTCTGCTGCTTGTCCGTGGCAAGAAAAGACATTTTGTGGTTGCTTAGAATGTTATTCGTTTGTAGTACTTGAAACACAGTCTGGAAATTCTGGAAAGCCAAATGCCACCCGAAATGGAAAACATCGCTGTTCAAGTGGCGGACAATGCGATTGACACCATTCGCAACCGCGGGGGAGATTTGGCCAACAGCGATCTGGCCAAAAGATCTCTGAAGAATTTGCCCGATCAGTGGGATACGGCGAATGGAACTGCATGGTGTGGAGCGGCAAATTATCGGGGTCGGATCTCAACTACTTTGTAAGCATGATTTTAGTATGCACCTTAAAAATTTTTTCCTGTGTCGTACTTCCGGCTGCTGGCACGGAAAATTAGCGAGTTAGCTGGTAGCATTATTAACAACGAGACTGATAGTAAGGAATGTACTGTACACCATGTTTTAATGTTAAAACGAGTACATATGTATATCCTTTGGTTTGTTGCCATAATGATAATGATGCTGTTTTAATTTTGTAGTTCCGCTTTGGGGATAACAGCTCAATTTTGTTCGAATTGGGCTCATTTGTCGTGTCATTGTACACCCAGTTTCACACCACTGTCTCTCCGCAAACCGTACGTATTTCGTTGAGCTGATAACATATTCCTGTACAAAATAACAGTCATTATTGTGATTACATTAGTTCATTATTGTGATTTCATCAGTCCATTATTGTGATTACATCTCCGTACGAAGTCGAAGTGCTTGTAAATGTTCTGCAGTAAGTTGTTTTTTTTCTACAAAGGTACAAAAGTTTGTTATAAATTTTATAGGGGAATGTTGAAGTTACAAAGACCTTCATGCCTGAATCCATGCAGCGCACTACCATTGATGTAGTCCGTGATGCCATGCAGCGCGAGCGGAATGACAGTTCCGGATCATTCCGAGCGGTGGCGCACATTAAGGATCGCATGGGCGAGATCTACGGGAATCCTAAACGTTGGCAGTGTGTGCGTGGTCCAGCACATCCCGACTTTGACTTTGAGGTAAGCGTTATTCCCGATCGATAGGGCCATGCAGAGTTGCAGGCGGCGGGACCATATAGAATACCACGTGTTCTCCTTTCTCCCCGGTCATTTTCCGTTGACGAGGTGCATAATATAATTCTATATTCAAAGTGTCAAATAACAATATTTCATAATTATGTGATGCGTAGATACTCTTACATACAAATACATGAGATGAAAGTAAATTATAGTGCATACGAGTACAGATATGTATTCAATTGAAATTTCATTGTTTTTTTCTACAGTTGGATACCGACGGTGACAACTTTATCGAGCTGCGTGTTCAAGATCGTAGCTACGTCATATTTCTGTCGGAGCGCTCTGATGTTTGAATCCCCGAACTTTTGCTGCTGTTTCAAATCATTTCAAGGTTATGTCATTGATTCGGTTTTCATTGGTTTTACTGGATGAATCTCGTTCATTCCTTGAAAAGTGTTCATTTTTCGTGGCATTCGATAAAAATTATTTTTGTGACGTTTTGGGCTTTTCACGACCTGGACTTAAGTAATGTTTTTCTTACATCAACCAACAGCACCGTAGTTTGCTTACCTCAATCCCTGCAGATATTGTGCAGAGCGCAGATGTGTTATTTTTACGATATTTTACCGTGTTTTGCGCCTTTTGTAATGTTTTATTCTCGTGACCTGGCTAGTTGTTGTGATTCAATGGATTATGGATACCTCTATAAATATTGCTACTCGGAGTCGGCACTAACGTACAACGGCAATAAGGGGCTTGTACACTTGCGAATGGTTTTTCGTCTACCCCAGTATTTCTAGGTTTTAAAAATCACAATATGTACATTGAATTGATGTTTCTGCAAGACGAATGCACTTCGTACTATTTAGTATCTTATTGTTAGTTGAGAACCTGTTTGCCGAGACCCACGATGGAGCAAATTGCTTCGCTGATGGGAACTGCAAATGATACAATGAAATATTTGCACTGGAAACGGTTAAAACAATGCGATATGCAAGTTGGAGATGCCGTACAGTCTCACACCCGTGTCTTTACACTGATAATAAGCAAGGTTTTTCAAATATCTCTTGATGTTTAATTGAATGTATATTATGTATTTAATTGTTTTGTTTACTGCATCCTCCTCGCGTTATGAAGGTTCCGTGGCTCGTGTCATTTTGTCAGTTAATCTTAAGAGCGTGTATAAACCGAACACTAATTGTAAGTCAACCTTTGGATTTATTTGATTTATTTGTATGTTTTAGCTAGCACAAACAGCACCGAGCAAATTGTGTAACTGACCTGTGGCCAGCCAAGCCACGTACGGTACACGGCAAAGCACTGAATTAAATTAACGCTAGACAATTCGTTAGCAAAACTCTTGAAATGCCACTTTTAATCACGATTCACCTCGTACTAGCCGGCGTGCTCGGGCGATTATTGTGTCGGAAAATGTGACAACATGAGCATTTTTTCTGTGCTCAAGTAGTTTCGCGCGCGGCCCATTCGCACCGCTGTAAGTGCGGATCATTCTTTTCACATGTCAAAAAGTCAATTATGTTCGGCTTTACCCTGACACAGAGAAGCATTTTTCATGCCTATTCACCTAAAGTGCTGCTAATTATTTCCTCCCACAATGTTCAGCTGCGATGCAACATGTTTTAATTACATCTTCGGCATTGAAAAAGGAGGCTTTTTTAGTGGTCATATCGCTTGCTTCTTTGCGGTTATGCGCCGATAACTGAGGGAGTCCAACTGCGCACGCTGCTTAATTAACTTCAAAGTTAGGCGTAGACTCGCTCGAAGAATGCTGCGTAGTGCGAGCAATGCTTCACGAATCACGAGTACGTTGTTTTAAATAACGTAGTGCTCGCTTGTGAAATGAGTGAAATCTATACAGAAGAATAGTACGAGTATTTCTACAACTGCAAGCACATCTACTTACAAAAATATTCTTATAAGCGGCGCGAGTACTTGACTGCCTCAACATTCAGATTTAGAGTGAAATAGAAATATTTTTAGATATCAAAATATAAAACATCAGAATAAGGAATCGCAATGCGAAATTACACGACCGAATAATAGAAACTATCTCGTCTAAATTGGCCGGATGGTGTTCTCAAACCTAGTCCGATGCCGCCTGCACTCCCACGCTGGTCTTCTGTGATGATCCGCGGATACAAGAACTTTTTTAATAATTACGTCGTCTTTTTAATAATTACTAAATTTTAACAACTTTTCCTAAAATAATTACAGAGCGCAGCGGAGCGGGTATAATAATTGGGAAGACTTCTGTATCGTAGAAGCACACAATCAATAAATTATGCTTATCATTAACACAACTCCACTTTTTCCGCGGCACATTTTAATTGCTCGTTACGTGAAAACGTTTTTCACCTGGTTGTAACCAACTCCGTCACTATCAAAGAAATACGGAATTAACTGTCGTGTAGTTTACACTCGCGCCATTCTTGTAGGACAGGTATTGACCTTGTAGATTTAATAAATAGCCAAATAAAGTCGCATGCGCTTCAACCGTAAACAAAGATCGGTAGTATTCAATACGTAAACACCTGCCGCTGTTTTTGGCTGTACAGACTCACAGAGTACTAGTACCTGTTCCTTTCAAGTTTCGTGATTATCGCAATTATTTATTGATCGACTAGATCGCTTACAAAACGGCCTGGTGGCCCACGATGACGCTCTCTCAGCTTGCGAACACCGGTAAGGGCATAAGTAATTTGCGCATGTTGTGCGCGCTAATATCCATAAAACGAGCACCGGTTTATTGAAGTTAAAGCGGCATTTCACCCTGTTTTTAATAAAGACGCCATGGGATATTTCTCCCCAATGAAGGGAAAAATCGATGTTTAAAATTATATAAGCCAAGACTATCTTGGCGACTTCAGAGTACGGTGGTAGTAGAAGTGTTTCTGGAGTAAACCCGTAACATAAGCAGCACCTCGTTCCCGGGCGTCATTGAACTGCTCATGAATGGCCGAGCAGAGATGTTTCTCTGACTGCTCTGCTTTTCCCATCCCGGTGACGCCCAACCACGCTGACCCAGATTCCCGCATGCACAGTGCAGCCTCACAGTCTCGTCGTTCCTACAGCGTATTTTACGAGCAGATCGTTATCGTAGACATTTGCACACCGGCACCAATCAGTGATCATCAAAGCCTCCGTTCAGCCTGTCTGAAAATATTATTCAGATGAAAATAACGCAAAAAAATTTTTATTGAGCAAGCAAAATACGATAAAAATCGTGAATTATCTGAATAAGGTAGCGAAGCAGTAGCCGATGAGTCAGAAAGAAGCCGGTTTGCAGAAACGAAAAGTGGACCAAGTGGTACACTGGTACATGTACGAGTGCAGCCGTTGCATCATTCCATTGTGAAAGCCGTATTATACTGCGGATAGAAACGGTTCACCGTTCATGGACCAGTGCGATACTGCTGCCGGCCTCTTGTATCAGTGCAGTTTTTGCATCATCGGCGCTGTATGGTCTAGCGTGTGGAGAGCCTCGATCGAAAGACGAGCCGAGTGGTCTTGGTCTGCTAATCTCAAACGTAGCCGCTTGCGAATCGAGTTCATGTCAAGGCATCCGTCACGCTGAGCTCTCCATTTTGCTTATAAGCACGATCACTCGACGGCTCGTTCGAAATCAGGAATATATTTTTTTTGGAAATTTTCGTAACATTCAATATTTTTTCTTTTCCGCGATAAACAAGTTGCAACCCCTGCGAGACGTGACAACCGGACGGTGGTCAGCATACTGGTCATGTGGACCGGTCTAAAGCCGGATGATAGTGAACTGTCCAGGCTAAAAGTGCGTACGAGAGAGGCAATCAATCAAAATGGCCGACGGTCATTCAGGGTCTGCACGCCGCATTACGGGCTTGGTAGCCACTAGCCGGGCAGACATAGCGTTGAGTGAGCAGTCCCGCTGATCGTACGCATTCTTTATCGGAGTGCAGCGCAGGCACGCGTGCAGGCTTCTTTCATTTTGAATTCTCCCGATCTTCTGGAATGTGAATTTTTTGCAGCTGATTAGGACATCGCTGTATTGTTTCTGCATTGTTTGGATTTTTGTTTCATCTTTGGATTTACGTGGATTTATTGTGCTTGCTCATATTCGCTATTCGGTAGCATTTTATGCAGATTTCGGAAACGTTTGCAATCACACTACTGTAAGTACCGTCGAATGTGATTAAAATTTGCGGATGAGGAACTCGTTGAGTCCGACATAAATCACGTTATGGTTTAATCGTGCCATTCTGATTGCTGGTGGTATAATGACTGACTGTGAGCTTGGTGGAACGGTAATTACAGCATTTGGGCAATATTTGCAGAATATAAATCGTTTGATGTGTTTATTGATCCATAATAACGGTGCTGCTTTCACGGATTTTCACTTTTGCTAGTAATTTTTAAGTACATTGAAAAACATGTTTCCGCTGAACAGTTCTTAACTGTATTTTTATAAATCCCAGTTATCCACGATGCTATCATTTTACGGGTTAATTTACGTAGTAAGTGAATGGTATGCAAAAGAGTAGTTGAGTACTGTAATAAATACATCTCGTTGCGATATTCATGCAGTGTCCATTCGAATTCGGGCCATTCCAGAGATTCATTTAGTTATAGAATAGGGAATATGCGCGCTGATTGTGAGATGTACAATTACATTGTACAATACTCTGCGTCTGTAGTACCCTGTACCTTGACGTTGAATTGGCTGAGAGTTTGAGAAGAAAAAGATGTCCAAAATTTACTGTACTAATTTTTTACATCTATATTATAATAACATGTAAGGTCCATACGAGTACCACTGCAGCTCTTAGACAAAATTAATTTCATTAGTGAGTAGAACACTTTGGCTATTTCGTTTTGACTTCACCTACTGGTTGTAACTTGTAAGCAATCGCCGTTTAATAATCTTTCAACTCGATATACCGGTTTTTTGTTGCGGGAGGGTACCGAAATAGCTGCTAATCGGTCAGTCGAAAGATATTTTGAGCCCGATTAATATTCTTTAACGTGCGGGTTGATGACTGGATTATCGGAATGCATTTGTTGACTGCCTGATCAATAGAACGACTACTTGAGAATTTATAAAAGTAATTATGGTAGGCGATTTGGAATTTAATTGGAAATTCAATTTCTATTGAGGAGAGCAAATAGGCTGGCTATTAGCAGCGAGACCTGATTACTGGCAACCACCGGAAACTGGATAAAAGCTAGCACGTCCGAGCACGGCGGTGGGAAGCAATACCGTACGAGTTGCTAAATTGCTAACGTAAGGGGGAAAATAAATTAGGCTGCATTAGGTCTGGAGGGAAGGCTTTCCTAATTGAACTAGGTCATTGTTGCTGTTTTGCAGTACACATAGTCTGATATAAACATCTTGAAGAGCGAACGCTTCCTTCTGTTTTACTCAGTCGGCAACTTGAAAATTGCTTGCAATTTTTTGGAACATCGCAGTCGTTTCCATAAATAATAATTTAAGTAGTCCTGCACTGGAGTTTAACAATATTGCATTGTAGCAAATACTGAAATGTAACAAATTTGATATTCTAATTAGTAAAACTCACCATCAAACTGACCGCGTATATGATGTTGGGAAATCGGAATTATTTTTTTCCGAAAGATCCATTTTGTTTTTATCTTGAGTAAAAATTTGTTGGTAATAAAGCCACATTATGACTCTGTTCACAATCAGGACATCAACTGGTGGCGGCGTTGTATCTCCGTTTGATTTATTATTCTTTTTTGGCTAAATATTTAGCTTTTCGTTTTATTGTCTTTCGGTATTTGTACGAGTCGTGTTATGTTCAAGGGTGATTTATTTCGCTGTAATGCTGTCCACGGTGAATTGCTTGTTTATACAACCGTCTCCTAATAAGTAGTCGAAAATCGCTTCAAGAGTGTCATGAAAAATTTATATGTTTTGAACATGTGCGTCTGAGTTTCAAAATGGAAATGGGATTAGTTCTGGCATTAGACCCGGCGTGCATACTAAAATATTCCTGTTTGCAGAGGAATGCCAAATCAGAAGCATAAGAGGATATCCTCATGATAATCAGATCCAACTGGACCATGCGAAGTTTGGCGAATTTGTTAGCCTTCCTGTGGACGGTCCGGATGGCAACCGGACACCAATCCCTCAACCTTCCATGCCCCAATAATCCCTTGTCTTACAGGGAAGCCGGCTTCAGCGACTCTCAGAGGTATTATCGCCACTTCGTTAAATTATACTGTCTTATTCATTTTGTTCGTTTTCATATCAACGAGTGGAATAGCTTCTGGTTTCCATTTCCACTTTTTAATATTTACGGTATATAAAAATGTTATTTGCAGAACTGAATAATTGCGAACTTTTAATGTTTTATGCAGTTTTGGCCGGTAGTATTTGGTTTTGTTAGTTTCATGAAATGTTTTTCTGCGTGCGTAGTTTACTTTTGCCTAAACGCTAATAATAAAACTAGAAGTCACAATTTTGTTGCAAGGCAGTCTTAAATAAAGCGAAAATGCTTTACTTAAAGTTCAAAAATACGATTTCGCTTAAAATTTTAGTTTTCAAAAGTCTTGATGTTTGATTGCGTCATAAAATGGGAAAACTACTTTTGCCTGATGGTTGCGTACTTATTAATCCTCTAATTCCCGCATCCAGGGAATCGCCGGACAGTATCTTGTTGACCCGGTCAAAACGGGATTATCGGCTGGCTAAGCATGCGGTCGATCCCTTATTGTCCGGCACAGAGAGCCGGGCAGCACACTCCCGTCATCGCCGGAAACGGGCCGATCTCAATCCTATTCAAATGACCGTTAAGGAAAGCGACTATCAGATTGTGGGCAAAGAGATCCGCCGGCTCCAGCCGACAGGTGGCAGCCGGTCATTACGTTACTATTTACGTGCAGAGAATCCCTGGGTGGAATTACGCCCGGAAAATGGAGCAATCATTGTCAAAAAAGCCTTCGATTACGAGGGATTGGATGCGAGCAAGTCTATTGATTTTTTCGTTCTCATCAACGATACACTGACCGGAGGTAAGGAGAACACATCTAAATTTCCTGTGCTTGTGTAATAGAGGATAATCTGCCCTGCGTGTCAAGCCTTTCTGGGTTAGTTTTGATGGGAAATTGCATGCTTCGAGATGGGGGGCGATCACTACGGGAGATGAAGACTGTTAGTGGACGGTTTTTTCTTTTTGGCTCACTAGTGGGCTCTTGTACAGGAAACGACCTTGATGGGGTGCACGAACATGATGAACTGTTTCAACAAGGCGCACATTGTACTTGAGCGTTCACTGAGACTTGAATTTCAGAGCAAACGCGTTTTACGATTATGGCGTACTGTTTTAACAAACGAAATTACGGGAACATCCAGCTTTTAACAGAAGCATGTTAAGCAGCAAATTTACGCAAAAAGCCGCATTTTATACGACTTACGAATGGCTTACAAGTTAGTAAATGAGGGGCGTCATCTAAAGATGAAAATGTGTAGGTCCAGTTCCATAATTATTCACTATACGGACACTTTACCAGAAGTGTTTGACTTTAGAAGTTTAATTTTTCTGTTTCTAATTGAACGAATTTGTAAAATAATCATGTACTTGAGTGATCTTAATAAAATGAATGTACCTATCGGTTTTTATAATGGAATACCATTTGCGTAGTCACATGAAGAAAGTGATTATAAAAAGAGCTTATTATACGCGTATATGATTCGTAATCGTTCCGCTTCGATATGATTTTCCCACGGAGACTGGAAATAAATCTCATTCAGCATCTTAAACCGCCAAACGAGGATTCTGACCGCCCTTCTTTTGTGATCCATTTTCGAACAGACAGGTTCGAATCCTTCCCCACACCTCTGTCACTTTTATTTAAAAATCGAAAATCCTTGTGAATGTGTGCATTGAGTTAAAATGTGTCACAGATTTGTACGGATTTGAACCATGCATATTTTTTCCACAAATAATCCCTTTCATGCACAACGAGCCTGAAATAAGTCAGTCAGCTTCTAAGCTGTTATTCTTTTGGCATGTATTGATGATCCCTGTACAGTCAGAAACAGTTCACAATACCCGTATTTTGTAAAGAAAACTTTCGGTTTAAATTTTTTGCAGTAAACGTTGTGAAAAACATTTTCTAATTCGCAAGCGATGGCCTTCCGATCGAAAGTGGGCCATGTTGACTGTGCGATTAATGTTTTCTATTGAGCGACTCTGTTTTGTGTTTGGCATCACGCTGATCAAGGAATATCAACGCACCGAGTCTATTCGCATCGTAGATTCGCAGTCTGTCCTTGAGAAAAATTACAGTGCAAACATTGATGTACGTCGCTCGTAATTACGGGTTTACTGCTTATTTTAACTATGCTTCATTTCCTTGACGAGTTTTATGTGTATGCAGCTGATGTTTTTTCTTGTCTGTTGAATTTTTGCTAAACAGAGTGGATAGACGCTGTGATTAATCCGTGATATTTTCGTAAATTCATGTTTGTTTCGCAAAATAGCCATCGATCGCCAGTTATATAAACGTTAATAACGCTTTCGTGTGTGACAAGTAAAAACGCAAATCTGCTTTCTTAAGAAAGTGCTTCCGGGTGGCAGAAAATACTTATCTCTTATTTAAATCGATTTTTTTCATGTTCTTGTATTGCAATTGACCAGAAAGCTTATTTGAAAAATTATATCACAATTTTAATTATCGTATTAGCACGTATTTGCGTCAACCGTTGCAAAACTGGTGACAGTAAGCTGTTGCGATTAGACTGAGTCAGATTTTACATTAATTTCGCTTCCATGATATTGTTACTGTGTTTTGATTTACTTACTTTCATTCATTTTTAAAATTTTACGAATTTGGGTTTTCTGATTTTGACTTTGTCGTTCAATGGAATTTGTTAAAGAGATTAGTGGTAGATCATTGGATTTCCGGTGTGGGATGAGTGGATATCAGATTTCCTGGCAAATATATAAAAATATGCATTCACATGCCCGTTAACGTTTGGCACACTTTTGCCGCACAGAAAAGAAACGACGTGCTTAAGTGGTGAAAGAAGTAAGCCAGTAGGAGCATTCAGGGATTTTTGGGTGAGAGAGATGACAGCCGGTGAATTGCTGTCAAGAAACACAGGAGCGGATGCGGGAGTGATCATCACGTATGGCATCGCGAATATTAGGAGTACTACTGTAGTGCAGGAAATTGCGCTGCCTCATGTTATCGCACAGCCCAAGCGTTAACACTGCATCTCGTTGAGTGTGAAAACCTTTCAGCAACTTCTCTTGTCGATAGGGAAAAAACCAAGGGAGCGCTGATTTGGAGTATGTGTACAGATTCCGTTGCGGGCAGGAATTTGTCTAGTTGAGAGGACGTTTTGTCCTTCCAGGGAAAAGTCAGCGAACGCCTTGTTTAACGCTGCTATTCAAAGAATGTTGCGGCTATGTTTGGGATTTTTGTTAGGAACTAATGAATCTATTGACACTCGTCATGTTGCAGGCTAGGTCTGTAATCATTTATTTCGCGCTGTCAGTCACTTGATATTTACATTTCATGAGTTTGGAATTTTTTTCTACCTCTGAAGCATCAGACTAATTTACAAACTTGATGAAAAATAAGATAAGGCGGCAGCAGTGCAGTAAATTGGGGTGGTAGCTAATAATTTTGACCCGAACTGAGAACATTGCAAAAAGAAGTAAGCTTACATAACTTCACTCTGCAGTCTCTTCGACCATAGAAAAAATAATACTGTAAAATAAATGTTTTTGCTATGCTTCGACTATTGATGGTATATTTGACCGCTGCGCAACATAAAGAAAGTTATAAGGCTCGTTCAGCTGTTGGTGAGGAAAGTTATATTGGATAATGATTTTTTAAATTGTGCAAATTAATTGACTTGCTAATTTTTGTTTTGGTAAGAATGCAGTCAGAACTTCTTTGCATATTTCTGTCGTAAACGATGAGTAAGCGGTGTTTTATTGTGCGTGGATCTATCGCTTCCATATTATTTGATAGGATCGTTACGAAATCTGAGTATTGTCGTAAAGTGAAGAGGAGACATTTTTGCGTGACCCGGTAGATCGGCACTTGCTTGTGCTCGCGGGGTAGATCGTGTGAAAGTAGTTTTCATTTGACCAGACCGCTCCGACTCCAATCCCGACCCAGGACGGGTTTTTTGGGCACACATGTTTTGCGTAATTGACATGCGTGAAGTTGGGACCGGCGCTCTCTCCTCCTTTTGCACATATTGCGGATCATTCAGCTGGATGTGGCACATTCTCATTTAGACCGTTATAGACCGCCATCGATTTGTCCTATTTTGCTCTTTGATTTGCTGCTGGGGAGTTGCGGAGGGGAAATTTAACGGGTTACCCAAGTTTCCTGCCTACTGATCAGCCGCAAATAACATACTGTACACTACTGTGATTTTTTACTTTCATGTCAAGTTGTCCGCATTTGTAATACGGCAGACGCTCGGCCGAAAATCAAGTATCGCAGAATGCAGAGAAGAAGGATGACGGATAGCGGTGACTGGTCAACTGGAGGGAAAAACAATGTTAGCAAAGTGGCTGGTCTAATCATGAGAACGTTTGTTGACATTTATGCGTTGTAAGAGTCAGATCGCACTATGCAAGCAATAAAAAAGTTTTACATGCATCACGCTGATCTTGTCATTGTAAACTACTGTCGGAAAGATACAGAATTCACAACACAGCACCGCTCCAGAATTTTGCGAACAAACAGTCAGCAAAATATCTGCTGCGTTTTCAGTTTGGGGAAAGAAATCGTCTTTGTTTTGTTGGTCTGTTTTTTTCAGTAAGCCACAACTGATATGCTGTGCACAAGTTTGAAAAACCGTTAACGCTGTTATGCGACATTGAATTACGAACACTACAATTACCGTTTCCGCATTATCTTACTGTTAATAATTTTAATTATGCATTGGCATTAAATTTTGGTTTTGGAAGAAAGCTACAGTAAATACATCTGCATAAGTTTCTGTGCTTTTCCTAAGGGAAATAATTTGCAGATGCTTAAAACCAAATATTAATGTTTTTATATTCATCAAAGGATAGCTTGCCATAAATTTCGATTGTATCTGGCTAAAATTTAACGAAAGCGCTCATGAATGATCGAAGAATTCGGAATCCATGAATGCCCTGATTCGAAGTGTTGCAAATAGTTGAATGCAATCGGGGATAATCTTTCACATCACGTTTGCTGAGATGGTCTATTTTTGAAAATAGTCCGGAAATATTTAAAGCCAGTCGACTTTTTAATCCATCTGGCATTATCAATTCTGAGAATGATCCAGTGGTCAGAAGAGTGATAATGTGTTTTTAATAAGGCCATCTTGACAAATTCCCCCATCTTGCATAAAAGGGAAGATGAGCCCATCAAGAAGACAATTGCCAGAACCGTTTTCCTATAGCGGTCTGTGGGGAGTATTACAGGGGGGAAATAAATAAATATTGGCCTAGATTTCAAGTCTTATCCCAGCTCTAAAATGGAAATTGACAGTCTGGCACATCTGGATGTGAATCTCTGTTTGTCTATGTTGTAGCTGTGAATACGCAGCGAGTGACGATCACGGTGCAAGATGACAACGATACACCGCCGCATTTCATCAATGCGCCGCGTCCCTTCCAAGCTGTTGTGCCCATCAATGCGCCGGAGAACTTTCCTGTCTTCCGGCTAGAGGCAATCGATCCCGATGCTAATGCCCAAATCCGCTACAAACTGACCCGCGACCAGGCCGATGGCAAGTTCACTGTCGACGAGGTCACCGGTGATATTCGGACGACGGCAGCTGGCAAACACGATATTATCCAGGTTGGTATTATTCCTACCATGTTGTTGATGGCTGAAGGCTATTGATTGAAATTGTCCACTGGTTAAAAGGGCTGTTTTTCACTTTGTGGAAGAAATGAATTGTGTTGACCAGTTGAACGTAATGTAATTATAGGATGACCGTCTTTTGGAAGCGGAATAAGTAATACTGTGAATAATGTGATGAGGGATTGTAAGATTCTTAACTGGTCGACAGTCGGCAACTAATCAATTTTTCTTACCGTGATTCGCAGCATTTGCCCTTTTGAATACAGTACAGATAATATTGCAAACTGACTGTACGGTATTTAAATAAAAAGCTTGTATGAATTGATTTTTGCAGATAAAAGTTGATAATGATGCTGAATTTTTAGTATTGTGTGCTATTCTTTATTACTCTTTTGAACATTCTTATTGTAATCGTATGGGTACTCTTTTGTCCGCATGCATATTTCAAGAGCTACCTGCAAGTAGTTACTGCAGAAAGCTGGGTTATAGAAAGTTACTGTAAAAAGAAAGCTTTTTGTAGTTATTCAATGTTGATTCATATTTTGATATTTACATTGGAATTAGGATTATGGATAGAAATATGGTTGAGCTGGAGCTTTCTCAAATTTTATTTTTGCTGTTTAAGTAGCTTTGTCACTCAGACAGTGGTTGTTTTCCAGGATCGTGAGTATGTTATTTACGTGCGTGCAGAAGACCGCAACGGAATTAATCAGAACACCGAAGACGAGCGTGTAAGCATCGTGGGCGGACGCCGACCACCACAGTTTTACGAGCAACAGTATACCGTCAATGTACCGGAAAACAAACCGCCGAAATCGAGGTAAGGTCAAGTTGCGGGGGCGTTCTCTCTTGATGGCAGTGGGTCTGTTTGGCAAATGTCCGAAGTGCTAGGCACTCTAAAACTTGTAAGATGCTCATGACTTTTTGCGCCTCACCGACCATGTCCAAACTGCTGGTTGGCTGGTGATACGTGAAGAGCCTTTTGTTTGGATGCATCGTAAAGAATTTTTATCGAGAGAAATCTGGATTCAAAATTTAGAAACAATTCTTATTAGAAGGGTTAAAATAAAAATAAACTCAACCGAAAATTTTAACTATCTGATTGATTATTAATTAAAAATCCTTTGAGGTTCTCGCTGTATTTCTGGTTAATGGTTTCCTAATATTATAATACATCACAGTATGAATTTTAAATTGTTTCGATTGTAGTATCATTTCCGTTCGGGCAAGAAGCTTTGCGGATAAGCAGATCTCCTACTCACTGGACAACGACGATTCAAATATGTTCAAAATCAATCCAACTTCCGGTGACATTACATTAGAAAAGCCATTGGATTATGATGACCCTCGACAACCCAAAACGTACTTGTTGACGCTCTTGGCTAAAGAGAGCGGTGGCATGAGCACTGCCGTTCGGCTAACGGTCAATGTTAAAGGTACATAGCCCATTCCCGGTCTGGGTTGCTTTGAATCACTGCTTTTTTGTATTTCAGATGTGAACGATAACGCACCGAAATTCGGTTTGCCAATTTATCAGGTAACATGAAACGCGCCAATTTATCAGGTAACATAACATGCTTATTTATATGCTTATTTAAAATTTTTTTAGGGATGGGTTGACGAAGATATTTCCACAGAAGCAGAAATTTTAACAGGTAATTTTGCAGCAGCTTTTCTGAAAAAGATGTGGTTTCAAATTATTTTCGCCATATTAGTGACGGCGAATGATCCTGATGAGGGTGATAATGGTTTCATCGATTACTCTATCAACGATCCAAACTTTAAAATCCGTAAAGCCGGTAACTCCGGCGTGATCTATGCTGCGAAACGATTGGATGCCGATCGGGTCAAACAGTACGAGGTAATCGTAACCGCCACGGATCGCGGATCACCGGCACGTTCCAGCACGAGTACGGTGCGCATCTTTACGTTCAACACCAACGACGAAGTTCCCACGTTTAGCCAGATGGTGTACACGGCTAGTTTGGAAGAGAACGCTCAGCCCAGTGCTGTCGTTGCCACAGTATATGCGACGGATATCGATGGGGATAAAGTTTCTTATGGCTTTGTCGGCACCGGGGCAGCGGTCGGACAATTTGTCATTGATAAAGATACCGGTATGGTTTGGAGAATAACGCGTTATACCTAGTTGTAAATACTTAGTAATTGTATTCGAGACATTTTTAACGTTTTATTCTTTCTGGTACCAGTAGGGTTTTGTGGTAAAAAATTCATACTATGACACTTTTCTTTTTTTTCAAATTCCTCCAAAGTCTAAATGGGATATTTTTCGAGCGCATTGGATAATCCGATACTACTGTTTACAAGCAGCAGTAATGACAATTAACAAAAATTTCGTTTCAAGTGATTTGAGCTGAAGCAAATCGTTACAGCGATAAATATTATCGTGATTGTTAACAACTGCTAATAAGTGGCGGGAAGTGTGTCAACAGTGCGACTTAACGCTACTTATATTTCAGGTGTGATACAGTTATGGAATCAGCCCGTTAAACTCGATTTGGACAAGTATGAGCTGAATGTGACGGCCACTGACGATGGGAGCTGTTGTAAAGCACAGAATGGTCTGCGCCACACCAGTACCGCGTTGGTCATTGTTAGTGTAACGGATGTCAATGACAACAAGCCCGTGTTTACCAATTGTTCCGATTATGAGCGCAAACGTCCGACCGTGATGGAAGAGAAGTCGCAAGGCACTTATGTCACTACGGTACAATAACTGCCGATAATAGTGTTAAATCAGAAGCTAACAAGGCAAATCCGCTGACGCGAGTGATGTCCTTTCTAGGTCCACGCTGTCGACCAGGACAGCGGGATGAACGGCAAGATAACGTATGAGATTGAGAAGGATTTCCAACAGGCCCAGCGCTTTGACATTGATCCGGAAACCGGCGTCATAACAACACGTGGCCGGTTTGACCGCGAGAGTAACCGCTATGTCAGTGTGACTGTCATTGCGAAAGACGGTGGCATGCGACCGCTGATTGGGATCTGCTCGTTTCAAGTGGAATTATTGGATGAGAACGATAATCCTCCCGTATTCGAAAGAACGCAGTATGAGACAACCGTTAGACAGGACAGGAAACGCGGACCGGTCATTGCCGTAATTGCTACTGATGCTGATGCAGGTTGGAAATATTTTTCACCGGGTTTTTTTCCGAATTATTGCGCTTGCGTTCGAAATTGAATATTGTTTGGGAATTGCCTACTCAAGGATTTTAAAAGACATTAAAACGTGCACGTCAAAAAGCTGAAATGCCGTTGTTAGCTGTCAATATGCTGTTACTGTTGCAGTTAACTTGATGCATTCGTCGTTACGTTAGCTCTGACCTTTAATTTTTATAGGTCGGAATTCCGAAATCGAATATTCTTTGGATGCTAATGATCAGCTGACCCAGAGATTATTTGGCGTCGATAAAGATACCGGGTGGATTTATCTAAAGGTACATTTATTTTTCTGTTAGAAATTATTTTGTCGCTTTTGTTCCGCGATTGATTCGAGTGTAAGTAACAAAATCTGTGCGATTTAAAAGCTGTTTGTTGGGCGAGTTTTACTGTCGAATAAGGTTTACGATTTCTTCGTAGGATTCGCTGCCGGCATCACCACGCCAGTATGAAATGACAGCGGTTGCTAGTGACAAGGGCGAACGATCTCTATCCGGGCGAGTGCCGGTGATGATTCGTGTAACAGATGTTTCATCACGACCTCCAAAATGGGTGCAAGTTCCGAAGTCAATCTCGATTAACGAAACTGTCCAACGAAATCACATTTGGTATTTGTATTTCATCGCTGCGCAAATGATCTTATGCATATTTTTCATAATTTTTGCAGTGCGACGATCAAAGCAACTTCCGAAATTCCCACTAATAAGAGAATATTTTACGAGTTACTGAACGGTAACACTCTGGATCGTAACAGGGATCAACACTTTCTGTTAAAGCGACGAAAGGACGATGCCGGCGACGATATTGCTGATCTCGTGGTGTATAAACCCTTGGATTTTGAAACCACTCCGCGGTTCAATTTGACCTTGCAAGCCAAGAATGATCTTGATCCGCAACTGGACGAAACCATCAATATTGTTGTGGATCTTATTGACCAGAACGATGAGATACCGCTGTTTGAAAGATCACCGGTGTTAACTGTCTTGGAGGATGAACCACCACTGACCATCGTTGGGCAAGTGAGAGCCAAGGATTCGGACGGAGATGCTCGATTTAGGTAGAATAGCGAAACGAAGTTGTTGTAGGAAGCCGTTAGTTGGTGGCACGGAACTGTTTTGTTTTATGCTTGGCATCTTAACTCTTGCTTCAATATAATAAGCTTAAAATAACCGATACTTCTGTATTTAGATCGATTACATATTCGATTGACCAAGATTCGTCGAATGGAGACTGGCGTTTCTTTGAGATTGACCCCAAGGAAGGGATTATTCGGACTAAAACCAGCTTTGATCGCGAGCACAAATCTAAATTCACAGTGTCCGTTGTAGCGTCTGACGGTTTCCCTTCCGCAATCCCAGGCGTTGTCGGTCCCAATACTAACAAAATTTACGTGCGAATCGAAATCGGAGACAAGAATGACAACGTACCGTTCTTCGAACAACCGCTGTACGAGGCGTCCGTTCAAGAAAGTGCACCGGTTGGCCATACAATCATGCAAGTAGTAGCCAAAGATAAAGACGAACTGAATAACCTTCGCTATCAAATCACACGCGGAAATGTGGCCGGTGTCTTTGCTGTTCAACCATCAACCGGTGTAGTATTTCTGAACGGAGAACTGGATTATGAGACGCTCAGGGATTACAACCTGGTTCTGGTCGTGTCGGATGGTGCGCATCAGAACGAGACTCGTCTTCATGTTGTGGTGCAGGATGTCAACGACATTGCGCCGGTGTTCACCAGTAAAAAATACACCACACAGATCATGGAAGAGGATGCCAGTGGCCTACCAAAAGAGCTGCAGTTCAATCCGAAAATCGAAGCTACAGATGGTGATACGGCGCGAAACGATCCGATTCGATATTCCTTGGTCGGACAAGGCGTTGGAGAAGTGTTCGTCATTCCGGACGATCGGTATGCGAAGATTTTGATCACTAAACCGCTTGATCGCGATCCACCGAAGGGAGATCCGGTGTGGACTTTCACTATTCTAGCAAAGGATGAAGATGGCAAAGGACTTACGGGTACAAAAAAAATTTTGGGAAAGCAGATCGTACTTATATGAAAAGCGGCTACTTCGCTGTTTTGCTTGATATAATGTACTGTAACTACGTGTCAAGTAAGCAAGTAACCCATGTGTATAGCTTATTTCCACTCCTTGTTCCCTAATCTGAAATTTATTTCGTAATGTGCGTCACACCACCTAGTGTTATTAGTTTGTATCCGAAAAATCTTTTCGACGCACCGGTTTCGATTCCGGTTTCTTATTTTTTATTGTGGGGTCAGTTGAATTGCACTGTTCCTGATGCACTTTCAATGCTGATTAAATGTTTCATGGAGACTGATTTCTGCAGGTTACGCTGACGTCGAGGTACGTTTGCTGGACATTAACGACAACGATCCCGTATTCCCTTCGGTAAAGACGGTGGGTGCGGTCAAGGAGAACTCGCCAGTGGGTACCCGCGTGATGACCATGTCGGCACTGGATTATGATGACCCCAACGCCGATCGTAATGCTATCGTCCGCTATGATATCCTTCGTAATGTGATGGGCGATAACGGCCAGCCCATCTTCGAGATTGATGCAGAGTCGGGCGTGGTGAAGACCGCTTGGGCTGGGTTGGACCGCGAGCGGGTGGCATCGTATCAGATTGTTGTTCGTGCAACCGATGGTGGAGGCCGCACAGGAACCGGTACAGCGACTATTGATCTGCAGGATGAAAACGACTCCCCGCCTAAGTTTCAAAGGAAACAGTACTCGCAGTCGATTGATGAAACTCCAGGGAGCATCTTGCCGAATAATGCGGTGCTGGATGTCGGAGTAAATGATGCGGATATAACCAACAACTTCGTTTATGATATTGTGAAACCGTGCGCCAAAGATGAATATGGATGCGAACACTTTTACATAAATTCAAATAGTGATGGGTCAGGATCGTTGTTTGTGCTGGCACCATTGGATTTTGAGAACGATCAACACCGTGCTGGGTTCAGGTTCAGGATTTTCGTGAATGATCGAGGCGATTTGACCAAACCAAAAGATACCGCCCAGGTGCAGATTACATTAAACGATATCAACGATAATCCACCAAAGTTTGACAAGCCAAACCAGCGCGTTGAACGCCGAGAAGATATTCGGGTAAAGCAAACTGCAGACACCAAGTTCGGTTATTGTATGAGCATTGTTTTTAATTTTTTTGGGTATTCGATGCAGGTCGGGGAGGAATTGGCAACTTTCAAAGCTACTGATGCCGATAACGATGGAAAATCGCAAGTGTCATACCGCATCAAACGATCTACTGATCCCGGACGTCAGTTCACGATCGGCCCGGAAGGCATCGTGCGTGTCCAGCAGCCACTGGATCGGGAGAAAGTTGAAACGCACTATGTTGAAATTCTGGCTGTCGATGATGGAACACCAAAACTCACGTCCACGGCCACGTTGACGGTTCACTTACTGGATGTGAACGATAATCCGCCCCAGTTCGCGGAAGACTATAATCCTGTGGTTTTCGAGAATGAACCTCCAGATCAGCTGGTTGCCGAAGTTAGCGCCATGGATCCAGACTCAGGTACGCATTCGTTGTGTGTTTTGCATCGTTTTATGCTGGTTTTGGATATCGTTACCATCGGACTATAATTACGTATTGTATATGCTAACTGTAGGAACAAATCACGGCGGGCCTTTTACGTTTTCCTTCCCTCATCCCAACAACAATCCGGCTCATAATTTTTTCCGATTGGAGCCGAAGAACTCTGGTGGTGCAAATGGCAATGGCTCGGCTATGATTTATACTACCCAGACATTCGATAGAGAAGATCGGAAGTACTATTATGTTCCCATCATCATTGAGGATGTTGGCGGAATGTCTGGAACCAGTACGCTCACGGTGACCATCGGTGATCGTAATGATAACGAAATGTTCCCGGGAAGCAAGGAGATTTTTGTATACAATTACATGGACAAAATTAATAATGTGGAAATCGGGCGTGTGCACGTGGAAGATAAAGACGACTGGGACCTGCCGGATAAACAGTTTACATGGGCCATGGGCACGGAGCCGAGTCCGTATTTCGATTTAAACAGGTGAAAAATTAATGTAATAGTTTGATGCATTGAAACTAGTATTAACAAAACTTCTGTATCTTCTGCACCCGCAGTCAGCGACGGCACTAGCATTCGGTCATAATGACTGCACAACAATAATAATATGATATTATAATATGATGAACCGTATAAAGATTTTAGCGAGCGTGGTTGAGTACGTTTCTTATGCTATATTACATCTTCGATTCACATAGGGACACTGGTATGATTACCATGAAGAGAGGAGCTACCGAAGGCCAGTATCGTTTCTCAGTGGATGTTTTGGACAAAAAATACGAGAAAAGCGTGACATCGACGGTTGTCGTCAACGTGATGAGTGTGACCGAGGAAGCAGTGGCCAAGTCTGGCTCCATACGTCTTCGAGGCATCTCAGCTGAGGATTTTATTCAGATTGGACCAGATGGAAGCTCGAAGTACGACAAATTCAAGGAGCTTGTCAAGAAGTTAACCGGTGCCAAAGTAGTGGAAATATTCTCGGTCATATCACCGGACCGGACCAAACCGCCGTATACAGATGTGCGATACTCTGCCCACGGATCACCACTGTATTCGCCGGTATTGCTGGATGGAGTGTTGGAATTGAACCGAGAAGATGTGGAAAACACGTTAGGAGTGAAGATTGATATGGTAAACCTGTAATTTACTATTCAGAGACTCTAGCATGGACCAGCTTAACATATGTCTGTATCTATGAATAACTTAGTGCTAATAATACGTTTCTGGAATATGTGGCGGATTCAGAAATGCAGGAACTTGTTTTAAGTCGGACATTAGTACGTATGCGTCAAAAATCAGTGGTTAAAATTTGTTAAAAATAAATTAATACCGTTACCCATTTATTTTTGAATTTGAAATTTTTGTAAATATTTTTTTTCAGGTTCCTATAACATTTTGTAACGATGACATCTGTGAGGAGGGCTGCACAACACTCCATTCTGTCCCTTTGGATGATGTTGCCACTTTGATAAATGCGAATAAAACTTCCCTCTTGGCCGTAACGATTAAACACGAGCGCCAGTGTGTTTGTAAAGCCACCGATTTCAGGAAACCGGAGTCGTGCGCTACACTGCAGTGCTATAATGGTGGCGTTTGTCGCGATGATTGGGAGCCCCATCCCTATTGTGAGTGTCCTGATGGCTTCGATGGACCGCGATGTCAACGAACCATGCGAAATTTTAAAGAAAATTCATTCGCATGGTTCCCTACGCTTGAACAATGTCAGGATTCGCACTTGAGTTTTGAGTTCATGACCGAAATACCGGAAGGATTGTTGGTGTATAATGGACCGATTGGAACCAAGAATGGCGCTAAGACAGATTTTCTGGCAGTAGATTTATCGAAAGGTCGTCCCAGAGTGCATCTTGACTTGGGATTCGGTAAGTTTCTCTGTTATTTTCGGAGTTGAAATTTATGACGACAGTTGATTGCTTTGTTTTCGATGTCTAATTATTAATATTTTATTTTATTTACTGCAAGACGCGCTAGTCGTACGTTTACTATGTGGCAGCAGCAGTAAAAGACGCTTCAGTTAATATTGAAATCGATTGAATAAATACCTTCGTAGTTCAGGAGCAAAGGCAGCGACTGCGAAATGTAAAGTGTAAACAGTCACTACTACTGTGATGCGGTTTTTGTCTTGTACGTTAAAATTTTTAGTTTTGGTTGCCTTAGTGGAAAATTGTTTTCTTGTGAATAAACTTGAACGGTTGTTTTCGTTTCTCGGAATTTCAGTAATGGTTTCGATCATATTACATTTGAAGCGATGTTCGTAATTCTGGAAATGCAAATGATTACAGGAACGCCATTGAAATTGGAAGTTGCAACGCGTCGACCGATCAGCGATGGATCATGGCATCGTTTGGACATCTACTGGTCTGGTCAGAGCGCACGTATCGTCGTCGACTGGTGCCGTGACTCTAACATCACCGATCCCGAGGAAACTTCTGGAACTCCCTCAAATGACCTTTCTGCTTGCGAAGCGCGCGGCCAGACGCTTGGCTTTCAGACCGGACTGAATGTCCATCAGCCGTTGCAGTTGGGCGGACTGTATGGCGTTTCCAGCTCATCCACGCCCTTTTCACAGCGGTCCTTTGAAGGCTGCATGCGGAATGTCATCTACAACGGAAATATGTACGACATGCAGTCAAGTGGACACGCTAAAGAATCTGCACCGGGCTGTGAGCCGTCGGATCGCATGTGCGGCGGCGGACCGAACGAGATATCCCGGAAGTGCATCAATGGACAGTGCATCGGGACATACTATGATTACCATTGTGAATGTTATCCGGGATTCAGGGGCGAGCAGTGTAATTTCCGGACCAAGGAGAAGTCGTTTGAGAAGCGGAGTTTTATGCGATTGGAACTGGCGTTTGACATCAACGAATACTCTAGTTCGTTGCAGCTGATGTTCCGGACCCGGAAAGCTTTCGGTCAGATATTTGCGGCGACCAGCATTAGCGGTGGAGAGTATTTGATCTTGGAGATCAGAAATCATACGCTGCATTTCCGCTACGACCTGAACCCGAATAAAAACGAGGAATACATTTTGACGTTGGGAGATTTTCCAGTGGATGATGGGCGATGGCACACTGTCAGAGTCAACCGGTAAGTTAAGACTCTTGATTGTGAACGATGAATTATTTATGTGTCGTGGAAAAAGAGGAAGTAGAAGAGTCCGTAATGTTATAAGTGACATGATACTACATCCGTTCAAAACATGTTGACTGGTGTATTTTTTATCCAAAGATTTCTCATATGCAACCAGTACAATGCGCTGAATTTCGGATTGATACACTATTAAATGTTCATTGATGTTATAGATATGGTGCGGATGCGGTGATGACCATTGACGGAGGCGACGGACGACGGTATGGAGAACTAATTTCTCCCACACCTGCATCCCATCGGAAGATGAAACTACAAAAGGAAGCTACCTTGGGGGCTCGCGTTCAGGAACGCGGCATGTCGGAATTCGAAGTGGTGTTTGACTTTGAAGGCTGTATGAACGATGTCCGCTACGACGGGGAATCCCTGCCGATGGATCACAACGAACAAAGCAACCGAGCTAGAATTCTGACGGCTGTCAACGTAACCGACAACTGTGAGTCCAAAGATCCCTGTAAGGGGTTTATCTGCCCCGATCCGATGATCTGCGTGGATCTGTGGCGGCTGGCATCGTGCCAGTGTCCACCTGGATTCAAAAAGTCCGATGACGCTAGTGACAGGTACAATTGAGATTAATAGCCATTGAAGTAGGTTTGCGTGACGATTGTGATTGTAGGAGTAACTGCGTAGATGTCAATGAATGTGAAGAGGATCCAGGGATATGTCGAAATGGTGGAACATGCCAGAACTTTATTAAAACTGACAAGACGGATCGCAGTCCCGGATATGCGTGCATGTGCCAGCCTGGTTACGTCGGGCAGAACTGCAATGCGGCGATGAAAGAGCAGCGGCTAGGGATGTCGTACGGTGCTATCATTGCGATGGTGATATCGGCAGTCGTACTTCTATGTAAGCATCGGTAACAGTTTAAATGCAGCACATGTTGCAGATTTTTTCTGTTTTTGCAGCGTTCTTTGTGTGTATCATTTTCTACACGAGAAGACGCCGGGCCTACGACGAGAAAATGGCTCTGACCATTGATCCGGATGACGACATTCGGGAAAATATTGTCTCGTACCATGATGAAGGCGCCGGTGAGGAAGATATGCAGGCGTACGATATCACGCCGCTGCGCATTCCCATCGGGCCGGGCGTGTTGCCGCATCCCGGCAAGGATGATCCCAGTCGAAAAGCCATCCTTCCGCCGGAAGGTCTCCGGCCTGGGCAGGTTCCCGGAGCCAGACGTAAGTTCCACAGTACTGTTTGTGGATTTTCTTACTGATCTTTAATAAATTTATCGTTATTTAGCCATAGTTGCGGGTGATGGTGGAATGCCTGACTTGCCGACACTCCTGCAGCAGCGCTTGCAGGAAGCCGATAACGATCCCATGGCGCCGCCATATGATGAGCTCAGATTGTACGCCTATGAAGGCGGAAACGATACTCCAGTTGATCTCAGTGACATCGAAGACCGTGACGAAGAAGAGGGCGATTATGATTATCTGAAATCTTGGGGACCAAGATTTGAGGTTAGTTTGTTAAACTGATATAAATTTTGTCGATTACACTGACGATTAATTTGCTTGTTTTGCGGCACTTCTTTCTGTGTTTTGCAAGAAAAGACACTGGTATCGCCAAGAGTTATAAATAAAGCAAACACTCAGGATTTTTTAAGATTTGGTTTTCTTTATTTTTCAGAAACTGGCCAAATTATATGCAGAAACTGCCGAGGACGATGAGAACCTATGATCCATTTTTAAAGGATTATCGGTTGATTTCTGTGACTGTCGGCTTGGTGCAAAAGCAAGCCGGCCGGTGATTGTGAACATTTCCTACTACACTGCCAAACCTTTTATAATCAGTGGATAGCCATGAGTTTTAGTCAGAGTTTTGCTCAGTTATCGTTGGGCGTTGCAAGTCAGTGTACAGTTGGACATGGGGTGGCTGCCTCGTGAGAGGCACATTGGGGGTGCTCTGTGCGACCAAGATACGTTGCATTTTTGTTGTTTTTAGTTTCTAGTACAGCCATAAGGTTGTCGGTTTCTTAGTACGAGTTCAGAATGATGCTGAGTAAATGTTTCACTTGTTTTTTGACCAAAGCCCGTGATGAGGTCTCTCCTGGTATTTTGTACGAATGTGCTCGTTAGTATCGTCTGTACTTGCATGGGTTCTGTACAGATGGCGTTTTTTGAATCCTTTGTTTGTGTATTAACAAATTTTTTTGTTTACTATGGTTGTATTGTTAACTGATCTGATTGATTAAACACTCGGAACATGGGATTTTCATGGAAGCAACAATTAGCGGAAAATTGTAGTAAAATAAGCGGTACTTCTATTTACGTAGTAGTAGTAGTACGTAGTTTCTTGACTACCAGAAAAAGCCCCAAGTGACCTTCTTCCGAATAATATTGCGTTTGTTTTGTGGAACTCAAAATCGAAGGAGAACGATCTTTTGAAAAATAGATCGCAAAAAAATTAGAAAAATACTCTGACAGATGGCAAAAATGGTTGTATCAAAAAATTCCGGGACCAAAACAAATCTGCTGCAAGAATAAGCTTAGGAGTCGTACAGATATAATGTATTATGTATAATGTAGGTATTAATTAGATGCTGCACCGTGCTTATTTCGTATTCACAGCATGTAGCGTAAAATATTACTAAATGTGGGCGTAATACAGTATGTATCACTCACAGTATCAGTATAGCAGATCTACGGTCCCCATTTTTTCATTAGTTTGCGCCTTTGTGGCGCATCAGCGGACAATGAACCTTCCGGCAGGCAAACTCATCTTACGTTTTTAGCTGTACAACGTCTAAGTCTCCGCATCACCTTGACAGTTCGAAATATTCTTTCCGGCATACAGGTTTTAGATTCCGTTATGGATATGCGCATTGAGCGACGCGAAAATAACAAAACAAACCGCAAGTCATATAAGCAGCTTTAAGTGACTTAATACACAATACTGTGTTGCGTCCATGCGCATGTCTGGTCGGAAAACTTTACCATTAGTATTGTGCTTATATTATTGTGATACTGACTGACTTCTTTTTATTTACCAGATTATTGTCTGGCAGTGACGTGTGTTTGTGAACATTTGACATTTTGACTGTATCCATTTACTGAAAAGACTTGCGACTGACAGCTGGAACCGGGAATATTCACAATTCATGCTACACATAAATTTTTCTTACCGGCACAATTCCTGTAAATTATTCGTACAACTTTTGGCGGAGGCGTTGAGTCGTTGGTTCGGTTTATTAAATCACAAGGAATGAACGTCAATTTTTGTATATGTTTATTACTAACGTTCGTATGCCTCGTGTCGGGTATCATATTATGGAATGCTCATCGCCTCCTTGAAAGGCTTCTGGCCAATGATTTTGGGAAAGCCCGCCGCTGCGTGCCAATAACCGTTCCGGCGGTGCAACGTTACCAGGATATCACAAACAGGATGCGCAATTTGGAGCAGCAAGTGCAAAGCTTACAGCAAGTATCCCACATAAGCATATACAAGTAATCACATTGCAAGATGAACCTGAAATACAAAATGTGCAGCAGCATATTTTCGTCAACAAGTATTATGCGCATTAAACAGAATCTGACCTGCTGAGATTGCCCACAAAAAGAAAGCGCAGCTAAATAATTGTATAATAATACTTGGTAGCAACATTCGCCATAACAATTAGCCGATATGCGATATGTTGTAGATAAAAATTACTTTTCCGCCATTTCGAACGCTTTGTTTCCGTTGTCATCACAGTACCAGATATTATTACAACAACTACTGTCTCTTATGTTTCTATGTCCATCTCGGTGCAGGTTCTGAAAAATTCACACGCAGTCCCCTAGTTAAGTTTTAAATTTGTTTTTAATTGTATCGATATTATATTAATAAATAGTACGCAGTTTGATATCAATAGCACGTATCGATAGTACGTAATTTGTAATTGTATACACCATGAAAATTGTGAACCATGTGTAGTACATATACTGGATAAACTGTAAGACGCATGAACATTGCAGAACATTGAATCTTTGGTGATATCCGGTGAGCGCGACCGTGTGAATAGGGGAATCTTGGAGCATATGGGCAAAATCAGAAAATTCCAAGTTGATTGGAACGACGGATTGTTTAATGCCCTGGAGCATTGGTCGGCTAAGAAAATCATTGGCGATTCACAAAGAAACGCGCTTGAAGAACTGAAAAGCTATGAAACAAATTTTCTGTTAGTTCGTGCTTTTATAGTGCAAATTGTCATAATTATTATATTTTACTCACGGTTTTCAAGCTATTTAACTGAGCACTTGCATACTCACACGATTAGTTGATATCATTATTGCGATTACAAATACAAATGTGTAGCTCGTAGTTCGGTAATGTATCGTAGGCTCGTAGCATCAGTATTTCATGTTCATGTTTTGACTTTCGGATTTCTGGGCTGCACAAACTCGTAATGATATGTTGGAATACGTAGAAAAATAATAAATCTGTATAAAAATATTTTGAATAATATCACATAGTCTGTAAAGTAAGTACTGGGGGAAAATTAGTTGATCTGTACAAGGAAGAATTATTGCTCGATGTTGCAGGCTGCTAAAGCGCTCGCTACGTTCTCTGCGAAATGTGCATGAAGGCGCACGTACTGCCGTACTACAAATGGAAACCACGAAAGTCCAAAACCGTTTGTTGGATCTTCAGGTATAAGTAGGTTATCCGTTGCAAAGCATTTCATCTTAAAAGAGTTTTGCGGGAATTCGATGACATCAGTGTCATATCACTTACCTACTTCGAAGTAGGGAAGATTTTGCAGTTCCGGCAGTTTTTGCATCTTACTGTAAGCACAGCTAGGAATATATTAATGTCGGTAGTTTCATAGGCTGTTCAGGTTACGTACGAATTCTACAGATTGTGCTGTGTGCATGTATAGATACGTAAATATTGCGCTTAATTATATATGGCAGCACTGGTAATTTGCAGCATCCGCAAAACTGTCGGAAGAAGAAGAAACTGATTTGTAATCTGAACAAAAAATGTGGATTCGGTTGCCAAATCCACCATGTCCTCATGTGTCTGGTCGCCGCAGTGGCACTGAATCGCACCATGATCTTGGTGTCCAGACCGTGGAACTACTCACCCAACGGCTGGGAGACATTTTTTCTTCCTGTTACGCACTGTCAAGAAAAGAGCTTCGATATGGACACGCTGCCGGTAATGAATGTGTCGGATCCGTTGACGCGCAGCCGGCATAAGTTGCTGCTCTATCCATTCTTTCCGGATCCTGATCCACAGTGGTTGCCCTTTGCTCTCCCCGATGATTTCCCGGGAATGGTGCACCGTGTCCACGAAAATCCCAGCTTGTGGTGGATTTCGCAAGGGCTGACGTATCTCTGGAGACTGCAGCCAAACGTCTCGGATTTGATTAGGTTGCAGGCGGGAAAGGTCACCCCTGTTACTCCTTTTGTGGGGTGAGTGCAGTGGCTGGATTTAATCTAAGCACCCTGCACTGTCACATAGAACCTCGTTACTTGTTGTATATGGCTGATGTACATATAATTATTGTATAATTATATAACCGTAAGTGCATAATGCATGGTCATATTGTAGGTTATATGGATGTTCTCATTATTAGTAGGATATTTTGCAATGTGCATATAAACAGTATTATGCATTACATCTTAAAGAATCCATGTCAGACGAACGGATAAAATTCAAGCCGAGGCCAGGATCTACGATATTTCTGAGTATGCCAAGCTAGCCGACAAGTATTGGGATGAAAACAATATCACTAGTGCCGACCAAAAGCGCGTGTATATTGCTTCAGATGATCCCAGCGTGATAAAGAATTTTCGGGAGAGGTGAATATGCTGTTAAGATTGCAAATCCATGGTGCCAGCTGCTGCTTTCAACTGCTGTGATTACTTTTGTAGATACGGGAAGAATTATACTGTTTATTGTAATGCCAATGCAAGAAAACTGAAGCGATACAGTGAGCCTTCGCTGCTTGACTTGCTATACGATGTTCACTTTTTATCCAAATCAGAGCATCTTGTTTGCACTTTTTCGTCGCTGGTAAGTCTCAAAAAATTTACAAAAGATCTTTACGACGCCACACTGCTTATGGATGCCAATAACTAATGTCAGACCTGAAGTCAACAGTACTGTTTCTTTTCGGATTAAGCAGCCCGTAAGATTGCACTTGTTTTTGCAGATTTGCAAAATGGCGTATGAACTGAAGCAAACTTCTCGAGATGAATATAAATCCTTTGATTCATTGGATCACCATTACTGGCTACCGGGATCCGGAGGACGATTTTACTCAACAACTATGGATAACATCAAAGATTTACACTTTAGAAAAGGCGATATGCTGTTTGATGTTCGCTCTTTAAAGAACGGTTTTGCAGTTGGTAGCAATATGCGTACAAAACTCAATGGCACTTTTCCATTTCATAAAGTAGAGGAATTGTTTTATAAAGGAAACTATACTTTGTTTTAATATGCGGAGATATATGAACGACACAACTAAAAGGCTTCCCCCGGTTTCGCTAGTTCTTACTATTTTTAATAAGATAAAGCGATCTGATTCCTCCAGATGTTTGTAAATTAAGTCGGTGGCCTTTGTTATTTCAGCCAGAGCAGCAATAGTTTTATTTTTTATTTCACCGTTTTCCCAGGAACATATGAGTGAACACGAATCTTCCCATCGCATTTCGCAGCCACACACAACCCACAACAGACCCGACAGAAAACAACAGCCAATCACGTGCTGGACAGATGGTTGACAAAAACGCTAATGACGCTGGCGTAACCAGTTGGCACTGCCGGCTAGTTAAGCGGATTACACGTATGCATGCATACCAGAGAGTTTTTGTCATTAATACAATAATGCAGCACACAAAAACAACCAAACACAGACAACATCTCTCGGAAGGCGGTGCGCTGGGGGAAAAGGAAGGAAAAAACGTGTTTATATAACAAGGCAGGAAATTAATCATGTCGTCCAGGTGCACTGTAGGCGTGTGTGCCGCTCAGTGTGCACATTGACATACACGCGCGCTAATGCGGATACGTCGAGCCGTTCAACTAGTTTTTGTAATTGTGTTTTTGTAGAAAATCTCTTGGCAAAGGAAGTACGAAACGTGTTTGGGAGGGCAGTGTTTTACCACATCACACCGGTGTTGATGAAGGAGTTGGGATCCTCTTTGGACTGCGAGAGACCGGATAGGCTGCTGCCAAATATGACATGACCAAAGTCCAGCTACAAAAAGGCCGACCATTTATTCATCACGTGTGCCGAAACTTGAAAGCAATCACCCGGGATGTGCATTCTGCATACCTTATAGTCAGCGCAATATACTGCAAGAGCTTTGTAGTCTGAAAGTTTGGTTCCGGGGTTCAGTCGGATAATGATGTCCTTGTTAACGTATTCCAACAGACCGTCATTGCTGGTTCCCCATTCGTCAGCCAAGACTTCCAGGGGATCTTGGATCAATTCGGTTTTGGAAAGAACAAATTTACCGTCTGTAAAAAAATTAGTGTCACGGACAACAATTCCGCACAACCGACCACGGACATTTTATGACCTTTCGACTTTAGGTTACAGGCCGTGATAGAGCTGATACACCTATACCGTACATAATTAGGCTTGGCTTGTTTTAAATGACCTTTACCTGGGCTGGTTCCGTCATAGGAGAATCCCTTAATAAACAGCGTTGTATCATCCAGAGCGTACACCTCACCGGAAACGTTGTGCATGAGTGTGCGGAAGGAGCCGAGTTTGGAGGCGCCGGCCAGATTGGCTTTGGCCCACATAAGCGGGTACGTGGGCTTCTTCATGGACTGGGTGGGGAAGAAGACGTGGCCAAAGTCCAGCTTGTACTTGGCGCAGTAGATGCTCAAGCCCTTGAAGTCGTCCAGGCTGGTGCCGTGGTTCAAGTTGACGAAGATGTCACGGTTGTTGTACTTGCGGAGGGGTCCCTTGTTGGTGCGCTCATCCCCAATGATTTCCACTGGTTCAGCCACGACGCCGGGTTTCTGAGTGAGAACGAACTGACCATCTGCAAAGAAGCTGGTATTGCAATATATATTTTTTAACAATTATAAATTATTGTTTAGGCGCCGGAAGCTGATAGGTATTTCATAGAATAACTTCGTCAGAAAAGGGCAGCGTTTTAATGAAAACATTTTGAAAAACGTAAGCACAACCAAGATTCATCTTCTGCAACTGGTATTTGCTTGTTCAGTGCTGATGATCAATGGTTGTTATTGGTGAAGAGATCAACAAAACACTAATAAACAATCAAATCATTAATCAGCAATTCATGTACATATAAAGTATTTTTATACTCATCGGCGCCGGTTACTGTGATTTATACCGGCAATCAAACATGATTTGCTGGAAATTGATATGAATCACGATTACAGATTTGTTGACAAAGTCAGGGAGAAATATAGCATACCTGGGCTCATGCCGTCGTAGGTGAAGCGGGTAATCAAGATGGTTTTATCATCAATTTTGAAAACGTTGCCCCCAACGTTATGGCTGTTGTTCACCAACGGACCAAGGAAAATCGGGCGTTCGGACGATTTCTTGGCACCACGAGGAATGCGCATTTTGAGCGGGAAGTCAACGTTGCCGAAATTAAGCTGTAAAGCGTTGTAATTAAACGTTATGTTAATTACTGCAGTCATACGATTAAATTTATTCTCTTACATGTTGTTAAAATATTTTGAAGGCTTAGCTACATATCATAACTAAAAGGGCAGATTTTTGAATTAGTTTAAGTACTGTCCTGGGAAAAGAGGTTTCGAAACAGATATTTGTGTTGTGTTATGCTAATTACGCATTAAATCACTCGCTTTACTCATGACTGTGAACACATAAATCTCACTGGTTTAATAACTGTTGATATTATTATGCATGCGGATCTATGTGACTAGATTTATTGCAAAAGAAAGAAAAGAAAAATGAGCTGACGGAAGTCGATGACTGGATTAATGGTGATTTTACTGCCGGTAATTTCTCATCACATTAATGAATAATTTGCTCGTTTAGTTTTTCCACCGGAAAGAACAATTCGTCTATTGATCTACTCACTTTCACTGCAAAGTGTCATCAGCCAAGAAGATTGCATTAATTAACCCGAAAATTATTGTCTTATACCCTTGAACCCGTAACCTAGCTGCATGATGACCAGATAAAATTTGACGTTTGCTCGGCATTAAATTATCATTACAGCATAATTATTGGCTTTTACAATTTTGAACTGCACTTATATGGATGTAAGTAGTACACATCGTTGAAGTTTTAAGAAAAATTGTTTTCGTGTGTCAATCTATTGCACTAATTATTAAAATTTAACTTGAATACTTACGTTGTACTTGCCACAGTAGACAGCAAAGCCGCGGAAGTGCGAGATTTTCTTTCCGGCTTTGATTCTAAGAATGACATCCATATCGCGGTAGGTGACCAATGGATTATCCGTACCGTCTTCATCGTCAATGATTTCGCTGGTACCGTTGATATTCTTTCCATCATGGTAAAGAACGAACTGACCATCTAAATATGTTCAATAAATTTTAAACACGATCATAAAAATCATAAAACGACCAGACTGTCTGCTATTGTCTTGTATGCAATTATGTAAGGTCATCGGTTACGTAATTGACAGGGAAAAAATTGTAGGTGTCACTTTAAAGTTAAAAGTGTAAAAGGTCAAATACATTCGCGCGCATCTACATATGCCGCATACTAATCACCGGTCAGGTTGTGGCCGTCGCGTACGTACGCACGTTACTGTCGCCACGAACGAGCAAAATTGAGCGGGAAATTCTTTTTTCTTAGCGGTAGTGTATTCGTTAAGTAGAGTTGATTATGTTTTCAATAAATATGTGTACATGTTTTCTGGTTCAACATGTCAACGGTGTGTTGGTATGGACGAGGAGAGCGAGATGTATGTAGAACAACAAACCTTCACTTAATCCGTCGTAATTGAAACCTTTGAGTAGCAGAGTTCGTTCATCAATGGCGAACACTTCACCGGATACATGGTGGACGGTGTTAGCGAGTTTGCCCAGTGAGACCATGCTGCGCACGAACGGTTTGGGGAATTTGTTGAATGTCACCATTCCGTAAGCTTGCTGTAAAGACAAGGAACCTGTTATTCTTAATTACCGATTTGAAAGTAGTGAACGATGCTGCTACTATTCATTTTTTAAGTTTTTAAAATGTCTTCACTTTTAACCCTCATTCGCCTTAGAAATTAGAGAACTGTGTGATTTTAATAAAGCGACGATGCGTTGAAAAAAGGCGGAAGTCACCAAATGCAATGCTGTTAGCGAGGTTATGTAACAAATCGGAAAAATTAGCTGTTTACAAAAGAAAGAGAAAGTGAAACGTGTTTCTCAAGTGGTATCCCCGTAAGCAAAAGAGGTTTCTCTGAATTTTTCCTGCATGCCTTCATGCCATACCAAGACTAAGTGCCGCTAATCGCAATAATTAGCATTGTTTGTGGGCATGTCATTCATTTTCGCAAAAACGCCGGTGCTTACTGTTAGCTGAAATAAATTCATTCATAAGACGCCGACGAATTTCTCACGATACAAAAGTACATTTTTAAATTAAATTTTAAACAGCTTTTGCAGTCGGAGTGCCTTCGTTTTCTGTTTCAAAATGCTAACACATGCTGCAACTGCAGTGATTTCTTGGTTTGTGAAATTAGTGATAATAATTAAAATTTATCTGATATGCTTACCGAGCATTTCTGGCAGTAGACGCCGAAGGATTTATAATCGGCAATGGTTTTGCCGGGATTAAGTCGCAATCGGATGTCTTCGTTCATGTACGTGGCCAGGCTCTGCCGGCTGCCCACTTCGTCAGCAATGTACTCTAGCGGTTCTTCCAGGTTTTCTCCCTTGGACATAACAAAAAATCCGTCATCCGTCTCGCCATCATAGACAAAGGATTTGATCAAAAGGGTGTGGTCATCTTCGGCGAACACTTCCCCGTTGACACCGTGCGCCAGTGTGTCCAGGGTGCCGAGCCATGTACTGGGATCATCGGCATGTACCGCTAATATTAATGCACCTGCACACACATGCATTTACAACAACCGTATCAAAATCATGCGCAAATGCAAAGCAAATAAACAAAATATACGATAATTAAATTTTACCAACAAGCTCATTCAGCGCGACAACAAAAATAGGCATTCTGCCTATTTTTGTTGTCGCATAGGCGCATAAAAATAGGCATTCTGCCTATTCCCTTAAACTGCCAGTAAAAATATTAGTCAGTACCAATATTTATATATGCAAACATTGTCAGATATTTGTTAATTAGTATAAATGGACATTACCTAGACTGAAGAGTGTGGCGAGCATGGTTGCAGGTAATGGATAATTTCACCAGTGTGCTTCTACCGAAACTGTATCGCGGCCGGTGTAAGCACAAAAGAAAGAAGAACAATGCGTCGAAAAGTGAAATGAGTCTGAGTGAATGCAGTGCGGTGTGTGAGATTTTTATATTAAATATGCCTTTCACTTTTTTGCCCACTTAGAATGATTCAGCCCTGCAAGACAATTGCAATGCCAGGCAGAGAAAAGAATTTCGTAATTACAAACATAACACCTGTGAGTGAAAGAACGTCGCCCGCGGCCACATCAGTGCTGCCAGTAGCGACGAACCCGGCAATTTCAACCCTCAATATGCATCAAATGTTTTCGCGGTTGATATGCTACATCATTTTGCAAATTCACGGCTTTGGCAGTTTTTAAATTATTTATACCTAATTAGTTTGGCCATTGTTATTTGACGAACTATCTCGACGTTCTGCAATGGTAGCGTTAAAATCGAAACTCAAACCTGAAATACCAAAACGAGAAAATAGGCAGTGTCAGTGAATGCAGCATGAAATTATCTTTGCAATGTTCTGGCAGAGCAAAATATTACATTTTCAATAAATAATTCATAATATTATTTTTAGATTTAATTCCCTAAGCTGTGGCATGCTTATCCATCATTTCACACATCGTCTGCCTCAGTACACACAATCATCACATTATTTTAGCAACCACCGTAAGTTCTGGTAACTGCAAGTTCTCGTAACATTTTAGTTTTATAGTCAATAGTTTAATATTACTGATTAGCAGTATTCACAGTTATTAGTGGTTAATAGTGTAGGCGTAAACGGTTACATGATTGTGGTTTATTTCGGAGACGAATACAGCGAAAGTTTTGCTCCAAATCGTGTGGGATGTATACGTATGCATTAGTTGTGCTGATTTCACAACCATTTTGAGTGGGTATAAATGATAATTATTTTCACAATATAATTTTTTGAGCCCCTAACCGCAGTCCCACAACATACGTAATACAATCGGATGCGCTCACAAGCGGCAGCCGCATGTAATTAAAGTATATTGAAAAATTATACATAACGCGAGCTGGCCTCCTCATATTGCCAGTGGTCTTACAAAATCTCTTTACGAAATTTTCATGCATTGTAAAATATGGACCCAAAACCAACCACAGTTTAGAACTTAATTTAAATTATGCATAAATGCAGAGGCGGTATGTTTGGTTTTCCATGATACTGCAGCGTGGGAATTTCATAATCATATGTCGGCTACAGTCGCATGGAATTCAAGTTCAATATCTGCTTTGCTTGTCGCGTCGATTATGAAACTCGGTAAAAAGTCAATAACACACAATCAAGCGTGCTAATTGCATACCTCAACCGACAAACATTTTAAACCGTTATGTAAAGCGACTGCTTGATAAGTTCCGTAAAAACCGCAAAAATTAATCAGCCATAAATGTATTACCGCATCGGGCATTGGCAGGCGCAGATGCGTTTCAGACCATTCAGAACTCTGTCCAATTCACAATTAACCCATTTGTTAACGCAGACAGCGAGCTAATTTTTTGAGCAGAATAACAAGGAAGTTTTTAGGAAATTTTCCCGCTGCTTACGCCAACTGGACCAGTGTTTCATTGCTTGGCGACATATGCTAACAGGGGTTAGTGTAACAAATTGCAGAACGTTTCTATATAATGTATCGTTTCATCATTTATCAAAATATATTTTTGTTACATTGTCCGAAACGGAAGTTAAAATGGATGACAGTTTGTTGTCGACAAAATCTACACCGCGTAGTACCAACAAATGTCAAATTACTCAGTAGTTTATGCTGGCTTGATCAAATTTAACAGTTTCTCGAGTAAACTAACCTACAAGACAGTTTGCATATTTGTAAGAAGTATCAATTTTTTTGATTTTCTTAGAGGTGTTTCCTTAAATGTTGGAAAATATTTTAGCTGATTTGTCGTAATGGGACATCGTCAACCCACCCAAATTTTTTTAAGCAATTAATCTTTTGGATGTCTAACGAGTTTTCTGCGATTATTTACGGTTCTTTTCTTTACATATCATAGACGTTTCGTGCGCTATCGTGCTGTGACTTTGAATACCAAAAATCTTTTAAAAGCTATATTTAGAACAAAAAACGCACATTCCTGTGCAAGCCCCTCTCATCGGTTTCGCACATTGTTGTTAACCGTGTACTAGGGTTGCTGTGCATAAACATGCGAACCGGCACTGTGTGCGGCAAAAAAGAGAGTTGTTTGCAATCATTCTTTTATGTTGCAGATGGGAAATTGATTAATATGCATGACACTTAGTGCAGTCAGGTAGTAATTAACGTAAATGAAAGCACCAACATGTATCACGTGCAGTACGTGCCGGTTGCAGCAGTCGCAGACGTTATGTTTTTGCATGTATTTCATCAATACGTTTGATACAACTTGTCATCAGGGTCGCACTTGCCGTGCACACAAACGTTCCATGTGAAACCACATCAACTTTTATTTAAATTAAAAGTATTTACGTATGAACAGTAAGCGCTCGAGTTTGTGCGTAGAACTTAATTAGGTCTGTAAAATTGCAATAAATGCACGATATCATCATTTTATATCATCGGACTATGTAAATGCAATGAGCTGTTGTTAAAAACAGGGATCCGTGTCTGTGCATTTTGTTCAAATTTGTGTTCAATTAGGACTGACGGACTCGGCGCGGTTCGGTGTGAGTATTTACGCGCTGGGTTGACAACAGTCGTAATCATGGTGAGTAATTAAAACAATGCGCAATATTCATTCCATTAATAAATAGCGCGCGCGAAATCGAGCTCATCCATTATATATTAATTTATCAATGCGTACTTTGTGAGCGTAGTTTAGCGTACTTTGCAATGCGTAGTTTAGCCTAAAATCATACTATTTTTTTCCAACAGGGGCTAAAATCAAGTATACCCGGAAGTAAGCATCTACAAAAAAACATCCCGTTATATGTATATTAAATGACGTTATACAAGAATGCACGGAGTGGGCAGACATTTTTGAAACTTTGCAGTACCAACAATTATGTACGTACGCAGTGTTCAAAAAGGTCAAAGCCGGGTCAAGAAAAAGCACTGCTCATATATTTCAATCACAAAAGAGCAGGATCTTTTATTCTCCTCGTTTTCCGCCTTCTGTCATTTTCGAATATTCTGGGTAACTTGTCAGTTTTGAAGACCGTTTTTAAAAATACTGCTTACCATTGGAATCCATAACGCACACCCAGCGCAGTAAAGTATTTGCCTAATTTAAAAAAATATAAAAACTACTGTAATTCTTCTGCTTTTGTTGTTGTAATTTTAAAAATGTCATCGCAGCTTTTATTATATATTTTATTGTTATCCTGGATGAAATACTTAATTTGTGACCGCTTTGACGAAGCACTGCGGCTGAATTTAATTGGTAAGCTAAATATTATTATTGTCTATATTCACTTCAGTTACACATTATTGTATAATGATCTTGTTTTATTGCAAATTTTGCAAACAGCACCAAATGATTTGAAGCTTACTTGAGGCCGTATTACATTATTCACACAATCGTACTCGTATTATGCATGATTTGATGCATTTCAACTTGTCCAATCATTGAACGCCATCATTTATGATCTGCCTTATTAGAATACAACATAAAGACTTTCCAATTATCTTTCTAATTTGCAATGAGCGCAGCAAAGTGCTATAGTCAAGGTGATGCCGATGGCCCAGATTTGTCCAACATCTCGAAGAGCGTCACGTTATCCAATATTCTCTTTCCAGTGCTACTGGAATTCACTCTGTGGTTAACTAGTACTTGCTAGTTTCAACCAAAGTGAGCTACTCACAATTTATTGTAAGTTTCTTACAACCTTGTAAATGATATTTTGCAGTGGAGGCCGACAGATACACCGGCAGTAACGACCAGCTTCAGAAGCAGGATAGTACTAACCCGGGCTCAAACGGTAAACATTACACGAAATCTTGACGAAATTTCAGTGTCTTGAAGTATTTTACACAAAACGGATTGTGTTAATCGTAGCAGTAGTAAGTGTACGGCAAATGCGATTGTATATTCTTGTTGTTGCATACGTATGTATTGTTTTATAATTTACGAGTGTAGTAGCTAAACAGCCTAAACTTATCCAATTGCACATCACAAAAATTCATAAAGACGTACATCAAAACAGAATGCCTGAGTTTAATAAAAAATAACAATTAAGAACGTCTCGAAGTGATATATAGACAAGGAATACAGAATTACATCAATCATGCTTTATGTTCACAGTTAATGCAGAGGAACACAACGGTAAGCTGCGGGGATTATGAAAAAAATTCGATTTGCATGCTTCGTTTATAATGTTAGTCATTATTTCAGACCATTTACTCAATTTCGAAAAATCCGTCCTAGAAGGCGATATACTGGTAGCGCCGCATCAATGGAACAACAGTTCCCTAAAGGTGAGCGCTTAGAATAAAAGTACAAGTACTAGTACTGCGCAGTGTCCTGATATAGCTGAAAAAAGATTGCTTCTAACGTAGATCTCGAGCTAAGTAAATCTTACTAGTCCTCGACAGTATATTAGAGCTTACAAGTTAGTACGAGATCTTTCACAGTTTGGCTGACTTATATTACATATTTCCGCTTCTGCATACTTACACATTTCCGCTTCTCGAAGGTTGCCAAATGGCCGAACGGTATCATACCCTTTATGATTGACCCCAAAGCCGAGTTTAGCCGCCATGAACGTATTCTCATTCACGATGCCATGCTGGAATTCCACCAGTTTACCTGCATCCGCTTTGTTCTCCGAACAACCCAAAAAGACTATTTGCACATCTCGAGCAATTCCAGAAGAGGATGTGCTTCATTCGTCGGAAAGATTGGAGGCGAACAGAAAATGCACTTGGAATCTTCCAAATGTGTGCAGGTCAGCGGGACTATTCTACATCAGCTGATGCATACACTTGGGTAAGGTTCTATTAACGATAGATACAACACTAATTGCACAATGACATTACATAGCTTGAGCCAGCTAATATATGCACAAATTATGGCAAAAATCAAACCAGTATGATGGCACCTAAGCTCGGTTATTCTTATTATATAAATACTTATCTAATTTCTGTGCTTTTAGGTTTTTGCATGAACATTCCCGAGCCGATCGAGATACGTACGTGGACGTAGACTGGAACCATGTCGCTTGCATCGGTAAGAATGACCCTGAATCGCTTTTTCACATCGACAAGAAAATGTTGATCTGCACGATTTTAAAATCAAAAACGTTTTAGCCGATGATCGGTCATGTGGCATTACTGCGAATACATTGAGCGACAGTCCGGAATCGGCTAACTCTCCGTACGATTATGATTCGATCATGCATTATTCGTCAACGGCATTTAGCAAGGATGCAGCCGCTGGTTTAGCGACAATAATTCCCCGCCACACCTCGTCCGCTCGTATTGGCCAACGGAAGCAGTTAAGTTCAGGTGACATCGCCAAGGTCAACAGCGCATATAACTGCCAAGCAAATCTAAAAGTTTCGACCAAATTTGTCGACCGACTTGTTCCCGAAAAGCCACTGGAACAAGTATTTAGCCAAATGCAGGAATACTCCCAAGCGAAGGATAACAATCTTCTTTGCCAAGGATCATTGGATTTTATGCCAACGTTTGGCCTCAAAACAAAGAACAGCATTTACATTGGAAATGGTAATGCTCAGGCTGTGTGCTTGTTGGTATTAATGTTAGCCATTTAGCATCTACTCGTACGGCATCAGTATATACAACGACATTTGTTGCCATCAACAGGAAACAAAATTTGGGAAGTGGTCGAGGGAGTGTATAATGGCTCCACCGTTTTTTTCCCAAAGAACGTCGCATCGGATACTATTCAAAAACGGTTCCATGAGTTGCTTCCCAAGGATATCGACAGTGCTGCGGAAATAAACAGCGATGTATACTTTTTCAAGGTACATTCTTGCGTGACCTTTGGTAGTTTTTGAAATCATGTTGGCGCTTCATAGAGGATGCAATGTAAGCAAGAGATTAATGGGAAACAATTTGCAGAATGCATCAGTTTGGATTTTATCCGGCCAAGGCGACAAACAGCTGCTTGACACAGCTCCGGTTTCACAGGTGTTTCCTGGCGTGCCGCTACCGATTAAGGGCGTGTTTAAAAGCTCGAACATTCTTAGTTTTTCCAACGGTAACTAACCTCAAGACACAGACCTATAGGATTAGAACAATGCAATATTTTGCTTGTTCGTGTTTCAGGGTCCTCGATAGTTCGGTATGACCTTATTTCGGATCGATTACAGCCGAAGACTCCATTCAATTTACTGGTGATTGTTAGCTGTTTTCCTCGGTGTCTAGAATAGGTTGTTTCACAATGCGATGATATTGCAACAGAATCAGCACACCGGATGGCCCACCGAAGTAAATTCCTTTTTCGATATTGGAAGGAATCGACTGCTTATTTTCACCCACAATAAGGTGTACCTGACTAAACAAAATGGCTTTCCAGTAAGCAGAACATCAGTTCCAGAGCCTGTTGTATATTGCTCGAATACAACCCTACCTTTTATAGATGGACTACGGATATCCGAAAACTTTTAAGGAAACATTTTGCACCGCATAAGCGTTGCAGATTTTTGACTAAAGAAGTTTTGAACTGCTTTTTTGTGTGGTATAACCTTGTACAAATAAAGACGTTTTATTAGCGTATTTTAATTTTCAGTTATTACTCCTTGAATGGCTATATTTTGTCGTGCTTGATAACTATCTTTGAAACGCATTTTAAGTACTTCTATACGTAACTCAAACTTCTCAAATTTTTAATACGTATTTTGTGAGATGATTCTGCCATCGCGCAGCAGATGAGAGCTTTTGTTCACTGGCATTGTATGCACCGAATAAAGATTAACAGATTTCTCTGCCATCACAGTCAAAAATAAATTATCACCCTAAAAAACACCCTTTGCGAGTCAAGAGAGCGCCCTAGTGCATGGAAGTTGATTTTGTATTGAATGAGCCACGATCGCGTCGACCGGCGCGCTTGCCCTTTTCCTCCAACAGTTCATTCTTCTCCTTCGCCAATTTCTGTATCTGTAGTCGCAGATCACATTCCGCTGACTGCCACATTTTAATCAGATCCTGCTTGCTAATATCCTCAATATCCACATCATCCCAGTCCCGTAGTGAAGTGTACGGATAGTGTTCGTCCAAAGGTGACGCGGCCTTATTGGCCGGTGCTGCTGCCGCCAGGGGCGTGGTCGGGCTACTGGTTTCGTCGTCCGACATGCTATTGGTCGCCGCGTCCCGGGTCACCCACACCGATTTCTTCGGTGCATCTGATGGTGTAATACTGGCTTGTTTCTCCGCTGGCTTCCGCGGTATTTCTTTAAGGATATTGATGGCGCTGGTGGAAGCTTTGGACGCGTCTTTTAGTGAACCCACGCTGATCGTCGCTTTCTTGATGGATTTCTGGAAATCCGGGAAGGAGCGGATGATGTTATCATCTTCGGTTTCCGATGAGCCCGTTTGGACATGTTCTTGCCGGCTGAGTTTCTTGGATAAGATGGAAGGTTTTTTCCGTTCGGCGTTTTTCACAACGTTCTCGCTGTCAATGTGGCGGAGCTGCTGCAAAAGGTCACCGTTTTGTGGGGTTTTGGAGGTCGGCTGGGCGTCGGCGAGGATGTCGTCGGTTTCCGTGGACGACTGGGCGGGAAGGGTTTCGCGAAGATTGCGCGTCAGCTCATGGATGGTCTCGAAGAAGTTTTCGGCGTTGCGGGTGCGCTTTTGCTGCAATTCTTCCTCCTTGGCGCGCTTCTTGACACTCTTTTGAAACATTCCAATAAACTAGACAGAAAATAAAACGTTTATATGAAACATTCTCTGACCACTTAAGTATAACTTTGCAGTTAAGCGTAACTTCTGGTACGCACAGCTCTACGATTCACTGTCGTTGATCGAATCTTGGACTATGTTTAACCGCATCGCATAATTATCTGAATTCGATGACTTGGTGTTTACCTGTCCTTGTTTGAGCGAAGAAGCAAATTCTTTGGCACTGGAATTGGGCGACACCAAATCCACGCAGTTGATGAAGCGATAAAGCTTTTGCGAAAAAAACATCACATGTCGGCTACGCCAAATACTGTTCTTGGGAGAGCGTCTCAGACGCGGAAGACAGCGATACACAACGTGCTCCAATCCCAGAATGAGAATGCCCACCGCACCGCCGGTGGCCAACAAGACAAAGACACCCGCGAAATCCTCTAAACCCAAGGCACGCGGCTCCAGCTGGTCGATTGTGGCTTCGGATCGCAAACTGCACGGTAGTCCACCAAACCTGTCAAAACCAGAAACATATACTGCAAAAGAGTTTCAAATTTTAATACAATAAAACCTAACTATTCTGAAATTGAATGAAATTTTTCACTCGCAGTTTATGCATGTAATAAATGTGTGGATGGAACGTCAGTCGTTGCGTGCTGGATACACATTTGCAAAAATGTTGTCATTGTTGTGCTTGGCCTTAAAATAATTTATGTAGTCACTCAGGTGTTAGCAAACGAACGTTAGTTGTTTACAGATGTATCGATTAGATTTTGTAAAGTAATAATATGTACTGCTATTGTCAAAAAGGTATATATATATATATATATGTATATATATATATATACAGTATTTACCATTTCCGATTAAGGTCATCCACAAATCCATTCTCCATGTACTACAAAGGATTCGCGTCAAATTAACCGAGCACTGAATTTTTGGTTGAAGGTTATTGCAGATCTTTACCTTGAGGATTGCCATGCTGACTGATGTCTGAAAGTACCAGCAACAGGGGTAATTATTATTCGTGCAAGAAAACATCACAAGAAATTATTAGCAACAAATACTTTTTTTACCCTAAGCCATGAACCCTTTGGAAACGCCACAGCATATCCCAAACTACCAAACGCAGCTCCGGCAGTATTCAGAGAGCAGTTTTTATCATTGGCTTGCACGTAGTCCAGAAGAGCTGCGTCGTAAATGAATGCATCCAGGCTTCCATTTCTGTGTGAGACCATAAGCAAATTGTTAGGTCAACTATCCACGCCACGGCATCCCGGTTACAATTGGTAATTGCTTATATTCTGCTAATTGTACTTGAGCTTTTCCACTGCCTCCTCGACTGTTTCCACGAAATATCGATGTTGTTTCATGTGCGCATGTAATCTAGTTAAATCCGACAATTCTTGCTCCCAGTATTTAGAAATACTGAAAAACTTTACAAGACTTACTGTGCATTAATATTTTTGATAAATATTTCAGCAGAACTTCCTTTTATAGTTGCGACTTTCCTTGCTAACAAATCCTAGAATAAAGAATATTTGCCCTCACTATGTTCCTTGAACGAATTGGTTTTCTATGTGAACACAGAGTAAATTACCTACTTCGTTGTCGAAGATATTATCGAAATTCGGTTTATTGCTTAGTCCAGCGTATATTGCGGCATGGTTTGCTGTGTAACTGAAACACCAGCGTTGCAGAGTTTTCCAGTGATAGACACGTACTTGAAATGTACAATAAACATGTTAACAGCTTTTGTTACCTTGCTAGAATGATGAAACAAAAACTCCCCCAGAAATTAATTAGCACTGAAAATAAAGAAAGCATTACGTTTAATATATCAGTTAGCAACATCGTAAATTTATAATAGCATTCTGTATGTATGTATATAATAGCATTTATAATGATAACTTGTTATACCTTTGTTTGGCCATGACTTTGGTGCCTTGAAAGCCATAACGTGGCTAAAGAATAAACTGTAAACCGTTGTCAGAGCCGTAGCTAATGTAAAATTCTGACTCCTCATTCTTCCGGTTGGATTTAATCCGAATGGACTTATCTGCAATTTATTACAACGATGCATTTCACCAAAATTCTGTTGGCTATCCTCACATGCATCAGAATCATCAATAAATGTATTTTTTATCCGTTGGCTATACTCACATGCATCAGAATCGGTATTACGCGTAAACATGCCGTGTATAATAAGCACAGAACTATTACTTTTCGTTTATTACCAGCTTTAAGTTTAAAAGTGGTTGATTTTATTATACCCATTCAAATATTGCGGCAGCAATCGCAGTGGCATGTAGAGCAGAAAAGATGGCAATCCATAATTTCCAACTGAACGGCTCAAGGAATGCCGATAATTTGACTTTGGCTTTTGTTGTGGCTACCAGGAAAGAGAATTTGGAATAATAAAAGGGACTGGAGAAGTCCACCGAGTGTTTGCGGTGGGTGGTGACACTGATTGGCCCAATGCCCATGTGGGCGGCACCGGACACTACGTCGCCGACGATGCCGTCCCACATGTTGGAGTGCTCGGCCAGCGTCCCGTCCTTTCCGTCCGCCACGATGTACGTGTCAAAGTCAAAGCCAACATCCCGGCTGAGGGCCTAAAAGGAACTGATTTAACAAAAAATTTCGCTGATTTTTGATGCGTTCAGATTTCCGGTGCCTAGAATAATGTCTAATACGTTTGTGAATACTGTAATCCCGCCTGTACAAGTATATACATTACGTTCTAACGAACTTCTAATATATTGTATTAGAAGTTCTAACGAACTTCTAAATATTCTAACGAACTTCTAAATATTTTGTAACAGATATTTTTGCATATACAACTTGTTGTATACTTGTAGTAACTCCATTGCCAAGCCTTTGCAACACGAGAAATTATATCGTCCTTCGCTGTTCTGCAGACCGTTCTCGAATTCAGCAAATATATCCCTAAGGTCATCCTTGTTCTTGGTAGCACCAGCAACGTTACCATTCACCACCGTCACGTAATTCCGTCGCAGACATCATCCTCAATGGTAAACGGATGACTTATTCCTTAACGTAGACAGTTTTTCTTAGCGGTTGATTTATATACAAAATATACGAACTCTTACTAGTCACAACACGCAGATGACCCCGGGACTCGGTCAGCGCACCGGCCATACGTTCGGTCGCCGCCCATGCTACTGCAGCGGGTGTCTGCAGACCGACGGATGTGATGTTGCCGATGCGTCTCCAACGATGGCGCGTTTTTGCCTGTATCAGCCCCATAATCTCAAACGACACCCGGTCTCTTTCAGTGAATGCCTTCTGCATGGACAACTGAATTTCACTGCAAATCGCAAAAACATTTCAGCAAGATAGTTTGCTTTCTTAGGTCAGATTACAGCGGACAATGACTGAACCGGTTAAGTTTTGATTTAGCGTATTTACTACGTAGTACGTAGCTGTATGTACAGATACCCGTTATCACTGCCCCGACAAGGAAGTTGAATAAAAATAACACATGCAGCCCTAATCAGTGCCCTACGTAGCTTTCATTTTGTAGTACAACAGAAGCACGGTTAAATCACTTGAAATGTAAGAACTTTATCTATTTAAAAATATAAAAATAAATTAAGGCGAAATTAATCAATCTGAATTGCATTACCAACAAAAAAACAATTTTTACGTACTTCATTAAACCTACTCTGTATAGTTTTTGAGGGATTTCTGTACATTAGCCGGCATTTGCGTATCAGTCCAGCAGCTGAGTGGCCTAACCGTTTTATCCTGCAGCCGACTGATAAGCGGTGCCGGTAATTTGGCCGCCGCGCCGGATACGGCGTCCAGTGCCGTTTGGCTAATCTGGCTAAAGCTCGGTTCGCGTAATTTCACAGCCAAACTCCCGTGGGGATAATTTTCCAAGGCATCATCGCTGGTTGTATAACTCCAATCGGTGATGATCCACACCCATCCGGTACCAATTAGATTCAATCGTTTGGCCACGTGGAAGATCTGCTGCGCCAGACCTGGCTCACAGAACAAGACCAGCACGCGACTCTTGGACTCCTTCACCCGCGACAGCTTCTCGCGGACCTCCATCTCGTCCGGATTCTTGGTGAGATCGTGGACATACTGGACGGCAGAGCGCCGTACCAGCTCATCACGGAACAGCCGGCCGGCGGCGGTGAAGTCGATGAAGGCCGTTGCCAGGATGTCCCAGCGCTGGGCCCGCAGGAAGACGGCAACAGCTTGTGCGATGTGGGCGCTGTTGGGGTTGATGGGGACGTAATAGTCAGGAGCAATATCCTACGATCATCAACAACGAAATATACGTACGGAAGCAAAAGAAAAAATTATTAAGCTGATCTAAAATTTAACATTCAAGATGCTTCATATACGAGTATATGCATGGCAGCAATATGCCCCACAACATTTCCGGTGCCTGTTACCCATGTACACAGTACTCCTTCAAACGTTTACGAAATGCAGTTTTGTATGTTTCAAATGCAAAACAGCAAATAAGGTTTTGTTGTTAAATGACAACTGGTCACCCCCATGATCACCTGTAGTTCCGTATGGATTAATAATTAATCCATACGGGCTAGCTGCCTTGATTTAGATTTGCCAGTACACTACGATTCGCCTTAAATTGTTTTGCTGTGAAACTGGTTTCGATTTCCACACAACAGTTTCCAGATGCTAATGAAGGACGCCCATAACCATAAGGAATGACAGCGGTTCCCACGAACAGGCACGGTATAACATATCCTGTTTGGTCCTGAGCTATTTGTAGTTAATTTGTAAGTACTGATCCCGCAAGTTGTTTTAATGTTATGGCATGAAACTGCATTACACATACTGTATAAACATAAATATATCGTTATTCATTAAGTTTGTGACATAACATGCACACCATTGACTGAATTCTGGAAAACTAACCGACTACAGCGCCGTTTGCAAATTTAAGTACTTAACCTTATTTTTTATTTTATTGCTATAGCACCAGAATTATTCGTTTTTTTATTACTAATGTTTTGGTGGTGCTGGACACAAGATTGTACGCGTGGTGTATTAAACTGTACAATAAATACGAAGTTTCGTTGGGTACTCATGTAATATCAACGCTGCGTTTAGCAAAGTGTTCGTCGATGAATGGCGTGATGCATTTTTTATGACGTAAAGGTCGGAAGACGCTGGCCCCGGCATCCTTAAGAGTTGAATCACTCTGGCTACATGTATATAAAGTACAAAAGCCAATGCAATCCTATATCGTCCAACTATTTGTTCAACTGACACAAATATATTGAAAAATCTCCAGGGAGAGATTGGCGTTTGGGTAAACATATTGCTTGTACGCAGCGCCGGCACTGCATGGCGCCGAGATATATCCGAGTGGACAATTCGATGGGAACAGACGCAGTGGATGCCGTGATTGCCGAATGATTAGCCTGGATAGCATCTGTATGTGATGGGATGTAGATTATCTGGGAATAATATTCCTGCACTGTATATATATACGGTACATGAATGTCCAGAAAAGATCGACTCAGGCGCGCTGCATGTCGGAAATTGTAGGAGAGTTGTTAGATGGGATAAGGAAAGAGCGGCGCGCGATGGATAATCGCCGTCTGAAGCATCATTTGTCAAGCAGAACTAACGCTTCTTTCATCAATGGCCCATAATAAATCCTTCATTTGCACTTTGCATTTTCGTCCCCGGGAACGGAACGAAATCGCAGACATGTCGGGGATGCCCGATAATTTGACTACCCTGTGCATCATTGCATTGAATTACATGGAGAGTTTTGCACAGCCATCGAGAGAAAACAAAGTTCTAATTTTATTCTACACAACAAATCCTATAACTCTGAGCACAAATGCTCATCTGAAACTTGCGCAGTCATTTAGCACGATACAAATTCTTAGCCGTTGATAAGTTTATGAACTGCGGCTGTATGGTCTAAAAACATCACTGGGCTTTACGAGATACGATATTCCCATTATTAGCAACAACGCGGGACTTCGTAAATAATATGCTAAAGCCTAAAACCACATTCATTAATTTGCAGTGAACCGTTTACGTCTTCGACACTAAAGAAATTGTTAAAAACAAAGTTTGAGATTTTTTTTATCGCTAAAGAAATTTTAAAAAAACTATTTTAAACGAGTTTCCTAACTGTAGATACATATATCTTGAGAGAGTTTTTCCAGTAATATTATGTTGTCGTAACTCGTACATAAGTCAGACAAAATTTTTTCTACGGATGCAAGAAAAAATTGCCAAACCCATTGAAATGCGGTAATGCACGCATATGCAGCAGCGCGTTGTGTTGATGTCAAACTAATTTGACGGAGTAGTTTGGCCAACAGTAAGGCCGCGTTCATCCACTGTGACTGCTTTTACATGAGTCTGATCTCTCAATGAATTTAATCACATTTGACACTTTGTTTAGCTGCGGCTGCCTGCTGCTGATCGGGTTACTACTTGAAAAATATTTCCCTCTTTTGTTCCACATCACGCTGCTCTAATACAGATTACATAATTCCGCTTTTCCTTTAAGGCCTCTCCAGCTGTACTCAACGCCGCACCAGCGTCCCGAAAACGATCATGCAAGGCAAACACTGGTGACCTTTCTGTGTCAGCATAAACCAGCTATATTGCAACGTCCTTGACAGACATTGAATAAACATACATAGAAATGCATAATTTATTCAATAATGCATGTTTACAGACCAAAATTAACTTCAGAAAACGCGCCAGAAACTTCATGCAGCTTATGTTCGGCTATTTTGAAGCTTATGTTGTTATCCAAAACTTGAAATATGTACAGGCAGCCACTCAGTTGCCCTGTATACGTAACAAGGTAGAACTACTTCTTGTAATTTCCGTTTATATTAGGAGCTGCATTCATAATTATGCCCGATTTCTGTTCATAATCAAAATTTTTACTTATCCGTACGTAGAATTTGCAATTCAAGTTAAACAAGAGCTGAACCTGGAGTGAGCCTAACTGAAGTTTAAGTGCCGAATAATAAATGAATCGTTCGTAAGCGGATCCCTAATGATATCATCCGTAATAGAAATTGGAATCTGCGGATTTTTATTGAACACAAAATTAAGACAAATGCACGCATTAAGCCACTTGAAGGTGTAGTACGAGTGAAATTACATTTAAAGTTTTCCTGCTACAGAAATTTACAATGCACACGGCTCCTTGCATGAAGGATTAAATTATTATTCTCACAAAAATGTTCACATAATCACGGATCATGGTTCTCTGTTAAGCGACATTTTGTGAGTTCTTTTTTGAGATTTCCTGTTAATAAATCAATTTATGTTGGAAGCGGAAGCGTCTCTTAATCACCAATGAGCTGTTTTGCAATTCAAATGGGAGTTTTGTTCTCTTCTTTTTCCCGTGTGTCTATGCCGGCAATTGTTTAGCATAATTAGATTTAACGCCCGGCTACATTAGAGTTTTTATTTGATTAGATCCAATCAACAAACATCAACCGGTGGCAGCTGGGGTTAGCGTTGATTAACGTCATTATAGGAGGAAAATTCCTTCTCGCTTTTACGAAACAACGATCCGATCTCGGAAACAACTGCGCACATATACGCAATTTCATTAAGGAAATGCAGATTATACAGCCTGGCGAACAATCCATGATGGTCGCATCTGTTTCGCGTAGCTAGCAATTTGATGTGACTTTAATTGCCAACGACAAGGATATTGCCGGGCTATTTATAACTCAATAAAGATACACTTTTTCCAATTACACTCTAAACTTCAAATATTAACGGCCCTACATCTGGTCAAACGATTCTAAATTGAATTTACACTGCCATTTGAGTGTAATCTTCCGGAATCTGATACGCGCTGTCTGCAAAAACTTATAGTACCAAAACGTTCAAAACTTTCCTCCACAGAATTTACTAAATTTTTTGCTTGACGGAAACACAGAAAATGCATAAAAAAATTTTTGTAAGCGTTTTGCGTGGCTAATGTAATTTTTATTTATTTTAATTGTCAATGTACTTTTATTTCTTCAAGTCATTATTCATAATTTTTAAGTTAGGATTAAAGATTTACCTAAAACGAGTCTTTCAGACATACCCACGCAAACTTATAAGATGACTATGGTCAGTCCAACAACACATTAAAAATGTATTTAATTAGAAATATTTGCATTCCTGTTAAATATTTAATCAGCGAGCGAAATTCTGACGGGTCTGGAGCAATAAACCCGGTAAATTATGGGTGACTTCGAAAGGCGCCAAGGCGTAGCCGGTATATATTCGGTGTTACCGAACGTAGCGGTTGATTTTCTGGTGCAGCGAACCATTAATTTGTGTTCCGTCCCGGCTTAGGCCGGCGCAGCAGCCAGATCCCGGGTGCCGACTTGAAATGTCCCAACATATACCCGAGCATATCCCGCACCAGTGTATTTAAAGAGGACAAAAATATTTGCATTAGTGCTCTTAGGCAATGTTTGGCTTTTCGACCCGACAAGCTTGTAGAGTGCATATGGAAAACACTTGTCAAACTGTTTTCCAATTCAAACTGCACCATCCCAACTACAACTCGGGCCGCCCTAATGCAGCGCGCCAGCTTCCACGGTACACAGATATATAATAAACTCTCTTCTAAAACACACTACCGAGCATCGATTGCCCGTGATGAATGCCACCCAGTTGACTGATGGATAAAAGACTAAATAAAAAAATCGTAGCCCTCACTTCCGGTTGGCCGGGGAAATTTCGGTGGCCCCCAGTAATGTTGTCACGAAGTTGCATTATGTGCGACTGTCGTCGACGCGTTGGGCTATTTGTAGATCACAGGCAGCACGTATTATGCAATGGAAATGTCCACAAATGCGCCATGCAATTCCGTCTACTGTACAAGATGAACAAGTTTGAATGGATCGGAGATAAAAAATGCGTTTGTATTAAGCGAGTGTTTGCCGTCAATACTGCCGGCCATACAGGAAACACTTTGGCGCTTTTGTTGGGAATTCTCATGGAGACTGACCTTGCAAATACGATGAAGAGCGTTTAGTGTGGCGGATGGATGGTCCCATGTGAATGTCACGTTCAGTTGTAAACCACTAGATATTTCTTTTTCTGTTCACTAGGTTAAAGTTAAATATTGTGTACTATTGATAACAGATTATTCGAAACGTTCTGGGGGAAATTAAAACCGCTTTCGAGACAGATAACTTTCGAAACAAACTACATTAATTCAAATCATTAGCCCAAAATTGTAAGCCTTGGCCTCTGTGCTTATTTAAAATTTATTAAATTAATTTTTATTTTAGTGTGAACAGTTTTGGTGATTAACGTAGGCTTCTAATAACCTTATGACGCATTTGTATTGACAAGTTAAGCATTATAAAAAGATTACAGGGCAGCTAGCGTTCTCACATACAAACGAATTTTACATGACAGCTGGCGCAATTTGTCTTAATAATCCCGCGCTTCGCATGCCACAACGCAACAGCAACACGTGCATTTGTCACACACACACAGAGACAGAACACAATCTCCGATCCCCTCAACTCACCCGAAACATTTCCGGCTGCAGCGTGTTGACATAACCCAGGACCGGAAGTGCCAGCTGCTGACCGGCCATGGCCGCGGTAAAGAGCGTGGCCGGTTCCGCCAGACTGATAACCGCCAGCCAGGCGGCGGACGTCGTCTCCGCACTACTGCACAGCGTCCGCAACAGACCGGCCACGCCGCTGCTGCGACCACTCCCGCTCACCGCCAGCTCCGTACTGTGCAGCGTGACACCGGCATACCGGCGCTGCAGCTCGGCGTTCTTGGCGTTGAGCGCCCGCGCAAAGACCTGCTGATCGGTGGCGAAGGTGGCCTCATTCAAGATGGTGAGGATGTTCAGCCGTTGCAACGGCTGCGGACAGACCGGGCCGACAAACAACCAGATCAGGAGGATGAAACACAGCGGCATCCGTGCCGGCATGATAGGTCAGCATAGCGGAATGTGGGGGATGCGGCAGACGGATAAAAGACCAGGAATTCCCAGAATTATCGATATAACAGGGGAGAAATGCGAGAGGCCGCGCGGGCGCACTCTACGGGCCAGGGTGGATGCCGGGGGAATTGAAAGTGGCAAGAGCGCGTTCAGCTGGATGATGGGCTAGATGGGTAATAATCCAGTGGACGTGTAATGATCATAATTACAGCCGACACGGCAATTGCCGAGCAATGATCAATGATGGAATCACCGGCCGGTGTCAAGCGAGTGTCTTGTAATGGAAACTAAAACGTGTAGTGTAATTGCGCTCTGCTCCCCTTTCTGCTTTGTACGACGAGGAATAATGCATGTAAACGGTGAACGCATAAGAATTTACTTTTTCGTCACCGAAGCACTTCCGAATTCGCAATATACTTGATACACTCCGCCGGTGTTTCCGCTCGTGTCGATAACTACGATCTTTCCCGTTAATAATTCAGGATTACGTTGGTCAACGGTAGCGTATACAGCGTAAGGGAGACTGACGGTGAATTAACCTGTCAAAACTCCGACCGCCATTCCTGTGGTACTTAACAAGCCGGCATCAGCTGTGATAGATCGTTATGGGAGAATTATCATCCGGCTAAAAAGGCCAATATTGCCATTGCAGCCGGCGTCGAGCGTTTTGGGCCTTTCTTGTTCTACACAAACGCATCATAACAAGTAAGGAGGAAAACTGTTTGGCATAGCCAGATTTATTGATAGACTATAGTGGTGCTCCATGAGAATGTACGTATTTATGGATAGCACAGGGATCAAGCGTTTCTCCGTTGTGTTGAATTACCGGCCTCGAATCGGTCGGTCGGCACTCAGCAGTTTCTTAAAACACCATTCACTTTTTATTCAGCTGTGTTTGTCTGCCTGGTAGTAGTACCGTAGTGGCTGTACAGATGCTGCTCTTGTGCAGCTCCGCCCATTACACCGTGAATCCGAACAGAAGCACACGCGTCTCAATCTTCGAGATGCGTCAGCCAATTATCGTAAACTAACGGTTCCAGTTTAAATCAGTCAAAGTTTGCGACATACAAAATATATTTTTTCTTAGCGGTAAATTTTGTTAAGTAAATCTAATGTATTTAAATTGACTTACACCCCACATTCGTGCAGTGAGGTCAGAAGGGTAAGAATGACGCGGTTGTCCGCAAAATATTCAAACATTAACTAACTGCTAACATACTCTTTACGAAAAAAACCAAATTTAGCTTGTTGCTAAACGCAGCAAAACCATCAAATCATATTGATATACGCGACTGAATTAACTGTGCTAAAAATGTCTGTAAGTTAAGTATTAAATCTGCATTGATCAGTGGCACATATTATTCTAGGAAAGTCTGAACCGGTGCCACTGCACAATGTGCAGTGCACATACATACTTCGTGCGACGCGTCTAACATTTTGAATTTACGAGTATCAACGGTCAACGAAAATCTATGGTCGGCAGGCTTAATGTTTGCACGAGAACGTGTTTTATTTTGTATAGAAAATCTTGTGTAGGTGAACCTATGAATCGAGTCTACTAAATGTTAGATTTTAGAAATTGTTACACTTCGAATTGAGTGTCCATATTATTCCGCGCTTAATGGAATCTAATGAGGAACACGTTCGCTGATTTGCCCCGCTGCACGGTGGCCACTTGACGCGGGCACCGTTGACCCATTTTCTCCGCATCGAGGTATTACACATCTGCGGCGTCGATTTGCGCTCCTCGTTGTGTATTTGTTTTTTCAAACGTTTCTATTTCTGTATCGGATTATCCGGCGGGCATCACTCGCATTCCGCGAATCCAGTCGTATTCCGAGGATGCATTACGCACTTGGGCGCAGCAGCATCACACACACGCGCGCCGAAGAGCCCACTAAACTCTTCGACATCCGATCGGCAAAAAACAAGCGCGTCGCTGCCGTACTAAGCGTGTGTACGTGTGGTGTGTTTTTCTCTCCAGCCGCGCCTCCTCATTTTAATCGCTTATGATGGCCATTTCCCCTGACTGATGCTTCTCTAAACGGGTGACTTCCGTTTCGGCATAAATGAGTAAAGCAATTGAGGATTGAGAATGCGCAGTGTGCTTCGCAAAGGAGATTGCGCTGCTGATGCTGCAGCGACTGTGTGTTTGTGCTCATGTGGCAGCATATGGGCAATTCGTTCCACGGCAACACATGCGTCCTGACACTGGGACGTAACGAGCTGGAACAAAAAAGTGAATTAAAAACCGAGGAGAACCTGTGAAGCAGGCAATTTGCCTCGTTATATATACGGCAGCTGCCGATTATTTGTGATATCCACGCGATCGATAACGGCCAACAACGCCGAAGCTGTTCTCTTTTTTCTACTTTTCTGCAATCCGACGCACCAACCGGGCTACTTTGATTTGTAGGGGGCCTCGCGGGTAAAAACCCTCCAAATCTTAATTATTTAGAAATGGCTGAACCGCACATGCAACTTTACCGTAGAGTTCAGCTGCAAAGTTTTAAATTTATACTTAAGTAAAATGTGTTAACTAATTACAAACGCACTCCAACGCATGAAAATCATAATAAATTATTGTTTATTGTTAACCAGTCCTTAGTGATTTATTACTGCCTTTTAATTACTAGTATAGGTACAACCTGCAGCCTGCAGGTTATGTGAATCTCATTCAGCACAGTGAAAACGAATAAATTAAAGTTCTCATGCGCATGCTCATGTTTGTTAGAAAAAAAAGATATATAGCGTTACTATAGGGTTTCAGTACCTTTTTATGCGATTGAAGGTTTTATCCAAGCGGTGCAGTGAATGTTAACATGACGAAGTTAGGAAAAGGTCATAACTTATTCCGCTGATGACCTTTTGGTGCAGGGCGAACCGGATGCCGAATTTCAAGTGATGAAAATAAAGTTGTATTTGCTCAGTTCCTGTAATCGATGATGTTACTCGTATATGCGGATCTTGGTGTTGTATATACATTTTACGGTATTTTTGTACACTGCACAGGACAGCCAGTGCAGCGGCTTGCGGGAGCGCATGGCGGAAGAATAATCGATGTCGAATGACGGGTATCTGTGCCAGCTGAGTCCATTAGGAGTCCTTTTCAGACATGTTGCCGAATCGGCGCTTATGAAATTCAAATAACATTAATCCAATTGTATCTTTTGTTACGTGGACAATTGCGCTGTTAGTGGGCCGGAAAGGGGAATTTAGCGGCAGCATGTGCGGAGTCTGCAGACATGCATCCGCTTTTTTCCGCTGCTGATTGCCACAAACACGGTTGCTGGATTCGGCAAGTGTGTTGCAGCCACCATGTGATGTATCAAGATAAATCTGCTTTTGTAATTTGTTTGTTTTAATACTCTTTGTGCAGACATTCATTTTGTTTCATTAACCGTGAAGCAGAAAATTTAGAAACTATTCAAGGTACAAAGATCACGATACAGTATTACGGACATCTTGGATAAACCATGCGCCAATACAAAAATTGTACATTATAAGTGCATTTCACAGTTATCAAATGAGGAATTATTTGTCACTGCAGTTGCCGATTTCTAATACGAGGAACAACTGAAGAAAATTTTGGTTAAAACCGAATTTGACCTTTCATAATTTTGTCATAGGATTCTTTGTTGAGCGGTTCATACTGAGCATTGGTCGGATTCCAGAAATAAAGTGGATCTGTGACTTTCTCCACATTAAATCCATCTTCTTTTAGAGCGGCTTTCATAATTTTGAAAGTTCCTGAAATGCAGCATCACTGTGGCAGCATTTATAATGAAAGCAGCGCAATTTTAAATGTATTAAGTATAGTTTCGTAGCCTGTATTTGCGTTCCATGAGCTCATATGTTACCTGTGATCTGCAGCTCGCTTTGGAACCGTAGAAACAATGGACGAGCAAAAGATGCCAGTTTTTCTTTGACGCCGGCGGTAAGCTTGTTGAAGTCCACATTCGCAGCGGACGTACCAATGCATGCCATTCCGGCGCGTCCTTCGCATCCTTAAACAAATAGCAAAGTGTTCTGCATTAAATTATACAAGTAATTACTTGTATGCAATTTTTGTTGCTGGACTAGCGCAGATGCATTACGCTTTGCTGACCAATCCTCTTCTATTAACCAATGAACTTTTAAAAGCGGAACATAGAGTATAAGCATTTAAAATATTATACGTATACATATTAATGTAAGGAAAGAATGATAATAAGCTTCGTATTACAAGATGTGTGATCCGTCACGCAGATTGCCAACGGTAATTTCCAAAACAAGTTTCACGTTTAGGGTATAATTTTTGTTGTACTCGTGATAAACTATTGCTCTAGTGATGTACAGTAGTCCATAGTTGTACAGACTACAACGTACAGACACTCGAATTGCACTCACAAGTTGCAAGGCAAGAGCGGTACCGTTAATTTTATTGTGTGTACTACGTATATTCAGATTGTCGACTGTACAAAGCGATAAATAAAAACACATTTTTACTGTGATAAACAACATAGCACAAACATTACGATACATTTATTTCAATCACTACAAATTACTATAAAAATTACAGTACTACTTTTGGTCATACCGGGAATTTGGACGCCCAGAACAGCAACGTCTACGTCGCCGCACAGCCGGCTCATGATACCCTCCACTTCCGTAGTCGACACGTTTTCACCTTTCCTGTAATAAGGAGGGCCAGTTTTCGGATGTTGCCTGATTTTCTACTACTTCGTATATTTGTGGCAAATTAACGAGTTTATAACGTTTAGAAAATTTAGATTTGTCAGTAAGAATCAAAACTGTAACGTAAGGTATTGCTTATTAGTTTTATACTGCAAAACTGCAGGTTGAACTTAAAGTGCAGTTTGCTTTTGATAATTACAATTTTTATACAGTTATCCATGCAAATCAGGTAATCATTCACAGGTAAGCACATGACTGAAATATTTCATTGCTATTCTGCCAGAACAAAAATACAGGAAATTATTACTTACTCATTACTGAAACTATTTAAACGAGAAACTGTTCACACCAATAATATGTGGTCCTCTCGTAGGCAGTCAGTAACCTTATAATGCACCATATCGGCACTCACCATCGGAAGGTGTCTCCAGTCCGGTCAACAAAATACACATAGCCCACTTCATCGAAGTACAAAATATCCCCTGTCCTGAAGAACAAATCGCCCTTCTCCAGTACGTCCCGCAGATACTTCTTCTCTGTAGCATCTTTTTGCAGATACCCGTCGAAACTACTGAACTTCCCTTCGCTGATTTTGCCCACTAGTTCACCCGGTTCGCCGGCTTTGCACTTAACGCACAAGCCATTCGGACCACGTAACGGCTCGCCGGTGACCATGTCCACTCTAATAAAGTACTGCTGTTTGGTGTATTCCACGACCTTTGAGGTGAAGCCAATGGCGCCGGGTTTGCCGTCAATGTTGGAGAAACCGGCATTGCCTTCGGTCGAACCGTAGCACTCGCAGACGCGGGGAATGCGGAAGCGGCTGACGAATTCTGACCAGATTTGGGGGCGCAGACCGACGCCGTAGATAATGCGCAGCGAATGCTGGGTCTCTTTGGGACTGACAGGCTGGGCTAACAAATATCGACAGAGTTCGCCGACATAATGGAATATCTGAAAATTCATTTGCGTTAGTATAGTTTATATGCGAAAGCCGAAGCGATAAATTAACTTATTAATTTTTATAAGTATCGACACTTGATGCAATCAATTCCTTGCAGATTTTTAATTTCCTGCGGTTGTTTTCACTTAGAATCGGAATCAGCATTAGAATTTTTAAGTGCCCTAACTCAACGAAGATCTTAAGCTCCGATCAGCAATATGTACGGTAAAAACCAACTCAATGTTCGCATGAAGTTGTTGGAATATTATCATTTCAAAAGTAATGATGGGAAAAAAGCGGATAAAATCATTCGATTGCAATAAATTTTGCATACAATTTCCAAACTGGTGATCTTACCGTGCATTTGTATTTTATTACATCATCCCAGAATTTTGACGCTGAAAACGATTTCCTCAGAGCAATGGTATTTCCAAACACGATGGCTTGACCAACACAGATGGCGCCGCCAGCACTGCAGTAACATACACAGGCGGTTTAAACAGGCCTTTCCGGAATTGTTAATGCTCGCCTTGTACAGCTTAATAGGAATTATCGAATTGAAATACTGAAGATAAAATGATTCCCGCCCTGTAATTTTTCTGCCTCACAAAGAACGCAGTTGGATTCGATTGGATATCATAATTCGTGCATTTAAATTTATGGCACAAAAATTTTATAACTAGTGCTTCCATAAATAATTACTTCAAACGCTACTGCAGGAATCGGTTACCTGTGATAGAGCGGCAGCGTGCAGTAAAGTACATCGCTGTTGCTGAACTCCAGAATGTAATGATGTGCGATGGCGTACACGTACATCCGGTGCGAAGTGATCACACAGGGTTTCGGCAGGCCAGTGGTTCCGGATGTGTAGATATAACAAATCGTATCAAAGTATCCCGGCGCATTGGTCATTACCGGGTCATGCGTCGGCATCTTCTTGATCAGCTCATCAAACCAAAATACTTTAGCCGAGTCGAACTTGAGGAAACTCGGCAGTTCTTTCCCTTCGGAGAAGACGAAGGAATTGCGCACTTCAGGAAGATTATTCATAATCTCCAGATAATTGGTGATCACGTCTGTCCCAGCGATGACGATTTTGGAATTGGCCACAGCAATGGCGTGGCGCAGGGCTTCGTCTTTTACATTGCAATTTATGAGCGCCGTGATGCAGCCAATTTTGTTCAGGCCCAGCCAGATGGCCACATATTGTGGGCTGAAAAATAAAAATTATTCGGCTAAAAAACCTGGAAAAGGGTAAAATAAACTGTATTCGGTCAATATATTTACGTGCAACAAAATTTGTTCCCGGAACGTATACTACTCTGTACAAAGTAATCGGTGCATTACGCTCGCTCTCGTGCGTGAGCCGTTAGGATGTGCACACAAAATATATACAGTACGTAGAGCACAGATAGTCATCGCACTACTCGATAATTATCGGAGCTGTTACTTTGTGTTTACTTACAAACAAAAAGTTTTATAAAATTGCCCGTTTTAGGAGAATAATGTTGAGGAAGATGCAAAATAGTGGTAGCGTAATAATAAGGCACCGTTTGAGTTATTGGTAGTAACACGCAAAACTACGAGGCATTTCTAGTCGTACCAGGAAGTTGCTAAAAGGGCCACAGTATCCCTTTCTGGAGTTTTTCCACGGTGGAAAAGTAATGGGCAACCTGGTTGGCATAATGTCCGATCTCCTCGAACGTCCATTCTTTGTCTTCATAACGGAACATAGCCTTTTTCCATGGCGTCGTACTGTATCTTGGAAATAGTGTGATACCGGTCGATTACGTTTTGTCGCTATAAACGTCTGAATAGCAACAATAATAATGCCTTTTAACGCCCTAAACAAAACAAAAAGGTAACCTGATAAATTTCCGTATGGTAAATCTGAATAGGTTGGCTGTAAAGTGGCGCTGGACACAGTATTTACCCTTGCATCTAATATCACGGGCTAGGAAGTCTAACTAACATGTACAGTAGCACAACAGCACGAAAAGAATTATACACTTAATAATAACCTCTAGCTTTGCGCATACAGAGTGCAGAAACTCATGAGTACAGATAATTCCTAATTTAAAAATATATACCTCGTATCTTTCGACAAAACGAAAGGCCGCCAGAACTAAATATTAGGCATTTACCGTAACTCGCGCCGGAACAGCCGATGGATGCGCTCAGGTGCATATTGTTTTGCCAAGTTATATAATACCGGTAGCAGCAAAAAAGTCAGGGCGATGTACAACCGAAAATACAGCATAAGCGCCGCAGCAGCTACATATATTGTCAACTGACTTGTTTCCATTTTAGCGGAATAAAATAAAAGATGAAAGTAAATGGGTAACACAACCACCCGTAAAACAATCACTGATACAAATGTTAATTTTAGAAACAATAATACAATTTTTCAAGTTCAAGTGACTTGCAAGAAATTCTTTAAGCGCTGCACAGGCTGCATGCATGTGCTGCGGCAATGTGAATGCATCGAGCACAACAATACGCATCGTATTAACGTTCCAAGTAGCCTGGAGCTATTATCGTTTTTATTCCAGTCTTGTGATAAAGTATTTGCCACTATCCGACCTCGTATCAACCCATTTTTATAGCCTTATCAGGAGTGCAACAAATTCTACACTTTGGACTGGACAGCGCATGCTGAACAAAGGAAACGGCGACGTTGTGTCAATGCACGGCATCGTAATCGCGCACGCCGGCTACTCTAGCCGATCTGATGATAAGCGTTTGTCGCGTGTGTCAAGCATATGCAAAATCAACATCGTGCAAGCAGATTTAGGATTATATGTATACGGATACAAAAAAATTCTAGATTTTGTAAAACGAAGAACGAACGTAAGAGAGGTTTAAAACGAATAGATGCCGAAAAGGTCAACTGCGTAAGCAACGGCATACTTCTGCGAGGTGGTGCTCATGGAAATAGCGATCTTCATAGTTTCGTACAGCTCAATGCAACAAATTTGGTCCCCATTTGAACCAATTTTGCAATTTTCCTAATGTTAACAACTTGAAACAACACAATAACTAGTGCGAATTAGATGTTTCCTTTTGCGAAATGACAAGGTTGCTATAAATAGGTATGTACAAAAACAGCAGTACTGTCTCGCAATAGTGGTCAAAACTATTTCTAATCAGAATCGGATTCGCCCTCGTAGTATTTCTTCGTATTGCTCGGAATGGAGTTTCTCGTAATTCGCAGATTTATTACTCCAGAAGTAAACAGGATCAGCGGTTCGAGTCACGTTGTAACTGTCGTCTTTCAAAGCGGCTTTTTGGATTTTAAACGTACCTAAAACATATTCGTATGATCACACATTTGCAATCATTCTAAACGGCAAAAGTACAAAGAAAGAATCGAATCTGATTTATTTGATTTTTTAGAAACTGAAGTTATTACCTGTTGTGCTTAATTCACATAAGAACCGCAAAAACAATGGACGGGCATACGCCGGCAAGCGTTTGGTTACTTGCTCACTAAGCGTACGCAAATCAATTCTGGCGTCACTGCACCCGATGCAGGCCATGCCCGCCCGTCCTTCGCAACCTGGTAAAATAAATCGGCACATCGACACACATACTCAATTTTATTAGTACCACAAAATTCGAGTAGATTAAGGGTTTTACCCGGGATTTCTACGCCAAAAACGGCCACGTTGACATCATCCAACAACCGGCTTATTACACCTTCCACTTCCGATGTCGACACATTTTCACCTTTCCTGCAATAAATGTGTTAGTATGAGCACTTGGTACACACAAAGTGTATGCTTTCCAAGAGAATAATGCACGCTTTGTTGAGAAAACTGTCAACGAATTACATTACGCAATTTTGTCATCCAGCCATCCAAATCCAAAACTTACCATCGATACGTATCACCGATTCTGTCCATAAAATACACATAGCCCAGGTCATCGTACACCATAATATCCCCGCTTCGAAAATACACATCCCCAGGTTTTTTCACGTTTTCGATATATTTCTTCTGTGTCGCGTCTTTTTGCAAATATCCGTCAAATGAATTGAACTTCCCGCTCGTGATCTGACCCACTAGTTCTCCGGGTTCGTTGGCTTTACACCGGATGCACAAGCCTTCAGCGTCCCGAATCGGTTCCCCGGTGACGGCGTCCACTTTGATGAAGAACTGTTTCTTGACCGCTTCCACGATGCGCGATGTGAAGCCCACCGCGCCCGGCCTACCATCAATGTTGGTGAAGCCGGTATTGCCTTCCGTGGAGCCGTAGCATTCGATGATGCGCGGGATACTGAAACGCCCGGCAAATTCCCGCCAAATCTGCGGACGCAGACCGACACCGTAAACTAAGCGAAGCGAGTGCTCCTTTTCGGCGGGATGAAATGGTTGCGCTAGCAGATATCGGCACAGTTCACCAATATACTGGAATGCCTGCAAAACTAAACCTTTAGAAATACCGATAATATCGTTACGAACTCCGTTAAAGTAATACAACCCACGGTGCATTTATTCTTGACCACGTCCGGCCAAAATTTTGAAGCCGAAAATTGTTTTCGCATCACAACCGTCGTGCCAAATATCAAACCCTGACCTACGGCAACAACTCCTCCAGCGCTAAAAAAAACACAAAATAAATAACAAACGTACACCATTCTACGTCATTGTACTCGTATATTATACAGCGATATAAATTATATTAACCAGATGACAGCAGCGTGTTAACAAAACAAGCTGGCTTTCCACATAATCAAATTTAAAACTATAGCTCAAATATTATGACTTATTTCCACTCTGCTCGGCATCTAAACAAGACAAAGTCTCAGCATACCAACGTAAGTTTTTCTGAACTTTGTTCTTTCTCACCATGGTGCGCGGTACAACGAATTTGTGAACGCTCACGATATAGATCATAAACCTTGACCTTTTGGCACTCGCACACGCCTTCATCTAGCCAGACCATGCTCGTCTATCTATTTCGCAATAATACAGAGCAGTTGAACTATCACGAAAAGTAATTAAGGAATTATGAAGTTTTCGATCGATTAAAAAAATGGTTCGACAACTAAGGTGAATAAAAGTTTCTTTTCAATATTAGTAGCGTGCAGCAAACAGTTGCAGGTCTATACTGTATTGTACAGTGTACACTTTACAAAGCCACTTTGAATTTCGTTAAATACTGACCTGTGATACAGCGGCAGTGTGCAATACAGAACATCGTCGCTTCGGACGTCTAGAATATAATGGTGCGATATAATATACGCATACATCCGATGCGAAGTTATCACACAGGGTTTCGGTAAGCCGGTAGTTCCCGAAGTAAAAATATAGCAAACTGTATCGAAATATCCCGGTGGATTGTCCACTACCGGCTTGGTCTTCAGCATCTTCTCAATCTCCTTATCGAACCAGGAATAATTCAAACTGCGTAGCCGGCAAGGTTTTTGGAAGTATCTTTCCTTCGGAGAAAACCATGGTCCGTACACCGGGAAGTTGATTCACAACGCCAATACGTGGAGAACAAATCCACACCTACAATGGTTGCTTTGCACTTGGCGACGGTGATGGCATGGCGCAGCGGTTCGTCTTTCAGGTTGCAGTTAATGAGCGCGGTAATGCAGCCAATTTTATTCAATCCCAACCAAATTGCCACATACTGAGGACTATAAAAATACCAACACCATAAAATTATAAAAAATCCCTGATCATATTGAAAACAAGTTTTTCGAAATGATAGATTCTTCTAGCGTTGCGTAACGTCCAACATGAACCACGTGCATTTATGTTGGAGTTTGACCTTTACCATGCGGTAGCCAAAAGCGCCACACATTCGCCTTTCTCCAGTTTTTCCACCGTGGAGAAATAGTGTGCAACTTGGTTGGCGTACTGATCAATTTCCTCCAGTGTCCACTCTTTGCCATCGTAGCGAAAAATGGCTTTTTTTCCATATCTCTGAACAGCAGTTTCGACAACTCGGGATATCGACTGATTACGTTTAGCCCGTAAGAAGGTCTGGATGGCCACGGCCACGACACCTTTGAACGCTCTATAAACAACATGTTTTCATGTTTCCACGTTTCAGAAGAAAATCGGCTGCATAGCCGACCATACTCATGCAGTCGAATGACGGAAAAAACAAGATAACGAAAACCGAAATAGGCAAATGCATGTTATTACCTGCTGGTAAAGGCATAAAGCAGTAACTGTCATACAGTGTACAATACATACGGCAGAAGTTGAGCACTATTACATATTTTAATTCATAGGATGCTTACAACGTGTCATCAGTATATACTCGTAAATAATCTTTTTCTGATTTCAGATCATGCAAAATTTAAAGTACCTGCACTCTCGTCGTCTGAATATGGCAATTCTTTCCGGTAAAAAGCCATCAAATTTGTTGAATGATGAGTTCCAAAAGAGGAGATTAAGCCAAATGCACAAAACAGTGAAATAGCATTTCCAGTGAACCAGTATGGCCAGCAACAAGAAATACAGCGCCAAGTTTACTGCACGGGTGGAAACCGTAATGTTCAGCATTCCCGAATTTGTAAGTGTACTACAGAGTACTAACTACTTATTTATGTGCACGAATAAAACTATATGAAGTATGAACTGTGATAAATATATTATCAATTTAGCGCGTCATAAGAACACTAATGCTACACCTGCGTCCACTGTCCAACAGTTTTCAGAAATTCGATGCAGTTTTAGAAACTTCAAAAATGAAAATAGACTTGAGAACTTCGTACCAAGGCGAGTGATTCAGCTGACCAAATTCCCTCACTGAACACACACACGCTCTATACCGAATCCGGTATAAAATTGCCCAACTGACTCACGGGGCAGTAGCCAACAAATGTGGCTATTTCAGCGATTTCGCCGATTTGCCTGATACAAATGATGTGTGCAGACTGTAATCTCAAATTATCTGAAAGTGTTCACAAAAATGACAAAATCGGCTGCACAAAAATCATTACAGCCAGTCTGCGGAATAGTTTTCTACTTCTGATTCGTTCCATAGGTCAGCAAATCAACAATATGATGACTACCATAGGTCACTACACCGGTAACCGTTAAACCGGGTTTGCAGTTTTACGAGGTAGTGACAGACTTGCTCATTCCCAGTATTACTTAAAATTTATATTTATCACACCAACTCCTAATGTAAAATTATAAACACACTTAGCAGCGGATATTCACTTTTCGGGGCATTTCTGCTCGTGATTATATTGGGCATACGGCAAAATAATTAACGTTTTTCATTTGGTGGAGTGAGCCAAAGCGAAACTATACAATATAAACTTTATCAAGACAGACTAGCACACAATAAAATACAGGTGGAAAAACTGTCTTTTTACAATAAGGTAACTGAATTTCTGAAAGGTCACAAGATAGGATGAAAATTATAATTAACTTACGGTAACGTATAAACAAAAAGAAAAAACCCAGGGCAGTAACAGGAAGTATACCAATCAACAGACGGTGAACAGACATACCATAATCGACAAAGCGCATATCTTAACCGATATATCGAGCATCAATGAGCTGATCCCAATCGATTTCAGACTGGAAAACCTCTCGTTCCAACCAGCCCTCGTAGTCCATATGGAAATGCACAGGCAGCCGGACACGCATGGACAACGCCCGGGACAAAGACGAATCCACCGGTTGAAATTCTTCCAAACCTGGTTGAACATAAGCAACACTGGGACGAAGGAGATCATGATAGCGGCGATTATTAAAAATATCCAGGGTCACGCGCATCTTTCGCTCCTCTAACTGGCAGTCCACCTTCTTCACTTCGTGCTCGGGAACTATAAAAACCAGAGGAATCAAGTTTCAATAGGAGATAAAAAATGGAAACGGTGAAGCTTTCTGTGATTTTCAATATTAACAAAAACATTGTTGTGTCTGTGTGATGCTCACATAGAAACGCAAATTATGCAAAGGTTATACTTACCATTTCCATACGCCCAATCATCCATTAACCGATGGCGGACTTTCTCATAAATGGCCGACATGGTTTTCATATTCAACCGGCGCCACTGCCGTCCAAGAAATTTAGACTGTATTTTTAAAGCCTTCAGTGTATACAGCTGCATCACAGGATGACGAATACGGAGAGCTCTTTTCAAAATGGCCGCCGATTTGAACAAAACCAGTACGAGAATCCTCGAACGTTTCCATTTGGCAATTTTATTCAGAATTCGAATTAGATTAATACACGAATGCAGGTTCCGCCACGACAAGCTCTGGTCAGATGCCTCCATATCCTCTTTGGTCAGTTCGTAGCTTGCCATAAACAACATCGATGGATAGCTCAAGACTGGGATCCTATACAAACAGAAAAATCATGCCTAAAAACGTTTACGAAACAAAAAATTGAAAAGGAAAAGCAGAAACTCAATTAAAAAATGCAGTGCCACAGAGAACATTCTAGTTTATTTCAGTATTTACTTACTCATTACGTGCCAAAACATATCCCAAGATATTTTGGTTCAAAAATTTGAGTATCAGCGCCATGCAGTTAGCCATAACCAGATGCTGAGACACCGTTTCAAACTGCAAAAAATATTTACCGATTTTTAAACACTTCACGTAAAATTAGCTACAAAAACCGCTCCATTCCGGAAGGTACCAATTTATCCATACCTGATAAACGTGGCCGATTTTAAAATGCTTTAACAACAACAATATCGTACTGCTTATAGCTTTAACGATGATTTCCTTATGCCGGTTGGTATCCATTCCCATTTTCATTGTTTGGATCATCGTTGTGCTATAACCACAATAAAGAACTAGTCCAAAATCCCTGCCACAGTGCCACTTCTCAACAATGAAAAATCAATGGTATGTGCGCTTATTTATGGCCAAAATGCAAAATGCAATACGAATTTAAGATTCTGGAAAAATGAGTACATATCACATGCTGAACGAAACTCTTACGGCATCGTCTCAGGCATCACGTCAGTGAGAACATTCAGAGATTCTGTTTTGGGTTTGCTTGTTGGTGAGCAAGCCAGTAACACCTTCAGTAGTCCGATCTGCAAAACTCAGACATAAAAAAACGAACAGCAGCACATACTCACTGGCGTACAATTTGGTTTCCAATTTGTGGGAGCAATGCCTGGTAAATACGTTCCACAGGAGTTTCTTCAAAAACATCCTCCTTCTTTAATTCAAACAACTTTATGGTTAGCAGTCAACATTATACTGTGCGACACTAATGAATTCGAACGACGTGACTGTTACAGACTGTACTCGTACATTTAATTTAATTTAATTTGAGTCAGTGCAGGCAGCCCATATCCGGCTAGGATGACATCTAGCATGGGATTTTAAACCTGGCTGGAAAACAAAATGTTGGTGTCGGTGCTTAATTAGTGCTGCTTATGTTAATTGGTGCTTAACATTATTTTTTATGTTAATTGGTGCTTAACATAAAAATAATGTTGGTGCTTAAAGTCACAAGTCGATGGCGGTATCACACAGTACAGAATTATTACAAACTGAGAATTGTGACTTAAAGGAAATTACTAATTCTTGCCGACCCATGAATACTCAAAGATAATTCAACCAAGTAAATCTAAGGTTAAGCACACTGCACTTTGTTAAATTTTTTTATTCGCGTAATCGGAAATTAAAGATATTAAACACTCACAAAAGCTTCGATAATCAGCGAAGCCTTATCCACTACCACAACAGCAAGTCGCTAGCAGAATTACCTGTGACATGGGATACTTAGAAATTCCTTCCTCCTTGCGAGTCTGCACATCGCTGAGGAGGTGTAAACATATTTCTGCATGACTTGAATACTCTCTTCAATCGGTTTAGGTAATCCAATCAACGTCCGGGTATCTTCTGGTAAATTTAAACCCACATACTTCTCCCGCGACAGATAGATAAACCGATGAATATCTTCCTCTCGAATTTTCGGTGTCCATGGAAGACATTTGGACAGCACAGTTTCGGGGCGAGGCGTAAATGCTTCCGGATGCGAATCGGTCCGCTTTGTTGGATGTTCAATGTGCTTCACCTCCAGGTCTTCTTTATCGTCACGATCTTCCAGTGTGGCATCTATGCCGGGTGGATCGTCGCTTTCGGAAACATTCGTGAACCAGAACGCTCCATCAGCATCCTTCGCCGGTTGCCCCTAAATGACAATGATGCCAAAACAATAAAGTAAACACTTCAAAGACAGTACACAAAGGTCGTAAAAACTGTCGCACGACAAACATACAACCTTATCTTAAAAATGCGGCGATGCAAAACACAGGAATTATCGAAAAAGCCGCATGTCTGCGAAAAGTTTCAAATCCACTGCAACATCCAACGAGAAGATGCAGATAAAATGAGAAAGGCTAACAAAATCCAGGTAAACATGATTTTATACTAACTTTGTATTTCGCGAGAGACCGCGCTTGCCGGCCCTTCCCACCTTCCATCATGTCCGAAACCGAAAGCGGCGGGGTGCATGCGCGAAGACGCTTGGCCACTTCCAGGGTATCTTCAGTAACGGGAGGAAGTCCGGCTTTCTTTCGGGCAACGTTCTTTACTCTCCTTAATTCATCAGCACCGCCACATGTCATCTGTCAAAACCTGCGCTCTTAACCATCCAAAAATATTTCCAATAAAACGAATAGTACCAGAAGAGTTTTCCAAATCAATAACAGTATTTTCTTTAGAGGAAAATGCGGAGCTAGACCACTGGCGTAGCGCATAAAAAGATCAAACAGGTGGCCAATAAAGATAGTCTTCCCGAAAACCACGCTGCCGAGGTCGTCCGCAAAATCCGTTCGCAGCTGAATATCCATAGGAGTATCCTTTGTGCTTGGCGTACGAATCAGTTCAATCATGTGATAGAGAATGTTGCAGATAATGCGGAGATTATGACTATCAGCAATGGAAAGAGCCGGCGTGCGAAGCAGATTTCGCGGAGCACTAAACGACAAAACCTCATTAAGGAGGGAGAAATAAAATAATGGTTTCATGGAACACGCACTCAGCTTCCAAAAACAACAGCTGGACAAAAGTCTGGAGCGCTCCAAGACGGTAGAATCGGAAAGCATTGTCACGACCGACTTGCAAAACGTCAGGACCATGCGGAATCACAAAACAGCCTACACAATATCAGTCTGCAAGTTTTGTTCGGAAACACGTGAAGTACCTTAAAATTATACATCATCTTGCCAAAGTACCTTGAAGAAGATGCAGTACCGCTTTTAGCACTTTATTCCGAACGGCCGGCTCCGACCGCTCGCACTGCTCCAGAAGAAACTCAGCAAAGCAGTCCTTTTCTTTGGCATTCAAAAAATCCCATGCATATTCTACGAAAAATTTATAATTAATGTAGAGCGCAAGGTATAAAAAGTTTTCGTCAAGTGCAGCAAATACGGAGATGTTTACCGATTTTGACAGGACTGTCTAACGATCCGCTGTTCGAGAGTCTGATTTCTCCGCAGTTTTCAAACTGACGGCCGGAACACCAGTTAGTCCAGATATCAAAGAAAGCATGTTCCGTTAGAAGGAAATCACCAATTTCGGAATAGCTGTACAATTCTGCACAAAAATTGCCATTCAAAAATGTTCCCAAGCGAGATAATCTACAGTCATCTTACCACCCAGCTCCACCGACAACACATCGGCATCGTCATAAGCGTACACCAAATCTGGTTCGCTTTCTGAGCCAATGTTCTGCAAACCGAAGGCACACTTTCATTATTTTTCTTCTCTGACAAAATGAAGTTTCGGATACCGATAGAAAAATATTAACACTCACATAAGTTGAAAATAATGGTACAGTAATTAATTTTAACGTAAATGCAGCAGGAGGTACACTTCCAGAATTACAATATTCGTGCAATACAAATCAAAAAGAACTCTGAACAGAATTCTTTAGTCGAACATTTTTGAAAAACGGAAACTGCCTTTTTCGAAAGCAAACCCAGGATGCGGAGCAAACTAGCACCTTGTGAAGTCTGATTTAGATTTCGGCTAATGGCTCATGTAATATTATTGCGAGAACAAAACGCTGAATCAGAACGTGGAGTGAATGACGTAACCACTCGAGCAATCCCACCTGATAGTCAGCTTCCCCGTTATTGGAGTCCCGACTCGATCGACTGGAGCCCCAAGATCCGCCGATACTGAAGCGTGCTGATCCACTACTGCTGGACACAATATCCGGAATCTCGGGCACGGCCCCAGCGCCCCCGAACGGACTGCTGGACATGGGCAACGTCCGCTCGCCCGCCGCCACACTGCCCGAAATGGTGCTGACACCCACGGCGTCGGTGCTGTCCTCCCCAGCATCCCCACTGTCCACCGTCGTCAGTGTCAGCGGCTCGAACTGGAAGACGGGCGCATGGGCCAGCTGGCGTGTGTAGATGCCTGGACTGGGGGGACTGCGGGCGCCGTCGTTCTCGTCGGACATTGCGGCAGACTGCAATGACAACCGACAGATATGCACTGAATCCACACCACAGGTTAAAGAGCGCTACAGTGCTCCGCAGTCTGCTAGCGTCAAACAGCGCAGAAGATCGAAGAAACAGATCGTTGTGTGATTGTGAATGTGGATGCAACACAAGTTACACTACGGAACGCCAAAAAGGGCAACATACAGTACGTAACAAACTGCAAAACTTTCGCAAACCCTGAAATGCATCTGTTTTGTAAGATAATCATACCTTTCGCTCAAAATAAGTGTAGTACGGTCAAGTATCGTGACGATTACGAGACATTTAAAACCAATACAGTCGACCAGATTACACCTTCCAAAACGACTGTTCCAATATTGAAAAAACGATAATACGTACAAGTTTCACCTGTTTCCAAAACAAATGAGAAATCTTTAAAAAGGCAGAATGCATGTCAAAACAAACTCTGCATGTCTGTACAGTGCACACACGAATGTGACACGATGTGAACCGTGTCTATTCATTTTGTCCACCGTTCATTTTGTCCACCATTCATTTTGTCCACCATTCATTTCGTCCACCATCCGCTTACAACGTGTCTTACAGCTTAATTGACTGCTATACTGACTTTAATTCAGCAACAGTACAAGTACAGTGAAGTACGATGATAGCATGACAAAGACAACGTGTAACATTCGTAAATCTACCGAACACTAAAGACAGTCAGACAAAACAATATCAGCATAAAACTCAGAATCTCCACAAGCCACACCAACTAGATCACTGGTTGAATGGCGAAAACGCGCCGAAGCGCTTTGGGGTAATACTCGCCCCAGATCCCATCGGGCATGACACACAGAGACTCCGAATTTACACCTCCACGTCCCATCCACCCATCCAGAGGGTTCGGGGAGATCCACTCCACGGTCCAATGTGAGCGAAACGACAGCTTCCAGAATGAACATCCATGCGTCCCCGAAAACAGAAAACACAGAGCCCCCGAACGCTGCACCAACTAGGTCACTGGTTGAACGGCGAAAACGCGCCGAAGCGCTTTGGGTTAATACTCGCCCCAGATCACATCGAGCACAACATCCAGAAACCCCAGGCTCCCCACCCTCAGGCCGCATGAATCCGGAATGCGAAAATGACGTATGCAAGCGACGGCAGGTCTCGGAGTCAGCGCGGCTCCCGAGCGCACATCCACGGTTTCCAACCTCACCGTTCCCAAAAGCAAAAACAGCAGAATCCCCGAACGCTGCACCAACTAGGTCACTGGTTGAATGGCGAAAATGCGCCGAAGCGCCTTGGGTTAATACTCGCCCCAGATCACATCGAGCACAACGTTCAGAAACACCGAGCTTCCCGCCAACAGGGCCGACGAAGTCTTCTCCGCGGGATGAATTCAGGAACCGATTCAACTCCATGATATGAGAGACGGATGAACAAGGCGAATCAGATCCAGCAGATGAGTATGGCGAAGTGAGATGTTACACGGGTGCTAGAGAGCCTCCAGTGGCGGATGCTGGCAGAACCCGACCGTGAAAGCGCTCAGGACTTGTCCCTGCCAATCTGCTTGTACCACACAAAACTGTATTGAACGATTAGGCTGTATTGATCTGTTCGCCTAAGAATTTTTAAGCTTGATGATGTTTTCTTATGGTTTTCTTATGTTTCTTATGTTCTCCAGCTTGTGGTTTCTTAGGTTTCTTAAGTCTAATGTTCTCCTTTTCTTATGTTTCCCTACGTTTTCTTATATCTTCGCACGTCTTTTTGTTTATTCTTAGGTTTTTTGTTTTCTTATGTTTCCTTACTGGTTGTAAGAAGCCAGTTTGACTTAAGACACTAGTGTAAGGCCTTGGCTCAAATTCGAACCGTATCTCGCTACGGTAGGTGGCTCCACCGCACGAGGTGGCTTGGAGAACTGTACCTGCAGGCGTGGCAACTGCAAGCAGCTACTTCGTGCGGTGGAGCTACCGTACCGTAGCGAGATACGGTTCGAATTTGAGCCAAGGCCTAAGTTTGCAGTTGCAGTTCAGTGTGCGCTGTGGGCCGCATAAATCGAACTCGTTCACGCGACGTATCACGTCAAGGAATTCGATTTGCACTGCAGTACGCTTACAGTGTATACAAAACGTACGGTGGACAAAATGAATGGTGGACAAAATGAACGGTGGACAAAATGAATGGTGGACAAAATGAATGGTGGACGAAACAATAGGAAGCCATGTGAACACTGAGCTATGGATATGTAGTGATTATGTACATACTTTATACAAAACGCGCTACAATAATACTACAATATTATATACAGTGTACTACTGTACTCTCTATTCTGTATAGAGTGCAGGCGGCAGTGGTATTATTTTTATGACTTACGGACGGAGTGTTTTACTGTCTTGTTTCGGCTTTCGCGACATAGCAAACTGATAAGCAAATGTACATGTACGAAACAACTTAAGAGAGTTCAGAAAAAAATACGAAGATCTTGACCATTCTATATTGGTTTTGTGTCCTTTATCATGAAAACACTCATCCATCCGATCTGCACGACATCCATCCTTACGAGATTGTTGACTAATTGTTCAAATGTTGCTTTAATGGACATCAAGACATCGATCAACAGAAGCTTATGGTTAGTTCACTTTAGTTGCCATTCCAGCCATGCGCTATCGTTTAAAGGAACAAGTTCATCAGGGCAGCCGTTGATTATTTCCATAAAGGTACGCAGAATTCACAAAACAATTAAAAAATTCAAAGCACCACTTAAAGCCGACAACTTTTATACAAGCAAGCACTTTATACACGCATTTATATATTTTATACAAGACAACTTTTATACAATTTTAAACAAGTAAAGCGCGTATTTTCATACTAAAGCGGTAAAGCCGACAATAGAGTATCCAAACTAGTATTTCTAGATTCTATCAACCAGGCGCAAGCCGTGCAAAGGTGCGTAAATCTGTGGACAAACACACTGGTAACCAGAAGCCGACAAGTTTAACACCGGAACCTGCATCCCAATACAGGTCGCATTCAAGATCAAACAGGTCAAGTCAAAATGGGAGTTGAAAGTTCATGCCATTGACCTGTACGCCTCCTGTCGGTCGGGGACGGAGACGGTATTGCAGTGCGTACAAGGTGATTTTCCTTAAAGAGGTTAACTTTGGACATTTAAATGAGCCATTTTGCTCTGGAGCCAACAAGGGATCATCCAACTGCCACTTTCTCAACACCTGCAAGTTTCGATCATGTAGCATCAAGGAGAAATCGAGACAAAAAAACGATAACATTTCGTGCACTAACATACAACGAACGCTGAGAGCAAGAGCCTGTTTTGTGTGTAGTATCGGTCTCACTGGACTACTACAATGTACGAGTAGGTACGGCGCACTATGCAGTGCCACTTATTCAGAAGCTCGTCTACCCTAGACATCAACCCACCTGCAGAACAAGCTCATCTGATTGCGGTAATCTTTTCGCCAATTCGGTCTCCATTGATCGCAAATCCTGATTGCTCATTTCCGGACACAGACCATCCAACGCATCCAGCAAAGACTTCGTGTTCATCGCATCGAGAACAATATTGGCTGGCTTCAGCTTCACTCCAAAAGAATTCTCGAGAAGGCGGTCGCATTTAAAAATAACTGGAAACCCCGGTACGACCGGAAGGCGGTCCTGCGATTCCACCAAAGCCCGCACATCCACGTTTATCAAAGCCAGCTTGCCACAAACATCAAGCCATTCGGGACGCAAGTACACCCGGAGCGGATCGGAATACTCCAACAGATCGCTAGCCCAAATTGTGCGCCGGTTAATCACAATCATCGGAACGAACACGTTCATAGCTTTCAACATGGCGGTTACGGAACGAAAAGGTGCATACTGCCATTTGCCAAAATATTGTCCGGTGATGATTAAAACTTTGGTAGCTGGGCCGGCCGTTTTACAGAGTGATAAGGGTATATGCACATTTTCGCGCTGACAACCACTGCCGAACACGGCAGGAGAACGCATCGGAAGATTGTCAATGTCAATTTTGATCACCACAGGACTGGTAAGCAAATGGTTCCAGGTTCGGCAGACTCGACGGCACCTCTGCTGGTTTGTTATATCGATATCGCTCAAAATTTCAAGAACAACTTCCGGCAACACATCAGCAATAGTGAATCCCTGTATGTTCGCAGGTGGCAGAGCCATGGGCATTAACACTTCAGACTTTGACCTTTTCTTACCTACCCCAAAATGCATTGACATCATTCCATAACGAAACAAGCAAGCAACACCATAATGCAAATACCATGAGGAAATGCTGCCTGGAAGGGTCGCTTGGCCGGTTTCCATTCATCAGGTCCGATTAACAGGCCACGCACGGCATGAAGAAAGCTGGTCTGAAATTATACAATTAGGACATCTTTCATTTTATTACCAAGTTCACAAAGCTCACACTGCCTTGGAATCACGTAATTATTTGATTTATGACAAGGGACAAAATTACAAAATCTAGCAAATGAGATAATCTGTGTCAGGAGTGGAACTAACAACTGATGAACCCTGGTGACGTCATTTCAATTCAAGTTATGGATACCGCCATGTCCCGTGCACCACGGGTAACCGCATTTTCACTTACGCACTGCGTTGTTGAGAGCATTGTCTCGTTCACAGTAAGGTAGCTCAATGTTCCAGCGATACGCTTCACCGCAATAGTATCTGCTTCCCGGTTCCACCAGATTCCGAATCGTGGACGTTCAGTTAAAGAAATCAGTTCTTGGTCGTTGGGCAACTCAACACTATATTTGTAGTAAGTCCGCATTTCAGACTGGAAGTTTTCCAGTTCAACCGCATTCTCCACTCGGTCCGTCGGCAGGACATCTCGAACCAGCACCCCATCCACTTCCATTTCAACAAACGCGAACTCCTGCCTCTCGTAGGCGAGCAGCTTTGCTGGATACCAGCGCCACGGCTGGTCCGCCGATCGCTGAGACAACGCTCGTACTTTGTTTCCAACAAAAATGCTATCGGTGTAGCCACGATCTCTGCACTTGCTAAAAGGGATCACATCGGAACGGTGACCGGGGAACCCGAAATCAATCACGAGGTGTTCGGGATCCATGTCGGCGATAAATCCATGGTGGAGTGAGCGGATCCCGTTTGTTTCCACCAAAACGTCAACGGCACCAGCGCGCCAAACATCTTTTTTGAACATTTTCAGATAGTAAATTCACAAATTCAACAATATTTTGGTTAAATCAAACAGAAAAATATTCACGCCAGCAAAGGTGGCGAATGAAAAAGTAACCTGAGAAGCTACTCAAGTTTCACCATTACATTGATTACAGTACCGGAAAATCCACTCGTGTTACTCCTCAGAGGCCCAAACAACAGCGGCAATTCATGAAACCACCACACTGTGGCAGAAAGTCTTAAGGTTCAGTAAAAGTGTTTGTGACCGCCACGAGCAGCGCATCTTGTGTTCCGTTTTTACTAAGCCAGCCCACCGGAAGATTTTGTCTTGATTTCGCCTTTGGCCCTCGTTGTTACGGACAAAACCGCTGTTGCAACTTTTACTTGTATTTACGTTTTTCAATTTTTCCGGAAAACAAATTATGAGACTGTAATGTTGTGATGTCTCACCCGTTCTGAAAAGCTAGATTCCCGTCTGACTCCTTCTTTTGTTTTGCTTTATTGTTCTTCCGTTTTGCAAAACTCCCGAATACGCACTAGCAATGCCAGAAGCGTCATCTCACAATCAGTTTGCATTTTATTTTGTGCAACTTATCCTTCGGTGTTTTTAATTTACTATCTTGAACGGGAATCTTGGCAGCATTCCAGTTGAAACTATCTCGCTTCGCGTCGGAACTGTGCGATCTCATCCAGTCAACCTTGGCGGTTCTTGCGCACGGACTACTTTGTGTAAAACGTCCTCTACCTTCGCCACGATGCAGCGAAAACTCGTAGGTAAATCTCAAAAATCGGAGGAAAACCTCGATAGCTCCAGTTCTGACGAGGCGACGGTTCCGAATGGACAAGCGGAAGTCAGCCAAGAGGAAGAAAACCAGCAGAAAGATGACAGCGAGCCCAGATTCCGAATCTTTGACAAGCCGTAAGTGGTCTGATGTCTTGACAGACGCTCACGTTTTCTGGTGGCGTTGGATCCTTAAAACGTTTTTTCGATTCTCCAAATGTTACCGAATAAAAAATGCGGTAGTTAGCTGCTGACTGATTGTCAGTTGAATTTATATTACAACAGGAATAATATTAATACTGCTAGTTTGTTTGCATGCGTAGTAGCTTTTGGCTTGAAACATTTTGTAGCGTCAAAATAAAATCTACAACTGGCGAGTACAATTTGGTGAAATGAAATCAATTATTACGATCGTTCAGCAGTATTTATTTATCATTTATGCACACTATATCTTGTATGACTTATCGCATGTTTTGCTGGTTGCTTTCTTGTTATGCCTATCTTACCAGGGAATATTCAGTTTATTTTTTTCCGGAAACAGAATCCACAGGCCCCGGGAGTCCCTGTTCAGTGTCGCCAGTGGATATAACAATTACAGAGGTTTCCTAAATTTGTGCATCGTCTTGTTGGTGAGCATTTGCCATTTTGTTGTTTCTTTACATTTTGGTGTTTACACTTATTTCTACGTATTTAATCTGCCAGTTTTGTATTGCATTCGGATCGCATTAATTTTTTCTTACGTACGATGTTTTATTTTGCAGATTCTGTCAAATGCACGATTATTATTGGAGAACGTAATGAAGTAATGCGGAGTAGTTTATTTAGTCGCAGATGTTACTGGCGTTAACTACTGATATTGCCTGCAGATACGGCATTCTTGTTGATCCAATTCAGTGGATCACCGTCATCTTGGCCGATCCGCATCGATGGCCTTGTTTCACCGTTTGTATGGCGTCCAATATTTTTGTATTGATCGCGCTCAAGATAGAGCAAAAACTGTGCCAAGTACGTAAAAAGCCGTTTTTACCTTCTTTTTAGTTCCCTAATTAGTAATTGGTTAGAGTTTTGGATAAAAATTTAAAATCGCAAAACTCAGAACAAGTTGCAGAATTTATTATTGTTGCTCGGTGTGGCGGAGAAATTCTCCAAGTGTAAACGATAATTAGTTTTAACATATAACGAATGCTACATATAACACGATTCGAAGGCAGTTACACATACAGTAATGGCATTATACAATGTAGCGCCTCTTATCAGTAATACAAGTTCTCGAAATTCTTTTTGGCCGTTGAACATATTATCAGTTCTGGTGTAGGATTATCATATTTTTAGGGTGCTGTGAGTGAACGGATGGGAACCGGCCTGCAGATTGCTAACCTGTCATCCGTCTTAATATTTCCCGCTGTGGCTGTATGGTTTCTGCATTCGTATCTGCGTAAGAAATAATAAATATTTGATATAAATAACATAAGTGTCATAAGTACATAGTTGTGAATTTTAAGGCTTTCTGTTAATTTTGCAAACGGCAGAATTAATAGTTAAATGTGTTTACACAAAAGGATAAACAGTTTAATTGAAAATTTTGATATCGTCGGTAAATGTATATACATTTACCGAAATACTGTCTCCGAAAAACTGCCTACCGAATAAGATTCCGCATTTATTTTGCGGACCGTAATTAAGGGAAGTGGACTAGTGCTGTACATTATTTTTACGTATCGTTTCAGTGGCCGCCTTTACCACAATGATCATCTACTCGTGTCTATTCATGAAATTAACATCCTACGTCATGGTTAATCGATGGTATCGATTGGCCAGGCGGGGGAAGATCTCCCCGGAGCATTTCCAGCACCCTTACAGCAACCCACAACAGCTGCGCGAGAAATGGTCTAACTGTAAGAGAGCATTTCTTGTTGACTGTGTTCTCCGCTTAACAAATGAATGATTCATAGCTTCCTTTGGTGCTTACGATGAACCGGAAGTGGCCTACCCGGATAATTTGACGGCTCGGAATATTTATTATTTTTATGCTGCGCCTACTCTGTGCTATGAACTGAATTATCCACGAACGCCTGGAATAAGGAAGGTCTACTTGGCTAAAAGAATTGGCGAAATTGTAAGCTACATTGCTGGTGAGCTTTTTCATACGTTTGTTGTGCGCATATGGACGATATTTTTCAAACCATGTACTCTCGATGAATTCAGTGCGTATTAGTTGTTCAACGTAGAAGCGGCCAGATGCCGGTTCAAGTATTTATGACAACCTTATTTATTTGCCATACTCACCGTCTTTGAGCACTGTTTTTTTGAATCCGACATGTGTTCCCCTACCCGTAGCAGTTGTTAAAAACCCAAGAAATCTAACGTGTCGCATGATAGATTCCCGACGGAAACCGTAAGGGTACATTGGGAACACCAAAGGATGTACAGAAGGATACTGTAAAAATACTGTGGAATACGGCAGTTAAAAGGAAAGACCACATTAAACAAAAAAGCAAATGCAGAATACGTGTTGCTTGTGTGCAGGATACCAAGACCTGTTTACACGTTTGTTAGCTCCGAATCCCACAGTATTCCACTGTATTAGCACTCTGTCCGCCCAGAATCCCGCATGTGTCCTGCTATCTGTTGACTGTTTTAGTAACTGTATTCAGTGAGGACCAAGCACCGATATATTGAATTAAGGAGAATACTTATAATTGGGGGTTTTTTTAAATGTAACGTGTGCAAACCGTGCTAAAGGTGCTTGTAAAATTGAGCGGTTATGTGCCAGCGTAGTGTCCTGATTAGGTTTCACTTCAGGATAGAATGCCAACTTTTTAAATGCCAACCCTGTTTAAATTCTTTTATAGAACTTTTGTCAAAGCCAGATTACTTATGTTTATACCTAATTCCCCAGGATTATAATATCGTTTATGTTTTAGTTGTTGTTGACACAACTGGAATTAGCACTGGCTCAACAGTGGCTACTTCCAATCATGCAGAATTCTGTGGCACCCCTGCGCGATTCCGATTGGTCGAAAATCATGGAACGTCTCTTAAAGCTGGCGGTATTTTGTTGATTTTTTATTTCCATTACATGTATGTTGTGCGGTATTCATGAGGCGTTTTGATTAGATTCCAAATCATTGCATGTGGCTGATTGGATTCTATCTGTTTTTCCACTCGGCAATGAACGCTATAGCGGAAGTGATGCGCTTTGCGGATAGACAGTTCTATAAAGATTGGTGGAACGCGGAAACGGTGCAGGATTTCTGGCGGAACTGGAACATGCCGGTCCATCGGTGGGCCTCGAGGTGAGTGGGGGTTGCTCGTCAGTTTGCAGGCTTGAAAATTGTTTTACGTAGAGTTAGGTTGCCAAACACTCATATGCTGGATTTGAAAAATCACTATGGGGTTCCTCATTCCTTTTAATTTTTACAGGCACATGTTTGTTCCGCTTCTTGACAACGGTTTTAAGAAGTGGCAAGCGGCATTGTTCGTGTTTCTGGTGTCAGCATTTTTTCACGAGGTACGTACGTAATCGTTTAAAATCACACCTGAATGCAACTACTTACAGTTAACATTTTCAGGGCAGCAAGTTTTTTAGTTTGGCTTTAAAAATATGGTAAAGCGTAAAGCTAATGCAAGACGTGGCAGGAGGTATGATAACGCTGGTGGCTAAAAGAAATGATAGGTTCTGCAGAATGATCGCATTCGGATGTACAGAGTACGTCTTACGAGGGATATTTAATGTTGAGTTTACGTTGCATATTTCTGTATGTCGTACAGGCAGATCGGTTGGTTTTGCACTGAAATTGCACCAGTGTGGTTTAAATGGCGCACTTTCAACCTGCGATGATTACAATACTTCCTTGTGTTTATTCTTGAGATTTCAATGAAAGTGTAGCACAAAATCATTTTGTGAAAATAATCGAAAAGAAAAACAAGATTTCTAAAATCTTTCGAAGATTCGAAGACTGAAAGTCCACTTATGTGTGACTTGTGTGATTTTAACAGCGTATTGGACGTGGGTCTGTGAACCTATTCGTTGGCATTTCCCTGTTGTAAAATTTTTTTCCTCTTGCAGTACGTTGTGAGTATTCCGCTGGGGATCTTCCGGTTATGGGCTTTCATGGGAATGTTGATGCAGATCCCCTTCGCCATGTTCGTGCAGCGTTTCATGAAGGGCCCACTAGGTAACATGGCTGTGTGGATGTCGTTGATTGTCGGTCAGCCACTGGCCATTCTCATGTACTTCCATGATTACTATATTCTGGAGACTAAAAGTGGACATGATGTGATATTGGCCTGAATGTTTTGTCAATGCTTCCTCGGCATGCCGCACAACGGATTGTTACGTGGAATATATAGTACTACTGCTTTGAATTTCTAAAATTTACTGGAAACTCATGCGGGTCTTCTACGGACGGCTATGTTTTGGGTGTCGGGTGGGTGTCGTTTTAAGGGGCTGTTTTTACTCGTACCAAACTGTCTCGGTGATTGACAAAGGAATTTATCTGGATAACTTTGTTTGAATTTGTATTCTTATTTAACGTTTCTAGAATTAAACGAATGGTTAAAAAGCAAAACAAAACTATCGGCAACGTTTCCGTGTCCAGTCATGACTGTTGTAGCTGCGGATTCATGCTACAGATTTATGACTTAAATTTGCCGTAAATATTTGATTTAGAAACCGATCTGTATAGTCTGCTCACTCTGCTCCGCTGCGTCACAAACTAATTTTTGAGTCATAAAGAGAGTTCGTTTTCCTTGAATCATTTTGATGCTGAGCGACAATGCGGAAGTGGGAATGACTGTACAGTGTACTTATCGGAATGCTTAATCCACAGTTTCACGGCGTATACAAATTATTACAGACACGCCGTGCAGCTCTCAATTTTGACTATTATGCTGCACCATCGAAGAAGTAGTTACGGAAAATTTTTTTTTAATTTCGTGCTTTGATTTAGCGGAGAAGGTGTTTATCGGACGTTAGCGAAATCTAGTAAACCTATATCGGTTTATTAATTACGTGCGCAGCCAGTGTGTATGTGGTCACATGAGTGTTGTTTCTTCTTTATTTCAAAAGATTGAATAATTTTTATCATATCAGTATATTCTGCGGGCGATAAAGTTGGCATAATGCGACACATACAGTCAAGTGTTGTTGAACTCGTTAACTCGTTACGATTATTTTATATTTTCTAAGCTAGTTAATATTACAAGTATTTGCTGCAGTTTGTATTTTAAAGTGCCGTCGTGGGTATGTGTTTGCGGAAGTGCGAGCTAGATTGATGGAAGCCTTTACACCGCATTGGTTATACACATAGGGAGGTGATGGCTTTCTAAAATACTCATTTAAAATTAAAATACTCAAATGATTGTTCGATACGGGAGGGTCTGAAGGAGATTAATATGATGCAGTTTTCATACTTCTACAGAACCTTGTAGTTGGCGAACGGTGGTAATCAGGAGAACTGAAGAAAAATCGCTTCCGAAGGTTATGCACCGTAATTTATGCACCGGTTTGAATTATCGTTTCGTTTTGTTATTTGTGGATCGGAAACTCGTCATTATCAGTGCTAGTGCTAGCTAGTCATTATTTTTGTGAAAAATGATTTTCAAAAACGGTGTGCATCGGACGTACACTTACCAAAACTCCAGCGGCAACAATGAGACCTTTCCATGGACGGAAGTGCAAATCTTGCGCGGACTGCAGGAGAATGTCGATGTTATGTTTCTGCTGATCTGTGGCTTTTTTATATTCTGTAAGTACGTGCAAAAGACCGCCGGTCAGGAATTAATAACAGCTACGCAGACTTAATGAATCCTTACAAGTTTATTTATGTAAATAACGATTACGTTCGAATTCGAAGTTTTTTGTTGTCAAACTAATGTCATGATCATTTGAAATTTACTGATCAGTGAAATACGCATGTTTCCTTGGTATTTACAGTTATGAAAGCTGGATTTGCTTTTTTGGAAGCCGGCGCGGTGCGACGGAAAAGTGTTGTGAACAGTTTATTTCGAAATTTTATGGATTTATGTAAGTAGAGACTGCACGTGTGTAGGAAATGTCTCTCGAGCACTTTTTTTTATTTTTTTACTAATTATGCGCGGCGGTGTTTTCCGATGCAGACATATGCGGGACAGCGTATTGGTTGTTCGGGTACGGTCTGGCGTTCGGCAATACCGGTAACCCTTTTGTTGGCCATGATCCCCGCTATTTCGCACTGGCCTGGGTGTCCACGACGGAGTATGCCATGTGGTTCTTCCAAATGGTCTTCGGTGAAGCCGCCGGCACCATTATGTCCGGTGCAGTGGCCGAGCGAGCCAATTCCCTGGGATATATTGTTGCCAATTTTATGGTCACAGGTATTTAATCCAACTTGCTTGTTAATCTCCTAAATCGCAGTTTTAAATGCCCTTTTCAATTTTTGCACAGCTTAACTTAAAGCATGCTATCTGAAATTAATATTTTGGAGTCAAGGATCATCTCTGTTATCCGAAGCCGGATGAACAAAATATGGAAATCAAATCTTAGGCAGAATTACAATGGCTGCAGCAATAATGGTGATTCGTTCCTCGCGTTGAGTAACCGTTGAGTAACCCGGAAATGTTGCATGGCTCTGTGTTTTAGTGAATAATTATTGTTAGGATTTCTTCTACGGGCTGATCGTAGCGCAGTGCTAGGCCCAGGATTTAAAAACAGATTTTTGCCACCTAAGGACAAAAAAATAAGTATTATAGCTGTAAGTAATTGTCGGTAGTCTGCAAATCAAACTGCGAAAATACTTGTTTAATTACTCACTTTGAATGAAAAACTTTGTGCAGGATGTCATTCAAAAAGTTACAGTACCATTCCCGATTCTTGCTTCTCACAGCATGCTCATCAAAGTTCCATTCTGATTTCAGGATTTGTGTATCCCATCGTCACACACTGGGTGTGGTCACCGGATGGGTGGCTGATCAACGGCGACGGCGTCGTGGGCTTCACCGATTTCGCCGGAAGTGGGTGTGTCCATGTCGTCGGCGGTGCGTGTGCGCTAGTGGCCAGTTTATTCGTGGGGCCGCGCATGGGACGTTTTGATCACAACGGTGCCTCACAAGAGCTGAAAGGCCATAACCTGCCCTTCACCGCTCTGGGCGCCTTGATTCTGTTCTTCGGATTTTTGGCCTTTAACGCCGGGTCGCAGAAGAGTATTTCACAACCGGGTGACGGGGCCATCGTCGGCCGGGCGGTGGTCAACACCGTCGTTGCGGCATGCTCCGGTGGCTGGGCGTTGACATTTTTAGTGAAAATCAAGGAAAAGCGATGGAGTTTGATGCAGGGATTAAACGGAGCTTTGGCGGGAATGGTAATAATTTCAAGAAAACTAACACGGGCTTGACTTTTAAAACAACTAAAACAGCAGTTTGTCATTCTTTGATGAGAGTGCATTTTTAAGGTGGCCATATGTGCCGGATGCGCCTCCATGCACCCGTGGGCGGGCTGTTGTACGGGGATTATCGCTGGATTTGTTTATTATTTCTATAGTCAAGTCACTCCCCGCGTCCGCATTGATGATCCCGTAGATGCCATTGCGCTGCATCTGGGAGGAGGCTCATGGGGCGTTATGGCCTACGCTATTTTTGCTGATGATGGAATTCTGCTTAATTGGAGCAAAGAATCGTTTCTGGTGCGGTTATCAAAATACATAAGGCAAAACGCTGTACAAAACGCATTTCTACGCAAGCAATCGCAACAAAACGTTCGCTAAATGTCCGATTTTGACGATCTTTTATGTACCGGGTTGCCCATTCCGCCTTTTAAACCACATTTTTATTATTAATAATTGCTTGCAGCAACTGTAACCGTTGACTACTGTCCTGGGCATAGGTTAAAATAAGAAGCGAATACGTTTCGCTGTGTATGTTTTCCATAAAGATTTGATAAGCAGCACGGAAATTCCAAAATTAGGAGATTTTGTGCGTCTGTCTTTGAAGAAGACGGCAATGGAAAAAGGATATACTCCAGGGTGGTCAATAGAAATTTACAAAGTTAAAGCTGTTGAAGCCCATGATGGCATAACCATGTTCCGAGTGGAAGATTTGAAACGTGAAATGTTAGAAGGACGATTTTACCGCCACCCTACCCGGGTAGTTGATATTTGGTAGTAACCGCTTTTATCTTAAAAGCTGAACTCGAAACTTCTCGTCACGTTTGCCCTATTTTGATTACGTACTTACTTTGTTCAATGCAGATTCTGGGATGGCAAACGGCGGGGTTGGTGGCCATCACGGCATGGAGTATGGGCGTCACCGCGCTGATCTTCGCCGTGTTGAAGCTGCTCGGTTTGGGCGTGGTCTCGCAGGAGAAGCAGCTGCTTGGACAGGATGTGCGCGTCCATCGAGAGTCCGGCTACGGCGAAGACGATCTGTACTCCTCCAGAAGTTCACTCATTTCGCACTCTCAGGCCGAGGATGGCGAACCAGGAGGAAGACCACGTTCGGACAGTATCGTTTCCGATCTGGCATGATGTGACATTTCCCATGTGCTCTGTTTTTGTGATAATTCGATTGTTAATTCATGTTATATGATTGTTACGTATCCAGAAAGCTGAAAATAATTTGTGATAATTTGGCCTGGTGTTTTGGTGTGCTCTGAAATGCATTTGTTAATGCCCTACATAATTATGTTGTGCAGACTGTACTCTGCATGTACAGCACGTGTAGTTATCACGCCGCCGTCGGTAGTTAACGTTGCTTGCGAAATGTTGCGCTGAATTGATTGAATTCGGTCTTTACACACAGCTGCACTTACAATAGAGGTGTTATGTTTTTATAGTAAGTTATTATATACTTACTACTTACTTCGATGCAGTTTCAAATACCGGTTTCAGAAGCGTTTAATGCGTGTGCGTTGTTCCGTAATATAAACGAGCGGTATCGTAGCCGTAATTGCGGTTTCCGGTGCAAACTTCACAGCTTGAGCCTGTGTTGCTTCCACTTGCTTGTCTGCCCCTACTCGATTGTCGTACAGTCGTATTGCACTAATACGGTATTTCTTCTAATGGGCAAGATAAACTACCCGTACGTGATTTGAGTCATGGAGTAAAACTTTTCTGATCAGTGAATGAATTATACATAAACTCATAAGAGGTTTATGCGAACTTTGCATGGAAATCTCAAGAACTACGGCATCAGCAATTATTATAATTATAATAACAAATTTTTTTAGCCATACTGCGTTTGTGCTCGGCTTGATACACTGCTTTAATCCGATGCGGTGCAGCTGGCGATTGGTACCTGTTCAAATATATATCCCAGAGTTTCTCCAAGCACCTTACAACCGATTCTGCACATGGAAGTTTATTAGGATTTTCATTGTGACCAAACTCCTCTGGACAATCGTGCTGCTCACTCTAATACATTATCTTCCGGAATCTTCGTTGCCCTGGCCACTGAATCGATCGCACAATCGCAGCATCAGCCATGAGAGTTCGCAAGCGCTGATCCCTAACCGAGAGGATCCGGTTCGGGCAGAACACCCGGAAGTCAACGCAATAAATGATCGAAAGTGGGAGCAATATAATGACGTGGCTGTACATAAAGGAAAGCACGATGAAGAAAGGTTTTATCAACCGATGAACGATCGTCCACCTCTCGAACTGCATGATAACTTGGTGTGATACTGACGACGAGGTATAGAATGATCTAAAGATCTAATGCAACTAATAAAACGGTAATGCCTTTGATGCAGTTGAAATTGTTTACATAAGTACAATTTTCGCACTGTGTTGTACCGCATGTCTCTAACCATAAGGTTGTTACTGCTGACTTTCAATAGTCCAGAAATTTGCTTTTTCTAACTCATGCTCAAACCAATAAAGCGAAAAGTAACTTTCTCTCAGGACTGAAGTATTGCATATCGGTTGTATACAGTAGTGTATCGCTTTTGAGTAACGCTGTATATATATGTAAGTACGAAACTTTGCGCGAGCAGACCATAAAAACTTATGATTTGAAGTGCAATACGATTAAAATAACTTGCATAACGCCGTCAAGAAAAAGCGAACGAAATTCCCGTAGCAGAGACCAGTCAGTTAAGTAATGTTCCGATTCAAAACACATCAAGCCAAAAACTGCAGTGCAGAGATAATACAGCAAATACAACGCACAATAAAAATTAATGAAACAAAACGACACATCCACTTCATTTTATGGTACAAAGACTTATCCATGAGAAAACGGAAAAAGAGTCAGCGACGCGCACGGGGGGAATTGCTTCGCGACCGACGCCGATCATTGTAGCGGCCAGCGGGACTGCGCGAGCGACCCTTGCCTCCCGGAGGACTACGCCGCCCAATGCGACCTGATCATATAAATATATCAAACATCAATGATTTATGTAAGAAAATGTTAGTATTAACAACGCTTGCGTACGTACTACGCACATAATTCATAACGCTGGGTACGGTACACTTCGCTACCGTCTTATTTTTCAGTTCACCAATCTACATATCTTCCAAATTGTGGGATTCACATTGTCTAATTAAAACTCTCAGTCGACTTTACCGTCATAATTTATCATCAAACCCATACAATACAAACCGAAAAACTCTCACCAATGCATTCAACACTGTTAGCTTTTTAAGAAAACTCATAATACACATGTGAAATCTCCGGACACCAACTCACTACTGTGCCACTACTCAAGTTTCAAAACGCTACCGGGGAAATAATTATTCGGATTCGAAAAAATTCGTGCAGCTCGCAACCTCCGTAGTTCAAACCTTCAAATTCAAAACACCTAAAAAATCTCGCAGACTACTGACCTCCACCGAATCCTCCATAGCCGCCTGATCGATTTCGTCCACCCCCACCGAAACGTCTCATCCCGACGCCACCTCGGCGCTCAAATTCATCCGCAAACTGAACATCAATACTCTGACCATCAATCTGTCCGCCGTTCATGTAGTGCAGCGCCTGTTTGGCATCTCCAAGGCTTTCGTACTCGACGTAGGCTATTTTGATGTGCAGGGTAGGATGATCGCGATCCATGGGCATATCCACATTCTTTAGCTTACCAAATTTGCCGAATATTTCTACGACGTGGTCTTTGGTCACGTTGAGGGTCAAGCGGCTAACAAAGAGGCGAGCAGGCTGCGTGGGAGATGTGACTTCTGGTTGTGCGGCTTGGCGATCCTTCTGTAAATCAAAATAATAATAAAGACGACAAATTTATTCACTCATATCAGAAAAACTGATTGTGACTTAACACGTAAAATGCTGCCATGTGTGCAGATCTGGATGACTGTCTTACAGCAACTAAAAACAGATTCGATGCTCTGGCATGTTGTCTTTATTAAAATATCCAAATCAATTTAAACAGGTTAATGCCCTTAATGAATTCTGGAACAGGTTTCCGATGCCTGGTAATGCGCTTTCTAAAGTCAACAGTTTTGCAGATACCTTTTAGCCTTCTTAAATTTATAAAAACGAATTTAGGATAAACAATATATGCCGCAGTTATATATCCAGCTGACTGAATACTGACTGAATTACATATTTTTAAAAAAAAAACCTGCTGACTAGATACATTTTTTTACTACTTCCACTAGTCACTAGTGAATAGCCAGTTATTTCATAAAAAAAGAAGCCAAGTAAATTTCAAAAAATTTACTGCTAACTTAAAACGACAATAATTGTCGTACTGCACTTAATTCATAATAGATAAGCCGCGATGAAATATCGAAAAGTTACGCCAACCTGCAAGGACGGCGATGGAGATTTTCCCTTTGGCTTGCTGCGTGGCGACCCCGATCTCCTCTCTTTGCGCTCCTTGTCCGCTTTCACGCCATCCCCTCCGGCTGCCTGTGCATCGCGCGCTGCCTTCGCATGAGGCGATACTGAGCCGCTGCCTTCGGTATCGCTTTCCGAGCCACTGCTGCTCGAACTAGAATCCGAGCCCGATCCGTCACTGCCACTGCTGGAACCAGATGAACCCGACGAACTGGAACGCGAACTGCCACTGGAAGATGCAGAACGACTGCGTCCGCGTTTGGTCGCGGGCAGGATGGGCTTATCTTTCTCTTTCTCTTTGGCATCTTTAGGTTTAGGCGGAGGACTGTCTTGACGCTTACGCCGCGATCCACTCTCAGATCCCGAAGAGGAGACACTGTCCGTGCGCTGCTTTGATGGTGGTGCCATATGAACGGTAGGGATTACTGGCTGCCAAGAACTCGCTGTGCAATGCAAGGCAGGACACAATACTTATTAGGCAGTATTAGGAAACCGTACTCTGTTTTAAGCACTAATCTGCGATCTGCATTATGTCAGTCTAAATTGGCGACTAAAGAGCTTATACTATGCGAAGTTTAGAACTAATGGTAAGGTAAAACCTGTACAATCAATCGAAAACGAAAAAATCACTGTAACGGTAACTCGCAACGATATCCCATCGATTTGCTGCTCCTTGGTATCTGCCACCTCTAGCGGTAAGGCAAACAGACAACATGTCGGATAGAGCGGTCATTCGGTCCAGTATGAAAGTACTTAAGGACCTTGTGGAGGCGCAACTAAAAGGCTACCCTAGTGGAGAAGGTTGGAAGCGGTACAGCGACTTCCACTGACGAAAGAGTTTTTTAAGCAGCCATTATCTATCCAAATACAACGGGGAAACGCGATTTGTGTAATGGGCACGATCCCCGATCAGGATAGCATAGAGGAAGTGTTCCTGTTATAATAATTACTTTGTTTTTGGTACTGAGTTTGTATCCGATGTCCGATACTTATTCCGTTTTTTTTAAAAGTACTAGTACTGTAAGTCCATAATAATAATATTTTTTGTTACAAAATGAAGTGCTTATTGCTGCTTAATTGGTTAAAGTAGAATAGCCAATATTTTTAGAGCGACGGTCTGCTGCTGAACTTAAAATATCCACCAGTTTATTTGCTGAAAATATTCCTTATTAATTTTATTGTTTGATACCCCTTTTCTACCCCTTTTCTGCCAAACGGTTTTCGGTATCCATTTATCTCAAATTGGTGGCATGACGCATTTGGAAACATTGTAACAATAATTATGAATATCACTTCCCGTCTTAATAATATGCGCTCAAAGCGACTGAAGCCATCTACAGGGTTTGTGTTGTATTAGATGCAAACAAAAACTACAAAATGCATCAAACTGTGCACATTGGCACTTTCGAGCGCAGCACTTCAAGTTGAAGGCGAAAACTTGGCAGTATTTTGTTTTGGTTGCCTTGTTTGGCCCACTTATGCACTTTATCAACAAAAATTTTCAAAGATTTTGTACTTCAGGATTAAAACATTACGAACAGTACTTTACAGTACTAATATTTTCCTACAGTAGTACGTGATCCCGGATTTCAGAATTGTTTACTACAGTATGTAGTTTGCTTTTTTCGACCGTGTCTGCAGACTATAGAATTAATATAAGCAAATGAATTTGAGTTCTGTAAGACTGTAACTAAACTCATTTACAGAGATATTAACATTTAAATCTTGAATTTCGCATTCGTGTTGCTATAAAATATAAACGCCGGTTTTGCCAAATTTTGAGCTTGAGGTTAATTAAAATGCAACGGCAGCTTTTGATCAGGGATGTTCACAGTGCAGTACGTACATACTTAAAGTAAGTACTACGTTCGTGTACTAAAAAAATTAATTATACCATGGCTATTGTACATCTGTGAAAGTACTTGTGGCCGACATTCTCTGATTTCCTGCTGACTCCGGTTTGATAACGCTTTAGGAACTTAGAGTCTCACACAACCGGTCCGGATAAAGACCATAAGGATTTTAGAAAAACGATGTCGGTATGAAGGTGCTGTACGTCAACGGATCAGCGTCGTACACCTCGCTAGGATCTAGCCAGGGTGTCCACAATCCTTGATGCAGGTCAGGGTGGGAGGCGGGATCGAAGGGCTTGTTTTGGAAGGGGAAAACTGACTGATTATAAACACTGATTTTCTGTTTTAGCGTTTGTAGTAGATTCGGATAAGATGAGGCGATATTGTTGGTCTCGCATGGATCGTTAATGAGATCGAATAAGCAGTCACTGAGGTACGGTCGACATTGGGTAACTTCCGTACCTTCGGGGAAATTGCATTCCACCGATGTGGGTGTCCACACTTTCATCGGGTTGTCCAGAGTGGTGCCTTCCGTAACTCCCCTACAATAAGTCTGCCATTTACTACCGAACCGTGAATGCGGTACTGAATTCCAGGCGAGATGAGTAAACCGGGCTCCGTATGGTCGTGTTCCTTTCGAACACTTTTTGGAGGCTTGTCCAGATTGAAAATTGTTCTTTAAGGTTCTAAGTACAGATATTTCCAATAACCTTGTAATCTGTACCACATAAACAAAATCGGACTACGTCGGATCGGCTTCTTTTAAACTTACCATCCGAAATAATTATTCATGTAAAGGTTCCCGCCTGAAACGACATTAATATTACTCGTGATTTTGGCATGACTGGCCAAATACAAATGGAGATGGAGCACAGATTAATTGTCATTCAGTCAAGACTGACCGTAAATTTTATACATTCCGCCGTACTGGTCTTGGTAAATCATGGCGTATGACCCCCCTCTTGAATCGATGTTGTTCACCAGTTCCCTTCTTGGCCCATAATTTTGCCCCTGCGTCAAGGATGTCCACTGGCTCATGCCGGTAATGTCGTTCTTATCAAGATCGGCCAGGTTTCCACCGGCTGCCTCGTACAACGTCGGCAGCCAATCGGTGATGTGGAATAGCTGGTTGGTTATGTGACCGCAGCGCTGAAGTAATGGTGACCAAATGAAGGACAACGTCCGCACTCCTCCCTCGAACAGCGAACCCTTGCCCAAACGCAACGGCCAGTTACTGCCGCGGTTGGCGCCCCGTCCGATTGCGGACGTGCCCAGAAGCGGCGCACCGTTATCACCGATGAAAACTATAATGGTGTTGTTAATGGCGCCGGTGTACGCCAAGGCGTCCACTATGCGTTTGAATTGTTCATCCAAGACTTGAATAAGCCCTGAAAGTCAAATTTCAAATACGAACGTGACCTTTAAGCTTTATTTTTTAGTTAAGGTTTGGTTTTGCTGTACAACGCGTAATGCTAACTATAATGCTGAAGGTCATCGGTGCGCGTGATTTCAGAAAAATTGTACCATGTTGTAGCCATACGATCGTACCAATTTGTTTTTTCCGCTCGGGAAACTTGTCAGTGAACGAGCGAACTGGTGGACGCAGTTGATATTTGGGCATCACCTGCAATACTGCTCCGAACTGATCAATTCCGGTATGTGGAACGGGTGTGGTGAAGTAGAGGTAGAACGGCTGACTGGGGTCTTGATCGTGTATGATTTGCTCGGCCTTGGCCGTCATCATCTCCGGAAAGTAGAAATTGTTCGTTATATTGGCAAACACCATGTTGTCGTTCTCGCGAAATGCCCGTCCGTTGTTCGGAACCGGCGTAATCTAAACGTCGTTGACGGTTTTTTGGTTTAATGGTGGTAATGATTTATGGTTAGTTGATATGCACGCCGGTTAAACTACCATAAATCATAAAAGTATCCAGTTCATGCGCATTTCGAAAGTGTATCACTTTTGAATTGACTTATTAATGGTGCGCAGCTATTAAAAAATCTTGGTTTCTGACCAAGGCCAAGTTTCTTGACAGTAATTTTGTTACGTCCGTATGGCACTGAGTATTTGGATCGATAATTATAAACGATTGATGATTGATATAATAACAGACATGATAAAAATGCAACAATGAAAACAATAAATCTGAAATCTGGTTATGGTATGGATCCAATAAGCATAATTTAGCAGTCGTATTTCTTACCCATCCAGCAGTGTAATTAAACCAGTTGATATCACCACCATGGAACCAGAACGAATAATCAAAACCACGATGATCTGCAATCAATTACCGCACGCTGTAATGATTAACCAAAAGACATAATCCATTAACTTGTGTTTCCTCTCACTAGGAAAATGGTCCCGAGAGTATGTGCCCAAATGCCACTAATAGAAAAAGAGAACAGTGATCGAAAGTAAAACCTAAACCAAAAAAATATAAAGAAAAATTAAGAACAGCCGTACCTTTCCGACGATGAATGTCTTATATCCCAGATCTTTGAAATACTGCGGTTGAATCTTGAATTGTACTGGAAGTCCCCAGGGTTCCCCTTCGCTAATCACACTAGATTGCATTCCTGTATAACCATGTACAAAGGTGTATTTCCGGTCCAGACTTTCTCGTACTCATGAACGATCATATATATATATAGAACATTTAGTTCGATTAAAAGCGTATTTATCAACAAAAACTTGAAACTCAAGCTTGCCAAAATTAAGGTTTTGCCGTTTTAGCTGCACTTTACATAGGATATCATGGATACGTTTACGTCCTAATGTAGTTATATCAAAAGACGTACCAACTCTCCAAGCGTCTTTGCCGGTCATTAAGGCTGAGCGCGTCGGTGAGCATATGGGGTTGGTATAATGACGATTGAGGATGATGCCGTCCCAGGCTAATTTGTCAATGTGCGGTGTTGGTGTCTGGAGGTTGCCTTCCGAGTAACTGATATCCGCATGCCCCTGTGAATTATAGAGTGATCCCAAAATTTAATAAGTATATGAAACAATTACGCAACTCTATATATGAAACATTTACGCAAGGTCACGCTGGCACCTGGATTATTGTTACTGAATTAGAAAATTATGAAATGTCATATATCGCGATGGCAGTGCAATGCCATCGCGATCGGCTAACAATTTAAGACAACACCGCAAAATTAATTAGTAAAAGCATTGCAAATTAATACTAGCGTAGCGCAGTTTCTCAGATTTATTTGCCATGGTAAAAGTAATGCTGTTGATGGATCCACGATACATTTTTATTGCGTCGACATATTACCGAATTTAACTCGGGTGCGACAAGACACTGATATATAAATATAAATATACAAAAAAAACAAGAGGCAACGTCACCCAGCTTATGACTATGATAATAATATCAGCTTTAATTCCAGTAACTATTGAAAGCGCTTAAATATTGACATGAAAAATTCTCTTTTTGCTTCCATGCATAAACTTTCACTTTATTGTTGTTGTTCTACCAGGATCATATAATTATCACAATAGCTTACCAGGTCATCGGCAACAAAAAGGACAATGTTGGGTCTGGGTGTGGTGGCTTTTTCTTCAGCTTCAATCCGGTCAACATGCCTCGCCTGTGCTTGTGCCCCCGGATTCCAGGCCTGCGCTTGTCCATACCGGAAACGTCGTCTAATTGGGTGTCTTGCGTTATGTCTCCGGCTACAGTCACTTAATGCAATCGTTAATGCTATCAGGACAGCAATCCGCGTACAAAAGGTCGTGATAGGTTTTGACATCTGGAATATAAATTGGTGATGATAAGCTAACAGTTTCACTGCAAGTTGTCCACAGGCGTGCATAAACAAGCCGATAAATGACAGGCATAACAGTGTGAGAATTATTCTTACCACAAGTACAACTAGCTTCAAACAATTGACTTTGTGTTGAGCGTTTTTGGCTGCCGCTGCGTTTACGCTGGTGGTTGAAAGGGTAAAAACAGCATTTTGTTGCTGCTGTAAAAGGTATTATAGATGTGCATTAACTGTAGCCTACGGATAAATTCTGATACAGTAAGTGCGAATAGGTTCTAAGGAAAGAAGCATATCCAGCTCAAATTTATGATCGTCATTTGCAAGTGTTTGATCATAGCGCAATTTGAGAAAAAATTGCATAACAAAAGCGGCGAAAGCAGCCGAATATTTTAGCACTTCGAGTATTTATTATGGTCCTGTACTTCTACAGCCACAATTGATCTAATAATTTAGTTAGTTCACTATCAGTGCATGTTCAAAGGCAAAGCGCCCTTTTCGATGAATTACAGCTCTAATCGAGTAATATGACGAAAGGTAGAGATTTGCTTCACGCATTTTGCAGAGGTTAAGTAGGATTATGTTATAATTACCGTGCGCTACGAAAATGCAAGCGGATGTAACAAAATTTTTGGGGTGCAAAATCAACTACTCTAGCTGAGTTGATCAAAGCTGGGTTGGCTTTCGGTTTGACGCCAACGGATCGACTGATTTGTGTACCCGGTGTTCCCGTCACGCTTTCTTGGGTTCCATGCAGTTGGCAATTTCTTAATTAGAACAACATTATTTATATTACTTATTTTTGGTCCAATACATTTGCAAGAAACAGTAAATATTTTTTGAAACAGTCGTCTGTTTAACTACTGATTGATTTGTCCCTTGCAGATTTAGCATGTTGGTACAGTACTGACGACAATACAGTCGTGAGTACGACAGAGTACCGTATATACCATCAGTGCTTTACAAGTTTCTGTTATTGCCAGTTTCCACTGCACTGCGCTGCTAGTCTTTACTTTCACGGATATTAATGATAATATTAGTACTGAAAGGATAATACAAATATTAGGATGTTTTATGTCGGTGAAGTACAGTCATGAACATTTCAACAAGTTGGCGGGTTCTACGCACGACTACTGCACACGCATGCAATGTTGCGAAATGTCTGCTATTTTTCTTGCAATACACGAAGCAAAAAAATTTTATAGCTAAAATTGTGTTTGATGGAAAAGTATCAGTACGCGCGACAGTTCTTCTTACGAACTAACTTAATGATTAATAAGTTCCAAAGAGATTTTGTGCTAATTAGAATCTAAAAGTCAGGGAATCCAAGCTGGATTATCCGGCCAGTTTCGCCTCACAGTACGGTAGTACGGGTAGACTAACTACTCGTACAGTACGTGGGTTATTACAAATAATTATGAAAGATATACTGCAGAACAGCCGTAATTACCGGTACACTTTATAACCGAGCTAGGTGTGGTTTCATGTAACCTTTGTGCAAATTAATTCTTGCGTAAAACCGGCAGGTGTCGCATAGTCAAAAGAAACAGACACAAAGCACAAAAGGTTTAATTGGCCGCCGCCTAATCGGTATGTTCCAGCTGATTGTACCTGGAAACCCCACAAAGCCCCGGTGATTAGCTGACGACCAAAGCGACAGAGCATTGTAAATACTGAACCCTGCCAAACGATGTCCAACCGCTACAGGAAGCCGCCAGATTCAACACATGTAAAGGTCTTTGACGTGGGTGCCCTGCTAAATTTATACGTGCTCATGTATGCGAGCGTAACTGATGGATCAGTCGGCAAAAACCAATTACGAAAATCTGGAAGAGCGGAACGACTCTGTATGCATAATAGCCGAGGATAAGCTGTATACACATGCATAAGAATTGTTTGTGTCGGTTAACTGGGATTCCCGCTACGTTTGTGTCCGGTCATATATACTTACGCTCCTTTTAGTCCTTTATGTAAGAAGTGGATGCGTATCTGCAGACCGCATGTGTATCTGTACGGCGCACAACTGGGATTTATAAAGCCGCGACGCGTAACCAGTTGCATACGGATGAGTTGCTTCTGCCATCTTAGTGCAACTTTCAACACGAACTTTTTTTCGTTTTAACTTTGCTTTGAGTGGTTCTACGACACAACTATGCATATGATTAATCATCTTCCTACTGGGTTTCTCTGTTTTGCTCTGTTTCGGTATTGTTGTGGTGCCTCCCTCAAGAGTGACCTCGATGATTCTTTGACTGTTGACTATGCCGGTGAAAACGTAGTTGAACAGCCTCGAGTGGAGAAACGGTTGTTCCACTATCCGGTGTATTCCTCACCAAACACCGCCAACATCCGAAAGCCATGTATCCTGCCCAGTGGTCAAATTCTCGCGCCGGATAAACCTGCAAGTGATAACGAATCAACACAGGAAGAGCTAGCACAGAACAGTTTTGGCAACGGAGAGCAAAACAAAGATCAACGCGGTACGTATGTCATCAGCTTTTGAGTCGTAAATTGCCTAGAATTTATCTGCATAATTTAGAAAAAATTTTTCTGCCGAAAAATGTCATTTTGAATTGCTAATCTTTTTAATTTTCTTGTCAAAAATTCTCAGTGAAAAAAATATGCTAGTGCATTGTATGTATTACGTATACGAATGGGCATATACTACTACCGCCATAAGTAGGCAAAGTACAGATAAGTCAGTTCTTTGTAATTATGTTTGCAGCTGCTTGTTAGAGCGCTTGTGATATTTTAGTAATATTTAAATAAATTTATCGCGAATAAAATTATTTTATATTAACGGCTTTACTTTTCTTGCTCCTTCTTCCGCTTGAGAGGTCACACATCCGCTCTACAGAATGACGCACGCTCGTCACCGGGTAATAGCAAAGGATATGCTATCATTTCAATTTTTTTTTGCGAAACCCATTTTCGAACGCGCGTCAGACATTGTAAACATCACATTAGCGCTTTTATGCATGATCTCATATTGTAGCATCACATTCGCTATACTATGGGCAGAGTATTACAACAGGAAACCTTTTGTTGTTACAGATGTGTACGCTGTGCTCTCAACGCGCTTTCAAACCTTGAACGGCTTAAACCGATTACGCTTACGACCGGTGCGTGACTTCATGGACCCAGAGGTTAAGGTGTACCCGCGCACCTACTACGTCCGCAACGCCAGAGCCGCAAAAACGGCATTTCCCCTTCCTCTACGTGCGCTGCGTTCCCTACGCCGCTGTATCCGTGGAGCGTAACCTGACACGCAGGTTAACTATGTTCATGAAGGCGCGCTCTTCTTTGCCGGTTGTTCAAAGATACTAACTGGTGCATGAAATGCTTCATTGTTGTCTGTTGTCAAAAATAAAACGCATCTCCATTGCATGTACACAAATAGATACGGTTTGGCCCTTATACATACGTAAGGAAAGTTGCACATGTTGTAGTTGTGACGTTTAGCAATAAATCTTAAGCGTATAAGAATGAAACTGCACACCACAATCAATATTCTGCGTTGTCGCAGCTTAATGGCCAGCTTATGCAGCAGTTTACCAACATCTTGCGCACTGTGACCTTTGGATGAAAGCAAGCTTTTTTATGTGCCACAGTGCAAATACTAAGTCGATTTTTAATACACCAAGTTATTTGTATCGCTTCAGTAACCTCCCGGGGATTTAAAAACCGCTTTTTATTTTATGCAGTGTAGAGATGCGTTATCGTCTGTAATGTTGTCAAAGCGGCATTTGCTGTTCTGTGCATTAGAAATTTGAGCTATTGTCAAAAGTTTTCAAAATATTATTACTTTGCATCATTTTTTCTTGCTTTTAGTGCTTAGGATCTTGGAACGTGCTTTTTGAGCTCGTTATCTGCAAGCCACCTAACCCGAATTATTGTAGTACCAAAACAAAAACTATGAAAGGTCATAAATGAGAGTAATTAACTGGTATACAATCGCAACTGTTTCAGTTAATACCTTGCAGAATTTGCTTAGTTAAAAACCAGTTGGATAGATAAAGATATCACCTTCTCTAGCGCTATCACTATTTAAATTAATAGATTCAAATATAAAAGCAAAATAAAACAGTACACGATCGAGAGTTTTCATCCAAGTCCGGCTATAAGCTGTCATATAATAATCAAAAGTATTTTTATTTCAAATTTACTTTCTCGGCAACCGACATTGGCTGCTAATGTGCTATGTATCGTTATCATCGTTACTTATACAATTATCGTAGACTTTTATGCTTTTGTGCTTATTAACTATTTAGAATCTTCGAAACCAATTACAGTGCTAGTACGCTGAGATCCATTGTTACAGTACCATTGCAGCTCGATCTGCGAGACTCAATAAATACAAAGTTTGTTATGGTTGCCGTGCTTAAATTGCGCAGCACTTGTGTACTGCTTAAACACCAATATTTACAGGCATTTTCACCTGAAAATATTTTTCATTGTGCCATCAAATTCACATTAAGAAAATAGTCATTGAAATAGCTCTGCGCATGCTGACTTGCGAAATTTTGCTGGTTTTTACATCCAGTTATCATCTGGCTTGACTACGGTACATTTTCCAGACCGGATAGGACAAGACATTAATCTGTGTACGTTTGTGTACGCCTTAGGTGAAGCACGTTGTTAAGTGCTGGCTAATAATGAAGATAAAAAATTGTGATGGCTACATGTACAATTTTGTGCTAACAATTACGGGTACAATTCTGTATATAGAAAATGGTAAGTTTAAAATATGGCACAGTCGAGCCAAAACTTCAAAACTTTATCAGCAAAGCTTTACCAAACCGAAATAGATAAATGGCGCATTTGAATTAATAAAATTAAGAAATCTGATAAATTTTTTTATGACGGGCACGAGTAATTCGGAAATGACAAATGTGTTACCGGGTAGCCTTTAACAACCGGTTTCAATTACTTTGTAAAATTTGTAACTCTTGACAATTACATGTTCCCGAGACAAACGATATGCCGCTATGCAGTGTACAAACTAGACATTAGCGGTAAGCAGAATTTCGGCAAAATTTACCACTTATTCTTCCTGTTTTACCGCGATATGAGGGATGTTAGTACGTGTTTGCGAAGAAACCGGTAACTCCACACGGAGAATATCCTCCGTCACATGTGTTTAATGTGAATGTTGCCTGCGGGATATGTATACAGTTAAAGTGTGCAAGTCCACATGAGATAAACATCATTCTTCCATGTACACAACAATCACACCTGATTAATCTGGAAAAATTGGTTGGTGTATGTTTTCAGTCATTGCGACCATAAACAAACTAAGTTTACTTATTGATTCACAATTTATCAACTATTAAGTCTTGATTCTCTGTCACTGTGATTTGTCACCTGTAGATGCCACAACGAGGTCCGGCGTCCTTTACTTCCCACTAACTGATTGTTGTTAAATCTTGAATTGTTCTGTTTTCTGCTACACAATCCAGGCATGATGCAGCAAAGTTTGGACATTTCAGTACTGCAGTTTGTTTCTTTGTGCATGTGCTGGATAGGAAATCACGCACAAGCAGTGTATTGGAGTGACCCTGGAGATTCAACGTGTACGTACGCCCAGTTTCGTTCGTATTACGTATTTTCGTTCTGTTACAGTATTAGCATGGCATAATAAAACTAGCAAGTTTAATTATGCCATGTTATTAGCACTGTACCTACATTGTAATACTATATTATAAAGTAGCCCAAGTTTTTGTTTGATTATTTCAGTGGTACTAGAAGCAGGCGGAGAGATACGGCCGTACAGTACTCCCATTTACAGTCCCTCCGGAAAATACAAAGTTATGGTGTCGAGCTATGCCTTGATGGTTATGCGACTGCCTGTTAATTCGAAAAAGCTGTCCTCCACGGTGGTGTGGAGCACGATGGCCGATGGGCATTCGGTAAGCCGTCTGGAGCTGACGCAACGGGGAAATCTGTATTTGTGGGGCACGATGGACGAACGCAACAACGCCACGCTGTGGCGGTCTAATTCGCCGCTGACCCGGACCGGTTTGTACCAGCCCGTTCTCTCGCTGACCGATGACGGATATCTGCAGTTGAGTATCGATGGCGAAGTCTACTGGGAGTCGACTGGATTAAGGGAATATGCGTGCCTGAATAATGCTTCACTTTCCAATAGGTCTGCAGGTAACTGGGATAGCCAGCCAATTAAAAATTCTAAAATCTATACGTTATAAATCTCGACTGAACTTTGCGCTCGTTTTCGGTCAGATCGTATCACTCAGTTTGTAGGTCTAACAATTATTATTTGGGAGGTTATTTTTTCGTCACCACCGGCTGATGTTAAACTCGGTTGAATATGGTCATCAGGGTTATTTTATTACTTAGCTTTGGCTTCTAATTGGCTTGCTAATTTCCGAACTGCCAAAATAAAAACTGTATGCAGACTTAAGTCACCAAACGTATGACGCACACACAGACTGTGTGCATTTTTATTATTCCATTAGCATTTTTACCATTCCAGTTTTTAGTGCCACTTACAGGATGCTATAAAAGTTTTTTTATTATGCAGAGGTACTGCAAAGGGGCCAAGTTCTTACTCCAGGGAAAAAGTATTACTCTCCAAATAAGAACTTTTATCTGATTCTCCAAGACGACGGGAACATGGTGGTGTACCGCGACTGCGATTCCACGCCGACATTCAGCTCCTACACCCACTCGGCCACGCCCGATAACGTGACGGTGACGTCGCGCGGGGAATTCATCTACTATGGCGACATGGGCGGATGGGGCAGTATCCAGATGTGGTTTAAGGAGCCACAGTTCAAGTACGGTGAAACCGGGCGACCCAATTCGGAGTTGCGGTTAGCGGACAATGGGCGCTTGTATCTGTGTCAGAGTGGTGACTGCTACTGGCAATCTGGAATACAGTATGTGGATGTGGATGATCTAACGCATCTGATCAAGCTGCAGGAGGCACCGAAGGGGACAGAGGAGAATAAGGCGCCGGTCGCCGCCCGTGCCATACAGGGAAATGCGGCCGCACGCGATTTTGCTTCGGCGTTGGTCATTACTGGATCTGTGCTGGGATTGTGGCTTCTGTTGAAACACTAATAAACAACCAGTTTGAACTGTACCTTTAAAAATTAAAGCTGTGATGTGCATATGTGACTGAAGATCTTGTAAATTAATTACTGACAATGTGAGACATTAATTCTGTTGAATTATGTTAGAATTTTATTATCTCCAGTTGCGATTGCTCAATAAAAAATCAAATCAACCGACAACTGCGCACAGACTCTCGAATTTACAGTATATATAGAAATCTATATTGAAGTCATAGTTTGTAAAAAAAGCAATAATGGATAAAAATTAACAGCGATTGCACTTAGTCATGGTCGTACACTTTTTCAGCACAAGCGCTTTGGTTTTTTTAACACACCTGAATGAATTTCGCACATTGCACTAATATTGCAGAACTGACAGGAATACAAAACCATGTATGTTGTGTGTAGCGGTCAGTGGCAAACAAACCTGCGTGCACCCTCCCCTGGAGCGTTATTGCCGTCGTCAGCATAAGTGCACCACAAAGCGCGTCATTCCACTTAAAACGTCTGCGATAGATGTATTCCATGAACGTCCGTAACAAAAGATGGCAATAACTGTTTTGCATATAAGAGCGTACTTTTGAGTTTTGACATACACATTATCTAAGGTAAGACTGATTCGCTTTTTCTATGATCGGTCCAGTAAATAAAGGAATTTTTCCTGGTATTGGTTAGTTTATTGTACTTTAGTTTGCTCTTAAATTTTTTACGTGCTACCAAGCATGTACGCTTTAAAGTTCGTTTTAAATTTTATTGTCCTTGCCCAGCTAGGAACTTTGCATAATGCGGGAGGCGCAGCTGATCAATCTATTTCGGCAATGTTGTTGGCCGATAGCATCCTCTTTAACGCAACCACCAAAGCGAGCGCTTGCTGCGGTGACCTTGGGTGCTTTGACACAGCCAGCCCTTTTTTCGATGCAGTCAACCGGTACGCTATGGATTAGCTTCGTTGATCAGGAACGAATGCGAGAATAAGAAAACATTAAGAAATTTTCAAAATTCGGTCTGTATTTCCGTACGATACTAGCTATATTATAATGAACTGCTTATCTGGGCAGACCAGTAAGCTCTCTCCCGCTCTGCTCCCTAACCCCGCTTTTGAAAATGCGACTGAGCACACGAAAGAATCCCGATAGTCAGCAAACACAAATTCTGAATCCTGACGATACAAAGACCATTCAGCAATCCTTTTTTGACCCTGCTAAGAAGACTTTCATTCTGATTCACGGATTTAGCGATAGTTTTCACTATGCCTGGTGGCAGGTAACCTTGAAAGTGTTTTCACGCATAAGCATCCTGTGACCTTTAACATGGTTCCAGAAAATCGTAGAGGAGCTGCTGGAAAACGGAGATTACAACGTTATGAGGATGGATTGGTGTAAGTGGTTGAAATGGCTCAACTCTTTATTTGCGGCAAAGCCCAATTTGAATGGTAACACTGAATTGGAATAAACGGTTTTCGTGCAGCTGCCGGCAACCAAGTTCTTTATGCTCAAGCCACCGCCAACATCCGCTTAGTGGGAGCGTACGTGGCCAAATTTCTCATACATCTACAATCACAGTACCGAGTCGATCCTTCAAACGGAGTCCACTTAGTGGGACACAGGTAATCACAGTTTATATTGCGCATCCATGCAAGGTCCCCCAGCAGACAGAACAAGGCGCTTGTGTACTTCTAGCTACAGTATTTCGGTGGCAGTAGGGGCTAATTAGATCATGATAATTTCTTTCTGCTTGTGCACGATGTACACAAGTCATTAATTACTCGTACCTTTGAATTGATTGTTATTTGTTTATATAGTCTCGGTGCACATGGCGCCGGATATGCAGGAAGTATTATGCGAAGGAAGGGATTTCCTCTTGGTCGCATCACGGGACTTGATCCGGCAGGTACGTACTGTATAATACGTAGTATTTCTGCTCTGTGGTACTCCGACTACCTTTCCCATGTCAAAAGCTCCAGCCTTTTTTAATATGTAAATTTAGGTCCATATTTTACCAATACTGATGCGGCCGTACGGTTGGATCCCACTGACGCTATGATTGTCGACACGGTAATATGCCAACATTTTAAGAAAATTTGAATATAATCGATCGTACAAGAGTACCAAAAATATGGTGCTGCAGATAATTACGGATGGGGAATCGACTATCCTAACTGGCAGCTATGGCTCGCCCCAACCTATGGGTCACATAAGTCAGTATACAAAACTGGACTTTCTGAACTGAAATACTGTACAGGTAATATAGTTACAGAAGGCGTTTCGACTTGCAGATTTTTTGCCTAATGGTGGACTTCGGCAACCTGGCTGCGAGAAAGGGTACGAGTGCAAGCTGCTAAAGCAGGACAGATAGAGCTTTATTTTCCACTGAAAAATGTTGCCCCTAAATGGGAAAATAAAATAATGGCAACTTTTTCATCTGAATCGAAACAAATTCTTCGATTTAGATTGTTCCACGTTACAACTATGGATACCAGCACTTTTAGTAAGTGATATCTCAATCAGCATAATTACAGATTCCATATTATGACAAAAATCAACAAAATTTGTTCAATATTGTCAAACTCTAAATTTTTAAGTGTGTCAAAATTAATAGATCTAATTGGATTGGCTGAAGCAGCCGCTTTCGAACTGATTTGCTGCAGTCATTCTCGGGCCATTGCTCTATACACAGGTACAAAATGTTGGCATTTTCCTTGCAAAACTGCTTTCTAAACAGCTAACATTTGTAGTAATTTTTTACGTTATGTATATTCTTGTACACCTAATGACCGTAATTGGTACGTTTCAGAAAGCATCAATTCCAAAACCTGTGCCATGACCTCTCACCGGTGCGACAATTACGAAAAGGTCTCACTGGAAACTAAAGCTGAGAAAGGCTGTTTGTAACTTCACATTTCTTTGTTCCAGTTTCGGAGAGGCGAATGTAATTCCTGTGCGGATGACAACTGCGCCGTGCTGGGATTCAACGTGGAAACAAACCGGGCACAGCCCAACTCAATTCTGAATTACTACACTGTTACTGCCAGGAAGTCACCTTTCTGTTTATCCGATGCAGCAAAAACTGAGCGACAAACATTGCGGCAGATCTATGAAAGGTTAAAGAATTAACAGAAACCTTAAATTTTACCTGACTAGTATTTACTGAAATTGGTGTAAAACATTTTGCTTCAGTGCGCTGTTTACTTATTAGTTAAGTACTCTTTTCTCACGGCTGCAGTATTACGAATTGCGAGTATCATATCTGTCCATTAATGGCTGTAAATGACGATCATACGAGATTATAGGCGAATCTCTCATTTTTGTGCATCGTTACTACGGAAAACGCAAAGCACGTACTTTATGTACTTTTCGTTCGTTCCCGTACAACATTTTATGTTAGGTATCATCCCCAAACGTCCCTCAAAATATCTACTGTAAGAAATTACACAAAAAAACATGATTTTCTCCAAGCTTTGTACCCAGACATAGGGAATTAAGCGCGATCTGGTTAAAAGATGCATGCACAAAACCAAAAGCAGCAAAACTATAAAACTGTGTTAGCGAGTATCTGTAGTAAAGTGCCGGAAAATACTTATATAAGAGAAAAATATAACAAAAAAGTAAGGAAACTAAACCATTGCGCAATATTTAAGCAGTAGTATCTGCTTATTTCGGAAAGATTGCTCAGACACAAAAAATTCTTACGTAGCCAAATGCATGAATTATCACACAGGCATTACTTGAAAAGGTATGCCACCTTCGCTTTTGTTCTAACTTCATTATAAACGGCTTTAAGTTATAAAATTTGCCATTGATGGATTAACTTTGAAGTGATTACTGCAATTAAGTAAAATTAACCTGTTCGTTCCAATAAAACTTCAATTTAGCACAATTATCATTGCCATTAATTTTTCAACATTATAAAGTACGCACATATACGGTGGCATATAATTGTCAAGCTAAAAAAATGTAACGATTAAAGATTTTTTAGACCTGGGATTCTAGATGCACTACCTTTTGCAACGTATTACAGAGCACAGATATTTGCGGAAAAATCTTTCTGGATAAGGCCATCCTCTAGAGCCTTATTCGTAATTCTTGCGCTGTTTTGACTGCATGGAATAAGAAACTGTGGAATAAATCGGTAATCCGTGAACCTGCATGGCATGCATTTTTAAAAAAAATTCTTCACAGTATATCACTCATGTACATACAACAATAACCGTATTTCGAGGTGGGAAACTGTAAAAACTCCTTATTTTCAAAGCTACGATACATAAAACGTTTTTCTATAAAAGAGACACTTAATGCGCCCTTTTTCGAATTTCATACACGTGATACACCCTCGCGAGTTATTAAAATCTACGTTGCGCGTGTACTTGCGCACGACATCTTTGGCTTCGAAATTTCCATCAGCGTGACCGTCAGCGGTGTAGAAATATCGTAGCATGTTATACTTACTTAAATTACCTGTGGTCAGCAGTTTGTCACCGCAACTTTCCGATCCACTTGAAACGTCTACGCCAGTTGTACTCCACGAACGTGTGTAGCATTGCCGTTTATTCTATTAATTTTATATAAAAGCGCAGATTTGTTTAAGAGTTGCACTTTGTCCCCGCTCACAATTGTTTCGCCATCTGTTAAGAGTTTGCCCTTTAATTTTCTAATCTTTTCAACATGCATGTTTTAAAGGTCGCTGTAACATTTGTCGTTATGACCATACTCCTCATGAATCTTAGCAATGTGGAAAGCGCTGCCGTAACGCTTACGTCCCGACCACTGACAGTGACGGCGACACCAGAAGTAAACACTGCCGCCGATTCAACTAACAAAATGAGCATGTGCTGTGGTGACCTCGGGTGCTTTGAAGCCGCTGGTCCATTCTTCGATATTGTCAACAGGTTAGTAATGGCAGAACAATATTAATAAAGCCAGAAATAAATAAGGTATGAATGCATTGTAATCACTGTTGCTGCTATATAATAAGCGTTTTGCAGACCAATAACAGTTCTTCCTGTTTGTCTCCTGACTCAATTCTTGAAAATGCGCCTAAGTACAAGAAAAAATCCCGGCAGCTTGCAGACACAAATTCTCAATCCCGATGACACGAAAACCATTAAGCAGTCCTACTTTGATCCTGCGAAAAAATCCTACATTCTAATTCACGGCTTTGCTGACAATTTTCAGTTTTCTTGGTGGCAGGTATCTATTAATGGTTTACTTTGAACATAGGCCAAGTAATCGACAACCCACGGTAAAGATACTAAAATTAATGTCAAAATTTCATTCCAGGAAATTGTGGAGGAATTATTAAAAAACGGCGACTACAACGTTTTAAGAATGGATTGGTGTAAGCTCCTGTATATGAAGCTGTCTCTGTGATAGCTGGAAGGTCACCTCTAAAGTGCTTTGGTAAAGTTAATTTGTTGAAATTGCAGCTGCTGGCAATCAGGCGCCATACGTGCAGGCTACAGCCAACATCCGCTTAGTGGGTGCATACGTAGCCAAGTTTCTTCTGCATCTACAATCGCAATACAAAGTGGATCCATCAAACGGTGACAAAGTTCATCTGGTCGGCCACAGGTACGCAGTTACGCTAGTATTTTAAAATTTTTCGGGTCCAGCTTCTTTGCATAAAAAATCGCAGCATTCATTGTGCTTTATCAAGCAACGTGATTTGTAGTCTCCGTGCCATGGTGCTGGGTATGCGGGAGCAATTCTGCGCAGCAAAGGGTTCGCTCTCGGGCGCATTACTGGACTTGACCCCGCAGGTAATGGTTACTAGCCAGTAGCCGCTAAGTTATTTAGCCACATAATTTAAATAAATTTCTGCTGGATCAAAATTGATATACTAGTTTTTGTATTAGGTCCATATTTCACCAATACGGACCCAGTTGTAGTCACGGACCCATTTGTAGTCTCCGTACCCATGGTGCTGGGTATGCGGGAGCAATTCTGCGCAGCAAAGGGTTCGCTCTCGGGCGCATTACTGGACTTGACCCCGCAGGTAATGGTTACTAGCCAGTAGCCGCTAAGTTATTTAGCCACATAATTTAAATAAATTTCTGCTGGATCAAAATTGATATACTAGTTTTTGTATTAGGTCCATATTTCACCAATACGGACCCAGTTGTGCGGCTAGATCCCACTGATGCAAAATTCATCGATACGGTTCGTACAGTCAGTTCTAGATCTAGTGAGCAAAACAGCAGCAAACTGTTCGCTGCTGTTCGCATGCAGCGCGAATTACACAGTGAGTGGGAGAAAAGTTTATGGTGAAATATTTTATATCACGCAGATTGCAACGGATGGTGAATCCCTCTTTCAAGCTAGTTTCGGATCTCCCCAAGGGATGGGGCACTTAAGTACGTAGTTATTGGATAACCACATTTCCGAGGTTAATTAAGCTAATTAATTTCAAAAATTGTTTGGCAGATTTTTTTCCTAATGGTGGCTTGCGTCAACCTGGCTGCGATAAAGGGTATGAATCAGATAACGCATGCAAAAGTAATTCAAGTTCTCATTTCCTTCAATCTGATTTTCAGAACCATTCATCCGGCGACAATGAACACAAGCACTTTCAGTGAGTACTTAACTACCAGCTTCTAATCGAAAAGTGTAAAACGGCATTCTAAATCCAATCAGGCAATCACTTTTTGTTATTTTTTCTTACAACACAGCACCAGTAAAAAGGCGTATTTTACAGATTTGATTGGAGTGACGGAAGCGACAACGTTTGAGTTGTTTGCGTGTAATCACGCTCGAGCTATCGCCCTCTACTCAGGTAAATTTTGTGTTGATTGTGTTGTCACTGTTTGAATCGTCGGGCATAGAACTATTGGCATTTGACGTACGGTACATGAAACTGAACTGCGGAACGGACCTGCACAAATTCAGTGTAAGATTTGTAAAATTGTGACTTTGTTGTACAGAAAGCATTAATGCAAAGAAATGTTCCATGACCTCTCATCGGTGTGAAAACTATGAAAAAGTAAGATGAGCATTAATCAGTACACCGGCAGTGCATGGTCTGTGGACTGTGCAGGTTGATGCATGTGTTTTAATTGCAGTTTCGAAAAGGCGAATGCAGCTCCTGCGCGAATAGCAGCTGTGCCACTTTGGGATTCAATGTAGAGACAAACCGGGCGCAACCAAATTCGGTCTTCAGCTATTACACGTTAACGGCCAACAAATCTCCCTTCTGTTTGCCGGATGCATCCAAAGCGGTTAAACGGTTAATTTTGCAATTTAAGGAAACGTTGAGAGCTGTTTATAAAGATTTAATATAGTGGCTCACTGACTGGCAACAATTGAAAAATGTAATAACTATATTATCGTTTTCAACACTGCTGTATGTCTTGAACATGGAACTTTGTTATTATTGCCCTCTGCTAGTTTGTTATTCTTGCGCTCCTGCATCTTGCAGTTTTGATATTGTGCCATAAAAACAGTGCCATAAAACCGAAGAATCAGAAACACGTCAAAGTTTGTGAAAAGAAAGAACGTAAAACTTTCTTGATGCGTACAACTTTAAGGGCACGTAAAAAACCGGATCTGTTCGCTTAATTGAAATCGAAGGTTTCTACATTCTATCAACATAAAAAAGTATACAGTACGCAGCATTATTGATATACATAAAAATTTTCAATGCCTGAGCTTAGTCGCCGTCACAACTTAACAAAAAGTACACGGAATCCATGCCAATGGCCATGCATATACAAATAACATATTTTGTAATTAACATATGTGTAAAGATAACTACCCTCTTCTAATTAAAGAGTGCCGCCACACAAGGATGAGCTTTTGTAATCTAAATTCTACCGGGAATGTGTAAATTACGACAAAAGGGAAACTTCTATCGTATAAGGGAAACGCTGCTGCATAAATCGTGGGAAAATCTAAATATGCCCTGTGCAAAGACTGACAAAACGAACACCGTCTGTGCCGAGATGCTCCACTCGTAAAGCCTGCACGTACAATACACCTTGCGCGTAAGTGTATGACGAAAAGCGCTGTGACGGAAAGTCGGAAATGCGTAGCGGAAGTAGCGGGAACACGCTACCTGATGCTCGCCATCAGGTGCGCATGAATACCCAGTACACTGGCTGGCGTATGCTAAGCCAGTGTATTGTACGTACTGGGCAAGGTGTCAAAGTCCTTCGATTAAGCTCAAACATTTAATGAAAAGGCTAACAATTATTACTTCGTTCGGTTTGCCGCTCTTGGTAAATTTTCCAGCAGAACAATGTTTAAACTGGAATAAACTGTAAGTTAGTAAAGTTACTGCATAAATCAGAGGGCTGATTTTGTTACTTAATTACTCTTCCACGTGATACTAAATTTTTCTTTACGTAATGTTCTTTCACGCAACTTTGCTTCAACGTAATATTCCTGGTCGATGGTAATAAAAAATTTAATGACGTACACTTATGGCGAATTTTACATACACTTTACTGCAATCAATCGGCTCCGTTAAGTCATGAAGTAAGGTAGGTAACGGTAAATACTCTGTATTAAGCCGGATAAGAAAAAACTGAAGCAGATATCACCAAATCCTATTCAAAATACGAATATTTACAAAACCGTGCTATATCAAAGATAAGCTTGAATTCATAGATAAGTCGATGTTAACCGCGGTGAAATCTGAATTTTTGTCCACTTAAACCAGATAATGCGGCGTATCCTCTTGTTGTCTGTGGTGTGCCGGGAGTGGAAGAACCACGCGCCGATGGATTACTGGCTAATCCTCCCGTCGCCAATCGGCGTCCCGGATGGATGTTTTGAGAGACAAACCGCAAACGCTTCTGCGGCACTGCATGAATATCTATAAACCACACCAAATACAAATTTGATGGATGAGTGCCACATGAGTGCTATATTAGCAACACTAAAGGCACAAGAACGGTTCGTATTATAGAAGTACGTTTCAAAATTTAACCCAAAACACAGCGTTTATTATATATGATACTACACAGATTTTCGTATAGAATTGCTCAGGCATATAAGAATTAGGTATACTTAATTAAGTATACGTATAAGAATTAAAAGGCTGTGCACATTGTACATGTGCCTTGCGCAGGAAGTGTATGTCACAGATGGCACAAATGACAGCAACTGGGAGCGCGAATTAAGTATACGGTTTCTTCACTGATATTGCTTAAAGGTCATGCACATAAATTTGTTCTTAAATGAGCCGCACTGATGCCACAGACACCAAACACGTACCATCAAATCCATAGCCAAAGGAGTCTTCATAAGCCGGCAGATCCGATTCGTAACTGCTGAAGGGAGCGTACTGTCCATCCACCACTGACCACACATCTCGCTTCTGGATCTTCCCGTTTCCCACGGGAGGTCCGCCATTCACAAAAACACCGTGATGGCTACTCATGGCCACGGCTTGACTGTAGGTCAGTGGCAGCGCTTGCATTACTGACATTTCTAGCGTGACCAAGCAAATCACACCAGCCATGATGACAAGGGAACATAGCGACATTTTTCTTTTTTCACACGAAATAAGAGAGATACGGATCGCGAAGTCTGTGGCGACTGGCAACACCAGCGCGTATATGTGGGCGAATGCGCCGTTAAGACATCATCGGAAACAGTTGGCGTCTCCTGACGCAATCTCTTGTGTGTCTGGCGCATCTTGTTCTGCGCAAGCTGGTGACGATGATCCTGCACGGGCGCGGGATGCGATATTGCGAGGAAGTTAATCGTTTAATCACCCGGGTCACAGTTGCCGGCCAAGCGTCTTTACATTTATCCCGCTAATCAATTGGTTTCTATTCGGATAATCCTATCATTAAAGCCTCCGATTTGCTACTGATATGCTGGAAATGGCGAAGAACGATAGTGTTAATGAATGTTTACGAGTCTAAAGACAGAGTAATGATTGAAATCAGCGGGATTATTGCGTAAATGGTTCGTTGTGGAGAAGTTATGTGGAACATGACCAACGTTTGCGCGATACGTATATATGCTGCGGCGGCCACGTTGAACCGCCTGCGCCTAACGATAACTGCGATTCAGGGCAAATTAATCATATGCAGCATACTCTAGGTTTTCTTATATTATATCTTGCCATAGGTTTTATGACGTTTTTAAAACATTTCCATAGCATTTTTCAAAAAGCAACATAGCAGTTATTCGGCCGTTTAGTAACAAAAAAGTGGCTGCACACGCAAATTTCTTTATTTTCCAGCACAGAGAATGGTCCTGTAGTAAATGACTTCTGTAACTAAAGCAAATTAGAGATGAGTTCTCGAACTGGACGTACAGGAAGAGATGGTGCACGGATTTTGTTCATTACAGTCACATTTCATGAAAATGATCTGCTGCAGCGCCCACCTAACGCTATATGGTGTAATTTAGTTCATGGAGGTTTTATTTTGTTTGCAACGCCAACGTGCAGCATTCAGACAAACAAAGCACGTTTGCGCGATTCGTGGTAACAGGAACACCATACAGGTGCAGCGTAATCCATTCAACAGTGATCGGGAGTGGGCGATCCTGGATTAACGAATGCTTTGATTTGATGGCCGGTTTCCTTATCAACACACCACGACTGTCCGCTACTTGCGGAGAATTGCCGCTCACTGTATTTTCCATCCGAGTCACATGCCGGGATGTACGTCCCGGGAGCTGAAACATTTTAAATTATATTTCAATTTAACGGTTACAGTTTCACCAAAAATATGCAAGCTACCTTACAGTGACACAGTCTAATCAGCTTGCGGAGTCTTAATTAATAATACGCATTAATGCTGCGCTGAATGTTTTGCGTAATAATTATATAAGCCTTCTTCAGCTTGGTAACTGTCTGAGTGATTTCTACAATTTTAATATTTTGCAAATGAAAGGTCAACAAATTTCGATCTTTTACAATTGAATAAGTCAAGGATAAGTTAGAAATTACATAAACAGAAATCAATGTTTGACTACTAAGTGATAGCAACACAACGTACCGCCGACCGCTTCAGCACCGCTTTTAGCTTCGTGGCAGGTGCATTGGCCAATGTTTTTCCATCCGGTGATTTCTAAATTCTCTCCCGGTAGGGTAACCTTAGTCAAAGTAAAACATTTGCGCTCAGCTGCTGCCATGACGCTCAATGTAAGCGCCCCGAAAAAGACTAAAGCCATGCCACTCTTCATTTTCGCGAATTAAAAATTGAATAATTCTATATTACAGTGCTTAATGGCCAGTTATATATGTCTGCTGAATGTCTACAGAACTGATAATAGTTCTTTGGCTTTAATTTATATATAACGCGCAGCAAACGACGGAATGGGTGTATTACAGCTGTACTTTTACAGTGCAGCTATGCGCATTCGGCCTTGCAGATTTAGATAAATTAAAGAAAGCTATGCCAAGTAAGTTTGATCTCTAATCGATCCTTATCTGTAAATTAAAATATTTAGGTTTATCAAGAAAACTCGATTTAATTTTGACTCATCACAATCTACTTATATGGCGATAAAATCGGCTTTTAATACACTGATCTGTATGTGCTTACCTGAAGTACGTCGACTCTCTTGGTTGTGCCAAACCACTTTATATTTATAAGTTGTATAGTCCGCTGTGCCGAACTCATCACAAACCACAAACCACGGCTCTGTCAAGATTTCGGTCGCACTCGCCCTGTACCATATAACAATTTATGAGCTTTTTAGAAAATAACACACATTCGTCATCTTAATTTTTGAATCTCAAATCTGGATCGTGCAGTATTTAATTTAATACCACATTCGTGACATTAACAAAATTTTCAATACTGGGACAGTGTTTCATGAACACTGATCAAATGAATACGTTACCGGCATACTTTCTCCACTTGGTTCCAGACACAGTTGGTATAGGTAATTTGCATTATGAATATCACTGCTATGATTAATGTGTACTGTATCTGCAGTATGGACCAAGTACAGATTATGTCATTAATGATTTTAGTAGTTCAGGACAATAATTACAACAGTATAACAATCGTTTTCATGTTCGAGGTTTTTGTTGAGCAGCAGTCCATGTGAACACTGAATTGAATCATGTGTTTATAAATCTGTAACTCAAGCATTTTCACTTCAGATTTATTAAAACAAGCATTGTTTTAATTTATGTATGAACTTACTTACTCATGCAACCATACTAACTGCATGCGCAAAAACAGAAAAATTGTAACAAGCCCTACGTAGGTTATTGCACCAAAATGCAAAAATAACAATACTTTTATAAGCTACTCTACAGTAGTTACCGTGGCGCACTGAGCGTATGCATTGGTGAGTTTTACTCAAGTCAACATGACCAACATTTTAATTCGGGAGTTAATTAATCTTGGTTATGGTTATTTGCATCACATTCTCCACAAAATTTTTGAATGTTACCGTCTCATAAAGTTTAATTACGTACATGGCAGTCGTGCTGCTTATCTTATCGTTATTTCAAAGGTCGTGCCTTGAAACACCCATAAAGCTGCTGCATAAACGTGTATTATCAGAGCTTCCGGAATTAATAAAATGTTCAAAGCCACTTCGATAAAAGATTTTCCTTCTACCTCAAACAGGTGTACAGAAACCAAACCAGACTCTCTTTTTTCCCAAGCGCACAAGAATAATTAAACGCTTAGTGCACAGGAAAATTCAAGCGCAAATGTAAATGTACATAGTTAGCTTGTGGCACCACTATTGATTTCTACTATGAGACTACATCGGCAGTGCGGAAGCAACATTTACTCGTCCAAACTATGCCGAATAATCATCAAATTGTTTTTCTTTAATCTAAACACAGCAAGTATCTGGAGACACCAACCGCTGTGAAGGCATCAGTCATTTTATGATGGAAGAAACACGGTTCAGTCGAGGACGACCGGTAAGCGTAAAGGACGACGACAACGCTGCTGCTGTTGCCGATGGAAGCGTTGGTAATCAGCTGCCAATTGCCAGTGCTCCCCTGCAGGACGATAACGATACTCACGATGCGGGAGTGGGTTACACGTATCCCTTCCCGCTACCGGCATCGCGGACGAAGAAACTGATCATTTTTGCAGTTGTATTTGTTGCTGTGATAACGGCTTCCGCCATAACGGTACTAGCGCTGTGGCTAAATGGCACGTTTGGATACGCGACGCACACTAGCGAAGCTCTACCGTCAACGGGAGTAAACAATACCATGAAGTGAGAATTTTTAGAAAACTTTTTTTATAATCAGCGTCCAAATTTAATGAATATAATTTGTAAAACATAATTTGCAATGTTATCTGTTTAGTTATCTGTTTTTGTATGCGTAATTATCGACTGTATTAAGGATCAGTTGACCGGGTCCATTAAGTTATTCCAAACGCATCATAGCGGAGTGTAGCAATTTACAATGCAGTACATAATTTATAATTATGGCGATCTACCGTTATGTGTATGTGTATCAGTGTATCTACCTTTTGGTAGAAGATCTACGGTAGGAACTGCTACAGGGAATTATCTGTATCGATATTATCCAATAATACTATCTGCAACTTTTTGAGTTTTAGGATACTTATAATTAAAGTTAGTGATTTACGGCAACATTGTAGTGATCGCACTTTGCACTGACTAGCTAATTAAAACTAAAACTGCAATGCGAAATTAGCTGCTAAAGTGCTAATCTGTTACTGAAGAGTAAGAGTACATACTGTAGTACGGTACTGCTATGAAAGTGACTGTAACGACTGTGCTTCCTCTGTAAAGAGCCGTATTTTTTTCACATTTCCGATTCTCTGTTGTCTCAATCTCCAGTAAATCTTTAGTTGGCCGTTATATTGCAGTGAGCGCGTGAACACTTCCGGAGGGGCACCTGAAGCCGTAACTCCCATAATTTTTTGGACGCCAGCGGTGCCCAACGTCCCCGTCCGTCGGATGCACGACATCACCACATTCCCGCCACAGCCGACCATAATCCTTCCCGATATTACCATCTACCCGCACAAATTCTGCACGCAAAATACATCCACCAACGGCAGCGATGTCGTGCTTCTGGCCGTGATCACCGAACCGGAAGACAGCGCTCTGCGCGTCGAATACCGGCACATCTGGAATCAGTATCTTCCCTATATCTCCGGCAATCTGGTGTTTTTCCTAGCGGTCTCACACGTGCCTACCATTCAAGAAACTATTAAGCAGGAAGCGTTGCAGAACGGGGATATTCTGCAACTGAACACGCCGACCAGTTCTACAGAGAAATACCTCAAGACCCTCGCTGCACTGCAGTGGGCAGATGAAAACTGCCCGCATAAGTTTATGTTGCGGATGAATGTCGATGTGCTGGTGCAAGTGGAATCGTTGAAAACGATGCTGGACAACGCGCTAAATAAGCGCTTGGACCACGCAGCAGCTATTTTGGGTAATTTTAATTTAAAGGAACGTGAAAATTAAATTGCTTATGTGTAGAGCCTCTACAGCTTTGATTTTATTAGAAATGTTCATAGTAAATGCAGCCTTCTATAATATGTTTAAACCGGCAATAGCTCGTTCTTTTATGAAAGTTCGTCGCGAATCATCGGCCATTATTTATGTCCGTGAACAAATCAGATTAACGTTTTTTTTACAATAACACACTTTTGAATGGATCTTATTACTTTTGAAAAACTGTAGATCGGTTATCAAGCTGAGCATCAGATTAGTTTCTGAAATTTAATGCACCAATATGTTTACAGTGTTACAAATGTCCATTACGTTTCTGTGGAAATTACTTTATTTTTAATAAATGTGATTGGCATTGCAGGTGACGTTATTGAGGAGGAGGGTGTGGCTGACACATCCAACTTCCCGAAATTCGTCCTGGGTTCGTTCTATATTATTACCCGGCCGGCCTTTCGTCGCCTCGTGGAAGCCTGTCAGCGAGTGCGTCCCATTTCCCTGGAGGAAGTCTACCTGACCGGATCGTGTGCGGATGCCGGTCAGGTGCTGCGCATAAAAGTGGAGGGTGTGGAGATGGAGAGGGAGTTGTCGCTGTGGCGCAAGATGTTCTCCTGCTTGCCAGTCCATGTCCTCAGTGTCAACGGCGTGGGCAAAGAAAATATCATTCACTATTGGCAGAAAGCGGTGCGCGCCGGCTGTTATGTGTGACGGTCTCCACTGGGAATATCGGAAGCGGTGCGCCGTTGATGGCTCTTTTTATGCCGGGTGGTTCAACCTTGGGACGAGGTTTATCGACGTAATTACTGCTGAGCCACGTTTCCGTCATGTGAAGACGGATTGTAATGATCTTCTTCTCCGGTGCAATCTCTTTTAGATCGTCTTTATGTCTTTATGTGGTGCACATATTCCTCCTTGGATGTTTTCCGTGAGCTTGAATTTGAAATGATTTTTATATGCTCATCATGGGTAATGTTTTCGCAGAAACGTACACTGGCAGATTTATTGGATTTTTTATGGGTTTGCTGCGGTTCACAGGTCAACTAATGAACAAACTATCCAGCCAATCAATGCTATACGTGACGAACTGATCCACCGGTTCACTGCGGCTAATACTTTACACAACAATGGCAGCAAAATTCTACTGCTGAATTTGAATACAGCCTATTTTCGGCAGCACAATATTTAGCAATGACCAAGTTTAATCACAAATTTGCAATCAGGGAAAACAGCATTCCGAAATTCCAACTCAGTGCGAAGAAGCAAGAGATATTCAGTGCTACAATACCGTTTTCCCTTAACCAGGCATATCCGTTGACCGTCTGTAACGGTCGCCAATACATTTTGTGTACGATATAAAAAAATAATCCATAGGTCGCTGATTTTTCGTCCGGTCAGCGCATGGCACTGCATGTTCATATTGGAAATCAATCTGGTTGTACAGGGACAAGAAAGCGGATTCTATAGGAGGAATCCCTTATTACCGTCTACTGCCATACGCATTCCTTTCACAGCACGGAACAACTGTAATTTTTAAGTTGCCCAGTCACAATTAAACAGAAACGGAGAACCTGCTAGCCGGTGCCCATAAGCCCGTGCATTCGTTGTCGACTTCCGGAAACAACTGCCTAATCTCGAGCACAAAGCGTACTTCTATGCATCCCATGGAATTCCATAACTACCATAGTATCAACTGAGACGGAGACGATATTGCAGCGCATACAAGGTGATATTCCGCAGAGAGGTCACTTTGAGATATCTGAAGTTCGCTTTGTGCTGTTCTGCTAACAATGGCTCGTCCAGCTGCCACTTCTGCAATACCTGCATTGACAGTAAAAATAGTTATAAAACTGGCCGACTGGATTTGATTGGCGTAAGTCTTGAATATTTAACGTAGCTAAACGTCACTCAAATGACGTCTTGCTGCTCAGCAGTATTCAAAGTCTACAAATGGATTGTACACTTACTTGCAGCAGAATTTTCCTCGCCCTTTTCGATCTTGTTTTCCACTGCAGACGAAGTGAACGCAAATCTTGGGAACTCATTTCCGGGCACAAACTATCTAACTCATTCAAAAAGGAGTCCGTGTCCATCGTACGGATTACGAGGTTTGCTGGTTTCAGCTGTACTCCAAAACAGTTCTCGCGAACGCGATCGCTCGAACCATAGCAATCCTTGCTGAGAAGATCCTGCGATTCCATCAGTGAGCGTACTTCAGCGTCGATCAGCGCCAACTTCCCACACACGTCTCGCCATCCTGAACGGAAACTTACGCGCAGCGGATCGGAATAGTCAAGAAGATCATTCGCCCAAATTGTGCGCTTGTTAATGACGATCATGGGAACGCGCACATTCATGGCTCTTAGCATGGCGACGATCGCGCGAAACGGCGTATACGTCCATTTATCATAAAGCCGTCCGGTGATTATCAGCGCTCTGGTCCTTTGGTTGACCATTTTAAGAAGAGTCAAGGGTAACTTCTCATACTGATATACACGGTCATACGAATCAGGAGCCGTATACACTTTCAAGTCGACTTCAACTTTGATCACTACAGAACTGGAAATCAACAGACGATTCCAGGTTGTGCAAACTCGACGGGATCGCTGTTGGTTAGTTACGTCGAGATAGCACACGATTTCCACAAGAATTTCCGGCAGCATAAAGACCATTTGACTGGAATCACGCGCCAACTGTACAAGGTTGGGTGTTATATCGTGATATGCAAAAAGTCCACGAAAAAAATCCGGCAGCAAAGGAAAAATAAGATTGCTCAAGACCGAGTGTTGCTCCGGCTCCTGCTCAGTGTCCGGCGTTTCAGCCTTCAGCTTTTTCGCACCTAACAGTGAAGTAAAATAGTATTTTTCGGCTAAAAAACGCGGAGTGCCTACAAAGATGCTACAGCACCTGTAGGCAAAGATTCCTGACATGGCCTCTTCCAGTCGTATCTGGAGAATAACGTATTTCGCACAGTTTGAAAAACACCCACCTAGAAAAAGAAAAAAATCATCAAACCGTGTATTGCGCACGTTTCGATTTCTGTATTCATAATTCTTCGTGGGAATTACAGTAGTACTTAATCCGTTTTAGTTATTCAATCAGTTTGTGTACGAGTACGGAAGGATGTACACTACATTCTGGATTTGTGTCAATTTACGCAAATCAGATTTTGCCGACGTTTGTATTGATACGTTCATCAATATTTATTACTTTATAACAAGTAGATAAATTTAAAGAGACGATATCAATACAGACACAGGAAATTCCGTTCAATCCCGTGACCCACAAAGTGACAAATTCTACGATCCTTACGCATTGTGTGGTGGTAATTGCTTTCGTGTCCAAAACAATATAGGTCAGAGTTCCTGCATCATATTTTCCACATCCAACCTTTGCTTCACGGTTCCACATCTTCCAGAATCGAGGATGGGACATCAACGATTTCAGTTCTTGATCATCGGGCAGTTCAATAGTATGCTTACGATATTTCTTCATCGCAGACTGAAACCCATCACCCACAACCTCCACTCTATCGGCCGGCACGACGTCCCGCACCAGCACTCCGTCGACATCTATCTCTACAAACGCATACTGCAGCTCATTGCCATTATCATAGACATCCTTTTGGTTATCATACGCCAGGAGCTTCGCTGGATACCAGCACCACGGATGGTCAGGGGACCGCTGAAACAGTGTGCTTACACACTCTCCCACAACCACGTCGCCAATGTGGCCGTGATCTCGGCATTTTGTAGTAGACACCACATCCGCATGGTGACCGGGGTACCCGAAATCGATCACGAGACTTTTGTCGGAAAGCAAGTCAGCAATTATTCCGTGCTGGACCAATCCATTCTCCTCCAGCTGAACATCTACGGCGCCCAAGCGCCAGACATCGTTTTTCACCATTTGGAAGCAGACCGCACAACCATGTAACTACGTACAATCTTTGAGCTATTGTCTCACAGAAAATTATTGAATCAGAAAATTCGGGGACCGCAGAAGTCCCTAATTTCGAACCATAATTAACCGCAAGGTTTCTTTGTCCAAAACTGCTCCTGCAAAGTGCAAAACACAAACCGAAACCAGACCAGCTACAGTGAAGCAGCCGCCCGATCAAAGCAGCAATAGCAGTCCCCTGAGACGGCAGTCACAAATGTTATCAGTTCGCGTACAAACATGAAAATGCAACGACGCAACGGCAATGTTTTGGTTTTTCCACTTTTTCGAGTTGTGTTACGGACCACGGTACAGATACAGTATACCAGTTTTCGACTTTTCGTCAAAGGTTTCCATATTTTGTGAAGTTTTAATTTTAAAAAGTAAACTCTATTTCTGGTTTAAATCTGGTTTAAATCGAATGTTTTTTATATTTTAGTGCAAAATATTTATAAATTTTTTCTAGATGTGTGTCATCCTGATGTGTTTAAAGTTTAAATTTTTAAAGGCTGAGAAATACAAAATGTGAGAGACTTGGACGAACGGGCACTTCAGTACTTAACGTGCTGTGAATCCCGTGATCATGAACAAGCAGCCTGATAAGGCGTCTGCAACTCCGCGTCTTTTCGACATTTTCAATCTCGCACCTAACCATGCCCCCGCTAAACGAGCGAAGGATGATTTCGAAGAGGATGATCGATGGGGGAATTTTAGTGATTATATGGCTGCCAAGAAGCGCAAGTTGCTGGATCAGTTTCACGGAGATGCGCACTACGCGAAGGCAGCCGCGCAAATGCAAGGTGCTAGTGAAATCTTCAAGGGAGTCGCCATTGCTGTTAACGGTATCACCAGTCCCCCCTCCGACGAGTTAAAGCGCCTTATGATGCTGCATGGAGGCACCTTCCATTTGTATCAGAGTACCAACACCACACACCTTGTGGCCACTAATCTGCCGTTTACCAAAATCAGGCAGCTGCGCGACGAAAAGGTTGTTAAACCCGAGTGGATTGTGGCGAGTGTAAGGGAAGGCAGACTGCTGCCGTGGGAGGATTTTGAGCTGTACCCCAAAACAGATCCTCTGCGCGCTTCCAACAGCGGGAAAGCGGATGCACGAAAGGATGAAAGTGCCAAAAGTAAGTCTGCTGCTACTCTCCGGATTCTGTCAAGAGGTTTGAGATTTCGATTAAATGTAATTTCGTAAAATTAATCCTAAAGATTTATTATCAAAAATTCGTTGTTACATGGCGGTAGTAAATGGTCCACGCTGTTTTATCCTGAATTTTAATTTGGAAGTTTAAATTAAGTAATTTTCAGTATTTGAACGTTAATCGTTAAAATAACGGATCCTTTGTGTCCACGCCTCCAATTTTTGTTACTCAGATGACTGTTGCCTGTTGAAATTATTACGAATTTCAGAAATTCGAATAAATGATCTTTTGTATTTCAGAACCTTTGGAAACTTGCAACCGCACTGATGATGTCCCTGGAAGTATTGTTGCAAATCCCAGAAAGGAAACAGTTGCTCACAAAGCCGGTGATGCGAATTATCTGCAGCAGTTTTATGCCCGTTCGCGTCTGCACCACCTCTCCATGTGGAAGACCGAATCTAAAGAGCTAGTCCGCAGCCTCCAACAAGCTTCCGACCGAACGTTTTCCGGTCGCCAGCGCCTGCGAGAAATGTACTGCTTCCGTGAATCCGTTGATTGCCCGACGGTTATCATGCACATCGACTTTGACTGTTTTTTCGTCTCCGCCGGGCTTATTTCGCGTCCGCACCTGGTCGGTCAACCTGTTGCAGTTTGTCATGCCCGCACCGGCCACGGGAAGGTGTCCGAAGGCGATGAGGAGTTCAACTCCCGTTCAGAGGTGTCTTCTTGTAATTATGAAGCAAGAAAGGCGGGTTTGAAGAATGGGATGTACCTTGGAAAGGCCAAGCAGCTGTGTCCAAATTTGGCGACGATACCGTATGAGTTCGAAAGGTATAAAGCGATATCCACCGTCTTTTACCAAATTATGGCCAGTTTTACACTGGATATCGAAGCAGTTAGCTGTGATGAAATGATCGTTAATTGTACGGATATTTTGCGGGAGACTAAAGCAACGCCGGGGAATTCGCTGCTTTTGTGCGCTCAGGAATTTACGAAAAAACCGGTGAGTTTGGTCCTTTGCATAGTGCAGTACTCGTATATGGAAAAACGGTTTTGCTTTGTTGTTGTTGTATTTAAAAAATTAAAGATCCAATTTGGTGAGCGCGGGAGGGGAGCGAATAATTGCATTTGCGTTAGTTATTTATACGTGTACTTATTAAACAGGTTGCCACGCATCGGCTGGACTGGGGGCTAATCAGTTAATCGCGCGTTTAGCCACGAAAAAGGCCAAACCGAATGGTCACCGTTATGTTCCCGACGAAGAAATTACTGCTTTCATGGCCGACTTTCCTGTGGACGATCTTCCAGGTGTCGGCTATAGTGCATCGGAGAAATTCCAAACTTTGCAACTGAAAACTTGTGGGGATCTAAGAAAAGTCAGCTTGAATGTGCTTCAAAAAGAATTTGGAAAAAAGAATGGGCAGAAATTCTACAATTTTGCACGAGGTACACAGCGAGACTCATCATCGGACTGCAGTAGAAAAAATGCAAGCACGGGCGCAGAGCTTGATGATTAACAACATCTTTATTCAATGAAAAGCTCAGTTTATTCCAGATATTACAGTGGTAATAATACTGGTCGTAAAGCGCTGCGTGGAAATTTGAGTATAGGTGTGATCCAAATTTGCATGGCTTGTGGAAACAATAACCTGCTATAATAGTGGTTTAATAGATAGTGTTTATTTAATACTCCATAAGGTTGTTAAGTATATACAAAGTAGCAGCGGAAGTATCAAATTGGTGAAACAGCAACTGTTTAGAAAAAAAATCTGAATGAAGCTCTGAAATTTTTGTAAAGGTCTTCGTAATTAGATTTGCGTAAGTCTGATATGACTGGCGTGTTTGTATTTCCACGTAGGAACACTACAAAGTAGTAAATCATAGTTTTTGTGCAGGGATGGACGATCGAGAAGTCCAGAATAAACTGCTTCGAAAGTCGGTTTCTGCCGACGTTAACTACGGAATTCGTATGAAAACCGTCGATGAAATGGAAAAGTTCCTGCAGGAGCTTGGTCAGGAAGTACGACGGCGTCTGCAGCAGGCCGGTGTGATTGGGCAGACAATCACGTTAAAACTGTTGGTCCGCCATCCGGATGCACCATTCGAGCCGCCCAAATTTATGGGGTGCGGACACTGCAACGCCGTCAACCGGTCTGTGTCATTAGATTGTAGTCGCCACACCGCTACGATATACGGTCCGGTATACGATACGGTGGGACACTGTACCGCAAGCATATCGTCGAGAAATCAGAGTAGTCGCACTTTTAACGGCCACAAACGGTATACGATATACGCTCGAGTCTTGCCTTCGAAGTGAAACTTGGAAATTTCATTCAGCCTTAGCGCGTTTGTGAGTCCTCTATAGCATTCAGCTCTAAACCCGATTAGAATTGAAACTTCAACTTAGTTTTTGGTACCAAAACTGCTAGATTCGAACTTTGGTGAGTTTCGCTATGGTCATTTGCAGTTAACACATGGCGCTTACGGAGTATCAGTGAAGAGCTTGTTCCAACTGCTCCGTAAGCTTTACATGGTAAATTCAAAAAGCTGCAGTTTCGTTTGTTTTCGAAGAAACTGCTCTCACTTGGTATCAAAAAACTTCTTAGAATTTTGTCTTAGTTTTGAATAACTTCACTCATTGATCAATAATCATCAGAACTTCATAAAACAATTCATAGTTCCGTGGTTTTGGCAACTTCAGCCGTTCAAATCATTGCAACCGCCACCCTGAGCGGTTGCTATTTCGCAGAGCTTAACGGTATGCCACACGATATCTCCGCCTTGTACCGTCAGTCCTATCGTCAAACGGTCCGGTAAGGGTACGCCGTGATGACGTGCAAGAGCCTACTGTATATCGTACCGTCTATCGTAGGCTCTTTTTTACGTGCGACTACAATCTATTGATCCAGGCATCCGATTCGGCGGACGTCGTTGCACGTGAAACGATTGCCTTGTTTAAGAAAAGTGCGGTGGATGTCAAGGAAGTGCGTGGGATTGGAATCATGATCACCCGCTTGACGGAAGTCAAGAAATCAGATTCAGGATTCATCGAAGGAGGTCAGGGTCGATTTGGCCGCGGTGGAGAGATGGATCATGTCAGTGCATTGCCAGGGTCTCCGGCGATGTTTTTGGAGGCTGATCTCGATGATGAAGTAATAATTACAACCTTTTATATCACGGTGGCTGTTGCTCTGAGTTGTATTATGAATTATTTTGTGGCACAGATTGCTTGTGTAATAATTATCAAGCATTAGCAGTTTATTTGACTGCTTTGAGAGGTTTTATAATTATGTTTTGTTTTGCAGGGCTTTGACGAAGCTGGTGAAAGCGCTCCTCCGGCAAGCGCAGCAGACGAAGTGCAGTCCGTTATTACGGTGCACCCATTTCCTAAAATGCCGGTCGATATGCCAGCTGTTGTAGAATCTAAGAAACCAGGTGCACCGTTGGACTTAGTAACGGAAGTTGGCTGGGACCGTGTGTGGAGCATTTTGGCTGCCAGATTTGCTTTAGTTTTGGATAGCAGGAATAAAAGTTCGTGCGCTGGTGACCGTAAACCTATCCTGCTAAACGAAACGCTGTTGAAGAAATTGTGCTGCGGCGAGGAAAGTATCAGTGAAGCCATTCTATCAATAACATCCCAAAAAGAACTTAGCGCCCCGGAGTTGCCTTCGGCGAATATTTCCGATTCTTCCAGTTCTTCAGGCAACAAGGTACCGTTAACGCAGCCGAAAACTTCGACAAACAATCAAAAAGAAGCCACTGATCATTGTGACAAATCTAAAGCGGACCTGGACCGACCGGCTGCGGCCGTATTCAAAGAAATGCTGGATGATGTTGAATGCAAGTTCTGGTTTAATTATTTCGACATTCCAGAAGAGTATGGTATGACAAAATTTCCGCCATCCATGTACGGTGCAACGCTGTGCTACCTGGATGAACCGTTCGTTATTCGCTATCGACAGGAAAAAAAGACGAAAATCACACCGCGGATTATATGGGCAACCTGGCAGCTGAATTCAGTGTGTGCCCCGGAATTTTTGGAGAATTGCTTTTATGAGTTGCGCGTTGTTTGGCGGACCAAAACAGCAGACTTTAGATTTGGCTCCTGTCACGACAACTCAAGCGGAAGGTCAAAAGATAGTCCCATTGACTGTCAGAGGCATCCCTGCCGAATTGCTCAGAAATGGCGGGATGGTGCAAATGTGTCTACGGGTAAAAACACCGCCCAAAGAGATTCCTTTGCTCAAGTCAGGCGTTAATATTGCGCTGCCCAGTCCATCTCAGGTATGGACGACTCTCTTAAGTCACATCATATTCGAAATTTCAGCATTCATTGGGCGGTTTATGGTGACCTGTTTTATGTTTTCAGGGTAGCTGCGTTTTTTATTACTAAACTAGGCAAATATAAACCCGAGCCATCGCTTTTCTGCTTGTAATATTGCGTACAGTTTTATAGATTTGCGTGTGTTTTGTTGAATCCTACAATTTAATTTTGCGGTTATACCCGGAGAAGCGCGATGAATTTTTGCTCTGATAATTTGTTTTTGTAAAATTCGTGCTCTGTTTTTTGTGAATAGGTTGACACAAGCGTGCTGACCAGCTTGCCCGAGGACATTCTGGATGAAATCCTCGTTGTCTATCAGAAAAAGAACGAAAATCCACCGCGGCAAGCTCAACAACAGGACGAGAGCGTCAAGCGAGCCGTTGCCCTGGCGAAACCTAAAAAACCGATCCAGACGACCGTAGTGCGGAGAACGAACTCGCGACGAAAAATCAAACCTGTCATATCCGGCCAGCGTTCCTTAGATGGTTTTATTCAGACTCGTAAAGCCAGTTTATCCCAGCCAACGGAAAAGCCCAAAGAGGAGCACAAGGAGAAACTGGGAGATGATGTGCTGGAGTTATCCATGACAGAGACGGTACCGTCCCGAACGCCGTGCACGTTGTTTGGAGTTAGTGACGACGCCGACGTTCAGGCTCTGCTGGGCGAACTGAGCGCATCGTCATGCATGGATGCTGACCTGCGCTATGCAATCATGTGTTTCGTGGATGAATTATGGGAATATGAGTATTTCTGCAAAGTGGACGCTGTGATGAAATCTTGTTTTAATGTCATTGGCAGATTGAGCGGGGCAAAGAAGGATGGATGGATTGCCATGTATGAAGAGCTGCGCGAGAAGGTACATATGAAATCCAGAGAAGAGTTTTTTGGCAGCACTCTGGTTATTGAAAGCTTCATTGAATAACTGGATTCAGCGGTTATAAATAACGTTTCAAATTTTGTTTTTTTTAAGTTTACAATTTGCAGTTTGTACAGTTTCCGGTTTTTCTGTGTGAGTTGTGCGAAATGACAACCTCTTTAAGTTATACTGTATATGGAAATTAATTTATTCTGTTGTTTACACCGCCGCTGCTCGCAGCCGATGGCTAGTAAAAAACTTATACCAATATGTAAAAGATAAGTCGATCGTTGTATGCTCTCGGTTGGTCTCCTCACTCTCGTGTAACCGCCACCGCAGCGTGTCTAAGTATTCACGAATCTTAATGCTTCCTGTTGTGAAATGTGCACAGAATGTAATAACAACCTGTAAACCCAGAATCATAAACATCTGCTTTTTAAGTAAATTTTCTTGAAAAGCGCCAGTTTTTAAGGATATCTTATTCAGCTTTTAGACCTTCGCCCATGTATTTACACAGTACACGGGGAAAAAAGGCGATTTGTTACCTCATGATATCGCGTTGTAAATGCAAACACATTTCTTATTCTTACAAGCTGGTGAATTTTGCGTTACGTTAAACAAAGGAAAGTCCTTTGTGTCCGTGCAAAGTCCCGCCCAAGTATTGTACTTGTACATGCATACTGTAGTATGATACTATGTCCGAAAATAACATACCAGGAATTTGTAAGCAGATTTATGTAGGTACGAGTACGGTGGTACATAATATTATAACAACATTATTGGGTAGCCCAAGAGCGTCATATAAATCACTGATCAGGATACCACAGTCGGAAGATAGTGTTTACGTAGTGAATTCAGCAGTCCATGCTTTTGCATCTGACGGTCAGATTCACTGTCTGAGCGCAGTTGGGGCGAGGTTTTCCAGGGCTAGCGAACGCCGTGATCTGCTGTCCGGTTTCAGGATTGGCGCACCATGACTGACCGGTGCTACCCCAGGACTGCAGTTTGTTGAATTTCCCTTTGGAATCGCATTGCGGCATATACGTGCCGGGTGCTGCAAATTTTTTAGTTCAGCTTAATTTATACTTGGTAAAGTATACGAGTATTGTAAGGGGTATGAATATCTACTAATTCCAATCATAACCGGCTTTTTATTTCTAATTAAATAAGGCGTTCTCGTTCAGTGTCCGATTAAAGGCCGGCACATACCATTGCGCCTCTGGGCTTCTTTTTTTGCTTCCTGGCAGGAGCAGCGTCCACTATTCTTCCAACCATTCAAGTCTTTATTTTCGTTTTCAGCTCCTGGTAGGCTTAGCTGCGCCATTTTGAAGCACTCCTTCGATGCAACATAGCTTCCGGTCAGGCACAGGACACCCACATAAATCATGAAATAGCGCATCCTGAAAGTTGATTCTATGTGTGGTTTTGCTATTTAGTTAGCTGGTGACGGGTGACTTCGATAAATATAATTAAAATTGACGCTATCACGAATAAAGCAGACGGTTTTTATTCACTCTGGGGTTTTACGAAGTAGTTCAAGGCTGCATCTGTTTGTTGCTTCGAGGTTATTGTTGTTAAACTGCAGGAACAACAGCAACGTCCACAGTAATAACTCCTTGTCTTACGTACAGTCTTGCTTAAACTACTTATGGTTAATCGGAAGGCGTACTGTTACTTATTATGAGTAAATTCCGCAGGATGCACACGTACACTGCACATTCTATAAAGTTGAAAACTAGTTTTTGTGCCTATACTGCCAACACAAAGCAATTAAAATCATCTGGGGACCTGCCATAACGGTATATAGTACATCATATCTATATACGCCCTGATGAATTTTCTGATATTGGAGAGATTGGAAAGAATGAAATTGGTTTCTTTATTCCAAGCAAACTGTTGCAAATTAATTTCCTGAAGGCGTCAGAACGTGCAGTAAAGGCTTGATGTAGCAGCTTATTCCTATATACGTTGTAGCATGCCTTGTATCGAATTCACGGCGTACCGTATACAAGCACTTTCGGTAAATTTACATTTACCTATGCCAGCAGCTGCGCAAAAATTCCGCAGAAGTAAAAATTCCGAATCTATTGATTATCCGATGAAAAAATCTCAAAAACAGAAGTAACTAATTACTGTGCACAACCGTAAATCAAGAATGTGAGCACCATTTGTCTGGAACCTTCGCAGGCATGCAGCGCAACGCAATAATGTATTAATGTGTAATTTCAATATATAAAAGTCCATACAAGTTTGTCAAGCCATCAGTGATATATCGCGAATCTAATACGTAGAAATCGTTGTAATGAAGTTCAGATGTTGAAGAATGAATCGATGAATGAATCGCCAGTAAAACGATGTATAATGATATTAATTACGGCGGCACCGTCATCACGCGTCTTCATGCACAATAAACTTGGCATTGTATGCCGGCGGATCGGAGTGCAGCATCCGCACGCGCTCCGTCTGGGCGTGGTATGTAACCTCCCCCCGCGACGTCGACGTCGTTCCGCGTACCTCTGCATCCTCACTGCGACGGCCGGCGTTCGGCGCCGCGGCGGTGGCGTCAGCGGCGTTTTGTGCCCCGTTAATCCAGATGACCGTGCTGAGGATGACCCCGAAAGCCAACGCCAGACGGGCAGCCATGAAGCTCAGATGACTGATAGTGTACATCCACTCCAGCCCGGTGACCTGGCCATCCGTAGGGCTGAGATCGCCCCACTCCTTTCGGCGGATCTGTCCCATCACCTGGTTAAGCAGACCACCGTCTTCCTTGCCGTACTTGTACATCTCCCCGAATCCCAGCATGATCAGGGCAAAGGGCACGACCATGATCACAATGAGACGACGCAGCTGGTCCGGCGACTGGATCGCGTCCCATTTCGCGGCGATGTCACGGGCGGTGACCGTGGTTAAGTAGCCAACGTACATAAGGAGCAGGCCCATAAAATAGCTGTAGCCATGCAGGAAGGCGAAGTCCATATACGGCAGCATGCATGTCACTGAAAAACACCATACATGATCTCTGAGATTCAGCGCTAGCTGCGATTTAACTTTCGAGTGCAGTATTGTACATAACTATGTAATAAGAGTAATACGGTCACTAATACCACACGAACCAGCTTCACTAGCCCTGTCCGATCAAGCAATAATCATTGTGGTATAATATAAGAGCGATGCGTAAAAATATTGCTGCTAATATAGAATACTCTTTGTGATAAAGAAATTTACACATAGAATAATTATTTACAGTATTGATAGATGACAAAACGGTTATAGCAAACACCACACACACGGCATGGTTGTGCTTCACGCTTGCCAACGGATTAAACCATGAATACATAGCGAAAATAGGGTCAGATTTAAGTATAGAACCAGGTGATAATTATTATGCTCATTCTGGGATCAGTAAGGTAATTGGCGTCGACAATGCACGTAATCGTGCATTAGGTCTTCTTGGAGTGGTACTTGTCTACTTCATAAATGCGCAATAGTACCATGTACTTGTACACCGTTTATAACTGTGTACTGTGTAGTGGTGCACTGTAGTAAATAAATCAGTATTAAACGCAGGCAACGCGTGATGCGTCAACGTGTCATGAACAGGCCCACAAAGATTATTAATGAAAGCACCTCCATGGAAATTACTTACATGGTACGGTCATGCCGAAGATGACAAATCCCATACCAGCCAGCAGAAATCCAACTCCTCTTAGCTCCTGGAGCCCGATGCGAGTGACCTTTAGAACCATGTTGTGGTCTAACTGGTCGGTTCGACAATCAGCCCAGTGACCAACGTTTAGAAAATCGTGTCCGTATTGCGACCAATAGCACTGCGATATCCTACAATTATCCAAAGTATCAGTAAACTAAAAATAAATGCTTTTAGATGGGAGAAACTGCAGTTAACGACAAAGAGCAGAGATGGTGCAGTGTCGAAATATGTGCCACAGGATCTAGTGTCTAATCGTGCAATTTCACAAATTAATCTGATTCATTCACCTGAGATTCACACAGCTCGGCGAGGAATGAGTGGAGCTGGTTAGCGGTGGGTGAAATCGATAACGTGTGCACGGTGATCTTCCTTCAGTTCCTTGTTTTACATTGTCGGATGGGAGCCGGTGGGCGTTCCTTGTGGTTGGTTATCTATTAATTTCTCCCAACATCTTGCTAAACACCGGCAGTATTGTAAGGTATGTAGGCAGCCGCAGCGGAGCTCCGGGATGTACTCTACCGTGATCCAGAGAATACGCTTGTTTTCGACGCAAAGGCGCGCGTTGTATCACTTCCGCCACATCGCACGGTCTAATTACAAAAATGGCTCAGACGGTACAAAAAGTCGGCCGCGGAAAGGACACTTTTTCTGTCCATCCGGCTTTTTATGCGATTAACTTACCATCCCGGAAGCGCTCGGTCTGGTGCACGCTGTTTTCCTGGATATGGGTATGATGATTATTGCAAACCGTTAATCTTGTTATTCAAACGCTATGTTGATCGGAAACGGCATACATGACTGCACTTTCGGCTTCCACGATGAATTACTCGCATGTCAGCGAATTGCAGTAATAATTAAAGGCGATTGCACATACTCCAAGCTCGGAAGAAATTATCATAATCCCAAATCGTAATCCAACAAGTCAGCCAGAGCAACAAGGAACAATCTACACCTGCAATTACTCTCGAGCGCAAGTATTTTTCCACACAATTTGCGCATTTTAAATACATTCGAGCACTTTTACTCACGCTGCAATCCAGACAGCGGATCGGAAGCCACTATAACTCAGACGAGATATATCTGTAATATAGAATATTTTTTCACAATAATCTGTAATTATAATATTTTTTCACATATTATTTTTTTTGTGCACAACCTGCTCAGACACAAAATTCCTTGTCTTGTAACTTGCAGAAACTAAAGATGCAAATTTTAAGCGGGAAGCGGTAACACTACCGGAAGTTCTGGAAACGATCGTATAACCAGTATTGGTTACCAGACAACTGCCGCCACATGGAAATACTGTATTACAAACCGCCAAATTGCAAGTTACAAATTGCCGCAGTTCGAGTACAATTTTCAGCCCTAAAAAAGGGATACATTGGATCTTTTTCTAACAAATCTTTCGTAAGACCATTTCAACGTTTCGGAAATTCGCCTACAAATGTATTACCGCTTTATTGCTTTTAAGTAAATTTTTTAAGTACCGCTTTATTGCTTTTAAGTAAATTTAGGTTTAAATTTTTTTATTGCTTTTAAGTTTGAATGAGTGTTGCCATTATTCAAAATTACTGTGATTTCAGCACAGCAACAGATAATCCTACCGGTGGCTTCAAGGCTGGTCGAAATCGATTTATTAGTTCTACAGACACACCTGGTTATGGATGCGCCTGCCGTATGTGCCGGTAAGGATACAGGAATAGAAGTATTAGATACTAATAGAAATACGAAGCAATTTACGAAGGATCATGGTACTAGCTGTGAAGAGCACACATCTTTCATCTTTGCCGGCCATGCATACAAAGACCATTTCGGTTTGATGTATAGATAGTATGCTTTGCTACGAGCACAACGTTTAGGGTTTGTCAGCTTACCGATCTCAAAATAACAAAATGTAAGTGCTAAAAAGCAAAGTAAAACCAAATACATGGTTTCTCATTTCTGCGGCAAATGTTTATTTATAAGTCACGTAAAATTAAGTCTTAGAAATTTTCTCGACTCTGCAGCTACAAGCAAGTACGGAACCGGAGCTGGTTTCAGAATGCTGAGTTTTCAGAATATTGAACGAAGCCATACTGTCATTTAATTGTTTATAATATTATAGCTATGTATTAGCTAAACATTAGCGCGTTAAATGTGTATCAATATGCGTAAGAAGTAAATCCGGGATACGTAGTACGGTATTTTTACTCGCCTGTTTTTACTCGCGGCACAAGGTATTAAGTATTCAAACAAGTCAGTTAGCTTTACCATTAACTGATAGCTGTACCAAGGTATATAAGAAATTAATATCTCCTTTATCCTTTATACCGAACCCGGTTCTATGGCAAGCAATTTTTTGACGTGCTTTAGACATCGTCGGAGCACAACACGCCGTCTTTAGAACGGTATACTTTTTATGTACATTTTCACGTCTAAAATACTTGGTCTACGGAACTATATTATGGCTTTTTGAAACTCAAAAAACACCCATCCAAAGGACATCTTTTGGATGAAGAATACATGGGCGCTTTTTTCGCGAATAGAACCGGGGAACTCCTTTATACCGTGGCTGTACGAGGATGAGTAATTGAGTACTGCACATTACTAGTCTTTAATATATGCAAAGATTTGCAGAGCTGATCTTAAATAAAAATATTACTGACCTTTAAGACAGTTTTCACATTATCAGCCGCACCCCGTGTCTTCTTCATTCAAAAGATGTCCTAGGATGGGTGCTTTTTGAGTTTCAAAAAGCCATAATATGGTTCCGTAGACCATGTATTTTAGACGTAAAAATGTACATAAAAAGGGGCTCCATAAGTATACTGAAACATGCCGTTCTAAAGACGGCGTGTTGTGCTCCGACGATGTCTAAAGCACGTCAAAAAACTGCTTGCCGTAGAACCGGGTAAGTGATTGCAATCACAGAAAACTGACGTGTCACCTTGCAGACGTAAATTGCTACAAAGTGCGTACATCAAACACGCGTCCTGCAGTGCGATGAACGTTCTGCATCTGACGAAACCTCGAGATAACGCCTAACCGGCGTCATTGCAGTCTGCAGATAATCATTAAAAATTTAAAAAAGATCATGTTTCTCCTGCTTTGTTTTGCTGTGCATAAGTCACCAGTTTTTGCTCTGAAATTCATGGTAATCGCTTTTAAAATCAAACAGCAGTCGACCGACCTGACTTTAAAGAACTTTAAAAGCAGTTAAAAAGTAGAACTCGTTACACAGCTAATTTAGTATTAGTTAAAAGTAGGCAGACAGACAAGGGGAAAAAAATAAAGGTAAAAGAGTACTGCCTCAACTCTTCGTGCCGGTATTGTTATGAAAATTCACCGAAATCAATATAGCATTTTCTCACAACTTATCGTTAGTGAACTCGCACTTGCATTACTTTTTTGTATGTGGATGGCTGATGCCCGTAACTAGATGTACCTTTTAGAAGAATTATCGTACTAAGTATACTTGTGGGATAATTCTGACTCGCTCGTTACACATTGAAATTTAAACCCAGATTTGAATCTTAGACCGTTAGCTCAAGCAGATTTGCGGCATAGGTATTTTGCAATATGTCAATAATTGTACAAAATTTTGATAACAAATGTTAACCATGTTATTTATGTAGTTCTAGCGAAATATCTATAGAACTGTAATCGTACGACAGCACGAAATAATTTATTAAACGGTTAAATTATTTTTTGTAAATATTGAGCGACTGTTAAAAAATACATTAAGTATAAAGTATATTATAGAAAAGATTTTATACCATAATGCGCTGCCATGGCGACTGAAGATATAAGAAACAAAGGAGGGAAAACACACATAAGTACGACTTAACGAGAATTGACTGTCATTAAGATGTATTGTACTTGAAATGTACGTAATGAAAATTTCAGATTTCGCAAGGTAATTTTTTAAGGAATTGTGTATATGAAAGCTGCAGTAAAATCTTCGGTGAAAGAAGTAAAGATCGAGTGAATTAAGGAAGAAATCCACACAATAACGAACGTATACCAGGAGCTAACCGTAAACAGAAAATTTTAGTAGATCCTATTTGCGGATTACCACTCGAGGAAGCCTAGAATAATACTAGTACGGTTAAATAAATTCCCTGATAAACATTAAAGGTCAGCCAGTGTAAGGAAAAGAACAAGCAATTGATGGGAAGAAATATACGAACGATTACCCAATTAAGTACAGAATTCCTACGTTAGCCACAACAGAGAGTTAAGATGATATAATAATAATACTAAGTAGTTATAATCATAAGACTGGTTAGAAGGAATAAGTGAAAATGACGTTTATACTGTACGGCCGTTTAGGAGGTTATCATTGACGGTGCTAGCTTCGCCACGATCTTCTGCACAGTATCGGCAAGTAGTTCAACATCGCCGTCGTTGTTGACCATGTGAACGGAAACTATTCCGGGGGGTTTCTGTGAGAAAAACAGAAGCTCGTGGTTGTGGTGTAGATCCTCTATATACTGTTGCGTAATTTTTGTCTTCTCCGGACAGCCACGGGAACGAATTCGGGCAAGTGCGTTTTCTGGCATTGTCCGGACGTAAAGAATATGATGTTCAGACGGGGATCGTGTTCGCTCATAATGCCGGTATGTGCGCTGCAGTTCCTCGAACGCTGATTGAGGCAGCCAGCCTGCACGGAATCCCATCCGAGCGAAATACAGGCGGAACTGTATGGGGATCGCTCTAGGAAAATCCGGTTATGTGTGGTTTTTCCCGTATTGATGATAGTACTGTATAAATTTTCTCTCTCGATCAAGGACTGCAGTGCAACACGCTGGAAATCCGCTCCAGCATGGGCGGGGTTCAAATAAAATTCATTCAGAAGGTTACGCCCATTCGCATTTTGCCACTGCTCAACGGGTTCAAAGACCACGCGCTCTCCCAGTTTCAGTAACTGGTTTAAAAGAGTTGTTTTTCCAGAGCCAATGTTGCCTTCCATGTAGAAAAGCCGCATTCTTGCGCGAAATTTTTACGAAGTCTGAGTGTTCAGTTGTTTTTACGATGAATAAGTACTGAGCACTTGCGGTACACATCGAACCCCTCTCCGATTTATGCGTGTCTCGTTGCTAAGTACTACGAGAGCTCTGCGTTAACGACATTTAATGCTTTCAGCATTAAATGGCTTTAAAAGCAGTTAAAAAGTAGAACTCGTTACCAATTCCCACTATAGCTGTTCTCCGAGTTTATTGCATTGTGTTCATATTTGCTTGTTGTTGTAGAGTCTATAATAACCATGGCCAGCAGAAATGTATTAGTTCTGGGTTTTGTGCTGGTTGCTGCAGTTTCGTTATAACTGCCGCGCATTTAATTTTTTCTCGAATAGAACCGGGTTATCAGATGCCCAAGCCTTATGCACCTTGCCCAAGCATACGGTACACAAAATTTAATAAAATCTTGTTGGTACACATCAATGTAGAGTAAGGGCAGATCGAAAGAGTTATTGTGTTTGTGCGACCGTAGTAACTGTACGAGTACTCGCCTTGGCACAACGTGAATCCTCCGTGACCCTTACGTCATTCCCTTTCCAAGTTAACCACACGATTTTAACCGCACGCAAGTGCAAAGTGCAAACCAAACTTTTGTGGTAATCAATGGGTTGGCGGCCGCATTGCTTGTTTCTTCTTTCGAGTAGAAGCAGACGCGGACGGCGGAAGTCTAAATGATGAAAGTCTAAATTGTGGAATACCAAAAACCATATATCTATAAGTATCTACGAGGGGACTTAAATAAGTAATGCGGATCGTATATACGATATGAAACTAGAAATATGACTGTAATTATTTTTATTAAATAGAGCATCCAAAACTGTATCAGTAGGCTCATGGCCGGGTCATTGCCCGCTCTCGGTGGCAGTCAGCATAAGTCAGAGCACTGCTCGATAATGCGAATTTTCACAATTAAAAATGACGCACATGCCGGAGCCGAGTTTTACATCATTATTAATTTTTTGTTTCTATCTTTTGAATCAGAGTACGAGCGCAAAAGATGCGTAAGGAGTGTATAAATAGTACGTTAAAAATATTAGATTAAATGTGTGCATCTTGGATTCCATAAAAGTTTAAAAGCAGTATTTATTTAAGTACCCTCGTATAATATTTTAATGTTCTTATCATATTGAATCTCATATTGGCTTATTCATATGATTGTTATTTTGAATCTCATATTGACTTATTTTATTTTGAATTGAACATTGAGCATTGGCATTGCTATATCGCTTTCGTGTGACCTTTCTCATCACTGCACATTATTTTTTTCGTTTTTGATGTTTCGTGTGGTTGTGAGATTCTTGGTGCTCATATTTCTTTAATGCTACGTCGGTATAAGAACCCTTAAACAAAGAGCAGTGTTGGGTATTGACCCCTACTAGCCAGTATTTCCAGACTCAGAAGCAACGCCGTATTTTGGAAACATAATACGTAAACTTAAGCGCTTTCACAGTGTTCATGCAAGTATTCGCAAGAACAGAAAAAACAATAAAATTTTAAAAAAGCGACATATAAGTACAAATATTCAACACGCACACGTCCAATTTTAAGTGTACCATGCTGGCACGGTGGCACGAATGTTATTACAAGATAGACGATATCATTAGCGGTATAGTTATGGTGAGTTTTAAGTATATATACCGTTAAAAGAGACGCATAAGCTTGCTAGATTCTACAAAGATAATGAATGAATTAAAAAAAAATAAGGGGTTACAAAATGTCTATGGGGCTGCCTATCCCCACTGCGGTGATAAGGTACTAGACCATCGTTATCCTCTGCGCTACGCCAATCCGGGAGCATTCAGCTTCACACGTTCGTTGTCAACCTTGTACATGGCAGTATTTCGTCCGCTTTCACCACCATCAGTGTCCTCCACTGGGCCGACCTTGTGGGTACGCAGGATCCAGATGGTCGTCGCGATCAGCAGTCCGAACATCAAGCCGTAGCGGATGACCTCGTAGAACAGGTTGATGAAGGTGTACAACCAATACAGCGTGGACACCTGCTGATCCGAGGGACGGAGATCACCCCAGTCTTTTTTGCAACCTGGTTCAGGACCTGATTGCAGAGGCTGGCATCGTAGAAAAACACGGCAATCAGACCGATTGCAAAGGTCATGCGCAGCATTAGCTGGCGGACGTCCACGCTCAGGGCCAGTCCATCCTGTGCTGCGAAGGCCACGCGGAGTGACGCAACAACAAGTATCAGCGGCAGCGTATAGTTCACGATATGCAGGAGGGCGTACTCGTGATACGGCAGAATGCATGTTGCTACAATGAAAATGTCGATGTGGTTACATTTTTTAATTGCTTTTCAAAAAAAAGGATAAAACCGTTGTGATTTTAGTGACTCTGAGGTTCAAGCAGCTTGAAAGCAAATGCTCTTTTACCAACTTCTAATTAATGTAAACTTCTTGATCCTTAGTTTAGAATTCTAGAAGCTGACAACTGAAAAGTACCCTAAATCCAAACCACAGGATCCATCCATACCAGCAAACTGGGACTTACTCGGAATAGCTAAAGCGATGATCAGCAAAGCCAGACCACCGCAACCATATCCAACAAACTGCAGTTCAGCCACTCCACCACCGGCCATTTGCAGGTGAAGATTTTATCAGATAAAGGCTAGTTTACAACTACTTCACACTGGAATTAGAAATATTTCCCATAAAGAAAAGTTATCGCCGTATACGTCGTAATACAGTTTCAAGTTAGCACGGCTTTTGTTTACTATGGGAGAACATTCGTGACCTTTCACAAATTCCATAAAAGCACCCGAAAAGCGGTAATACTGTAACACCAAAAAGCGGTCAGAGTAGTGACATGAGTAATGAAGAAAGCCAGCAACAAACGCTTTGCCTGTCGGGACTAGGAGCAACAACCAACGCGCTCCATAACGTTATGTTATCGTCCGCGCCGGCTGGATCGATTAGTAAGAGGTTGGATTCCGAGGTTGCCAATAATTATACGGTACAGAAAAGAAGAACCACGGCAAAAACGGCAGTGTACGACTGGAACGATTTGGGCTAATTTTGGTGAAGTAAAACTATATACCTACCGCAATTTAAAATGAATCAATGCAGTATCTACTATCTAGCATAGCACCCTTTGGGTACGGGATGTGGTGTTAGAATCGGTGCATGAACCATTATTTAAGAAGTACTCGTACGTTTAACCCAACTGTAAGCACATTCATGGGTAAGATTACAGGATATTTTTCCATCGCTACCTTGAAGACCACTACGTCTTTATCCACTATACACATTAATTAGAAGACTACGTTTGAAATACGAAGGAATCATTCCTACGTATTGCAAACGTAGTCTTCCGGAAGTGGTTTCCGTTGACCATTTGGGAGCGAGCATCCATCGTCAGCCCTGCGAAACATTCGCGAGCAACTTCAAGGTACTTGAAGACATCGTAATTACTGCTTAGTATATAATCAATCTGATTCTGATAAAATGACTTGTATCCTAATGAGAAAGTTCTTTTTACATTATGGTGTCACGTCTAATAAATTTTTTCATGTCGAATAAATTTTCACACAGCTGTTAAGGTAAAAATTATGAATGCTCGCCCTGCTGCTAGAATAAGTACTAAAGTGTCTGCTCAATTTTGTTATGCAGACAGCTATTTTCATGACGATTCATTGTCAAGTTTATTTACACTAAAAATATACTTAGCATAAAACACTCAATATAGGAACACCAAAAACCGGGACTCGGACAGTACAACCCGTGGTAAAAAGGACTAGAGCAGATCTAGACAGGTACACCAGGAACAAACAAGTACAAATCATCATTATCACACAAACATGCAATTAAGGCAGCTACATTGAGAATAAAACAATAAAAACGCAAAAAACCATCGCCGCATTCACTCCTCTTCTTCCTCCTCTTCCGCAATCATCAGATCGGGATTGGGAGCAATTAGCTGCTTCTTGAGAGCAGCGCGCAAAGCAGCCAGCGCTAAGCTCTTGGATTTCTCATTGGCGACGCCTTTTAGCTGCACTGTGGCCATCAGTATTTCCAGCAACTCAGAATTCGCAATGGCCTTGGCTGCATCATCGCTCAATTTAATCAAATTGCCCAAAATAAACAGGATGCGCACTCGCAGTTCGACATCGTCGGACATGGAACTCTCCTTCATGATTTCCAGCCACGAATTAGGCTAAACGCAACAAATATTGTGTCACATTTCTCGTAATACGCTTTATATTATGAGATTAACGCAGAAAAGCCGAAAAATTCTCTTTAAACAGTCCCAATTACTGTACTCTACCCATTAATGACAAAAAAACAACTTTCAGAAACATTTCAACATTTTCGAAAGTTCACAGAATGAACTGCTGAGAGATAAAGCTACATTTAACGCTGTCAACAAGGTTAAACGACCGCTACGATGATCACCTTGATAATTTTTTCGCAGGCTTTGGGATCTTGACTCAACATCGCCAACGCGCCGGAAGCAGCTCGTGCCACAGCGGGGTCTTCGTCGCCGCAGTATAAAACCAAAAGTTTGATACGATCCGATTCCACATTGATGTAAAGGTCTTGCAACTACGAACAAAACATCCAACTGTTTCAAAGTGCGCAGTAATCGCCCGGAAGAAATGACTTACATCTGGCGACAACATCAGGTTGCACACACACTCCGTGGCCGCCCGCTTCAACATTTCATGTTCCTCATACAGATAATGCTCAACTTTGGCTAATCCACCATCTTTAACAATACGCTGCCTGTAATTACACAGCAACGATTATTTTACAAATTCACTGCACAAATTACCAAAATATTTATTAACACTGTAACAAAATAGTAACTGGTTGGACAATGACATTCGCTGCTCTTCACAATTTCACCACTCAGCATGTTATTTCAATCAATCGAGTGGAATCAATAAGCAACGGTCAATTATCAACAAATAAAAAAACAAATGCACCAGGCAGACTTCATTAAGACTGTTCTGATTACAGTAACTAACAACACGCGGAAGGAATTAACCTCTAGAGTTGCACTTACCGAACACTCTCGCTAAGCTGTGCCAGATTGGTCAACGCTAACAATCCCTCAAAATTCTGCAATGCTCCTTTATCCACATCCAATAAATTCAACAACGGTCGCACCACTTCCGCGGACCTCTGGCCGGGAAAGGCAATCTCTGGATTGATGCTGATGCCGATCCGGGCCAATGCTTGCGATGCCTGCTCCTTCCCGGCCGGTGTGCCATCCAACGCTAGCTTGATCAGCACTTTGGCAGCCCCCTGTTGCACCATCATGCCACGATGATCTTTATTCTCCACGATGCCGTTGAACACCCGAGATATTAATTCCCGGATGTTTTTCGATTCTGACTTGCTGACAGCAACCAAGGAGCTTCCGATACCCTCATCAACGAGCACCGCGATTCGCTGTGCAATAAATTCGGGCGAATCCTGTAAAAAGTAAAAACACAAGAATATAAATGCTTGAAAATATAAATTATTTTTATTTTGCTTTAAATACGACGATAAACACCACAAACAAAAATGTTTCGAACTGGCACTTGATTTATCATCATAGAAACACCAAAGACCTACAGCCAGCCTAATCTGCCATCACGTATCAACAATATAAGGATTTGCTGCTGTTTACTTTTTGATGTTCCACGGGGACGTGTTGTTTAGCAAACTTTGCCAGCTCCTTCATTTCCGGGACGACTTCTGGTTTTTCGTAGGCATTGCACAAATTAGCAAACACAGACACTACACCGTAGATGACGTTCTGATTTCCTGTTCGGCCCAAATCAATCAGGCTTCGCAGCGCTGGTCGGTCGGCAATTAAAGATTCTTTAACATCGGCGTCCAGCGTCAGATAGGCTAATCCCTCTGCCGCCCATCGGCGCAGATCGAAATCCTTACTGGCATTCAATAAGAACTTTCGACAAGCGTCGGCCAACTTTTCCATCATTTCTTTGGACAAGGGGCGATTAGATGCGTCGATACCACCAGAAGATCCCACTTTGCATAAACCAACCAGAGCACGCACCTGCGTAAGTGAATTCTAATGATTCTATACCCACAACCATACAATGAAATTTGAGAAAAATCTTAAAAATTTGAAATTTATAAAAAGCTCATATCACTGTTAAGCGTCTGCAGTACTTCTATAGCTAGACGGTACAAGTTCGCATGGGCAATCAAGGTTTCAGTCACTACACTACGCTATGACTGCAAAATCATCGGAAAAAAAGTATTAATCTGTAGATTCAAACCTTAACTTAAACACTTTAATAGTGTTAAATACCGCAATGACATTACTGATAAGTGTCAATAAAGCATCAATACTGCGAACTTTGTTACTATTTACAGAAAATCCGCTCAAAGCAGAAACTGGAAATATGTTAATAATTATGCCCGGCAAATTTCATCATACCTGAACATTGTCGTTAGGTGACTGAGCAAGTTTCTTAAGCAGTGGCAATCCATCCCCCAAAATGGCTGCACATTTATCTTTTTTGGATGCGGCATGAACCATAGCTTCCGCGGCTACCAGCTGTTGATTAGCATCGTCAGAACTGGCCATGGCCAGCAGTAACTCCAGAATTCCTTTAGTTCCCAAAAGGAAATTTCCCACATCAAAAGGCCCTGTAAAATCAGCCATCGGTGTATTAATAATTTACTCGTATAATTCTAACAAAAATACATACTCCCATAACATAAATACTTGATCTGGTATGTAGCAAGTTAAAGGAAGGCACAAGTACAGATCTTTACCATACCTTGCAAAAGAGCCGTAACTGCTAGTACAGCCCGGATTTTCGCCTTGGGATCGGCATCGTTTAGTCGTAAACTGACAAACTGCTCGCATTTCTCTTTAAAAATATTCCGCTTCTTATCGCTATCCAAATCATCGTAGATCTTCTGCAGCGCCAAGGCAATATGCACGCGGGTTTCATTGGTAACCAGCAGATCGGAATCACTTCCACCTGGCTGATACACGGCGACATTAAGAAATTTCTGTATACCGTCGCGTTCCATGAACTGGTACGTCCAGCCTAATCCGGGGGACAGATTTTCCTGGATATTCTTCAAAATCAGATCAATAACGGCATCACGACCCACCGCCGACAAAACGGCACGGTCGGAGAGACTGACCAGCGATTCCATTGTGTGGTCGATATCATCTTGGTTTTCTTCAAAAAAAGTTACAATATTCATTAACAACATTAAACATAATCGATTACCGTAATTATCGAATTAGAGCCCCAGGGTTACAAATATTTCAAACGCCTCACGGGGTGGGCTCCAATTACGGGCATGGGCTTGTATTTCGGAGGGGGCTTCAATTTTTCAAACTAACTTTTTTGGCACGGTCTAATATGGAACAAACATGCCATGAAAATATACTAATACTAGCAGACCCCGCGCAAAATTGCGCGGAATAGCTCCGCGAAGGATTATTACCTTTTCATCACTAAACGCAAAACTATAAAATAACGATTGCAAAGGTAATTTTAATGAGCTAAACCTAGCGCAATTTAATTTTTTTGCATTGGCAAATGTTTCAATGGTTAAAGTCTCGTTGATTCGTTGGCTCTGAGTGCGGAATAACGTTAAGCATAGAAATTTGAAAGTTTGCCCTCAAAATTTGCCGTTTCCATGTGCATCTTATTAGTTCTACATACAGTAAATGAATATTACATAAACAAATTCAAAGATACCCCGTCTGCCACTCCCGATTGCCGGCCGCATTTTCCTGATCGGCGCGGGCGCCCCGCTACAGTACTGTTTTACCACAATCACTGCCGAAAGCTGTCATTGTCCAACTTCCCGTGTTTTCTTTTGTTTTTGTTAGGAAATCATATATAAAAAATATTCGAAAAAATAGAATCAAAATTGGCGTGTTTCTACGTCAAGCTTTTTGAATGTTCGACCAAAGCGTTGGAATTTATAACAAAATTCAGTCGTTTAATTTCCGCAAAGGTTACGTACTCGGCACTGGTATACAGTTCTTAATGGAATTTTAAATTTCATAGATAATTTTCATAAAAATCGTTAAAAGCCACAACATTTTTCATGACAGTTATAACAATATAATAATTAGGTCAACCCTTTCCTTTTCAAATTTTTGTACAGCAGGAGGGGCCGTTCGCCCAAGCATTGCGCTCGGAGCGAAATTTTTCGCTACCACTGCGACTTTTCCGTGTTTTTGACTTGTGAGCCGGTAGATCACGCGCCCGGCTCACTGTTACTACAGATACAGACTCTATTTTCCCCATTTTGAACTCCAAAACTGTCCGTAATAACAATCTGATTCCAGTATTCGACCGCCGCTGTTGCCCACGCTTAATAATAAAAAAAATCCAATGTAAAATTTTTCCAAGATGGCTGACCGACTAATTCCCACTGACCAATTACCTAACTATAACCGTGTTTTGCAAATGTGTGTCCCCCCAATGACAGAATTCCCGAAATACCGTTATCCTTTGTTTCGCCATGAATTTAAAGCTCTGAAGGAGCAGACAAATTTAACAAATTTATACTATCCCCAACCCCTTTAAACCCCACCCCCCCCCCACAAAACAGCGTCCCCTTTGGAAGGCCTTGCACAAATTTTGAACTAATTGGACACAAATCGATATCCTAATAATTATTAGTAATTGGCAAAATACGGCACCGTAACCCTGCGAGTGATTATTAAAAGCTGCCAGAACCAAACCACTTTGGGAGGCCGATGGAGTTTTGAGCCATTCGTAATGGGATAGCAAGTTGACTGTGGAGTCTTTCAAAATCGCCTTTTTTAAACTTCATTTGCTATATGAAAATGACTTTTTAGAAAATTTACCGATTCAGGGCTATCACTACAGAGTCATAACGGTAATGGCTGCTGTGAACTGTGGTGTGCTAACGAACCTGATAGCGAAATAAGTAAGCGAATGCATTGTTTGCATTTGCACAGCCTCTCGCACTCGAGGTGGCAGTTATAGCTTGGTTTTCATAAAACTGACTTTTTGGGGCTCATCTACACGCCTTGCGTTATCGAATGATATACAGAGACCTAAGTTTCGCTTACCGTGTCGCCCAGAAAAGGGAGACAGACACGATTTTTGTGCACCTTCTTATTCTTTTATTATAAAGGATACTAATATCTATATACTATAAAATATGAATCGTGATAGCAAGAATGGTCAATCAAGGATGACTACGAACCTTGGATCATTTTGCGATCAGGTTTTTCCTTGTCAATCCAGCCTGATAAGGTTCGTATGACATTCTCTACTGCTACACTAACGGCGGTAACAACCTCATCATTATCAACGCTGTAAAGATTCAACAGCGGTGGCAAACCAATGCGCTTTCTCAGAAGTTCACGACACTACAATAATAAAGTACAACTGATTAAGCACCGTTATTTATACTGCGATCCGTGAATGTCATGTAAAAGAAAAATGACAGCACTGATAAAACAGTAATTTCTTACCCTGGTAACATCGCCCTTGAAGAGCTCTCCCAGTGCACGAACGAGCGACAGTCGGACTTCTTTATCCAACGACGGATCTTTCAGGAACTTTACAAACTGCTCGGGAATCTTGCGTTCCATGAGCTTTTCGGCTCCGGCCTTGTCCCGCGCCAACACAATCAGATTGCTCGCTGCCTGACGACGCTTCTCCACATCCTTCACATCTGGTCCGAACATTTTCATCATTTCAGTGACGCGCTGCTCCGTGCTAGCTTGCTTTTTGCTCTACATGGGGCCAACAGAAGAAAGTCAACAAAAAGCAGTGAACGCTCGATCAGATGATTACCGAAATAATACAGAAAAACCCGAAATTACTTTTAAATCAAGCGCAAAAATTGAAATTGCTATCTCGAACCTGTGTTTTCTAATAAAGTGAAAAACACACTGTTTTACGGAGCAAAAAAGGCCATTTAGTCAATATTCAAATTATCGTGAAAATGCATACATCTTTTACTTACAACTGCTGTTGCTGGAACCGAACGGCGAAGCAGTAAATTATGCTCTTACCAGTTCTTGCAGCGTTCTGTGCAGTCTCATCACCGTTTCCTGCACATTCCCATCTTTTGGTTCTGCATGAGCCACAAGCAAAGCATCTTTGTATGCTTCGTCGATGCGGTTCAGTGCTTCCAGAGCCTGACAACGTCTGAACATCGCTTTGGGATCGTTAGGACTCAGATCCAGGGCTACACGTATTAAAGAAATAAAAATTCATCCACCGCCACCAGAATAATAAATCAAGTAACTTCCTGAACCGTCAGGATTCAAACAATCTCCTGTCACAAATTCTATATTGATTTCGGAGTCAAACCCTTAACCATTAAGATTCCCCGTTATTTTTCACACTCATAAACGAACAGCATAACAACTTTTACGAATTCCTTCGGAAAAGAACCACTTAAAAAGCGCAACAAGTGAATCGTTATGTGCGAATCTCAAGGTACCTTGCTTACCCTGAGTAGTTACTTTGACACAGTTGTCATAGTCCTGTAGTTTCAGGTAACACGCAGCTTCATTTTTCAATATCGCCAATCGTTCCTTGGGCTGATCGCTGCTGGTGAGCGAAAAGGCGGAGCTGTACAGGCGCAGAGCCTCCTGGAACTGGCCTGCTTTAAAAGCAGCATTCCCAGCCTCCTTTACTGTGTTAGCGTCCTGCGGCTGTTCACCGTTAGCCATTTCAATATTGGAGAACACAAATCCCAATACTGACAGCGATCAGAAGATAATCCATGCACGTCGCAGATAATAATGTCGACTCAGGACGTGTAGGCTGGTCCTTTTAATCAAACGTGTTACGTAGTCACAATTTGAAAACGTTCAAACTGCAAACAGGAACGAGCGAGCGTACCACGCAAAGATCCCAAGATGAGCGCACTAACGATTAGAGCAATTTAGCTTGCTCTTATTAGTCATGCATGTGCATCGTTCTAGAAATTACACGTCCAAGCTACAAAAGTCCAGTAAAATAACGTTCATTAGTGATTACATCAACGTCTGCGATTTCAAAGCTTGCAAAGAGAATGCAACAGAAAAATTTGTTGTTTTTATGCGCGAACCTGTATCTTGAAGTTTTGACTTTCTATAACGTGACGTCACAGCAGTTTCGCGCTGCCTTTACTTAAGTCACTTCGCCAAAATAGGAAGCAAAAGCAATTCTTTTAACGAACCACAGATGTGGCGGAAACCATATGCCAGTGTTTGTCTATAACGCAACCACCACTAGGTGGCGTTTTAGTTAGAAACTTACGGTAGGTCTTTTGCTTCGTAGCTGTAAATACTCGTGTTATATCTCTCATAAACACAGCTAGTATACATGTACCTTGAACTTTGAAGAGTATCTGTATTTGTTTTTAAAAATCTAATTCTGTATGTTTTCCAGTCGCTTTCAATCTTTTTGATAATCTTTCTTATGCATGGATAGTTGAGTTTGAGCACTGAATAGGTTTGGGCATTTTCAAGTTTTAACGTACATACGGTGCACTGAGGTAAGTACAGAACAAGTGTACAACTGTACAAGAACAGCGAAGCAAAACTTATGGAAAATGCACAGGAACGCGCAGTTATCACACATTTTGCCTTTACTGCTTTTTGACTTTCTAATATGTATAGGGTGCATTTCTAATCCGAAAACAAAAAAATAGCCAACTTTTTAAATTTCAGCTGCTGATTGTCGGCTCGGTTTTCCCAAATGAACACTCCAAGCTAGGCGGGCACTGCAAAAGTTGAGCCCGGTTCCGCGGTATACGGTTTTGAGCCAACAACCCATTTTATAAAACAATGATGCACTTATGCACTGTAGTTCACTGGTTTAACGTACGGGCAGAGCTCGGTCGGTCCTACACTCCACTAGCTAGACATTAATCCCAGTAAAAACTCCTTACTAAAATCCAAAATCGGCCTTTCTGAAAGCAGGTAATATGGTTGTTCGCGGTGAACACACTGAAAATCAGTGGGATAACCGTTGAATGTACGCGACGGAAGGTCAATACAGAGTTTCCTTTGTCGCTTCGGAATAGGAAGGCGGTGGCGGCGCAGTCGGCGCGGGACCTTTATCCACACGGCGGAACAACTTGCCGGTAGCGCGCCTGATTTGCTCCAAACCAGTATTAGCCGCATGAGAGTACTCATGCCTCGCCTCTTCCGCCATGAACGGCTGTGAGATGACCGGCACCGTGGGCACTGTGATGTACTGGGGCTGCCGGCCGAAATACTCATAAAATTCAGGCGTGGTCACTGGAAAAGTCCAAGATTTTTAGTGTTCCATAATCCGCTTCACTATGTGGCTCCTACAATACAGTTAATCGATCTTTAATTACTGGTCTGTAAAACTGCTAGGTAATAATTATTCCGCTTACTAGTTAGTGCTTACAATTGACTGATTTTACAAAATACTTAATATTGCTGCGATATTAGCAACAAATACTCCCTCGCTGCGCATGCAACAAATACTCCCTCGCTGCCCACCTTAACATGCAATAAGATACCCAACTACCCGTAGGGGGCGCATCGTTTTTTGAATCATCTCGAGGGAATATTATTTTGATAGCTATGACTTGTTTAAATATCTATAGTTAATTACCAGTGGGTGCAGCGCGCTGGGCTGCCGGTGGCTGAACCGGTGCCACCGGTCGCATGTCATCGTCGTCACAGTCGCAGTCACAATCGCATCCACATTCCGGACATAATTCCCTTCCGACCAAGCAGGCACTGACAATGCACAGGATCAGCAGGAGCATCATGAACGACAACTCCACAGCGCGAATAACGATGAGGGATCGGTTGATGGTCTGTTGCAGAGAAATGGACATCGGAAATGCGGTAACCGTCGCATTTCCCTGCATATTTACTACCGGATTGATAGGATTGATGTACTCGGCTTTGTCCATATACGATCGGAATTCTGTGGCCATGTAGATGCCCAGTCCAATGATTAGCATACAGCAGAATATGAAGAACACGTACTGGGCAGTGAATAAACACTTCCGCCGATAGGGCGTGGTGTAGCGCGACATGGAGCAGATGCCGAAGGAGGCCGCGGTGCAGGCCGGAATACCGATCCAAATGGCCTGTTGAGTTCACATCACTAATCAGATGCTTACGGTATACCGCCGCGCAAGAAAGATTGCAATTACAGAAAGATTTAAACTTTGTATTTTCCAATTCACAACACTGTGATCGAGTATGACAATCAGATTTGCGCAGCACAAATAGCTCTGATTACATTTATTATCCTCATAAATTGTTTTATTGGTTAAATCTGAGTATACAATCTGTACTTGTAAGTTCTTAACGTACTGGCATCATTGTAGAAATCGGATCGTCCTCGCTCGTGACACGCCCTGAAACGAGCCATTAAAGTACTTGAATTATCCTGGAAACGGTAAAATCACGTTAACTTCATTGGAGAATTTCACTAATTTAAAAGCTATAATTATAGTATTCGTAATGCAACGTAACGAATTATCATAATCAAATCAAAGCATCAAAATACGAACAGATGCTACTGAGGGGGAAATTATATGTAGCTTTACCACTATTATTTTTAAAGAATCCGGCAGTTTAGGCTGCACGCGTTGTACCGGCGATGTCCACAATCAGCACGCAAACGCTCGTAGCAATAATCAGGCTGTGCAGAATCCTGATCCGACAACGATGCCGTAATATTCGCGGGCGTGTTCCCATTATTCGCGCGGGATCAATGTTACTGACCATTCCTGGCTGCATGTTACTGTTATTAAACGCGGGAGCATTTGACACTGGCTCCAGTCCCAGCCCATTCCGAGCAAACGCCAAACACGAAGTAATCAGTCCCATCTTGTAGTTTTTTCGTTATAATTGTAATCATATGACGGCAATTTATTAATAATTTAGCAGGATAAACACAAGCTGTATGCAAATAAACAGTAACTTTTTAATATTTTGGGAAAACTTTCGCGATGCAGCTGGAAAAGCATACAAACGATTCTGCGATAATTTTGGTGCCACATGGTGATAATTCTTAAGCGTACGTATTATTATGCTTTAAGCTCCAAACTTTGTTATTTATTCTACATTGTACAAGCCGCAAAGAGGACAAAGATTTTTAAGATGTTTCTACTCCAACACGAAATGCACACGCACTCACGCACCTCTGCAGTACGTATAAGTTGCTAAGCGGAAACGATTAGGAAAGTCATTTAAGTAGGTCAATTTTACGAAACGGAAAAGGCATTCGAAATAAAATTGAGCAAATTAATTTATTTGAATTTATTTCAGCAAGAGTGATTGTTTGCATTTTCACATATATAATTTAAGAAGTCGTGTGGGCAGCCACAACCATCAAAACTGACAACTGCAAGGTGATGAGCCAACCACTCCATTACAAACAAAGTTAGTAATTTATTAACACAAACTGCCTACCTATGTTTGGCATGACTTTGTATTTTTGTTAAAAAATAAATTTCGACCTATGTACTCGTTTATGTTAAACTGTCCACACGTTTTGAGGGATATAATATTCATCATCTGTATATGATGCGCCCACTTTTAAGGCCTACATGCTATTTTGTCCAAAACATTATGAAAATCATGAAGGTTCATTCGGTACCATACCAGCCATACCTAAGTTTTATCATTTATTCGTTATCTTATTTACTGCAGTGCCTGCAACGCACTACTCACCATCGGCATCATGCAATTACTGCATATTCAAACCACTACTCTAGTTCTAGAAGTAAGCAGTATAAGTACCGATAGGGCTGCGCAGAATATTACTGCGGTGAGTCTCTCAATAGCGCTAAAATCATTTGCAAAAGCAGATAACTCGGACCGTTCAAACGAAATCAGAACGATTTTACGATATAAAAAGTTTGATAGTTCAATATCGGTGGAGGTACAAAATTTTATCTTTTATACTAACTTGTGAATGTAAGTAGTTAAACTTGCGATAATCAGATGAATTATTCCGATTAAGTGAACTGTTGGTGAAAATATGTCACAAGAAAGTTGCTTCCTGCTTGATTACAACGGCAAAAGCCGCATAATTACAGTGTATCCCGAAGCTGGGAGTCTGGCGCCAAACGGGATTAGCAGCCATTGGGAATTCGCTGCACTTATAAGCAGGTATAGTGAGGCACTGTTGGCCATAATCTAGTGTTACTACGGCATAAAGGTGCTATTCATTGAGTTAAGAGCGAATGATAATCATCACAAGCATAATCAGTTTATCCCGAGCTTTCCATTAAGCACTGACAAATTACTTAACACGATTATAACCTAATGTACTGTATGGTTCATAATCTCCCACAACAAAAGATACCAAATCCTAACCGGCAACTCCCATCACGCGGTAACGCCCCATCGATTAGCATACCTAACCTTAAGATGCTGACAAATTACCACTGATGGGATTATGTACCAGCACATATGTCATTTCTGGAGCTTCAACTTTCTATAGCATTGAAATATCCTGAATTTGTCCGCTTACTTTTTCTTTTTTTCGGACACCTTTTTCAGGATTTTTATTTACTTTCTTTTGCAACAATTTTATTTTTCTTAATGCCACGTATTTTGAAAAAACAAATTAGTGGAAGCCCTGTTAAACGCTACAAACTGTTAAAATACAGTAGATATCCAATTAACCGCTTCTATTCTTATTTTAGAATTTCCAATTAGATGGAACCGTCCATTATGAAGTTTTCACATTTTAGCCGGTGCAACGGTTTATATACGGAAAGGTCACTCAGATGGATAAACTATGGAAGGCCAGTCTAGTGGCGGATTATTTTAATAAACAAATACATTATTGACACTAGCTCGCGTTTTTGGCGTAGTGTGCACAGTGAATGGGCAATAAAAATAATTGGCAGTTAGAATTAAAATCAATGCTGCCAATAAAGGAGACATTTGGCCGGGAGTGTGTGCCGTGCGTCTGCCTGCTTTAAATGGGCATCCGACCGGATGGCAGAAATTAAAATGGCGTTTGGCTACTGCGTGTGTAAGTGGAGCAGAAAATTGTCTCCGCGATCAGTTTGATCAAGCATCCTTCAATTCATCCAATTCCCTGCTAGATTAACAATTTTACCCTCACCATCTTAAGTAAACTGTTGACATTCAGCTCAGTCGAGGGCTTATTGTACAAATTTAATACATTTTCTCCGCAAACAAATCGCACTGGCAAACTTTTTGTCCCCAATCAGACCGGAAATGCTAAAGGTCAACATAATAATTTTTAATTAACTACGGCATTTACAGACGACTCACTAAGCGACGTCCCCAGTTTTCATTTATTGCAAGAATTTCCACCAGACTTGCTTCTTTATTATTGTACAACTTGATTTTGTATCTTTGGTAAAACCTTTCGGGGGAAAATGCGTCTGTTTTTAAAATACTTCTGCACTTTTGAATACGATGTTGTGACAGCCGCACTGTAACTAACCAGGGAACATAGGCATCCTCCAAATTCAGAAAATTTTCATTTTTTGCAAAAAGGTAGTATACTATTGTAGTGTGCTTAAAAAAATATTTTCACCTGCCATCGTCAAGGGGGCGTAGCCAGATAACAATTAAAAGTTCACATACTATCCCATACTGTGTAATGGAGTGCAATACAAGTTAATAGTAAATCGCAATTATTATTATGTTAAGTTTTTACTGCATCACCGTGGACTTTTGCAGCTGTCGAGTAGTGATGTGAAAGAGGCCCACTTGCGGCGGCTCCTGTCATTGCTGCGAGTGCACACTTCCGAAAACTGATTATGAAGTACAGCACGTATTTGCTTATAAGTAGAAAACAGCTTTTTTTCGCACAGCTTTTTGTTTAAAACACTATTCGATAAAAAATTTTCGAAAATATGCTCTAAGGCAGCAACGGCACGAGCCCCCGCAAGTGGGCCTTTTTTACATCCCTGCTCGACAGCTGTGAAAGTCCACGGTGCTGCAGTAAAAAGCTAACATAATAATAATTACGAATAACACTTGACTGACTTTGCACAGTATGTGATAGTATGCAAATTTTTAATTGTTATCTGGCCACGCCCCCTTGACGGTGGCAGATGAAAATATTTTTTTAGACATACTACAATAGTATAATACCTTTTTACAAAAAATGAAAATTTTCTGAATTTGGAGGATGCCTATGTTCCCTGGTAAGACATACGCCATGTGGGCTCTCTATGGGCTCAACGATTTTACTGATACAATAAAGTTAACGTTTCCGGCGGATGGTTAGTGTAATGACCAAACTGATTCGATTAGTTTTTGTTGTTTGTAGTCATATAAGATAACTAGGGAATCACTACTGCAATGATCGCAGCCATCCGTCGCGTATGTTTTACTTTATTGCAAAACTCGTTTAGTTTGAAAGACATCCATATGGAGTGCATAAATCTGCTGATACGTAAGTAATGATAGATACACTATAATATCGTCAACTGGTAAAAGTCTAATGCTCGAACCTTAATACGAGTAAAAATTGCTCTGACAATGAGGACAAACAACACAAAGGTATTATTATAGTATACACACAGAAGTCACTTTATTGGTATATGCGTGTGCAGTTTTACTGCATTTTACGTAAAGATCTAAGATTCTTAAAACTCCTCTTGAAACAATCGGTCTAGATGCATCATGCATAGGCTTCTGATTTAAGAGTTGGTGTGCCGGTCTGCGGCCGCGGCCGATGCACCTTCCCACTGCCCAGGCTGGCGCTGTGCTCCTTGGCTTTGCTACGCAGCACATCCAGACTGTGCACTTTCAACGCATCCGCTCCCGTAGCATCCGGCGCCTTGTTAAGGAGTGTTCCGGGTGGTGGCAGTGGCGTTCGGTGAAGGGTCCCCGGGAAGAACATTCCGAAAAATGGGTGGCTCTTCATCATGGCCTCAGTGGTGGGGAAGGCCGGAAGGAAGGGATGAGGGGCAAAGGGTGCACCCATTGGAAATTTATGTGCGAAAGGAAAGAGATCATGAGGACGATTGGCCAAAGCGTAGTCCGGCGGAAGGTTGGCGGTGTTGGCCGGAAGGGGAAGGCCGGGGTGGAAGAGCGGGGCCAAAGCGCCGGGTGGAATGTCTGTAACTGTTTTTTCCCGCTTGCGATATTTGGCTCTACGATTTTGGAACCACACCTATCGATTAGAAATCAATATTTATTGCTGGAAAAAAATCTGGTTGCTTATCTTGTGTTTCTTACAAGTTGCTTTTACCTACCAACAACTTGTCTTTTTCTTACAGTTAGCTAATCTCGGGTGGTTACTGCACACTGACCATGGACATAATTATTACCTTTGCAGATACTAAACTAATTTCTAACTGCTAGCACAAAGCAATATCATGCGTATAACCGGCAATATCTTGTTCCGTTTTGTATTCGGCGTAAGTGATCAGTTCAGATATTTTGTTCCGTAACAAAGGACGCCTTTAGGGACATTCACTGAGCGCAGCTTATTAAACGTCAGCGCAATGTTTGATGCCGCAGAAAAGTTGGACAGATTTGCACCTGCGGCACTTTTCAGTTTGTGTAACATGAGACATTATTCTCTCGTCTGTCTATTGATCGAAAAATTGTCATAACAAGAGATTATTGGTGGCTGTGCACTGGCATTGTACGACCAAGCCGGCATTTTGGCTGTTGTACGCATCAGCTGTAAATAATGTATGCCCGATGAAAACGGCTTAATAAATCAAATTTACACAGAGCGCACTTCTCGTATCAAATGCGGCAGCACACTTTGTGTCGTAGAGACAAAAAAGAGGCCGTGGTAAATAATCAAATGCACGGGTGTTATGTCCGGATTGGACAATAAAAGACTGATTTGCTGTTGGGTTAATCTCTGTGGTTAATAATATAATAATCCACTGGCAGCACACAAACGGTCTATATTAACGTGATAATATTCGTCCACGGCAATTTTCTTGTGGTTGAATAGGCAAAAACCGGAAATTGGCACTTTATTTGTTCGATGCCGGGCCAATATCATGCTTAATTGATTGCTTATTTTATTGGATGATTATTTTCCTATATATGGCACATGGGACGTACAATACAGTACTCGTGCATTATACGGCCAAATGCGCCCGCTTGCCTAAACCGTTCAATTAACTCGCTTGCCAACTTTTCAATTGGGTTAGCGTCGATTTTATTGAACAAATCGCGAGAAAATTAATGTCCGCTAACTTTGTGCAAAGCATGGAACTGGGCTTCATGCACCCAGGGAGACACATGTTTTTGTACTTCCCAAATTTTCAAACACTTTCATATTATATCGTACTGGCAGCTGACTATGGATTTTTTTTAAAAAAAGTTGCCAGTAATACTGCCGACTGCCAAGGCAGGACTAGCCGTATGGCATAATTTAAAAAATTCACAGTTTCAGACTGCAAAATGCAAATCAAGTATACAACTAACCCAGAGAACCAATGCAGTACCATATGGCATAAGCATATATGGCCAGTCTGACAGCAGTCTTACCAGTTAGTCAAAAACTGCAAGCTTAGCTTATTCTTCTGTTTTCTAGAGAACGTCCCTTCTAAGGACGGTTGTGATAAAATATATGATTAAGGATAATTTACGCTGATGAACTTTCCCACAAGAGAGAAATGATTCCCGCCATTAACCGTGACCATTATGAATAATTTTTTCATTAAAAACGCCCGAACATCTTTCCACTTGAATACAAGCGCGCACTGCGCACGTTTGCGTCCTGCACTAAGTGGAAATGCCGATTGTCGGGATATTGTCTAATTGTCAAGTGGTGCCCTCTTCCCGATCCCAAGTGGACCGCGGCCCAATTATGCTGCCATAACAGATGAATATCGGATAATTAATAACGAAGGGCTAATTGATGGGATTACAAGGATATCGTTATGTCCATTCAGCTGTGCAGCTAATTAAATCCGATGGCCTATCTGTGATTAACATGCAAAACGGGTACTTAATTGACCCGTTGCTGCGGACAGAGCGGCCTAATTGCACTACGGGGTCAGACGCGCGATTCTGCTTGTGAGAGAGACAGGAACTGTATACCATGTCCAGCGTACGCATGCTGACAGAAAAAGGACAGATTTTTCCCGTTCGGCCTGACGCGCCGGTGCGGCGCTGCGAACGATGCGGGAGGCTGTTTGGACTGCTCAATGGGCTAATTTGCACGTTTAGGCTGCACTGTCACATCTAATCTTTTAGCGCTGGACAAGATGGATTTTAATCCTCAACTATTAAAGATTTAGAATTTCTAACCCAACCCAGCAGAAGCATATTTCGTGCAAACTGAAACGATAGCAAACCGCTCTTTTTCAAATCGTTTGCCCTTGTTAATTTTGTCAAAAACAACATACTCATAGATTTCGTCGGACAATTCAATATTTAAGAAGCTCTTTATAGAACCGCAGTGCATTAGAGCTGATTACGAAATTTTTTGTACTCCTGATTGCCATTTTAATAACGTAAGCATTTAAGTTACAGATTACGGCACAACGCGATCACGAAAAAAGTAAACTTCTGTTCGATGCGTACTTCCGAATTCCGATTCAATGTCCTTTATTTTACCAAATGTGGTGCACGTCTGTTTAATAATAGTGCTTATTCATTTGATCAAATTTATTAAAGTTTTTAGGGTACCATACGTATAGTGTTATTGCTTAATGTTTCCTTTGCATTACCTGAACGCGTGCTTCGCTGAGATCCAGTCGAAGGGCCAGTTCCTCCCGTGTAAACACATCCGGATACTGAGTGCGCTCGAACGCCCGTTCCAGCTGATGCAATTGATATGTTGTGAAGGTGGTACGACTGCGGCGAATCTTTCGTCCTCCGCGGTTTTTGTGCTCATCAATCGAGTTGACCTCATCCGAGATGGACTTCTCGCCATCGTCGCCATCCAGTTCCATGACATCGTCTATGTTGCCGTGGATGATGCTATCCGATGGCAGTGACTTGTCATCTGTTCATGGCCGCAACAAAAAAATTATATTAGGCTAGCATAACATATAAACTTTTGGACAAGTTATTAACATTACAGGTACGAAAAAATGCGATGTTTCACACTTACCTATCTTCCTGCAGTTGCTCGTACAACGTTGTGCGCCACTGTCGTTGTCGGCGCTCTTCTGCCCTTTAGTTTTTCCCGATTCCGGTCCACTGTTATCCAACATGTTAGCAATACTGTAATACAACGCACCAGAGTTTTTAACGCATTTCTCCATTGCGACTGGAACCAGATAGACAACTGCTACTGTTGGCCAGCACAACGCTAATAATCAAACAAATAAATGTAATCAGCAGCTGTCAAAAATAATTGCAACAAAAAAGATTGTTCGCCAGCAGGTTAAAATGAAACGGCTTGCCACGAGGAGAAGCCCAATGTTGTATTAGCCACTTGTCAGTTTCAATTACTCGCACTGATCAGCCACTACTGTGCAACCAACGCCAGACAAACAAGTGTCATCGTCAATTAAACGACTGGATAACTGGTGCAGTCGTTCAGGTCAACAAGCATGCAGTGGCAACACAGTGGTCAGCGGCTGATCCGACGGGTGAATGGGGTGGAGAGAAAAGGGCGGGAGTACTCTGCTGTAGTATGACATTCGTGTCTGGCATAAACCAATCAGAAGAGCTCTATATTATATGAAAATGCAAAATGTCTATATAAATATTAAGTACGGTATGTACAAGTACAGTACTACGTACAGCATTCAACCCATTTGCTCAGCCTCGTTGTTTCGGAAATCAACAACCATCTATCTGTATATACTGGCAAATTTATATACTGGCAAGCTTGAGTGTGAAAACCACAACCTGCATTCTGCAGTAACCGACTATGTAACCGTAAAAGACGAAAACAATAGTTTCTGCGCGCTACTGCAGAAATGCTGTTGTTTTGATTGTACTCTGCGCAAAGCGATTTAATTCTCGATTCAGCTAATATTGCACTTTTTCCACGACGACATTTAATTTAGTTCCAGCAGGGCCAAAATACCAGCACTAATCAACTTCGGCATCAAACACAGGAAGTTTCTCTTGGTTGATTAATCTTTAATGATAACAACTTTAAATTCCTGCACAATTTTGCTAAAACGAAATTCAAGCCCAAGAATGCGCACAGAAGCACAGAAGGCAAAAGACTGAACGCCATTTATTTATTACACTGCCTTGTCATATTTTCTTTCTGTATCACGTTGCAACAACGTGAACAAAGCATAAGTCCCGCGTCATTTTCTACTGTGTTATTCGAATCTCGCTGTTAAAACGAACTGGGCGTAGTCTGTCATTGTGTACCGAAGGCAAATCCGCCGTGAAACACAAGAAGTCCCAACAAGAAAATTAGTCCGGCAAATGAATTGTGAGAGCAGCGTCGGGTCTAAGTGGATTTAGTGGCTGGCTGGGGTCAGGGCCAGGCTAATTGAGTAGTTGATTAGGCTCATTAGCACCCGTTCAACTGTTAATTACTGAAGTGTGCTAATCCACTCCAGTCCATTATCCGGTCTAATAGAGTCTGCGCCTGACTCGGCTCACAGACGACCACTGGATCATGTTGCACGGCTGCGACCCTTCCCAATGGACATTTACTTTGTACAGTGCGCATTGCGTGAGCAGTTCTAATTTGCTTTGGGTCTATTTACTTCCGGCCTGATATGCATTTTGCCTAGTGGAGCGTATTGAACGCTAATTGTAATTATTTGATATAGCCGCCGTTGCGCAAATATGCATGTAGGATTACTGGATAGCTAATGCCATTTATAAAAGCCAGTTTTGCTGTCCAGCAAAACCAATTTTTTTTCGATTAAAATGCTCAATATTGCAATCGAAACTGTCACTGTGGGATACTGGGAGCTTTAAAGCAAAGCACCACTTTCGTCTCGCAATTTTTCGCAAGGCTCTCTCTGCTTGAGTTTATACACTTACAGTACATTAAAGTAACGTACTGAATTTATCTGTTGAAGTTTTGTGTATTCGCTTTTCAAACGGGTTTCTAGGTATAACGGCTAAAGTGACCCCGCCTCGCTAATTAAGACAGGCAATCATATGGTCAGTTAATCTATTATTCAGCCATCAACTTGACATCTTTTCTTTTTGACAAAACATTTCTTTGCCAATCCATTAAAAGCTCACGCATGTTCTTTGCTTAAGAAGAATAGGATACTTGACACAAGATTATCCAGGATTTAACCGTCTCTGTCTCGTATGAGTGCTGTCTGTGTGTAAAGAATGTTTAAACCTCCACTATACAGTATGCAGAGTAAAACTACAGCATTAATCGTAAGTATTAACTACCCTAGGGAAACAGCAGCTTTTTATGTTCAGCAGTTGGAGAAATGGCAGCTGATTGCAATTCGTACTGTACTTGTATGTAATGGGAGTCAAATGCCTTTAGGCCATAATAATTTATTAACATTCATTACAATGTGTTTAGTTCAAATAGTGCCTTTGCAGCGAGGACGCTTTATTGTATTTGCGTACTTATTTACGATTTCACATGCTCAATGAAATACCTATTAATTACGTAATTTACGACGGATTAGCTTTCAAGATGAGTTTGGGCTTCTCTTGTAGTGCTACCGATAAAGTATAATTATTTTTAGGAAGGATTTTTTTTATTCCCTGTGCGAAATTTCAGTTTAGCTGAACGAGAATGATATTATGTGGTTTTATTTACGTTAATAATACTCCTTATTTGCTGTAATTTTGTAACAGTTTCGGTACATACATATCCTTTGCACGAAACTTGATTTCGTAAAATTGTGAGATGAGATGATCCCTTGTGTATGATGAATGCTGAGAAACAGTGCGCGGATTTTCACTACGAGTACCTATCATTTATCATTTCGTTTTATATCTTTTTCAAATACAGTCGCTTTCTCTTGTACGAATAAAACTAAATTTAAAAACTAATTCGAGAAACTAATTCGAAATATTTAAAAGTTTAACAACTTTTAACTTTTTTAAAAACTAATTCGAAATATTATGGAGTTTCTTTTGTACTGACTACTGATAAGTGCCATTTCTTTCTGGACAACCCTCGTATATTTTAACTTTACTTGTTCGAACGTTTACATATGCTCGTATGTGATTTACAATTTTCACTCTGGGTACATCAGATATAATATCTGTACATGCCATTCGAGAAAAAGAAACACGAACTATCGTCTTAATACGTAATGCTTGTGTATAAACAGACAAATTGTCAGTAGTCGTCTATAAGTTTATCTAACTTGTAAATATTGTACAACAGCACTGCTTTAACAATAGCTGCCACATAGTAATTGATATTATTTTCACTACTGCATCCATCCATAATATTATTAGCCTGGTACGCACGCCATGTGCGTGCGTAAATTTCTGTTTGATATTATTAGCAGTGCTGCTGTACATCTGCCTTTATAATAGTATTACAGAACGGTACGATAATTATTAAAGTTCACAAAAAAATCTCTTTCGACATGAAGTTAACGTGCTCCCTGGCCTTGCGTCGCAGCACTTGGATGCTGGAACTAACATCGCTTCCCTCATTAAAGCTGGTTGTACCCGGAAAACCCGCCGGGAAGCCAGCCGCAAAGAAAGCATTGAGATGCGGCAGTGCCACGGGATTGCGGGCCGAGCCCACATTCATCAGGGTTGCAGCATCGGTGTTAGACGCAGCAGAGGGCGCTGCGATATCGCTTGGATTAGCTGGTGCGATGCCGAAAGGAAATGGCACCATACCGCTGGCCACGGCATTGAGATCGTGCAGATGGTTAGCTAATCCCGCTGCACTGGCCGGGGATGATCGGAATGAGCCCATCGGAAAATCGGGAGAGAATTTGAGATGCTGCGACTCCAGCTTCTCCTGGCGGCGCCATTTTGCACGACGGTTCTGGAACCAGACCTAAGACGATAACAGAAATAAAACCATGAGTGCACTGTGTACTGGCCGTTACTATGCGCTTTCTGGTATTGGTTCAGAAAATAAGGGAGCACCACAACTAAGAACAGCGAGTTTTGCTTCCTGAACGGGCATTGTAACCTTATGCAATTTAAAAATATACAGTTCGCTACAATAATCTTTTTTACTTTGAACATTTGATTTGATTTTTAGATAGGCGATCAACACAATAAGCAGCAGCCAGCCATAAAAATTAACAGCCAGTTCGGTTAACAGTTAACTACATTTGTTCGAAAGCCTCGAAATTGAAATGTTAAAAATTCCGACTATTAGCTAGCATATTTAAAAAAAATAAAACAACTCTACGCTTTTGCGATACTACAAAAATTATAATTTTACATAGACCCAGTCCTTTATTGCGACTTTGTGTACAGTAAGCAGTTAAGGAAACGCGATTCGTGTCGTCGAACGTTTCCATAAAGAAGTACCTTAGTACTCTAGCAGCACTGCACGATGGTATAACAACTACTGACAAATAACAAGTCCTTGGAATGTTAATTCATTCTCTACTTGCAAATGTCTAATGATGACATGCCATGCAAAGGTCATACCCGCAATTGCATTTGTCCTCTGATCATTCCGTGTAAAACGTCATATGAGGACATTTATACGGGCGTTACGAGAGTTAAATTAGCTACGATGAGTGAAAATTTTGAATAGGCTATTGCACAATTATCCAAACGCAGTCAGCTATGACGAATTTGACTACTTCACTGTCTGAGTGGATTACCCACGAACTTTGCGCTCTAAGTGGGGGAACATTTTCACGCTGTACGGCTTGGGTATTGCCCATGTGAGATCACGACATTTGGTCGAGCCATAATTGAAACATCAACACGAATCAATGTCACTCGGGCACAATATGTGTCACCCATGCTGTACCGGCACTCGCGCGCCAACCACTAATCATTCCACGTGGTACAAAAATGCCACGGATAATAGGTAAACTATTCGATTAGTCGCTTTAATAATTCAACCATCAATGCAATAACAGGTGCTGACCTGTCATTATCGGCCCTTTTCATTGCGTGATTAACTCAGCTGTATGTGGATTTTGTAAATATTCAACAGACGTAGCCGGCGTCACTTACCCTAATGCGTTAAGTGCTTGTTCGATGCGGCTGTTGTGACCAATTAATTGCTTAAGCCGTTTTTTGCTCTCCGGGCAGTTTTTTCTTTACCTATTGTTAGATATGATTAAATTAGCTGTACTCAGGCTGCTGTAAATCACTATTTATAAAGACATTGTGAGAGCTGGATGACAGTATTAAGCAGGCAGTTACAAATAATTTGACAAACCATCGTTATTTTGGATGTCAGTGACCTTTGTTTACAATGGAATTTATATCTTCTCTCCCTCTGCTTCGATCCTGTTTCTGAAATTCTGACTACCTCTATTAGCTAATTCCACTGTAGGTTTTAAAAGACGAAATATATAATGTCTTACAGTTCATATACAAGTATTTACGTACCCTAAATTTTTATAAAAATGAAGTTGCAAGATTGAAGAAACATATACAAAGGAAAGTAGCGATAATGATCCGATATTTTTCAGTGGCAGCCGCGACAAATTGCATTTTGTAGTATCAGCTCAGAATTCATAAATGCGACGCGACTAGTCGAACTTTCCTGTCATATCGATAAAATCGACAAGACAGTTTACACCTATTATCATGAGATAGCATCACAACAGCATTCTCGAACGGTTGTGCTTCTATTTGTGCAGTACGTAGGAGAATTCCGAATTCAAATTCAAAACAACAAAATTAAAGATTTTTCCACGGAAAAAATTCACGTATGATTTTGGTCACTGCTTTCAAATTACATCAATACAGTATAGGACGCTTTTTAAATGTTGTAAAAGCTGCATCCGTTCACTATGAGCTTCATAAGAGATCATTAAGACACTTGTCAGATTAAAAAACGCCACTCAACTTCAGCAATCTGGCGCTACTAAAGTAGCGATTTAGCAGAATTACAAAAACCGTTACAGATGCACGTTCGTTCGGCTTTAAAGATAATTTACTAGTTACCTGGACGCGCACTTCGGGCAGACAAACACGATTTGCCAGTTCTTCCCTGGCATACACATCGGGATAATGACTTTTATCAAAGGCTCGCTCCAGTTCGTGTAACTGATATGTTGTGAACGTTGTCCGGTTTCTTCGGTGTTTTTTACTGGATTTCGAGGCTTTATGTGATGCTGCTGGATGCCGCGACGAGACCGAATCAATACGCGACTTCCCTGGAAATTTTGGAGCTTCTTGTGCTTTCGTACTGAGATCCGAGTACAAACTTTCATCATCTGAGTCCACTATGCACTTTTCGCGATCCACGCAGTGCTTCTTTCGTTGATTCGAATTCCCGATAGCTGAAAGTGTTTAAGCATTTTTTGTATATGTATTATATTTAAAAATTAAGCCACAAATAATTTTTCTCAGCTTCTTCAACATTCAAGTAGTAACTGTGGATTAACTTCCTGAAGAAGTACAAGTCTGCCGATTCTACGAACACACCTTCGGTGGAGGTTGCAGGAACTAAATCATGTTTGGCCAATCGCAATCCCAAAATACTGTCAATGGAGTAAGGAACGTTTCCCTGACCAGGCAGGTTCATCGGTACGGAAAGCGCCATTTTATGATTTCACCGTTTTTAGTACAAGATTTTAAAAAACGTGCAAGCAGCAGTCTGAAAAAAGTGGTGCACACAGAGATCTTGTATGCACTTGACCTTTAATCGATAGGCTGCAGAACTGTTTCGTAAACGGTAGTGGCTCGTTGTAATCAACTGGCGCAGGATGCTGGTTTTACCGAGTTGTCAAAACGACATGAGAAATAAAGTGCCGCCGTGACATTACTCGAACACGACAACGTTACAGTGTGTTATGCGGTTGCTGGAAAGTGGTGTTTGTAGCGATGATTGTGGTGCATTTTAAAGCGATCGACCAGTGGCACCATCAGGATGTACGTAAAAGTGCTGTACTTACGTACTGTACTACTACGACAACGGACTAGTCGTTCACCCTGTTGGTAGCCTCGAATCGGAAAAGCGGTTGTTATTGGTAGTGTATACGTTATGCTTCCTAAATCACTAACTAGTAACTCCTAAGTTTTAACCGTAAGTTGCTTGCGCTTGTATAACCAAAAGTTTTACTGGACAGTCCGACACATGAAAATTTTGATTGCACAAGAAGAGCACAGAATTTCGGATGCCTGCAACGACATCAACTAATGACAACTACGAGTACATATTAAGCTCTCATACTTTGCAATTTTTTTCGACACACCTAATGATTATAATCATTCGTGTATTTTACACAATTAATCTATTATTTTCAGCACGAAGCGTTGAGTAGTTTCAGATTTTGATTTTATCACAGATTACAGCAACAGAACAGAATAAGCAGAACAAGCAGCGCCATGATAAAGTTATTTCCCTCCTAGCAGCACATTTATGATTTACCACTTCATAGCGGCCTGCTTCGAAATAAACATTGTCTTGCACAAAAAATCTTGCTCAATGACAAATGCGAAGTAGTTCATGCAACTACTACCGAAGCGAATCAATTTTCAGTAGTACTATAAATTTATAGTGGTGAGATACTACATTTTTGTGTGAAATCGCTCGTTATATTGGCACAGTTACAGTAATGGGATTGGTACAGTAACTCATTCACAAACCGAGAATAATTACCGTCCGAAACATGGGCTACTCTGCATGAAATGACTAAAGAAGGAGATAAATAACCGAGCGGTGCATCAGGGCGTTGAATCTAACTAATATTAAGTCGTTTGCTCATACAGCTGAGGACATAATGACATAATCATAATTATATTAATAGTGTGTCTCAATTCTAACGATAAGTAGCATACATTCGGTTTGCTTCTGCTTGTACTAACCAGCCTAAACCATAAGTTTTATAAACTTCGAACGGATTTGGGTGGCTGTGGTAAGTTCATAACCTCTCTCCAGGAATGATAGGTAAATAAAGTAACATCTGACGCCAGCCTTATAAGTAAGTTTATCGGGCCATTTTATTCGAGCAACGAACATTAATTGAGTTTGTGACATTTTCGATTAAACTTCAAATTACATCCCTAACGTCGTTTTAACCCGACCGAACAGGGTAATTTACTTCCATCCCGCTTCTTGCCCGGCCTGAGCTCTCTTTGAAAATGGAAAATTGCAAAATTCCATTACTGCTGCGCCACTGCTGTCTTCATCTGTGCAGTCCAGTCCATCCATACATACAGAAGTTGTGAGACACACGCTCAGCATGTTTATTCAGTCAGCCATGACCAACAATGCCCCCACGCAACATGTCACAAATCAGTCAATTCAGCCAATCAAGAGCGCCGTTGATTAGCTGATTGCTGATGGTGGGGGCGCTAATGTTATCAGTGCCTTAATCAATGGGTAAATAGCCGTGTCACGTCTTTCTCTCTCCTTACACATGTAGTCTGTGTACTCCGGCTAATGAACCTTCTCATGCCTGGTGGCCAGTTGTTGCTGCGTCGGACACGGGGGCGCTCAGGAATCAGTTTGTGTATGTGCTTGTGTATCATCTGTTTGTTGCGCTGAAAAGGGACAATTTCCTTCCGACAGCGCTTTGTTGCCGGTTCTGCATTTGCGTTACTGCCGGTTTGGGTGGCATTCCGTTCCGCCTTGCTTGTGTGATCTTTATGTTTTCATTATACGAGTAGTACTTTATACATGGAGTACAGAGTGTGCGAAAACAGTACGTATCATTTCATACACCATTACGTATTTCATACAACACATAACTTTAACTTACGTACAAGTATTAGTCGGATTTCGTTATTTTAGGATATTCGAAGGTTCGGTCACTTCGGTGGTATATTTGGTCGTCTTTACTGGCTACTTTTTATAAAATTTTTGCGAAATAATCTTCAATACTTATAGTAAATAATGGTAACTCGTTCGTTTTACAAAAACCCGCCTCCAGTTCTCCAGTTTTCCGATTTAAAATAACACAACAAGTCGTTTCCGGCAGTAAAAGAAATAACTTTTTTCGCTGTACGCTGGATTTACGCACGATTTTTTTTGCACGACAAGCGTCTCTTGCTTATTTAGTGAACAAAATCAAGCATTAGCCAGTTTTATTATTCTAAATGCTCGACATATTTATATGTATTACTCGTTCAATACCATCGTACATATTTTCCATGATATTACTGTATACACAAATTCTAAAGTACACAGCCGCCAGTCACGCAATTTCTGCCACGACGAGGATGTAACTAATTTTGGGACAAACATTTATTCAATTACAAGCAATTTCCTTTCTGCGCAAAACAGGATTACGCACGTTGTTAAAATGTTAATAAATTATTTGGCCACGCTAACGGAGGCAGCGCATTTCAGTTCCGGCATTAAAGATTCTATTAGGAGCAATCTAAACAGGAAACCAGTCCGCAGGTGCTCCGACGAGATCCGTCAACGGCGTGTTTATTGTTAGTGCAAGGTTGCAAGGTCTTGCTGTTTCTCCTTTAGCTACTGCGCATGCGCGCAGGACCAACAACAATCAACACCCCGATCGAAGACAGCTTACCGGCGTATGTGCAGTCGCAGTTTAAGTAGATCAGTTTTCAAAAAAAATTGAAATCTCTTTGCTAATAGACCGAAGTGCAGTGAAGGCCTCCCAGTTCAGCGAACATCAGTACATAATAGTATACAGTGTATGCAGACTGTATAAAAAAACAGAATTACAGCAGGCTACCAGTAAGTACAGCTAGTGAGCAAAAGGTCATGTTGTCTAAACATATGCAATCGTACATAAACCTTACTCGTTAATAATAGGAAAGTACGTTCGCATGCACTATTGGTAGACCGGAGCGCTGCAGTCTAGCCAATAACTAACAACATTACCAGTTCGAAAACTAATATATTTATGTTTTGGAAGTTGATTTTGTAGCAAACACCCATTTTGTATCGCTGTTATCAGCAGATCTTCGCTGGGCAACGGTTAACTGTACTTACTAAAGAATTTGGCAGTTGCTCTGCGTTCTTTTAAATCAACTGAAAATATGGCGTGCATACGTTAAGCTTTAGTGTGAATTACAAAAATACAAAGTAATCTAGTTTAATTATAAGTGTTATAATTGGAAAAGCCGGCCTTCACGGTGCTCGGGAAATTGTAGTGTAGGAACGTTTACAGTACTTGTAGCAATGCTGCAAGAAGCAGCTGAAAGAGGGTTGGGTTGAAGCCTAAGAAACTTGCAAAAATAATGACACTGAGTATGTCGAGTAAGCAAATTAATAAATACGAGAAAAAGCTAGTAAAAAACCGAATACAGTGCAGTTCTTAAAATATTATTATTATTGGGGCGGCACTTAAGTACGTCTGGTATGGAATAACATCTGTATTATTATAATTATTAATTTATATAATGATCGTATGCAAAGTGCAGCATCTGCTCATGAAGCAGCAAGGTCCTTTAATAGCCAGGAGGCAGCACTTCTACATAGTGTTTATGTGCATAAACACTTGCGTACAAAAACTACCGTAATCTATAAACTATGTCTGTCAGACCATATCTAATTTATTACATACTTGCGTAATAATACATTAAAGTTGCATGAATTTGTGGATGTGACAAACGCCTGCAAAATGGTAGTCAACGAACTACCTAAAACTGCAGCACCTTTTGTGCTCAAAGAAGTGCCACTGTGTACTTGGTATACGATTATGCTTATTATTACGTACTCATGGTTTACAGCAAAGCACCGGCGATGGTACATGTCTATATTATATAATTATATTCAGTGCATCGGTTCAATATTATGAAGGGTCGTACTTATCGGACCGGCAAACCGCAAAGCATACATTTTTGTTGCATAGGTATGTAGTTATTTATTTTATGGAATTCTTTGGACGCTCCATACAGCCATACAGATATCGCCGGCCGCAAACCGGTAAACGTACACAGCCGAGATAATTAAACACGTATCACCCCAAAAGAGCTATACGTGTACAAAGTAAAAAATCTTTGACAAAAAAAATATCACACGAAGAAAACTACCCAATAACCGGCACGCACACCCTGCCGACGAGATCACGCTTTGAGCTTTTATCCACCCAACAGTGCATTCGAAGAGTTGGCTACCGCGCCAGGTGGAATGACTTCCGCTGCAGCTGCACCGGCCGCTGTGGCATTTCCGGCTGCAACTGCTCCTGAACGACCAGCAGGTCCTCCCGCTCCGGCCCCACCACCGTACGCGTTACCGCCTCCTCCGTAACTACCACCACCGCCACCACCATAGCTGTCACCGCCGCCGCCACCGCCGTAACCGCCTCCCCCTCCACCGTAGCCGCCGCCTCCTCCGTAGCCGCCTCCTCCGAAACCACCACCCCCACCGAATAACCACGATCCCAGGGGGTCAAACCATGGCATTCCGAATCCGCCCCATAACGGCCATCCTCCAAATCCCCAAAGACCGGGCCAGCCTAATCCCCATCCGCCTAATCCCAGTCCAAACCCGCCGTAACCAAAGCCGCCACCACCGCCCCAGCCTTGTGACACCACTAAAAAACGATTATCTAGCATTATGCATTTTCATTAAACACAAAAAACGTGAGAAATAATTTGAATATAAACAAACGTACGCAGATAAGCGAGGCTGTCAGTCCATTGAATTAACTTCTGAGAACTTGTGTTAAATACTTACCAGATGAAATCACACTGCCAGATATCAATAGACAAATCAACGCTTTTGCGGTCATTTTCAGTTTTACAGAAAGATTTACCGACTGTGAAGACCTACTGTAAAACTCGCCATATATATACGGAAGTGAGCGATGAGAGTGCCGGTTACGACAGCAGATAAATTGGGATTCTACAGGTGTAAATTTAGACCGGAAGGTGTTTTCACACGATGCTGTTATATTGGTTGATTATGAAATGTTAAATAACTAATGAACTACCTATTAATCCTTCACTGAATCTGTATAAACATTGATACGGTGTAGCGTAGCGCCAAAATAATTGTGTTCATAGTTGGTACTGTATTTAACGTTAACAGCGACGTATTACATATGTAACGCTTTATTATGCCAATATTTTCGGCTTTTTTACGACACATTAAAAGGCTTTTTGTGAGGCATTTGTGTCATACTGCGAAGTTACTTAAGTTCTGATGCAACGCCGAAGACACATTTTACTTCTTTGCGTAGCAGACATCCGAGTATTACGATATTTTTGATTACGATCGTTATGATAAACCACCACTTATCGGAAAATATTCCGCTTGGAAGTTGACAAATAACTACTGCTCGCTCGCTCAGCTGCTACCATAGGTAGAAACTAATTAATAATACTTGCAAGTTAATTGCATGTGGAATTGGGCATAACATTAGTCCGGTAAATACTGCAAAAAAGCCATAAGGCTTATTAGATTGCAGCACAGGTACAGATTCATGCGATTTAGTGGGATGGTCATCACTTTATGCGTAAAATTAATACTCTTTATCATGCACTTCATTCCTAATTTTCAGCTGTTTCCGCCACATGAGACGGTAGGTTCCAGACCGTATGTCAACATATACGGCGCATCCCATCGTCAACTCTCTATGCCACTTTAAAAACCTCCAAAAAACAGTTTCAGTATCACATCCCTGGTTTTTTAGCAAGCTCAGATAGCGCACTGTTTTAGTTCCTTGAATCAGCCGTTTGTGTTCCTCGTGAACTGAAACCAGTGGTCAGTGGTCACTTACAAGTTACAACTAGAACTGCTCCAACGACTACTGGGGTACGTGTATTAGTCTCGTACGTATCTGATGTCTCATGACAGCAGATATAAATTTTTTCACACCTAATATTTTTAACGAAAATTAATCTAAAAGCGTTTGCTTGATTACATCACTGTATTGCACAATGCAGTAGAAGTATACAATACTGCATTACAAATTGTGCTTGTTCATGCAGTATAAGGAAAGCCATTCACCTACGTACGTCCACAACGGAATTGTACGTATCAATGGTATCGTATTAAACGTATAATTATTTTACGGGCTGAACTAAAACAGTATGCTCATTTCGCTAAAGTATATTTTCGTGTCTTTTTCACTGATGCACAGTGGCACACTTACCGTTGGACACATATAGATATTTAAATAAAATTTGGTGCACAAATCATACTGGGACATTAAACCAAGGAATTCAATTCTGCGGAGCAACGAACACATTCGTTGATATCTTCACGGCAGTTGCAATTTTTGATTTTGTACAGAGCTCATCTAGCCATCTAGGACTTGTTCATGGCCATGGTCAATGCACACGATGACGAACGAATTCAAGAACGAACACTGTAATTAATGTACAGCGGTTTCTTATTGTTAGCGGAAAGTAATGTGGTGTTTGAGTGGAGCAAGTGCTTTTCATTGAGGTGTATGTTGATTTAATTTATATTTTTAAGTTAGCTAGGCACGTACCGTAAACTGCTGGATGCAAATTGGATATAATTAGAGTTAGCCTTGTGTCCGGGTCAACTAGCGCTAAAACTACATATTGTAAAGGTGATCACACTGATAACGACACGTCGACACCAGATCGTGTGACGTTCCTTCCGAACAACCAAAGTCATGCACCGAGTCCTGGATATTTTAGGATGTCTGCTTGTAGGAACAGGTACGCAAATTACGTAAATACAGTTAGGTTGTGGATCACTGGTGTTCGTTTTTGTTGTTTTGCCGTTGTCAGCATTATGCAACAGTCAGTTGATCTTCCCCTGGATGTATCCGGTGGAATTCGCCTATTGGGCATTGGGCGGTCCCGGTATCGGTGCCGCTGTTCCTGATCCCGGCATTGCAGGGGGATATTTTGATCCCCTCAATATCCCCATCAACCCTTCCAGCCCTGATAGCAAAAGTAAATCCAAAGCGGCAGCCGTTGTGCCAGCCACCACCGATGCTTCCGCTTCCACCGGCACCACGACACCGCTGACCGCGGATTTCCATCCGCAGTCCGTTAATAATCCCATGGATCCCATAACGGGAAAAACAAAGGACCAACAGAAAAAAGATGATACGGGAAAAGATGAGGATAAGGGTATTCGAGAGGTTAGCGGGGCCACTACGACGGTGGAGACAGTGGAAGATGTCCTGGAGGAAGAAGACGACGACCGTAGTGATGCCGGCCAAAGCGAAAACCAGGCGTCGAACGCGAATGATCGCAAGAAGGTGCTGAAATTCTCTTTGATGCAATTTGCGAAAGCACTTGATAAAAGAAAACTGGCAAAGGCCAAAACATCAGTCGTGGCAGGAAATGTATGAATTTACCGTTACATAAACGGTCTGTAAATACTGTTCTTCTTAACCCTTCGAAAACCGAGAGGGTGGTGTGCATCTACCGTAGCATGTCGTATCTATAAACAGCAGCGTCAGTATGTTCGTTCTCAAGCGTTTTTCTGGTTACTGTTATCCCATGACCGGCGAGGAACGAATTGGTGATAGCCAATAGCTAATAGCCTTCCTACCACGCGTACCTAATCTAAATTTCGAAGGATACGAATCAGTACGAGTACCCGTAGTAATTAACCTACAGTAAGCAATCAACGTAAAATTCGGAAAATTAACCCAAATATGCAAGTATGCCTCTAATTCTAAGATCTAATCAAGCGCAACGCTTTCTTTATTGAAGGAATAACGCCACGTCGCCACCGTTAAGCACGGTTCCGGGAAAACATAAGAAATACGCGACTTTAAATTACGCAAGTACAGTACTTACTATACTCGTAAGCAAATAAAAGCACCTTTTGGCACTTGCCTGGAGCAAATCCACGTCTTAGCATTCAAGCTGTCACAACAAAATTAAAATTAATTAAAACCAGAACACATCACAAAATGTCAGAACCATCGAATACCATGAAAGCGCGGAAGCCAAAATAATAAAAACAAATAAATACTAAAGCGTTGTTCTCTCGTTATTACTTAACCGTAGTGACCACCTCATGAATGGCCTTGGCCACATAATCGGCATTCCCTGGCGCAATTCCACACACGTTAATCCGCCCGCTCTTCAACAAATAAATATGGTGCTTATCAATTAGCTGCTGGCACTGTGCCTCAGTCAGACCGGTATAGGCGAACATTCCAATCTGATCCGTCAAGTGATTCCACGTGCCCGGGGTCCCCAACGCCTCCAGTTTGCCGCGTAACAGCTGCCTCATATTTTTCATCCGGCCGGACATTGTGCGAATGTGCTCCTTCCATAGCTGCGTCAGTTTCTCATCATTTAGCACCGCGCTGACGATACGCGCGCCCTGCGCGGGGGGATTAGAGTAGTTGCCGCGGACGAGGATGGTCAGCTGCGATTTGATTTTGGGAACAGTTTCCGCTTTACTGGTGACCACAACTAAATTGCCTACACGGGACGAGTAGATGCCGAAGTTCTTGGCGAAGGATTGTGCGCAAACGAATTCCAGACCTTGCTCGGCAAAATGGCGAACAGCCCAAGCATCTGCAAATTATTCATATTTTAATCGACAAACATTATACAAAAGCCTCTCCTAACAGGTCAGCAAAAGCGATGTTTACCTGCGTCAAGATCACCGGAAGCAAAGCCTTGGTACGCTGAATCCAGTACTGGGAACAGTTTGCGTGCTTTGATAATTTTAACTATTTCCTTCCACTCATCACGGGTTGGATCCACTCCTAGAGGGAACGTCAATGCATGAGCAAAGGAAATTAGAAAAACTATTTTTACAAATTCGATCTTATGATTCACAGCCCGCATAAGCATAACTGATCTTCTACCAAGGTCTGTGTAATGCAATTGTAATTTATAAAATAACCAGCGGCTACAGAAGAAAATGCCAAATTTCTATTGCGATTCCATTATGAGCTGTTTCACAAGCTTAACAATCCCGGAAAATAAGCTCGCACAGTATCTGCCAACCGGCAGCACACATATAGCTGCCAGGAATCCGGCATTAAATCTCCACCATCTATTACTACATAAACTTTTAGCTTACGGTAAACTTACGGACTAACTGAGATAGTAAAAAGCCCTACGGGGCTATTTTCTTAATTAAATTATTTCGGATACATACTGCCAACTGTCCTTGGCTTATCCAATTTCTTAACGTAATAAATTATCCTTATCAGTCAGTTACAGGACATCCACCGCATGCAAAGACAATAAGGCGCAAAGTACGATGCGATAACAGTTAGTATGTCAAAAATAACAGACAAAGGCAAAGCCTATTAAATTTTCAGCAGTCAGAGCAGTGACTATTAAAACAAAATCGAATTGACGAGTATCCAGTAATAAGCCAACTGAATAAAGCTGGTCTAAGCCAACCAATTGATTAAAAAAGGCTAAAAAAACAGCAACATCCCAAAAAGTTCATACTTATATCTTACCAGTTGGATTATGACTGCAGGCATGCAGAATGACCACCGATCGTTCCGGCGCGTCATTCAAATCGTTGAGCATATTCTTCAAATCCAGCGCACGCTTCTCCGCATCCCAATAGTGATACTCCCGCACCTCATTAAATCCCGCTTTCAAAAACAACAGCCGATGGTTTTCCCAGGTCGGTGTGGAAATGTAGGCGATCTTCGTCACTGAAGGCACACAACTGGCCAGAAAATCCGCCGCCAGACGCAGAGCACCGGTTCCGGAGAGGGTCTGCACACCGAATGCCCGGTTCTCATTCAAAGCTGCACTGTCGGCACCCAGTAGCATCCGAGTGGCTGCCGAGGAGAAGCTTTCTAGCCCCAGGATGGGCAGATATTCGAAGTTGATGCTGGCATCTTCAACGATGCTCCTTTCCACTTGTTTCACAACTGTCAACAAACAACCGATGAGCCTGCATCAAGCATTTATAAACGAAATATACATGTAAAGTAGATGCGACTTCTCCGACTACATACAAGTACAGTACCTACTGCATTTAGAACTACGACGCACCTCGTAATATTGTTACCAAAATTGAATAGATCAAAGGCCGAATTATTATATTATCATTAAAGCATTTAGAAAAGTAGTGATTACTGATACCGTTTACCAAGCGAATCAAATTTTGCAATATTTCCTTGGACCATAACTGCCTAGGCTTTAGTAGCTTAATTGCAATAAGAAAACGATACTAAGGGTAATCAATCCTATGAGAATTATCTCACTGATGTTTTGCCTGAAGTGGGGCACAACGCTCCGTTGCGCGCCCGTGAAAGATAACGCGAGTTAGTCACACAACATTCCCAAGCCGAAAGCTAACGGCTGCGCTTATTGGTCCGCTACGTGATCCACAGATGAATTACAAAACGCAGCTTCGAAGCTGCGTTTTCTATTTCACATACACATTCACCTCCGTGGTTCAGCATAGCCAACGGAGCTTTACACAGTGGCCACCCGTAACATGTTGAAGAGCTTTCAGTTTATTAGCTAATTTACTAATAAATGTGATTGAGTATTAATCTGCATTACTAATTTATTAGACTAAAAGCTGCTATTAGTAATTAACTATTAGTGATTGACTGATTGCTAATTTAGTAATTACTGTTAGCTATTGCTATTAGTAATTTATGATGTAGTTTAGATTGCGTTACTGCCTAATTCTAATACATTAATTAATTACGCTAATTAATTAGTTAAGATACACTGAGTAAACGGAATTACATTAATCAGTTAAGTGATAAATTAATAATCATCCTCAAGCATTCGGATTAATGCGAGCCTGCGACTTTACAGTACAATTCATTTTTATGTATGCTGCAGTATGCAGGCTTAAAGCACGATTCATTTAGCAGTCAGTGCTTGCGTTTTATCTGGTGATCCACAGCTTATTACTGGCCCAACGCATTCTCGTTTTTTGCTATGTGTCATCCATCGGTGATCCATACAGAATTCACATTTTATTTCGCGATATCGTACTTGAAAAGATAAGTGTAGGATTGATTAGGCCTACTATTCGCATTTGAAAAACGAAATTAAGGGTTCAGAAAAATCACCCACCAGGTAAAACCCATGGCTTCAATTCTTCAGAGCGATAAGCGCCGATCCCTAAGTTCACTTTGTTGGTATCTTTATCCTCCAAAAACTTGCGGTTCAGCTCAAACACCTGAAACACCACCACTTCCTAGTTCGTAACTTCGTAATACGGTAGTAATATGACTAATATGACTAATGTCAGCAGAATTCAGAAATATATCACGATGTGGAGCACGACCAACCTCAATCGGAGGCATGCTCCCAACTTCATCGAACCAAGAGAACGCCATGATTGCGGACGTTAGAAGAAAAGATCAGATGGAAAAAGTCTGGAGGAACGTTTATAAAGTGCCTGCACCTCAAGTGCCTCCACTGGCTTGCAGACGTATCGGTGTTTGTTTGCAAAGGTTTGAAACAAACCCAAGTTGGCTGAATGCTGGCCACGGGCAAAATAATGGATTATAGAATGTGAATCGTACTTTATAGTTTATACATACTTACAGATCATGCATTGTACTCAGCCTATGTAAAGCTGATACGGCCAAAACCTACTGACAGCATGGAGTCATGGACTCCTTTAGGCTTTAGGATAATTATTAGGAATCAGTTTACCGTTTACGCATCATTACCTTTTTATTGAACGCAAACTGATTACACAATAAAAATCAGCATATTTTTTTACCTGAAACTGCCTTACTGACAGGCTGGAATACATTCTTATTCTTAAACAGTTTAATTATACAATACAAATACATACGTAGTGCATAGTGCATACAGATTCTTATACAGATTGGCTGGTTCAAAAGCTTCCGATTGGTTCCGGTTACCGAAGCACTCCGATTCCCGAGTATTTGTCACTTGTCACTCTCAGCGTCAGTACCAGACTGGTACTACCAGTGTTATGGATGTGAACGAAAACTCGGGACTTATGATTCTGTAAAGATACCATAAAAACCGAAAATGGGCTTTGAGATGGAGTAGCATTAGTAGAGTCTTAGATCTAGAGATGGTCCATTCGGTGCAAAACGTCAGTGTCTCAACCCCGACAGGAAGCAGTGTCTCAACCCCGACAGGAAAAAACAGACTATACTGAGTGATGTTGCGTTCCGGTTTTGTTCTGCTCGGCCTTTGCCGCTGTCCGGTTCGCGTGGGTGTTGCTGCGATAGGCGATAGTGCCGTCGTACGCACGCACGCACGTCACATCCCATATGTTAACATTTCGGAGTGACTATTTTGCCGCAGTTTTTGCGGCAAAATAGCCAACCAGCTATAGTGCCGCATATTGTTCTTACCGCGGCAAAATAGCCTTAGCCGTATAAACAGTGCCCGAAAGGTCCGTAATAATAATAGGACTTAGTACTGTGTAGTGTGTAGTTCATAAAGAATAATTGAATAAAGATGCTACAGCCACAGCGCTAGCATTATATGCGCTGAATAATTAATGCGCATGGATGGATGTGTAAACATAATTTTGATTTTTGAAGTCCAGTGTAAACATGGTAAAAACTTGTCTTGGGTCATGAGCTTTTGACAAAATAATACTGTATATGATATTTACCGTAAACATTCTAACGAAACGATTCTAACTAAACATTCGTAAATTGTTATCGTAAGCATGTTATTTAAACGGTTAACCGTATACTCGTACAGAAAACGCGCAGACTATCCAAAACTCCAAGTCCAAGTATTGTACACTGTCAAAACATCCGCCGCACCAGGGCGACTACGTTGCCATCAGTGTTTAACCCAGCCCTTTCGGTCTTTCTGACTCTTTCAATAAGTACAGTGAAGTACTCGTGTGATAATTGGAAATGGAACGATAAGAGAAGTATCGGGTATCCATTTCGAGAATCGAGAAGCATGGCCCGATGATGGCCGACAATGATTTCCAAATCCATTGACGTTGTTGGAAATTCCACTATTGAGCAACGTCATGGGATTTTCCCTGTCAGACCGAATTACGGTGTAGTCTACTGTCTACCCCTCAGTTCGTTGGCAACCACCGCGGAATGTTCCTTCTGTACTGAAGTAAGACTGTAAGACCGCACATGAGCATGATCATTGACTGTCTTGTGCTGGATAAATAGGAGTACGGAGCGTGCATTAACTTTTCATTTCAAATCATTCGCAAAAGCTTTCTTCAAGTTTTGAGCGTCTTTTGCCTTGTCTTTAACATAACTGTTTGCAAATTGCAACAATGTTCGTAGCCCGTAGCGCAGGACGTGCATGCAGCCGTGCGTTGGCTGTTAACAACCAGTACGCTGCGATCCAGGCTGCTACCTATGCGAGTGGTCCGAAGAGTCCTGGTTCCGCGAAGGATGCTGCCAAATCTTCCTGGGAACAAGTTAAGGCGGAAGCAAAAGATATTAAGGTGAGATGCGAGGTCTGCTGAACCGTTTAAACATTTCGCTGGCTGGTATTCAGTGAGGCGATAACGTGTCTCTGCATAGTCCATAAAGAAATCTATAGAGTATAGACTCATTAGACTGGTTTAAACTTTTAAGTACAGTAAGTACCGTCAGTCGGTAATTCATAACAATTGTAAGTAGTTTGCCGTTTTCGGTAAACTACTGTTTTCTGTTTTACCTTTCATAACTTAACTGTAAGCCCAAGGTTCGGGATTGCGTTCTGATACTGTAATGCATCGGTTAGGTACATTCAAACCGTTACAATGTTAAGTTGTTAATTTGTAAGTAGCGTCAGCGGCACGCCCAAAATTTTCAAACAGTATCTCTTTCCGGGTTTCCAGTTCTATAAGTCAGCGTAACACTGTAAAGCTCTCACCAGTGTAAATCAAGGTTCTAACAATAATAAGTTAACGACGGAAGACGCGAGACAGTCTTCGACATTGTGATTTATCCTGTTGAATTACGTATTGGTTGGAGTGCATGGTATTTCTGTTACGTAGATCATTAATTTTGCTAAAACAGTTTAGTTTATGTTACACGCTACAGTAGACAAGTGGGTAGGAATATAGTTTCAAGTGGGTAAGAATGTACAGAGTACAGTACCGTTTGGCTACAGGGTGAAGTGAAACATGAAGCTGGCAAGTTGAAGGACAAAGCCGCCTCCGCCTGGGACCAAACCAAAGCTGGTGCGGCGGATGTCCAGCGGAAAGTGGGCCGTGAGGCCGAGTATGCTAAAGACCGAGCGGAGGCCGGTGGCAATCGCGCCCAGGGTGCCGGTGACGATCTGCTATCAAAGGCCAAGGATGCCGCACAAAACGTGAAGGAATCTCTTTCACAGCCCGGTGGTATTGCCGATAAAGCGGCCAACGCCTGGGAGAACGTGAAAGAGAAAGCGGCGGATATGGCGGCGGAAGTGAAGCATAAGGCCTCTGATCTGAAGGACAAGGCCTCTCAGACCCTCCATGATGCCACATCCCGAGATCAACAGTCTCAGACCCGTGATCAGCAGCAGCGAAGGGACTCGGATGCTGGCAAGGGCCGTGATCCCAAGAATCGGTATTAGATGGGGGTAGTACTGTACGTTTTTGGCTAGTGTACATACAGTAACAAACTGAATGTGTTCGGGTAATAGTGCTGTCTCTTAGTTCGGTGCGTTCCATTTTACGCGGCGTTCGATCTTTGTTTTCCCAGAAGCTGTGTTTTCAGTGTTGAGCGGTTTTGTTTCTCTTTTTTAGCTGCTGATCCGAATTGTGAAGTTTAATGTTTTCTGATGATTTTCGCTTGACCGGAATTGCCAACGTGCTTGATGACTTGTTTGCATTTTCATCGTGGCGGCACAGTTGATTGCAAAATGAATAATCTTGAAGAGAAATCATTTATTTGGGTTTAGCACAACGTTGTATTTGCAATTATTTTCAGGTTTGGGATCCATTGTGTAACACTGTGTACGGTTCTTACGAGTGAGTGATAACAATACTGTACTTGCTGTACGGTAGAACCACTGCACAATGTATTGTACATTAATTTTCATAATCTCCCTCCTCCAAACTTCACCAGTCGGCAGTCAGTCCTGTGTATTGTTCGTATCTGCTTACTTATCATTCTAAGCCATCGCGGAAGGTACAGTACTTATTTCCATGTGGGAACGGGAAAATGTCGGAACTTGAAACGCTGAATACGAAAGATGTTCAAAAGGTCTGAAACTGATCGTCCGTAGTGGTATATTATTATATGATCTACACGCTCCAAGCCTCCAACGCTGACCGCTAGAAACGTTATTGTCTAACCGGATTTCTGGTACGGTGGTACCTAACCATCATCTCGAACTAAACAGTCATCGAGTTTTCCCCATTACTTTAATTAAAGCGACCACCGGTAATGCACTGCTCCGTGCAAATTTCACAGCATGTATGGTACTACAGCGCGCAGTTTTCGTCTGCAACTCTCATAACGTACGGTTTCCATTCCTTCTGATATTTCCTTTGTGTTGCTTTGAATTGTTACGAAATATCACCACTGGTGACATTGTATATAACTGCATATGTTAAGAATATTTTTGAAAGTTTTAGACCAGTTTATGAGTGGGGAAAAGTTCAATGTGCTGCTTCCGGTTTGAGATAAGTAACTATCTCCACATGCAGTAATAATTTTATAATGCTGTAATATAGATAGCAGTTTTATAAACAACGCGTAAAGGAACATGTACTAGTAAAGGAACATGCAAAGGAAAAAGACATCATTATGGCACATTGTAGACTATTAATTTTAATAGATTACGTTGTAAACGTTTTACTGCGTTTTCTACCATGAGTTGAAATACCGCTAATGTTATCGCCGGCGTCGCGATCGCCGCGAAATGTCGCATCAGTTAGCTACGAGTAGCTTTTGATGCGCGATGCTCCATTTTACAAGTTCGTGGTGCATCGCACATTGTCCTCTTTTAATTATAACCTTACAAAATCAAAATTTGGCCGTAATTATATTAAACAGGGTGCGTTGATTTTGGAACAAGGGCAAGTTCGTTTTTTAAACAGTAAAACATTGCGGCTTCGTTCTTACTGCGGTCGCCTTGTGCAATCGCAGTGCACACTGCATTGAAAAATAATAATAAAAGCGTGTTGATGGCGTTCTTCATTTTTTCGTCGCACGCTAGATTACAAACTGGATCCCCTGTAAAAGTATATTCGTTTGTTTAATTTGATGAAGAATCGCAATCTCCTTATAGTAATATCGATCATAGACATATGAATATCAAGTAACAGCTGTGTGCAATTGGATCCCCACAGATTTTAACCTTTATCCGTTCTCTTTAATTTGCGCAATTGTATTCCATTGCTGTACCGAACTCCTGTCGATCCAAGATTTATTTCAGTATATAATTAAGCACATAAATTCTGAGAAAGAATTACTTGTGTTGAAAATGCCCTGGACAGGATATTCCTTATTAGCCCTCGCCTGCATTTTTGGTACGTAATGGAAAGTCTCTCACAATCAAGATTACATTCCTAAAGTTCTTCAGTTATTCTACTAATTTTAATAATATTTTCATGCCACCTTTTGCTGTCTGCTTTTTATTACTGGAGCAATGAAATTCACCAGATCATTACCAATTTACCAGCAAACAGTATTTGTGTAATGCTGTACAGGTGTGGTGGTGTCATACGGTGGTGGATATGGCGGTGGAGGTTATGGAGGTGGGGGTTACGGGGGCGGTTACGGTAGCGGCGGCTATGGTGGTGGCAATGGTATTGGCGTTCCCCCATTCTTTCCCTGGTGGCCATTCATTAATCCCTACGTTGGATTAAGTTACACTCCATCATATAATCCCAAATACAAAGGAAACTATTACTATTATAACGGTGACTATGATGGACCGGTCAGAGAAGAGAAGTAGTAACAACAGCGGTTGATGGTAGTAACAATAGCGGGCTCTCCTATTGGTCGGTTTGGCCTAAGTACCGCCCCCATGCACTGGAGGGTATACGAATAGCGGATTATGGTCTGTGCACTGTACTGTATATACGTACAAATCAGTTTGGTCTGATGGTGTGTACGAATAGCGTACAGTTCATGTACTGTGTACAATAGCGTATTGGTCGGTTTGATCTGTATACCGCCCATAATGCACCGCGTACAACAGTGTATTGGCTGACATTATATTACGATGCCACTTTAAACCAGATGTGCAGTGACTTGTGATCAAGTGCACAGGTCAAACTTTCCAAGTCATCATTCTTAGTTTTCACTTCTGTAAGTCACCATCTAAGGAATTATATCTGCAGCACTACAACTGGATTAACGTGCGTGATCGTGTGCTATCATTATGAAAGTTGTTTTGCTGGAAACTGCAAAGATCGTTTGCACGTTTGAAAGGGTTTTATTTTAATGTTATCATTGTTGATGTCCGCGTTTTGTTAATTTTGCACTCGGATCGGTACTGATTTTGGACTATTTCTCATCTTGTACTGATTGACTGGCACGGAACAGCACGTGTTAGTGCTGGCGGAGTAGAGAAGTGTCCGCATTCTGGAGGGCTCCATACGGTAAGTGAATGTGTACGTGTTAAGTACTTTTTTCCGCACTTTCTCATAGTTTTCATCCCTGCATACATTTAGTTACACCAAGTTATACCTTCTTTGCGTCGTTCACAAATTCTTTCTTTGAGATTCTCTCTGTTTAATTACTGTCTCTCCTTCAACTTTGACGCGACAATCTCAAGAATCTTATTGTGCTACGAAGTGCATGGCGCCGCACCAGGTGCATTCTCACTTTCGCTTCTTTACTTTCCCACGTGCTTTATATGACAATCTCAACATTCCAGCTGCCTAATTATCTGTCCTGTGACTCTGACGCGACATTCTCAAGTTTCTTTCATGCTTGACGCGACATTTCAAGATTCCTATTGTCTTACCGTCTTGCTTGGCGCCACGCCGGGTGCATTCTCACAATCCTTACCACATGCTGCATAACATTCCACCTGTCTGATTCCTGTCTGTCCTTGAACTGTGCCTTGACATTCTGAGATTTTCTTGCTCGACACGAGATTCTCAACTTTCCTACATGTTTGACGTGAAAACTGAGTCGCTACTGATGGTGCATGCAATTTTTTGAGATGATAAAACATGGTTAAACTTCATCGGGCGCCACTTTTTAGATGATAACACATGGTGCAACTTCATCGGGTAGAGCTTCTGAAATGATTTTTTTTGTTTTTTTTGTTTTTTTTGTTTTGTTTTTTTTTTGCGAAACATGCAACACATGGTGCAACTTCATCGAGTGCAACTTGCACAACTTTCTAGATGATAACACATGGTTCAGCTTCATCGAGTGCAACTTTTTTTTTTTTTTTGCGAAACATGCAACACATGGTGCAACTTCATCGGGTAGAGCTTCTGAAATGATTTTTTTTTTTTTTTGGTTTTTTTTTTTTTTTGGCGAAACATGCAACCCATGGTGCAACTTCATCGGGTAGAGCTTCTGAGATGATAACACATGGTTCAGCTTCATCGAGTGCAACTTGCACAACTTTCTAGATGATAACACATTGTTCAACTTCATCGGGCGCAATTTTTGTTTTTTTTTTTTGACATTGTGTTTTGTAACCACAGGCCAATATGGGACGATGCAAGCAAGTTCCGGTACGAAACCGGAGTCGCAGAACGGTTTTTCTAGATAAAGAAAAGTCGCCAATCCTTTCAACACCGAGACCGTCTACTTCAATTACTGGACAATGTCCAAGATGCGGAACCATGGTTTCCAAGCCTATAAGTGCCCACATCTTGCAACACTGCTCGTATCTTTCCAAGTGTTTCAAAGAATTTGCAGAAAAAGAAAGTTCTGCGGCTAAACGGGCTGTGGATGCGCTTGAAACGCTGCACTATCCTGGAAAACGGTTTGTTAAGCAGTTGGATAAAGTGACCAGTGCCTTGGCTCATGGTTCAGGTGTTTGCGTGGCGAGAACATTCCGTGCTGACCAATACAATCGCTATATGACCGACAGGGATTTTACCGACTCTTGGTCGCTCAGCAATCTTGCTGCATCGCTGGACTGCGTCAACTTGAAAAGTCTTCTTCAGATGCTTGCAACGAAAGGCAGCTTCTTGATTCCTGTGTCAACAACAAACAAGCAAATGCACAAAGATCTTATCTCTCATGTGTCCGTGATGGTGCTACTCAATAACGGTAAAGATTTGTTTCTGAATTTCAATAATGTCATGTCATGGCATGTCTTTCGTAGGCCCAGAAATAAAAATCATGTTCTTCAATCCAAGTGGCAAGAAGTGCTCGTCCAAATTCATTGGCCGCGCCTTCATCGAAGCTGTTCTGGATGAGTCTAAGCCGTACCCTGAGTTGTATAACTTCTTCCATCATCAATGGCCGGAGATACCTAAAGACTTTCAGCACCTGCTGCCTGACAGCGTACAACATGGTGCAACATTGTTCAGTGAAGCATGCACGCACTTGTCTCGTTATTTTATCAACACCACTTTGGAAAAGGTAAGAATCGATATTTTCTTTCTTTATTCACTTTTCAATTATGATTTCTGTACAGGTTGTTTCTGGCCAAGATATACGATTTGCCATGCGTGACACAGCTGTCGAAATACAGCTGTTCGGTTGGCAAATTATTTATTCCCGTCATACAACGTTGGAAAAGAGCAATGCCCTGCGTAACCAGATTCAAAAACAAATTGGCTGCCACTACATTCTAAATTTGGCCGCAGATCTTAGGTATGGCACAGAATTCTACGTGTAAGCAGTACTCTAGCTAATCAAGGGCTTCTTTTGTAGTTCTGAGCCTTCAACATTGAATAAAGTGGATACTAACTACATTGCTGCCATGGATCATGATCTCATGGATAACGACAACGACTTTGACGACTACGGATATAATTTCGGCCAATTCTTCAATCCTTATTCACCGCCTGGTAGTCCATTCAACTGGTCACAAGTCTACACACCACCGCAATCGCCAGCCACACAATCCGATGAAACGCATGAACCCATGGAAGTTACTGTGGAAAACGTCCTGGATGTTGAAGAAAATGTTCAGGCAGGTGGTGCAGAGCCGATGGATGTCGACGTGCAAGATAACGACGACGATGTGGGAGAAGCTATTGTTGCGAATCATGTTCCATCCCAGGAATCACTTAGCCAACCCGTTCATGATGTTAACGTTCCTGAGTCAGGCCAATCCATACCGTCGGAATCAGACTGGTCCAAAGCTTTTACGCTCCAGAAGATAAGTCACAATCACAACAAAAAGTTCAACCACCATCAGTATTTCTACAGCCTTAAGATCAAATCTTTGCCGCAAGAGTTTGATACAGTAACTTCCCTAGAAGCATTGCCTGAAGTGTTCAAAGCGGTGTGGAAAGCGTGTTCTAAAGATTTTCAGCCGCACGACGCTGTGTGTATAACACTGTTCACCCGGACTATGGAAAATCCAATGCACTTGAAAATGCAATTCTTCAGTAACTTCAATCCGCGCGATTTGACTGAAATGGTGATGAAAATAAACTCTGGCGGACTCTTCTGCATTGACGATTCTTTGCGACTCGTTATTCAGCGTACGGTAATCCCCGCCGGAGGTGCTCGTGTACGTAAGCATATTCACTCGACGCATGATCGGAAACGGTTTGCGCGTTCAATTGTGCAAGTTGATGTCGGTTATAATCTGTGTCTGCCAGCATGCCTTGTGCTCGGAAGGTTCTATCACGATCCTGCAAAGAACATACGAAACTGGAAGCAACTGACTGATAAAAGAGAGAAAAAACTGCAAGAATTCGCAGCAAAACTAGTGGAAGAAGCTGGACTTACTGTCGGAACAAAGTTTTCCTTAAACGACATTGAACGTTTCCAAACAACTGCCCTTAAAGAGTTCCAGATCAAAGTTGTTGGAGCCGAGCAGGGGAACATCATAATTGCCAGGTGTCCCGAAAGGCAAGGGAAGCTGAAAACCATCTATCTTCTGTACGAAAATGGCCATTTCGATCTGATAACCAGTCCATCCGGGTTTCATCGACGTGGGTATTATTGTGAGTTGTGTGACAAGGCTTATGTTCAGAAAGAAAAGCATCGATGCCAAGGTAAATGCACCAAATGTTATCGCCCAAGAGAGGTATGCGTCGAGCCTGAAGAAACTAGCAGAATCTTGTGCACGGATTGCAATCGTGAATTCAATAACAACAAGTGCTACGATTTACATAAGAAAGCACGCAAAAACGGTCGGCCATACTGTACGGAATTGTTCATTTGCCCAAATTGTGGAGTTTTTGTAAGTCTACTCAATCGGAAATTCAAGAAGCACGAATGTGGTGAGATGTTTTGCCATCCATGCCAGGAGTGGGTTGATCAAGCCACGCACAAGTGCTATCTTAAACCGTTGGAGCCTCGTGTCCATGGATCGAGTTCAAATTACATCTTTTTCGATTATGAAACTTACTTGGACGCAGAGGGAATCCATCGGCCTTGTTACGTCGTGGCACAATACACTAGCGGAGAAGAGTTTCGCTTCCCTCCAGATAATGTGCCAATGGGAGGTTACGACGTTCAGAAAGAGTTTGGCCAATGGGTTTATTCAGAGCAACATCGTGGATACACCTTGATTGCGCACAACTTTCGCGGTTACGATGGACACTTCTTACTTTCCTATCTTCTGGAAAACAACCTCAAAGGCGTTGAAGTCATACGACGGGGCAGTCAGCTTCTTGATCTCCGTTATCCAGCTTTAGAGATAAAAGCGCGCGACACTCTCAACTTTGTTATGACAAAACTTTCCAATTTCCCAAAGGCTGTTGGCCTGACAGAGTGCGAATCCAAAGGCGATTTTCCTCATCGCTTTAACAAGCCGGAAAACTGGGATAAAGTGCTTCCGTTTCCCGATGTCGATGAATACATGGTAGACGGGCTGAAGCGAGCGGACCGAAGAAAGTTTGAACAGTGGCACGCAGAGGAGAAGCAAAAGAAAGGTATGGATGATGTGTGTGGTTTTTTTTTTTTTTTTTTTTTTTTTTTGACGAATATGTTTTGAAGGTGTTTTCAATTCCCGAGCGGAAATGTCCGACTACTGTTCAAGGGACGTTACTATACTGCGGAAATGTGCTCTCCAATTTCGTGAAAATTTCATTAACATGACCAACGTCGATCCGTTTCAAAACGTTACCATAGCTTCTGCCTGTCAAACGTATTACAAGACCAAGCTGTTAAAGGCTAAAGAAATTGCCGTCATATCTGCGAATGGCTACCAGCCGAATCGAAAGACAAGTGCCGAAGCAACGCAGTGGCTTGAATGGATCAGCATGAGTCATCCAAACATCGAGCACGGTAGGAACGGTAAAGAGCGGAAAATCAATCGCTACTTTGTGGATGGATTCGATCCGGACACTAAAACAGTGTACGAGTACAACGGCTGCGTACATCACGGACACCCAGAATGCACCAACGAAGATGACCGATCACCGTTCTCCTTGAAGAAAATGTCAGAAGTGTACGAGCAGTGGATACGAAAGAAACTTTTTTGGAAGGCATGGGTTATAATGTGGAAGAGAAGTGGTCTTGCGAGTGGCTACGTGAAAGAAAAGATCCGGATATACAGCAATTCCTCTTGAACCAGAACCTACGTGATCCACTGCAACCGCGTGATGCCTTTAAAGGTGGCCGTACCAACGCTTCATGTTTGTTCAGAGAAGTCCAAGAAGATGAGCAAATTCTACATTACGACATCGTTTCCTTGTACCCGTTTGTCAACAAGAAAGCGGAGTATCCAATCGGGCATCCAAAGATCATCGTGACCAACTTTAAGCCCGTAACGGAATATTTTGGCCTGGTCAAATGCAAAGTTCTTCCACCTGCAAGGATTCGATATCCTGTGTTGCCTGCCACCTTCAACGGTAAGCTTGTGTTCACTTTGTGCCGGACTTGTGCTGAAAACGGAATAAACGACTATTGCTCGCATTCCGATGAGGAAAGAAGTTTTGAAGGAGTATTTTGCACTCCGGAATTGCACATGGCGCTGCGACAGGGTTATCAAGTGCAGGAAATTTACGAAGTTTGGCATTGGAACGAAAAGCGTGCGGGCCTATTTCAAGAATATGTGGACAAATTCTTGAAGGAGAAGTTGGAAGCAAGTGGATTCCCCGCCGGCTGTACAACGCAACGTCAAAAAGAGTTGTATGTTCAAGAAGTTGCCTTGCGCGATGGAATTCTCCTAGACATTGATCGCATTGAAGATAATCCCGCAAGACGTGCAGTTGCCAAGTTGATGTTAAATTCATTTTGGGGCAAGTTTGGACAAAGAGACAACTTACAGCAGACGGTGTTCATCTACTCCGTGAAGCAGTATCTGGATTTAGTCAGATCCAAATCTGTTGATATACAGAGCGTTCACGCAGTGACTCCAGAGTGCATGATGGTTACTTACTCGCAGAAAGATGACTACAACGAAGGCAGTAACTGTGCGAATCTTGCCATTGCCGCTTTCACTACCAGCCATGCCCGCATTCAGCTTTTCAAAACCATGGCCAAGCTCGGACCTCGCCTTTTGTATTTTGACACAGACTCTGTCATCTTTGTTCACAAAGAAGGCAAATGGCTTCCAGAAGTCGGTAATGGACTTGGTCAATGGAGCAGCGAGTTGAAACCAGATGAATATATTGTACGCTTTGTCTCCTGTGGTCCCAAAGTCTACAGTTATGAAACAAACACCGGCCGAATTCAGCTGAAAGTTAAAGGCATGACTCAGAACGGGTACACGGAAGATGTCTTGAACGATGATCTGCAGCGCACTGGAGAGAAACTTGACTTTGACAAGTTGACCGAAATCCTGAAAGGCGCTACAATGCCGGTACGTATCAGTTATGTTATTACTTTTGTTTTAGTTCTTATTGATTCCAGTGGTTTAACACAGGTTGTGTACCCTGAGTACATCAAGCGGAACTTTAAAGCTCAAGAGATTTCCACTGTCCGCTTGAAGAAACATCTGCGCATGGTGTACGACAAACGGGTTTTGTTGGAAGATTTCACCACAGTTCCGTACGGTTTTAAGAAGCCGGTAAGGCAGACACTGCTTGAGCAGACTATAGTTCAGATGTCTATGGAAGTTAAATGCTGTGCGACACTCAGGATATAACACTTGTAATTCATTATATGTACACAGGACCCACAGCCGGCGTGATGGATTTGTATCTGGAGGATGCCACAACCATGTGGTACGAGATCAAGCGTGACTCGTACATGGGATTCCATAAGAAGTCCAAAGCCATTACCTTCTGCAAGACGTTTTCGACCGAAGGAGACCAGCGCTTTGTGTATACTGCCATGGAATTATCTGCACCGATCGTCGCGCGTATACTGGAATGCATTTCTGACGATACTGTTCAAGAGTTACTGGACTCTTCTGTTTTGAAACGTAAGCCGATGGATCTTTTCTTGCATGGTGACGGGACTGATAACTTGAACATAACATTCAAAACTGGGAGATTCTTCTGTATTTACTTCTCCCAAACCAAGAACAAGCATGTGGTTAAGTTTGCGCATGATAAGTTCTGCACTATCTTTCAACCATCCGTTCGCTCTACTGAAGAAAAAAAAAAAAAAAAAAACCTCATCTGTTTCTGTGTTAGGTTGATCTGTCACAGACAATCTGACACGGTTGTAGTTGAGGTATCACAGACCGATGGCAGATATCTACATGCCAGTGTTCACTGTTGTGAACTGTCAGAAGCATATGATGAATGCTATGACTTACAGTATGCGGGTACTGACCTATCGGGTAAAAAGGCATCCTTACTTACTCTAAAGTTTTTTTTCTCCACACATTCTGCTAAAATGGTTGTCCCTGAGGATCTTAAGCCTACGTTTACTCACGTTCGTCGTGACTATCAGGACGACGTGGTGATTTATAACTCGAACATGGCCGATGTGAATAAGCGCATTGAAACTTTCTTCGGGAATCTTAACCATTTTCCTGGTTTGGACATCTATTACATGTCTGACGCCGGCTTCTACTATATTGGTGAAGGCCGCCTGCATTGTTTCACATGTGGCGTAGGACTTGAAGGCTTGCTACCGTTTGAAGATATTAACGTACACCACGCCAGATACAGCTGGTCATGCGAGAACTATCTTGCCAGTAAAAAGTTTATCAGAAATGTGTTGGACGTCGATGAACAGTTGAGTGTATGGGCTAAAACTCAATGGAATCGAAAAGCGTTGATATTCCGTTGTGGGTGTGATACCGATGCAGAAGATCATTCTGATGGATCGCACACTAATTCCGATATGGAACTGGACAATCTGCCGGATGATGCAGTAGTTGTGGCTGTTCGTGGAGTAGATATCTGTCCTCCATATCCTTAATTATGCTATTCCTATAAGCAGAAGTAAATATGACGGATGCATGTTAAGCATTATCTTGCACGGTGTTTTAGTCGATGAAAGTTCACACTTGCTTCATTTTTGCACTGCTAGCAGTTAACAATACTGAATTCTCCGTTTACAATGGATTTCCCCGAGCTCAAGTATCAGTTTCAGGACGGAAACGTCAAGTGTTACGAGATCACCAGCAAATCTTCACTGTGGTACGATACTATCGGCAACACTGTCCTTCTGGCCCGCAGCCCTGCCTCTGATGGACTCATGACTGCCAGACAGAAGGGCATCATACTGGACTTACCCGCTATCAACAATCTTCTCCTATTGCTGAAAGAAGGAAAAATCCGACATGGTTTGGATGCAGCATGCATTGGACAATCCCCGAAGTATACACATGTTAAGGATGCTGACGATGCTGTCATCGACATCAAGTTGGCTTACCATACCGCTTTTGGACGCACGATTTCCATCTCCCTTGAAGGGGCCTCAATCATGCTGGGCTACCGGAATTTCCGAAGTGTGTGCAAGTTACTCAGTCAACTCGTTCCTAAAGCTTAAATAGTTCATGTGCTTAATTAGAAAAAAAAAAAAAAAAAAAAAAAAGGGCGTTGCCCCAAATCTGCGTTATTTTTAGCTTGTCTACGGCCAAGCTGAAAGTAACGTGGTTTTGGGTAGCACTCTGAAAACGGGAAAATTCCGGAATTCTCAAATAGGCGTAGTCTGCTTTTGGATTGGTTAACTGCGAACGGAAATTCCAACTATCGTTCAGTGGTAGGAACGATCGGGTAAAACGTATAAAATGACCATGAAGCAGGGCATCAGACATCAGTTTTAGTCCATTGTCGGTTTTCCTGCTTTGCGTAAAAATGATTCACCACTTCATAACCGTTGTTGTCTTTGACTGCAAGTTTGATCTGCAGAAAATTGCATCGTCCACCAAGTGTACATCTGTGAAGGATTTTAAGGCGCTTAATCTGACATCCTATGATGGTAGCTATTGTCAAGTTTTCAGTTCAGGCAAAGCAATCATCAATGGCGGCACTTCAGAGAAAGAAGTACGCACATTGTTGAAGCGATACCGGTTCCGTTTAACACATCTTGGCTATACTGCCAATGTCGTTAGCAAGCGCACTGCGAATATTATGGCTACGTACGACCATCAGCATCCGATCAACTTGTATAAGTTCGCGAAAGCACAGAAGTTGTATTATGAACCGGAGTTGTTTGACGCGGCAAAATGCGATACGCCGATTTGGGTATAACCGTGAAAGTTTTTAGTTCCGGAAAATGTACGATCCTAGGCGCCAAGAGTGTGAAAGCAGTGGATATTTGCATTGACCGTCTTCGAGCCACACTGCCATCCAATCCACCGCCGTCTCCTGACTTCGATGTAAGTGCCGTGCGCAAGAAGCGCAAATCCATCAATTCTGACATTGATGAATTCGTGCGAGTCTTGGAAGCAGAGATGATGCGTGAATCAGAGGGCCGCACAACAGTTAGTCAAGGCACACAGACCACACCCCGAAAGCGAAAACGAACCATTCCCCAAAAGATTGATGTAAGCCAAACAGTACAGCAGGAGAAGTGCAACGACATGGAAGAATGGCTGCAGGCAATTGAGAAGTGTGGAGAAGAGGAGCCCGCCCTTACGTTGACACAGTGCGATAAATTGGTTGCACAGTGGGGAAAGGATTCCAAAGAAACTGACCAAGTCGCCATGGAGCACGAGGAGAAGTTGGAAGAACCCGTATTCACTCTAACACAGTGCGAGAAATTAGTTGCACATTGTCCAAACAGATCAAGTGATGCCTTTACTTGGCCAGAAGACATCTTCTAAATGTACTGATTCGATGTGCGCTGTTCATACTTTTGCGTAGTTTTTTATGTCGCAAACTTGTAGTTTTTCGATTTGCTTTTTCCATAGACTTTGCATGTAATAATGTGACTTTCCTTGCACTTTTCCGATTGCAATTTTGGTAGTTTATTGAACGCAATTTTCTAATACAAAAAACTCCCGTTTTTATCCTGAAAAAATGTTAAAAAAAGAGAGCTGAATGCTCCAAATCGGTGGTAGTTTTAACTTGTCTGCGGCCAGGTTGAATCTACTGCTGTTTTGGGAATTTGCTCATTAAGCCATTCTACAAATCTGAATCACATGCAACCATTAAAATACTGTTTTTGGGAAAATGGAACGTGTAAATTTTGATTTTCGCTTCAAAACACCATGCTCGGTGTATGTGTGCGGCCCAACAATGTCTGGTAAATCCACTTTGATAATGGAGTTACTTAAAGCACCGCATGCACACTTTTACCCTTGTCCGAAACGTATAGTATACGCGTACGGAACTTGGCAGAATTTGTTCAAAGAATTTCCTTCGTCAATTGAATTAGTCTCTGACTATAACAAACTGTTCGATGATGGATTTTTCAACCCAAATGTCCCAACGTTACTAATACTTGACGATCTAATGGAAGAATTAGCCAACAATGTAAAAGCCTCAACACTTTTCACGCGAGATGTGCACCACAAGAACATCACTGCTGTATTTATATCGCAGAACTTGTTCAAACAAGGGAAAAGCATGCGCGACATTGCTTTGAATGCCCAGTACTTGATTTTGTTCAAAAGTGTGAGAGACATCCAGCAAATACGTGTGCTGAGTCGACAACTAGGAATGAAACATTTGGAAAATGCGTACAAAAAGGCCATTAAGGAACAGTACGGCTATTTGATTGTAAATTTACGACCTGAAACTCCGGACAACTTGCGACTTCAATCACATATTTTTGCTCATCGACGCATTTATACAGAATGAATCCAAGTGAAATCTTTGACATAGTGCGAGCGCTGCAAGCTATGTCACCCATTCAGCGTAGAGGCTTTTTTGCACATTGCACAAAGAAACAAGTCAATGCCATGGAAGAGGCATGTTTGAATCTGTTGAAGAATCCAAGTGGTCTAAGCAAATCACAACTCCAGCAAGCGAGAAAGTATGCAACAAGCATTAAGCGACTGGCCAGCCGTGATACGCCGCGAAAACGAAAACAGCAGATTTTACAGCAAAGAGGTGGATTTCTCGGTGCTTTATTGCCAATTTTAGGAACGCTATTATCTACATTCATAGCAAAATGAAGACATTCGTGCTCGTACCGGAGAGCGAATACAATACGGTGATGAAACCGTGTCCAACACCATGGACAAAGGCCTATCAAATTAGCAGTGAGATTGAGAGGCATTTAACACAAGGTCCAAAGACCAGTGCCGAACACAAACTTGTTGATTCATCAAATCCAATGCCGCAGACATTTGTACAAACCCCAAACCATGCAGATATTCCGCCTGTGCCAGCTAGTTCACGTGTTACTTATGATCACGCAGCACAAGTGGATACCGCACCGCTATTTGAATATGTTGCTGCGCCCAAACCTTTCATGGCAGACAGTCAAACACAATCGGACCCTATACAGCCAACAGTTCATTACATCGAAAAGGATCCTGTTTATTATCCTGTTCCAGTCCCGCAGTATATCAGTGCACCGGGCAAGTCTGTTGTGCGGCATGTTTATAAACCTCAACCTAAAAATAAGCGGATATCTAAGCAGAACCGTGCGAAAAATGCAGCCAGTACAATGCGTCATCCAAATGTGTCTACGATTACCAAAGGACCTGCATTGCCTGCCATCACATACGGCAATCAAAATCCGCAGCTGGTGTATCAGAATCCTCCATTGCTTCCAGCTGGCAATCCGTACTGGGAAATACGCAGTCCTTCGCCTACATTGGCTTTGGCTGACAACACGTCTGTACCAAATGTAGAATGGCCGGACAGCGATGATGATTTATCATCTTCGTATGCATTAGCTCCCGCAGCCGCAGTACC